TTCTCGGCCTTTCGGCCCCTTCTCGGCCTTTCGGCCCCTTCTCTGCCTTTCGGCCCCTTGGCCTGTCGGTCGTTATTCAGCCTTTCGGCCTCTCGGCTTCTCGGGCTACCGCTTTCCTGATTCTCGTTGATCGACACACTGTGGCGACATAACCTGCCAACTTGTAATTTTAATTGCTGGAGGAAAGCAATTAGCTTCTTCGGGCAATAACCTTCAGCAATGGGAATCGGAATCCTCGATAAAAGCAACAAGAAGAGAAGATGAGTAACTACTATTGAACTGCAACTCCCACGAAATAAACAACATCATGTACCGACAGGCCCCGCACTCGGTTGCGTGAGCCCCGCGCGGATGATTTGCTGCGAAGTTTCCTTCTCGGTTGTATCTTGGTACATACTTGGGGCGTGCGTCATTGTGTGGCTGAGCTCGAGCTATGCAAAGACATCATCCCCTCGCCCCACCATCGTCGCGAATGTGACGAGTAGTAAATAACAGCGCTTGACTTACACTTAATTTCCCTCTCATGTCCTGCCCCATTGGCGAAAGATATTCAAGTGGCGCCCCGATTTCATTCTTTTTATTCCTAGTAATTTGCGGAGTAATTGCATTGTATGTGGCGAAAACATCAGTGCATTCGTATCGTCCGGTGCGTTTATTTCTCTATCAAGTGCTGCTCCGTCTGCGATGCAAATGTTTAGGCGAAGGAAGAATTAGCTCGCGTATCAGCGTTGGCGAATGCAATAAATTGAACGAAGTGACGTTGAGACCGGCTCCAATTTCGTGCGGCACAAACGGGGGCGGAGACGGACTTGTCCGCCGCGCTGCCAAGTCCGGCGGGTCCCCGTAGTACAAATGCGAAGTCTTCATGGGCTGTTTGTGATTGTGGATTGTGTAAATATCGAACCTTTCCTCCTTGCCGCTAGTCTCTTCTAATTGAGTCTGACTGTGACTTGTCTTTCTTCTTACTAGAATCCAGAATTCGTTCTTATTTAGATAAACTTTTCAGCCCCCAAAGCTGGTGGTGCACGCGACCAGTTCTACAGAATGGCGACAGTCTTGACACAACCGCGCTGGCGCTGCGTGCTACCCGCCCAGAAGTCGCCCATAATAAATGGATCCAATGCAACACAGGCATCCAACATTTATACTAATTGCAGTGCCGTATGTGGAAGCGCCGTATGGCTGAATCAGCACTAATTTCATGCAGCATGAGAGCTATTTCATCAAAAACACGCGACCAACTAGCATATCTGTCGTAAAACAATTGCGGCGTACCGTCTGAAATTTGTTGCTGCTCCGCGGATCCCGCACTCGAAGACTGGCCTCTCGGGAGCCAAGTCGGGGCCCTGGTTCACCTATCCGCAGTGTTTCGACACCCGCCTCTTCGATCAGTTTGCGGCCCGACGCTTCGGCGAAGTGGCCCTGCAGACGAGGCTGTGCGGGGAGCGGCGCCCGGCTGGTGGCCTCCATAAGATGGTGCTGCGAGAGTCCTCCTCCGCCCGGGGGTAGAATTTGTCCTCCCCCTCGCTCCGGACTCAGGCTGCGCTGCGTGCGGGGGCTGAGGCTTCGCATGCTCGACTCCCCGAGCAGCGAGCGCGTGTGCAGGCTGGGCTCGTCCGTGGAGGTAGCGGAAATGCGGCTCATGCTGTAAAAGTTGCTGGAAACGTACGCGTATGCATTGCAAAAGTATCGTATTCGTACTGCAATCATGCATTACAAATTTTCTTGTCAAGTCAAATCCGCATTACAAATTTTATTTCTCATGCTAAGAAAATTTGTAATGCATTTATACGAGTACGATACTTTTGCAGTTCATAACGCGTTCAGATTCCGCCGGACTTCTTCGGAGGTCCGGTACCGCTTCGGGCTCGACTTCGGACTGGCTTTTCGGATGATGGCACTCGTCCGGGCCCGCTTCTGCAGCGCCGCCTCAAAGGTTTCAAAGCCCTTATAAAACTCCTGGTACATCTTTCGCTGGTCGTCGGCCGTCATCTCCCCGCTGCCGCTGGTGTGCAGCACGCTCATGAGCGAGCGTTGCTGGCCCGACCAATGCTTGCCGGCCCGGTTCTCCTGCCGGATCATGCGGTCCAGCGCGTCCTGGTAGAGCCGTTCGTACATATCAAATGAAAAAATGTCTGGGTCTGGAACATTGCGAGATTTGTCATGCTGATCCGGCATGGCCCTTAAATCTGTATTGCGTGGCCACAAACAGCCTCTCTCGCCTGTCATGCAAAAGCGCAGTTTCTCATGCGGAATACGCAGCGCAGAAGCACGAAGCAACAGCAACTTGTCATGCTTGGCGGCGCATTACAGTGCATTTCTTATTGACTGACTTGCATCACAAGTTTCCAGATCGACATTTTTGCATTTCATAGTACACCTTGCGGATCGACTTCGCCCCGAACAGGAGGTTGGTGATCCCGCTATCCTTCAGGGCGGCGTCGATCAGGTTGTTCTTCACGCCCGCCTTGCTCAGAGCCTGCTTCATATCGGTAAACTTCGACTGGAGTTCGGTGACCGCGGCCTCGAGCTTTTTCGCGTACACTTCCTTCTCTTCCAGATCCGCCCGAAGCTGTGCGACCAACTTCTCCAGCCGCCGGATCTGCTGCGTCTTCGGGTCCACCTCCACGCGGGTGGCCTTCTGCATCAGAAACTGCTCCTTGCTCTCCTTATCCACCACCACACGCGTGTTGCCCTCTTCGGCCCCCACCACCTCGAACCGGTCCGCGTTGCGCCGCATTTGCTCCGGGTTCAACACCTGTTCGATAGTAAGCTCCTGCGCCACCGGCTCGCCGTTCTCGTTCAAGATCGGATTGTCCTCGATAGGGACGTACACGTTGCGCTTCTCCTGCACTTTGTTCTGGACTTTGTAGCTTTGACCTGCATATTCACAGAAACATCAAGGAAAAAGATTTATTGAGAAGAAGATGCGTCCAGAATTCGGCGCCGCGAGCTCATGATGTAAGTAGTAGATCCGGGTCAAGTTGGAGAAACGAACCTGAAACAGAACAGAGCCGGCACGAGGAAAAAGAAGTGCAGTCGGCTTTTTAAAAAATATCGGCGTGAAAATGTTGAAAATGCACCATCCCCGACGGAGACTGACGACGCTAGAACAAGCCGCTCACTACGATATTGAGACCTGGCTCTCTGACTCTGTCCGCTGAGGATCATACCAAGCAGTAGTACTTACGTACCTATACTACACAACTCGTACAAAATGAATCCGTTTATTGACACCTCGCTTCTTGTCGTCCACGCCCGCGTAAGTAACCTCGCCCTGGTCGTTGCCCAGGTCTCGGAACGCCCACTCGCGGTCGGACTCGGAGCTGTGCGCGCCGCCGCTGGGCGCTCCCGCGCTGAGGCGCCCCACGCTCGACGCCGGCTTGGAGTAGGGTCGACTGCCCCCCTGGCTGCTGGCCGCGCCGCGACTCCCCGGCTTACTGCCCGACGACATGCTGTGCGCGTACGGTACGCCGGCCACCTGCCGCGCCACCTCCAGCGGGCTGTCTCCCTCCAGGGGCAACATGGCCTCCGGGACGGGGACGGTGCCGGGACGCATCTTTTTCACCGCCGTCAGCTCTTCCGCGTCCGGGTGCGCGTCCACAAACACCCAGGTGCGTTTCTCCACGATCTTGCGCTGTACGCGAAACTCCTTACCGGTCTCCACCTCCGTGATTTTCGCGACCTTGTCGTCCACCTCTTTCATCTTGTAGCCGCTCAGGCCCTGCACCCGCACCTCGCGCGGTTCGCTGCGGGCGTTCATCGGGGCCTCATTCGGGAATATCCACTCTTCCTCGCTTTGTTCCAGGCCGCGCCGGCTACCGCCGAATGCGCTCTTCTCGCGCGACGGCAAACGGGAATTGTCCTACAGTTTTACAATCTTTTAGTTTTGCCGTGTGTTGTAGTTGTCTCAAACTCGTCGAGTTTTCATTCCTACAGCCTGAAGAAGAAGAACCAGTGCGGGATACAATCGAGGATATAATGTTCCCTGCTCGGTATAACTATAATAGCACGCGGCGCTCGGCGACCGATACTTCTGCAAATCAAGTAGTTCCAGTAGTTGTGTACCGAATCCATGGGGCCTCGGTACTGGTCAATGTTGTCCAGGTCGTCCGGCGAAGACATTGCTCGGGACGAAGGCGACACATCTGGAGAAACTTGCGCGGCCGGCATCGCGACGCCCGCCGCACTAGCCTTTTCAGCCTGAAAATTTCATTTTATTAACCGAATGTCTTGTCGCACGATCAGAGCCGCGCCGGCTCTTATCATTTTTGTCTTCAATGTTACGATCATTTGAGATAATGCGCACATAGAGCTGAAAGCGACAAATTTTCCTGTCACGTTTGTACCATTTCCCCCATACGTTCCTCCATTTTCGCCATCTTCCCCTCCAGCTTGGAAGCGTCTTTCCTTGCTTGCGCCGCGTCCTTCTTAGAGGCCGCCAACTCGGCAAGCAGCCGGTTGATTTCGTTCTTCAGGTCCATGTTTTCGCCCTGCAGCATGTCGACAGACTGCTCGAGGCCATCAACCTTGTCGCGCAGCAACGAAGACTCCGCCTATCAAATGCAAAAATGTCTGGGTCTGGAATGTTGCTTATCATGCATATTTTGTATGACCCAGGATGTCTGTAATGCACGACCTAGCATCACAGATTTTTAGAGAGCCTCCTGTTCCCTACTCCGCATGACAAATGCCGTCCCCGCGTAGCACAAACTAGACTCCTCTTGCTGGTCACGCAATACAGATTTTTTTTAGAGTCCAAAGTTAGCATCACAAGTTCCAACCTTCCAGACCCAAACATTTTTGCATTTGATACCGCCTCCATTTTTGCCATCTCCTGAACGGCGAAATCTGGGAGGCCTCCGTCGGCGCCCGTGCCTTTCGCACTGACTCCTTTTCCGGTTGAGGATGAGCTTGCCGGACGGGAATCTGCCGCCCGCTGTGCGGTGTCGGCCTGTTTCACAAGTTGAAGTTTGCAGGTAACACATTCTATCTACAGCACGTAAGACTGAATCTATTACGTACCATGAAATACTCAGCGACAGCAACCTCCTCGTGCGTCACCAGTAAGAGTAACAAAAATATGTACAACATATATATCGATATGATGCTCGAGGGCGGCAATTCTGAGCAACGACCGACCACTGCTATTACAACCAAGAAATTAAGCCTCTTACCATTCATTTCATCCATTACATGATGAGCAGGGAGTAGTAAGTGAAGATTTTTACTTACGTACCTTCATCGCGCCCATGCGCTCGATTTCCTTCTCGGCAAGCTTGAGCTTCTTTTCCAACTCCCGCTTCTCCCGCAGGGCCTGCTCGGCCTGCGCTTTCAGGGTGGCGATTTGCTTTTTCAGGTCCTCGGCGCTTTCCTGGTCGTCCACGGGCATCATGGCCGCCACCACGGCGTTCTGCCCGCTGCCGGTTTCCTCCAACTTGCGAATCTTGTTCTCCAGCGCGAGCTTTTCCTGTTCGGTGGTCCGGAAAAATTCTTGTAGGTGCTTTATCTTATCTTGTAACGCCTGGATTTGGTCGAGGAATTCGGCATTCCCACTCGTCCCCTTTAACGCCGTAATCAGCTTGTCGCGCTGGGACAAGGCAAGCTCCGCATCGTCCTGAAAAAATTTGTTGCTTCAACGTGAAGATGATCATAGCGATGAAACAACTGAAGAGGCAAATGCCGATCTTTTTCTACTTATTTTTTCCTGCAATTGCACGGAGGACGGAAGCCCCGCAAGTCGCGTCTTGGCCAGCTATGTACTAGTTCAAGCCGACTGATATAAATTGCGAATACCCTACTAACAATTTGACAGAGACATGAAGTTCTACACGGATATTAGATCATGCAGGTTGTGGACAAGAATTGGACTGTCAAACATTCATCCGATTCATCCGAGGGATATTGTGAATAATCAAATCAATAAAATACCTTCTGCTTAGACATCAAGTCCAACTTTTTCTGCAGGCTGTCTCGCTCCTGCTATGAAAATGCAAAATCCCCCTAGTACCCATATTCGAACAAAGTGATTTTTCTGTTGCGGAGGTATGAGCGTACACAAATTCACGCGTAGTTTTGCAAGAGGGCTATGGCACCCAACGATCCGTAATGAAGATGATCGAAGGCAAGTTATTGTCGACGTGCTACTCATCTGCCCAGTTTTTAGCCTACCCGCACAGACCGAGCGTCTTGCTCCTGCGCGCGACTCCAGAGGGGATGCGCCCCCTCGTCCTTTTGCACTTGACTATTTGTAAGAGAAACTTTATACGAACAGGGGTTTTGACTTCGAGGGAATTTCTCCTTCGCGGATACCCTCTGCGCGTTCACGAGGTTCTGCACGGTTTCGCCCATAACCTGCTTCATGGCCTGGCGACCCGACTGGAATGCTGATTTCAGCCGGTCGCGGAGGAACTCCTTCAGGAGCTCTTTCTGGGTGTCATCCAGGTTCAACCACACCTCGCTGTTGATAAAGCTGATGTCGTCAGGCCCGCAGAGCTGCGCGAGCATGGCTTCCACCGCGGCTTTTTGGCTGGTGGCGTCTTCACTCATGAACCGCATCTGGTCCTTCATCACGTTCACAGTCTGGAAGTACTCCTTCCTGACCTCCCCGAACACGGCGTTGTCCTTCGCGTCGACCTTTCGATTTTGGAACGCGTAGAACAGCGCCTCCCGGAGCGCTTCCAGCTTGCCCTCCACCAAGGCTTCGACGAGAAGCAGTGTCGTATGGAGAGAAAAAAGTTTGACACAGTCATTAACTTCAACTTGCAGGTTTTGCATTACAAATTTTTGTAGCATCACAGCTTTCCTCTGTATTGCAGAAACACTAGGGAAAATCCTTATGAAGTGTGGCTGTGATGCATTTTTACGCATGACTGAGAGTTTTGTATTGCGAAAATGCGCATGAGTGATCGTGACGAACTTTTTTTCTTTGATATGTCGTGAACCAGGTGTAGTCGGTCAGAATGGAGAGCATCAGGTTCTTCGGAGCGCCAAAGGAGTACACCATTCGGGCGCCCCAGTACTGAATCATCTCGGCGATCGATACTTCGGAATCCAGTGCAAAAGTATCGCACTCGTATAAATGCAAGTCTTGCATTACAAATCTTTTTCTTAAGGTAAATCCGCATCGCAAATTTTATCTCTCATGCTGTGGAAATTTGTAATGCATTGATACGAGTACGATACTTTTGCAGTTCATATTCGGAATCCAGGAACGAGTGGAGCTGCTTTTGGATTTTCATGGGAATGCGGATCTTGAACAGCCGCCACTTTTGCACCCCATACCGGTTTGGATGGAAGTAGTGGGCAAAGGGGCGAAAGTTTTCCAACTCCTCGCCCACCGGAATGTCCTTCTCCTGCCCGCGTTTTCTCCAAGGGAAAAGCAGTAGACCCATACAACCGTATCAGCCAAGATTTGATGTAGCACGCAGCTTTTTGTCTGCTCAGCATAACGAATCTTCTCGGCACCTCTTTGGCCCGTTAGCCGTTTTGCATGACAGGGTTCGAAGCAGCTTCTTGTGCCATAAAAACAGCAAAAATACAAATTCATTTTTGCTTTTTGGTCGGGGTGTAAGTACTTCTTCCCTGGAGGATATCCTTCGTCAAGATTTGGATTTCATCCTTGGTAAGGCCGCGGTCCTCCTCGATCATGAATGGCTGCGAGAGGTGTGGTCGCTCTCTCCGCGGGCTCGTGTCGATAATTGTGTTGGGCTCCCAAGCTGGGGCCCCGCGGGGACCGGGCGACGAGGGCATGACTTTGTGCGATATTAACTACCACCCGATATTAATTTCGGTCGACACAATGGGAAAACCACTACAGACCTGGATTAGAGAGCAGCATGGTCCGTGCTGTTGTCCTTCGGCGCGATGCTGCGGCTACTGTTCAAGTTTACGATTTCTATATTTTTCGACTTGTAGTAAGACAACAGGCTCGCAACGAATGGATTTCGCAGCTGCGTCAGCTTTTAGTCTCCCTTTTCAGTGGCAGTGCGAGTGCCAGTGCCCCGACTTTGCCACCCTTTTTTGCATTAACAAAAAAAAAGCTACTGAAGATTTTGTTGGAGTAAGTCATTTATACGATATAGGGACGTATCTGCTGCTGCTGGAAAACTGCCAAGCATGGCCGTATTTGTACACTTTCGAAGCGAAACGAACCTCCTACAACGCGATGCTATTGTTCTTTTTTCAAACAAACGAGCGAATAAGACGAGAGCGAGAGTGGGTTCGATTTTTTACCACGAATAGCTTCTTTTTTTTTATTTTCCCAGTCGATTTCTTGCCCCGGTAAATCAAAATGAAGTTGCCCACATTTCAATGTCGCGAACAGACGAGGTTGGCCCGTGGTCAAAAGGATTAGGTGATGCTACATACCGAGTAAAGTGAACATCCCCATTTCCTACAAAAACAGACGCACGCAAATTTCTCTGCTCACATGAACACATTGAAGTTGCGAAGAGCTCCGTGTGATTCTTCGACCGGCTAAGCACTTCAGACAAAATCGAATTCAAAGCAAGTGGATTGTGAAGAGTACGAAACTGATGTTTTTCTTCGACGAAGTTGTGTTGCGCTCGCATAATCCAGTTTGCTCGTCCTTGTATGTAGTACTAGTGCTTTAAATGATGAATCAGCCTCCGAGGGAGATTGCACTCGTAGAAGTGATGACAGCAGCTACAACCAGCTTGCTGGTAGATCATACATCAACTACCTCGAGATAAACATATGCACATGGCAAAACTATTGTGGAAGTAGACTATTGTACAAAAACTTCGTATATGATTTTTCCCGCACCAAAATTACTGCTCTGAAGCATTGACACATCTTCCTCTCAGCGGTTCCACCTGCCGCTGAGCGCATCGCACTCTGCCAATGCCTGCAACCAGGCCTCAGCCGACGGATTGGCATTACCCGCGACATTGCTAGAAGAGGCAAAGATCGCAATTACGTAGCCGCTATGCCTTGTAAACATGTCTGGGTCTGAGAGGAAACCGCAGTCGTGTCATGCGGCTTTTGTATGACATGCAAGGTATGGTTTGGGATAAACGCCCTAATATCATCGCTTATTTTGTTTTTGCGACATACCCATTCTGCATGAGAAATCCACCCCCTTCAGCGTGATCAAAAACGAACAGCATTTGGATCTGCTGTTCATGCAGTGCAAATCTTTGGCTCAGCACCCTGAGCTACCATCACAAATGTGCGACATTTTTCCTCGACCCAAACGTATTTCAAAGCATAGCCGCGCCAGTCCAACAACTCAATGGTCCCCCGGTAGTGACCCCGCACCGCCCGGCAGTTTCCAAGAGGCGCGAACGGATAAATGGCCTCCGCTTTGATCGCGGCCTGGTGCTGCAACTGCTTGTAGTACTCCTCTGTACCCGCACCACCATTTGCGCCACCTGCTTCCTCGTTCTTTCTTGCCTCATTTTTGTTCTCGCTCTGGATCGTGCGCAGCAGCAAGACTCTTGCCTTCCGAAAATGCTCCAAGTTTGCGAACTGGAAGAGCCGGCCGTCGCGCAGCAGCACGAGATACACCTCTCGGTTTACCAGCAGGGCCGGCGAGACCTGCTCCAGATAGCCCTCCAGAGTAATGTCTGGGTTGCTTGGAAAAGCAACGGACAGTGGCGGAAAGTCGCTATCGGTCACGTATTTGCCCGACGCAACCGGATAGTAGTGCTTTTGCTCCTCGGAGTCGTCGAAAAGGCTCCCGAACCAACCGTCACCTGGAAAAATTTATTTTGGCAGCAAGGTCGACGTCCTAGCACTACTCGTGGGGGCAGCCAGTATGGCAGCTCTGCATGTTGCGAAAAATAACACTATCATCCGGTGAGGCGGGAGGTTCACAGAATACTCATTTTCATGTACATAGTCCACTGCGTTTGTTGTACTAGGTTTTCAACATCACCTGCAACATCACGACTTCGCATGTGAAGTAAAAATGCCGACGCAGCTGCACGGAGCAAGAAAGTAGCTGTACACCCGCAACATCAAGACAATGAGAAAACAATAAAAGTCTATGTGAAATAAGGTATATGCGTATCAAAATACAGGCCCGGCCGCAGCAGCGGTTGCTATCTGGACTTGGAGGCGGTCTGCGCAGCATGCCGCCGCCCTTATAGGCAATTTCTAGGACGTTCTCGGGCGTAAACCGGGTTTTCGTCTCCCGGACGAGGTTCAGCATGGGCACCTTCTCCGGGCGACTCGTGTGCACCTGCGCCGCGGCGCGGATATCCTGTCGCGGTACGCGGTAGTTCCAAAACGCATGCTCCCCTTGATGTTCCGGGCCATTACCATTTCCGGGCAGACGGCCGCTGCTTGGCTGCACGTTGCGTGCCGGGCTCTCGTCGATCCGCCGCTGGATTTCCGACTTTGGCCGGAACACAAACTCCTGCGCAATCGGGGGCCCCGTGTCGGTTTGCTCCTGGTAGTTCTCCTCGTCGTTGTAACCGATTGCGGATATGATTGCCGACGCGTTGCGGGGCTGCGTCGCTCCTTTCGGGGCCGGGAACGGGTGGCCGCCTGTCGTGGTCACCATCGCGAGGAGCGACGATTGCTTTCGTACTACTGAAGGGCACTACTCGTGAAAATAAGTTGTTCACAATTTTCAAACCAACGCGTTAAATGTACACGGAAGGAACTTCTAATACGGAACTAGAACAAAGAAAGTCAAGCTCTGAGACGGTTCGCGGAGGATCGAGAGGACTCTTGATGCAGCTAACCTCCGACTGATGAATTTCCTATTGATAAGTTTTCTAGCTCAACATCTAGGACAACTAGTAGTACTTAGGCGTTCTCCGGGGACGACCTGTCTGGCGCTTGCGTCAGGAAAGAACGAGATCGGCAACTTAGCAGAGTCATGAAGATGATAAGTATCTATGCATAGTAACTTAGAATAATCTTTACCGCGGTCCACTATTTTGTGCAGCGTTGGCAAGAGGTCTTTTCGAGTGGACCTGTTGCGTTTCTACTGCGAACTGCGGACCAACGAAGGACGAGGGCGGATCGATCAGGACGAATCAACGTGGACGGATCAACGAGGACGGATGGATCAACGAAAACTAGAGGAAACAATAGGTTTAAAAGTTTTCGAACGTTGGAACGAGTCGGAGGACGAAGCTCAGAACGAAATAATACAGAGGGAATGCACAGAACGACGCTTCAGCTTGATTCTAGACATGGTATTTCTATTGTCGTTGCTGCCAGTTTTGAATAAAGTTCTTCGCAAAAAATTCGTTCTTTCGATCTGACACGAAAGTTGTAGAGGTCTTTACCGTAATAACACCGAGACGAGGACGACTCCGAAGTTAGAAAATAAATCGGAGACAGAAGAGAACAAACTGTAGTTTGACCACAAGCTGCTCCGACAGAGGAAGTCAGTCTCCTTTGCCGCAGAGAGCACAACAGATTGGTTTTCGGCGGTCCAACAGCCTGCCTTTTCTTTAAAACGGTACCTTGTCGTACGGGTCGATCCAGTTGATCACCTTCACGTCGGGCGTTTGCCCGACGACCAGGTCGACATCCACGCGCTTCGGCATCGGGTTGCGGCGATCGCGAGATGGGAACGCGGACATCATCTCTACTTCCACGTTCTGTCGGCGGACCCAGTCCTGCGTGCTTTTCCAGCCCCGGAAGTCCTCCGCTAGTTCGTGGACCGCATCGTCGCCGTCTCCCATCTGATCCCACCCCACGCTGACGGCATACGCCTGCGCCTTCTTTTCAGCCATTCGCGCGGCCCGGTCGATCTGCTTGCGACGGGTGGAGGAAAGGCCGCAGGTGCGAAGAAAGTAATTTTCGCCAAAGTCCTCGACTACCCTCTCCACGGTTTTTTCCTTGAGTCGGTACCGCTCGCTGATCCGCGGGATGGTGAATCGAACCGGGTCCCAAGTGTGCAGAAAAAACAGGTACTCGCGGAAGGCGTATAGCGAGGGAAAATCCCCCCTCCTAAAAACGTCTCTTGTGATCCTGAGTTTGTGGAAAAGTACACAAGTCAGTTTGTATTGCGTAAAAGGCAGGCGAGTGCTTTGCGTCAAATTATGTTGCTGTTTGGCCTGTTGCGTGGACAGTAGTCATGCCGAACAGGTCGTGTGACTCTACGCACTACATCGTCCAGTGGCATGCTACAAAGCGATTTGTGTGCTACACAAAGAAATCCGCGACGTAAGTTTCCCACTTCAATTTGACTAGGAGGGATCTTTTCCTGACGATAAGTAGGGGTCCAGCTTGAGGTGACTCTCGACGTAGATGGGGAACTTTCGCGGGGTCAGCTTGTTCAACCCCTTGGGTTGGAGGTACCGCCAGTTTCTCGCCGTGGACAGTGTCGGGAACCGATTGCCGCTGAAATCCGTGTACGGCTCATCCGCATGACAAAAGCGACCCCCCGTCCCCGTAGACAAAGGAAATTCGATGTCGCGCGAAGTGCAGGCACAACGCACCGTCAGAAGTAATGCTTCTGTCATCGCTCGAGAGAAGCGCCGACTCTAATCCTACGTCGGATAACAACAAATCACTCTACTTCCATTACAGTACCGAAAGCAAATGGCCCCGACCTTTGATAGATACAAGTCTCCGAAACACGGCCCCCTAGTGTTCTTCCAAATAAACAAGTGCTTCGCACTTGTGAGAACATGCACAAGTCCAGCACCGACAACTTCCCTTCGCGAATGGAGACGAGGAGGATATTTCCTCGCGATATGGGTGAAGCGTATCCAGCGTGACGCCGCCTCCGTCCCGGAGCCGCACCCCGACGTCCGAACCGCTTTTGCCCGGGTTTTCCCTCTTGCCCCCGACATCTTTCAAGTCCGCATCCAGGACGAACTTGGTGGCCACGTCAGAGCGAGAGAAGCTGTGCGCGTCAGCGTGCGTTGCCACCGCGTCCTCGCTGCTGAGCTGCTGCCGGACGTTCCAGGGAAGCGGCCCGTGGTCGTCCGCGTGCGGAACCTGCCGTGGCAGAGGACGGAGCTTCGACGACCGAATGTTGCGCGCACTGCAGCGCTGCGCCCCCGCGCCAAGACTTGGACCGCGGGCGGCGAAGTGCCGGGTCTTCCCGCCAACGAGCGCAGCCATTCTTTGCGGTCCGGAGAGCAGGTCAGCTCTGTTGCTACGGAGCTGGCCGCGTGAGCGCAGAAGGAGCAACGACTTCTGACAAACAAAACGGGAAAAGTGCATGAAAGAGCGCGCTTCGGAAACTGTGACGCACCAACTTGACCCTTCCCGGGCAAGAGGATTCGAACACTTTAACAGGCACGGAGCCTAGAAAGCAAACGCAATGGCGGCACCAGGTGGCAGCGCCAAGACGGGGGGAATCCGGCAAGCGGGCGCCCCTCGCGGCGGACCGCCGGTGGAAAAACTTCCGCGAGACACGACAGGGGCAACGCCGGCCCCATCCGGTCGCGATCGGCCGCTGCGAAACAGACGCAGGAAACGCTTCACATTACCGATGCTGCAAGCTCCGTTGCGACTTCAAAGGGGCGCGGGAACACCGGAAGCGAAATCATACCCAACGGCGGGCGCCGCCCCTACGCTACGTTAGGGCAGAAGTCCTCGGCCCCCCTCAATACGCGCATCACAGTAGTCTCGATAAGTGGCCACAATATGAACACTTCCGCACTTCGCCGGCGTCATTCTCCTCATTTTTCTAATTTCAACAAAGTTCGAATATTCTCCGTGCTTTGTTTTAGGCTTTTCCAGTACATAAAACGCCCCTAGACTACGTTATTCGCGGCGGGTGGATGCCAGCGCACCTGGGTGGGAATGACAGCGGGGTAGCAGGCGGGAAAAGCCCGCGCTCCGTTATTCGAGGGAGCACGCGGGGGGCCGGGCGGGAAAGCCCAACAAAACAGGCGGCGTTCCCGGACAATAAATAAACTGGGGAAGTGTCCGGGCCTCTAGCGGGTCAGCAGAAGGCGCACGGCTTACATACTGCGCCGCGCCCGCGGCCCGCCGGCGCCGGATAGAAATGGCTACTCGCGCGGGCCCCCGGGCAAGGTATTTGCGACATGCGGAGGCGATGAAAGGGCTTGGCATGCAAGTCCGGTCGGCGCGGCAGCGCATTAGGCTTTGGCCGGACCCGCGCCAAAGCCTCGGGGCAGGGACGGGGGTAGGGGGGGGGGGGGGGGGGGGGGGGGGGGGGGGGGGGGGGCAGGAGGGGGTAGGCGTCCGAAAAAAATGCAAGAAAAACTAGCCTGCCCTGCTGCGGAAAGCAGACGAACCCGGGCCCCGGAGGCTCAATCACAGCCAAGAAGTGGCCCACCAAGGCTCCGCACCCCTATGCGCCTTGGAGGAAGTCGATTAGATCAGCCTAGGTGGATAGCACTTGTAAAGAATCAGTAAAAAATCTGAAAAAATCACATATGATAGAACACTTAAAAAGTATGGACGACTGCTCTGCAGTTGTCTGTGTTTCACATATTGGCGTGCCCTGACTTCATTGATGGGAGCAGATTGCGATTCAATATGTTGTGCTGCCCCCATTTTTGAAAATTGCGAAAAATTTTAAAAAAATGAAATTGGAAAACATTTGTGGATTTCCCGAAAAAGGCGCCAATCAATGTAAGAACATGTATGGAAATTGCATTTTCTTTGAATCTTTTTAGGCAGATTTCCTTTGTACTCGTGTAATATTGTGCATTTTTGGAAATTTCAAAAAATTTCAAAATTTTATAGTCATAGCATAACTCTAAATATGTGGCCAATTAGGTTGCAGACAAGTACAGTCATCATATTGCGTCCCTTTTATTTGATTGACTTGAGTAAATTACCTCCGTACGCGCTTAATTTGCATGATTTTGCAAAATGTAAAAAATTTGAAAAATTTCTAGACGTGGCCCAAAACAGGAAAAAATGCAAAATGTGCCTCATATAATCGAGGACATATGAAGAAACGCGATGCCTTCAGCTGTTTGCAAAGACCGATGTAGTTTATTTGTCAAGTTTTTCTGGGATTTTTTAAAGTGAGAAAATCTTGAAAGGTCAAAAAATTTTCTCTGTGGTGAAAGTCTTCCACTATTCATGCCCGTAGGTATATGATACCGCTTTAAAGAAGTAATTTTGTTGGCTGGCTCCATTTACTGAACTGGATTCCACAAGTTTTGACATAGTTTTTCATATTTTGGAAAATTGGAAAATTTCCAAAATTTTTTAAATGTCGTATATGATGAAGAATATACTAGGAAGGGAACCAGTGGGAGCCCTTGTTTTTGTATAAGTTGCGTTCATTTTGGCCGATAAGAATCAACCAGCCCCAAAGTGGTAGTCTGCTTACTATTTTGGAAAATCGGAAATCGGAAAAACTTACTCAGGGATCTGGATGGTGCCAGGTCTCTGGAGTGCGTTGAAAAAGGCCCCCAAGCGGGCGCTTTCGGCAGGGTTTTGCGACCGCATTCGACCGGCAGGAGCAGACAAAATCCGCGTATCCTCTAAGATCAGGAAAAAAGCAAAAGACTACCAATACGCGGGCCCTGCTCTGGAAACACTGGGAAGGTGCCTTGGCCAGGCCTCGCGCCTACAGCCATGCGACCTCTTTTCATCGACTAGGACTAACTAAAACGGCCGCGCGGGTTTCGCTGACTCTCGTGACCCCCTCAGCATGCGGATGGCGCGGTCTCTTCGCAGCCGCTTTGCTTCGCCTGTGCGCCGCACGGAGGCCGCTAGTTCATGCTCCGCTTTATGAGGCCTCGGCGCCGGCGCGGCGTGGCGCGACATCCCTCCTTTCAAATGGTGGGAAAATCCAAGGCGGCCGCTTCGTTGCGCGCGCAGGCACGCGCCCGGGCGTAGACTAGTGCGGGGAAGCGCCCTAGGCGCAAAGAAGAGGCGGTGGTTCGCAGCTCCGGGTTCTTGCGCTGAGTGCGTCCAGCGCGGGTGGTACTTCCCCGGATGCGGGGAAAACCCTTTCCTCCATCTCGGATTGCACTCCGCCCCGCGGAGAAAATCGCGTCTCGTCGTCCGCCCTCGTAAGCGTCCTTTTTCTGGCCGCTCTCTGTCTTGTATCCTCGCCGGCACTGGTGTTCTCTATGCTGAACAATGGGGACCACGACCAGAATGAAAGGTGCCGCGTAGTGCATTAGGGCGCCGCGCCTCCTCTGTCAAGTTCTCCGCTTTCGCAGCTTCATTAATACTCCAAGGCGCTCCAACCATCTTGCAGATGGCGCTTCTGTTCCGACGGAACATACAATCTACGACTTAGCCACTTCTCGCTACGGTTCCGCTTAAGTAAGCGAGGCAGCCGAACGGCGAGGCGCAGCTCCGCGCCTGTTCTCCTGCTTGGATAGGCTGCGCCTCGTGCTTGCCTGCATTCTTTCGCAAAGGCCGTAAAAGACGAACGACCGCGGGCGGGTGTCGGAGCGCTGCATCAACATCCCCCCCGAGCGCACTACTACTGCTTGGAAGAACGCGATCTGTATCGAGTTGGGGATCACGGTTTGGGAAAGATAAGCACAGGCAAGATTTCCAAGCGGGAACGAAAGCGCAATACCCCATAACTAGCCGCGGCTCCGCTCTGCGCGTTGCGCCCTCTGCGACTATGCCGATTCGCCTCTATTACGAAGCTTGCGCGAAGCACCGGATTGCGCCATACCACGAGAGCGTGAGCAAGAGAGCGCAGCCGGATTGCGCCACCGCACGGGCTCGGCACCCAAACGAGCCGGCGCTTGTGAAAATTGCGACGCCTGGTCCAGACCGCCGCCTCGGGCAAGGCGTTTGTGGGGCGGGAGCGCTTTCCGGGCGGCCTGCGTTAGACGTATAACTTTTAGCATGGCATGACGCCCGCAACGACGCCTAGCTGGCGCGCCACTTGCACCGGTCCGCGCGTACTTGACAAAAGCGCCGGGTTGCGCAGCAGAAGCGGGCTTCCGCCGCGATCGGTTGCTGCAGTGGTGCGAATGCCGACGTGGAAAAATAGTTACCGCATCACCCCGGCGACGCGCGCGCCAGATTCTTCTTTGTCGCTCTCACCGGGCGGAAGTGCTGCGCTTTCCTTCCCGTCACTCAAGCCAGCAGTCCGCTTGGCCACTCTTGCTGGAGCAGACAACGCACAACAGGCAGCAGCAACTGAGAGCGCCGTACCGTGGTCAGGTGCTGGACCCCAGGACGGTCATCCAGCCTCGGAAACGGCGTTTCGTGTGCGACATGTCGGAAGCGGAGCGTGTTGCGTCAAGTTTTGACACCGCCCATGGCTCCATCCTTCTTCCCAGTTGGCGCCCGGGGAACAACGGAGCAGTTCTTTACCGATGGCGTCGCGGCGCGGGGCCTTTGTTGAGCAGTTTGCATTAGCACACCGGGGAGCACAAGCGGTACGCGCGCCACAGGAGTCGCGTTGCGGAGAGGAATCGGAGTAGGTGCTCCGAGGATCAACTCAGTGCAAACAAGTTGGCGTCAGGTGCTCCTTCGCGTGGCTTGGCTTGTTGTATTTCCTGAACTCTTCAGTCTTTATCATCTTTTATAAATTTTCTTGTGCCGTGCTAATTATTGCTCGAAACAAAAGAAGACAGTGACAGAACCTTCTATCTCGTATTGCATGCGTCAGCAACTCTTCATCAAATGTAGTTTTGAATGAGTGAATGACTTACCCAACTGACGGCGTTATTGGAGAATTAGCAACAACTGTTGGAGGTCGAGAGACGAGGTCCTCCCTCTTCTGCGAAGCAAGGAAGTGTTATGCATAGGGCTGCGGTTGGATAAAACATGCGAAGTTTTGGGGGCTGGTGTGCTGGCCTCAGGCTAGGAACGACTTTTTTACCATGTGCTTGTACAACAAACGACGTATCACGTGATTGCGTCGTCCTAGGGCGGAGGGATCCCAGAAAGAGGCACAACGGATTTTGGCCGTATGCCAGACATTTACTTACGGAAGTGGCGATTAATTTCTCCGGCTCGGCATGATACTATACAGTCTCCGCATTTCTCTGCAGTTCTACAGGTGTCACAGATGGTACAACACCCACTGACGGGGCGATCCGAAGTTTCCATGTCATGAGGTATGAAAATACAGAACGCTGATGGCTCGCGCTTTGATCCCGAATTATTGCGTAGAGTGTTAATATCAAGTAGCCACTTTCTCAAAAACGATCTCTGTACCACTTGAAGCCGTCGAAGCATCGATAGTCGGTTCCGATATTTTTGTCAGTGATCAATTTATTTCGTAGGAGATTCCGTATAATTCGAGCAAGAGCAACATACATTGTGATGTGCGAAGATATTCAGCATGAGCGAGAGACTGGCGTTGATCCGCTACACAACGTGAACGTGTTTCCAGATCTTACCTCACCGTTCAGCAATCGGCCCATGACGTGGCGTTCACGACCGTGACAAAGAGCTGCGCTGCAATGCCCGGCTTCGTTTGAAAGAGATCCGATTTACTACCATCGAACGGCATACTTACAACACCGGCTCTGTCCTTATCGTTTTGTGTTTTATTCTGATGCGGTGCACAACTTCGCTTTTTTAACTGTGATTCTCATTTCTGATACAAAAGAAACCCGTGCTTGCCAACCGAAAAATCTACAGTCCTTCCCCTTTCCATCGAAAAACAACGGTAGTTTTTGCTCACTACTCGTAAATTCGGCTACTTGTAGCTACACTGTAAGAAGAGTTTGGTTATACACTGAATTTTCGCACCACAAACCAATCAAGATGGCAAAGGCAATGAAGGCAAGCAACGCGATGAAAAAGGCCATGAAGGTATCCAATTTCAAAAAACGCACTTACGACCCCCGCCGACTCGTATTTCGTATTTTGCATGGCCAGGACGAGTGCTCTGTGTGACACTTTGTCCTCCCAAGGGTCATTTTCTACTTGGCTTATCTGTCAGCAGGAGGAGAAAGGCAATTCATGACTCGTCCATCTCAACATGTATAATTTCGACCGGACTGCAAATGCATATCCAGTGAATATGGACCTGCATATCATTTAGAAAATTGGCAGAACTGCTTGGTAACGCGGGGGTCGGTAGTAAGCTTTTCCGTGGGATAGCTGGCCAGCAAGCCGAAAGCGATGAAATCGTCTGGTAAATCCAAGGCCATGAAGTCTTCGTCCTTGAAGAAGGGCGGTAAGGTATCTTGGGGAAAAATCCGCCCTCTCGCCGTCGAAAAATTGTCATGCAGAGTTGTGTAGTGCAGAGTCAGTACTGCGCGGTAGTACAACGGTAGTCAAATGTCACAGAAAGGAGAGGGGGATTTTTGCTCTCCATACAAGGCCATGAAGAAGAGCTCTGCTATGAAGAAGAGCTCTTCCATGAAAGCTGTTATGAAGAAGAGTTCCATGAAGGCGGCGATGAAATCTATGAAGAAGGAGGCACCAGCTGCACCTGCGGCCGCGTAAATCAGGATGAAAGTGATCCCCTTTTTTGACAGGTATATGGTGTTTTCTTTTTTTCAACAACTGCAGAATCATTTAGGAGTGGTTTGTCCACAACTACAGAATCATTTACCTTCTGAGAATTACACTGCAGTATGTGGGAGGCTTTTCCGCTCACCTTGAGAAGCGCGCGCGTCATTCTTTTTTTCAACAGCGCAACTGTTGTTGTGCTGGTAGCTAGTAGACTTTGCGGTCTGCTCCTTTTAAAGGTAAAGAAGACTCTTGCGAACTAGATCACAACAGAAGTAGACTTTTTGGAATCATATAGCCCTTTTTGCAGTCGGGCGATTTTATACGTTTGATTCACATGGTATTTTCAAACAAGTAATCGGCTTTTCATCTTCAGGTAACGACTAGAAGCTTCAGCAGGTGACGAGCACCAAGCGGGTTTGCTCCTGCCTACATCATTCTGTCCTTCGACGACCTGATCCTGAGCGGCTCGTGGCGCAGAGGTACAACAAGTTTTAGCCTTGTGCTTCTTGAGGTTTTGTCTCGATTTGTTGACTTCCTACACGATTTAGTAGAGCACGTTCCGCAGTTGCTGCGAGCGTTTTGGTAGTTTACGCTTATTTCCTCAAAGTGACACTTTTTACCTTCAGGTACTGCTACCGGCCAGGGACGCAGGAGTGATGTGGCCAGCGCAAATACACCACGGATCGCTGAAGCTTCAACTCGGGCTGGCAACTGCGAGCACGTGTCGAAATTGGAACTGCCTCTGTAAAAAGATGAACTCGAGTCATGCTTTTCCACTAGTACTGTATACCCTAGCTACCCACTCACTCTACTGACTGACTTTCATTGATAATAGTAGCGTCAACGTACAGCGATTGGTAATAGTAGCGTCAACAGCACTTGTTTCCTGCTTCTTTTACGAATTTCGAAATGTACAACTCCGCTTCTGCCTGTTGCTGAGCCTCAGAAGATTTTTCTTTGCGGAAAGAGTTATTCTTGGGGATGATTCAGTGCCTTTAATGAACCAACGAGAAACATTCGCCCGCTGACTCGAGAAAGGATTCAAGCGCGTGATCAGGCGAGCTTCTACCGCCGCGCCAGCGAGGCTGTATCAGAGAAAGCGTTCGCAAGTTCGTTGATACCCATTGGGTGTATGACAGTGCGATCCTCGGCGATCCATTCTGCATCAGGGATCAATCTTTTTTGCGTTTCGACACAACACACGTGCGCTCTTTTCCATAGCAGCGTCTCGCAGAAAATCGGTTGCTGATCATGTCAAAGTGCTGTCACATGAGTAAGGGAGTATTAGTCATCACGTGATAAAAATTGTAGTTGCTGGTGTAACAAGATGACTCCCTGTAGTACAGGAGTCGATGTAAAAGAGAGAGCCGACGCCTGGTCGCTTGTGTAAGAGGTAGATGTGAAGCATCACGTGTGCTGAAAACAAGATGTCGATCGCAAATCGGTTGCAGTCCATTCACCGAGGTGTGACTGCCGATAGTCATGCTTGCAGTGATATCCATGAGGACCAGCTACTTAGCTCTCACGTTTTGTCTCGACACTAGTGGCTCACCTGGGCGCGTCGCTTCGCTTGTGGCTGCGAACAGCCAGATAATTTTCCAAATGTTGCATGCTAAAAGAAACGCTTTTTATACGCGAGCAGTAAATCATTCTGCACTTACGCAAAACGTGAGAAGTATGTGCTGCCTGTTTTCCTAGAGCATAAGGCAAAAGCTGCTCGGAATATTGCCAGAGCTCGCGGCCACCGTGGATGCTCGACTTGCAGCTAAAACATGTAGTGGGAACACAGCGCTAGGGTCTTCGATCGGCGTTGCGCCGCCGCCACCACGATACTCAGCGACTAGTGCAGCATGGAAGCAAGATCATCATTCACTAGGGCGAGAAAAAGAAGCAACGCCTGTGACCGGACTACACGGCAGGAGCAAAAACCGCTCCTCTCACGAAGATCTTTCCTGGCAGATCGATCTTGCGCTCTGCTTGTCGGCGCTAGCGAAGACCGGTGCGGCAGCTTCCAGCCCCAAAGCGAGGAGTCTCTGGCGAGGAGCTCATGCATTCTGCGCGAAATTTGCACCGCTTTGCGCCACACGACAGCTTGCGCTACTGTGTCACGCGTTCGCCAGCGCACAGGAGAAGTGCCCAAGACTTTTTGTGTCGTGTGCTCACGACAAGAATAGAGAGAACAGCTACGCGGATGTGCAAGATGGGACAATGACTGCGCCCTCGTTTTTTGCCGTTGCGGCAGCGGAGATGGAATTCAGGGCGGATCTAAACGACATCGACTTTGCGACGCTGCTCAACGCCTGTTCAAAAGCTCGCGCCACAGACACTGACCCCGCGGTAGCGCAGACCCTCGCCCGGTTGGTGCAGCACCGCAAACCTCCCACTCTGGCCCGCGCTCTTGCGAACGCGTGCCACGCCATCGTGCGCCTCGAACTTCCGAACCAGCACCGAATATTGGATAAAGACTATGCAGACCGCATTTTGAGTCAGGCCCCGAGCTTCAGTCCGCAAGAGCAGGCAAACCTTTTGTTTGCGCTCGGTACGGTGGGCGCGCTCCCAAAGGCGGCAGCCAACGCGGAAGCAAATAGTCCAGGAGTCATCAGTCCCCGTGGTGCGAACAATGAGGTACTTCTACGTCGTAACAACATTTTTTCCAGCTTCGTTGTCACTTCCGATGCAGGTCATACTGGTGACGCAGCTGCGGAGCAAACGCTTCCGCCTGTTTTGGGAAACGTGACCACGCGGGGTGGCGAGTGCGGGACCAGCAGAAGTCGGCCAGCACCGACCCCTTCGTCGGACAAGCGAGTGGAAAAGATGCGACAGGCGCTATGCTTGGGCCCTGACGCCTGCGAGCCCGGTCGGCTGGCGACTGCCGTCAGGTTAATGGACTACCTTTGTTATCATGCGCACTTGTGTCGTCGAACTTCGCAGATCACGGGAAAGAGAAGCTTTTTCACTGATGCACGGATCGAAATTTTTCATTGGGTTGGAACCGAGTTTAGTATCGAACGCATCCACGCATGTCAAGGACTTCGGATGCGCACGCTTGCAGGATATCAATTTCCGATTTTTTGTTTTTCCGCGACAGCAATAGAATAAAGCGGAATCGGAATGATTCTTACTACATGGCACAGTATCTTCACGCATTTTTGAAGGCACAGATGTGGCAAGTTTGCATTGCTCCAGGCGGCCCACTCGACATCTTCACATTTGCACCAGTGCATAGACGCAAAACTCCGCTGCAGCTCTCGGATATGAAGCCCTTGGAGCTTGTGCAGGTGCTGTGTGCCTGCTCCAAGGTGATTCTGTACCTACCAGAGGTGCACAGCATTCTGTTTGCGTTGTTCCAGAAAGCCGTATCACCTGCAAAGAATTCCCGTGTCAATCTGGTGAAACATTTAAATGGATTTGTGACCCAGTCTGTAGTACGTGAAGACCTAAAATGCAGCATACACAGAGTACTACAAAGTGCTGTCCTTTTTGCAGATACATGTTTATTTGTAGAGGTTTTTGAATGAGTGTAGATTCGTCCGTGAAAAATCTTGCCGTGGCTGTGCAATCAAAAGGCATCATCTTTTTTAGAGCCCACTTTTAATGTTCCAGGACCAGCTCGATACGAGTAATGTGCCCGGCTGATAGAGCGAGGTGGTTATTGTGAGGAAAAATCCCCCTCCCCATACTACCAGAACGGGATACTTCTCAAAATTTGTGATGCTGATTTGAGGTCACAAACCGTCTCTGTATTGCAAGAAGACAAATAAAAAACCCCGCCGCGTTCTGCAGGCAATTTGTAATGCTGTCTGGCCTACAGAGAATGTCCCTACCTTGCTGAGGGCCTACGCCAAAACATCCTTAGTCCAGCTTTGCATCTGTCTGCAGTCCTCTACTGCAAGACAAATCCGATTTGTGTACACAAATCCCGCGTCACAGATTTCCATTTCGATATGGGGTGGGGGGATTTTTCCTTTTGATAGTGGTGCGGAAACTGACCGGGATGGAGCTCGCGATCGTGGCAAACGCGTTGACCCTATCAAATGCAAAAATGTCTGGGTCTGGAAAAGTGTAAATTTGTCATGCAGATTTTCCATGAGCCTGAGCCATGAGGTCTGGAATGCGGGACTTAGCATGAAAGACCCTGCGAGGTCTCTGCAATGCCTATCCTGCGTGACAAACTCCCTTCCATCTTGGTCAAAAGTGGACAGCTTTTGGCACTCACGCAATACAGATTTTTGCATGCTTCAGATTGACCATGACAAGTTGCCACCTTCCAGACCCAGACACTTTTGCACTTGATAGACCCGGTGGCCCAGCTCCAGTAAGCCCGAGATACTGCTCCAGTTTCTCAGCCCCTTCATTCGGGAGCGGGCAAGACTGTCCCCGGGTGCGACACCGCGGACCGCCGACCCGAGATCAACCCATGGTGGCGGGGACGCAAGAAGACCCGCGGAGACAAAATTTAACAGGAATGCGGTGCAGCCGCGCCACTGCGTACAGGTGGTACACGCCTACGCCAAAATTGGGGTTCAGGATGATGAAATCTTTGGGGACTACCTAACGGAAAATATGCACTGCAAAAGTACTATCGCACAACTAGTAGAACATGTTGTGGCAACAAGAACTTCTTTTAATGCAGGGAAGTACAACTTAGTTGTTATTGCCTCCAATTATTACCACGAGCGCGACACTTTTGCACAGGATAAAAAACGTTTTGCCGCAACTTGCCTTGCCCGCAACACCTTCGCGGTCGTCGGGTTGCAAAAAAGAGCGCGGCACTTCTGACGCAACGATCGAACCGCACAACCTTGCGCAAGTGGTGGTGGCGCTGACGAAGGTGGATCGTCCCCGGGAAGGGATATTTTCCCAGGTTTTTGGATCCGCGGGCGGGGATGGCTCGGGCGGCAGTAGTAGTTGCACATCAGCTAGTACCCGGTCTTTCTCCGATACGTCTCTCGTCGCGATGGCTTATGCGTTTCTTCATTTCAAGCTTTTTTCCGTGCGAAAAACGGTTTTCTTTCTGCGAGACATGGCTAGTCGCTCGATCAATTCCAGGAGCTTCACGCACCAGATGCAAACTCTGTTGCTAGCCTTGCGCTTTTTCAACCGGAAACAAACAGCAGAGCAGCTGCGGTCGACCGAACCGAGTTGCAGAAAAGGAGGAAGCTGCGGTCAGCAAGAACCGGCGGCAAGCGAAGGTAGGACGATGTTCAATACGCTACATTACCTGGGCACAGCCGACCTCGAGCATGCGGAGAAAATTGCCCACTTGACAGACATATCCATTGCAAATATCTTTGATGTCTGGGTCTACAAGGATCGAAATTTGTTGTCGTGTCACGGCCTCCTCTCAGGCACAGACAGCAAGCAGCTGCTGTCTCAATCGAAGATTACGGTTGTATAGAGTGATGAATCTCTCGCATGCGACGTAAGTTAGTACCACTAGGCACACCAACAGCGAGCCGCCTTCGCGGAGCCTGTGAAGATGCTTTGGCATCATGCATTGCGGATACGGACCTTCCAAATCCGTGAGGCGACACGAATTTTTGCATGACAAGCATCTGCACGACTTAGTTTCGCAACATGATAAGCATCTGCACTGTTACAGACCCAGGCGCGACTACCAGTTCTTGCAGTTGATAAGACAACTACATCGGCCCGGCAGCCGAAGACCCAGCGGCCGGAATTCAGAGCTCTGGAGCACAATTGGAAGTGGAAGAAGCGCTCAGTTTGTCACAGCTTCTTGTGGAACACGGGCTGCAGCTAGCGCGAGAAACGCCGATCGGGGGTTCGCCGTTTATTGTGGATCTCTTGTTACGTCCAAATGCAGCTATAACTTGACGTGAAAATAACGTGTCAGCCGCCGATTGCAGCGGGGAGACACTGATCGTCTTTGTTTCAAAGTAGTATAATATCATGAGTTGTACTGATGTCGTCTATACTTTCACGGTATCCGTTTTGCCGAGGTGATGCAGAACAGAGACAAAAAATGCACTCGTTGAAGAAAGCAAAATGCACTTGTGTCTAGAGTCATTCATCAAATGAATCCGGAATTTGAAATGAGCTATGCCCTTTACGCGACACGACTGGTCGGTGCTTTTAAACAGAAAGTTTCTTCAGCAAGACATCACATTTCGTATGATCCACTTTTTGATGCACTCTAGTGTTGCGATCAGCAGCCTTGACGTGCCGTCACGATTTACTGTCGTTTTTGCGTACGAGCGAATTTTGGAGCGACGCGCCTCATTCCCGCAGACTTTTTTGCGGTTTCGCAACGTACAAATTCACGATCGCTGGGGCTCGCAAGAATCGCGTTAGCTGCATAGTAGAAGCACGGTGAAGGAGCCGTTCAGTCCATTCTCGACCAACAGGAACTACTTGTACTCAGCTTGGGAATATCTTCTGTTGAACCGCGATTGGAATATTAAATGGTCATGCGGCATCGCAGCCTGTACCTCAACTCTGCATGGTGTGCTTGTCTTGCTGGTTACCTGGAAGCGCTTTTAGTGCACCGAGCCGGAGTCCTGTTTTGGCTGGCACAGGCTACGCTGCCCCACGCTTTTGGAGAAGACGCGACGGAATGCACCAATGCCGGCGTCGTGGGAGACGCGGGCAGCACGGTATCCTGTTTGAAAACGTCCCCATGATGCCGTACTTGTCATGTGACTTTATTTCCATCTGACGCTGCAGCAGGAACCGGGGCTGAATATGTTTTGATGCGACTCCCCATGAGGACATCGGCCGGTGTTTCGGAGAGGACAATTCGTCCTGTTTAGTGAACCAAAATTATAGTAGTTGTAGCTCTGTTAGTTTTACGTTGTTCCAATTGATTCAACAGTCTTTCCATATTATCATCTTCTTCGCAGTAGACCTCTGACCTTCATCGTGGGCGGGGCGTTTTTGACTAGCATACACTGGCACGCGAATCTACGTTGTGCACAACGTGACGCGTGCGCCACAAATCGAGAACATCGGCAAACAATCGACGGGCGGGTTAGCGAAGCTGGGCGCACGACAGGCGTTCGAAACAGGATTAGGCGATTTGCTGCAGAAGGCGTACCTCCGGCTAGAGCAGCTCGGGTGCGCACCGCCATCCGGCCACCTTGGGAAACCGACTGAGAAAAGTGCTAGTTTGCCGACCGGCAACGGCGGTGCACCGCTGCAGCGTTCTTGGGGCGTCGCGCCGAAACTGAGCATTCTTGGGACCGCGGGCACGCGCCTGATGGCCCCGGAGAAGAACGCAGCCCTCTGGAAGGAGCTCCGCGCGCTGATCCAAACCATGATGGTATCCTGAGGAAAAACGGGATCCACGCACCATAGTCAAGATGAGTGTACGTTTTGATAGTACACAAGGAAAGAAGTTTTGACTGTTGCGCATGAACAAAGATTCACAAAGCTACAACTAGCTTCTCGTCCCGATTAGAGCACGACAAATTCCCGGACAGCATTTTTAGAAAAAGCTCGTCAGGGGGCAGTGCATGGGATCCAATTTGGGCGTGCAAATATGCATGACGAGGACTCTGGGAGTAGTTGGGCACATTTTTACACCGGATAGATGCACCAGAAGAAACTGAAGTTCGAACTACTGCAGCTGCGGACCATATCGGGAGAGGAGGAGGGGCTGTTCGCCTTTTACTCGGTGAATTTGCTGCGCCACGCGGTTAGCCACGAGTTGCGGGCGTATCAAAATGAATGAAAAGCACCCTGCCTCCAGAAATGCATAAAAAAGTGGGGAGTGTTGCGGCGATTGATAATTTTGTTTCGGGATCTAGTCGAGTTGTGGCAGCGAGTTCTAGCGTTGCAAGCATCGCCTCTGCGGTGCTTTTCCGGGTCGACATAGATCTGCGCTATTGATGTGGGTCGAGAATTTGTGATGCTGCACCAGGCAAGGTGGCCAGGATTCCCATTGGGAGCTTTCGCAAGGCAAAGTTCATCTGGGGTTGGGGTGCCATTCACGGTGATAGGGCACGCGAGAAATTTCTTCACGGAGTGGTAGATCTGGGCGGAGTATCAAGCGTAAATATGTCTGGGTCCTCTGGGAGAGTGCATCCATTTGTCATGCAGGTTTTGCACCTGCAAAAACTCCACAGTCAGCATCGCATATTTGCATTGCATACGTAGCGTCGACGCAGGTGGCCGTGCCGATGCGGCACATAACCGAGGGCACAAAAATTACGGCGAAAGATGTTTTCATCCGCAGCTTTCTGGGCTACGGGACAAAGGAATTCCTCGGAAATGTATAAGTGCCGAGACAGTGCGTGCGCCTTTCTTGCTTTGACTAAAGTATGCCCGCCTCTTGCGACGAACGATTGAATCACGATAGTCAACAGTGTGTCGGTGCTGCATGTGGAGCATTGACCCCGCAGCTGGGTACATCATCATCATTTTGTAGAACAATGATTACTTACACCCAAAAACTCATCTTCGATTTACAGGCTCCTTCAAGTGTGAAAGATTCGTGCCAGTTTGGAAAGCCAGCGGCTGACTGTCAATCAGCAATCAAGGCCGTGTTTGCGGAGCGGCAGGTTTCGGGCACATCCTATGTGCGTGAGAATCTCTCGTACTTCGTATCAAAATGAAAAAACACGCGAGCGCCCCTGGAGTTCTTGGCGCGTGTTTGTAGACGTAAATACATGCAAATTTGAAGAGGTTTTCGTTTCAAAGGAGCGCCCGCGGCGCGAAAAAGGAGTTTGTAAAACTGTATTTGTGGTAGTTTTAGAATCTCGGGACGACCGCAAAGCCAGTAAGTGTTTCAGACTACTTACTTCGCATCGCAGCCGCTAGACTCGTCCACCTCTGGAGGTGTGTACAGGGACGGGTCGCTTTTTCACTTGGATGCTTTGGCAAGGGTGACCTAGCGCTGATTCAGGAGGGGGACCAGGCTATGGCGTCGGTGTACACGATTTCTGGGTACTACTTCGCCGCGCAGTTTCTTCGCTGGGTGGGCGCCCTACAAACGCCGGACGAGAAACTGAGCTTGGAGCAACTGGCCAAAGGCGCGAACGGTATGATAGGGATGTCAATTTTTCCATCGATGAGTTGTTGTGATGCGCTACAGCATTCTTATCATTTAGTGCCCTCTTCCAGGGAAAAGCCGCAAAGAAAAGGAGCTTCACTTTATTCACTAAATAACTCACTCATTCTGAATCATTTATTATCGACATTGCACTACAACAGCCGCTATCCTATGCAAAAATGTTTGGGTCTGGAAGGTTGCACACTTTCGCCATGCGTTTTGTGCATGACCCAGAAGCTCTGAGATGCCAGCAACAGCATCTCAGGTTTGCAGGAGGCATCTCAAAAATAGCTTCCCGGAAGGTTCTCTCCCGCGTAAAATTTCTTCAGACTTTGATGACAAGGTAACATGAGGGCCGCTTGCGCTGTGCATGCATCACAGATCATTTTTGCGCGATGTAAGATCATGCGCATCACAAGGTAGCATCCTTGAGAACGACCCAGAAATGATATTTTCTGTGGATAGCTGCCTGTGCGACTCCCGGCGAAGAGGTGCAAAAGAAATTTGAAAAGGAGGAGAAGGAGTTGGTGAAGCATACGACGCAGCTATCGTGAGTAAAAACGTCGTCCTCACCTGACCGCCAAGATGGGGGCGTGGCTGTTGCGCGTGACAAGCTTGAAGAACTCGCAGCGTCATCGAGGTTAGCTCGTGCAGCTGCATCACGTCAAATCGATCCCCTGCTTTTGTATCCTGATGATAGCATATGCATGACAAATTCTAACACACCAGTACGGAAAATCTCGTCAGGGACGAGCTGCGCGCGCATGAGAAACATCCTGGGCTGCATGCACCTGGGGACGGGGGAGTTTTTACACAGGATGGCAGCAGCAGCTGATGACAAGATGTTTTGACGTTTGCTACGCGGTCGTTTTACTCAAGGAGGTTTACCGATGGGCGGCGGACACACCAAAATTTCATTTCACCGACAACGTGGCCGGCAACTCTGTGGACTGGGCACTCGGCGCTTACATAAGTCTCGTACCGACTGTTTTTTTCAGAAGTGATTTGCACTTTTACACAAATTGATGCGGCAACAATTCGTCTCCTACAGAGTTCGTTGTCCAGTCTCGCATTTATGGAACAGAAGCTGAAGTGGCCAGTCGTGAGTAAGTACTCCCCGTTTATTGTCAGCCCTTTTCATGCTGGCTTCATGCATTTTTCGACTCAGACAGAAGTTTTTTTGCTCATATCTTCCGAAGAGGACCCTTTCAAATTTTGCAACTCTCTTCGATTTGAGAGAAGCATTGAGAAATTTGTGCAACGCAGGTAGCAAACGGAAGGGGATCATCTTCTTCCTCGGCAGCCGTCAACCCCTCGGACCGCGAGAGTTCGTCGTACTGGCTACCGAATTTATTCGCCGCCGCACTGGTGAGCGGTTTCTTGCTGTGGCTCTTTCGAAAAATGGTGTGGAAAACCGCGAGCGGGGAAGACCGGACGATGGGCAACAGTGTAAACGACATGAGCCAGTTATCCTGAGGAAAAATCTTCCCTCTACTCCACATTGAAAGCGGTCAAATGGTGCTTATTTGGGTACGTAAGTGCACAGTTTGCAAGGAAGAGCGACAGCAAGCACTTGACACTGCAAGATCAAGCTGGTTTGTGTAAGTGCACAAAGCGACGCGTGTCATATATCTTCCTGAGTAGCCTTCGCCTTTGTAGCGCAAGCGACATCTACTTCAGGCTTGATGATTATTTTCAGTGGATCTCTTTCGGCTAGCCCCTCTAAAGAGGCTAAAATAGAATAGAGTAATCCGCTCCCGAAGGCAAAGCATGAGCATCACCCCCCCCCCCCCTAAGTACTGTGAGGGGGCATTTTTTCTCTCAACGCCAGTTCTCAAGTAAGGATATCGAAGCCGGATGGGACGACGAGCTTCGTGGGCTGAGCAGCAGCGGAACAAAAGAACTACCTGACTTGGTCGGAAATACTCTGGTACCAAACCGGAGCTATTAGCTGACTGCACGACCCGAGAGATGACTCGACTCCTGCGTCTTGGTGGGACAGAACTTGCACCTGTCGGATGTGTTGTAGGTCTTGATAAGCGGAAAAACCTTTTTTGTACTTACCCCGAGATAAACGTAAACCCTGATACGAACTTCGGGCCTTGGTATCCGCTTCTTCCAATGGAGGTACTTACTTACATGGGGGTCCGCCAGATCCCATTGAAGAGAGTGTCAATTCAATATAGTGGAATGTACAGATATTTGCACGCTTGTAGAGAACAAAGGTTTGTTTTCATTTGCTCCACTGGGCAAAGGGTTGTCTGTTCCAGAAATGAATCTCCGGATTTGGATGGATCTTCGATGTACCATATGAGCACGCAAAGCCCGATGTCGACGTAGTGCCCCAATCGATGTTGATCCTTCGCAGGCACCAGAAGATTTTTAGACGCAATGATATACGAAGGTTTTATTTCGATGCCTGTTTTTGAAAACGCTTGTTATGTCGCCGTAGTTTTGATTAATAGTCTGGCAGAACCAGCATCTTCATCATGACCAGCGATATCCCGGAGTTGTTATGGACGGCGGCCGCCTTAACAGCGGGGATCCAGATACCCCGAGTAAAAACGCAACCACCCCATAGTCAAAATTTGAAGTTTCTCTGTGCTTGAACTTGTTTAGTACAAAAACACACCACGACAAAGCTGGGAAATCAGCAAGGCAAGCCTAGAGTTTTTGGGACATTCGCATGACAAGCTTGGTGCTCTACTCTTGTCGTGCCTAGCTAGTTTAGCTGCGTCAGATGAAATCCGCTGCCTTATCCAGATAAGGGCACGATAACTTTTTTCTAAACGCGATGATAAATAAGGGTCTCCCATGCAGACCCGTGTGCGGAACGTTTTGGACATGCGGACGTGCACGACAAGTATGAGGTGGGTACGTTTTTACTTAGGATAGCAGGGCCTGGGTTTCTTGCACGGCTACTGGTTCCAAACGGAAGTTTTTTACGACGCGCTGGGCGGTATCAACAGTCTTTTTTTCGTCGGTCTTGCAGTCGTGCTGAACTACACCAGTTTCGGCAACAATGCGAATTTCTTCGATGAGAGTCGCAAGGTAAGTATTTCGGCGCTCTTCGCGGTTTCGCGCTTGTGGCTGCTCGCCTTTTTGGCGTGTACGATAAGGAAAAATCTCGCCGCCCCATGCTTCTGTGAAAAAGGAGACATAATGCGATGCGCGAGGACTTCTTGCCTACACAGAGGCAAATGCTATTTCTCTGGGTAGTGCAGTAGTTTCCTGTCATATTACGGTTGCACACACAAGAACAGCCCTCTTCCTCCATGCCAGACAGCAATAAAATCCGTGGTCGCAAAAAATCCATTCGACCTTTTAGTAGCGTGGGGCGGAAACATTTTTCCTTTTGGTAGCGTGGCGCGCGAAGGAGCGCAAGGGCGACGGCCGGTTTGACGAGCTGAAGCCGTACTTTTTCACCTTTCTGCTCGTTTGGATCATGCAGGGGGTGTGGTGCTACTGTGTCGCCCTGCCGCTGCTGGTGCTGACTGGAGTGAGGGGTGAGGCCGGAAAGTTGTCCTCGCCTGTCGACTACCTCTCCGTCATGTTCTTTCTGGTCGGGCTGGTGTGCGAAATCAGTAGCGACATCGTGAAGGCCTCCTGGGTGAAGGAGGGCCGCCCCGGCGGATTCTGTACCCGCGGCTTGTGGTACTACTCGCGACACCCCAACTATTTCGGGGAAATACTGATGTGGTGGAGCGCCTTCGGTTTGTGCATTCAGCCAATGATGGTCGATAGCGGGGTTACCGGTTACATGCTTCTAGCCGTGCTTTCACCTCTAATCACAACATTCTTGCTCCTCTGCGTGTCGGGCGTGCCGCTGGCCGAGGGGAAGCACTTGGAAAGATACCTGAAATACCCCGACTTCCCCGCCTATCGCAAACGGACCTCGTGTTTGGTCCCCATGCCGCCAGGGGTGTACGAAAGGATACCCAGCTTGCTGCAGCGGTTGCTTCTCTGCGAGTGGAAACGCTACGAATATGTGGAGCCAGCGGGCGCCAGTACTTCTAGGTGTAGAGGCGTTTGTCATTTGTCATTCTGATATTTTGTTAATTCGTTTCAGGGTGGAATTGAATTCAAGCTCTGTGCAGTCAATCACAACTCAATGGAGGTTGTGAGCAAACGACTATGTTGCGCATATGACTACATCATCATAATGACCTTCCAACAGGCGAAGAGAGCCACTTCTTGGAAGCTGAATTGAGTCTGCTTCGCACAACATCAGGCAGCACCCCGGGAGCCCTAAACCCAGCAAGCGCGGCAGCAGCGGCCCAAGAGGCAAGTCCCGGACCTCCGAGACCCGGCCCAGCGCAGTGAAAAAGCGTCCCAGCAGTGGCACCGCAAAGAAGCGACGCGGCGCTAGCGTGTCGGGAAAGAAATAGGTGTGAAGAGCCGCTGCCGACAACCATGAGTCTTGCCAGCGGGGCTGATACGGGAAGCGAGCGTGTCTCGTGATGCAGCTCTACTGAGCCCAAGGTGCTACTTATGACAGGACAGTGTGCGCCGCACAGTGCGTTCTTCTCGATGAAGCGTTGTACTAAAGCGCTACAGTGCAGCTGATTGGATAACTTGCGAAGATGTACAGAAAACAAAATCATCGCAAGTAGAGTGTGTTGCTGCAGCTTACGACGTATCGTGCAGAGGTAGCTGAAAAAAACTGCGAACAGCAGAAAGGATGGGCGCCATTGTTAAAAGAGGACACGACCGACCCGCTGCGTGGTTATTTCTCCCAGCGAATATATTGATGAAACCGGACCACGCATCTCTTGGCCGTTTCCGTTCGTGTTAGAACTGTCCAAGGACGACACTCTGACTGGAGCATCGGAATAAGAGAGAGTCGAGGTGATCGAGCAAATATAGCAGTGCTTAAGATGGTGCACAGAGGCATACTTGGTTGGAGCAGTGCCTGAGATGTACTACTGCGTTCTTGCTAGAATTAGGATCGTTTCCCTACGTAATTCCTGGTGTTGTCGATGAGAAGCATGGTCGAGTTTATTCTTGCGGAGGAAATAAGAATAACCAATGCATGCTCAGGTTTGATTAGACATCTTAGTGTTTCGTCAAGTTCGTGCAAATACGAATTGAATGTCCAGTACAATAGATGCAGAGCCCGTTAAAGGGAGCCGCTGTTTGTTTGTTTTTTTCAAGTGGTGATATAGACTTTTCAGAGGAATCAAAGCCAAACCACGACACGGTGCTTGAAAAAAGCTTATTGGGAAACCGTATCGATCGGCGCTTTTCTCCTCCTTGTCCATGTGTGTGTGTGTGTGCTCGCTAACATTTTTCATGACAGCACTCATGAATACTTGTAAATTTGGGAAGCTCAGGAAGTGGGTATGTATCGGGAAAAGTGTAGCCTTAATTTTGTAGTCTTATCGAAATGAAGACGCCGCCGGTCGTGCTGCCTGCGGACGTGCTACCTACGGAACAAACGGAGTCCGCAGAGATTTCTTTTGCGTTTCGCAAGCAGAACAGCGCCCGGTTTCTCGAGCGGTTCGCGCGGCTGTCTGAAAGTAATGGATGGGATATCTTTGCGGGTAGCGTCGAGGTTGACGCGAACGATACGGCTACTGGAGAATTCTTTTTACAGCGAAAGGCCGATTATGTGAATAAATCGCAGGAACAACTTCGATTGGGTGAACAACCTATCCCCAACGCAGACGAAAAAATCGCCGTTTGCCAAAGAGATGTCGAGTGGGTGTCGGCACTGTTTCCAGCAGACCCAAATGCAGCGTGCAGTGCTAGTAGGAGCGTGCCAGTCCTCCGTGAAGAGGTTAACCAGGACGAACCGAGCCTGGGGGAACATGGCACGTGGACGAAAATGGAAGAAAAGCCTGAAGTGGACACGGACCTGATTGCGGTGCAGAGCATGAAGCGTGTCAAAGATGATCCGCCGCAGTGGAGCATTGAAGTGCGGAGTCTCAACCAGGCCGGTCTGCTGGCCCATGTGTCCTCGATCATTAGCAACGCCGGCTTTGACATTCGGCGGGGGGTGTTTTCGAATGCGCGAGAGTCGGCTGTAGTTTCGTTTTTGTTCACCATCCAGCGCGACGAGCCCGGCAAAGGAGCCGACCCAGGAGGAGCCGTGACTTGGCACGTCGCCCAGAAGCCGAAAAAAAGCAGTCTGCAGGATATCGAGTTCAGCTTTCCGGCCTGCCGCAGCGTCTCCTCGGAAGCGCAGCCACTCCTGAGTGAGCGGGAGGGGAAGGTCTTTCAGATGAACACGTCACCCATCCCGGCGACAGAGTCAATTTGCGAGGCGGGTCGTGATCGAAGTTGTACTACTTCATCTGTTTTAATTGCAGAGAAAAACTATTCCGACACGACGATGAGAAGCAGTACGACTGCTGCGTCTAGCCGCGAGCTTTTGCCGCCCGCTTCTTGCGATGAGGTGGCAACCACGGCGGCAAGCAGCTTCTCTCGAGAGGAGGACCGGTTTCCACTGTCCGCCATTCTGCCCGCACGGCAGTCTGTCAGCTGCACGTCGGGGGGCGCTGCGCTCGGGAGCGGGAGCGTCGAGCCAGCCTCTGACCACGATTTTCCCGGTCTTGATGTGCTGGGCTATGATACTAGCAGTCAAGAGCAAAAAGGTTCTACCGAGCTGTTGACCAAGAAACCATCAATGCATCAGTTGCGGCGGCACCAGTCGAGCTTCGTGGTTGCGCAAACGCCAAATGCTGCGGGGGCCGCACCCACGGGATCAACATTTGCTTCTTCCTGTCGGGGTAGAACGGACAGTGGGGACCGCGATGCCATCGCATCAGAAGAAAACCCGGTCTGCACTTCCGATTGCTTTTTCCGCATCGTGCACAACGAGCAAGTGCTGTTGCAGCACGGGCAAGAGGTCACGACGACTGGGCCCCTCGTCCAGGAGGACAGCTTAACCGGCAGCAGGGCGACTGGGTACAATTTCCACGACGACCCGCAGGGGGAGGAGCGAAATTACGTAAAAGGTGTGCACGAAAAGGCTGAGTATCTGGTTCAGATGAATTGTTGCTCGACGGAGCTGCAGCCACGCGGTGATCCGTTCACCGAAGCGACGGCTCCACAGCGTGAAGCGAATAGCACTGGTTGCGTCACAACCTCCACTAGTCTGGTGATCGATGGCGATAGAGAAAGGCAGCGTCAGGAGTTGTTGAACTACAACCAGAACAAGGATATAATTGATCCGCCGCTGCGGCTCTGCAAAACCAACAGCACGCCTCTGTACGATAATTATCCGGCGACCCAGGAAGTGCTGCAGCAAGAAGCCGGTGCCACCTCGCGGGCGAACAAAATGCGGACGCATTCCGACTACTGCAATGCCCGCGGAACGCCACCGCTGACGGCTGAGCAGCGCGGCAGCTCCCGATTCGATACCGTGGTGATGCGGGGTAGTTCATCTTCATCTTCCGCGTCGCCTCTGCCCCAGCCGGCCGGAGTAGCCGAGCCCGCCGGGGGGCCGGGCTGGCAACTGGGGCAGATGAGCCCGTTAGCGGAGCAGCTGTCGCGCAGCTACACCTCGCGGAGTCCGTCCGCTATGCTGGGCTCACTGAGCCGAAACTCCTCCTGGATCTGGAACAACGCCACGCCACAGTCCACCGGGTCTAGTCGGGGGGAAGAGGACGACGCAGAATTCGACATGCGCGTCACGATCGAGGGGGTTTCCCAGGTGCTGCACTTGAGCAGCACCACCGGGATTAATAACGCGATGAATCCTACTGGTACTATAACGGCATCTTCAACTGGGGGAGCAGGAGCTGCCGCCGCGTGCTGGGGAGGCGATTCCATATTTATCGGAGAGGGCTCTTGTCGTATGAGCCCCAAGCTGCAGGAGGATGAAGAGCGGGACGGCGAGCTGCGCATCCCGGGGATCGGGGAAACAGGACCACATGGCGTCCGGGGTTCTGTTACCTCGGTAGTTTCACGCGACGCAGTTATTTCTCACGCGAGCTTGTTCGCCGGACACATCAGCGGAGCCTGTGTTGCTACGGTCGATGACGACGGTCCGCCTACAAGAGACGCCTTGCTCTTATTTCCAGAACTCGACGGAAGTCACGAGGCGGGGCAAGAAAGAAGTCGGAAGGCAAGTAACGGCACCAGCAGGAGTAGAGACACCCTGGTGGTTCAGAGTCTGGGCGCAACCTCGGAGGTGGAGGTGACATCAGCAGGACTTGATGGCCAAGGGTACAACGATGAGCCTCCCACACTTCGCACCGGGAGGGCTTCGCGGCTGCAGCGAGAACGAAGTGCGCCAAACTGTAATAATATATCACACGTAAAAGTTGAAGCACCAGGAAAGAAAAAGATGTCTGTGTGTTAGAGCTTGTAGTTTCATGAAAAAGGAGGAGCAGCTTCCGCCTGTTCAGCATGACCCACTTTTAGCTGATGATCGCTATCACTACGTATGACAAACTGCATTTGCATGACAGGACATCTCCTGTCTCGCGGTCTCCGACCGCAATATAGCCAGCCACTGTCCCCAAGTAGGACTGAGGATTGTTGCGCTTTCAGTTGTAAATAGCAGGACTTATGAATTAGGCACAGGACGATATGAACAGCGTAAAAGTACTATTTTTGTTCTGATAGGCGGGGTGCGCTTTCGCTTTTCTGCGCGATAATATATTCGTGGTGAACAAGAAGCGCCAGCGCAGGTGTTCGGCCGGGAGAGCGACCTTGCAGTAGAAAGGCGGAAGGCGAGCACCTCCAGCCTTCTTCGCGACGTGAGCCAGAAGGTGCGCGGCCGGGGTGATTCTTGTGTGAGCCTGGCTCAGTTGAGCGGCCCGACACGAGAGCGCGCGGCTTCTTCGAGCACGTGCTTCCGCAACATTGCCAATTCCCGTTGCCGCCGCATTTTTCTCGCTCCGACCACGCAGAATGTGAACGAGTTGGCAGCGGCGGAACTGTACAATAACCTGGACTTCTCAGCCACATCGGGCGTAAACGCGCGCGTGTCCACCGGGCTGGCGTCCCTTGCGGTTGACCAACAAGGGGAACACGTGAGCCTGGACTTTGACGGCAGTCTGGCCTGGCGAGAAGAAATCATGCAAAAAGCCAAGCCAACAACTCCAGCTCCACAGGATCAGTTTTGCAGCTCCTCCGCGCCACTCCATCCGCTCGCGGGAACGTGTATGGGAGTGTCAGGATTGAAATCCTCAAAGTTGAAATAATTCCTCATGCAGAAATTGCAAGGCATGAAGTGCCTCTCTTGCAGGGATTGCAAATGAGGCCGATTGTAAGCCTGTTTCGGGTTTGGAATAGAGCTCCTAAAGTAGCATGACAAAAGGCGCCTTCTGCCCCTAAACAGCATGACAAACTGGTTTTAGACGGTGCCGAAATTTGTCATGCGCCGCTGGGAAATTGGGCGTCCAGCTGGTATCGATTTTATGCATTACAAATAATTTGTGAAAGTAAGCAAAAGGCGGCGTAAAGTTGGATGTGCCCGGGGATGATGGTGATGGCTTCGGTCCGCCTGACTCCGCGACCTGGTGGCCGAACCACGTGCGGTTCGGTGCCCTTACAGGTTGTGTAGTGGTTTCGGTCGGTTTAGCATTACAAATAATTTCAACTTTGACGATTTCAATCCTGACACTCCCATAACGTGCAGCAAAGGCGGAAGTAGCAGTAGCAGCTCCAGGGCACCGTCGTTGGGTGGAGGGTTGGAGGACCTAGGCCATGTTAGAACAGCACGAAAAGCCTCGGCGACGTCGCACCAAGTAGAGGACGAGAGGAAGCAGTCGGACCACTCCTCCTACCCTCGTTCATCTTTGCAACCTGATACTATTGCAGTCGAGGCCCGGAGTCGAGCCCCCACCACCACGCGCGTCGAGTTCCATAACGGCGATGTGTACACCGGCGAGGTGGTGAACGAGCAGCGTCACGGCGTGGGTGAGTACGAGTACGGTCCGGAAGAGAAGCAGAGGAAGAAATACGAGGGCGAGTGGCGGCAGAACCTGAAAGCGGGGCAAGGAATTTTGTACTGGCACAACGGCGACTGCTACGTGGGAAACTGGCAGCAAAACAAGCGGCATGGGTGCGGCGTATTCCTGTCTTCTTGCGGCAGCGGGCCGCAGAGCCTTCCGGCCTACAAGTACGAGGGGCAGTGGGCGGCAGACGCGCAGAATGGGCTGGGTATGGAGGAAACCCATTTCGGCACCTACTTTGGAAATTTCGTGCAGGGCCGCCGGCAGGGACTGGGGGTCGAGCGCGTGCTGTATAGTACTGGTCGGGACGAGCAGCAAGGTGGAGGAGAAAATAACCCTGGTGGTCCACGACCTCCAACGGAATTGTTAAATAATTCCGCATCAACAAGAAATAACGCACCAGCTGACAAACCCCCTCCACCGCAAGGACCGCCGAGCAGTCCAACGGGGTTTTACCTCGTGGAAGATGGGGTGCGGACACCTTGTGCACTAAACTCGCTGACGGACCTGTTTCGGTACCTGGGCTTCGATCTGGATCACGTTCGTGAGTATCTGGACATCGAGCATGACCAAGCCCTACCGCCATACTATCTACTGGAAACCCTGCGAATTCCGAGCTCGTGCAGTAATTCTTCGATTTTATGTTGGTTCTGTATATTACCGTTTTGGTTTTATCAAGCTTGTGCTTTGTTGTACTAGATGCTTCACGTATAATGCTTATGCAACCACTTTTCCTACGCCTCTCGTCGTCCTGCGCACAGCAAACCACGTTAGATTTTTTCCACCCTTCACCTTTTCTGCAGGCACGGCCCTCCAGCGCTATCTCTTCAAGCGGGTCGTGCGTATGATGGCTGAATATCAACGCGCCGTGTCTCACTCTTTGACGATGCAGCGGGCAATTAGTGGCGAGTATCCCGTGTAAAAGCGTCCCCACCCACCAAGAGTCAAGATGGAAACTGTGCAACACAAGTCTAGAAGTTTTGGGAGTCAGCACGCGTGACAAGTCTTTTCTATCTGTAGTGTAGGCCAGGCCAACAAGGACAGCCGTGGATCACAGAGACGTCTGCTTATCGTGTTTTATAGATACAGCATTTCAAATTGTTCCCAAACGGGACTAGTGCCTCATTTCATAAAGATACAAATCTGTGTGACAAAAAGAAACAATGAATTTTCTGGTAGGAACGTTTTTCCTCAGGATAACGGGGGCGCGGCCTACCAGCCCAAGGTGCCACCAGGGATCAAGCGCATTCGGCAGGATGAAATCGAAAAGTTGGATTTTATATCCAAGGGCGGGTTCGGAGCGGTGTACAAGGGTCTTTGGAGGCGGAAAGCTGCAACCTCTCCGTACTGCCCTCCGACGGCGTTGGTACTACCTGACAAGTGTGTAGTAGAAGTTGATCACGACGAAAATAAAATCGGAGGCCAGGCAAGAAGAACAAGCCCGGGAACATCAACAGTGGAAATAAACAGAACCGCTGCCGGAGGTTCATCAACATCAAGCGTGTCCGTACCGCCGAACGGCAGTCGAGCAGGTCTGAGAACTGAGTCGAGCAGAAACCACAAAAGCACGGCAGGGGAGAGCCGGTCCGATTCGCGACAGCAGTTTTCATCGCCTAAAACGGAGCAAAAGGTGGACTGCGGCAGCGGGGCCATCAGATTTGATGGAGCAGCGACTTCATCATCATCCTCCGAAACGGTTGCTTGTGCGACGTGCAGCTCCGGAATAATTGAGCGCTTTCTGACAAAGTTATCGGATCTTCGAGCTGGCGTGATGAGCAAGGCGGGAGGAGACGAGAAGCAACATCACGATGCAGAGATGATCGGGCAGCGGCCCGGCAGCGTAGTGCAGTCGGTCACGACGACGCGACCGGTGGCGCTGAAGCAAATCATGTCCCTGGTGCCAGCGGCCGCTGGCAGAGCGAGGGAGCACTACCGGCAGCAAAACAGCAAAGCCAGAGGAGCGGGCGAGTTGAGCTGGAGCAAAGTGGAAGAGGTCCGCGTCCGGAAGGAATTTTTGAAAGAAGTGACCGTGCTGCAAGCGGTCCGACACCCGAATGTGGTGGAGTTTCTGGGTGTTTGCCACCTGGCGGACAACTCGGGGGAAGATTTTTTGGTAGTGGAATACTGCCCCTTCACGCTTTTCAACGCCATTCACCGAGCGGCGGGCGGTACTAATTCGTACAGCTTCGCGCTGAATCAAGTGGACTGCTCGAGCTGCTGGGATCCGATTCTAGACCGCTACTTGAGGGCGCCGAGACATCATCATGCCCGCGGCAAAGACGGTGCTGGAATGAAGAACGTCTCTGAAGAAACGATGACCAGGAAGAAGGCGGTAAAAACATCAAGCGAAAAGCATTTCTACACCAACGACCTCCGTGCGAACAAGCGGCGCATTTTTGGCGTCGGCCAGGACGTGGCGGAAGCGTGCGTGTACCTACACTCCCAGGGAATAATTCACGCTGACTTGAAATCGCCAAACGTGCTTTTATATGCACAGGAAATTATATCGATCTGGGCGTGGAAGAAGACAGGCCATTGTCATGCTTGTCTCAGCTGCGCAACATGACCGTGCCCGTGAGCAGTGTTATGCATGAGCAGGAAAAAAGCCTTCTGGTCCTGCCTGTCGTGCCACAGCGCCGATATCCATGCGGTGGAAATAGACGAAAGGCATAGGAGCTCAAAAACTTCTCTAACTTCGCTGCGTGGTGCAGTTTCTGCCCGTAGTTCGCAGGACGAGACTAGCATCACAACATTCGTTCCCGACCTGGGTCGATTTTTTGCGATCCATGTTTTGACGCAGGAGTTCACAGCAAAAGTGTGCGACTTCGGGCACGCGGCCATTCGAAACAATCCGCGCGCGCACCACAAGCTTGGGACGCCGCATTGGGCCGCTCCAGAAGCACTGCGCGGAGAATGCATCGGGTATAGATATAGTTAGTACTAGTTAGTAGAGAACAAGTACTTATCTCCGCAATCTTTTCACCAAAAGATCATCCTTTGTTCTCGTTAATCTTAAGAAGGTGATAAAATTTTCACTCTACGTTCGACTATCGATAGACGCAAGATCTGCTTTTTCCGACCCAGAATCCGCATCAGTCAAGATACATTGTCCGTGTAGGTTCCCTTCTGACGTGTGGAGTGTCGGCGTAATTTTTTGGGAGATGTTGCATCGCAGCGTTCCTTTCCGTGGGCACAGTTTTGGAAGCGTGATCGCGGCAGTTGGGTGGGGCCGCGTTGGACCAGTGTACGATACTGGCGGCCCGGGGCGGAATCCTTCCGAGCGCATTTGTCTTGATCTCCAAACCAAAATTCTTCTCGATGCGTGTCTCCAGGTCGTATTCTACAGAAAAGCACACTCATACTAATTTTTACCAGAACTCCTGTAGGAACAATTTTGTGCTGCTAAATTGGAGGCATCGCTGATGAAAATGACTGAGCGGAGACCACAAGAGGGGCAACAAGTTTCTTGCATGAAGAATGCAGTTTGTAGTCCGGTTGAGAAATAACTTTTACTATGGGCGTGCTTTTCTGTAGGATTGGTCGAGGCCGCCGACCGGGCCAGCATTGACGAGCTTGCTGCGATGTTTTCCGCCGTCTTGGACGGAGGAGAATCAGAAGAGGCTTCCCCGGTCGCAGAAGCAGCTGCTCAATAGATGAACGACGCAAGGAAAAAACGCTCTCCTGTAGTGTGGGGCAGGATTGTAGCAGACAAGTATCGCGAAGGTGATCAATTTTCAAGCCACTTGTGGCCGATTTTTACAGCGGCTTGCGGCTGACCGGGCCACAGAACAAATCGCATGAAAAGGAGTTTTTCAACTTGTGTGTATAGAATCTGTCTACTAGTACGACTTTTTCAACAACAATCGCTAGTGTTATATCGGAGTGGTTTTAATACCGGAGGAATCTCGAATATTTTCAGTCAGTCTACTTTTTTGTCATGCCAAGTTAAGCGAAAAGTCCAAATGTGAAAGAATATTGCACCTACGGAGAAGATCCCATAACGCATTCATCCGCAGTGTGTCAGATTAGCGCAAGATTGATCGGAGTTAGGTACTTATTTCATAGAGGAGTTTTTTGCATAAAATCCGCATATTGTCCGGGATCGTGGCAAGCGATTCTGAGTCCTGCTACGAACGAATGACCAAACGTAAGCGTCTTACACGAAAAAAATAAGCCGTTTGGAATGTTTTTGTACGTAAAACTTTTTTCTGCCTAGCAGAAGCACGCAGTAGCTCCTACCCAGCAGTGCGTATCCAACGAAAAAACTTCTTCACTGTGATGATGCTGCAGGTCCTCTCGCGCTTTCGTCTCCGCAGCGCGAGACCCTCACAGTGGGTCGTTGCTCCTTTTCACGAATGATTAAAGAAGAGAGCGTTGGCAGTGCCGTGGTGCAAGAAGAGTCACGCGGTCGTTGTTGGAACGAGAGACGAGTACTTCTTACTACTTAGGCGAGAGGCATAACTACCTGAGAGCAAGTAGCCAGGGGGCACAATATCAGTAGATTGCATCATCGTTGAGTCGGACGCGTTTTTTCAGAATTTTCCACGACGAGTTCTGTGCCGCCACTCAGCTCTGCAAAATCAAAAATCAATCTTGACCACCATCTGCTAATACAAGAAGTGGTCTAGTTCTATCACATGTGGTCTTTGAAGATGTCAGAGAGTTTTTGAATAAATGGCAATATAGAACAAGTCCCCCTAGTACTGTCGCATTGAAGATGGGAAACTTGTGCATACGAGCGCCCGGAAGCGGCGTTGCAGGGGCGAGGACTGCAAACCCAACACCCATTGAGGTATTGCGACAGGATATCACGAGAAAAAAGTGTTACAGTGACACATTTGTTGGAGTTTCTGCATCACAAATTTTCTCTGTCTGGCACAGAAAACTTGTAATGCGAAGATCATAAGGGAAAATACGTAGGAGACGAGGCTCGCAAGCATTTCCTGCATGACAAAAGTTGTCTGTCTTGCGGCTTCTGCAACGCAATGTAACACTTTTTTTTTGCGATACAGGAAAACACGCTGTTGCAGGAGGCGGTGAAAGACTCTCCCATCAATATTCTCCAGAAAACGTGAAGCACACCCATATAGTACCAGAAAGAAAATAGCCAGGTGGTTTCAGAATCACAAGAAAAAAATTTTCGCTGTTCAGTATGGCAAACTTCTTGGAGTTCTTTTCTCCCAGGACTGAGTGGTACTTAGCAGCAACACCAAGAAATCGATTTTTTTCTGTTAACTTGTGGGTGTGCTTTTTCTTTTCTATGGGATAGCTAAGCAAGGCAGCAAGCAAGCGGTTGAGTGTGCTGTCGGGGGTCTGGAAGACGGCCAAGAGGATGGACGATTTAATATCCTGCGGAAAAACCGACACCGATAGTACCCTACAGTCAAGACGTGAACGTCGCGTACACAATTTACGAAGTTCTGGCTGTTGCGCGTGACAGTGTAATGATCCGATGGTTAGCTAGTGTCAGAGGCGCATGACGAAATGGATCATCCTATGTGGGTCACTAGATAAGTTTTAGTCACAAATTTCATTCAAAACCCGTCGACGAGAAAATACCTCCGCTCATGGGCGGGCTACGCTTGAGAGAGATTCTGGACATACACATTTACATTTGTAGATCAGTCTTGGGTTGGTACGTTTTTGCCCAGTATAGTGAACAACAAGACTGCAGCATCACGGGAGGAGCCGCCTCCGCCGGTAGTAGAGCCGCCAGGGTTTCTGATCGGTATATTCGAACGTGGCTGTAGTATGTAATACTAATGTATGATGCGCGGTATCCACGCCATGATGATAGTGATACTCCGTAGCTTCTACTGGCTTGCAGTACTAGACATGAAAACAGATTATTGGAGAGCGCTGTCCACTGTACATCAAGAACGCTGTGGATCGTGACTTAAAAATTCCTTCAAACTCACATCCGCAGCTACACCGCCCGGCGGGATTGCAAGCCCAGTGGCACAGTCGCCCATGCCCTCGGTGTCGGGAGATGAGGCTGTAACACTATCCTGTGCAAAAGTATCGTACTCGAATTAATTCTAATTGCAAATACGCATGACAAACCTTCTTCCGAAGGTAAAACAGCATGACAAATTCCATTTTTCCTTCTACAAAAATTCGTCATGCAACTCCTACTAGTACGATACTTTTGCAACGCATAAACACAGGCCACGAGCAACATCGGTATAGAAGTATCCGGCTTCCCGTTTTGGGGGGTTGTGCGAGATGAAGAATATGGGTAGCTTCGTGCTCATGCAAATCATGAAGCGTTGTAGTTGTAAGTACTACCGCTCTATCTTTATGCATATCAAATGCGGTCCGTCGATGATTGTGATGAAACTACAGGGTTTGTTCGCAGCTCGGTGATATGAATCTGAGTAGAAGTCCGACGTAGCAATTTACCTATTATCGCAGGCGAACAATCGGCCTCGGCATCGGAAAAGGCTACCAGTTCAGCCGCCGCCAGGCCCGGGCACAATGACCTCGTAAATGACAGTGGCGCGGCGACGCTCTCGAACAAACCAGATGGTTCCGGAGCAATAAATGCACAATCATCATCCAGCGGGCAGCTGGAAGAAAGTGGTCATCTGTCGAGCCAGAAAGTACTCGGTGGAATTGGGGAAGAAATATCGCAACGTATCTGGTGTAAAAACGTCGGGGTCCACGACAACACGAGCTGTTCGTCAAGAAAAAAAATCCAAAACTGAAGATAGAGAATGCTTCTCATGGCTGTGCGCATTCGAAACGTTATTTTGCTAGGTATGCATATGGGGCGGGGACGACGTTTTGACACAGGATGCAACGGATTGAAGAGCCAAAACTGGACGACGACGACCGGAGAGCACGACCTGGGATGGAACCTACAGGGAATGACGAGGAGGGGAAAATGGTGAATGGCGTCAAAATATGAAGTCGTGCAAATATTGTGTTTTTGGAAAGGCGCAATTGCTGATGGTCTCTGTCAGGTCCAAGAATCTCTCATGCGTGAGTAGTGAGAGCGTTGAGTGAGACGGTTTCTTATGCTGAATAGATCTAGCACCTGGTGTCGTGATCCTGCTAGGCTCTGCATTCCAGACCGTCCTCTGGGCCATGCAAAAAATGCTGCGCGTCAACAGACTCTGCACTTCGCGTCACCTAGTAGACATAGTTACATTTGCATGGCATAGAAAACCACGACAACGATCACCTCCAGTATCAACTGCAAATATGTCTGGGTCTGGAAGATTGGTAGGTTTGTCATGCATGTTTTCTATGACCCACGCGGTCTGGCATGCACGGCCTAGCATGACAGATTCTGTGAGAGTTCTATCATGCCTATCCTGCACGAGAAACTGCCTCTCGATTAGGTGAAAAGTGGACAACTTATTTTGGTAATCCTGCAACACAGATTTTTACATGATTCAGATTTAGCATGACAAATTACACTCTCGCAGACCCAGACATTTTTACATTTGATATCCAGTGGCGCGGAGCAAAGCGATGGCGGGGTCGGCCAGGAGGTTTCTGCGGAACCCGGTACATCTATCAAAACGAAAAATCGCCCCTCCCCATATCGAAAACGAAGTTTGTGATGCTGTATTTGAGTACACAAATCGACTTGTAATGCTAGGAGGCCAAGAGACGCAGCGGTGGCCTCGTTTGCAGGCAATTGGTCATGCTGCTTCCCACTTCCAGCCGCCCCCTGTCATGCTGAAGATGCAAGGCTTTCCCACGCCAACCAGCACTACAGTCCGCATCTTTTCCCTTCTAGCATGACAGAGCTGATTTGTGACCACAAATCTGCACCACAAATCTCTAGTTTGAGTATGGGGTGGGGGGATTTTTCATTTTGATAACATCGCTGCCATCGGCCGCGACAAAAGAAGGAGAGGCAGCCGCGCCAGCGGGCGACGGCGCGCAGCCGCTTGTCTTCAAGTGTAGCATCATGTCGGTGGCTTCCGTGATGGCGTAATTAATTTAAATTTGCTTCGACATGTTGATGACATTGATTTCCTTGTAGCAAGAACCAGGAGATGAAACGCCACTTACTTTCATTCTTTCCGCAGGGTGGCAAGCGCTAGTATTTATCAGTACCAATTTTTACGACCACTTACCGCATTCGTCGAAGACGCAATGTGTTTATTCGGGGGCTCTTTAGGGGATTACAATGTTTTATTTTTTATTTTTTTGTAAACTCAAACAGGTACGATACGCAAGTTGGTCAGGGCGTGAACGATATCAAGTGCAAATATGTGTGGGTCTGAAAGACTGCCAGGTTTGTCTGGCCGGTTCTGCATGTCGTCCAAGAGGAATGCGAGTCCTCTACTTAGCATCGCGAGCTTTCTACTTGATAGGATCTGTGTATTTCCATTCCGTATGGGAGACAATGTCGTTTTGGGACGCCTCTTGCTGGTAATTCAGTACGGATTTATCTTGTGTTATCAATCCTCCTCGACCAGCCTTCGCAGCACAGCCTCGGTAGAAGTTCCATGCAGACCTAGACATGGTTTATGCAATGCATAGACGACCTGCACATCGTGCCCGATGAGGAGAGTTCGGACAGCGAGGAGTTCTTTCAGGACGACGACGAAAGTAGCGAATCGAAATCCGAGTCGAAAGCAGGGGTCTCGGCAACGGAAAACGGCAACAAGAAAGACGATGAGCTCGACGAGGACAACGTGACGACCGCATTGTTGCTATCCTGAGTAAAAACGTACCCACACCAGAGTTGTAATGCAGATTTGCAAAGACAGGAACATTTGTAATGCGCATCCACATGAGAGCCATTTTCAATCGTGTTTTGGAATTTGTGATGCTGTAAACAGGATGAGCAGATGAATCTGTGACGCGGCTGCACTTGCTAACCTGCACTACACTGCAGAGTGCAACTTGTCATGCGTGACTCACAAAACTCCTAGGCTTGTGTTGCAAAATCCCCATCTTGACTCTGGTGTGGGTACGTTTTTACTCAGGATAATTGCAGCAGCTCTACGCGGATTTGTCTGCGGCGCGAGCCTCATCAGCAGCCACGTGAAGACAGCGGCGGCTGGTGCGTCTTCCGTAATCTTTGATGAAAAATATGATGAATGAGTATTCTCGAAACCATCGAAAGTGTATAATTTCCAGCGAAAATATAATTTACCAAATTCAGAAATAAAGTTACTTTTGCGTATATGATGAAGATTTTAAAAACATGGCAGTGACCACATAAAGTAAACCGAAAATGTCGAGCACAGCCTCCTCCATCTTGTAGACAAACGGATTATCATTTCACCTGACTTTTTCACCTTACAAGCTTCAAGTGTTTGTTCACAAAAATAAATGGAGTGATTCTCATTGATTTAGTATTGCAGCTTTCCTCCCGTTAGATCATGACGCGAAAATGAAAGAGGTAGCTACGACGATATCCACGGGCTGGTCTGAATAGTTTTTTGGTGTCCACCATGTAGAGTGTGGGAAAGTGAGTTCCCTCGCTGGGTAGTGCTGATGCACCGCAGTTGCTGTTATCATATCAATTGAAAAAAAAAAATAAGAACCATCAAAATTTATATTCGTATGTGTTGGAGCATGCCGGAAGGGGTGATCTACGGCTCTGGTGGTTTCCAAACAAGCTACTTCCTGTCATATCGAAAGCATGGAGTAACTAATCAAATCCAAATTCCGTATTGACAAACTCCAAGAATGCGTACAGTGTGACTGCGGGTAGTGTTCGTTATCGCTGATCTCGGTTTCCTCAAAAATTCTAGTGCTCATCGCACACGCGTGTCGGCATTAACTTCATCTCAATCGCGGAATCCGTGCGAAGTGTCGGTCGCAACTGGAATTCTCCATGCTCTGTACATAATACTGGTCGACGTGCGGACGATGCATAGCTGTTCTTGCACAAATAGGTCGTACATAGTTTGCAGGAGCAGCTTTCAGTAACACTTGTCGTGCACGACACACGTATTGCGATACGGTTTTCGGTCAACACTAAAAAGAATCGGAAAGCATCGCGGCTTCACGTCCAAAGAAAGCAGCTGAATTGGAAATAGTCGGTACGTTCATGCGTGGTTTCAAATATCGTTCTCGGTGGAAAGAAGGTACAGTTTCCATCCTTTCGTGCGTCGTGGTAACTTAATTGATACTTACATGTAGCTCGTCTGCAAGCATTCAGCCGTCTGTTTTGATTTTGCTGCGACAGGGCGGGACACGCACTCGTCCCAAACCCAATCCAATTTGCGCCTCCAACTTCTGCTCTACCCTCCTTTATGTCGTGTTGCATATTACCTCTGTAAATTTTGAACTGCTTCTTAAACCTGTCGCTGTCATTTCTCAATTTTTTTCTCCTTCCAAAAGCGAAACAAATTAAAAGTACTTCTTCCAAAGCATCACCGCTCTCCTCTCCTTCCTCGGATATACTACCATTTTGGAACTCTGACCGACTCGTCTTGCGTGTGGCGGTAGCGGCAGCTGGCTTTCTTGTCGTAAAAGCATCGTCTGCGCACAAAAATGGCAGAGTATGTCCAAGCCGGCCAGGGCAAGGCCGTGGAGTTGCCCCACGGCGTGGACGCTCCCCCGGGTTTGCACCTCGGCCGCATTCACCCCGTCGCGTTTCAGGGCTCCGCGGCGGAAACGCACCAGTTCCACATTCACGTGCCCCACCTGCACTCTGTGTCGCACTTTGTGCACGGGGCGCACACCTTGCACCACGAGCACGGAATTCCAGAAACGCCGATGAACACCGGGAGGAAAAGCCTGCTCGAAGAAGACTACTCGGAAGCCGTCCGTACAGATTAAAATCGATCTTAACTTCTGATGTTGTTCATAGCTGTTTTTTCAAGCGACATGATTAATTTTTTTGCAGCTATGCACGTTCGTGAGAAATAATAGGTTGGTGATAGCTTTGGTACTAAACGAGCTGAATGCAAGGACTTCTTTTATCCGCAAACAGCGAAAGTGAAGCGTCTGTCGAGCGCGCCGCTGCATAACGTAGCCAACGTGCCGCACCTGCATCGTGTATCGTACACCGGGCGAATTCACTACGACAAGTTTGCCGGGTTGGCAGAAGCGCTGTGTCCCCTTCCGCACGTGGAGCTCAAGTTCAAGGCGAAAATAGGTACAGAACTTTCTTTGCTCTTTCGATGAAATAAATGTGTGGTCTCTACTTCGCCGGATAGCTTTAGATTCTGCTAGACATATTCTGCGAACGATCAGCAGTGACGAGCCTGGAGGAATACCATTTCCGATTTTTCGAAGTCGTTACCGATCTCTTTTGCTGTTCTATTTTTTCTGATTTGTATAAAAAAGTTAAAGTTTTACGTCGTAGAAGCGTTGATACCAGAAAAGCCCCGGAAACGCTCAAAAAAATCAGGTGTGACAGAAATCAGCACTGCAGCGGCCAGGCGTAAGGCCATGGGTTATCAAATGCGAAAATGTCTGGGTCTGGAAGATTTCTAGATTTGTCATGCATATTTTCCACGACCCATGACGTCTGTGATGCATGCCGTAGCATCACAGATTTTTAGAGCGCTTCCTCATGCCTATTCCGCATGACAAATGCCATCTCCGCGGAGCACAAAATCTACTCCTCTTACTGGTCATGCAATACAACTCTTTTTCGAATCCAGAGACAGCATCACAAGTTGCAATTTTCCAGACCCAGACACTTTTACATTTGATATGGGTCAGAGCCGGGCCATGTCGCAAACTTTTCGGCATACTACAATGAAAAATGCCCCCTCCCCATATCAAAACGGAAATCTGTGATGCAGATTTGTGGTCACAAATCAGCTTTGTGATGCTAGAAGGCAAAAGATGCGGACTGTAGTGCTGCCTAGCGTGGGAAAGCCTTGCAGCTCCAGGATGACAGGAGGCAACTGGAAGTGGGAAACAGCATCACAGATTGCCTGCAATTTAGGCCGCAGCTTCGTCTCTTGGACTTCTAGCAATACAAGTCGATTTGTGTACTCAAATACAGCATCACAAATTCGCGCATCTTCCGTTTCCGATATGGGGTGGGGGCTTTTTTGACTTTGATACGGCAGGCACAAGCGAAGCTTTCCGGACGGCCACATTTGAATCATGACAACTCAATTATTGTGCCACTGGCCGACCACGGGGTGATCATGCAGCCGTTGACCTTTCGAGGGCCGCAGTTGGAAGTCAACATGGCGCAACACCTACCGCAAAGCCCGGCGTTCAAAACTGGGGTAAGGATGTCATCATGACGCATAGCTTGTTTTCTTTCTTGATGCATAGTTTGTTCTGTTTCTCAGTGTTGCACGTTGGCTACTTGTTGGTCACCCGACCACTTCTCAGAGTCTGGCGAGCGCTAGCCTTGTGCATGATAGAAGCAAAAAATCAAAATGCGGACTGGAGAAATAATTAAGCTTTTGTCTTGATTTAAGCAGATACAGCTCCCGTGAACTGCGACTTCTCACAATTTTTACACTCAGGCACTGAAGGACGCACCGGATCTGGTCGGCTTGGGGAGTATTGGTCTCTCGGTGGAACCCAGAAGGCGCTTTCAACCGATGGAGGCACTGAGTCTGAGCACTGTGCCTGAGTCTATTCTATTTTGACGCGAGGGTGATTGAGGCAGTGTCGGGTTCTGTGTGATGTTGTTTCGTTTTCGAATGAGTCAATACAACCGTGTAGTAGATTTATTCCTGTGGTATGCAAATGCCAACAAGAACCATGTTTCCATTCTCGGCATCAAGAAGGCGCACTCCCCACATCTTACTCTGTCTGCGCCAGTCAGCTTTTCTCGCTCTGGAGCAGATTATGTACTTAATAAAGTGCGACTTCACTCCTGAGCAGAACGCAAGTTCCACGTCGCGCCATTAATGGTTCTTTTTGCTATCTCCCATGGTTTTAAGTAGCCTTACGTTGTCGTTGTCCTTCTCATTTATTCATTGTCGTGCGTATTCGTATGTGAAAAAGAGATGAAAACCGATGTACATTATTTTTGTCTTGAGCATCCATTTTATTTATTTTTGCGGTGGAACTCTTGTTACACTCATATTGCCTATTTTTTCTGCTATGATTTCTTCATAATTAACTGAGGCATAAATCAAAAATTAAAATATCGGGAGTGATGGTTATATTTATATGGTGCCAACCTGTTACTGTTTGCGAGAATCATGATTTTTTTTGAGAACTTCTACCTCACTAGACGCGATCGTTGTTCTCGATGAAGCCATAATTTTTACAGTCTTCATATCCAGGAAAAATGTATGTACGTCAAGGTAGTCGTTCCCTGGTCGTGTTTTAGGGGTGGCCTCTCTTTCCCCCCCCGGCAGCAAGGGAAGACGCAGCTTCGCAGGCATATTTTTGTTCACATTTTTCAGCCATGGCAACGTCGTGTGTGGAAAATTACAAGCAAATCCCGCCCGCGTGCACCAGCAAAATCTTCGTAGTCGTACACGCAGTATTAAATTCGTAATCGTACTTCATGCCGTTTCGCGGTCGTTGTGATCAAAGGTTGTCGTGTCGTGGTTTTTTCCATGGTGAATGAAGAACATCATGCTGAAATAAACGAAGTCGCGCGTTCTTGCCCCACAAGGTTCTGCAACAAGGTTCTTCTTTGCCCTTGTGTTTCGTCCAAATTGATCATAATCGTTGCGTCACGACCTGGGAGCAAGACAACGACCCAGCACGATTTCTTGAAGTTTCTCTATGTATTCTCTATGTACGAGTCTGCAAGTAGAGCTGCGACCATTTATATTTTTGATGCTCAACAGGACATATTTTTATTTTTCTTCGATCCCCCTCTCAGTTTTCCCATAGGTACTTTCAAGGATCTCCCCACCTGAGGCGCCGAACATGTGAAATTTTGAAACCAGTCGCTCGTTTATCTCGATCTAAAAGCATAGCTGGTAAAAAGCAGGCGCCGTTGGGTTGAGGACCGTATAATGTCGGCGCGCGCAGCGACATCTACCCCACCACAACGTCGGGCAAATGGCGATGTAGAAGCCCCGAAGGCCTACGTGCAAGCGGACCCGAACGCACTGTCACCACTGCAGATTGGTGAGCGTATCGAGGCACAAAACAAAGCAAACAGCGCCAAGGCGCGCTCTATATCGAATACCATCCGCGGAAACCTGAATGCACCTGCCAGCTTGCGGCTCGGTCGCGTTATCCGCCATAAAAAGACATCCAAACCAAAAAAAGCAATGAGTTTGTGTTGCCATAGAAAACTTTGTAAGTAGATGCTGATGCTGCTCCGCAAGAGGGAGATGAAAAACCTTCTATCGGATGTCCGATGCAAAGAAAGTGTAACGCGGAAAAAGTTAGGATCAGACAGTCATTGAGACGCTTTGTGATGCTGATGTGACAAAAGTTTTCTTTTTGCTACACAAAAAACTGCATCACAATTGGTACGGGTGTGCTTTTCTGTTTGATACGCGTCCAGCCCGCGGTCTTTCGCGGCGGGAATGCGCTAACGCTGACGCAAGTGATATCGTCTGTAAAAAGGTCCCCGCTCCCTCGTCAAGATGTGAACTTGGCAACACAGATCGAGAACTTAATTTGGCTGGCTCGCATGACAGGTTGGGCTCCCAGCGTAGTAGTAGTTGTGGCTCTAGCTTGTGTAAGCGCATTGCAAATTGATCATCTTCATATCCTGACTATTTTAGCAGGACAAGAATATTCAAGACAACACTACCAGAAAACACTCGACATCCAGGCATGCGAGTAAGTACTTATGCGTGACAAGGATGTGTAGTTGGTTGGGGACCACGTTTTTACTCACGATAAGTGAGATTAGCCTCCCCGGGACCGGTGCGCGCGCTACGCATCCCAGCACTGGAGAGCAGGATAACATTAGGACCATCTGCGCAGCCAACGCCTCGAACACGAACACTGGAAGCAAAACCAACTGCGGCAGCAACCACCTCGGCGACGGGGAGTAGTGGTGCGAATACTTCAGCCAAGAACATTCCACCGCAAACTCCCCGGTCGCCAGCAGTGGCTTCGAGTAGCGATGTGGACGGGGTCAAAATCTTGACCGGTGTGGTCGCCTCGGAGGCTGGTGTAGTTACTAGTGCACCGCCGGATAAAAAGCCCAGTCCTGAAGATGCGAGCAGCGGCACCTTTCTGAGCAGCAAAACGTCGAACGAAGGTGGTCGCGCGCAAACACCGCGACCACTTTTGCAGGAAATTCGCACGCCACGCATTCCCAACTTGCTTCCCGCCACTCCCAGGGCCAGCATCCATTCGCCCAAACCCAGCTTCAGCGTTCTGCAGCCGAAATTAGGTATGGACACGACTTGCTTCTTGTTGTTTGCGGATGGAAAATGCAATAAGTCTTTACATGTAGTTGTATCTGGTGCAATGAACAAACAAATGAGTCGGGTGTTTTAAAACTTCGATTGAGATGCGTTTTTTGATGGACAAGTAAGTAAAACACTTCCACCAACACCTGCAGGACCACCGGGGAATCAGTCACGGGTGAACATTGGGCCCGTCCGGGGACGCCGCATTTTCACGGGGCTCGGGGACGATTATGTGCAACACTACCTGCGTTCGCGTTCGCGATCGCAAGCCCCCATGGTCGTCGTGCCTCCCCCGTCCTCCGGCGGTGGAACTTCTGCGTCAAGTGGCGCATTTTCGCGGCCACCACCCTACGCGCTAGACATCGACATGGCAAAAAACACGCCCCGGCACCCCGCTTTTGAGATCGGTGGCATGGAGGACGTAGCAAATGCAAATAGCGAAATCTGGGTCCTCTGGAAGACGAGCGACCGAGTTGTCACACTGTTATTTTTGCATGACGTGGAAGATCTCGCCGTGGCTCTGGTGGCACTACTTACGCATGCCGTATTCCAATATGACAGGTTTTGCGAGAGGAGCTACTTCCCAATGCCTATCGTGCATAAGAAATAGTTCCCTTTTTATTTCTGTCAGCTTGAGTGACGACAATATGCGTTGACGCAAGGCAGCTTTCCGCGTCGCCCTAAGCGAGCATCAAAACATTTGTTTCCTCTGGAACAACCCAGATGACGTATTTGCATTTCATAGGACGTGCACGACATGATTGGCCTGTCCTCCATCTCTATCCAATGCAAAAGTATCGTACTCGCTCCTACGAATCGTAGTCATGCTTCATGACAGAACTATGAGCTGCTCAGGGAAGTCTTCATCACGACACTTGGAAAAATGTGTATTCCGATAATTGACACTAGAAGAAGTACGACGTTTACGATACTTTTGCAATGCATAGCATCCCTGTCCATCGAACCGCGCCGGGCCTGCACGCCGCTGCAGGCACATCCTCTGAGTCCAGTGCCCCATCAGATTCTGCACGTACCCAGGCCGGATCTGCACCCGAGACCATATTGAGGGCCGAGATGCCGCTGTTGCGTCTACCGACCTTCGGACTGATAGTGCAGCTGTTATGATGAAAATTAACTTTTACAAGAACGCTTCAAGAACTTAAATTCGTCAAGGGAATAGTAACGCTCGCTCCACATCATTCTCGCGCTGGTTCGCCTATAATAAACACTCATTGCTGGTAGCGTTTCTGGTTGAAATTTGCTCTTCAGCAAGGACAAGGTGGCTGTTTCAGTATTCATGTACCATAATTCATTTTGGACTTTTTTTCGTGGCCGCAAAAATTAAGAACCTACCTTGACCCCCCCAAAACCACCTTCCCTTTTCCCGATAATCAACATCATTTCAATAATCTTTGCCAAAGATGAAACTAAAAACACGTACCTGAAGCAAATTTCTGAAACTCAAGATTTTCTCAAGCAGTGTTGGCAGCGTGGGGGTAACTAAGCTGAGAGGTGACTATGCACGACCCAACTTTGCAAAACAAGATGGAGTGATATTAAAAAATGGGTATTTTTCAGAGAGTCAAATGTGGCCTGTCTCCCTACTTAACGAGTGTGCAGCACGTGAGAGTCGCCCTGACACAATGGAAGCGAGATCCTCAAACCGATCTGTATGTCACGTAAATGTACTGAGCACTTTAAATCAAACTAAGCACGTACTGTACGAGAGTGGTAAGTATTCTCGGTTTGCGGTATTTCAAAAGAGAGGTCATCCTTGAAGATTGTCCCTCTTTACAACACTAGCGCAGTGCAAATAAGTGCTCGCTCGGTTGAGGCGGGCAACATGGCAGAAACGCGGAGTCCGATCGCGGAGCTCCTGCGGCACCCGGAGTCGTTCCAGTTAGCCGGTACCAATGGTTTTCGACTTTTCTTCTTCAATTCGCTACGACGACCGTGGTAGCATTTATCCCATCGCTATGTCATCTGGATCCGACTCAGATGAGGACCACCATCCTGCTCGGTCGGGGAAATGAAGTCGCACTGTCTTATTTGTAGACCTGTGTGCAAGCAGCTGGAGTCCTCGCTTGTTTGGCGATCTGTTTTTTATTCAAGAATAAATCGAAAGTGTGAAGTGAAGTCACTGCATTGATTTATCGCACAACATGTTCAACAAAAAGGTCCGCAGCCACGGGACCCCGACGACTTTTCGAATTCGCAAGAGAGCCTCCTGGCCGAACGGGAAGCGTACCTGGCTACCTTGCTGCAGTCTGGATGCGAGAGTCTTGACGCGACGCGACGTATGGAGGCCGCGAATGAGGAGACGGAGAAAAAGATCCAGGAGCGGTATGGAAAGCAAATGTGAAAGATTTCGGTCTGAAACATAGCAGAGTTTTTCCCTGCAGCTGGCGCATGACCCCGAAATTCCGTTATGTGTCACATGATAGATAATCATTCGATGGCAGCAGGCTAGCTATCCTCATTCACCAATTACGGACTTGTGTCTTTGTGTCACACCGACCTACCACGAATATTTGCAATGCATAAAAAGGAAAAGCAGTCGAAACAGGTCTACGAGAGGTTGTTTAATGACGGGGAGAATATCAAATGTAAAAATGTCTGGGTCTGGAAGATTTCTAGATTTGTCATGCATATAATTTTCCATGAGCCATGATGTCTGTGATGCATGCCGTAGCATCACAGATTTTTAGAGGGCTTTGTGATACCTCTACCGCATGAGAAATGCCCTCTCCACGTAGGACAAACCCGACCACTCTTGCTGGTCATGCAACACAAATTCTTTTAGAATCCACAGACAGCATCACAAGTTGTGACCTTCCAGACCCAGACATTTTTACAGTTGATAGGGAAGTACCGGGAGCGACGACGGGTTTACACGGAGATTGGCATCATGGCAGAGCATGAAGAAGTGCGCAAGTCGTGCACGTTCCAGCCGAAGCTGATGACGAGGCGGGCGAGTACCAGTGGCGGGGCGCACAACAGGAGCACACGGGGAAACGGATCGGCTCGGGGAGGTGCACTCTCCGCGCGCGGACTGCCTGGAGCCACCACGGGGGAAGCGAAGAATCACCGCAGCTTGTCGCGGGACCCGTCCGCAGACGACGCTTTTGCGAGGCTGTACGAGGAAGCCTCGGTGCGGAAGCAGCGGCAAGAGCAACGGACCTGGCATTACGAAAAAAGCGAGCGGCCCCTGTTTCAGCCACAGCTGCGGACAGGTAGTTTTTGCAAGTAGTACACTAGGCACGTTGTGACCTTCAATGTAATTTAGAATTTGGTCATTTAAAGACATAGCTGTTTGTGAGTTTATTATCGGTCGTGACTGCAGTAAGTGCAAGTGTAAGTCTACGGCTGAGCCTTACAGGGGTTCTCTTTTTACCACGGGTTTTTGTTCCGGAATCAGGTTCAATTTTTCTCTAGGTTGCGAAACCGAAACTGCATGTTCTAAAGGTAAAAATAAGCGTGGCGATGTTTCTGCACGGGGTCCCAATAACAACAGCAGCAATCCGAATGACAGCAGTCTTTCGGAAAACCAAGCACAGCAGCGGGAAGACCGGTTTGCGCGTCTACACAGCGATGCTGCCCGGTACAAGGCGAGCAAAGAAAAGCTTGCAGAAAGACACCACGCTCTGCTGTCCTTCCGTCCTGATGTGGCAAAGAGCTCACGAACCGGACCGCAGTTTGCGAAGTGGACCCCCATCTGGCAGCGGTTCGGGCAGGCCAACGTGGAAGACGAACTCAGCTACGAGGATGCGCAGCCGGCTATAGCACCAAATAGTGAAGAGGTGCCGATCTTGCGCGGGGGGCAGCATCGGGACGAGCCCGCGCTGGAAGCAGAGTTGAAGCGAGGAACCGCCCGTGAGCGGCAAGCGACAACCCCGACCGGCGAGAAAGGAGTAGTCCATGATCCTGTGGATTCAAGGTAAGACTTTTGTAACAGTCAATTTTTTTGATTTTGGCGGGAATAATCATGAAATACAGTTTTATAATTTATTACCCCAGGATGGAATAAGTAGTAGATTGATGGGGTAGAGTGAAATGCGAGGATCAGTTGAAACCGGGGTACCAAAAATGAACTTGCATCCGGCAGAAGTATTATCTTTCCTCCGACTCCTGACAGGCAGCGAGTCCGTGCGGCGGCGCCGCGCGATTACTACGAATTTTCATCCGCTCGCGATTTCGACGAGGACGAGGATGTTGACAAGGTGAAGATTGCAAACGACAGTTCGGAAGAGGAAGCAAACGTGCGGTTGGCCGTTTCTTCGGAGGAGGAACCAGTTGTGGTCTATCACGGACGTCGCGACCGGCAGGAGGCGCTCCCCTTGCGTATGGACATCGATGACGAGGAGGAGGACGCCACCGAGGTGGAACCGAACAATACCTCTGCTGGTGCGAACACCTCCGGCCGCGGCAACGTCTTCCCCGGAAAGAAGCTGCTGTTACCAGGAGGTTCTTCTAGTGCAACGTCCACTGCGGGAGCCGCGAGGGACAAGGCAAAGTCCTACGTGAGCGTGCCGACGGGTTCCAGTTCCAGTTCTAGGATGGACCAACAACACGGCGGAAAATGGAACAAAATGAGCAGCAGCAGAAGAGTATCCTCCGAAAAAGAAATTGATTTTTCCGTACACGTACCACAAATGCGATTTCGGCAGGACGAAACTCAAACTTTCAATTAATCCTATCCAGCATGACGCCTGGCAGGCTCGTCTAAGTTTTAGCGAAAATTGTGATGCTCGTGTACAGGAATAATTTGTTTAAGTGCATAAAGAACGACTGCAGAGATGAATAAAACAAGCAAGCAGCAGATGAAACCACGACCAGAGCAGGCCGACATGAAGACCCGCGAGGAGCTATTCTGTGTAAAAACGTCCCTGCCCAAGAGCCAAGATGGAAAATCTGCTTCAGACAATTCAACAAACTTTGGCTGCCGCGCGTGACAAGTTTGGGCTCGCAATGTACTTAGTTGTGTTTAGCTATTGCAGAAGTAATGTCGCAGATTGATCTACCGAGCTTCTTATGCTCATTTTTCGAGCATCAATATACCAGAAAAGGTTTACTCGGATGGCGCTCCACCGCATGAGAAACATTCTATTTTTAAGCATGCAGTCTAGCATGACAGCTTTGGGCTGGGGACGCTTTTCCTTTGGAAAGGTGCTGGATCGCGCCCGCCAGGAGATTCAGAAGCGGCTGAAAAACAAGATCGACGAATACGCGGCGAAGGGGCAAAAAGCGCGGAAAGACAAGGAACCGCCGCCGAAGTTCAAGCGCACGCAGCTGCCGGCCTACATTCAGCGCGCGAAGCAGGCGAGTAAAGATAACCTGGGAGCCGCGACGAGCAAAACGTCCTCCGATCCCGTCACGGATATTGGCGCTGTCTCGGCGAGGGACGAATATTACAATGAAAAATGCCCCCACCCCCGAACTTGGGAGCATTTGTATTGCAAACCTTTGCAAATGAAACGCTCGCCCTCGTGCATCTATCAGAATCACAGGCTCTCAATCGTGAAGAGAAAAAATTTGTATTGCGCAAGATCTCAGGAAGAGCGGCGCTTGTCATGCAAGCAATGCGATATGCGCCTAGACTCTGCATCAGAAAGATTCATAGTCCTTTCATGCATAACAAAAAGTTTTCATTTGGAAACTTTAGCATCACAAATTATTGCAACTTTGGGGGTGGGGGCATTTTTCATTGTAATAACAAAGCAGAAACGTTCATCAAGCAAGCCGAACTGCTCCGACGCCGGAAGTATCAAATGTAAAGGTGTCTGGGTCTGGAAGAATGCAACTTGTGATGCTGCATTTGGATTCCACAATAATTTGTATTGCATGAGTACCAAAAGAAAGGCAATTTTTGCTACGCTGAGAAGGCATTTGTCATGCGGACTACGCATCAAGAAGCCCTCAAAAAATCTGGATTGCTAGGGGATGCATCACAGACATCATGGGTCATGCAAAACGTGCATGACAAGTGTCAGAATCTTCCAGACCCAGACATTTTTGCACTTGATAGAAAGCAGAAGACTACCAGGAATTTTACCAGCGCCGACGGGGCGGGAACTGTCACCGGCTCGACACGACCTGCGGGCACCCCTGGCAACGACGGCTACGTTCCAGCGACAAGCGCAGTCTCCACGATGAACAATCAGAACACGCAGGCAACTAGTACCCCACTAAGAGAAGGTACTGTTGAGCAGCAGAAGACCTCCAAGCTCTCGCCCGTTTTTCCGCCGCCAGCGACGGAAAAGAAAATTCTGGCCTCCCCGATGTACGTGCGCGCCCGAGGGGGGGTGAGCCCGCGGCCGATGCGACAGGACAACTTGAACTTCGAAGGCGATCACAGCCGGGCCGCGGCCTTATACGAGGAATCCTCGGCATCCGCCTCTTTCTCCGAAAGTGGCAAGCAGAAGGTGCACCACTCTAGTTGTTCCGACTCTAGAAGTCCACCAGAAGCGAGGGACAATGCACTCTATGGCGGCGCACTGCCGGGTGCTCCGGCGAGGCGCAGCAGAGAAGGAGCGGGCGCTAAACTGCTCGTGTGGCAGCCGCCGCCGGCGTCTGCAAATAGCGGCAACCGCGTTTCGAGTTCGTCAGCGAGAGGGCAGATGAAGATCGAGAGTCCCGGGATTTCGCTGTTTCCGCAAAGCCCGCTTCTATCCGCCTCTCCAGTTGCTCCCTTTCATCCTGGAGGAAGTACCTTCGGTTTGCAACCGCCGCAATTGCTGAATCAACCAGGTCTCGTAACCCAGCCACTGATCTCCCCGCTGCAACCACTGCCGACGAGTACTTACTTGCTGTGTTGGAACCTAGTAGGTCCTAGAACTAAATGACCTGTGGCACGGTTTACTTATGTCTCATTTGTGTAGCTGTAGCAAGAGCTGGTTTCTCTGTCATCATGTGTAGGTCCTGCGGATCACCTCGATGAACGATGAATGAAAAAAGTTGGAGCAAAAACTACACTCAGGTCCCCTACTCCCAGCCGGAACTACGGGATCGATCAGCGGTGGGCGGTGAGAATCCTGCGAAACCGAGACTGCGGCTGTAGCAGCACAGGAAGGATTGTGGTGCTCCAAAAGGGGCAAAGTCAAAATTACGAATCGAATTTTTTTTTTTTGCATGTGATTGTTTGTTTCTAACTTTATCGCATTTAATATCCAACATCGAAGAAGCGACACTGTCTTGTCCAGCGTTTCCTTTTCCAATTTTTTCTTGCCGAATTTTTTTCAAACACCGTTGCATACCTATCTATCATTTAGATGCCTTTTGATGAATTTTTCTTTTTTGATTGATCTCCGCAGATGACCAAGAGTGACAGCTGCCCTAACCGACTTTTACACCTCTACCCAGACCTGTTTAAGTACTTATTCTCTCGGACTCGAGGATGGTTTGAGTTCCAATCTGAATTAACCCGCAATTGTCTTCGGCAGGTCGTATCTGAAGTTACAGATTGGCATTGTGCCTCAATGTATGATGGTGGCTTATTTTCTTGGGCCGGTCGTTGCAAGTGACGCGCTTGCACTTTTTCACAAAGCGCGGCAGTTTTTTCAAATGAACGCAGATTTTTTTTTGCACCCTGTGACATCATTCCTGTACATCTGAACAGGAGATGGCCAAACGAACGCATCCGAACTAATGAATATTGTTGTGGTCGTTGGCTCGGACACGAACCTTGTGTCGCCAACTTTTTGTGTCCGACCGGCTTTGCTGGAGTAGCTTAGTCTGCGTGTTATCGTTTGTAGCGCCGCTGGGTGCTCATATCGGGAAGCCGCGACTAGCGCGATGAGTGGCCCTTGCGGGGAGAGATGCAATGTATGAGGGACGTGCGTTATAGAAGCAATTCTATCCGGCGCTATCTTGCGATGTTCGAGTTGCCTCCATTTGCGGTTAGTTTTTTCTATTTCGGAACTGTTTCACTGGAATTTTCTTGTTTCTAGAGCTGCTTCAGTCTGGATTTCCGAATTTGAAAAGAAAGGACGCTCAAGAACCCGTCGCGAGTCGGGGGGCGGTGGCAAGGACATAATGTGGAAAGCGCAGGCGGTATCAAAGTGAAAAAAGCCCCCACCCCATATCGAAAACGAAATTTGTGATGCTGTATTTGAGTACACAAATGTAATGCTAGAAGGCCAAGAGACGCAGCTTTGGCCTCGTTTGCAGGCAATTTGTCATGCTGTTTCCCACTTCGAGCTGCCCCCTGTCATGCTGAAGATGCACGGCCTTCCCACGCCAACCAGTACTACAGTCCGCATCTTTTCCCTTCTAGCATGACAAAGCTGATTTGTGGCCACAAATCTGCATCATTTTGGCTTTGTTTTTCCTCCGTTGCTGTCGTTTGGTCCCCAGGGCTGCTTCGGACAGAGCCCCCTGGGTTACCTCGGTCGAGTGGTCGTGCGGTTCGGTTCTCCTATGCCCATGCCTACCGTGTACTTGCCGCTGGGTACTGGTAGAGCGTCTCTTTCGTCAGCCTGTTTCGCTTCGGCGATACGACATGGCGATTGTTTGGGGAGGTTCCTTACGGTCCCCTCAGGGCATTGCCTCGTCGCTGACCTATGGAAACGGGCGGTCAGGTCAGCTTCGGGAAGGGTATCCGGAGTTGAGTTAGCTTCGGCTTTCTCTTGTGTATTCGAGGGCAGTGGTTGGCGGAGGTAGTTGGGATGTTCCTAAACAGTCATCCCAGAACATTTGTGTTCCTTTCTGACTTCCTCATTTCCTGTGCAGTATTTTACTGCATATACAGGCGCCACCCTCGTTTATCACCTCCAGGGCTACGTGCGACCCCTCCGACGCTGCGTGTGGAAGGAGGAAGTTCGGCGTGTTGGGGGTGAGGGACCCCCAACGAGGCCTGCGGATATCGGGAGGAAAACAGGCACAAATCTGCATCACAAATTTCTAGTTTGAGTATGGGGAGGGGGGATTTTTCCTTTTGATAGGCGGCCTGGCGCGCGCTGCGCACGCCTGCGCCACGACTGATGCTCGAGGATAGCATATCCTCAGTAAAAATGTGCCCAACCCCTGATCAAGACGGGAAATCTGCTAGACAAATCCAGAAGTTTTGGTACTGACACATGAGAACTTTGGATATGCAGTTTGGATGTGCTTGGCTAGTCAAGTCACTCTCTTCTCGTCAATAGTTCATACTAGGGTTGCAGCTCCGACCGCGGCTAGAAAAGGCACGCCCTCCATTCGGAACCGCAGAGGACATGATATTCTGGGCCTGCGTATCATGCATGACAATTCTCCCTGGGCGGGTCAAAACGTTTTTACACGGGACATAGCACCAAAGCTGGCAAGTTGTTTCCCGTCGTGCCCGCAGAGTTGCTGTGGAAATTTTCGCCGAAATGGAGCACTGAGGATAAGGTACAGCAGGCACGACTTGACAAGTGCTAGGTCGTTTAAAATTTTCATCTCTACATACTTACACCTAGTGAGATCTCCTTCAGACTGACCAGCAGACAGTGTCCTCCATGGTAATATTTCGGCATGAAATAATTATGCTAGCATGCAATGAAAATAACTACAGTGGCTCTTTTTGTGGACATCTACGAAGCACGCGTGCATCGCCGCCGGGGTCCTGTTCTGGTACGGTCATCAGCCTATCGCATAGAAAAGTACACCCTGACCGAAAGAGAAAACATTTGCGAAGGCAAGAAAAATGCGGGCTTCGTCTGTTCAGCATCACAGATCCTCTTGATGCTTCTCTAATCTTCCCTTTCCCGCTTTACAATAGCCATTCTGCGTGAGAGTTTTTCCTGCCTCTTGCGGAACGCAATTGCAAAAAGTTTTTTGTGCCACAAAAGGAGCAAAAATGCATAGTCTGATTTTATTCTGAATCTGGTATGGGTCGACTTTGGCTTTTCTCCTGGATACAGCCCTTCGGAGGCGCAAACTACCACGACCTGTACAAGACACCGCTCTACCGCGCCTACATTGCCAAGCTGCAGCGCTCAGGTATGTTTATCTACTTTTGTTTGATCGTTTGCATTTTCATGGATTCGAGTCTATCGTCCTCGTCCAGAACAGCACGGACTGGACCCGGAGATCGGAGGAATCTACGTATATTTTTGCTACGACAAAAATACTTAGGTGAACTAGCGGAAAATCGGCGGTTGAAACGCACATCCTTCTACTTATGGGAGTATAGAAATCAGGTTGGAAATTTACAAATTGGAACTATATTGCCATGCATAAAATCGATGCGAATTTCGCACACCATTTCCAAGCAGCGCATGGCGCGTCTCGTCTCAAGATGCCATGTTGTTTTGCACAAAAAGATTGGCGGCCCCGCCACGCTCTTCAAGAAGCTTTCGATGGCCTTTGTCAGGCTTACAGTCGGCCACTTTATATATTTGCGTTCCTGCAAAGAAGTATTGAACTTGTGGCTAGCATTTTACGCAACGCAAGGAGTTGTTTAATCATCCGGTTTGTCCATTTCCAAGTTGACACTCCCATACTTCCTTCCGGGTGAAGACGTGGAGGAATCCGACGCCATTCCAGATTACAAGAAGTGGGACAATTTCCGTCAGAAATCGATGATGCGTTACTAGCCGATAAAGAGCCTACGATTTCGGATGCTGTGCTGCACGGAAAACAAGTAAAAAGATATTTTTCACCACCGCTGCAGTTCTTCTTCTTGCAGCGAGCATTTTACTTACGCTATCTTCCAAAACCAGTGCAATTACGGGCGTTTATAGTTGATGTGCGCAGCTTATTATAGCAGGGACAAGGAGTTAACATGCGGAAGACGAAAATTGAGCTGCGCGCTTTGCAGCCGGCGTCATGTTCCCATCGGTGAGAAAAAAAAAAGAAACGAGCGACCACGAGCGTGCAAAAGAATAGGGGACATCGACATTGATTAAGTAATAGGGCACATAGTTTTGAATTGTGTCGACGACAACGAAAGGGAAAAGGTCCACCATCTTCATGGCGTTTGTCCCGAGCAGGCAGCTCCTTCACGATGATCTGATAAGGCTCCAGAGTGAGTATCTCAATAACAGTACCCTGCATAGTAGAAGTACTCAATTTTTGGATGTGATGTAATGTCGATGTTGAAATCGGGGCCCCAATAAATTCAGATGAATTTTTCCATCAATGAATAGCGTAGAGATAGCAGCACGCTCGTCTGTGCGACGAGACTCTTGAAAGATCGACTATGTCGCATATCAAATGGAAAAATGTCTGGGTCTGGAAGATTGCCAGGTTTGTCATGAACATTTTGCATGACTCCTGTTGTCTGTGATGCATGCCCTAGCATCACAGATTTTGTGACGGCTTCCTGATGCCTATACCGCATGACAAATGCTGTTTCTGTGTAGCAAAACTTGGACTCTCTTTGCTGCTCATGCAATACAGATTTTTTTGGAATCCAAAATCAGCATGACAAGTTGGATTCTTCCAGACCCAGACATTTTTACAGTTGATATCGCAGCCCCAGGCACAGAACCCTTTCGCGACAGATCGCAGCCTCGGTGGAGCAGCGGCGAGGTATTGCTTCGAATTCACACTCTCATGTTGCTGCAGATGATGTATGCGGTATGTTGATGTTTGATGCATAGAAATGTTCCAAAAGACGTGCACTTCGGCGGCGCCTTGAATATCGAATGGATGCCAAAAAACAATCAGCTCGCAAGCTCCTATGGCTGCTGGCGGAACCGCAGTTGCATCTTCGAGTTCACAGTGGGTCCAAGGCGCATCGCGACCCACGTTCACCAATGTATAGACGTTATTTGTAATTCAAACATTGATTCGATCGCACGCAGTCTTCAATCCCTGAATTGAACTTTGTAATTCCTGTGAGTTGTGTACAGTTCTCAATACGCATGCAATACTCCCACTTCTTACAGGTGGCTAATCCTCCGGTCCAGGCTGGGAACGTAAGCTTATCCAAAGAAGGAAAATGAATGTACTTAAATGTAATATATGGTGCTTTTACAGATCAAATGCAAGTCTGCATTGTTCACATTCAGAAGAAGTGTCTCAGGATATTAAGCAGCGATCGATCGTTTGAAGACACCGCGCAATAGCCTTCAAAAACATTAACGCATGAAAAGTGCGTCCGTTCCTGCGGACACTCCCACAGTACGCATTTACATTTTTCTTCCTGGATATGCTTACGGGCCGAGTTACTCGATGAGCTACCAGCCAAGAGTATGAGGCAGCAAACCTTTTCAGCTCCGAGGATTGCATCTTGTGTTGCTGTTTCTTTTTTTAGAAGCGCGCGTTTTGTTGCACAGTGTGTCCTCAGCCTCGTCCAAAGGTCAGTCTACGTGCGAACTCTAGCGCAGCACTGAAACGTTCGGAATCGGAGGGTTTTGCAATTGCATAAGGAAGCACAGCAGACAAGTCGGCAGTTAAGTACTCGGGGTATTTGCCGCTAGAAGGAACGTACCGGGATGACGACTGCAAGATCGGGTAAACGTGACGGAAGACAGGAATTCTCGCTCGGTTCTGAAGCAGCAAACAATTTGCGAGCAAATTGCAGGAGTTCTCTAATCCATCGGCCGCAACGGTTCTTTCATGCCCTGATTTTTTTCTTTTCTCAAACACAAGCACGTTTCTAGATCGATGAAAAGGCTCTGCTTTTGCATTCTGTGTGTTTCATGACCGTCTTCCAACTTCTAGCAGTAGAAGCGAAAGAACGAGATACGATTTCGCGAGAGCGTTTTTTTTTTGCAGTATCTACGCGTGTTCAACGACGTTTGAACGGCACAGGAGCAGCTGCGAAAGACACTGTCGGTTTTTTTTTCTTGATGAGGAGCAAACTTGACCGCTTATTCCTGTTGCAAATTCCAGCCGGAGAACAATAAAAACGCAAATCTGTTGGATTGATACGATTTTTCAAACTGCCGTCATGACAGGAGTAAGTATTGATCACATACAAGTAGACAATGATCCCACCCCCCTCCTTGCCATTTTCGAAAGTATCGTAGCAACTACGTCAGCAGTGTGATGAAGAACCTCGGTTATATTGTGGCTTGACACCGCGGCTAGCGATTCAAACACCCCCTCATAGTCACGCTTAGGCAGTCACATTCAATACTGGATCATATACTCTAGAGTAGTAGCAGTGGTTTCAGAGTTCAGACCGTACCCGTATAATTCCTCGAGGATCAAAGTCAAGCATCGCGCAATTGTATCCCGATACTAATTTCAGAACAAAGATGGACTCTTCTCCGTACATGACACTTCGACTCGTTAGAGCTGCCGGAGAGTCGACCTAGGCCTCTGCTCGCTTCCCTGTCTGAAGCAGAATCGCACAACTGTCGTCATCGCACATCAATTGTCGTCGTGTTTTGTGCCAACTGGTGAAATGCGAAGTGGACGTGCTGGCGAAATGCGCAGTGAAGTTGTGCAGTGGTAGATCATTCGGACTGCCTCTGATTCCAGACCAAGCGGCTTCGAGAGAAGAAGCATGAGTGCCACACCAGTGGGCAATGGTCCCGCGGCTCCCGCACGGGCCGAGCTTTCGGCGCCACTGGTTGGCAACACCACGACGCGACGGCGGGGGCGCTGGCGACCAGTTCAGGATTACTTTCGCGAGCCTATGCGTTTCGTGTACATGTGCTACGCCACGTTGGACCGGCTGGCGCCGTTTCCAGGAAGCCTGGTCGCAATCGTGGGCACTCTCGTCTTTTTCCTGCTCATCGGCTGCTTTACCATGCCCTCAAAGGAGCTAACCTGGTACTGTAGAAATGAAGATGAAAATCGTGATTTTTGGTCTCTCTTCTGATAAATGTGTGATCATCTTCCCGATGCCGATCATTCCTGGGAAGATTTTAGTGTGGCAATGGTTTGTTTCTGCTGGGATGTGCAGCATAAGCCCTCCCTCAAGCTGTGGTAGGCAGTCAGGTAGAAATTCTTCAATTTACCATTCCCAGAGGATTTGGAGTTATTGTATATACAGGCTGTTGATCCAAGTTCTTCGACAATGGGCTTTGATGTTGCTGGTGAACAGTGCGGAGTCGGTGTTACACGCAGGGCCGGTTTGGATTGTGGTTCTGATTGCAGCGGCCCTCTGGGTGCTCCAACTGATGGGCTATTTGCTTTTCGTGGAGGGCTGGCTTCTGCTGGCAACCGAACCCTTTCGGGTGTTACCCTCTGCCCTGGTCTTCGTGTGTCTGCTAACGTATTCGGCATTGCTGTGCGTCAAGCTTGTGGTATAAATGAAATTGTTTGTTCGCGATTTTCTGGCGAAAATTTTTTTTGAGACAACTAGGATTTGTGATTAGACCAATTTATTGGGAGGATGGTGAGCCTCGAGGCTGTTCATCATGTTTCGAAGAAACACTGACGAAAGTGATGAGAGCTGGCACACAATGATATAATAAACAGATCTACCTGTGCCCGCACTCGCTGGCTGCCGAGCTGTTTTTGGCCGATCTGGGGGTGGCGGCTGCGCAGAACCGACGGAACGCAGCGGCGGAACCTGAACGGCCCCCGCCCTTACCGGTTGACGTGCTGAAGCTACTGGTGCAGGTACTGAGGGGAAAAATTCTCCCTCCCCATATTCAACCGGGGCTTTCTGATACTGGATTTGTTTACAACACAAACAAGACGAATCAGTAAACACCTCTGTCTTCCATGCAGCCGAGGCACGTGCTCCAGGGCATAGCCTGTATCTAATATGTGTTGCGTTTTAGCCTACAGCAAAGATGTCAGCCCTTTTTTCTTTAGTGCAAGCCAGAGCTGTTTTGTCTCCACAACTTGGCATCTAACCGAGTCTACTATTTCCACTCGAGTATGGGGAGAGATTTTTCCTTTCGGTAGCGGGGCCGCGTGGTGGACTTGTGGACGCCCCGTACCCAGGTGGCGGAGCTCGAGGGGAAGCCGTGCGCCGTGTGCTGCGACGAATTTACCGGGACCGATGTGGTGATCAATCTGCCCTGCCAGCACGTGTTTCACCAGGAATGCGTCTATCCTGTGCAAAACCCTATCCATCCCGTGCTTGGCCAGCAAATCTGCATGCTGTGATGGATGTGTCGGCGCGCCGTGTGGGTCCCGCCCATTAGAGCCATTTCTTCGTACGTAATGTTTGGGACAACTAGGACTAGTACTTTGTCATGCTCTGCTAATCAGGACGTTGAGGCAAACCATAAACCCTGTACAACTACTAGCTAAGCTCGGCACGACTTCTACGCTGCATATCCAGACTTGCCACAACGCGCGCAGTACCAGCGCGGTCTGTTATTTATGCCATGCGTGACGAGTCCTACTACTGCCGGACTTTGGCTTGCCTAGTTTTCGTGTCCCATCTTGGCTATGGGGCATGGATATCGGTTTTTCATTAGGAATGCGTCCTTGAGTGGTTCACGAGGGGGAATCGCGAATGTCCCTTGTGCCGACGAGACGTTGAGGAGACGTTGCATCACTCACCAACATATGGATTGCAAACATGTCTGGGTCTGGAAGAATGGAAGGTTTGTCATGCATAATTTGCATGACCGATGACGCTTGCAATGCGTGGCCTAGTATCACAGACTTTTGGAGGGCTTTGCAATGCCTATTCCGCATGAGAAATGCCCTCTTCACGTAGCACAAACTGGACTCCTCTTGCTGGTCATGCAATACAGATATTTTTAGAATCCAAAAATAGCATTACAAGCTGCCTTCTTCCAGACCCAGACATATTTGCATTTGATACAACAAGTTCCTACGGACATGGAGTGAATGCCTCAGCTACCTCTATAACCCGCTCAGGTGTTACAATCTCAAACGTTACAATAGAATATGGAAATCTGTGATGCAAGAGTGCATGATCTAGCCAACTCTCATCGCATTGCGCATGACAAGTTCCGGAGCCCCGAACCCCACTACAATCTGACGAAGTTTGTATTGCAGAAAGTGGAACGCTCTGCGAGTCTGTCATGCTCATCATGCAAGACAAATTTCAGATTCTATTGTAACGTTTGAGATTGTAACACCTGAGAGGGTTATAACCTCCCCGGACACTTTCTACTGCCCCGAGGCGCTGCCTGGTGTGGAAGACGCGCCTGGAGAGCGGGAACAACTTGCGCAGCGGCCAGGAGGAGGTTCGGCCGATAACACGAGGAACAGGAGCAGCCCATGGAGTGGAAACACTTCGAGAGGGGGTCCACCTGTCGCGAATGCGAATGCTGGTCGCAGCCCCGTCGTGCAGAGGAATGGGAGTGCTGTCTTTCCGCCCGTAGTAGCAGTTCCTCATGCGAGAACGGGACCACGGTTTTTCCCTGATGCGCAAGGAGCCTACAACGAAGAGGATCCGCCGCCACTACTCCCTGACGTGATTTTGTGACGTCGTCCTGCGATAATTCTACGCAAGTCGTAGGGATCGACTTGTCTGCGTGTGCTTCAGCAGGGTGCCACCGAGCGACTCTTTCTCAGATAGACTCTGCACTTACTGATGCATTTACTGTACGATTTCAAGAAACCTGTAAAATAAAAGATGATTGGATCAAACGAGTGCCCCCTGCGTGGGCTGCTGTATTTTCGACGCCGCCTTCCTAAAAAGGTTTTACTTGCAGTATTTTGCCAACTACAATCGAGATGATAAGTTTAACGAACACTTACTGTAAAATTCGTTGCTACCACATGCTACCCGCCTCCATCTACCCCCGTTTCGAACGAGGCAGAACAGGTGCAAGTGAAAAGAAAATGACTTCCACGAAATTTTTCATATCGACGAAAAGCAAATATAGTTCTGCATGCAGGTAAATTTATTTTACCTGTACAACCTTCAATATGAAGGAGGTCAGCCGTTGTGACTCTAACTCCGCGTCGTTCACCTTCTTCGTGACTCGGGACAGCGTTTGGAACTGTTTCAGAATTGGCCGAGTTTGTGGAGACTGAGGAGCCTTGAGAGCGATGTTGTTAGTTCCAGATGTTCTTAGTACTTGGACGCAGTAAGATGAAGTGAAATTAGGAGTGAAGGATGAGTTGCGAAGAACGGGGCGCACCACCTAAAGTTCTAAAAAGTCGTGCGGCGGTTGGACCATTTTTATATCGATAGAGGAGCTGAGCGTCCGTTCAATGTGTAGTAGTCAGGTTGCTTCTTCACAACGCGAAGGCGAGGACGAAGGACGAAGGTAGATCGCTTACTGGGGATCTGAACAATAACCAGGGATAGTTGTAAAGGAATATTGTTTCAATACGCGTTTCAACATATTTTTCCACACAGCAAAAAAAACGAACCATGGGTCCCTACATCGGCAGCTCACATGGCGCCGGCGATGAGGACGTGCCGGCAAAGGTAGTTTCGGAGTGGAACGTATCCTGAGTAAAAACGTCCCCACACCAGAGTCAAGATGGGGACTTTGCAACACAAACCTAGAAGTTTTGGTGGTCACGCATGACAAATTTCAATTCCTACTGTAGTGCAGATTAGCGTGGACAGCCGCATTACAAAAAAATCTGCTTATCCTGTTTACAGCATTACAAATTTTGGAACACGATGGGAAATTAATGCCTACCATGGGTATGCGCATCACAAATGTTCCTGTCATTGGAAATCAGCATTACAACTCTGGGGTGGGGACGTTTTTACACAGGATAGAACGGCAAGCGACTAGGGTTGTTGGGCGTCTGCTGCTTTTCTGCCATCACCTGCATCACATGCGCCGTCGTAGAGGAAACGCTCTCGGCCGTGTTAGCGTACTGATTTTATATTTTCGCTTGCTGGTTCTCGATGCTGATGTTCTGGCTTTTCGTCTTCTCACTTTGCCACGAAAGCGCATAAACATTTGCTATTGATGCCTAATCTTTGTCCCGGAAGCGGAACCACATTTTCTCAAGAGTCCAACTTGATACGGTAGCGGTTCTCAAGATAAAGATTCCACTACGTGCCGCACTGTAATAAAAATTCCAACCTCCACAGCTTTGGCCTCGGAATCCTTGCGTTCTACACGCTGCAAAACAAGGGGCTAGAGGATGCACCGAAGCATACCGAGGACCTGGAGCTGTATCAAATGTAAAAATGTCTGGGTCTGGAAGAATCCAACTTGTGATGCTGCATTTGGATTCCAAAAAAATCTGTATTGCATGAGTACCAAAGGGAGTGTAATTCTTGCTACGCGAAGAGGGCATTTGTCATGCTGAATAGGCATCAAGAAGCTCTCAAAGAATCTGTGACGCTAGGGCATGCATCACAGACATCAGGGCTCATCCAAAACGTGCATGACAAGTGACCTGGCTCGTCTTTGATGGGCAGGCGGATGACTGTGACCTGTCTCGCCCATCAAGATCCCTAATCCGTAGCTCCTAGACGTTGCCTGGCCCGCGAATGACTCCACGGCAGCCGGATGTCCGTGACCTGGTTATAAAGGGCTTCGTCGATCGATTGTGCCACTAGGGCCTTGTGTTCTGGCTACTCCGGATCGCAATCGATGGAGGGCGGGACCTGCACCGGCGACAGGCGCTATCCAACCAACCAACCAACCAACCAACCAAGTGTCAGAATCTTCCAGACCCAGACATTTTTACATTTGATAAGCTGACCCAGGTAGCGAAAAAAGAGGGCGTCGACCTCGACACATTTCTCCGCGACCCCGAGTCGCACACTGCCTCCAAAATTCTGGTCCACGCCCTGATCAAGGAGTATTTGCGTGTGGTGGCGCGATTGCAGCAGGTGGATCCCAAGGCCGCGGCCAGCGAGGAGGAAAAGGGCGAGAGTGCAGTAGAGCAGTACCATCTGGAGACGGAGGCAATCGCAATTCAAATCGACGAATCGAAGTGTTCGAAGCAAACGGAGTCAACGGACGGTACTGATGTGAAAAAACTCTCTTCGATTCATTATTGTGAATGAGAAAATACAAGACGTGGTTTTCAATTTTGCGTCACATTGTCAGACTTCAATACTCACATGTCTATTTTTTGATCCTGAAAATATGATTCGTTGCCTTGGAATTGCAGAACTGCATTGAACCGATTTTGATGACAGTGGCCAACGGTGGTTCGCGAAAGGCGAGTTACGACTCCGAATTCGACGAAGGGCAGATGATTGTGGAGGACGAAGTGGACGGGTTGAAGCTCGCAAAGAAGGAGAAGAAGGCGAAGAAGGAGAAAAGCGGTATCAATCAAAAATGATGTTGTAGCCACGTGGCTCCTTCCACTTTTTGTTTTTCATATGCTTCTTTCGATGTAAATTGCAGGTATCTTGTATGTACTTACTTGTATGGTGTTGCAAAAATCACTACACAGGTGATGCGGATAAGAAGGAGAAGAAAGAAAAGAAGAAGAAGTATCAAAATGAAAAGTACCCACCCCAACAGGAGGAAAGGCTTGTATTGTAAAACTTTCGAGTGCAACCACTTACTTACCCCATTGCATGCATCAGCATCACAGGTTCTTTTCGCTGCAGACTACAACGCAAAAGATGTGTTGCAAAAGGCCGAGCATCAGCGGGGCTTCGCTTTTCTAGAATCTAGATGAGCGAGACTCGTAGTGCTTTTACGCAAAACAGAGATGGGTTCCAGATCCACTTAAAAACTTTGAATCAGAAACGAGTATTTCCCGGCTCTGGGGGCGTGGTACTTTTCACTTTTATAAGCTGCGCGCGATTGACGAGGAAGAAGTCGAGCAGGAGTTGTAAACTTCTTTTCGTCCACAACATAAAAAAACGTATTGGAATTTCATCACCTCTACTCTTGAAAGCAGCCAGACTTCCATAGATACTGACTCAGTTATTGGATTATTGTCCGTTTCATGCTACTAACTTACGTCCATGCTGTCAAGGCGGCTTTGTTTCCGGCCGAATGTAATGCTCCATGTGAAAAAATTCAGCTGAAATTAAGTTTCTAAAATGTATGAAATCCAAAGCTCACGAACAATACTAGCTCATGTACCTGATCTATCAAATCTCTACCCACGATTAACATGTGCTATACTTATACCATGCCCGCTGTTGTACCGTCACACGTGCACAATATTCGTAGACCTCAAAAGATGAACAGCATGAATCGAATGAATTGCAAGCACTGTTGGTCCACGAGGCTGCTGAGGCAGCAGATGCGGCGTATCCTTTCAAGCAGCGAACGTTGGTTCTGTTTTCTTTGGAATCATGAGATCATCCTATTCCTTTTTCTATGCGAAAAATCTGCAAGGATCCGGTATCAGATCAGAGAAAAAATGATCAAACTGCTTCTTGGTGATCCGCGAGAAAATGAATCAGATCTGCATCTGTAATTTGCATTTGAGCGCTTTTCGCCTTCGCGAATTTGTCATTTTTCAATGAAATCCCCACAGCGAAATCAGGTAGAAAGGTCCTTAGAGTGTGTAGATACTACGTGTACAGAACAACTGCCTCATATACCTTGACTGTGTAGTTTCTTTTATGGATTCGTTTTGAAAATGCCAACCGCCACGTGTGACCAAGATAGATTTATTTCGTTTTTCAAGCTCATTCCCCGCGAAGTGTGGAGCGCCAAGCTAGGCCTCTCCTGTGACGACGATATCAATAAAAGCGGCGACTTGACAGCGCGTGAAAGCGAACCCGGACCCAGTGCTGAATTAAATTTAGCCTGCTGTCCGGATGATGATCTTTCGGAGTCTAGCCCTTCCCCTCTTCCGTCGTACGACTTCATCCCCCAGGAAGAGTATTCGGCTATCATAGCAGACACAACTCGCCTGGAAATTAACTTCCCCGAGCCATCTTTATCATGTGATCTAGTACAAGCGACGAAAAATAATAACGTTCCAGCTTGCCGGTCTGAGAGGAACGAAGAGGGTAATTCTCAGCTTCTTTTGCCGCTGCACGTTCGCGGGGACGAAACTTTTTCTTTCCACGGAACAAAGGACAGAAAAGCCATTGGTGAAGACGATGCTGATTGGAGTCCTGCGTCCGTTTCTACCCGTGCTTTCTCAGACGCGGCGGAGGAACTACTGGAGGATGATGCAGATGAAACCGGGTGCAGTCCAGCGTCTGCTTCAGTGGAGTTCTGTGCGCTCTCTCCGGCTGATTGTTCGGAGAAACAGCAATCGAAAGAAAAACCAGTGTTAGGGCATAAGAGCACTGATGCGCAGCCTCTCGTCGTGCCGGTTGTCGGCGATTCCGCGGCATCAAGATGCAGCCGCTCCGGCAGAACTTTTCTCCTCGACGTGCCCAAAGCCACCATGCCGGACAGTTATTTCGCGAGGAGAAGGGAGGAAGCGTCTCCGCACGAGACTGCCTGCATGTACGACATTTATTTGCACGCGGACGCAGGATCTGGATCATCTTCTAGTTCTACACCCTCGGCAACCTCCGACGATGCAACGGCTGACTTCGACGCCTCAGATGCGTTTCTGCTCAAACCTGAGCACCGAATACCTGTCGGATTTGGCTTCTGGGACGCGGCGCACGCCCTAGCGGTGTTTTTGCAGCAATTTGTTCTGGATTCAAGGCGACCTGAAAACAGCGTTGTTGATCACGCGGCGGCGGCGGCGGCGGATAAGAAGCTTCATACCTCCTACGCACTAGGTGTATCAAGCCAAAAATTCGTCGACCTACAGGATAAGCGTGTGATCGAGCTTGGGTGTGGAAGCTGCCCGCTGCCAGGGCTGGTGTGTGCGCAGGACGCTTATGGTGCGCGACGCCCGGTTCTTGCTGTGGACTACGAACCTGGAGTTTTGGAGCTGGCGAGCCACAACGTTGCGCTGAATGGGTGTGCAGATGAAATTGTGAAGGTTCAACGCTACGGGTTCGGCGAGCCGGTGACGGAATTACGAATGGACCACGGGAGCAACGCTGATTCTTCTACACGTGGAAATCGTGTCCTCGACGCGGCGAAAAACTACGAAAGCAGAAGCCAAAATCACTTCGACGTGATCCTCGGAGCAGATATTGCGTACGTCCCCGCAGATATTCAGAAAAAGCTTCGAGAGTCCCTAATCGCTCTCGCAAATCCGTGCGGAAAAACGACGTTGATCCTCGCGCATTCCAGACGAAAGAAGAAGGAAGAAACCCGGTTTTTGCGCGAGCTGTGCTCTGCAGACGGGTGGGAATTACAATATGTATTTGAAGATCAGATGGAAAATCGACATACTTTTTTTGGCGCGGTGGCACATAATGCACAGCCAGACATGATGAAAACGGAAATCGACATATTCATTTTCGAACGATATTAAGGACATGTAGTAAAACTATGACAGTAAATTGACACACACAACAACTGGCGACGGAAGGGCATGATAATAGAAACGAAAAGTTGGAGGCATCTTGGAACGGTGTTCCTCGAACCCGGGACCGAAAGGAGGAAACTCAAATTGTTGAGATTGTTCCATGAAATTTATTGAAATTGCAAGCTACATCTTCTCGGAAAATGGATTTATTACAATATTCGGATTGTAGCGAAATTTTCGAATGAATTTCGCATGTGAATGAAATATCATCAAGCCTGGATTCCAATTCATCATCATATATGATCCATAAGAAAGAGAAAAACTCGCAAAGAATAAGAAAGATATGTCAACATGTTCTCATTCTCCTCATCTCTGTTTTCCATAAATGAGAGAAATGTATCGTCGATGATTGCCATCATTTTGCAAAAAGAAATTCAAGTGATTTCTCGAAATAACCGATTTTTTTTTTTTTTGAGGATCAGAATCAATCTCAATCTCCCTGTTATCTTATGAATCTCATGACTTCCATAGGAATGGGGTAATAAATTATCTCGTAGAATGGATAATATCATATTCAAAATGGATTTTCTTCCCATCCGATTGATCGGTTGATCTCATTCGAAAAAATCCGTAGTAGTTTGTAGTTAATCTAAATTTGATGGTGACAGAGAAGAATTGATGGGAGAATTGAATATAGCATATTTTTGGGTCTTGAAAAATGCAATAGCAACCATGCCCAGCCATCCATGAAAAGAAAGAATGAAAGAAAGACGAAATTATTCTTGTGACAGGAAAAAGATGATCAAGAGAACAAAGAAATTGAAAATGATTCTGTGGATCCTTTAAGTTCTTGAATATGGAAAGAATGAATGAAAGATGATCTCATTCAGAGATGATTAATTATTACAACTGACATTAATTGAGAATGAGAAAAAGTTTTCTCTTCTGAGAGAATCCAAAATGCAAATAGAATATACAATTTATTGAAAAAAATTGAATAGAATCATTTTGATTTTTTGAGAAAAATAGAATGGATGAAAATCGAAAAATTGAATCTTCATCCATCATAATTTATTTTTTGATTTGATTTGATTACACTCTTGCAGTCTGTTTACCGTGCATGGCACGTAAGTCAAGAAAAAAGGTTTCTTCCTTTGTATGCTCCTGACTGAAGTGACAGGCAGCAATTGTACTCCTGGCTGAAGGTGTGCCAGGCAGTACTACATCATTTATTCACGATGCTGTTACGTGAATGAAGTTCTTTGTTCAAAACGCATGCGACTCTTGCATTTGTCGCATTACTACATCAAGCACGCGCCCCATGATAACACGCACAGGACTGCCGTGTTTGCTGGTAGTCGTTACTCCGAAATTGCGAGATGTCGGAGAAAAAATGAAGATGAAGATAGTGGTCTGCAATTGGCTATGGGTGCAGGTGCATCCATCTATTTCTTGCCGTTCTTGCCGTTCTTCCCCTTGCCCTTCTTGCCGCCCTTTTTCTTGACGTTACCATTGGCCTGGCCGTTGTCGGTGTCCCTCGGCTTGCCCATCTGCATCGGTTTCAACTTCAAGCCACGACTGAAGTACTTACGGTAGGGATTCGCATCGACCATGCGGGCCAGATCCATCACCTTGCTATGCGACTCGCCAAGGTGAAAAACGATCTGGATCCAGTTGTTATTTTTCCAGTTGATGTACTCAACAAGCTCCGGATTGTCCTGGACCACCTTCCAGACCTCGACGAAAGCATCCTTCTTGGCAGTGAAGTCGGCTTTCTGGTCGTCCGACCACGATTCCTCTAGCTCCTTGAGCTCCGTGGTTCCGTCGTCCTTGGTCTGGTACTCCATCTTTTTCGGAGATGGCTGAGCACCATGGAAGTGGGTACCCATCAAGCGGAGGAACGAGGACTTCTGCTCCTTCGTGAAGTTCGTCAAAAAATCGCCATTGGGGGAGTTGTCTTTCCGCGGCCAGCGGATTTCCGGGCTGTTGAACTGCACCATCAAGCAGCGCTCTTTCTCGATGCGCTCGACACGTCGCTGCATCGTTCGGCTTGGTGCAGACGCAAAATTTTTTTTCCTTGTAGTACGGCGAGATGGTGAAACTAGGTAGACCACTGATAGAGACAGGAATTGGAGCAAGTATTTGTGCGAGAACGACGTCATTCAAAAACAGCAGAAAGCGCAAAAAAACAAAAACGCCAATAGCAGACAGAAAGATCAAGAGAGAAGCAAAACCGGAACGGGCTACAGGGAGTGGGTGTGTGCGCCACTGTGTAGCCGTAGTGGGTATGTGCGCCACTACAAACGTGGGTGTATGCGCCACGTGTCAATCCTTGCTTAAACGGCGCACAGGGAGTACTTATCATCATCAATTTTTTCCAACAACAAAACACAAACGAAGCACATCGAGAGATTGATAGAACACGCCAAAGGTTTAGTCTAGTCCACAATGGGGTTGGCAACATCAAACGCTTGCAAATCAGCCAAATACTGCAGGACCTCGTCCTGCCGCCGCCCCTTTTTCTGAGCGGGGTCACATGTCAACGCATGTTGTGTCAACTTGCGTGCACACTGCACGCCCTGCCCACTAGTGGCCTTGCCGTCAGTGCCTGTTGTGCCGCACTTTTTGCAATGCCAACGGTTGCCCCATGGCAACTGTGTTCGTCCTCCTGCATAGGTTCTAATGCAAATTACTTGATCAAAATCAACACCAGAATAATCAACCTTCGCACACCTAGTCTTGTGCGACTTGAAGCCGCTGCCGCCATCTGGAAAACGCACAAAACAATGCGGGCACTGGTGCTGCGAGATGACGCTGTGGCTGGCGATCAGCTCGCCCTCTTCGTGCACGTTCTTCCGTAGTCGGATCTCGCTGGCGCCAGCATTGACCCCATGGCCGGCATACAACTCGTCGCGCCGTTTCTCGACATTGCCGCCGCCGTCTGCTGCGTACGCTGCCAGGCGCTCTTGCTCCTCAATCTTGCGAATGTAGAGCGTAGCCGCCTCGTGCCACTGCTTGCGCGTCATGTCAGGTCGGAGTTGCGCGCGCGCCAAAATTTCGAGCCACTGCTTGGCCAAAGTCCTGCGCTGCATCCGCCTGTTTCCTTGCGCACCTGCTGCAACTGTGATCAACTTGCCGTAGATCAGGTGGTGGTCGGTGCGTCCGGCCGGGAAGCGAGCGCGGTACGTGTTGCCTTTTTCTACTCCTTCGCCCGGCTCGTCTCTTCCCATTCGGATTTTGTGTCCTAGGTAGTCGATAGTGATTCTCTCGATCGCTGTCCGCGCACTCTGAGTGCCGAACTTTCTCCGTAGTGTGTAGTTGTTGGCCACCCCACACATTCCCGGAATTGTGGTGCCTGTGATGGTCCGCAGCATCTTGTTGATGAACACATTTGCTTCCTGATAACTGCGCTCGTTCCACAGACGCACCGCCGCATTGTAGTAGACATGAGAGAGGACGTTGGATTTGATCAAACTGCCTCGCTTGTAGTAGTTGATCCGTCCACGCGCCCGCAGTAGAATCGGCTTCCACTCTGCCCACGCCCCGCGCGCCTTCTTCAAGTGCCGCTCGAGGCACACTCCTGCGCTGTGGTACGTCGACAACTCACATCCTACAACTTTTACTTTCTCTTCGAATCCGGGTGGTATGGGAGGCTTTCCGTCTTTCTCGAGGGGTCCGGGGTAGTGGAAATGTGGTCCCTGCAGAAGAAGCCGCTCCGTTTTGTCCGGGTGCACTTCCTGGCCGAAGGTGGTCGCAACGTCCTTGATCGTGCTCTCAACCTGGGGCGCCTCCCGGAGTGTCGTCGGTAAGGTGGCATCATCTGCAAAGAGCAGAGCAACAACCCGCCGCACCGCCGCGGGGTCGATGTTCTGCGTGTCCGTGAAGGCCGCAAGCTTTGACAAAAAATCGCCCGTCACTGCTAACTTGATGCCGTCTAGCCTGCGCGCCAGCTCCCGATACATGATCTCGCTTAAAATTCCGTATCCGTCGGGGCTGGATGGTCCTCCTTCCTTCATCCCACGCGTCGCTCTCCACTCTTCTGACGGCTCGCGGTCCACCATGATGTAAAACGTCGCCTTGTCGTGTAGGTGCGCCAAGAAGTCCACGTTCGTAGCCGGAACGCCCGCACGCCGCAGGATGCGGTATACAAGCTCCCGAATCACGCTCGGAAAGGCCTTCTTGAAGTCAATCAGGATCAATGCAATTTCATCCAAGATCGACGCGCGCGCTACTGTTCTCGTCTGGTCGGCAATGAACTGCAACATCATCACCAAGTCCGCCGTCGAGCAATCAGACCGAAACCCGCGCTGCGTTGCTGTCTCCCGGTAGAAACCAATCCCCTCGAGGTAATGCTTGAGCCGCTTCTGTAGAATGGTCTCGCACAACTTAGAGAGAAAGGTCGCGACCGCAATTGCTCGATAGTTGTCCAGCAGCCGCGGATTAAGGTTCTTCCCCTTGTAGAGGGCATTCATGCGCACCAGGTGCGCCGCATCCGGTATGGTTTTCGTTTTGAAACAATCCTGCACCAAGTTCACCAAAAAGTCCCAAGTTTCGTCGCCGAGGTGCTTGATGTGGGCAATGTGGATCTGATCCACCCCCAGAGCGCAATCTTTCATCTGCTTGACACAGTGAGCAATCTCGCCCTCGCTGGGTATGCCCCACATCGGGTCCGCCGATTCCGGTTGCTGGTCTAGGTTTCTCTCCAAAGCCTCCTGGAATCCTTGCGGAACTTCCGCCGACCGCAGCATCAGCTTGCTGAAGTGCGTCTTCGCGTCCTCTACGGTAAACGGGATCGCCTGTCTCACCCTTGCCCCCGCTGTTGGTTCGAAGATCACGCCTGTTCGCCGTAGCCTTGCGTAATCTACTCGCCCACACTGGCCATACTCTGCCTGGCACTGGTCTGCAATGCGGTCGATGTAGTCTTCGAAGTCCAACTTCTCGGCAGCACGGTAGTCCTTCTCGATTTTTCGCAGTCGCCTGTTTAGCTCCTGCCTCTCGTTCGCGCCGTCTGCTAAAAATCGGGAGCACAGTAGGTCCTCTTTTTCGTTCTTGTACTCGCGGAACTTCCGAACGTTCAGCCATGGGGGATACTGCTGCGCCCCCCTCTCCTGATTCGTCGGAACCACCGCCGTCGCGCTGTTTGCTACTACCGTGGTGAACTTTTCCCACCTCTCCGCCAAACTGCTGCTCGTCTCTCCTCGCTGCTCGTTCCGCAGGTTCGCGTCGGTCTCCGAGCCAAACGCCGTCTGTGCTGCTTCGTCGCGCCGAAGCGCTTCATACGGTGGCGTCGGCGTTATCGTCATGACCCGATGTCGGATCTCGCGCCTGTCCTTCTGCGAAAGCCCTAACTTGACGGCCATGCGCTTGCCGCGGTGGTCGGTGAGAAATTTCGGCTGGATGGTTTTCACGTTTCCAAACTGTATCTTTCGCGATGTGTAGAAATAGTCGATCTCATACCACCGCCCGGTTGCTGGATGCCTCCACGTTCCTCGCCTGTGGATAGCCTTAAATGTGTCCGGAATACACAACATGTTGTCGATGGCAAGTCGCATGTTGCTGTGTCCCGGACGGGGGTTCGCGGGGGGCTCCAACAGCAAGGCCGGCCCGATTGCCATCGCCGCACCTGCTTGCTCATCTTCCGGCACTTGTGGGAGCTGGGAAATTGCTGAGTTGAAGTCGCCGCCGAAAATGATGCTGCTGGTCCCCGTCGCAAACAAAAGTTTTTCACGCCAAAGCAAGAACTGGTCCAGTTCTGCGAAGTCCGCCACCATGTCGCTTGGCTGATATCCCACCGCAAACCACGTCCCGCGAATGAAAATCGCCATAATGCGGGGGCCGAAATACTTGACGACCGGCTTGATGAGAGATTTGCCGTCTGCTGCGAACAGTATGGACTTGTGCAAGACGATGGCCACCCGTCCGCCTCCGTAAACGTAGTGCTGGCCGTGGGTGAACTCATACCGCTTGATGTGTGCGCCACGTGCTCCGCTCCAAGCTACATCGGAAAGGAGGGCGACCTTCGCCTTGTTAGCCGCGATGTGTTGGAACACACCACGGACTTTCTCCGCCTGTTGCACCTGCTGAGGAGGAGCCGAGTGATCGACGCCCTCCAAGTACCGAAAATTTGCCCGCTGGCAGTTCTGTGTCAGTACAAAGACCCAGTCTCCTGGTGCTACCGGTTGATTGCAAGCGCGGTGGGGTCTGCGGATCCTGGTCGGGTCTCTGCGACCGCCCATGATCCGCTGGTGCTGCAAAACGAAGAAGCAAAGAAATGTAACGACTGCCAACATGCTCTCGGACCTGACAATGAAGCGCCCAGCGGATCCGGAGTCTGCTACGCCGGGACGCCCTCGGTTAACGTTCTAGTTAGAGACCCTCACATCGTTTGTCGCCCCGTCGTCGCTAGTAGTGAGCAAAGAAAAGGACAAAGACGGCGCGCTTCCCTTTTACCCGCGAGGTGGTGATGTGAGGAGGGACGAAGAGAACGAGATTACCATTCTGCCATTACACCCCTTAGTTTTTGTGTGACCCCCAAAAAGAAAAAATCCTCACGATGAGGGTGGCGCAATTATTTCAGCCACATATATTTAAGACAAATACTTCATGATCAACCCATCATAATTTATTCCAATTTATCTCTAATTTTCGTTTTCCGACTCATTCAAAAAAAAATTATTTTTCTCGATGGAATAATACCAAAATCAATCAATCATCCATCATAAATGTGAATTCTCAAAAATATTTGACATATTCCGATATAAATCCAGATGCAGATCCTGGGAGAATTCCAAAATAAAAATCGGAATACGAAAGAATCTGCAAAAGATGGAACCATCGATCGAATTTTTCAATCAATGAATGAAAAATTCAGATAAAAAATTTTTTCGGATCGGATATTCGAATACCCAGGAATATGGAATAACAAAAAAATCAAATATTCTTTCTTGTCATGTCTGGTCATGACTCAGATTGTCATTGTGGCCCGGTCCGAAATTGTCTGTCATCATTCTCATCATCATGTAATTCTCTCGAATGATGAAGATAAGGATAAAGATAAAGATGATGAAATAGAAAAATGGTAATATTTGAAGAGTAAAGAGTGTCAGGATCTAGCTCAAGAGTCAAAGATTAATCTATCCCTTGCTAAGCAGAAAGTCATGATGGTCCATCAAATATTCCAAGATCAATCCAGATTCAAATATTTCTTTTTTGATTCATTCATGAATCGTTACTTTCTTTCTTTCTTTCTTTCCATGCCCGGGCATGGCTTCAAATGTTCAAGGCCCTAAAAGTTCCGTTGCAATCCCATGAGAAAATTAAGAATCTGATTGATCTCATCAAAAATCAAAACAATGACCAAGATGGAATCCGAAGATGAAGATGATCATATTTTTCAAAATGTTTGTAGGTTTCGGGTACTCACACAGAAAACAAAATGAGGATCAGAGCTGGCTGATGTTTCACCGTATTCAGCTTTACACAAATGATATGCATTTGCGAATTCATGGACCACCACGACGAGGTGTGTTGTTGTGATATTCATCCTTGGGATTGTTTCTGAGTTATCTTGTTTGTTTGTTGTGGATGGCCACGTTGAACTTCTTAAAAATGTTTTGCTTTCTCCTCACGTAAAGTTTTTTTTTGAAAAAAAGCGAAAGCGGAAGCTGAAAATCAAGTCTTGCAGCTGTTGTCGAAGACCAGCTGAAATTCTAAAAGTTACTGCTTGCTGCAACGCGCAGAGAAGGTTTTTTGTTTTTGTGTGTTTCTTACTTTTTAGCTGTCTTTTCCTAGTGTGATTCAGATCGTAGACGATCTGTCTTACGCAGCTGTTGCTGAGTCTATCTTTTTTCGTTTTAGGTTATTAAACTCCTTGACTTTGAGAGATTGACTAGCTGACTTTGAGCGCTACCTATCGCGACCTTCGCGCCTCAGATATTACTTCCTCCGTTGTGTAGGTGGGCCAGCCGTCCGTGTGCCGTCTAGCCCATTTCGAGGCACGTAAACGCGTCGCCTTCCCCAGGTTGATATCACTGCGCTTCTCTGAGTGGTCTCTTTCGGTATTTATTGCTTAACACTCCTAGTCATTATAGTTCTGACCATGGAAACTATGCAAACCACTGCTAGGAGAGTGCGCCCACTCTGGCTCTTTTGTCTGGGCGCAGGCGCTTTCCAAGTGTTTGCACTAGAAGCACTGCCTTTGTTGTCCACAACGCCTTCGTTGGCAAAGACGTTGCTCTGCAGGCAGGGCGTGGGGGCTAACGATGAAAATCAAGAATCCATGGCGCATGCTACGGCCCGGCCAAGACGCCCAGTAGCGTATCATACGCTACCGGTCGTCTTGGGCGGGCTGCGCCTTTTTTTTTCCTCCACCCGAGAGTGCTAAATTAATTTTGAAAAGCAGCCGACATCACCAGACGCCGCGGAATAAATCAGACCCCTGTTGCTCTTGTGGCCGCGCCATGCTGACGCCGAGTCATGGCAGGCGGCTTGGCGTTTTGGTTAGATTTCTGGCCGCGAGTTTGGTGCCTCTGTCTGGGCACACAAAACAACTAGAATCTGGGGCGCTGGGCGCCTTGAAGGGTAGCACGCAGTGCCGCTTTTGCCGCCTGAAGTGCGTCGCTTGTCATGTGGCAGCCGCTAGGATGCCGTCACACCCAGAGCCGCATCGTAATTGGAAAAGGAACGCGTGGTACGTACGACATTGGCGGCCATTTCGTTTCCGCGGGAGGTGTTAAAAAACAAAGAGCCAGCAGTGTAGAACCCTCGCAACCTCGGTGCGCACAAAAAGAAAAAGTTTCATTGCGCTCTCTGTTATCGGATATAGAAATTCATAAGTAAGTACTTATCGACGTCCACTGGTTCCCTGCTGGTGCTAGGCGACACACTTTGACATGTCTCGTTCACAAAACGGACGAGCGGGCAGGCGCAGGACCGGAGGTCACACATTCTGAGAAGAGCGGGGAGGTGAGGAAGCTACATCTTCGTCATCCAGTGCTACTTTCTGCGCCGGTTTGTTAGACTTATCACGTTGGGCTTGCTCAGCGCTCTTCTGGTCCAACGTCCCGTAGCCGACCGTCGCTCCGGCAGGCGACAGTATTTGCCGTTCCGCTGGCTGCGTCTGTGCGGACAGTTGCTCCTGCTGGTCTCGGTCCTTTCCCGGAGATTCGGTCATCGAGGCACCGCGCTCCCCTCTTTCGACATCCACGAAGTTGCGGGGCGAAGCTGTTTCATTTTCACTGATGTCGCCATCGTCGGGGGAAGATCGTGTGCCGCAAAAACGGGTCGAAAACCAGCCCACGCGTTTGGCCCTGAGGCTTGGATGGCGCACAGCGTAGAGGAGTAGAAACACAACCACCGCGATGACGACGAAGATAAGGGAAACGAATACGACTTCCGCATGGTCGTGAATGACGTCTTGCGCGGCGTGTATTCCGTAGGCGAAGAAGTACTGAAGGTTGGAGTGCGCTGGATTTTTTGAATGTGGGTGAGCGTCTACGGTCTCCGCGGTCGATGACTGCATGGGCGTTCGCATCTTCAAGCTCCCGTCTTCACCATATGTGGCGCTGCTGCTGCTCAACATAGCAGATTGCGACCACGTGCTCGTCGCGCCGTCGCTGCTAAGCCGCCTGTTATCAAAACTGGGGGCCTGCTTCTGGCTGATAGTGCCTGTGATCTGCTTCTGAGTCGGTCCTTCCTCCTCTTGCGAGAGCGACGCGGTGGTTGCTATTTCGATGGACGAGATAGCGCTGGGCAGGTCGCCGTCATCCTTCTTGGCATTAGGGGTTGGCAGCTCGTCGACCTCCAGTGCCACCATTGCTCCTTGCTCACCTCGGTTTACCTCAGTGGATGCTTGCCCTACTTCGGTGACTGGTTTTTCATCGATCCCATACTTCCTCAAATCGGAATACGAGGGCAGTTGGACCGTGGGTGGGTCTTCTGCAGTAGCCCGATCACGAAACTTCTGAATCGTCGGAGAGGGGCTCTCGACATGTTCCCCTTCTGAATCGTCAGAGAGGGGTACTCGAAAGAGCAACCAACTCGGTACGGCTTCATATGATTGCGCTTGCGCACCGCTCGGAGATTTACCGCTCGGAAATTTCTTCACATAGATACAGGTCGCCCACTGGTTGGTTTTTCCATACGGACTTTCATCCGCTGTAGGTGTTGTGAGAAAGTTTAATGCGCCGTCACTGTACTTCAAGCAGCGCATGCTTCGCTGCTTGACGTCTACGATGACAAGAAGGTCCTTAATCCCTTCTTCAGCAGCTTCCATTTCAGCGAAAGTCTCCTGCGTAAACACATCCACGTCGTTTTTTCCGCAATAAAATTTGAACTGCTCCGATTTCGTCGTGGAGATCTTATTGTCTTCCGTCGTAGGCAGGTTTGGGGGGTGTCCCCGACACCAGGCAATCCCTTCCTGAAGATTTATTGGCCCACTATCTCCTTCAGCCTTGGCATTCCTAAATGGCTCTACTGTCTTGAGTGTTTCTTCATTCAGCCCATTATTCCTCAATGTTGAATATGAGGGCAGTTGGACGAGCTTGCTTTTGCCTTTTTGATCTTTGGGATTGGGTGTTGATCGCTCACGCAGCTCCTTAATTGTCTCAAAGGGGCAGCGAAAAAGCAACCAACTCGGTGCGAATTCACGCGCTTGTGTCTTGTCAGGTGGTGGGGATGAAGACGAAGGCACTGGAGAGAGGTCTTTTGTTGTTCCGGAGAGGTCTTTTGTTGGTCCGGAGAGAGGTCTACAGGTCGCGGAGAGGCCTTTTACTTGTCCATACGGAAACGCTGTTGTAGCCTTTGTGAGGTGATTCAAGGCCTCCTCGCTGTACTTGAAGCAACGCAGTGCGTTGCGGGTGAAGTCCACAACGATAAGAAAAGTTTCTTGCGGGTCTTCACCTACTTTCGTTACCCCAAAAAAAGCATGATTTGCCGATGCGAATTCATCATCGGTGTCTTTTTCGCAATAAAATGCAAACGGTGCTGGTGTTGCGGCGACATCGATCGTTTTCGGGAGCTGAGAACCGCGGGAGGTGTCGGAGCCAACGGCTCCAACAATAGGCGAGCCCTTCGTCGAGGTTTATTGGTTGGCCGTCGCTGCCTTCGGATCGGGCGGCTTGCGCTGCAGTCGAGGCCTTCCCTGACGACACAGTCGTAAGCGCCACCTGTGGATCTGCTCCTGGTGCTACCATGCCCTGCTTTTTAACAATACGGAGCATTTCTTCGCAGTCGTTGTCTTCATGAGCTGCCGCGGTTCCCGCATTGGCGCTGGCGAACGCGAGACGGAGACAGGGCGGCTTCATGAGGCCGGCTATCTGACTCCACGGCTTGGGTCCGGTAACCTTTTCTGCAGAAGCCAGCCTGAGGACGCGGCTGTTTATCTGCTTGCGTGTGCTTTGCGGGGCTGGGCAAAACAAAACCGACGGGAAGCCAGTTGATGTAGCGGATTGTCCTTGTGATGAAGTAAGCGTGATGCGTGCGGGCAGCAAGGCCGCGAGATCCGGCGCGACGGGCTCTCCAACGTCTGTCTTCATTCCACACTCGGCCTCGTTAACAAACACACCACTTGCGTTAACGCAATCATCACAGACAATATCGTTTTCTCTCTTTGGATCTCCGGTCACTTTCTTCTTGATATGGTGCGAAATAGGTGCGGTCCCGATGTTCGTTGTGTTTTTTTGTCCATTCACTTTTAAGTACTCAATTCGTCTCGCTGCAATGCCTTTTTAGGCCAGAACACCTACCACGAGGGAGCTGCACCTCTTTCGTACCATGCGTTGGCGGCACTGTTCTTGATGCCTACCTTCTCCTGCTCCGGTTGCTGCCGTTGCACAAGGTCCACCATCTCCTCCAGGAATTCCTCGAAAGCGTTAAAAGTTCGCATTGCCTTTTCCTCGACCCCCAGCGGTGTAGCCTGAGGAACAAAGCCATTCGCACGCAATTCCTTCCTTTTCTTTTGGACCTTCTTGTAAAGCTCTGCCAGTCTTATTGTGCGGATCAATCCCCGTGCCCATCTTAGTGAAGCAGACATTGCTTAATATGCGTGATTTGCTTGCATTGCTATGCTAGAAGGCGAAGAGACGCAGCTGCGGCCTCCTTAGTTTATTCTCTGATTTGTTATGTTATTCCGGGCAAAGCAGTGGACTCCTGACATCAGCACTATATTGTGTACAGAAACCAAGCATGACAAGTTTTTTGTTTTTGGAATGTGGGGAGGGGGGATCTTTCATTCTGATAAATCTCGCGGCGTAATTTCTTGCCGCCTGTGCATCTACCTCCAGATGCCCGTTTCCCATGTTCGCGCCTATTCGGATTGCGCAACTTGTGCGTTTGAAGTACCGACGAAGGTTTTCTGGATAGTCGAACAGTTCTGCGACTGCGACGGACCGGACTAGTCGGGAGCTGCCCGCTAACTTCTGAAATGTACTAATGGAGAGCCCTTCGGTTTCGCACCAAACATGCAACAGCAGGCCTGTCCTTCTATTGTAGTCTTCTCTTCGTCCCGGTGCCGGATTCGACTGCAGGAGGTTGACAATCGCACCCTCGTCGGAGATCTTGTCATGGATTCGAAACATCAGCTCGTTCGCTGTTTTCTGTACGCTGGACGCCGGGACCCGCCATTGTTCATCTGCGCCAGCATCTCCTGCAGCTTGACGGTCTGACCCATGCAACAGATACCGCGCAAGTGTACGCGCCGTGTCCGGAGGGGCGCATTCTGTGCGAGACAGGGGGCTTTTCAAAAGCAGGGGAACCGGACGGGGGCCCATGATGGCGACCGCGAAGTCGGGCCACTCTCTTTTCACGGCATCCACGAGGTCAATTTTGCCTGTGCTCGCACTGGATAGTTTCACCCCGGAGGGCGCTTGCACGGCCGTGCCGCTTGTCGCCAAGCTATTTGTAGCAGTTGTAGGCTGTCCATGTCCTGTGTTGGGAGCGCTGTCCTGTGCAACGACTTGTTCTTTCACCGTGGACGCACCAAGACCAGCACCAAGAGTTGCCGGGACGCCACCAAGAGCGGCCCGGACGTCACCAAGAGTGGCCCGGGCGCGGCCCATAATGGACTTTTCATCCTTATCCTTTTTCGGAACAAAGGGATCGATGGTGCATCTGTTTTTCAGCTCTTCTGGTGTAGCTGGCGCAGCTGGTGAAAGACAGGAGGTATCACAACGCTCATCCGCATAGCGTTTTATTTGTCGCCGTACCACACAGTATGCGTAAACAACAATCGCTAGCCTGGTCTTGTCAAAGTCGTCGAGCGAGGATGAGCTTTTCCAGCCATCTGCAAGGCTCGCAAAGCCATTGATGCCGGAATAGGCACGCCACGAACTGAAGGACACGCCTTGTACTGCCCCGTAAATGATTTCGAGCTTTTTACGTGCGGCATCCTTCATTTTGCCCCGCTCTCCAGGCGAGAATGTCATTTCCAACACCCTCTTCCTCGGTGCCTTCCTTACGTCCAGTCGACCATTGTGGATTCCGAAGGTAACTTTTGGCTCCGGGAGGACCTGCGGCATCCCGGATCCTGCGGCGGTTTCAGGAGGTGAGAGAGGGGATCGCGTCGATGGCGTCGATAGCGTCGCGAGTTCGTCCATCACTATCATGTCTCGGAATGTGCTCGGCTGCAAGCGGCCCATTTCCTTCAGGTTTATTAGCAAATTGCTTGGTTCAAGGTCGAGTTTAGTCTCGCCTTTTCGCTGCTGCGCCTCGGTTTTCTCGGCCTCATTATCCGCGATCAGTGTTCCAGAGAGTTTCGGGCCCACTATTGGCGAGCTTTTAGAATCGTAGGCAAGAATGTCTTCATCAGTGGTTTCGCGCATATCTAGCAATTCCGCAAGCAGTTCCTCGCCATTCGCGCGTTGGGGGAAATCTACATCGGCAAATTTGATTTCGTGCAGGTCAAACGCCTTGTACCAACCAAAAACAAAAGCCGTTGTATAGCGCTGAAAAAGTGGTCATACTCCAATACCAACACGCGCAAACTGTGAGACAAAGGCAAGTCTTGGCTCGCATCTTTCGGCGTGCGAGTTACTGTCTAAAACATGCAGCTAGTGAGTGGCTCGAGCAAGTCCTTTGTGAAAGCTTAGACACCGGGGCAAGACCAAACACTGCGAGTAGACGCGTAGTGTGAGTTGGTTGCGAAACTCACTGCAACACCACGCTGCCTCCTCCCCCGTGCGAGCAAATCAACATCCAAAGAGCCGTCGATGTCGAGCAACTCGCCTCTCATGCTCGACCTGCCGGCAAGCCGGACCCCAGAATCACAGTGCAACGCACGTTTTCAGGGATCGCGTTTGTTATTTTCTGTTGCAAACATCCACAAAAGTCGCAAAAACTGACGAGCTGAACAGCCTGATTTCGGGTGGCCACTTGCGTGAAAAGTGGTGCTTGTGCTTCTGCGTAGAACATCAGACCTAAGTGGCCACACTCAAAAGCATAGATTTTCACCCGTCACACTTTTTTCTCAAAAATTCGTAAAAGCTGGCAAAGAAAAGTATGACTATGACCACTTTTTCAATGCGATATGCTAGTCTAGCGGAGTACGTTCCGTAGTTGTTGCCTGCATCGGGACCCGCTCCGTCGGATGGAAGAGGTACGTTTCGAAACGTATTGCGTAGCCGGACGGCGACGCCCGCGGCTTGAAGCTCAACTGGGAATAACTCCGGAACATTGTGCACAGCAAAGTTCGCTTGCCAATTCGGAAGTGATTCGAAGCGAATATCTCGATATCCTTTTACGATCCGATAGCTATACGGTTTAGCAGCTTCATGGCATTTTGCTACTGCTTCTGTCTCTCCATATACAGTGAGTTGAAGCGCTGTGCTAGCTGTCGTCTGCGATTGGTCTTCGCCCTCCAACTCGTCGACGAAAAGAGATGAACCAGTAGACGTTCCAATCATGCTGCTGGCACTTGGGCCAGAGATTTTGCCGGTGGTACGCGGAGACGTGGAAGTAACTGCGCGCAACGTTCCTGAGTTTTTACTTGGGTCTGCCCCTGCAGCGTTTCTTGAGGGTTTAGGTGGGGCGGAAGGACTCGGTCTAGGAGGCGTCAGATGCTGCTGCTGCGCCTGCGTTTGCGAGTGTGGATCAGTCGCCAATCCGGCAATCCGTGCATCCGAGTTCGCGGCACTAGAGCGTGACAATGCATTCTCGGAACTGAGCGTGGGGAGAGGGGTCGACGACGAAAAACCTTCTTCGTCCAATTTTTCCCGGTCGGTTTGTTGACTCGCCCCAGTGGTAGTTTCACCCTCCTGCGCGGCATCGCGAGCCACACCAGCAGCCGTTCGATCAACTAGCCCGGTACAGTCCTGGATGAAGAAGAAGGACCACCAGCGTGGTCGAGGTCGCAAAAGCAAAACAAACGTCATGCGCATCCTTTTCACAGCATGGCCAGGGCTTGGGCGATCCATTGAGGATGCCTGAGTGACACAGACCTTCGTCAAGGTTTTGTCGTGATGTTTCGCCTTCAGCCGGAGTGGCCCACGGTCACTCGCGGTTCCACGGCCATTAGTGAGCGAAGCCGATGCAACTCGAGTAGTAAATTATAATTGCCCCACACACAGTGGTGCTTGGCCACTGATTTCTTTCAATAAAAGCAGCACCTCACGCTCACACGCGCACGTGTCCATTTTACGTGGCGCTTCCACCCTGGTTGCTATTCTCTTCTTGATGTTGCTCTCTGGTGCGTCGCACTCCTGATGTGGTAAATCAGAGCCATGCATAAATTTTCTTTATCCCACGGCTGCGTCCCGGGGCAAGCGCGACGACATTTCCTCACACAAGTTGCCACAGCCATACAGGTTTTTTTTGTGCCTCGTGCAACTAGCTACATGAAGAGCATCATTTGATGGACATCATCTCATCAATTCCCTTGCCACCACAGGGTGGCACTCTCCTGAGAACCAAAAATATTTTACGTGGGTCCACACTACAAATTGAAATTCCGCCTCTAAACCTACGAATGCAACGTCATAGATTAAATGAAGCCATAGATCCTGCTATGGATTCCGCAACTTTTCAACTTGTAGCCAATGAGCAATATTGAATCTGCACTGCTTCGGAATACTATCAAAATCACAATCAGTCCGCTCTCTCTGAAGATTCTGGCCCCTTTTCCTCGGCCTCAACGTCGTGTTCGGTCAAAGTACGTGTATCGCCTCACTACAAGTGAACAAGCTGCACCAGAAGAAATTGGTTTGTGTCGGGTACTATCATGCAAGGGCGCTAATCGGGGTCGAAAGCGTGTTCATCATCCTCATTCGTGCTGAGAGCTAGCATCATTTTCCAAAGTTCTTTTTGTTCGCGCTCGACGATTTTTTGTTCTTCAGCAACATGTAGAAAATGCTCCAGCAGCGGCCCGACTTCAGTGTTGCGATTTAACGTTTTTCTAGCTAGGACTTCCGCGTTTTCGTGAAGCGCGGCGACAATGCTTTCATACGTTTCATCATTTAACAAATTCATCAGCTCTGTTGCCAGCACCCCGCCCGCGCAGCCGATACGGGGGTTGTCGAAAAATGTCGTTACCCACAGCGAAGATGTCGAAGTGGCGTTGTTGGTACCAAGAACCGGATTGGTACCCAGGGTAGTAGTGGTTGTGTTCTTCCAACAGCATATTCCTACGTGCGGCTCTTGATCTGCAGCAGACCTCGTCAACAGGATCTCCTGCTTCCCCTTGCGCGGCCGCAGTCGGGGTAACACTGGTCGCAGGTTTTCGGAGAGGTTGTAGTCCCAAAGAGCCTTTAGTTCCTCGGCGACTGTCGGGTGCAGAAGCTCGGCAGAAGGCATTCCAAGGAAAGAAACATATGGCAGAGCAGAGCCTGACCTTGTCTCGCTCTGGCCACCGTAACCAAAGCCGTCGGTATGCGTCTTCTCGTGAATCGTGTCAACATCGCCGCACAAATTTTCGCGCTCACCGCTGGCCACATAGCTTCCACTCCCTTCAGAGTCGACATGAACGGGTGGAGAAATGTTAGGCGGCGGCATTTGACCGCTCTCCCTGGCGCCGCCAGTGGAGAGCGGGTTTGCGACTTCACAAGAAAAACTCTCTTCTGCGAGTCCATCCTTGTGCGAAGCGGTAATGAGGGCGACCGCGAAATGCGCAGCGCAGCGGCCGAGGTTGTACGTGTCGAGGAGCTCGCAGTTTGCTGGCTGGTCATTCATGAAGGGGACGCAGAGCGTCGGCACAGAAAAACCAACGGCCTCGGACAGTCCACCGGTTCCGCAGTGGGACAAGAATGCAAATTTGATGTTGTTGGCGCCGCTGTGAAGAAGATTTTTATCTGAGTACTTCTTTCTCCACCGTCCAAAGTGGCGAAAAAGTTCTGCCTGTGGGGCCTGCCCCGGGATGAGGCGCACGTTCGACGGCAGGGACGTAGGAACGTCCGACAGAAGCCGCGCATACACCACTTCCCTGACCACCATGCAGAATAGCACACGAGGAAGTTTGGTGAATTCGTCGAATAGATAGCGCAGCCCAGTGTCGGTAAACTCGATCGTGCTTTGGGTGCCCCAGGAGACGTAGACTAGAGCGTCGAAGGCTGATTCGCGCATCAGATTCTCCATTTCTCGAAGAAGCGGCGAAACAATCTTGCGCTTGGGGTCGAGGGCTGCATGATCTTCAACCTCCGCCTCCACAGGCTGCTCGTATCAAATGTAAAAATGTCTGGGTCTGGAAGAATGCAACTGGTGATGCTAACTTTGGACTCTAGAAAAATCTGTATTGCATGACCAGCAAGAGGAGTCTGCTTTGTGCTACGCGGGGAGGGCGTTTGTCATGCGGAGTAGGCATCAGGAAGCCCTCTCAAAATCTGTGATGCGCGGTCGTGCATTATAGACGTCCTGGGTCATGCAAAACATGCATGACAAATCTCAGAATCTTCCAGACCCAGACATTTTTACATTTGATAGCTCGGTGACGAGCGCAAAAGGTGCCGAGATCGGCTGCGCCGAGCGCGCGTCGCGAACCGTGAATCGTTTCGCGATAGCATCTGCGTCGGGTGCCGGTCGTGCCGGCCAATCGAGAAACGTGCTGGATGTCGGCGTGGAAGACGCTGTGTCCCATGCTTGCGGTTCCCCTGCAGGGGTCGAAGATGGGCCAGAACTAAGCTCCTGAGTGCCAGCAGCAGGGTTTAGTGTTTGCAGATGTTCCTGCCTGCAATACACGCCGTTGGCACCAGCGCAAGTTCCTAGTGCGTTTCGCGCAGAAATGGTTTTGTTAGAATTGCCTTTTTCCATTACCATCTCCGCACTGCGTGGTCTGGTTTCGCCGTCCTGAGGAAGCTGGTCAACCACCGGCAGGAAATGGTTGATCAGGCGCGGGGAGCGCAGAATCCTGTAGGCGATGCCGTGCGGGTCCTTTTGCCACCCCGAGTTTTTCGCCGCCCTGTTGTAGTCCTCGAGGTGTTTCAGGCCGTCTTTGACGTTGCCGCCCCACAAAACCACGGGAATGTCGTCGCTTTCGCTGCGGATATGCAGCACGTGGGCCGGGTTCCAGGTGTGCAGCACGTCCGCGATGAGGAGTTTGACGTTCTCTAGACGCATTTTATTGTGAGGAAAAATGCCCCCTCCCCATATCGAAAGCGAAATTTGTGTTGCTGTATTTGAGTACACAAATCGCATTTGTCTTGCTGGAGAGGACTGCAGACCAATATCAAGCCGGAGTAGAGAGGCTTTGACTTAGGCACTTAGCATGAAAAGCGTCCGTGATGTTGGCTCAACAGCATGACAAACCGCCTCCATAATGGGACGGAAGCTGCTGCCCTTGTCTTCTTGCAACACAAACGTGATTTGTGACCTCAAATCAGCAACACAAATTTTCGAAAACCTACTTCCTCAATATGGGGAGGGGGGATTTTTCCTTGCGATACATTTTCCTCCAAAACCACTGGTACCAGCGAGCGCCGTAGGGAAAGCAGGCTCCTTTCATCTGGATAAGCAACTCGCGACGTGCTTTACTGTCGTCTCCCTCATCCGGCGGGCGGGCACGATCATAGGATTTTTCGTTCTTTTTGAAAAAACTGGCTCCAGGGGGAAGCGCTACGAATTCGAACAGCAGCTGCCCCCAGTGAACCAGCAAATCGCAAGGACGGAAGGGGATTATGGTGATACCTTCGTTCGCCACCCGCTCCAAGTGCGGCTGCGGCGGTGCGAAGTCCATCCAGAGAACGTCACTTTGCTGCGGGCTCAGCGCCGGGTTTACCCCAATGCCCCAAACCGCATCGTCAGGAGCGTCCGCATCGCTTTCATCGACGCCGCCTGAAGAGCTACCAGGGTCTTGCAGAACTGTCGTCGAACTCGAAAATGTAGGTGTTGCAGCATGATCTTCCTCTTGAGTAGTTGCGGATTCTAGAGAAGCTTTGCTGTCGCGAAAAATTTCCGGCACTGCATCCCGATGCACTTCTACGGTTGTTTCCGGAACGATGCCCGCTTTTTCTTGCTCTCTCTGCGTACTGCCGCGGATTGCGTAGCGGTTTGGGCTTTCTTCTACGTAGACGAGGAGGTAGTTTGTCATGTTCGTCCCACCTCCAATCTGATTTATTTCGCCCTGCTGTTGGTCATCTTGTTGATTTGTCGGAGTGTGATTACGCAACACCAAAGAACCAACTGGCGTGACAAAAAACACTTTGTAACCCCTCCGGACGAAGTGCTGCATTGCGGGCACTGCGGCGCTCATCTCCGTTTTCGCAAACTGCGAAAATACCACGGCCTTTTCGCTTTTTGGTTTGTTAGTGTCTGCGCCAATATCAGGCTCGGGGATATGTGCTGCTGCCGGGAACGAAAAAAACTTGACCACCGTCGTCGACAGCAAAACAACAGGAAGAAAGAAGTGACTGCGCCGCCAAGAAACGGTTGCAACAATCATGTGAGGCGAATAATACATGTTTGACACTACACCTGTTTATGTTTTCTCGAAAACAAACAACGGAAGTACTTACTTACATTTTCTGGGTCAAGGGCAGCATGAATTACTTCGAAGAAGTTGTTTTACGATTAATGGGACGAACCGGCCCCATAAAGATACATACACTTGATTCAGGGCGATTGGGAAGGAAACAGAAAGGCAAGCGAACAGACATACATTGCATATGCATTCACGAAGGGGACGAGTTTGCTTTCTGCGCATAGCTTCGTGCGAGCTGCGTTTTTATCATTTGCATAGAGGTCCTCGCTGGAACTTCCGCTTCAGGAAGCACTGCACTACTAACAAACTTGTGTGTCGCTTGATCAATGAGATTGTTTTCATTTCATCTACGTATAGCTGCTCAAGTGCGTTCGCTCCTCATTTTTTCCGAAACTGTTGTTTCAAGGTCCAGACCGACGGCAGCATTTTGTTCACCGGTTTGTCGAGCACGCAGAGCTCCTGCAGGACGTTTTTGAATAGGTGTTTGTGATGCGGCGCCACCTGTCCGTCGAAGTGGTTTATCAAATGCAAATATGTCTGGGTCTGGAAGGATGCGAACTTGTCATGCAGGTTTTCCAAGACGCATGAGGTCTGTCATACATAATCTAACATGATAGGTTCTGCGCGACCTCCATCATGCCTCGCCTGCATGAGATACTTCCTCCCAACTTGGCCAAGAGTGGACACTTTTGGCATTCATGCAACACAAATTTTTGCACGCTCCAGAATTAGCATTACAAGTTGCATCCTTCCAGACCCAGACATATTTGCAGTTGATATGGTCCAGGACCTGGGTGGTGCTCGCCGACCGGTGCGGGCACACGCGGTCGTTCAGAAAGAACGAGAGCACGTCCTTGGCCAGCTTCACGTCGGCGGTCTCGACGCGGGAGCCCAGCAGCTCCTCCTGCCGCTCCGCCCGCTCCTGCAGAATCTCCTGCTGCTCGCGGTCGAACCGCTGCAGCTTGTTTTCGCGGCGCACGATCCGTTTCTTGCTGGACTCCATCTGGCTGTCGCCGCCCTGCTTGAACTGCTGGATCGCCTTTATTTGCTTGAACTGCTCCACCGCGGAGTTCACCGACGACTGGTTCGTGCCGGCATTCACGCTGTCGAACCGCTGCAGCTTCTCGAACCGCTCGCGCCGCTGCTGCGTCAGCTTCTGCATCACGTTCTTCTCCTGTACGACTGGGTTATTGACGCCCCTCGAGGATGAAGACGAAGAGGTGGACCCTGGGACCACAGTAGGGACATTTGCGTTGTTGTAGCTGCTGGTACCAGCACTTCCACTCGCTGTTGTTCCACCGGCAGGAGGAGCGATGTTGAATAAATGGTGTTTATTATAATTATCCCGGCCCGCCTTCGTGTTCCCCGCTTCGCCCTTCCGCCCGGTCCACGTGGGCACGGAGACCGCGTGTTGGCGCCGCATGTCGCGGGACGCCTCCAGCGCTTGCAGTGCCTGCTTTGCGCGCTCCCGGCCGTGCAAGACCAGCCCCGAGTCCAACGACGGAGCGTGCTCCACGCGGTCGTGCGAAAAGCTGGACCGCACCAGCCCCCGACTCGGATCCAGCAAGGAGGCGAGCATCGCCTTGTTTTCCTGGCTGGCCTCGTCGGACGGCTTGTTGGCCTCGGGCAGGGGGTTGTCGTTCAGGTCCCCGAGCAGTTTGATGGTTTCCACCGTATCTTGGTCCTCGTCTGGGTTCGCGGCGCCGTTCTTCTTTCCTTGGTTAAACTTTTGGAACAGCTGGCGAAACCTCTCTTTGGTGGCGAAATTAATGGGGTTCGTCGCCCCGCCCGCCGCGCGGGGGAAGCCGCTGCTGATCTGGTCGTGGTCCTGGAGCAGGGTCGCATTCGGGTCCCACCCCGGGGGCGGTGGGGGCTCGGTCAAGAGGTCTTGCGCGTCGTTGATTTTCATGAACCTCTTCTGCCGTGGGTCGTTCAGAATCTTCTGCGACAGAAAGTGCTTGAAAATTTGCCGGTGGTAGATCTTTTCCTCCAGCGTCCCGGCCGTGACCAAACGGTAGACGGTGACTTCGCGCTGCTGCCCAATCCGCCAGGCGCGCTCCCGCGCCTGCACGTCGGTGCTGGGGTTCCAGTCCGGGTCGAACAGCACCACCCGGTTGGCGCCGGTGATGTTCAACCCGATGCCGCCGACTTTGGTGTATCCTATGTAAAAACGTCCCCACCCCATAGTCAAGATGGGGACTCGGCTAGACAAATCCACAAGTTTTGGCTGTTTTGCATGACAAATTTGGACTCGCAGTGTAGTGCTATTTGAGCTAGCTCGGCAGCATCACAGATCTAGCATATCATGCTGATTGGGGCATGACAAATTCCAGAACACGACTGGAAAGCGCTTCTCATGGGGCTCCGCATGAGAAACATTTTCGGCATGCAGATTTGCATGACAACTCTGGGGTGGGGATGTTTTTACTCGGAATATGGTGCTCATGATCATCACGAAGATGTCCTCCGTCTCGTTGAATTTCGCAATCAGCCGCTGCCGCTGCGCCACCGGCGTTTTCCCGTCCATCCGCAAGCTCTCGTACTGCAGCTCCGTGCTGATCCAGTTCTCCAGAATCTCCAGCATCTGCACCGTCTGGGTGAACAGCAGCACCTTGTGCCCGTCCTTCTTCCAGCGCTTCAAAATCTCCCCCAGCACCAGCATCTTGCCGCTCCGCATCACCGCCCCGTAGTCCTGCGGCAGCAGGTCCGGGTAGTCCTTCAGCAGCAGGTCCGGGTGGTTGCACAACTTGCGCAGCACGCTCATGATGAAGAAGATTTGCGGCGTGCCCGTGCGGGTGCCGGCCAAATTGCCCTGCATCCGCGCCTGCTTCACCTTGTCGGTCTGGAGGAAGTCCAGGTACACCTGGTACTGCTGAGGGGTCAGGTTGCAGAACAAGATCTGCTCCTGCTTGGGCGGCAACCGAACGATGTCTTGCACGTCGGCCTTGGTCCGCCGGAGCTGAATATCCACTGCAAATTTGCTTTACATGTCTGGGTGTGGGCTGAAGTTGCCAGCAAACAAGCACCCCCCACAACATACTTAGCTAGTTACCCATGACAAACTTTTGAGATGCCTTTCCGTCGCCCGCTCCACATGACAAAGCGCGGCTTTGCGTGACAAACAACAAGAATCCGTTTTTCTTTATTTGCGCAACCTCAATGACAGGATGCACACTCTTGTTGGCCGAGCATCGCAGGTCTTATCGTCCACTTTGTCGTCCCAGACCCAGACACATACAGTTGCACTGCATACAGAAACGGCAGCGTTTCCTCCCGGAGGATCTGAGCCGCCTGGTACGCGGCTTCCACCATGCGTGGCGTGGCCGTCATCTGCCCCCCCGCTTCGATCACGTCGGAGAACTGTTGCTGGAACACGGGTATGGCAGTGCAAAAGTTCTTGTATCCCACTCACGACACTAACTGCAGTCATGCATGACAGATGCCCGCCCGAGTAGAAGATCAACATGCAGATTTCAACATTTTTCGTTTGTTGCGAGCCTGAAGTTTGTATATGCGAGTCATGCTAGTGCGATTCTATTCTTTGTCTTTTGCGATGCATAACTGGGAAGGTGCCCAGCAGCCCCGGTTGGATGAAGTCGAAGATGCTCCAGAGTTCGGAGAGCCGGTTCTGGATCGGCGTGCCCGACAAAACGATCGGGTATCAAATGTAAAGATGTCTGGGTCTGGAAGAGGAGAACGAAGTTTGTCATGCACAGTTTCCATGAGCCATGATGTCTGTGATGTATGCCATAGCATCATAGATTTCTTGAGCGCCTATCGATGCGCATCCTACATGACAAATGCCCTCTCCGCGTAGCCAAATTTGACTCCTCTTGCTGCTCATGCAATACAGACTTTCTTAGCATCCAAATGCAGCATCACAAGTTTGCATTCTTCCAGGCCCAGCCATATTTGCAATACATATCCGGTGCGGGGTGTCGATCTTTTTGCAGACCAGCGTGATCGCCGCGTCCGGATTGCGGATCTTGTGCCCTTCGTCCATGATCAGGTACGTCCACGGGTAGTTGAAAATCAAGGATTCGCTGTAGATCCGGAACGTTTCGTAGGAAGTGATGAGGATGCCGTTGTTCGCGGTAATCTTCTCCATCATCTCCTCCTTCAGTTGGGCGTCCACCTGGTGCATGATACTCACCCGAAAGACCGGGAGCCATATCCTGAGTAAAAACGTACCCACACCAGAGTCAGGATGGGGATTTTGCAACACAAACCAAGGAGTTTTGTGAGTCACGCATGACAAGTTGCGCTCCGCAGTGTAGTGCAGGTTAGCAAGTGCAGCCGCATCACAGATTCATCGGCTCATCCTGTTCACAGCATCACAAATTCCAAAACACGACTGGAAATGGCTCTCATGGTGATGCGCATTACAAGTCTTCCTGTCTTTGCAAATCTGCATTACAACTCTGGTGTGGGTATGTTTTTACTCAGGATAAACCAGGATTTTATCTCGTCCCGCCACTGCTCCACCAGCGTGGTCGGGCACAGGATGATATCAAATGCAAAAGTGTCTGGGTCTGGAAGATTCTGACACTTGTCATGCACGTTTTGCATGAGCCATGAGGTCTGGAATGCGAGACCTAGTATGACAAATTCTGTGAGATCCACATCATGCCTATCCTGCATGAGAAACTTCCTCTCAACTTGGTCAAAAGTGGACAGCCTTTGGCATTCATGCAACACAGATTTTTGCATGATCCAGAATTAGGATTACAAGTTGCAATCTTCCAGACCCAGACATTTTTGCAATCCATAGATGAGCACGCCGCCGGTTTTTGGCGGCCCGGTGCCGAACTGCCGGGTGGTGGCGGTTTGCAGGATGTTGCTGTGGTACAGCGCGGCGAGGAAGGCCACGATCTGGATGGTCTTGCCCAGCCCCATCTCGTCGGCCAGGATGCCGCCCACCTGCTGCTTGTGCAGGTTGTACATCCACTTCACCGCGGTCTTCTGGTAGCCGTACAAGTTTATCCCACAGAAAAAAGCTGGCAGGGCATATTTGTAATGCAAAAATAAATACACAGAAAAATGTGCCATGGGCGGCCTCATAGCATGCTATTTAGGATATGCAATACAAGTTTTTCTGTCTATTTATTTTTGCATTACAAATATGACCTGCCAGTTTTTTTCTGTGTGATAAAGTTGTCCCAGATGTAGTTCGGGATGCGCAGCTCGCCGGGCACGATCCAGGAGTTCTTCTCCGGGTTCGCGCGCGTGTCCTGGTCCAGCTCCGGGTTCTCCTCGAGCTGCTTCGTGTAAAAGTCGTCGTCCACGTCGTCGAACGCACGCAAACGCGCACGGTCCGCGGCTTTCACCAGCTCCTTCTCGGCCTCCGTCCGCAGGTGGGCGGGTTTCAGGAGAACCTCCTTGGGCACGCGGACTTTCCGCGGGTCGTCGTCCTTCAAGTGCTTCCGCGTGCCGCTGATCTGCTGGTGGTGCGTCTTGTGGGGCTTCTTTCCGTGCGGCAGGAAGCGAGGACCGTCCCGATGAGTATTTTTATCCGTCATGTTGTCAACATCCATATTGGTAGAATCATTATCGTCATTGTCGTCGCGATTTTTGTCCTTCCCTGTGGTCCTCGTCGTGCCCCCGGGGGTATTCAGGATCATTCGCCGCCGGCCGTTTTGATGCGCGCCATCATGATTGCCGAACCCGCGCACCGGGTTCACTTCTCCAGTGGAACCGTACTTGATGAGGTCCTGCGTGCGCAAATCCAGGTCCTGTACGCTTCGGGCCTTGTGCTCCTGGTCCCACTGCTTTTGGGCCTTGAGCTTCTTCTGCCGCAGCTGCACGGCCCGCATGTCCAGGCCGCCCGTGCTGCGGGGCTGCAGTTGCGTGCCCATCAGGGGAAAGATCCGGGACTCGGGGCGGAGCTTTGTCTCCTCATCTTCCTGCTTCTGCTTCTCGATCTTCGCGTTGGCCTTTGCTGTCTTATCACGGAGCCAGGACATCAGCTCATTAGGGGATCCGCCGTCCTGCATACTGTCGTCGTCGAAATCGTCCACGACAAAGTCGTCCACAAAGCTGATCCCGTCGACCTTCTCGTCATCATAATTCTCCTCGTGATTTTTATCTGCATTTCGATTTTGCCTTGTGTCAACAAAAAAGTCGTCGTCGGCTTCCAGCTTCAGCGAGCCTTCCGCGCCGGAGCCGCGATGCAGCGAGGAGTGCGCGCGCGAAAGTCGGGGCGAGTTTTGATCCAGCTCCTTGGATGCAGATCGCGAGCGCGCTCGCGCGGGCCCCTTGTTTTGGCGGGCGCCGCCCCGGGGGGATGAGGGAAGTTTGGCGATCGTCCCGGATTTTTTGCGAAACGGGGCCGTCGGGTAGTGGTACTGCGAGGAGGTGGCGCCCACGGAACCGGTTCCGCCCGACTGGTTCTGCGAGTGATGCTGCGTATTGTTGCCACGGGACGCAGACTTCTGCGCCTCGTCGACGGAACTGGATCTCTGCTGGTGAAGATGCAGCAGATTCTATCCAAGAAAAAAACTGTGTCAGGGGAAATGTTTTGGATGAGGTGTAGTTACTTTGCATCAGCATGACAGAGAACATACTTTACAAACCTGTCATGGACCTTCATCGCTTGGACGTGAAAAGACGACGTATGAAACTACTTATCAGCCTATGATGCATTTAGCCAGCAGGACACTGTTTTACAAACGTCTGCAGCTACACAAGTTCTGTACACCTGCAAAGTTTTTCTTGCATAGATTTGTGGGCATCTCGGTCCACAGATGCGTCATGTCGATCACGTCGCTCGAGTGGCTCAAGCTGCTCCTTCTCCGACTGGCTTGCTGCCGGGGGCTACTAGTTGTGTTCTGTGCGTGGATTACAGCGCCAGGCGCGGGTAGCTGCTCCTCCTCAATAGACGAAGACCGCCGTTCCCGCTTCACTATCGGTGGCACAGCTTCCGCTGAGGAAGAACTCTCTTGCTTTACCTGGACGTAATGCGACGTGCTGCTTGCTTGCGCTGGTGGTGCTTGCATTGGTCGTTTCTGTTGCGTTGTACCCGTGGAAGCGGCTATTTCTGTTTTGACCTGTATCTTATCGCTTCTTAACTCGTCCGAGACGAAATCCCAGTCTCGGCCCTGGTCTGCAACGCGCCAGTGCGAGGAACCCGACGCTTTATTATTTTCTTGGATTTGCCTGTTCTTCTTCGAGTGCGGGTCCACGTCGGCGGTGATTACGCCAAAAAGATCTTCCTCGGTCATGTGCTGTTCCTTTTCCCGCGCAGGGGAAATTCTGCGTCGCTTTCGCTCTCGTCGCTGGATGTCGATCCCATCTTCTTCGTCGTCGCCAAACGTCTTCATACCGAAAGAGAGGTCCTGTTGATGCGCTGCTGTGGCAGCATTTCGGTGAGCATGTTGCTCCGGCTCCGAGGAGCTGGGCAATAAATTCTCCGCGAAGGAGCCACGACCGGTGCTGTCCTCGGGAGAGCTGCTTGCGACAGGAACGAAATTCAGATTGTCTTCGTTTAGACGCTCGCCGGAATTCATGTAGCTCATGTCCTGCCCCAAGTCAATTTCGCCCTGCAGCCGATCGCGATCCGCTTTTAGTCGAGCCTTTTTTTTCCAATCAGATAAAAGTGACGACTCATCGGCTTTTGGGCTTCTGGTGTACATTACATACGACAAAATATCCGTGTGACTCAATCTGTCCATCTCAATCTGCTCCACGAAGCTAGGTGCGCGCAGGAGTTTTTTTACCAGGGCGGTTGTTTCCGGTAAAGTAAAATGCAGGCAGCCCATACTGATGGATGCTGCTGCGGATCGGTACTATACAATTGCAACAACTGCAATTGGAAAGAACAAAGAAAGAGTACAGTTGAATAATATTGATCTTCTAGTACCAATTTTTCCTCCTCTGCACGCAGCTTGCGTTGTGTTTCCGCGAGGGTGCTCGCTCTTGGGTCGTTTGTCTGCATCCTCTCCACCATGCGCTGCAGCTTCGCCACTTCGAGTTCGCTTCGGCGGACGTCGCGCTTCACTTCGTGTATGGACGTTTGCGCGTCCATGACTCGTTTTATCTTGGATTCCACGGAGCTTTGCTGTACCATCTTGACGCCCAACGACGCCAAGAGGTCATCATCTTCCGGCGGCATGACTCCCAAGGATAATTCCAAGCGCAGTGTTTGTTGTTCGCCTCTCTGCCTTCGAAGTGCTAACCGTGTCAATCTGTGCTTTGTCTCTCGCTCGCCGCGCTTCCAGTAGGGGGAACCACCCGCACCCTCAAAGTGACGCTATGGAAGAGCGTGAACTGCAGTTGCCGTTTGACATTGCTCCGTCCGAAGCTCATGATTCTAAAAAGGAGACACAGTTGTCGTGTGATAGCAATCCGAAGCCGAACAAACACAGTTCCATAAATACATATGTATACAAAGTCAACAGCACAAAAAATACGAAGAATACGTCAATAATTGTAAATCGAGTGAGCTTGGTTTGGATGCGTGGTGGTATTGCTTGTTACTCATTGCGCTGGGTCGTGCGTTGACTGGAATAACAGATTCTTTTTTCGGCTGGGGAGCTAGCTAACAAAGTAGACAGAAGCAAATGGCTCAGTACCAACTTACTTTCTTAGTGTTACTTCAAAAAAAAAACGATACTATAACAAAAGCTGATCATTCTACTACGGGAGGCGAGAGAGTACGAAAATCCAAGCATAAATTATATGAGGTGCCTGGTCGAATTCGAGAAATGCACAGCCGCGGGCGAATTATAGATGCTTTCAAGCTCTTCCGAAACGATAAGTCAAGGCAGATCCGATCAGGCAGAGCCATCACGATGCTATGTGTGCGTCAGCAAATATTTGATATCTTCACTAGGCGATTGCTTGGAAAGGATTCATTCTCGTTTCACTTTTTCTGAACTTGTCTACCAAGGGTCAACTTCCCATCATTGCGGGCCCCAAGAGTTGACTTGACCTTGAGGGAGATAGCTGCAATGAAGGAGACAGCACACGACAATCCGAGAGGACTATAATTGAGTACTCAGTGCACTACGGTAATAAATTGCAGCAAGTTTAGAAGAAAAACAATCAATGCCACCGACGTGTGTGCCTGTGCTGTAACATCTGAGAAACGGTGAATTTCGAATACCGGCGGGCGCGCCCTTTTCCAGCCGGAGGCTAGCTGTCGGTGCAAATCACCACTGGCACAACAACATTTTGGTATTTTACATTTTTGTTGTTCATTAGCCAAACCTTTGAAACATTGTTGGCAAGTGCCGAGTCTGGAGCTCACTTGTCTTTTAAAATTGAAGACGATCGCGAAAAGTGCTATAACTGAAAGTTCGTTGATAACTTGCACATGTTGAAACGTGACGTTGTTTAAAGGAAACGAAAGGGGTTGGATCTGAAAAGTGTTTTTGCGAAAAGGTGACAAAAGTGCGCCAGGCTTTACAAAATTTTGAATCTTCTTCCTGTGATGCAGTTCATTTTGGCGGAACTGGAAGGCGTTTTTTCGAGTGCTTATGCCACAAAGAAATCAACATGAAGTCGTAGTTTCAAGACCTCTCATTGAATCCTTCCTACAGTAAATAGAACAAGGGCCGCTCGTCATACATAAGTAAACGTGACGATGGAGCAAGCAGCAGTTTTATAAAACTACGGCACCCGAGTTCAGCATCTTCTTGAAGCATCCGTCTCATCCCAGCGGCGCTCCCAGCGTTGGACCGCGGGCCGAGCGGAGCATGGGATTGTGCAAGTGTGACGTTGTGAGGCAGTTGTCCTTTGCGGGGTGCTGTCGGGTGCGATGCATCCACAGCTCTCTCCCGCGCCCGGGTTCGGAGGCCAACGTGTTGAAGCCAAACAGCATCTTGCCGTTGTTTCCCACGAAGGGGTTGTTTTTGCAGCCCGTGCCGTAGTAGCTGTTGTGTGTCGAGTACCGATTTTGGTGAAAGTCGGGGTCAAATCGGTACTGGCGGATCCAGTTGCTGCTCAACCCGGACTCGGACCGCGCGCGCGACAGCTGCGACGTGGCGCTGCGGCTCGTTCCGGCGCTCACGGTCGAGACGGACCGCGCAGACTGCGGCGGAGTTTTCAGCGCATCCTCCCCGTCGCGCCCCGGATGGGGCTTCAGCTGACACGGAATATCGCGTAGAATCTGCTTCGCCGGGACCTTCTCCCCAGTTAGCAGGGAGTCGTTGTACAGAGCTCGGATCTTCTGCCGATCGCCGCGAGTATACATGTACCTTTGATTGTATATTTTGTTTGAGCGGTTTAGGTTTTTTCTTTCGACCTCTCGATCAAGTTATTAACCGACCTTTCGTCGTGCAACTTTTACGAATCAAGGATCAATATATATTTTGTTACCCTGCCTCGTGATATGCTGCTTCTGCTCTCGTGAGCCCCGCTGACTTCTGCTCTGCTGCGGTGTTTATCCACTGCAAATATATCTGGGTCCTCTGGAAAAAAGCAGACACTTGTCATGTAGTTGTTGCATGATCTGCAAGAAGGTCTCGAATGCACACCGAGCAACATGGCAAATTCTGGAGGCTCTTTCTTGATGTCTAGTCTGCATAAGAAGCGCCCTCTCGAGGAGGCAAGAATGTTACTCACGTTTGTTGCTGACGCTGCAACACAAATTTTTGCCTGTATTTCCAGAACCCGCATCATACATATATAAGTATGCATCCTTCCTGTTCCTTCCAGATTCAGACACATTTGCACTGCGTAGTGTTTTTTAGACCAGGGTTGTATTCGTGCAGGGCGTGGAGGGATTGCGTTGTGCCCCAATCGCGATCGGGTACTGAGCGTGCGGAGGCAACAATGGTGCCTTCATGGCGCCGACGCGCGCTCGAGCGTGCACTCTCGTTGTAAAAGCTCGACATATTGGATTTCAGACAACTGCTTCCACAGTAGACAATTGTTCAACAGTCTGCCTCAATGTGACGCCCCCAACTTGAGCAGCTTAGAGGGCGGCATTCTGACCGGAAAAAAAATGGGCCTGTGGCTATTGTACTCATTCTTTAATTGCAGGCTTCAAAGTAAATAAGTAGATCTGCGCTCCATAGGTCTTATCGATGTGATTTATTGACGAGGGACTATTGTCAATATCTTTTTCGATGTTGCCGCTGGCTTTTCGACCTCGACCCCACCTCACGGAACGGCTGCTCTTTCACGATCAAATTCGTCTATCTCTACGATCACGAACAACAGCGGTACGTTCTTAAATTTGCTACGGCGTAAATCATACATGGCATTGTGAACGACCCCACCCAGAAATATGACGATAACATGAATCTGCGAACACGAATTGAATTGGACATCAGATGAAATGGTGACACAATTTATTCTTGTGCAAGACACACGATTTGGTACCTAAATGCACTGACTTGCACAGTCAGAGCCTTCCTTTCCCCAGGGGGATGCAGCTTCGCGTGCGACTATTCTTACCTGGGTTGACGTATCGTTTTTTACTGTGACAACCCGGCATGCACAACCCTTCAGAGTTACATCAATCTCCATGTTGTAGTCAGCAAAGGAATCAGATAGGTCAGCATGAATGACGAGAATGCAACGTAATTTAATTGCTCCGCTCCGTTGGACACCATTTCCGGGTCACACCTGACTAACGCCCGCACCTTGAAAGCTGGAACTGCCGGCGTTGTTGTTGGTTGCGTAGGGGTATGCGCTGCAAATGTGTCTGAGTATGGAACTGGGCGGGTGTTTGCCATGGAGCATTTCCATGCTCCGTGAGGTCTTGAGTGCGGGGCCTATCATTCCAGAGTCTGCAAGAACCTGTCTGCACTGCCTAAACTTAACCAAAAATAGATTAAACTTCGTGTCAACTTGACCAAAACTGGGCAACCCCCTCGGCAGTCACGCAAGAAAGATTTTTGTGTGGCCTGCAGTATGCATCACAAATTTGCAGTTTTCGACTTCCAGACCCAGATCGCTATTTGCACTGCATAAGGGGTCAAAGGCGACCACTTTGTACATGCAGTAAAACTATCCTGTGCAAAAGTATATCGAACTCGTACCAATGAATTGCAGCCACGCGTCACATAGTTTTCTTTTCAAGAATCATGCCTGATGCAGCATGAATAACTGCATTTCAATTTCTCCTGTTGAGTACAAAATTTGCGACGCGATTCATACTTATCACTATCAGGACGATACTTTTGCAATGCATAAAGACGTGATAGCAAGGTTGGTCAGGTACAACATTGACTCAACGAAGATCGCGAATCCCCAGTATCCTTTGCCGTCGCTGTGCTCGTAGAGTTCGGTATCATACCGCCCAAAGCCTGCGAAGTAGTCATACATATGAACAATCCCATATAGAAGGAGCGGAAGTACGTGCTCAGCTTTTCACTTTTCTCGAGCGAGACGACATCAAATCAAGTACAAATAGCAAAGTAGAATTTTCACAATACCGTTTATTGCTCCCATGGGAACGAAGCAGCACAACAGGGTGAGCAAGATCGCCACTGAGTTTGCTATTTTGTACTGAGTGAGCAGGGAAGAAGATGAGATGGCCAAGCCTCGGTACCCCTGGTAGAACACAAAAAGCGCTGCTGGCGGCAACATCATGGAATTGAGCAGCGCAAACAGGAAAAACTTGGCCGGATACCCAGAAGCCGAGGCGGTTATGATAATGCTGTTGAAGACTGTCAAGGCGCAAATGAAGCACTGAATCTCGAAAAACAGCCGCATCAACCTGGAAGTAGAGTTTTTAGATTTTTCTTTGTCTTGGTCGCAGTCGTACGTCGTTGCAGGAGGACGAGGAGCGTTTGTTCGCCTGTTTCATCATCATCAGCAAACGAACCGATATCTTTTCAACATCTTGCAATCTACTCCTACTTCATGATCACTAGACGTTTCTTATGCTAGCATAGATTGATCACCGTGTTGTCCTGGCAATCGCCACAGGAAGTTCGTCCTGCTTGTAGTGTATCAGCCTGAGCCAGGGCGGGTAGTTGTAATCCTGCCAGTTGATGCCTTGCTCCGCCTGGTTTTGCTGGTTTCCGAACCCATATGGGCGACCTATTGGGTTCAGATTTTGCAGGCCCTGCTTGATGTCCGATTTTACCCGCCGCTCCATGTAATCTTCCATACCTCGTTCCATGAACGAGTTTCCCATCCCACTGCCGGCTGCCATCTTGTCTTAACGAGCTGCACGAGAACTTCTCCTACCGCGCTGTCTTCGACGCTGCTCTGGGTCGTTTTGTTTTCGACGTTGGTGCCGTCGGGGCTCAGTCTCCTTTACTGAGAAATCGCAACTATTGACGAGGCGTGCTTCTACCCGTGCTCATTGAGCCAACTTGGCTGGACGTTCTTGCACAGAGATGAAAGTGGAAGGACAGGCAGAAGCAATCAAGTAACTCATGGTGAATGAAGACTTATAACGCGGATTGCACGAGCGCAGCACGAATATTTTGAGAAATAAACGGAGAGCAAGTCCTCGACTTACTACAGCTGTATATCAATAAACAATATCAACACGACACGGGAGGAGGAGATTATCAGTAAAAATGCGGCTTCTTCTCGGGTCCATGTCGCGAGGACAAAACACGACGGAAAATTGAATTCAGAACAAGCGAAAATGATTCATTTGCTTCGCACTCAATTTGTTTCTACAGTCACCTTTATTTCTAAGTATACTTACATACACAGCTGTGGTGTGCTTACATCTTCTTCTTGGTACTCTCCCTTCCACTGTCTCTTCTTTCTTCCACCAAGAGGAACACAGGCTGCACCCAGTCGGTGCGACTCTTTTGCTGTGAATGATTGTCGATACCATCGGACTTTGATGCGGTGAGCATTGGCATTCATTCACATACCGAAAAATGTCAGCATACACACACAAGCATTCCTCATGCACTACGAGTAAACAAGTTTGCGCGCGTGTATGACATATATAAACTGGAAGAAACAAAGCTCTTCACGGGAATGCGCCGAGTCGCTTTAACTCTATTCAGTAGCTAACAGCGTACAGAAATGTATGATGATGACTTATGTTTAATTTTCCAAAAAAAAAACGGAGGCTCCATGAGGAAGATGTTGTTTATCGTAATAGCAAAACTAACATTTATGTTCATACTCGGCATCGCTCTGCGTGAAAAATGAAAAATGTGCAACCCTACCACAGTTATAGTAGAGCTCAAAAATAAAAACTAGCTCCTAGCTTGGTTCTCGTCAAGAGAATAATGGAGTTCTTTGTAATTGGGCGCAAACACTAACTCTAGTCCAACAGCAGGGCAGTAAGAAATAACTGCCTGGAGAACGCAATGTGCATACCCGTCTCGAGCCGCTTTTTAGCTCGAGCTTTTTCCACCTTTCCCGCCGTACCCATTGGAGTAGTAGCTTGAGTTCCTCCCTTTGCTTTTCCGTGACCCCTCGCCCTTATTCTCCGTCTATGCACTGCAAATATGTCCTGGACTGGAGACGTGCATCAAACTTGTGATGCGTCCTCCTGTGCGTCATGGTCATACTCATACAACAATCAAAATCTGTGTTGCACCAGTACCAAAAGTTGAATGGCCAGTTTTGGTCCATTTCGGAGGACGTTATTTCTCATGCGAGATCTTCGATAGAAAATGCGAAGTAGACCTTGCAGAATCCAACGAGGCTATGCATTCCAGACCACGCGGGGCATGAAAAAGCTGCCTGACAACCTTCTGCCGTCTCCCAGACCCAGACATATTTTGTTTTCAATTGATACCGCACCTTCCTCCCGAGAATTGCTTGACTCGCCTTCAGACTTTTTCCCTTTGCTACTTTTCTCGTAGGCGCTTTTTCCTTCTCCCCCCTTGCCTTTCACATTTTCGCCCTGCTTTGAACCCTTGCCTTTTTTGTCCTTCCCGTCCTTGTTGAGTTGCCACCCGTCCTTTTCCAGTTGCTCCCCTTTCTGCTGGCCGCCTTTACTGCCCCTTCCTTTGGCAGCAGCTTCACCAGTGCCCTTCGCCGCCCCCTTCTGCTCACCCCCATCGCTTTCTCGGTTTTTGCTGCCCTTCCCCTTTTCATCTTTGCCGCTCTTGCCTTTGTTCCCCTTACCCTTGTTTTCAGCAGCTATTTCTTTTGCGTCCGCGGTCGTTGGAGCAGCGCTCGTCGCCGGTTCTTTTCCAGTGCCTTTATTGTCCTTGTCTTTTCCTTTGCCCTTGCTCGACCTTCTCTCCGCCGGGCCAGCATCACCGCCGGAAATTTCAGTGTTCTTGCCTTTGCCGCTGCCCGTCTTGCCATTTCCTTTTGCGTTTGAGGCCGGTTCCTGTTGCTCTTTCGAACTTCGCACCGCTGCCACATCTGCGTAGGATAACATGCTGCCGCCGGGCTTTTTACCCTCGGTACTTTCGGGAGTTGGTTCTGAGCCGTTTATTTTCGGGCCGCCCGTGTTGTTTTTCTTGCCGGTCGAAGATGTCGGGGAGGTTGTTGTAGGTGAGCTGCTCACGACACCTCCTGAGGACGGCGGTTCTTGTACGGGATTGGTACTTTCCTCGTTTTTCCTTTTCCTTTTCGATGTCGCTTTTTTCTTGTCCGAGGCAGCGGCAGCCGTCACGTTGGTGGTGCGTTCTTGGATTGACACAGACCGCTCCAGGTGGTGGTGCTGCGGAGAGGTGGTAGTAGAAGAACTACCGAGGAATTGCAGTTTGTCTTCGGAGATGGACAAATGCCGCTTGATATCTACCATGACTTTCTCGACTTGCTCCGCGTCCATGACGATTTTCCGACCTTCCCTAGTGGTGATCTCGTGGTAAGACTTCGTCGTCGTAGAAGCGGAAGTTGCACCATTGGTTGCCGCACCAGCGGCTTTGGTCTTGGAGGAATCCCGCCGTAGTTGTCCACTTTCTTGTGTCTCGCTTTCAGAAGATTTCCGGCCGTTTCCACGGGTGATTGGCTCCGTCGAGGAGAGCACAGCGTCAACGGTGGACGAGGAGGACGATTTTCTTTGTAAGTTTGATCTTGGGGTGCTGTCGGTCAAAACTTCCCGGGCCATGGGGGAATCGAAGGCATTTATCACGTCTTGCAAGCTGGGAATCATCCAAGGAAACAAGGTCGACTACAGTGGTCACACACTTTATTTGCAGGTGAAGAAAATCAACAAAAGTCCGGAGATTATGGGGAAATAAACATGCCTACAGGTTGTACGCGACAGACACAGACTGCGCTCCTGCATTTCGCACATGATAGAACTTGTCTGTCTTGCTGCTTCACAGCAGCTGCAGAGTGTGTAACAACTGTATGCAGTTTTTTCTAGGCATAGTGATCTTGATGTCATTGATGCGTTCTACTGCCCGCTTTTCGATGCTGGACTCGCTGATGCCGGCAAGCAAAGGAGACTTGAAGGCCTGTGATAGTATATTTTTTGTGTTGATAGTATCGCATTCATAAATTTGAGTTGTTTATTATTTTTGCAGTGCGACCACGGTGTAGGTACCTACGTAAAAAAGCCATCCAGAACTTGGAATCATGTTTGGGCAACAAACTTTGTTTGTGACGAGAAAAACAAAAACGTATGTATGAAGATCAGTACTTTCATGATGTAGATGTGCTCCGGCGTTTTTTTCGTGCGGAAGTTTCCGGGGGCCGCGGAGATGTAGATCGTCTGTGGTTGAAACACCAACCCCGCGCGGATGACGTAGTGGGGCAGCTGATCCCACAAAAAGCAGCTTGCGTGCTTCAAGTCGTTGATGCTGCAACACAGTTGCACATGCGCGCGGTTGAGGCTGTAGCGGTTTTTCGGGTCGCGGTAAAGCTCTTCCACTTCGCAAACGGGAACTTTTTGGAGTTTTTTTCCACCGCCGCCCTTGTTCATCTTTCCACCAACCGCGCTGGTGTTTCCTTCTGCACTGGTTCCACCTGTCGGGGCACCAGTTGCCGGAACCCGTTGGTAGATCGTGTCCAGACGTTTGAAAATGGGACAGGATTTCTTCAACTCCATGCGTGGCTTGGTTGCACCGCTGGTGGACGTCGCTGTTGTCGCTGTTCCGCCACTTGCTTGCAGGTCCCCCGGGTTTGTCGCTTTGTTGTTCCTGTTATTTTTGTAGGTCGTGAACACAGGTGCTGACGCATTTTTACCGCCGTTGCTCGTCGAGGCCAACGACTTCATCGCCGTTGTAGTTCTATCGCGAGATGCGGAGGAAAGGTTGTGAACAAATTTGGAGGCGTAGGAGCCTCCGCTGCTGTCATCCTCGTCGTCGTCCCAGTTTTGTTCCTCCTCATCCTCCAGCACGCCCTCGTCCTCCGACTCGGCCGCCGCCTCGTTTTTCCCGCCCAGCTATCAAACGGAAAAATCCCTCCTCCCCATATCGAAAACGAAATTTGTGATGCTGTATTTGAGTACACAAATCGACTTGTAATGCTAGAAGGCCAAGAGACGCAGCTGTGGCCTCGTTTGCAGGCAATTTGTTGTGCTGTTTCCCACTTCCAGCTGCCCCCTGTCATGCTGAAGATCCAAGGCTTTCCCACGCCAACCAGCACTACAGGTCGCATCTTTTCCCTTCTAGCATGACAAAGCTGATTTGTGGCCACAAATCTGCATCGCAAATTTCTAGTTTGAATATGGGGTGGGAGGATTTTTCATTTTGATACCAGCACGCTGTTGCTGAGCTCCAGTCCCTGCACGCGGTTTTCGTCCAGGCAGCGGAAGAACTCCAGGGTGACAGATTCGCCAATCGTCTTGGTCATGTAGCCGTAGTCCCAAATCGTTCGCTCGTTGTCCCGAAACTCGATGGTGCCGTTGCTCCCGATGGGGTAGTTGTCGATTTTCGTCAGCACGTCGTAGGGCTTCAGCTTGCCGTGCACCGGCGAGAACTCCGCGATCTTGCAGATAATCACACCGTCGAGCTGCTTGGGCTGCTTCGGAGTGTAGGCACCCGCGGCTGCAAAGTTATCCTTGTTGCTTGTCGAGGAGGCGGCTGAAGTAGAGTTTTGGTAGTTCGGGATTTGTTCCGGCATACCAAGAAACTGCTTCATCAGCTTCGACTCCAGTTCCTGCTCCACAATGCCCAGGTCCGGCACCTCGTAAGTCCGTTTCTCGTAGAAGTCCTCGAACAGCGTTTTTTTCAGTACATCCACGGCGATGAAAAAGCCGCCGTCCTTGCCCGAAATGCCCTGAAAGCTGATGCCCGCAATCTTCCCGTCAATGCTCAGCACGGGGCCGCCGCTGTTGCCCGGCGCAATGCTGGTGTCCGTGTCCACGCTGAGCACGTAGTGGCCGCTGTGCGCGCCGTTTTGCAGCTCCACGCGGCTGACGGCCCCGCGGGTCAGCGACATCTCCTCGCCGCCGATGGGAAAGCCAAAGGCCGTCACCGTGTCGCCGACGAAGGGGGTGTCGCCCAGTTGCAACGGGCTGGAGGACGCAATGAACGCCTTCTTGTCCTCACTGTCGCGGATCTCCAGCAGCGCCAGATCCACGTCGTGCGCCACGCGCTTCACCTTGCACACGTACTTTTTGTCCATACCCGCGCGCCGGATCTCGATGTAAGTCGCCTGCGCGACCACGTGCGCGTTGGTCACCAGGTACGTTTTGCTTTGTTTCGCCGGGGACGAGTTTTTAGAAGTTGTACTAGCAGAAGTAGTAGCTCCACCTCGCGCATCGTTTTTCGTCGAAGCAGTGGAACCGGGACTAGTTTGATTAGCCATTTTTGCACTTGTAGTTTTCGGCTCTGTAGTGCCGTCTGCAGCAACAGCAACAGGCGGAACTACTACATCACCAGCAGCTCCCGAACTTCTACCACCTCCCGACGAGATGTTGTACTCCACCAAAAACCCAGAGCCGAACGCGTTGACCTCGCGGCGCACGGGGGACCAGGGCTTGCCGTAGTCGTATTCCACACTGGAGACGTAGATTTTCACCACGGACTTGGCCACCACGGTGGTGTCCAGCCGGTTCGGCTTCGCCTGCAGAGCCTGCTTGCTTTTTCGGGCTCCACCCGACGACGTTTTGGACTGGCCGAGCGGCCCGCCCATGGCGCTCGCGGACGAGCTGGTGCGGTTGGGGAGCCCGAGCTCGGACGCCCGGGCTTGGTCCACGAGGAAATTCTGCATCAGGATCGGCAGCAGCGCGTCCACAGACTGTTGGCCCTCGGGGGAGGCGTTGGCGTTGTTCATCAGCATTGCGTATCAAATGCAAAAATGTCTGGGTCTGGAAGAGTCCAAGATTTGTGATGCAGGTTTTCCATGACCCGTGAGGTCTGGAATGCGAGACCCAGCATGACAGATTCTTTGAGGTCTCTTTCATGCCTTTCCTGCATGAGAAACTCCCTCTCAACTTGGTCAAAAGCGGACAGCTTTTGGTACTCACGCAACACAGATTTTTGCATCATTCAGATTTAGCATGACAGGTTCTAATCTTCCAGACCCAGACACTTTTACATGTATTTGATATTGCGATCAGCGACGGGAGCATGTGCTTGGTGGACGTGAACTCCGGGTTCTGTCCCTGCTCTATCCCAGAGAAAAAAGCTGGCAGGGCATTTTCGTAATGCAAAAAGAAATACCGGAAGGTTTGTCATGGGTGGCCCCATCGCATGCTGTTTCGGATTTTCATTTTTTGTGTATTTATTTTCGCATTATAAATATGCCCTGCCAGCTTTTTTCTGTGTGATATGCTCCACGTCCGACAGACTCGCCTGCGAGCGGATGCTACCCTTGTCCATGGAGACCGACCGGCGCAGCTGATGGTGCCCGGTCTGGCCCGGGGTGGCGGAGGGTGGTTCCCCGTTTTGCATTTGTGCTGTCGTTGATGTCATCATGCTGCTGCCGTCAAACAGCTTCAACATTTTGGTTCCACCAGTATTTGTTCCGCCGCCCGTGCCGTTGGTCAGCATCAGCGCAGCGCACAGGTCGTCGACGCGGGCGCGTAAGGACTGCAGTTCTTCATACATGTTCTCCGGGGGCGGCACCGGCGGGTCCACGAGGATCCGCGACAGGGGCGACCCCTGCTGGCCAAACGTGGGCGCGCCATCAGAGGAACTGAATCCCGAGCCCGTTGTAGATGCGCCTGGTGGTCGTGCCGGGTAGGCGACCGGGCCATCGCGGTCCGAAGCGGGATTTCCAAAATCATACGCGGCAGCGCTGTCCCGGGGGTTGGGGACCGCTTTGTTTTGGTTGCGTCGCTTATTGTTCTTTTTCTTGGCCACCGAGGACGAGGGAGATTCCGCTAGCGGGGCCCCTGGTGCTGTCCCCGTTGTTCCGGTTGACATCTATGAGCTGCGCGGTGTTGACACGAACTAGAACTACTGAGATGGAATCGCAATAATAGTATCAGAATTGCTGCAGTTGTGAATCCGACGAAGCAAGTGTTGAGTGGGACGCTCGATCACGTCTGAGACTGAAGTGACTTTTTTATTTCATAAGGCTAATGATGACCTTTTGATTTTGAATCGTAAACGAGGGTCGCTGGTGGTGCATACGCAGATAGAAACAGATACTGGGAATAAAGGGTTGCAATTTTTGACATTTCATGCAGTCCAGATTGATGAATGGCCAACGCACGAAGTCGGGATTGCTATGCTTATTTCGGAATCTTCCACGTTATGCGGACTGCGCCAGCACAGCGGCTGTGCGTCAGTTTCACGGCAGAAGAACTAGATGAGTAAAAGACTGCGTACGGAGCATCAACAATGACTATGCCTGTGAAAATCGATTGTAGAAGATAGTACGCTGAACGCGTTTTCACCGAACGTTCGTGCGCGGCACAACCGAGTATTGGGAAAGTCTACGACAGAAGACCGATCCGAAAAAGCAGCACATGGCAAAGGCGAGGACGTAATGCAGCACGCACCGATCTTGACAAAGCATTCTGCCGCAAACCGAGGGGGTACAATTTTGCGAAAAGCAACTTTTTCATCACGAACCGAGTCTTGACCTGACAGAAACAGAAAGAGAAAGCAAGTATCGAAGCGAAATCATTCAACACTTTTCATTTCGGTATTTGGGAACGCCAATTTCATCGTTTTGCGAGCACGGGAAACTACCCTGGTTTCGTGCATACTACTTGCATGAAAATGAATCGAGTGGAGCAACTATTCTTTCGATGCAGGAAAAATCGTTTGTGAAGATGAGACCAAGGCAGTTTCTAGAAGAATCTAGTGCGAGAAAACAAGTCCGTTCGCGCATGATGTGCTCGAGAGGCCGAGCGTCGTGCTGCACACTTGGCAAGAGAGCCGAGGTGAGCACTAACCGAAAGGCACAAACGACAGAACGTGCCTTGCACAAATTCATTCACTTTTCCTTTTTCTGTATTCTCAAGATAAAGTAGAAGTAGTTTTTGCCACCAGCTTCGACCTAGTATTTCTTTTTCACCCGAGGTTTCGACTGATAAAAAAGTATTTTTCCCGCTCAACATACATGGTTCATGTGAAACATTCAAAAGAAATTGAAATTCTAAGTATCGCTAAATATCATAGCACTCCTCCCGCCTTGGCGCTTGGCTATTGAGATCAACAACGTTTCCGCTGCATCTCCAAGAATGTGCAGTGCAAGTTTCTTGTCGGATGGTCTTCTAGAGTTGTATTCAGTTCTTGCACAAGAAAGGGGGGACCTGTTCTTCCTTTTTGCCCCGGCCAAGACGGGAAAAGTAAAATTCGACGCTGTTAATATAATCGCTTATTTCTCTACTTGAGTAAGTATTCAACCGCTATCGACACTGAGCCTAGTAAAGAGAGCTAAGCTGGACTCAGTGGTTTGTATTCTACGCAGCAAAATGGTCGCATACCGGAGTCAGAAATTGACTTTCGTGCAAACAACTGAAGCCTTCGCCCAGACACCTCCCTGACACAGTATTCGTAGTTGTCCGTTGTCGTAGTTGCGCCAACGCAGTCCCTATTGCAACTAAGTCAAGGTTGGGGGAAGGATGGTATCACAGAGCGTCTGATATCTGTCACCTGTGATTCGTCCACAAGGTGAGCCACAAGACCACCATTTTGACACAAAGAAGAAAGTAGCCAAACCAAAATCAGAGTCCCGAAGTGAAATTTCGCCCCCCAGGACTGATTACATGCTTGTGCCAGATACGAAATTCGATGCAAAATGTCTTTCCAAGGAAGCGAGTAGTCTGTAAATCTATTCATTTTTATTTCGTTGTTCTGTGTTGTTTCATTAATCCGAATATCAGGGCTTCTTTGACACGTCCTTCCCGAAGGCCACTCAATCTGCATTCTCACAAGAGTCAGGAAAGTGGTGAAAATATTGCATTCGTTGTTTAGAGTAAAACAATTTCAGAGGTTGTCAGCTAAAGTAAAAAAGTTTTTCGTGTACAGGTTGAAAAGCAAAATGTCTGAGAGAATTGAGAATTTGTACAGGCAGATTAGCTATTTCGATTGTCTTAATTTTGGTTGAAGATCGTGGCACAAAGGTCGGTAAGAGAGGTACGGAGTCTACCGCTCGCCGAGGAGATAAGTACTTTGTCGGAAAGAGCTCCTAGTACGTGAATGCGACCAGGAATGGGCACTGAGTGATAAACAAACTATCAAGAGCAGCAGCACCCTTTCCGGTGCACGTAGAAAAGAAGTTGTGTCTGGCTTGATGACGTGATCGAAAGCATGCCGGTCTGGCCCTCGATCCCGTCGTGCCGAATAAATGAGTTAGGCTTTATTTTGTAGTAGTAGGAAACAAAGCCGGTCGCTATAGCTACGTCGAAATAGAAAATACTACTTACGGGTCGAATTGAGTGCGCGTGTCGTGAGAGATGTGTTTTATTGCCCACCTCAATTGATTTTGCTGTTATGCTTATTTTCTTCTGTACCTCCGTCATTATATGTAGTGCCCGGCCAACGTCGCAGGTGAAAGTGCAAATAGTCACTGCTGCGCGGCGCGCTCTTTTGCCGCTGCGACCTTCTACTTTGTGAGCAGTGCGACTGCTCTTCATAGCTGAGTAGAGTAGCGTGCTGCTTCGAAGTAGATGCTGCATATCTATATTGGGCCGCTGGACAACAAACCCATTTGAATCCTTCGGCTAGGTTGGTCTTGGTCTCTGGTCCTACTGAAATCGTTAGGTTTTATATGCGTATTTCTTTTCGTCATAGCAGCGGCCAATGGGGTGTGTGTGATCTGATTCTGATCGAAGCGATCTCCCCTAGCTATCATAGACACCAGTCATTTAGCCTGGTGCCCCGACCGCCAAAAAAGTCAGGTCGCGATAGCGCGAGACTGCAGAAAGCTCCTTTCTGTCTAGATTTGTATCGCACAATGGTCATTTTCTATCTATACTTCGAGAATAAAAGGTGGCTTCTAATCTTCTAGGGCGGTTGCTCTATCTCGAATCGGCCGAGCGCGGATTTGTATCTTTAGGTATTTGTGGAATATCAATCGGTGAAATTGATGGAAAGTAGGGCTGCAACGAAGACAATGAATCAATGCAAAGCAGTTGTTCGCATGCTTTTAAACCCGCTCCGCAGCCCGCGTTTTTGGTTTATGGTGTTTTTTGTTTTTCGTTTTTCAAGGTGTGCAAAAGACTCAATGCAAGTTGTACGTTAGTAATGTTTATTTTCCCGTTGGCGCAGAATCCAAATTTGTTTTGTAGTTGCTGGCGGTATGGAAAGGAAAAAGCAGTGCTATTGCTAGTCCGTCACAGGTGGTAAGTAGCTGCGTTGTGCTCTTAGCCTACTGGGCAACGTCACTGGCACACGCATAGAGAGAAATGAAAATGTGTGGACATCAGTATCAGAACGAAGAATCTCCGCCGTAAAAACATCAAACGAGTATCGACGAGCCTTGCGATCAGCACTGCTGCACTCGTTTGACGCTGTCCAGCAGATTCGCGCATCACATGTAGCAGGATCTACATTGTAGCGCCTTGTGACGGACTTTCATCATGCTAGCTGATTTTCCGAGGATAGAAAAAATCTCCATTCGGCTCGTGTTCGTTTTCCCGCCTTGTCCGACTCAGCATAAAGAAATGAAAAAAGCCGAGTGCTTTATTACTCGGTGTCTTCGTCATCCACATCCGCTTTCATCGCGTCCTTGATCTTCTTGGTCTGCGCCATCCAGCAGTAGCAGGCCGGCACGACGGCGAGCAGCTGGACGCCCGCTCCGATGACAAAGAAGACGTGTCGCGACTTCGTTCCCACCGGCTCCACGGACTTGGCAAAGTCGTAATCTTCCCAGATGTCCTGGAAGATTTTTCCGAACACGAAAGAGCCGATCGCCAGCACCACGAGGGAGCCGCCCAGTACCAGACCGAGCTGCTGCGGGTGCACGATGGATTTCATGTAGGCGGTGTTGATCGTGAAAATCCCGCCATACAGCACCGCGATGAAGGCGGTCATAAACCACAGACCGAAGGGCGCGGCGGCGTTGTTCTCGTGGTCACTGTGCGTGCACGGCACCCCGCCGGCAGCGAACAGGGTGAAGAACAGGCCGTAGAGGGCGCAGCCAATCACAAACCAGATGGCGGAAGGCATCCACCACACGCGCTTGGCCAGGAATTCCATCAACAGGCCAACACCTGGAGTTTTTTTTGTATATTTATGGGGAAACAAAGCGATCTGTTTACACAATCGGGCCAGAATGCAATGTGGGAACGACGGGGAAAAAAAAGGAACCCAAGTGGGACAAACCAAGGCATTCATCTATTAGAGCACTGTGAAATTTTCAAATCGAATTCTACCTAATCGGCCGAACGCGTTTCCGAGGGTGAACGTGATTGTCAGGTACTTTTTGATGCTGTCCTTCATGATATGCTCGTGGGAGTCGTTGTGTGCGTCCAGCGTGCGAGCCAGCTTCCACGGGTCGTAGTAGATCTTTGCGTCTTCGCTATCGACCGTCAGCAAAATGTTTTGCTGGATTTCCAGCTTCAGGTCCAGTGTTTCGCTGGAACCCGCAGTTACGCCCGTTGCGGTTTTGAAGAAGGCTACCGGGATATCAAACGGAAAACAGTTTTGCTCACCGAGAAGAGAACCAGTGAGATGTTGCACAGTTTTGCTGGTGCGGTGCGGCGGCCCTTTTTTGTGCTCTACATCACATGTTCTTGTGGGCATCGGCCACGCTCACAGCAGAACGCTGCGGCGCGCTGATACAAAAACTATTCAAGCTTGTCTAGTCGGATGCTGATTGATGTTCTTGCACCGTAAAAAATTTGTTGTTGTTCATGACCAATTGCTCATGCAATAATACTTGTGTAACTCCGCCCTGGAGAACGAGAACCGTGGAAAGAACTGTTTTCGACTTGATACTGCACAATCTTCTGCCCGTTCTCGGACTTCTGGACGACATTCCCGATCCACTTCTTAAACGGCATTTTCTCTACCGCCGCGAAATCGTTGGCGAATTGCGGGTAGTGGCTGTTGCGGAGTTAATTTTTGGGACTGCATTTTGATTTGTTTTCGTCTGCTACTGCAAAACTTTAAATGATTATTAGGATACAGTAGTACTTTTCTGAAAGAACTAGGGCAAAAAAAATATTTTTTACAAGCGCTCGTATTGCCACTTCTCCGTCTGTCCGCCTTCGGTCTTGCGCGCCGCCACTTCGGCGTCTGTGGCACCAATTTTGTGAATTGATTTACCCGCCTTCTTTTTGTTGATCGTGTTGTCGGCGAAAATAGAAGGCATGGACTTCTGCTGGTCGTGCTGTTTCTGGAGAGCAATCAGATTTCGCAAATGGTGTCCGACATTTCCGTTGACAGCGCCGTCGCTGTTGAAAGTGTCGCGCTCCGCGGCATGCAGCAAATGCACTTTCGTTTCTCCGTTTTCCGTGCGCACCTGCCATCCGCTAACCGGCGTCAGTTTATCCAGAGCCTTCTGCAGCAGGTCGTCAACCTTCTGGAATTTGTCCGCCCCAAAGTACAGATCAAGCACGTCGCAGGGGGTCGTCATCGTGCAATCTTGCACTATCTTCTTGTTGTTGGCATCTGATATTAATAAAGGCATCGGGATGGCGTCAAATTTGACTCGCAAAAATTTCGTAGCATGCAAGCTGACGGTGAGTGGACGGAAACACTTCACGAGCGGAGATGGAGAACCGTCGTCGCTCCCCGCGTATGATAAAAGTTAAGTTGCTATGATCCAGCTCCATTTAATTCTCACACGGATAAATAAAATATAAGGCTCTGTAGTTAATAACAGGGAAAGCCAAAAGATCTGTCCTTCTTGACCAACGTTGCAAAAGACAGCTCTTACCGCGATTGGACGTCATGAGGACTTTGTCGGCGGCCAGGGCGAATTTGGAGGCGTTCGCCGTGTTGAACTCGACGTCTTTCAGCAGGTACTTGAGTGAGAGAGACCGGACTTCGGCGCTTGCATCCGAGGAGGTGCGGAAGTTGAAGACGGACACCGGAATGCCGTTGTCCTGGGCGCTGGACACATGCATGTACTTCGGGACATTGGCGAATTGCGTCTGCACTTCCTTGATAATCTTGTTAGCATCCTTCTGGCTGTCGCTCAAACTGGTGTGTTTTCATGGGAGGAGATCCGATGAGGAATAGATGTTACTACAACTGAGAGACTTGTGATAACAAGTCAAACACAAAAATGCTGTTCTTTTTAATCTTTTGTTCATCGGATGTCGAGAGTTAAATAATAATATCCCGCGCTCGTTCTGAACAACAACAAAGCAAAGAAATGAAGTTAATACTTCGTTCCCCGTTGCGGCTTGAGTTGCTGCACAATGGTTTTGAAGTCGGTGTTAAAGTTGCCCTCCGCGTCTTTCGAGTTGACGACGTCGGCTTTCTGCAGCTTGTTCCACGTGACGATACCGATTTTGGACTTTCGCGAGGCCATAAACGCGTCGCCGATCGCATTGTTGAAAGCCAAACCCTGGGACTCCGAGAGCAGCATAACCAGGTAGCAGCAGATGACGCCCTTCCAGAAGGTGGGAGCGTGCTTTTTCTCGCCGGTGAGGGGCTGCTGTTCCTCCTCGTCCTCCTCGTCTGAGCTCTCATCCAGATTCTTGCCGGACACTAACCGAGCCTCATCCGCAATCGAGGAGCGTCGGCCGGTCGCGCTGTTCACGGACTTCCTATTCGCCTGCTTCTCCAAATCAGCCACGCTCACTTCCGCCTCTGCCTTCGGGGTGAAGAAGTAGTACATGAGTCCGGCCGACACACCAACGGCGCCAATCAGCGAACCCAGAGCAATGAAAAAGGTCATCATGCCACTGGCCTGTCGTGTTTTAGAAAAGGTTTGTTCATCATGATCCCTTTGTTCCGATGACGGAACATTACGCCGAGGAGGTTCTTTCCGACTATGGGATGCACAGATAACTCGAGTAATCAAAGTTTTTCCACTATCGGGCTAAGAAACAAACAGCGTATATAAAACATCTCCTCTTGTCCACCACTATGATCATGTACGAAACAACATCAAATATTTAAAAACAGTCTGTACCTTCTCTTCTTCGGTCGTGAAGTTGTTGGCTTCTTTGTAGAAGTCGTAAGCTTTGAGGCAGATGACCGCGGACATGGCATCCAGCATCAAGTACAGACCGGAGATCAAAGTGCACATCGACTCGGGAGAGTTACGGATTGTCCCGAGCAAGGTACCAAAGCCCAATCCCTTGGAGCCCTGCCCCGCGAGACAGAGACCGACAATCACCATGACCGGAACCACGTTCCTCACACCGAGACCCACCATGATGAAGCCCGTTGCGCACAAGGTACCACCGTACAGACACGTGACCGTGGCGCCAAACGCATCAAAGACGAGACCTGGGATAATATTGATGAGGGCGGAGTCGAGGGAGCGCTAAAGGGTGTGTGAAGTGGGTGCTCTTTGTGCTTTTTGGACCCCGACTTTCATTCTTGCAAAGCAAAAAATAGAAAGTTTGAATGCTGCGCTCCTGCTACACTTGTTTGCAAAGTGGACGAAATGTCGTGTCCGGCACAAAAATACTTTAAGTATTCTTGCAATAATATCATGTCACGAAAAACGTATGAGGTAATTGAATTGTACCAGGGAAGATGGCAAGGTATTGACCGAAGAAGCCCGCGTAGTAGGCAATATCGACGCCATCAGAGTAAGAGTTGACCTTCTTCGCCACTTCATCCAAATCCGTACTTTCGGTGGTTGCGTAGTACTTCCAGTAGTCGGTGATTCCTCCCTTGAGGTATGAGTAGCCGTAGAGCGTACCTTCAAGATAAGATTTAGGTTTTATTTTGCTTTGAAAAAGGCCACACTCGTTGAAACTTCCAACCGGAACAGGCGTCAATGGAAATGGATACATATTACCTCCGTTATTCTGCGAAATAAAATATTCGTTTGTATAATAGCAGCTTTTGTTTTCAGGGAAAAAAAATTTTCGAATGCAACTCTCAGTATACCTACGAACGCCGAGGCAACGGCTCCTGTGATAAGGAGGGCCCAATTGATGGGCTTCTCATCTTTTTTGTCGAGTCCCATTTTGATTCTAGAGATGTCGAGATGCAACACAGACCGTTCTCCGACAAGAGAAGCAGTGTGAAATAAACCGAAAGAGCAATCACCAAGGTGACGACTAAACAAACCCCGCAGAGGGTTGTATGATTGAAGATATCACCTTCAAGAAAAGATGCCCCTGAAGATAAAATGAGGTAAAAAAGTGTTGCGCGACTTGCTTGATATTGGAAAAGGCTAAATTGATATACCATGCTTACAAAGATTTTTATCTTGAGTACTTGCTCGCTTCGAGCTTTTTAAATCGGACCACATTCATCGAGCTTTTTAAATCGGACCACGAAAGCAGAGCCAGATCCGGACATGTCGTTACTTGCATGTCGTTACTTGGCGGGACTACTCACAGCGGCACAAAATGAACGTGCAGATCATGATCTCACCATCCTCCTACACAAGTAAAGCTGTGATCTTCTGTTGCAGCGGATCTCCACGAGAGAAAAGCAAGTTAAGTAGGTTAAGCTGCAATAGGAGAACGAGACTTAAATATCTAGGCAAGGATCTAAAATAAAAGCTCGGGATCTTTTGCTTTTCTGCGACGTTTGCCGTAACTGCAAATTCGGTGTCGCAGCTGGCAATCTAAACTGCACGAAGAGAAGTAGTCTTCAGAACAATAGAACTACGTCTAGATGATGGGCTTTGCCGAGATACGAAATTTAAATTTTGGTCATGTCTGTCATTCTCATGCTTTTTAGATCATCGTGACTCGAGCTGCTTGTGTGTAACATGAGCGCGCATGACGGAAAAAGAATCCTCAGCATGATCTAAATATGAACTTCTTTAGTTATGGTTCCTCGCACGTCATTCATTTTTCATGTGCCGCGTGCTTTCGGGCTAAAAGAGACCACCGGCTTCTCGACCTTGAGCCCGGAAACCATGTCGCCGTTTTCGTACAGAAGTCGCACGGTGCAATTGTCATTTTCTAGACTTCGCTTGCCCGCCTCGAGGATCGCGGTCACCATCAGCGTCGTCTTTCCCGTCGGCAGGTCGCAGTCGCAGTCTTTGGCAGTCCTTTTTCCCTCGTTGATCTCTTTCGCGGCCTCGACAAATTTCTGGAAGCTGACGTAGCCGTACCCGCTTTGCCCGCAGTAGCAATTTCGGGAGTCGGGCACGTTGCGAATGTACAGCGGATTCAGCGACTGCAAGCCGTTCGTTTGCTCGCCGGCAAACGTGTACCCCCGGTGACACTGGTCCGTCGTTATTTCGCCCTTCTCCATGAGGCAGAAAAAGCGCTGCTGACTGTGCACATCCGACTTTGCCGCGGTCCACGAGGCCGTGTACGTCGCGTGCCCAAAGGTTTTCGGCGACGGGGCTGCCGCGCTTTCGCTCTCTTGCGGCGTCGTCGCTGACGATGCTGCAGCAACATCCTCAACGTTAATATTTTCCCACTCCGCCATGAGCGTAATCGTGTCTTCGCAGGGACCTGTAGTGTAGACACAATCAGATGAATCTTCATCACGTGGTCGCAGGAGAAGCACAGGCTTGTGCACGAAAACACGATTTAGAGCATTGCTCGCCTGCCTTTGCGCTAATACAAGCACACACGCACATGGTAGTTTTTGCGACGTTACTAAACAGGTACAAAGATGACGACGGGCACAAAAGTGAAAGTCGGTAAAAAAGCTTTCGGGACGAGATATTAAAACCAAAATACGTCCTAGCAGCTCCTCTGCGACGCCCGTCGACGCGAGGGCACGGACCGATACGCACCGGGCGCGACCTTGCATCATCCAGACGTGAAGGTCCACGTGGTGTGAATTCAAGTAGTAGGAAATATCGCTTGAGAGGCCGGCCCACGAGCGGAAGGTCTCCAGCTGAAATTTTGGCTGCGACATGTGGGAGATGCACTGCAAACATGGTCGTGCTGTCAGGATGCTATCAGAAGCAAAGGCAGTGACGCGAAAATCGATCACGTGCACTCGAAAATTCTAGCTAATATTTCTCGTGCTCTACTACGCAACCATATGCAACATGTGCACCGAGCAACAGTGCGCCATGCAGGACTCTTATCTCAGCAACGTGACATGCAAGCATTGGTGAAGGTTCTTGCCCTGACCTTGATGTGACCATGATGCATCTGCAGGATAAAGCTCGTGAAAAAGTTAAACCGACCCAGATCACCGCTGTGAATGCGCAATTTATGCACATGAAATTCGGGTTGAGCGAGTCAAAATCTGCGGTGTTCAATAACGAATTGCGTCAGCTCTTATTTGAAAAGCCTTACAGCGATTGAAGATACACGGGTCATGCCATCGTGATGTGCCTCATGCATGTTCCTTCGCTGTGCGATTGCGCAGAGTCGTAAAAATGCAAACAAGTCAAATACATTTACATTCATCACGACAAGTGAGTATGCTGATGCACCCGTATCCTAGTACGCATTTGATGACAGGCACTGACTGATGAATTCTGAACAGGATAAATCCGTGCGTCATTGTACATCGGGTCGAATCTCTTGTGCACCTCAATTTGCAGCAAAAGATTTTTGGCCTCCGCGAGAGCGACCAGCTCCAAGTGCTCCTCCAACGTTTTCACCATGGGTTTTGTGCACATCACGTGCAGGCCCCTCTGCAGCGCGGCCTTGCAGATTTCAAAGTGAGTGTCATCGGGTGTGAACACGGAGCAGATATCCCCCGGCTGAAACGCTTCCACCGCTTCCCGGTACGCTTGCGGGTCCCGCGCCACGCCTTTTTTGGGAAACTGCTCGAAGCTGAGGTTTTTCACGTTGTCGAACTTGATATTCTTCGCAAAATGCTCCCGAATCTGCTCAAACTTGTCACCGTTCGTGCCGCAGAGGCCGATCTTTTCGCCAATGAGTTTACGCTCGTGCATATCATGAGTAAAAGTAGCCCACCAACCCCCTAGTCAAGACAGGAAATAACCTGCTACGCAAATCTGGTTCTGGACATCGCTTTGGGGGTTGTGCATTGAAGTTTAGTTTTAGATACGGTGTGTGAGTGGGCGTAGCTGGTGCCCACGACGCGCCAAAAATTGACCGGCATACACATGCTGCGTGCAACATGACAAGGTGTCGAAGCGAAGTCGAAAGTGGGTGGTCTGGGGTTCATGCAGATTCGTGTGACATCAAACATGGGGCGGGTACGCTTTTACACAGGATAACGCAGGTCAAAGTGGACAAGCCCGACCACTCCTAGCGATTTGTCGGATTTACTCTGACCCGACGGCGTGTAGCCCGTCACGTACTCGCCGACGCCACAGATCAGAGCGTTCATCTTCCGGCTCTGTGTCTGCGGTATGGCTTACATACAAATGTCCAAAGGGATTTTCGGATGTCGAAATTGTGTAAGTAGAACGCAGCGACGAGGCTTCGCTATCACCATCCAGGGGGTAAAAGAAATGCTCGAGGAGAGGATCGGTAAGTACTTATGTACTTAGCTGCCCAACAAAAGGAACTGCGAGCTTTTCTGGTCCACCAGAGAGAAAATGGGTACAAGAAATCGACAAGAAGGTACGACCGACCTCCGCAGTAACGAGACTGTGCCTCGTATCTACTTTATACATAGAAAGGACCTTATTACCATCTTCTCCTTGCGGTTGCGGCTGCTAGATCGCAAGTGCGAAAGCCGGAAGCTGTCCAAATGAACCGATTAGATTGATGCTGACTCAGATGATCAGACCGACCGCAAAAGATCTCTTGCTTCGGGATGTTTCTTTTTTTGTTAAGGAGGTGAACAGGAATTGTGTTGGTAGTGACTTTCGCGTACGTACGGATAAATAGCCACCAGCGACCTGCAGCTTTAAATAAACTGGCACGTTTGTTGGCGCTACAGCTAACAAATTTCGCACTGGAACACAGATATGAACACGTTTGTGCCCGTTTCTCGAGTGCAGGATAAGCTTCTGAAGCCCCTCTGATACGACATTTCAGCGTGTTGATGTCGGAGATTCTTCCGGTCCTTGTTTGATGGGCAACAGTGAATTATTCTCAAAACATTCTCAGCTATGCACCTCTGCCTCGATCGATGCGCTTCAACCTCTCTTGCTCTTGAGTTGTTCTGGACTTCTCTTGTTCTACTGGATGCGCGTTCAAATCATGATCGTTATGTCATCGCTTTCGTTCAATTCTCAGAGTCAGAAGAAAAGTCAGCGACTTCTACGACATCGCTCCCCTTGGCTGTCGTCCGCTGCTTCTTTGCACTCGTCGCTCCATCCTGACCGTCTTGCTCGGCCGCAAGTTTTTTGGCTTTTTGTCGCTGTCGTTTCAGCGCTCGTTTGGATTTTGGTTCGTCGTCTTGTGTGCTGTTGTGCCCCACGACCTTGCTGGCCATACCCTCCACGTTCTCCTCGTCGCTGTCACCATCCTTGCTGGCGCCATCGGTTCGCTTCTTCGACCCGTCTTTATTTACACCGCTTTTGCTCGTTTCCATTTCCACACGCGCTTTTTCCACCGTGGCCCGTTCTTGCAGAAGCTCCTTGCGCCATTTTGCCAACGAAACTTCGTTTTCTTCAAAGACAGCAAATTTTTCCACGAGCTCCTTATCGTCGATGGAGGTGACTGTGATATTGTTGGTAGTATGGTTTTGATTATTTCTGTTTCAGCAAAAAATGTTGCAGTCTACATCTTCCTTTCATGCATGTCGGTGTCACAGACACAGGAACGGATGTCACTCAAAAGAAGTGAGAAAAAAGTTCAAGAATACATTTTTGTCGCAGCTGGCGGCCCTCGTTGCAACTGGCTTCGATACTCTGCAGCATGTGGGTGAAGTCCTTTCTCACGACTTTATTCCGGGCGGATTTTGTCAACTTTTTGATCAAAGTTGAAACAGGGTGAGAGATCTCCGGAAAGCCCGGACTCCGAGCCATCACTCCCATGGTTTCTACGAAGAGGAACTTCAGGTCCCGCACGCAACCTTCCAGCACGGCCTGTTGTGGGATAAGATCAATTTCGTGAGAACAATATTGTCTGAAAAACTACAGCGAATCAATCCGGTAACCAACATGACATGAATTCAATGCATGTTTTCATCGACCGGCAGCTCTGCTCGGGCTTCGTTTGGTGCTGGGATGATTCTAATGCTATAGGTAGTGTGCTGTTGCACATCGGTCGCATACGCATCAAAAGTTGAGCTAAGTATACCATGCTGTTCTTGTGCGCGTCGGAGATCCGCAGTGTGACGTCCAGCTCCACAGGTTTCAGCATGGAGGATTCCTTGCTCACTTTGGTGAAAGAGGCCGCCTTGTCGAGCTGCTCGAGCAGGCGCTGCAGCAGTTGCAGCAGCCGGTCGCACACGGGCACGAATTGGTCCGACGCGTGCTGGACGAAATTCAAGCACCTTAGGCAGTGGTAGACGTAGGGAAAAAAGTTCAGACAGCCGGCGCGACTCTCCATGGCGAGCTGGATCACTTTGCAGAGCGGATGCGCGAGATTCTGCTGCAAAGACTTGAACCCGGTGCGGCACACGACCTTGGAAAAGAGGTACATACTGCGGACGAAGCACCAGTTGTACAGGAGCGAGACCTTTTTGTCCATGTTCGCCTTCTTCTTCGCCAATTTGCCGTTTGATTTCTGGTTCTGCAGCTGCTTCTCTTTGGTGATTTGACCCATCTGTGAGCAGTCCGCCTTCGTGCTGTTTCGCACCACGGTGGCCATCTGCCGTATGCTCGCAAAGGTGATACGGAAGGCGGTTCGCTCGTCGAGCTTCAGCAGCTCCACTACGCAGTTTTCCAGAAATCGAAATTTGGAGACCTCGCGCCAAGAATAGCCCCGCTTAGCCGCATCGGTGAAGGCGCGGATCACCCGCTGCAGAATCTTTTCCAACTCCGCACTCGCGTCGACCTGCGTGCAGACATCGAAAAATTGTTTTGATGTATCAGATTTCTTGTATTGCATAATACCATGCATGATGGTTCCTGGTCTCGTCTGAGACGTTGGTTTATTTTTGATGAATGGTTAATTAATAGAAGCAATACACTGCACGGCAAATGAAAGAACCAAGTTCAATGAGTTTTACCTGGTCTACTGCTGCGGAGTTGTTTTTCTGCTTTTTGTGCGCCAGTTGCGATGGCAAGGCGCAAGCGTTGCGCAGGAAGAGGAACGCGCTTTCGCGGACTTTCTGCTGTCCGGACAGCGACCATAATCCCGCGACGGTCTTCAGGTACAACATGCGTACCTGGCGGAAGGGCCACAGGTATTTTTGCATCTGCAGGTTTTGAAGCGGCAGCAGAATGCCGGTCAGGTGGGCCGGGTTCGACGTGGAGCGGAGATAAGTGAGGGACTCGCAGAGGAAAATGCGCGCGATGGCCTTCAGCTTTGGCCACTTCTTCGCCTCCGCGACGTGCTGTTGAGCGCCCGCCGCAGTGGAGGTTGTTGTTCCTAATAAGTGGTGATCGAGCAGCTCGGCCATATGGCTTGCCGTCCAGGTCAGCACGGCCTGACACACGTTTTCGTCGTCGACTTGGAAAACGCCCTTTCGCTCCTGGGTGCGACGCTCGAATTCTGCGCGGCGCTTCTTGCGCTTGCTCGTCTCCTTCTTGTCGCCAAAATCACTGTTCAGACTGCTGCCGCCCTTCAGGGTTTGCACGACACTGCGGTACGCGCCAATGACCGCACGGAGGTTGGGAAAGGACTTTTTCTCCAACGCCAGGCCGCTGATCAGCGTCCACCGCTCCATCGTCAGCTGCTTGCTCTCCTCGGTTTGTTCGCGATTAAGATTTTCATCAGCCACACTTGAACTTGATGCGGTTGCGTCGGCCTGTTTGCGCGCGGCACCTCCTTCCGGAGGCCCATCATCTCCACCTGCGCCCGGAGCGGCGGAAAACGTATTGAGCAACTCGGTGTCGTTCTCGACCAAAAACTTGTAGAACTCCGGATCCGCGGCTTTTAGCTGCTCCAGGTCCGTCGCTTGACCTTCAAAGGTTTCATTGGCTGCACCATCCCCGCTTATTTGTGTGGATGTTGTCGACGTTCTCTTGGCCCCCGTCGAAGAGGAGGAGGAAGCTGCGCTTTTGGTTGATGCGCTCTGCCCACCGCCAAGGAGTTGCCGCGCAGTGTCACCTGTCGCTTTCTTTCCGAGGAGTCTTTCCTCGTCGTCGCTGTCGTCGTCGGACTCGTCACCGCGTAGCACGGCATCGATGTCCATATCATCGTCGCTGTCCGCCGCGTCGCTATCGGCGCCATCTTCCGCGTCTTTTGTTGAGAACAGGTTGGACTCGAGCAAATCGTCCACGTTCTCAACATCGCTCAGCGCGTCCTCATCGGAATCGGAGTCTTGATCTCGCCCTGATTCGTTTTTTACGCTTTTTTCCTCGTGCTCCTTGGCTTTGCGCTTGTTCTGCTTCACCGACTCCGCATGCCGGATCTGGTGTGTTTTCTTGGCTTTGGCGCTCTTTTTGGCCGTCTGCCCGCTCCGGCTCTTTTTCGTTACCTTCTGCTGTGCCTTGCGGAAATTCTTGGTCTTCTTCGAAACCTTGCCCATGGCGTTCGATGCTGTGGTGCGAAAAAACCGATACAATCAAATGGATACAAGTTGTAATATTGCGGTGGAACGGAACTGTTTTTCAAAATGGCAATGGCTAGCGAAATAAAGGGAAGCGCAGTCTCGTTTTCAGGTTTTTAATATTTGAGGAGCGTTGCTGCACTATTGTATAAGATCGTATCCGTTTCTTTACTCGTACCTGGTAGTAGGTGATGTAGTCGATCGGATGCTGAGAAGGAGGATTCACAAAATCGTTTCTTCGATTCAGGTCTGCTGACCGCTTACAGACGCGGCACGAAATCATGAAACATCATCGACGTGATGCAGAGCCATATACACGACGGAGCTTTGTTTTCATATTTCTGATCGTTGAATTTTTGCCTCGACCTTGATCAGTTTCGGTGATCCACTTCGATCCTTGTTTCTTCCTGTTCAATCATCTGCACAAAATTTTTTGAGCTTAGATCTTCTAGCGGAAACACCGATTTTGGGTGGTGTTTTGTAATCTCCGGGTCCCCGATCTTTGAGCTTCGTCATGCATTCGATGGCAGACTGTGACTGATGCTGATCGGATCGGATCGGATCATAGGTGGTGATTGGCGGAGCCTCTTACTCTAACCCTCGATAGACAGGAGCGGGTTTACATCTGTTCGCAGCCTGGCACACGACTAGGATAGAGCAGTGTGGACGCCTCTCTGACGTGGAGTTTCCGACGACGTGGACGCCTCTCCGACTAGGATAGAGCAGTGTGGACGCCTCTCTGACGTGGAAACACGCCTTTGCCCTAAACCCCATGCTATATACTAGTTTCTACAAGACTGTTTTGTAAAAGCAAAAACTACCGACGCCTCTAGGTATATAAAAACCCTAAACCCGTGCTGACTACTGGTCATTATATAGAGCATGCCTGGATCCCGCGCTGCGATGTTGTCACAAGCAAACAAACGGAATTAGGTCGTGATTGGCGTTGCCTCTGATCCTGCAATTTTTCACTCGGTTAATAGCCCTTGATTTTCTGATCTCTACTACGGAGGTGCAAGGAGAACGATAGGAACTGTGAGCTATGCGAAGCACGCAGTGCAGGTGCAGCACTTCGCGAGGAAATCATTTCAGTGTAGTTTCATGCTAGCGTTTAATAATTCTTTGTTGCAGTTCTTTGTATTTCAAACGGAAAATCCTCGACTTCGACATCAAATGATTCACCTTCACAAAAAAATTGAAGCAATTCATAAAACAACTGTCCACGGGGTGGCACTACAGATGTATATTGCAAACACTTCCCTTGTAATCCAGTCCTCGCTACTTTTTTTGTTGTCTGAATATTTGGACGGCGGTTAAAGAAAGACAGCATCAGAGTGTTGCCTAATATTATCCTGCTTGATGCCTGCAAACAATTTATAACACTTCGCCTTCGCGAAGTTATGTAGTTCGTGTGTCGTCTATTCTATGTTCAAAAGTAAGTAATTGCTTCTTCTATGCGTAGTTTCATCTGTAAGTGTAGCTTTGTGCGAACTGTTTGCGTGTTCGGCCGTTCTTCGAACTTGGTAGCAGCGACAACGAGTTTTAACAGCGTAAGCACTTGCATCTGTGAGCATCCAGCCGTAGAAAAGCGTTCGTAGAGTCGGCGTCAAGGTCAGTCCATTCGGATTTGCTCGTGGGTGTAGGCCTAAAATTATCTATTTTTTTTTGTATTTGTTTGCACACTGCATTCTGTTTTCAGCTGCGTCATAATAAACAACAGGAGCAAATCAAAGCTTCAAGTTCGTGATTGTGCGAAGCCAACACAAAAAAGACGGGCGGCCCATGTTGATAGACAAAAATATAAATTTTGCATCATGCACCAGAAACTACAACTTCTGTGACAGCAGGGGTGTAGAAACAAACTGAAACGAGTAAAACTAGTTTTTGCGCAATAATGCTGTCGTTGCATTGGAAACAGCATATATTCAATTTTACTTATTCCGATGTTTATTCCGGGGTGCGGCCGACAACTGTCAGGAACCAATAGAAATTGTACAATATCATCGTCCAAAGTGCATTTTTTTTCTTGGAAATCGTTGATCTCCAAAACCTGCCTTATTCTGCAAACCAAACCCAAGGTTTATGTCCTTCATTTTCAGCATACTTCATTTTACTTTTTTTCAATAAACCACACTGCATTCGGATTAGGTGTTTCAACAACATCCATTTCATCTGAAACGATATGAACTTCGCTGTCCTTTTTTATATGGGAGGTCTTCATTATGATGCTACTGGTGAAACGCTGGGAGTTTTTTTCTCTGGAAAAAATCTAAAAGTGAACGTTCTTTTGTAGTAACTACTACCGTGACCGCAAATTTGAAAAAATCTTAAGCCACAAAAAAATGAATTGCGACTGCGGAAAATGATTACACTTGTGTTTAGGCGAAAATCTATCCTGGACCTGAAGCTTGTATTTTTCGCGAAAACTCAATAAAACTTGTTTGGCGGCGGTGTTGGTGCTGGAAGGGTCTGCATACCTGTCGGTGTCGTGATAAAAAGGGATGCTTCAGGCCAAAATCACTCCTGCCTCGTCTTCTCTTTTTTTTCAAACAACATGATCGTACAAAAATGCATCCTGGCAAGCTCCAGAGTGGATGAAAAGGATATAGTACCTGGCTGCATCTGGTGCGGTGTATTAGATTGCCCGTTGCTGTTTTGCAATACGGGGGGCGGGGTTCCGCTCTGAATCATGGCCATCAGCTGGTTGACCAAGGACTGTTGAGAGCTACCGAGATTTGTTGGGTGGCTGCTATTCGGATCCATCCCACAACTCCCGTTCTGCTGCGCGCCCTTGCTGCCGGCAACGCAGCCCGGCACTCCGGTCCCCGGGGGTTGCTGCGGGCCACAGCTTCCCACAAGATTGCTGTTCGACGCGGTGGTAGACAGGGACACCAGCGGTGGGGGCGTCAGCACCGTGGACAAATGATTGTTTCCGCTGGTGTTGTTCATGATCACATTGCTCGGCTGCTGCTGGTGCTGCTGCTGGCCGCCAGTGGCGCAGCCTCCAGCTTGGCCACCGGGGAGCGGCGCCGGAAACTGCAGCTGGTGGTTCGCAGACGTGTTTTATTGTGAGGAAATATCCCCCCACCCCATATCAAAACGAAGTTTCTGATGCTGGATTTGAGTACACAAATCAGGTTTGTCTTGCAGAAAGTGCTTGGCGGCAATTTCTGAGCCTGTTTGGGTATGCAGAGGGGTAGTAATTACGCATGGAAAACAGGTTTGCAGTAGCCGAAAGCGCATGACAGATTGGCTTTGGAATGCGCCACATGGCTCCCATTGCCCTATAGGCAAGACAAAGACGATTTGTGACCACAAACCAGCATCACAAGTTTTCATTTTGATATGGGGAGGGGGGATTTTTCCTCACAATATGTTTGTCGTCGACGTGGTTCCGTTGAAAGTCGACGACCTGGTTGACAACTGAAAAACCGGAGTCGAAGCGGACACGTGGTCCTGCTGCATCTGCTGCTGCATTTGGAGTTGATCCAAAAGCTGCAGCGGCAGCTGCTGGCTCTGCTCCACCTGCAGTGCGTTAGAAGTACTCTGCGAATGCTGCTGACCTGCCAGCTGCTGCTGCGAAGCAGAAGTGACCAAGCCGCTCGTCGTCCCACTTGATGAGGGGAGAGGAGGAGTGGCGGCGGTCCCCGCGGTGATTAGATTCGCGGTACTAGAGGTATTATTGCTCGCTCCACCACCTCCCCCACAGCCACTGAAAAGCTGCATGCTGCTCGGGCCGACGAGCTGCTCCAAGAAGGTCGGAAGCGAGGCTGCATGATTCGGTTGCCCGAGTTGTGGCTGTTGCAAGGACTGCGATGAACTGGGGATGTTGGACAGGAGATTCATGCTTGTTCCCGGTTGCGCTTGCGCAGATGAGTTGTGCGGCTGAGGAAATAAGTTGAAGCTATCTTGTTGTACTCCCTGTTGCGGCGCCGGTTGCGAGGACAAAAGGTGATGCTGGAAAAGTTGCTGCCCAACGCCGGGCCCTCCTCCGAGAGGCTGGTCAAGAAAGGCAGGCAACGTGGGGGGTGGAGTATTGGAATGCACCACCGGCTGCGGTGGCGCGCCGGGGACCACCTGCTGTGAGGCTCCGTTCAATGACCCAACTCCCTGGATGCTGCTGCCATTCAAGAACCCTTGCTCCAACAGGAGCGGAGACTGTTGTTGTAACAGAGGCGGAAGATGATGCTGCTGGTTGTTTTGTTGATTTTGCGCGTGCATCTGCGGCGCCCCGGACGACGCGCCTTGCAGCTGCTGTAGGATTTGGTCTTGGTACACTTGCCGCGACAAGATCTCGGTCTGTAGCTGTTGCTTGAAAGAATCAAGTTCTTCGCGCGAGCGAAAGTTCATCGACATCAACAGTTCCGGAGGAATGGCGCCGCTCCCGGGATGACCGCCTGAAGACCCCGTTGCAGGAGCCAACTGGGAGACGCTGTTTTGCCCGACGAGATTTTCGAGGATTTGATTGGACCCCCCGAGGCTCCCGCCGGTCAAGTTGGAGAGCTGCTGCCGCAGTTGGTTCCCGGTCAGTTGCTGGAGCGACGCCTGCGAAAACTGGTTGGGCGCGGTCTGATCGAGAACGAAAAAGTTACCGCTTGATCCGCCGTCGCCAACTTCGGGCTGCGAAAGCTGCCCAACCATATTATGGCTGTGCTGCTGCATCGCATGCAATTGGGATGTGTTCCCGCTGTGGCCCCCTGGTAAGACCAGCTCTGGTTGCTGCTGCAGCTGCATCACCTCTCGATAAAGGTGCTCGGGGGAAGGCTCCACGGGCCAGGTCAAATTTTGCTGGTTCAGGTGCTGTGGCGGGCCGGATTGATGAGAGCTTGACTGCGGTTGAGGAGGCAGGTGGACAAACGGGTCTCCATGTGGTCCATGGTTTATGTTTTGTTGCTGCGGTAAAAATCCCGCCGCCCCGATCAGGTTGTCGTTGTAATTACTGTTCTGGAGGTTCATGTTGTCCACCATAGGATCAAAGAACTCAGTCTGGTGGAGCTGGTTAAAACTTCCATGGTGGTCGCCCATGCTGTGAGGACCGAGGGAATGGTTGTGGTTGTGGTACTTGCGACCTCCCTTGTTGCGCATTGGAATATCGTCATCGATGCGGAAGGGCGCGAGGCTCCGTACCTGATTTTTTGATGACCCTTGTACTTCTTTTTGTTCGAAAAAAAAAGAATGGTTCTGGGCACAATTGCAACTGGTTTGCGAACGTGGAAACAAAGGCAAAGCAGTCACAGCTACTGAAATTCCATGATGCAGCTTATGTCTATGCGATTACATTTTTGAAATTGTACCGGCTTCGGCGGCGGCGGCAATGGCGGAGGACGATCGGCCATAGAAACGTCGTGAGAAGCATGCACATGATGACCTGAATGAAAAATTAACCGGGAGCCGATAAATCTGTGCCCCTTTCATACATTCCGTTTCAGACATCAATTAACAAACTGGGAGCCGATAAATCTGTGCGCCTTTCATAAATTCCATTTGAGCCATTTGGTTGGTCTTCGTGGTCTGTTAGTTCCTCTACCCAAAGTAGAAGCGCCTACATTTTGTCACTACATTGTACCTCCATGGTAGTTGTTCCGCCCACCAGCACCAGCAGCCGCGCGTGAGAAGTCTGCATCTTTACTCGCTTTGTTGCTCCGGTAGCTGCCACGACGGCCGTTGTTGCGGGTGCCCTGCCCTGCGCCTGCAGTTGGTTCATTTTTGTTTTCTGTTCCACGGTACTAAGGGTGTCACGGTAGGCGTACTACAGTAGTACTTTTACTAATTTTTAGTTTGCAATGACCGAACTCGTTCGAGCGGAAGAGGAGCGGGCTTCATTTTGTTCTCCTGACCCTAACCCAAAGTCATGAAAATGACTTATTGGAGTTGAGTGTAGTCCCGAGAATCAACTGCTAATACCAAGCAGATGAGTGCACAGTTGAAAAGCCTACCATGCTGTTTGTTGTCCACCGCCACACTCGACAACTTTTTGTCGACCGACGCGATCGTGGACGGTCGCCGGCTGTTGGCGTTGCGCAGGGGAGCGGGACCCGCGCCCGGTGGGCGGGGCGGCAACGCGCGCTGCTCGTTGTCCTCATCCCACCGCCATTCCGCAAATTCCTGGTGGTCGAGCATTTTCCGCACCGGCTGGACCGCCTGGAGGGACGTTGCGTGATTCACATGGTCCTTGCTCCCCATGGTCCTCGCACTTTTGTTTTCCAGCAAAGCCGCGTCGCGGACGAGATTGCGGTTGCTGTGATTGGTCGATCCCTGATCCCGGAGGGGGCCGTGAGAGTGCAGCGGTTGATGCGCGTGAAAGTCGTTGTCGTACAGGTGCACGTTGCGGTGGTCCACGCGCTCCCCGTACACGTCAAACGCGCCCCCAGTCCCGCCGCGCACATTGTACGCCACCATCTTGCCGGACCGCTCGTCCGGCTGGATTTCGTACGTGACCTCGTCCCCGCGGGCCAGGGGGCGCCCGATCACGCGGTTCGCGTGGACAAACACGTCTGTGCCGTCCTCCTGCATGATGAAGCCGTACTTCTGCGTGACCATGAAGAACTTTACCTGGCCCTTGTACACCTTGCTCCGCGGTTGCGCCGGCCGGTGCGGTGTTGCAGCTTTCTCCTCTGCTGCTGGTTCCACTGCGGCAACATGGGTGGTTGTTTTGACGTCGGGCAGCTTCGATACACTAGTATTTTCGTCCTCCACATCAGCAGCTCTAGTAGGGACAGAAGCTGCAGCACACGGCGAAGACTGCGATGAATCCAGCTGCATACTCTGCGACGCAACGGGCTGCAACGCCGCCACCTCCTCTGAAAAAATCGCCATTACGGCGTGCGTCAAGAGGCGCGTGCGTCGGGCGTAAGAGATCGGTAAACCCGGCCCACCTTTCGAACTTCTGTCCGCTGTTTCGTTCGATTAATTCTGTGTGACTACCAAAAATTGACTACCTACGCAAAACGACCACCAGACATGGTCGCTGTACATCAGCCAAATTATTGCAACAAAACTAGACCCGTAATCTTTCGAATTTTTTTTCATGAGGAAAAAGATCTCGTAGCTTCAACAGGCAAGTTTCTACTACTACTTTTTTAACTTTATGTCAGTCTTCGCTCTTTTTAATTTTTTCTCATTTGGATGCCTTTCATCGTTTTGTTCCCTCTTGCGCTCATCGCCTGAGATGAAGAACCCAAGTGGTTGTAAAACCAGGCATCGGAGGTGGAGGAAAAAGGCAATGAAACAGTAGAGGCCCCTTCGCGCATGCATTGGCTTCCGCACAACGGAATCAGCTAGAAGCGGCGATGGGGAACAGTATGGGAACATTAATTTCTACGATCGACCGATAAGGTGTAGTTCATGTGGGCTGACTAGAGCTCAGTGTGCACATGGTCGATGACCACGCGCCGAGGACGAGCACTGGAAACACAGGACGCGCGAACAGCTGCGCTGTGTAATTACGCGGGACTTTGGGCGCTGCCTTCAACATCTGATCATGACCCGCCGGGTGCGGATCGCGCGCCATGCAACTCGCGCGGGGCGAGTGCGGGCACGGCGTGCGTGCGCACGAGGGGACTCAGGGTATCTCCCGGTCGCCGCGTTTCAAAGTACCCAAGCAATCGCCGAGGGCGTCGGCCATCATTAGCACCGCTCGCGCCAGACGGGCGCCATAGCGCCGGCCATTGCCGGCTTTCGGAGGAGTCAAACCACTGCCGGCTTTCGGAGGAGGGCAAGCGCCAGGCGGGGGCGCGTGCCGAGCCCCCCGCCACTGTAGACGGAGCTGGCCCACCCATACACCGGGAGGGGGGGCGCGGGGCACTTCGCTCGCAATGGTGTTCCGGGATTGCGCCGGGGGGGATGGATGCTGGCGCATGTTCGGCAAAGCCACAAGCTGCTGGCCGCCAAAGGAGTCGAGCAGCCCCTGACGCTATGGGCCACGCGCGACACGTTTGCCACATTCACGGCCGCTACTGCAGCTACTTCGTCGCATGAGGTGGGTTCGATCGGGATGTAGGGCCCACTTCCCTGCGGTTTCCAATCGCTGGCGCGGTGTTCTTCATCAAGATCTACTGGCATTTGCTCCGCCGGCAGCTGCAACACCGACCGGAGGGCGGGGCCCGGCCGAAGTTGCTGCCGCAACAGAAGCTCAGGGCTCCCGCGGGGGATTCCACGTCGCCGCGCCGGAGAGAATCCGCACGAAGGGCCCCCCAAATCTGTTTCCACAATTCCACCGCCCGAACCACCAGGGCAGGCGTCGCACGTTATGCCACTGCCTGCAGGAAATGGCACGGAATGCCCCAAGGGGGCGCGCTCCCGCCCCTGCTTCGATTTTGCTGGGCACAAACGAAGCCCATAGCAGGGCCGCAACAAGACTCGCGGGGCCCAAAGCCGCACTTCCCCGGGCTCTTCCCTCCGAGACGCTTCCAGCAAAGGGAAGGGCCGGGCCGCGCGGTCGAAGACCATTCGCCACGCTTGTTCAGTAGCTCCGGCAACCCTGCGCGGGCGCAGCAAGGCAATGCGCGCGCGCATTTCCCCTATCCAGGGCGCCGGCTGCCGTGCGGCGGCCTCTGGCGCCAGTCCCTCCCCATTCGGCCAGACAAGAAACTGAAGAGCGCCGCCCCACGTTGCACGAAAGAAAACTGCCGGCGCCCGGTTTGTAATTCATTACAGTCAGCGCACCGCCCCACGAAGGCGCCCGACTTGTAGCCGCACTGCGTAGGACGCATGCCATGCGTCCACATCTTTAGCCCAATAGGGGGCGGCCTGGCCCGTCCCCCGCATGAAGACTTCAGCCGCCGGCGATGATATCCACCACATGCCGCCGGGGCATGTCCCCGCAGGGGGGCAGGCCGCCACCCTGGTGCTGCCTGTGCAGGAGCATGGGGGCGTCTCCGCGAACCCTGGCGGGCATGCCGTCCGCCTCGGCGAGTTCATCTAGGTCCCCAAGGTTGTCGCCATATAATGGCGCGCCGGCTACATGGCGCGCGCCCCGGAGGAATGTGCCCGCGCACTGTTCGCCAGGTGTGGCGCACCGGTTCCCCCGGTGCGGCGCACCAGGTGGCCGCTAAGATGGGCGCCTCCACGGTCGGCGGAGGTGGCGCCGGCCCTGGGGCGGGGATTTCGCCCGCCGATAAGTAGACTACGCAGGCGGCAACTTCCTGTCTTGCGGCCAAGAAGGGCGCTGCCAGCGCTTTAGCCGGTAGAAGCGGCGACGGGGAACAGAATGGGAACAGTATAGCAGGCCGTTCAGTCCTGTGCTCTAGCTCCTTTCCGCCACCGGAAGATGAAGCCTATTCAAGTTGCTTCGTGGCCCTACTTGAAGTGGAAGCCTGCAACTGTCGTAATGGAATCTTTACAAAGGAGTTCTGGTTATAAAAAGGTAGCGGTTCGTTCTTCATCTTACAAGAAACTCAATATTTTTGGACGCAAGTGGAGTACATCGCCGATTTGAAACTTGTACAATGGGGGCAAGAAGACGCACCTGATATCAATAATTGCAAGCACAGGAAATGAAGCGATCAAGAAGTGCCAGACTTGATGAATAACGAGAGGCAAGCCATTGCCATTTTTGCTTTCACAATTTTATTCGAAAGACAAGCTTTTTAGTCCTCCTTTGACTACTAGATCGTTAAACTGCACGTCGCAGTTCGACAGTGTATTGTGGGGGTTGAAGTAATGACTGCCGTACAGGAGAAAACTATCATCACTGAATTCATCGGAAACCTTATTTCCCGACGACGTCCCACGAGAGCGATTCGTTTTGGTAGATCCTGCGCAAGCCATCCGCCACGAGAACGGCAATGCTTGCGATCTTGATGTTCTTGACCTTGTGTCGCCCGTCGTCGCCGTTGATGGTGTCCGTTACCACCAGCTCCTCCAGCACACTGTTCTTGATCTTTTCCAGCGCGTTTTCTGACAACACGCCGTGAGTGACAAACGCGTAAATGCGGCGGGCGCCGTGCTTTTTCAGGTTCGCGGCGGCCTCGCAGAGCGTGCCGGCGGTGTCCACCAAGTCGTCGACGATGATAACGTCCCGGTCCCGCACATCACCGACCAAATCCATGGAAGCAACCTCCCCTGGCCGTATCCTCTGCTTCGATATCATGGCCAACTTGCAGTCTTCCACGCCATACTTCATCAGCTTCGACTGGAACTGCCGTGCGCGATCGCTGTTTTAACGAGTGATGTGGAGGAACGACGTCAAATCGATATTAAATGTCGAAACGCTTTTGCTGGAAAATGCAGAGGACAAAGACGCACAACCAGTTTTGAAATGTGATCGTGGACGAGGAAGCGGGTTTGTATACTACTCGCCTGGAAGGAAGATGAAGCAAAAATCGGAGAAGACCGAAATCCAGAAAAGAAGTCAGCGTCACCAGCGACAACGACGACTTAAACTCCCATCCATGCTAGCATCCTAGTGCGATGTTGAAAAAAGGAATCTTCAAATGAACAAATTGACCCAGATATTATTACACGCCTCCCGCATCAGGGCTGATCACGCAGACGCGGGGGCCAAGTTTTTGTTCCCGAGCGAAGTATTCGACGCCGATGCTCATCGCCGACAAGTTGTCGAAGGGGCAGTGGGGGGGGAAGAACCCTTGGATCGCCCCGTTGTGCAGGTCGACGGACAGCACGCGGTCCGCGCCCATAGCGATAATCATATTGGCGACGTCGGCGGCGGCAATGGGGACACGACTCGAATTCTTGCGGTCCGCTCGCGCGTACCCGTAGTAGGGGATCACCGCGGTGATGCGTTTCGCCGAGGCTCTGCGCGCCGTGCTGATCATGAAAAGCAGTTCCACCAAATTTTCGTTCACCGGGGGACACGTCGGCTGAATGATGAAAATATCCTTCCCCCGGCAGGACTGCTGGATCTGGATCCGCGTCTCGCCATCCTTAAACCGCGTAACCAGGGCCGGGGCAAGTTCTGTGGTTTTTTTTTCATCAGGAGTTCTCGAGTACAACTACTTCCCAGAAGTTTATTGGCAACTAAGTAAGTAGTGCTTGTTACCAATACGAATCGTGGTTCGAATCATTGCATCCAGTAGTTCGGATTTATTATCATTTACCGATCACAAAGCTGAAGTCTTCTCTGTCTTCGACCGGGGACCTCCAGATAAATTGCAGAATATACCTACGCCCAGGTGTTTTGCAATCTTTCTTGCGAGGCGCGGGTTTGCATTTCCGGACAGTAACATGAAGTCGCTACTGTCTCGGCTTTCGTCCTTTTTCTGGGGTTTTTGATTGTAGAAACTTCGGGCCAGCTCCGGCTGGTGCTGCACGCTGGCATCCCACGTAGCTCCTGGCTCCGGGCGGGCCGGAATTTTCGTGCCTGATTTCCACCGGGGGAACCAGGAGCTGGTATCTTGCTGGCTGCTTGCAGCTCCGGAGCTTGCTGCCCCGCCTCCTGTGGCACCGCCCGCTCCTTCTTCGCACAAACACAGACTGGAGGAGGTCGCGGTAACGGAAGTGCCCAGCACCAAGCCTGCTACGAGTGCGGCCGACAGAAACCCGGTTGCAGGTAGTTCTAGGGTAGTTTGCGGCGAACTTGAAGATGCACCCGTGCGCTCTCCGGTCGTCCTTGTGCTCGTCGCGAAAGCTCTCGTCCGAAATGCATCACCAGAGTCGATGAATAGTGGCCGTTTATTAAGTGCAAAAGCAAGCGGGGCGCTACCGGAGTCCCTTGTTCGTGCGGTAAGTCTACTGTTCTTCGCAGTAGTTGCAAGTGGCGCCGCATGTCTTGACAAGCGTGCCCCCGCGAGCCGGGATGCTCGTGCTGCGATCATCGTCAGAGGCAAGAGATGAAAACACTTAACCTAAAAAAGGCCGGTGGCACGCACATGCCCACAGCCCTCTCTGCAAATCAACTATGAGCATGACGTGTGACCGGAATAGATCCAGATGAAATCAAAATTTGGTTGGTGCGCAGTGGTAAAAGTGCAACTTTCTTCCGAAGGTTCGGAGAGTGAATTCTCGCGTTTGGTGTTCTTCTACGAGGCCACAATATTGCTAGTCATTCATAATTGAAGATGTGAATACGGCAACTCTGCGGCAGTAGATTTCGTGAAAAAAGCCGAGTCAAGTGATATTGAAGCACAGAAAAGACATATGCAAAAGACTTCCATATTTGTACCGATATGAGCAGCTGCCAAGCATTCCTCCCTATATTAATGTCTCTCCAGTTGATTTTCTTTCGGATTCTTCCAGAGCGAACAAATTTAATTTTTCTCGAGATAAAGGGTGAAGATTTTTCGTGGTGCGGTCTCGAAAACTGCGCAGCACGGACATTGGTTCTACTCTTAATACCGACCACATTGCAATGTTCATCACGCTGCGTAGCTTGTAGTTTCTATCATGCGAAAAGAATGCAAATCTGACGAGCCACAAGCCTTTTCAAGTAGTACAACTGCCTCCTACCCCGATTGGCCGGCTAGAAGGATTCAGACCGGTTGTAATATCGCCAGTAGCAGTCTTCGAGCACCGCGGTCCACACCCCAACCGTGCCCCAGTTGATGCCACGAATCATGCCCTTCCGAAGACCGGCCCACAGCGCTCCGCGGAACGGGTCCCGCGCTGCCTCGAGCGCGGCGTTGTAAAGGGAGATGCGGGGCTTGGTGTGCATTAGTGTCTTCACGCGATCCGGGTAGTTGGTGGCCACTTCCGCAATGGACCCGGTGATAGAACCGGCCATGAACCCAATCCCCATCTTTTGTAACAAGGAAGAGCTACTAGTGCTCGGTGCGCCGGGCTGTTGCGCTGGCGAGGCCCCCGCTGCGCCCGCGCTAGTCGTGGTAGTAGATGAAGAAGTGCCTCCACCAGCGGCCATGTCCTTGTTCTTCGCCACTGCCGTCGCGGGGCCGCTGCTAGTCGTGGCGAACATTGGCGCGAGAAGAAACTTGGTGGGGCCGATACTCTGCAGAACGATAGCGTTCGCGAGACTTTTGCGTACTACGCCGGCAAACACCCCCTTGAAGAAGGCGCGCATGCCGTCAAGCCGGTACAAGTGCTTACTGGCCGCGATGAATGACCGTTCTTGGTGCGCAATTTGAAAATTCTTCACCACCACTGGAGGCATCGCGAGAAACTCACCCGTGCCTGCAAAGCAAATTGATAATTTGGGTGCATGATACATTCACGTTGTCTTATCGGCACGAAAAATAGTAATTCATTGTGCTGACCTTCAAGCCGGAGAGTCACTGGGCTGCGAAACAAGAACGGAGTCAATAAGTAAGTACCTGCTGCCACCATGCTGCCGGCGAATTTCAAGACCTGGCTATCCGTGCGCTTTTTAACTTCCCGCTGGATGTTCTGGTCGATCAGCAAAGTGAGCCCGAATCGCTGGCCCTGCGCGATCGCGCCCATGGGGAGGCCCAAGACGTAGGTGGACAACGTGTTCGGGGCGCGCGCACCCACCTGCCGCAGTACTTTCGCCACGTCGAGCCAGTGCGTGGCGGTTGCGCTGGTGATACCCGCGAGACAGCCGGCCGACAATGTCAGTACCTGTTTCGCTTGTTTCGGCAGCGCGGGCCGCACGATTTCGGAGTCCTCCTTGGTAAGCTTTGTGGCGCCGCTGCGCGTCTTCGCGGTGTACTCAGGGAGCAGCTCTGCTCCCACACCAGGAATCAGAAATGGCGGCTGGTAGGTGATGGGAAAGGAGGACACTGCGCCCAACCGCTCGAGGAGCGGCACCAGTTGTGGCTCCCTCAGATCGAGGAAGATTTCCGTATCCGCCACGGGCTCAGTGATCACGCGACTCTTCAAGTCCAACAGCAGCTGGTACCGCTTCTGCTGCTCTGCGCTCGCGCTTTCTGGCAGCGCCACGGGGAACAGGCCGTCGAGGAGGTCACCTTTGCTTGCCGCGCCTGCGTCGGTGCGTGCTGTCGAGTAAGGAGGAAAAAGGTTCATGTAACTCGCCCAGGAGGAAGTACGTGTAGCCGCCTGATGTAACTCGCTCGCGTCGCTGGCACTGGGCCTGCTGGACGATGGAAGAGCGTAGTAGACCCAGCTCCGAAACGCGTCGAGCCAGTGTTTACTGGTGCCCTTAGCAGAAGAAGTGCTGGAAGACGAACCCCCAGCTTGTTCTCTTTCAGCGGAAGAGGACTTTGTGCGCGCCGAACTGAGGTCGAATCCCCGGAGGTACTTCTCGATCTTTTCATCCTCATATGACAGTGCACAAACCCCCCTCCTCCTCATTTGTACATGCATGGACAGCAATACAAACACCAACACAGGTGGATGCTATGCATGACAAGTTCATACCCTGAGTGTTGTACTGTTTAGACTCCCAAAATTTGTGATGCAGATAGTTCCACAGGGTAGCAACTGGATTTGACACTCTGCATGACAAATGAGGGGGAGGGGGAGTTGTGCACTGTGATACCTCACCCGGCTCCTCCTCGATGCAACGCCGGATTTTTCGCAACTGTTTCTGCTGCTTCTCAAGCAACCGGACGCGGGAGAGCTCCAGGCGGTCGACCTCCTGAAGTAGCAAGTACCTGGTTTTTTTTTCCCATTTTATTTTCATTCAAAAGTCGTCTTGTGAAATTTCATCCACGCATCTTCATCAGTGTTGGCGCTCGCAGCATGCGCTGAAAGAAGTCGTTTGGTTTCTCGTGACAAAAAATAAACGCAAAAGCGCATCAAAATGAAAGTATTATACCGTCTCTTTTCCAGAGCCGTTTCGACGCGATCGCAATGGTCGCGCACCTCATTTCGGGCTTCTTGAATCCTTTTGTTGATCTCCTGCACACGCACTTCAATGCCCTGCTCCGCGCTTTCAAGCTCGCGCTGCAAGAAGGACTGTAGTCGAAGGATTTCTTTCTCATGCTCAGCCTCGGGTGCGACGAGAGGCATAGCATAAGATATTGTTCACAATGCACTCTTGACACAGAAGCAGTCCTCGCTGGCTTGTAGCAGAGCTATCTCTCGAACAAACGAATACTGCAAAAAGGGCACCACAAAGACGACGCAGCCCCTTAATACTCCCCTTGAGACTGAAAATTTGCAAGCAGGAAAATCTTGTAACCAACAGACATAAGTGCATAATATGCAGCTCCTCCTGCAGTTCCCGCGACACAAACTTATCACTGTTGGTCGAAATGAGGTCCCACATACGTGACCTACGTAACGGGAAGTAGTGCGTTTTGTCGGCAAAAAAAGTTGTTTGTCGGGAACAGTGTGGTCAATGCACGTCGAGCAGGTTTTTATGCCACATCATCCGCAGCTGTGCAAAACACAACCAAATTCGTAGCTGCAAGCTCAGCCTGCCTCGTCGATATTCCATTTCATTGGGCCACTTCATGCCTAAAATTTCAAGTGAATTTTCAAATGTGCCGTTTTGAGCAGGGCACGCAGTTTTTCTTTACTGTTGCATTTTCGTTTGACAGGTGAATCCGGTTTGCAAATTGTGTCAAAGATACATCAACTACGAGAAGTGCTTTGTGCATGCGAAAAGTGCGACTACGGTACTTACTTTATTCTCTGAAACGACAAAACTAACTCTACCCCGTGCTTCTCTCGAAACGACAAAAATATAGTGCATTTAGAGTAGAGCAGAAAATTTTTCGAAAGTAGTAAACTGGAAACAGGAGGTGCTTGAAAAGAAAAGGAAGCTCATTTACGTTGTCATGAAGGCTTTCTTCATGATGTTCGGACAAACAGCACTATAAGAACGCTAGTACCAAATCATAATCAAGAACAGGTGAAAAACAAAAACGCGAGCTCGTTCTACGTCACCCGCTGTGAACTCAAATGTAATTTTATCTTACTTCATCACCCACGTACGAGCACCTGGTGCCGCTTGACGGTTTAAGGGGGCGGGTCTGGCTGGGACACCCCCTCGCCGCTGGTGTTTGCTGTCTGCCGCGGTCCTCTCCACCGCGATAGCGTTTCCATCAAGAGTACATCTCGATAGGTGTGTGTGCTTGCCCGGACGGTGTTCAAAATTTGCTGCAGCTTATCGACTACCGACATGCGCGAGTAGTGGGTTATGACTCTGTAGTCGTTCGGGCCGAAGGCCTCTTGCTGATAGAGGTCGGTCCAATAATCGTAGGCGTCGTGAAGTCGCTGCTCCAGCTCCTCAACCGTGAGACTCCTCTGCCGTGGCGCGTGGGTTTCGCCCCCGATGCCGCGCCCGAACCACTTCGTGCGGCTCGGCAGGCTCAACGTTTCGTCGATAATCATGCGCGCCAGCTCGCGGTCTGCCGGGTCGTACGACCTGGCAGGTCTTCCGTGCTGTGCGGTTTCTTGTCGCCCCGTGCTCTGGCTGGCGTGATGATTCGCAATTAGTTCACTCCAGAGACCGTCCGCCACAAATTGTTGTCTTCCGCCTTCCTCATCGGGGACAAGATACGAGGCATGGCTTGCTTCTTCATTTGCTTGTTCGCAACAGCGCCGGTCTACTCCTGAAACTTGCGATGTGCCGTTTTTTCGCGCTTTATCCGTACTGTCAGCTGTTCTTTGTGGTCTTTCCACGCTTTTTCCTGACAGAGCTGCGCAGGTGGAGACGGCGCGACGCTTGCGGTGGCGCAGCACGGCATCGTGTACCAAGTCAACCAGTAGACTGACCCCGCCCGATTGCACGAGCGTCCGAGAAAGGAAGAGCAGGATCATCCGGGCCTGCTCCAGCAGATGTACAAGCCTTGAGCACACACTACTTTCTTCAGTAGCAGTGCCCGTGCCGCGCGAAGATGGGTTCTTGCAAAAAATCTCCAATGGCGAAAACAGATGCTGACCGGGAGTCGCGGTTTTTCCCCCTAGTACCCCCGGGGAGACGCTGCCGCTCCTCTCGCGTGTGTTTGCCGTGGTTATTTTCGCCCGTATCAACTCGGACAAGTTGAGGTCCAGAAGGCCCGTGCGTGCGACGTGCTGTCGCAGGCACGACCGGACTGCCTGCAGATTCGAAGTCTCCTGGGCGTCCGAACTACGCGAGGGTGGTATGACGTGGCGGTCGTTTTTGCCTGGCAGCGGTAAAATCGACCTTGTTGGGGACAAAAGAGACGCTGCTTTCGCCGGAGATGAAACAGTAGCAGGCAAGGCTTCGGCCTGCGAATCAGATTGCGGTCTACTGGCGGCGCGCAGCAGCGTCCGGAATGTCGTGGACGCTATTGACGCTGTATCTGCGGCCATCGTGCGGGCGGCTGCATTGTGTGGAGCAGAAGGGCGAGGCTGATACGTGGTCGACGGCGTTGTGCACCGGCGTGGAAATTGACTGTGCGGTGCGAGATCCAGCAGGGTGCCGCGGTGGTCCCAGCGGTGCCAGACTTCGTGTGCAGAGGGCAACAAATCATACAAGTGGGGCTCAGAAACAGAAACTACACTTGTTGCCTCGTGGTCCACATTAGCGCTTCGCGCAGCTGGGGTCCCAAATCTGCTCGCAGGAAAATACATGTAGGGGTTCCGGAATCCATTCGCACTCTCTCCGTTTCTTGGTACGAAAAAGGAAGTAGACGCACTAGAAGCGACATTCCCATTTGTTTCCGGGGCAGTCGCACGGTCCACGAGATAGACTTCTCGCGCAAAAATCATAACTTGTAGAGTCACCACGAACAGCATCGCTGCTCTGCCGCCCGCAATCCAGTGTCGCTCGAGACCACGCGTCGCCCGCTGATGCTCCGCGCGAATAACAGTGATGGAGCTGGGGCACGCCCTAACGACGTTTCGCGCGACGCTGTTCAGAAACATCCGGGGCTGCACGCGGTGCTCGGAAGGCGTTGGGGTTGGCGCAAGCGTGACACTTCTGCTTGAAGATGAATCGGGCAGCACGACGTTTCGGTGGTGCGCAGGATGCAAGATGTTTTCATGCATGATGCCCCGCCGGGAGAACGTATTCACAGCGGCTGCTCCGTGCGACGACGAAGTTCGACTGCGCGCACCATTGCTGTTTCCGTTTGGAGTTCCGCGTCCTAGCTGGTTCTCCGCTGTGGCAGGGCTCCCAGCCGCCAGCTCCACGTGCACCAAGCAGTGAACCCAGTCGAGCAGCCGCAGCGCAGCGGGGTCGTTCGACGGCACCTCCGTGCCTGCTTCGATTGGTGCGTCGCGACTTCTTGGCACGACCTGTCTCACAGCCTCAGAAAATTTCATTCGGACCGCTTCCTTCAGTTGCGTGCAGGCCGCTGTGCTGTCTTGTGCCTGATACAAGTCGTCGTCCAAAAAAAACTGCTCCCCCAGACGCCACCCATCCTGGTCAGCGCTGCCATCCAAGGCAAGCCGGCCGTACAAAAATTGCGAGATGTTGTCCACGGCTTCGAGCGGCAACAAGACATGGTGATCGACGTGCGCATCCTCGAAAGCAGCTGCACGCACACCCAAAATTGAGGAACAAAAAGCGCCAAGAATGCCCCACGATTTGGGAACCATCCTCTCGTCTACTCCAGAAAAGAACCAAGGCTTACAAATGCCACGATGTTACAAGACGACGACCAAAATGCCAGCGTACCCATACAAAGAGGAGAACCAGAAATTGCGGAAATGTATTGTCATTTCATTTTCAAGAAGGCATCAGAACCAAACGAAATAATTATAGGGCTTGCGTAGAGTACCTTCCAAGGAGTGTAAATTTTTCTCAGATTCAATTACACGATTTGAGTTGACCTTCAGCAGCTGTCGCGCAAAAGCGCAACAACCTCCGAACATCTCTTCAAAAGTTTTCATCATGGATATGGAAGCGGGTAGTGTATGAACGGATGATGCTCTCACGAAGTACTTGATAGATTATCAGGATGAGTCAAAGCAGAAGTTTCCACTCTTCAGCACGAGGCGTTCAATGGAAAGCGAACAAAATCTCTTTCACCCATGCATAAGGGCTAAAAACCCAGACGACGTGGAAAACCTGCTCTGTGCAAGCGCACAAACATCCGCGCCTACCCGAGGATACATTTCGCTATCCCTTCTTATGGATGCGGACAACGCGAGGTCGTCACTGATCAGAGATTGTTCTTGACTCATACTGAGGTCTGTTACAATTTTTCGCTTCGCTTGTTTCCTAAAGTACTACTCAATCAGTCAGGATCAGGAAAGTAGATGTTGTAATGGCTCCTCACCATTCAGTTTCTCGGTAGTCCTTCAAAAACATACCGAAAGGTGGTTGCTGCTTCTTCTGTCCGGCGGCGCCTGCCCCACCGCTGGACCCCGCATCTTTCTCTTTGTCTGACATGGAAGCGTTATTTCCTTCGGCTTTGTCTGCCAAACACACTCCGTTGACGTCGTAAATCCACGAGAAGACGGGGTCCAGAATTCTTGCCGCCGCGTCAATCTCGTCGATCGGTGTTTGCCACTTGGACGAGACCGCGTGCTGGAACGCCTGCTTGACCGGCTTCTCGTCGTTGATCCACCCGGTGTCCACCGAATTCATGAAGATGTTGCTATTTTTCGCGTAGTCATTGGCATATCCTGAGTAAAAACGTACCCACACCAGAGTCAAGCTGGGAAATCTGCTAGACAAATCTGTCAGCTTTTGCTGCTGCGCATGACAAGTTTGGCCTCGCAGTGTAATCCTGTTTAGCTTGTTCAGCAGCATCTGAGATCTAGCATATCATGCTGATTCTAGCATCACAAATCCCACAACACGACTAGAGACTGCTTCTCATGGGTCTCCGCATGAGAGACATTTTCAGCATGCAGATTTGCATGGCAACTCTGGTGTGGGTACGTTTTTACTCAGGATATGGCACTGGTTTTCGTCATCATGTTGAGCGCGGCCTTGGCCATGTTGGTGTGCGGGTGGTTTGCCGTCTTGTACCGGTAGAATTTCCCCTCCATCGCGGAGACGTTGACGATGAAGCGCCGGGTGTGCGTGCCGGTTTGGCTTTTTTCCAGGAGCGGCTTCAGACGCCCGTTCATCACGAACGGGGCCATGGCATTGATCAAAAAGCACTCGACCAGCTCCGGCGTCTCCACTTCCTCGAGCTTGAACACCCAGCTGTGGCGGTCGCGGTAGTCGATCAGCTGCCCGTTCACGTCGGTGTAGCCGGGGAGGTCCTTCGACCCGAGCTTCACCTTCGCATCGTCCTTAACGCATAAATGTAGGTGCGCGTGCTGTTGCTGCGCGTCCAGATCCACTTCCACTTCCGAGGGGGAGGACGGTCGTGTGCTCCGTGAGGCGGACACGTGGTGGTCCTTCTGTTGGGTACTAGCAGTGTCCATGTAGCAGGACGCAAGGGTCGTGGTTGTCGTGGTACTTTTGCAGCTGCTGCTCGACGTGGTGGTTCCTGCACGACCACTGTCAGCTGCGCTTCTATTTCCATCATTCCTAGCCTCCGGTGACGTAGACGTGCTCGACGGCACCGCCGTGGAAGTCGTCGACCCCGAACTGCCGGTCGGAGACAGGAACAATTCGTTCTTCAGCGCGGCTGCCCGCCCGTAGTCGTAAAACACGCCCTGGGTCGGACACAGCGAATCCTCGTCCACAAGAAGAGCAGGTGGTTGCTGCGCGTCGGTGCTCAACGGCACAGAAGGTTGTACATGTGGACTGGGGATTATATCGATATTATCCTCTCCACCTGCTGCGCCCTGCGCCAACATTGCTTGGCTCACCACGTCCGCACAAGACAGCTGCTCCTTCTCCCGCAGGGGCTCGTAGTAAGCTTGGGGCCGTCTTATTGTCTGACAAGCGTTGTGGATAACGCCATCCAGGTGGTCGTAGTTCTCCAATACCAAGTATGCCATAGCAAAGCAACCTCCATCCAGTCTCAGTTCTCCTGCAAAGTTGTCATGACTTTAGTTACAGTATTTCCAGACATTTTTCGCTCCTGCGCACACTCCGTTTGCGCAAGAGTACGCGCTGTGGGTCAACTGTTGACGCTGCAAGGCGCGTTGTGCGTGTTCATCGCTTTTTATTCACCACCGAAACTACAGAAATGCACAGTTCATGTCGAGAAGCAGACCTGCAAAGTCAACGCTACGCATTTTGTGGCATGCAAAAGAGGACTCGCTGCGTTTGAGTCCACTTTTACGATGTGTTGCACAACCTTCAAAGGAACGAGGGACCATAGGAGGAGTTGTTCACTGCTTCATACGTAGTCGCACAACTGTTCGACCCGCGGTAGGAAGCGTAGGTCGACGCCGAGCAGAACTAGCCTGTCGGCAATGGACTTGTTGTTGTTTTCGGGGTCTTGGCGGAAAAACTGTTCCTTCCCGTAAAAATTGACGAACCTCTCGAGACAATCGTTCCTGAACCGCGAGGTCACGAGCACAGTTGCGCCTGCGTTGAGAAGCTTCAGGGCCGTATGAAAACCGATCTTCACGCGGCCACCAGTCACGAGGAAGATGTAGCTGTCGTTGAGAAGCGGCTGTTGGAACCGCTTGCTGTAGTTCAACGCGGCGCAGGGTGGGCACAAACTGTCGTAGAAGTGGTGAAGCGACCAGAACTTGATTTTACACACATAACAGGACCGAGGCCGCTGCAGCTGCACGCCAGCGGCTCTGCTGGCGCTGTCCTTGTCGTCCGGATGTTGACACGAGGAGAAACGGTCCTCCCCTTGATGTTCTTCGGTACAACTCTCAGCCGGCATGACTGAGCCCGACGCGACTTCGGCGCTCGCTGCCGAAGGTTCGTCGCGACCGCATGAAGACTGACGACTGCGTTTCAGGGACTCGGACCGAGACGTGCGGTTTGGAGACAGTGACTCATCGGCCATGCCACCAGGCGAGACCCCAAGAGGCGCGGGACTACAAACTCCATGATCGCTAGTTTGTGGCTCCGCCTCTACTGCCTGCTTCGTGTCTTCCAAACTACCGGCCCCGTTTGCCAGCGCAGCAAGCGGCTCCTGAAACGTGTGAAAGGTTGCTCCGTCGGGAACCAAATTGAGTTCCCGCAAATCTGCATCGTTAACGTCGCACAAGCTCGCCATCGCCTGCAACCGACCCTGGCGGAGTGCTGTTTTGCGAATATCAAGAAAGTGAAAGCAAAATTTTTATATTCTTAGAACAATATTTCTTGCGCAGTTCCAACCCGGGGTGCGGATACCGGCTCACGCTAGAAGCAAAATTGTAGTCAGACTATGGGTGATGTGTAGAATTGTCTCATCACATCTCTCAGACGAACGAGACCTATTCTTGCATTGCATCATGCAGATATGAAACAAGAAATGGCTCCCATGGTCGCGATTGCGTGTATGTGTGAGCTTGCAAAATCAGAGTGGTGATGCATGGTGTAAAACATTTTAATCCACATTGTTCATTTTCGGAACAGGTCTGTGAATTATGTTACGCTGTCCTCATTGTCATTTCATGCTTCAGCGCTAGCACAGATACGACTATTTCAAAGAGGTCGGGGCCACAGCTTCTTATGAAACTTTCGCGGAAGTAAAGCATCAAAATTCAGTACAGCGGAGAAATTTTTGTCAGCATGAACAGTATTTCTTGCGCAGTTCTTCCATGCCGGCATGCGGATACCGGCTCACGCTAGAAGCAAAATTATAGTCAGACTATGGGTGATGTGTAGAAATAGAATTGTCTCATCACATCTCTCAGACGAACGAGACCTATTCTTGCATTGCATCATGCAGATATGAAACAAGAAATGGGTCCCTTGGTCGCGATTGCGTGTATCATATGTTAGTTTGCAAAATCAGAGTGGTGATGCATGGTGTAAAACATTTTAATCCACATTGTTCATTTTCGGAACAGGTCTGTGAATTATGTTACGCTTTCCTCATTTTATGCTTCATCGCTAGCATAGATACGACTATTTCAAAGAGGAACGTCGTCGGGGCCACTTATGAAACTTTCGCGGAAGTGAAGCATCGAAATTCAGTACAGCGGAGAAATTTTGTCAGCACAACCAACCCTAATCAAGGCTGATTCAGGTCTGTTGAGCTTGAATAAACGGTTTGGTCATCATTCTACAGGAGATATGTGATGCAAATCGCGCTGAGGTAGAGGTCAGAGTGGTGCATGACATTTAAATCCACATTGTTCATTTTCGGAACAGATCTGTGAATTTGATGTACATTTTCATCCTGAAAAAATGCGGCGCTCCATGGTGCCACCGCAGAAAAAGGTCCATCTTAATGTTACTTTGCGAGACTAGGATCGATATCGAAACTGATTCAGTACAGCGGAGAAATATTGTCAGCTTAATCAAACCTAATCAAGGCAGATTCAGGTCTGTTGAGCTTGAATAAACGGTTTGGTCATCATTCTGTACGACATATAATTCGATACAAATGCAAATCGCGCCGAGGTAGAGGTCAGAGTGGTGCATGACATTTCAATCCACATTGTTCATTTTCGGAACAGATCTGTGAATTTGATGTACTTTGTCATCCTGAAGAAATGCTGCGCAAAGGCAAACTGTCGAAATGCATACTTATCCGAGATCGAAGGAGATTCAGTACAGCGGAGAAATAATGTCAGCACAATCGAACCTAATCCAGGCGGATTCAGGTCTGTTGAGCTTGATTGAAAAGGCTCATCATTCTTTCTTTGCTCCTAATGTTCAGGGCGGCGAAGATGCGTAAAATTTCAGACCGCAAACATTAGAAGAAACAATCACTCAGAGTGATGGCGCATGGCGATAGAGCAAGGCGAAGTCGTGTATTTCGGAACAGATCTGTGGTGACCACAAAGTTCTAAACCTAATAGGAAGTAGTACCCACGGACTCCATTCGTTTCGCGTCTTCGCTCATCATGGTCTGTCGGCGCCACGCCTTCTTTATTTTCTCCTCTTTCTTTCGCACTTTTTCGTCCAGTGCTTTCTTGTTCGGCAGCGTCTTGGCACTAATCTGGTTCACAAGTCGCCGTATTTTCTTCAGTAGCTTCGTCCGTGCATCAGGCTCCGTAGCAACGTCGGTCGCGTGTTCGTGCGCCTCAATTTCCGACAGGACCGTTTCATCCTGCTGCAGGGTTTGCAACACATTTGCGCAGCAATCCAGCGATTCTAGAGAGAGATCCATCGACGTCCCTCTTGTAAGGGCCTCAGCGTATTGATGCTGTTGGCCCCCAGCAGGCCGCGATGGTGACGAAGGTGTGGACCCACGAGTCATTATTTCCCCAATACTATATGTCGACTTCTATCATCTACTGCTCCGGATTACAAATGAACATCGTTTATCCTTCTGTACAATACGTCTTGCTTTCTCAAGCCTCACTGGAAATGTGTTGGAAAAGCCAAAACGTGATCGGACGAAGACAGAGCGAAGAGCAATAGGCTTGAACCAAATTTGCAGGAGGGGAAGGAGAACTTTGGAAATTCCACACGAAAAAGCATTTGCAACAGACTGGACCTCATTTCAAATTTAACATCTTGATCTTTGGCTTGAAGAGGATCGATTTCACTTCCACACCAGTACCACCATTCACCGAGCCAGCAGGAAGCTGCATGAGAAATTATGATAGACATTTTGATTTTTCCTCAGAGACCCGAGATCCGCATTATTACGAACTGCGCCTTTTGAGTTTGAACGGATCTCCTGCTGCGAACACATTTTCTCTAAACTACCAGACAAACCGATAGATACCGAAACGCAGAACTCGAGCGCAACATAATTCCACGTGGTATGCAGGAACTCTCCTGCGCCTTTGGAAACTGGCAGCCATGTTCTTCGCCTGCCAGGATCTTTTGAGGGAAAGAGAAACGTCTGTGTCTGTCAGTGTACTTTTTTTACTTGGTTGCATTTTTACTTCATTTTACACACGGCGACCATGCCGCCCTCGATTGGCAGCGTTGCTCCGTTAATCATACCGGACTGCGTTGTGTCCAGAAGAAACAAGACCGGTTTCACAACGTCACTCTCCTCCGCAAACTGCTCCAGCGGAATGCGCGTGAGCATCGGACCTCCCTTCGCGGGATCCCCCCACACACGGCGTCCCATTGGTGTCATGATGACCTGCAGAGATAAAATTTAAATTTTCCTCCTCACGGATCTCCACCGGGGATCAAGGTCTATCTGTCATCAGAGAGCTGGGTTAGTTGTTTTGTCTCCATCGCCCTCGCGAGCTAGGCAGAAGACCATCGTGAGAACGAACTATTTCTCATCACATTTTTAAGGTCGCGCAATTCTCGCTTCGGAGCCTTACTCTCCAGGTGTTCCTGGAGTTCATGCACCATTTTGTTGCACTGCACGAAAATGATCATGCTTCAGGCAATATCAGAGAGCTGGGTTAGTTGTTTTGTCTCCACCGCCCTCGCGAGCTAGCAGAAGACCATCGTGAGAACGAACTATTTCTCATCACTGAATCGTATTACCTGAAAATCCATGTACTAAATTTTAGTTGGGAAATCGCGTCTCTCCCGGATGAATCTGGCCTGTTCTCAAACCAAAAACGCTTGAGGTCGCTCGTAGATTTAGATTTGGACCAAAAGTCATTTTCGTGCCGTCTTGTATGCAACATCAGAGAGCTGGGTTAGTTGTTTTGTCTCCACCGCCCTCGCGAGCTAGCAGAAGACCATCGTGAGAACGAACTATTTCTCATCACGAAAGTCCAATTTTGACCAGATCACGGAAAGATAAGTATTTACTGGATCATCTTTTTCCCATGGAACGAAGTTTTCAAACAAAAGATTTTTCTCAGCTGCTATGCGAGTTCGAGTGGTTCGAAAATTTGCATCGAATTCGCTGAGGGGAATCAAAATCAATCTTCTTGCGAAAAGATGAAAAAGGTTGTACTATACCGTTGGATTCACCGCGTTGCAGCGTATTTTGTGCGGTCCTAGTTCGAGCGCTGCTGTTTTTGTGAGCAAATCTAGTGCGCCCTTGCTCATGGAGTAGCTGGTATGGTCCTCCAGTGCGAACAAACTCGCCTGCGAGCTGATATTCACGATGGACTTCTGCTTCACCGCCTCAGCATCCCCGGTGGCGAGCATTTTCTTCACTGCTTTCTGCGTGCAGAGCAGCGGCGCGAAGGAGTTTACCTTCATCACCTCGGTCCAGGCTTCCTCGGTCACGTCCATCAGGGACTGGGGAATCGACATCCCCGCGTTGTTGACCAGAAAGTGCAGGTCGTCCACTTGCGCCAGTGCCTCATCCAGGACGGCCCCCGCATTTTCTTTTCCCAGGTCGCCCTGGACGGGGAGAATTTTCTCGGACCCATACTCTTTCACGAGCGAGTCCAGGTCCTCTTGCGAGCGGGTGATCGCGACCACTTTACCGATACCGGCCTCAACCAAACCGCCGACCAACGCGCGCCCCAGGCCCTTCCCGGCACCCGTCACTAGCGCGGTTTTACCCGAAAGACCAGCTGTCATCATAATTTCTTGCTCGTTTCCAGAACGACTCAGTGGTAACCCTTTTCTCGAGCAAAAGACATACCGTCGTGTATCAATCTATTACCACGAACATCTTGTTCTTCAAGAAACAAATCTCGACCTTGCATTCGCATCCCGTTCCCGCCTCTCGATAATTCACTTGAAGTACAGCACAGAGCTCGACGGGCTAAAAGAACGCTCTCAAGACACGCAACAATTCTTGTGCCTGGTGGCGTACTTCAAGGGGATATCAGTCATGTACATACTAGCAGGACTTTGCAGTGCATCTTAGTTAGTAGCACGCCAGGATTTGTTTTGCTCTGGCGACATTGGCATCTCGATGCGAACTAGATCGCAGGTCGATGTAGTACCTAGTTTGCTCTTGCTGTCGCAGCTTCGCGTGACTGTGTCGCGGCCACGACAGAGGAGGGTGGACAGTGAAGAAACGCTTTAATTCAACTGTGGCGGCGCTGCCGCCGCCAGCAGACACCGCATTTACTAGTTCTTTTTCATTTTCCCGAGAGCGCAAGTAATTCTCAGCCACACTTTTGGGAAATATGAAGATCCCGACGACAGGGCGTTCTGGTAGCGACGGGTCGAAATGGATTGCGCACACGAAATCCAACCGGCGAAGTTCTTCCATGGTCAGGGAGCGCTCTCGCGGACCTCCAATGCCAACAGCCATCTCGAGATATGTGTGCTGCTTGTAGTTGGTGTGGCCGGTGATTGTGCGGTGCAGGATACGGCGCGTCCCAATCCGGCTGTTGTGCACTGCGTACTCCTCTTGCCCCAACAAAAATTCAACGAAGAATCCACAATGGGTGTAAAGCTTGTCTTGCACATCTAACATGTAGTGATACAAACACGCGGAGCGGGCTTCCGCGCCTGTGAGGGAGTGCAACCAGAAGCGCCTCGGGTATGCCGATGAAGAATTCCACTTTTGTTCCAGCTCCGCGATAACTTCTGTTGGCGATACCTTATCGTGATCGAAGAGCTTGACGTCAGTTGGACCAGATTCAAGTGCTTTCCCGGATAACGAAAGGATGACATCGCGGTGTGGGACTGCACAAAATGCGGGTAGGTCCCGTTTATTCCGGCAGTGGTTCACTCTATAGAGCAGGTTCCCGTCCTTATCGATTGTGTCACGTTGAGTTGTACGCAAATGCAGTGCTTGCCACATATCGATGCTACCCGGCTGGGAACTGCAAAATTGAGTTTGATGAAATCGAAAAAGCATGATGCCTCCAACTACGAAAGGCATTCCAGTGAACTCGAGCCGCTTCTCTATTCGACAGATGCTTTCTGCGAAGTATTTAGCGGCAACTGCCCGGAAGAAAAATGAATTCCGACCAGTTTCTCGGGAGGGTCCGTGCCTTGGTGTTTTCGTGTGAGTCTCCTGTGGCGGCGACACAATTTTCTTAGGAACAGCAACATCCGTCGACAGCGCGGCAGCTGTAGAAGAGTGTCTTCGTGGAGAGTAGCGAGATGCAATCTTAAAATGGTAACTATGCTGATAGTTTTGAATAGGGCGGCGAAGCCACATCAGCAATGTGCGCGATTCGTGTAAGGCCCACAGACGATTCCCTCGAGTTTCCGGCTTCGATCGAACCGCGGACCAACGCACGCGCCCCAGGTCCTTCCCGGCACCCGTCACTAGTACGGTCTTTCCGCTGCACAAGCTAGACTGCATACTGCCTATGGGGAATCAAGTAATCTTCTGTGATAAATCTGTGCATCCGCATCGTGCATTGATGCTTGTCGAAATAGCAGACCACCGAGACGAGATCTTCACCATGCAGTACTAGAATTTCTCTCACTTCGAAAGGCTCCGCTCTCGTAAAAATATCATAAGGACTGCACTATTGGCCGGGTGGCAAGCACCAAACAGGAACTCGCAGATGAGCCAGGTGGCTCGCTCGTCCTACCGGTTCTATACACCGTGCGCTACGGGTTCGCCACACGCCCGGAGTTTCAGGGCCTTAGCGGGAGCTTTGTCAAATTGAAATAATCAGACTCAGTATATTACGTTTCTGTATTTTCAACAAACGACACGTGCCGCGCTATGCACGTGGAGGAAGTGGCACCAGCTTCCAAAGTATTTCTAGAAAATTTTGCAAACAACAGCTTTTATAATTTCCACACGGGCACGAGCCAAAACTCGTACGATGATTCTACACTTTAGTCTTCCCCGCCCTTTGGTCACGCGGACGAAGGTTTCCCAAGGTGGAAAGATAGATATGAAACACACTCTCTACTTCTATAGTTACAAACTGATTTTCAATTTCATTTTCGATAAAAAGGAGGGGTACATTTACTCAGGCTTAGTCCAGACAATCACAAATTGCATTTTGGAGTCCCTTGCATGTCCCTGTCACTCTACCCTATCGGAGATGTTGCAACTTCATCGCCCTCTGCCACTGCGTCAAGCATCGGCACGCTTGGGCCGGCGTCGGAAGTGCCTGTGGTGCGGCGGTTCCTCAGAGCTAGCCTGGGCGCCCCGTGTCGCGGCGAATTTTGTCGTGCCGGCGGTAAAGCTAGTGTGGTAGGAGGGGTCGGGCCACTGCTGCTGCTGCTGCTCGCCAAGGCACTGCCGTCGAAGACCGAAGTCGTGGGCGCTTGTGGTGGCAGAAATATCGCAGCGGCCTCGTGTCTTGCTTCTTCACGAAGGAAACGTTCCGGCTGCGCGCTATACGGAATCTCCTGATCCAGTGGTCCTACGCTTGTGTAGACGGAGGGTGTCGTCCGAGGGCTGAGAAATCCTAGTCCCGCGGCATTTCGACTACCGGGCGGAGAACCGAATGACGCCGCAGGGCTGATAGTAAAGGCAATTCGTTCTTATACTTAATACTTTACAAAGCTACGAATCGCAGGCGTTTGGGCATCGGCAAACTCCCTTGAAATATAAATATATGATCTGATGCTACAAACACAAAGTAGCGGAGTATAGGTTTGTGAAAATTAGGCATGAAGCACCGAGCAACTCCATCTAGACTTTGACACGCTTTTTTTGCAGCAGCACAGCCTTCTTTCTATCTTAACTAACAGAGTCAAAAAGTAGAAGGTGTCAGCACTTACCCGAAGGGCAGCTGTGGCTGTGCGTCCTGACTTTGCGGCAAAACTGAGTACAAAAAAGGCTGCTGTAGTTGCTGCCCGGTCGTCGCTTCGACGGGCGCACTGTACACGTAGTTGCTGCCGGCTCCGTAGCCGTAGACTGCCGACCCATCGGTAGCATACGCGTTTCGCCCCCGTTGCGGCGCGGCGCTGGCGTTTTCGAGGAACTGCGACGGTCCTCCGGTGCGACGTCCCAGATGTACTACGTCGGGGCTGCCCTCTCCCGACTGGGGCGCCTCGGCATCGGTCTGCTGGAAAAGCGGTGCCCGAGGAACGGGAAGGTCGCCCGTGCCTTCGCGGGTGCTGCTGGGGGACCGAAGGTGATGGTGCAGGGCGTTATCCTGCGGTCGGTCGTGGAAAGGCATGCGGGGTGCAAATAGTCCACCGCTCGCCGAGGGTGCCGAGCCCGAAGCGAGGGCGAGAGCGCCGGAGGCGCTCAGCCGCGAATTGCTGCTCAGGCTGTTGTATGCATTGCAAAAGTATCGTACTAGTATAAAGCGCAATACAAATTTTTCCAGAAGGAAAAACGGAATTTGTAATGCTGATTTCGCTAAGAAACAAGATTTGTCACGCATGATTGCAATTAGTACGAGTACGATACTTTTGCACAGGATATGTTGCTAGAATCCGCCAGGTCCTCCCGACCAAGGAGCATAACGGAAAAACAACGTGTTCATGATGCGCTCACAGACGTTCATATTTGTATTTCATCATCTCTAATGGTGTTCATAGAAAAAGTTGATGCGTTTATGCTCATCAGGACGAGATCAACGAGTTCATCGTCTAGAACTATCTCGTTTCCGAAGTACGCGGAACTGCAGAACCGCCAGCCACTTCTTCTAAATTTCGCATGCAATCCGATTGCACGGTGAGCACATCAGGAATCGGCTTCCGTCTCGTTTCCTAAAGAGGTACCTCGTCGTAAGCGACAGCCGATCGTGCAACCTGCGGTACCGGCACTCGTGCAAAATCCACACGGTGCTTGACACAACAGTGCCGATGAGAATAACGCTCGCGTAGCAACGGTTTATCAAAACCCCGGGGTCAACCTGATGTCGATTTGCGCTTGCTGTCTTCCTTTCGAGATACAAAGACAAACACAATGGCATGTCCGAAGTACAACTCTGAGCTAGAATGGAATGTCCACTCGCTCCTGCATCTTCCTACCTGATTTACTTTTCTAGTTCAACATCATATTTCGCCGAAGAAAGCAACTGAAGGAGTACGCTTTTTTTTCGAAAATTATAACCGAAGACCACCATCGGGCCGATAAGTACCTCCACGCGGAGGCACAGCTGCTGGTCGTTGGGATTTGGATTGTTCAGGTGCGCATCCCGGATTTCGTTTTTCGCCACGGTTTCCGGTGACAAACCCGGCGGAACCGCCATGAACGTGGTCGTTGTAGTTCCGTTGTCGACGAGGTCCTTTTGCTCTTCTGCGTTTTTGTTCATGTAAAAGATGACCACGTCGGTGGTTCCCAGCGAGTGAAACGCGGGCGACGTCAGGCCGGTGAAGAGTCCCACATACCCGACCGACAGGCGGAACAGTTCGTCTTCCGCGTGTAATCCCGTGATCTTGCCCTCCTCCATCGCCTTCAGCCGTTCCAGCATGGGCATGAGGAACAGCTCCAGATCGGCCACGGAGATCTGCAGCTGCTGGAATTCGGACAACCGGTCCCGCGTCTGCGCGAACAGGGGCGCGAACGCCGACAGAGTGCCCAGCACCTTCCGACTCAGCCGGGCGCCGGACAGGCCCTGACTCAGCATGCGGCGGATCACGGGGACCGGGAAGCAGGGCCCGATGTGCACCCCGGAAGTGGTGTCTTGCTCGTCGTTGGCCCCCGGGAGACTGAACCCCGTCCAGCTGGCCTCGCCCCCCTCCCGGTCGTCGAGCCGCTTCAGCAACTCCCCGATGTGCTTCTCCAAGTCCTTCAGCTGCGCCGCCTGCTCCGCGGAAAACTGCCGATCGTTCACAGCTTCCGCGTACTTGTCCGTCGTGGTCGTGCTGGTGGTGGAAGTTCTGGTTCGTGTCGTTGTCGTTTGTGTCCGCGTTTCCGTTTCAGTTCCAGTTTTTCTAGTTGCTGACTTCGACACTGCCGTCTTGGTAACCTCCTCATGATCTCCTACTGCTTCATGGGAGCCTGATGTTAAACTCCCATTAGTGTTTTGGGACACAGTATTGGAAGAAGCAAGGTGGTGGTTGTCGCTTCCTGCTTCCGCGTCGTCGCGAGGGGCGTTTTCACCGTTTGCCTGTTCATCGTCCCCGGTACTACTGGCGGCAACCTTGCTTGGGGAGGCCACCGTCGGCGCACTTGTGCTAGGCTTTCGAACCGATGTCGTTCTAGTAGTGGCAAAAGCAGCAGCGGGGGCTTTCCCGCGACGCTTCGGACGGTTCGCGGAAGCGGACGAGTGAGGTTTTTCATCTTCGCCTCCTGGCCCTTCGTTTTCGATTGCTCTGTCAAGCTCTGCTGGCAGCAGCGTCGTGGTCTCGGTGGATGGATCTGAGCCATGAAAGTTCGCAGGTTGCTGCTCGGCGAGAGATAGTGACGCGAAGCTCTCGGAGACCGACGAGAGTGCAGAGTCGCCGAGTGCGACAACATTGATGCGCGGCACGGGATCTTGAGGTCCACTGGCACTGGCTCCTCCTAGCGGCACAGAGAGGAGGAAGCAAACCGCTGCAGGAAGCAGAGTTTTTTTCGGCCTCCTGAAAAACCTCGAAAGCGGCTTTGCTTTATTTCGACTTCCTGCAGCTCCACTGCGACATGAAGGCTGTGTCACGGCGAGCCTGTCATAGCTTTTGTCGCGGCTGCTGCCCGGGTCGTTTTGGGAAACATCAACCAGGTCGGTGTTGCTCGGTCGTGACGCTACGGCGTCGACAGCTAACCCCGGGCCTGCGACGCAGATGCAAGTCCAATGCTCCAGTAAGGAGGCGAACAAGCAGAGCAAATGCAATCTAAGGAGCGATTTCAGGGCTGGCGTCATTCCCGGTATCTAAATGGGAGACTAGTTTCTCACGCCACCGTCGCCGTGCCACCCGAATGAGACAAAAATATATGGAACTTGAGCGGGATCGTCGTTTTTCTTTGTGATCCCTCACTTGCGCGGCGTCTACTACCTTTTACATCGCACTTGACGGAAAGGGAAAACACCCACGAAAACGAATGCAATCTGAGGTGAATTCAAGATGAGGGGTATTAGATAAAAAAACGAAAAGGAAAAGACTACGCACAAATACGCAATAGGGAATACGAACGAAGGAGGCTCTGCAAGAAGGCCCACCGAGTGAATGAAGAAGGAAGAAAATCCAGTACTATCGCAGAACAACAAAAGAAAAGGCTCTTCTTTCGAAGCACATTATCAACTATCATGGGTTGTTTTTGTCTCTATATTTCTCTTGTTTTTTTATTGTATTTGTACAACACGGTGTGCAACGACAACATTCAAAAACAAAGTAAAACAATTCTCGTCTATCACCACATGCGTGGTTGCTAGGAAACCCCTCGTTCATTGAATGTGAATCTAGATCACTTTGTCGAATAGAATTCAATTTACGATTTTTCTCGTTCATTGTACAAAAAAAAAGCTCAGAGCTCTCCTCGGAAAGATGTTGCTTGTCAAATCAAAGTTTCGTTTCTGAATTCGAAGTTCGAATATCAGTTTGTCAAATCAAAGTTTCATTTCAGCATCAGACCGCGCTCCTGAAAGCGGAGGCTTGTTCGTTCTATTCGTGATTTTGGTAGTAATAAAATGTCATACATTTTGGTGTAGCGAAAAACAGAAGATTAATATACGGCCTATAGGAGGAGCGAGAAGATGCCGACGCTGCAAGATGTCTCACAGGAGGCAATAACAAAGTTTCATCCTATTTTTTGCCTCTGCCAGAAGCAGTGCCCCCTGTCTTGGTAGTGATTTGGACCAACTTTTTATCGGCCAAGAAAATCGAAAAAAAATCCGGTGGCGCGGCGAAACTGTAGAGGCCAGAGCCAACCAACGTAAGGGGGGCGATTCCCGATTCCCGAATTTTGCATTGCTCAAAATCGATTTTGCATTCCCGCAGACGCGGATTTCACAAAATCGATTTTGCATTGCACGAAACCGAATCCCGCAAAATCGATTTTGCATTGCACAAAATCGATTTTGTATTGCACAGCATCGATTTTGCGTTGCACAAAACCGAATCCCGATTTTGCAGTGCACAAAATCGATTTTGCATTGCACAAAACCGAAAGCAGCAAAATCGATCTTGCATTGCACAGAAACGATTTTGCATTGCACAAAACCGAATCCCGATTTTGCATTGCACAAAATGGATTCTGCATTCCCGCAGACGCGGATTGCACAAAATCGATTTTGCATTGCACAAAACCGAATCCCGCAAAATCGATTTTGCATTGCACAAAATCGATCTTGCATTGCACAAAATCGATTTTGCACTGCACAAAATCGATTTTGCTCTGCACAAAACCGAATCCCGATTCTGCATTGCACAAAACCGAATCCCGCAAAATCGATTTTGCATTGCACAAAATCGATTTTGCATGGCACACAACGCAGATTGCACAAAATCGAAGCCGCAGACGCGGATTGCACAAAACCCCTCCTCCAGACGCGCAATCCCGCAGATTGCACAAAATCGATTTTCCATTCCCCCAGAACGCAGCGCCGACCACAAGGCCGGTTTTGAGCTGACCACAGGTGGTTCGATGTTGTGGGTCGCGCAAGGGCTGTTGAAGGCCACACAATCGCCCGACCACACAAAATCGATTTCGCAGCTTCCCAGGTCCGACAGAATCGAGCGGCCGCGTGGCTCAATATCGAGGCGGTGCGCCACGCAATCCGCCGGGCCGACGGACTAGGGGGGAGAGCTTCCAGCTATGCGCTTTAGCGGATCTCCCACAAAATCGATTTTGTGCGTCCGCCCTTTCTTCGCGGATGCAGTCTCCCACGCCAATGCCTTACCAACCCCCGTCCCAGCCCGCGCCCTCAGAGGTACGGGCAACGGGCCCTACCGGCCACAAAGTCGATTCTGCAACCCCTCAACCCTATGGACAACGTCGGCACCTTGCCGGACATTAGATTTTCCGGAGAGATCTGGACTTCCGGAAAGATCTCGGGAGATCGCTGCGGTCCGGATTTTCCGACTTCCGGAAAATAGAGCTTCCGAGAAAATAGCAGAAAATCGATTTTGTGCCTCCATTACTATTCAATAGTAGCGAGATCGGACTAAACCTGGTCCATACCATCGGCGGAGGCAGTTGCTTACTATCCAGTTGGTAAGCTGCTGCCAAAAATCCAAAAAAAATCCGAAGGCAGTCGCGCTCGAGGTGTCGCGCGCAAAAATCCGCGTTGTTTTGTGTTGCGTCCCGAGCAAAATAATAATTACTATTGAATAGTAACCAACTGCCTCCGCCGATGGTATGGACCAGGTTTGGTCCGTCTCCGTTACTATTGAATAGTAACTCGCGCGCACTTTTGGCGCATTTTTGGCGCACACTCGGGCGCACTTTTGGCACACAGAAAATCGACTTTGAAGCGCCTCCGAATCTCTTGAAAGTGCAAGCGTTCGGATTTTTGGCAGCAGATTACCAACTGGATAGTAAGCAACTGCCTCCGCCGATGGTATGGACCAGGTTTGGTCCGTTCTCCTTAGCAATGAAGCAGAAAATCGATTTTCCGAGTCGATTTTCGATTTCGAGGACTTGCTGATGTCCCGATCTCGATTTTCGATTTCGGAAAATTCCGGATTTTTCGCAAACTCCGGACTTTTCGAAATTTCCGGAATTTCCGGAACCCGGAAAATCGATTTTTCGGCAGTCCCGGAAAGTCCAAGCAACGCGCGGACTTCCGGAAAACTTGCTCCTCTGGATTTTCAGGAAGTTGGAAAATCGATTTTGGCAAACAGCCGGACAGCCACCTGCCTTACCCACATAGCAGGCCCGCGCCACCTCTTTTGCCCGCACCACCACTGACGCGGACATCGCACAAGGAGCGGTCCAACAAAATCGATTTTGCACGCCTCGGGTGATTGAACCCGCAGACGATTCTGCGAGCCTGAAATAACTAAAATCCCCGACTCTGCGCCCCATCAAGCGCCCAGCGGCTGTCGAGGACTGAGCCGCGGCACCCACCGAGGGCTGTCTGTTTACAAAATCGATTTTGCGACCCCCGCGCCAGCCGAGAGCCTGTTCCTGGCGCCTCTACGGAGCTCAGAACACGCAGACGGGGCCCATGCCGCTCCCGCGGCTTTTCAGAACTTGGGCCCGGATGTAAGTCACAAGCTCGGGCGTTTTTCATTGCTTTCTACGCTGGGCCAACGCGATGAATGTGCGGAACTTCATCGGGGCGCAAGTTCTGGAATTCGCGATCATCCCTAAGCCTGTAGCGTGCGAGCGAAACATCGATCCAAGGCGGGCAGAGGCCCGTCCTCTGCGACTTCGCCCCACGCAATCAATTTTGCAGCTTTTGCCGGATTTTCCGGCTTTTGTGTTGGTAAAATCGATTTTGCGACCACGCGCGGATTGTGTGGCCCCGCCCGAGGATAGGGCATCTTCGAAAAGCGTGCCCGAAGGGTGCGCACAAAATCGAATCTGTCCGCGGGTACTCACAAAATCGATTTTGTGAGCACCGCCCGCCGGGCGGAACATGACAACCCGGCGCCCCCAACCCGGCTGCGGGAATCTTTCTGGCAGCCCGGACGCTCCAGGGTGGGGCCTAACGCCTCAGGACACCGGCAAAAACTGCCGGGAGACCGAGTTGGCGCATTCTCGAGCTTCGAGAACGCGGGCAACCGACTTCGTTTCGCGCTACTTTGCTTCGCTTGTGGACGTTAGCAGCCGCGGCACAAAGTCGATTTTTTGCGGCGTGCCTGGATTTTTTGCGGATTTTTTTCCGATTTTCTTAACATTTTTGAAGTCGGTCCAAATCAGTACTAACCTGTCTGCGATGGTGGTACGGCGGCTTTTCGCAGGTAGTTGCGTACGATCATCTCGATGGCCAGATCATCAGGCTTTGCTTCGTTTTCTCGGGGCGTCTGATGCTTTTTTGGTTCCGTCTCAAACCGAAAAAAGTTGGGAACGGGGACGGGAGACAAGCTTTGCTTGTCACGCTCATAGCCAGGTGGCGAGGGTGTGCGGCCCATCTGGCGTACTGCCCTGCGGTTTTGCTTCACGTAGTTCATTACTTTCTTCGGGGATGTTGATCCGGCGCTGGGTATTGTTCTCGGGGATCTTATCTTCTCCTCTCCTGGCGGCGATCTCTCGTCTTCCCGGTTGGTGATTCCAACTCTATTTTCCACCGTCGTGGATAACGTCCGCGAGGTTGTTAAGTTCATCGGGTCGTTTCGCTGAGCCTCGCCGGACTGCTCGAGAGTCGATAGTGTTGTAGTCGCTTGCAAAGGCATAGGCAGCTGCTGGTGCCCCGCGCGGCTTTGCGAGGAGGCGGACGCGGTGAGGGTTTGATCCATGGCGCCTGCAGTGCGCGAGGTCGATATTTTTCCACCACCACCGGAGGATATCGTAGCATTTAATGTTCCTGGGACGCGGCTGGGACTGCTCGTGGTACCTCCAGACGAGATAGAGCCGCCAAATTGTAGTTGTTGAAAGGTGGAACCACTGGTAGTTCCCGCAATGCGGAAGCGTGGCGCCGGGCGGCAGGGTTTTGCGTAGGGCGATGGCGAACGGTCAGGGGACCGCGACGGCGCGCGGTAGGGGGACGAAACTTCTTTGCCCGCGAACGCCTTGCCTGCGCGCCAAACCGGGGGCGGGCTTTGGGATCGCTGCACCTCCATAGACCGTTCCCGGAACCCAGCGCGCTCGGCCTCCTTCTCGGCGAGCTTTTTATGGGGGCGTCAAACTTGTATTTGCCTCAGACCGTAAAAAAATTTCTGCGCGCATTTTTTCGCGGCGGGAAGCTAGTAAACCTGTGCCCGCAAGTGAGGGGCTGACTCGAGCGCGGTTTGTTTTAGCTAGCTTGTCAGCAGCAGTGCTCTAGTAGGTAAGTGAGTATTGACGCGGAGGAGGGCGGGGCACAGAGGGTTCTTTTGTGGCTGGCGTTTTCACTTAGAAAGCGCCGGGCGCGCGCAATATTTTGCTCCATTTTCCGGATTGCTTTCTCCGTGCAGCCATTTGCCGCTATGGCCTGGGTTAGGGTGTGAGGCTGCAGACGCCCCACGAGATGTCTACACAGGCCTTGGCGTCGTCGTCTCTAGCGGGCACCACACGCATATGTTGGCCGCGAAGGCCTTTCCGGAGGCCCCCCAAAGAGGGAGGGCCGGAGGGGTGCCCGGAACCCTAAAAAAAAGGCTATCGCTTTTTCTTCGAATCACGATGGTGCTACCCCTCCCCAAAAGGGGTCCCGGAACCCCTCCGGGAAGCCTTTCCGAAAGGCTCTCGGGCTTTTCGCATTTTCAAGAACGAGCCGCAAAGGCAAAAGGCGCGCGCGCCTGCCGGAAAAAGCGCGCACGGCTGCGCGACATTAGAAACAAGCGGAAACGCAGCCGCGGCCGGTTGCGTTTGCGCCCTTGGCCCCGACCGACCTGCACAGATTGAGGCCCATTGTCTAGCGGCTGGACTGCAGGAGGACCTGCTGCAGCACCTCCAGGCTGCAGGGGCGCTCCGAGGCAAGTCCGTGGAGCAGCAGCGCCGGATAGCTCCGACTTTAGCCACCGAGAAGTGCTGCGAAGAAGCTAGCTAGTTCATTCGGTATGCAATGTAGCGAGAGGCTATATGCGTGCAACATGATGGATATCAAATACAAAAAAAGGCGCGCGGAAAATTTTTTACAGCTTGAGGCAAATACAACGTTGACGACCCCATACTTTTGTGGTCCGAAAAACTCTGACAGCATATCGTGCCGTACGTCCATCATGGTCCGTGATCCATTCGGATTCAGTCCGTACTCCGCCGCATCCGGGTCTTTCGGAACTGGGAAGGCTTTCTATGAAAGTGCACAAATCTTCCCTCGTGGTCCGTCATTTGTGATGCACTACACTCCATGTAGTCGTGTAGAGTTCGTTGTCATGCGGAAGGGGAAGCTTCTCTGTTGCTTCTGTTGCTGTTGCTGTAGTAGAGGCCATGCAAATGATGGGGACGAGGGGGAATTGTGCACTCGCATACTTTCTCGTTGTCGAGGGTGGATGCGAGCTGCTTCCGCGCGTCGATGCTCATCGACTCCCAGGCCTTCTTCGGCACCGCCGGCCGTATCGAAAACAGGTCGCGCGGTGCCGGCCGGCTCTTGTGCTCCTGGTTGCGCGGCCGCATCTGGAAGGGGTCCCGCTCCACGTCTATCAGCGCGCGATGAATCTTTTTGAAAGATAGGCATAGACTCAACATTTCTGGGACGCGCAAAGACAGGTAAAGAGATCCACGATCTCGCAGAACAAGCGACATACTCGAATGCACTTGGAAATTATTATTTTCGGAATGTATCATAGTGACTGACCACTCTACTGCGAACTGGAATATGAATCAATGCTGGCAGCTCCAGGTGGAAGCAGAATATTGCGTCTAGTTTTAATATTCTGAGTACAACTAGTTGAGTAAGTACCTTGTCGTTCGGGTTCAGCGATCCGCGTAGGTTTCGTTTGTAGAAGTAGCTCTCCGTGGCGTTCAGGTCTTTCTCGGTGACACTGTAGCCTACTACCTTCTCCGTGGTGTCCAGTTTCTGGAAGTGCATATCGCCCTGCATCATGAGGCGAAAGCAGGCCTGGCAGGCGACGCCCTTCCCGCGCTCGACGACCCGGAAGTCTCGTTTGCGGTGCATGTCCCGAATGTCTTCGATCATCTTCTCCAGGTCCTCGGCCACTCGGTCGAAGTTCTCGTATGAACTGCAAAAGTATCGTGCTCGTAGTAATTGCAGTCATGCATGACAGTCCTGGCTTCTTAGCTAATTCAGCATTACAAATGCCTTTTCTCCTTCTGGAAAAATTTGTGATGCTATTTCTACTAGTACGATACTTTTGCAATGCATATCTCGATCATGGTATCGATGTCGTTCTCCCACGTTTCGTACGTGTTTTCGTACCGGTCGACCGCTGCCTGGGTGTAGTCCTTACGCTGCTGCTCTAAGTCGATTGCAAGTGCGGCAAACTGTGCAGTTTGGTTTTCATCTATCACAACTCATCTGCGATTTTTTTGGGCATGATCTTCGCTTGTCTAGACGTGAACTTTTGCTTTCGGAATTGGAGGAGCACTTTCTTAGAACTGGGGATATATAATATAAATATCATGAAACCTAACCAACGTTCTTGGGGAAAAAGAAAAAGCGTGAAGTGTAACTGAACTGCTACTGCCCCAAATGAAAGGAAGTGCCAACGCAATGATAAACACTGCACCAGCAGAATTGTTTAAATTCACAGAAACAAACAGATTGTTATCAAGAAGGACCTCCTCTTTTAGTTGCTTATCCCGCTCGATCCATTCTTTGTCTTTTTCCGGAATTTTTACTTCGTAGATGACGTCGATCTCCAGTTTTAATTCGTCCATTGCTTCGTAGAGAGCTGCCTCCTTGGCCCCGATACTTTCGACCTCTTCCAGAAGCTCTTCGTAGAGACGCTTGATCTTTACTAGGTAGTTTTCCGCCTTGAGCAGCGGATGAACGATGAGCCACGCTTCCCATCCGTTCTTCAACGCTGCTGCCTTCGACCGGTTGCGCAAACCAAGCCGGCGCCTAGGAATTTTGCGTGTCAGCGCTTGCGTATGCTCGGGAATTTGATTGAGGAAAGTGAAGAGATTGCAATTGGCTTGTTGTTCAGCTAACTGAGTAGTGTGTTTACTGGAGATAAGTAAAAAGCTTAGGCTGCATCTGCAACTGCATGCGACATAAGGACCGGCTTTTCTGTACGAGGCAGAGCAAATAGAAAATTGTTAATACTGGATGAAGGCCGACAGACCGATGGTGATTTTGGTGTTTTCCTTGTGTATGCGGTCGTAAACGATGTAGCGCTCCTCCATGCGATTGCAGAGGTCGTCGAAGTAGGTGTAGTCCAGTTTTTTGCGCAGCCGCTTGTACCGCTTTTCGTACCGGCAGTACCACTGCCACCGCGTGAACAGCAGCCGCTTCCAGTGGCGCGCCTCCTGTTCCCAGAGACTCTCGGCGTAAATCTCGCACGCGTGTTGGTACCGCTCCGCCTTTTTGCGTTTCAGGTTGATCCGCCGGGCCAGCGCGTGCAGGAGCGAGGCGCGCTCGTGCCGGGTTTTTAGGAGGAGCTTGTCCAGCCGCCGCCCCTCGGCCTCCAGCTGGGTGTTTTCGGCCACCTTGTTGTCGATCTTCTCGGTCTATGAACTGCAAAAGTATCGTACTGGTAGTATTGCAATACAAATTGGGTCAGCATGAAAAATGGAGTTTGTCATGCTGATTTAGCTTGAAGAAGAAACTTGTCTTCCATGACTGCGATTAGTAGCAGTAGGTACGACTACGATGCTTTTGCACAGGATATGGTCCACCTCTGCACGAATGTCATGGCATACTCGAGCTTATCGTCCCACTTCCCGAGCTCCTCCTCCAAGCGCGCAATCTCCTCCTTTTCCAGTTCGGACTGGGCCTTGTCCCAGTCGGCTTTGGCCTCCTTTTCGGCCTTCTCCGCCTTCCACGCCTCGTACTCCGCCAACCCGTCCTCAGAAAGATCGGAGGGTGTGCCAAGCCCGCCCCAGTAGTCGCTGTCTTCCTCGTCCTCCTCGCTGCCCTCTGTTTGATTGTTGTAGTAAAAGAATAGTGCTTAGGGGTGATATTGATCATTTTGGGACCTTCTTCGGCGCAAAAAAAAAGCCTTGCAGTTGTAATTATGTAAGTAAGCACTTTGCATTCCAAAGAAACGAATCTTCACGAACCCAAGCCTGCTTTACCATCCTTTCATGAGCGAGGAGCTCGACCTTCGAGAGCAGCACTTCATCTTTTTGCCTACAGAGGAACCAAGAAATGTAGCAGCACTTTCCAACAGATAGTAAGTACTAATACCCTCTTCCTCATCTTCCTCCTGATCCAAGACGGATCTGCGGCGGGGCTTTTTCTCTTCGTCTTTCTTTTTCTCGCCGAAGTCTTGCGCCATGGCGGCCTCCGCGATTTTCTGGATCTCGTCGATCTCGATTTGCCCCTTGGCCATTTTCGGGTCCGTTCGGGCAAAGGTTTTGTCCGTCGCGACCTTCGCGTCAAAGACCCGGACCGTCTGGCCTATCAAATGCAAAAGTGTCTGGGTCTGGAAGATTGCGAGACTTGTCATGCTTGTCTGGCATGACCAAAAAGTTTGTGATGCGTGTCCAAGAAGAGACCCTTTTGCCTGTCATGCAAAAGCGCAGCTTTTCATGCGAAAAACGCAACACAAAGCAGCGCAGACTTTTCTCATGCTTGGCTGTGCATTACAGAGCATTCACTATTCCCGACGCAGCATTACAATTTTCCAGACCCAGACATTTTTGCATTTGATATGGCCACAGTGGTAGCAAAAGATCCAGTTCGGACGCGGCAGCATGTGATCGCCCAGCCGACCGCTACCCGCGATGCTCTATCAAAATGAAAAATGCCCCCACCCCCAGCTTGGCAGCATTTGTGTTGCAAACCTTTCCAACAGAAACATTCCCCGTCTTGCAACTCTCAGCATCACAAATTTTCCATGCTGAATAGGTCAAATTTGTGTTGCGAAGTAGCCCAACAGCAGCCTGATCTGGTATGCACAAGGCACCTTGCGCACCCTGATTCTGCATCAGAAACGCTCGCAATCCTTTTATGCAAGACAAAAAGCTTTCATCTGGAAACTTTGCATGACAAACTTCTGCATTTTTTCACTGCAATATGGGGGCATTTTTCACTGTAATATGCTCACGTTCATCTTCTTCGCCTGTTTCTGAATTTCCGCGCGCACCTGTTTGTAGGAGAGTTTGACCTCGACTGCCTTGAAGCTGTAGATCGCCTTTTTGCACTTCACGTTGGTGTATCAAATGTAAAAATGCCTGGGTCTGGAATAATGCAACTTGTCATGCTAAATCTGAAGCATGCAAAAATCTGTGTTGCGTGATTACCAAAAGTCGTCCAGTTTTGACCAAGTCGGGAGGCGGTTTCTCATGCAGGCTGGGCATGAGAAAGATCGCACAGAATCTGTCATGCTAGATCCTGCATTCCAGACCTCACGGGTCATGGAAAAGCTGCATGACAAGTCGCGCACTCTTCCAGACCCAGACATTTTTACATTTGATATGGTGCACTCGATGGCCTGTGGGACGCGCTGCCCGGTGCTTTCCTCCTGCTTCACGGTCTTTTCGGACTTCTCCTCCTCATACATCGGCGGCATTGCGGCCGGATCTTTTTCCTGCACCGCCTTGGCACGATTGTGTTTGAAGATAGTTCCTGTTATAGTGGTTTTTCTTTCGATCTAAATTTCAGTTGCATAGATAGTGCTAGCTACAGATAACGAAGATGGATCCGCGGCACATATTTTTACTGTGTCCTCAAGCGGTCTCTTGTACCAGTTGTAGACAACCACGTGCAACATTTTTAGCTGCGCGAACGGCGACGGCCGGTGAAGGGGTGAGACCATGAGAAAGTCACTTCGATTTTTCCATGCAGAGTGAGTGTGCAGCCTGCATTCTTCATCACACCCACGCACCGTCTGCGTCTGGAAAGCGCAAAGAAATGATCCTCAAGTGGAATTATAAGGCATCGTACTAAGCAATAGTGAAGAAAATCCAAAGTACGCATTTGTTTTGCGCTTCGCAGCCTGGTTTCGATCCGGTTCTCTTCTTTCTTGCGCTTCCGGCGCTCCACCTCCAGCTGCTTTTGCCGCGCATCCTCCTCGCGCTCCCGTTCCGCTGCCGTTGCGGCAGACACCATCCTGCTCGGGGACGAAGCCTAGTAGGCTGCACAAGCACTCTACTGAAGATCTCGCGCTAGTACTTAGACGACCGCAGACGTTGTTCCTTGGTCCTGTCTATCCTTGCAAACGATCGCATCCTGATGTGCCACCGCTCGCGCGCGGCCCGAAAACGGAGGTCAGCTTTGTGCTGCCGCCCCCAGCGCGCGTGTTGGGTCTGCCGTGCTCTATTGCTTGTTGTGCACAGATGTTCATTCGTTATATTGCGACCCGCTATATTTTTTTTATATGATCAGTGTCAGTCGGTTTGCGTTGGTCCCAAACAAAAACATGCTTTTTGCGGTGGCCCTGACATCATCTGGCAAGCGGAACTGCGTAGCGCTAGCAAACCGATCAACGAAACAGGGCAGGTTTGGTACCCGTGCTCTCGCTGGGTCGTGGTCAACGTGCGACGAATGAGCGCGCCGTTTAAGAGCACGACGCTGAACGAAGCGACTCGAACGGGTGAAAAACTCTCTAGCCGCTCTTTCTTGTAAACTCGATGGATGGAAGTCCAAGAACCACTTCTCAGCGGTACAATCTTCCGTTCGATTTTGATTCTGGAATGCACCGCTCATTTTTGATTTTGGCTAAACAAAGGGAAGCGCCGGCACCACCACGGTGAGTTTCGGAGAGGTTTGGCGGCGCGGTGCGAGAACAGAAATTTCAACTTATGCGGCCTATATGCACAATATTTTCCCCACCTCGTTGTCTCTTGCGGCAAGGCGTTGGCGATTGGGTACCTACTATACCATTTTCCGAAACTGCATCTCTATTCTTCGAATCTGAGCCTCCAATAGTAGCGGCCCGGGCGCAGTTTACTCGAATATACATCAAAGAAACGTAGTTAGTGCGTCTTGTCGCGCGGCTGCGTTGGAGGTTTTGGTTTTCTTTTTGTAGTTCTAGTTCTGTTTCATCTTTGTACAATATTAAGATCCCATCTGAAACTGAATGCAACTAATTTGCTTTTCGAGTGTACACTGCGAAAAGCGTGCGGTGGAGCATCAAAACTCAGTAGCTGTGGACGCAGGCAAACAATAGCTCCGGGTACTTCTTCGAGGCCCGTTTCTTTATTCCCAACTGACGGTGACCTCACTCAGCTTTCACCCTCCATTTGATTCCCTTTTTTTTTCCCCTGGCACAAGTTAGGAGACTCATCTTGCACGAGCAAACAGCTGCTATCTGTCATCAGCTAGCAGAAGAAAGAAAAGTAGGACTGGTGTGCTTCTGATCAATCTATTTTTGCGCAAATTAATGGCGCGAAGCTTCTGCTTGATTTTCAAAAGCACAACTATCGATATCGTAAAATAAGTTTCAAGGTGGTCAACGTCAAGGTTTGATATATTTTCTTTTCAAATTACACTTTCTCGAAGGAGAAAGAACGAAGAACTTAAAGTTTTTCAAAAAATCCGAAACGGAAGTCTACATTAGCTTGCGGACTTACTTTTTCGGTGATGGCACCCCCGCTGGAGTACTGGCCTCCTTTTTGGGGCTGTCCAGGTTTTCCTTCGAGCTTGTCACGTTGTTTCTGCTCCGACTGGTGCCCTTGAAAAGCCCTCCGAGGAAGCCTACTCGCTTCTGATCCTGCTCGCTTTCGTCGCTTTCCTCGCTGCTGTGCTCGTTGTAAAAGTCAATCTTCTCGTTGGGGTCTGAGATCGGAACGAGAGCAAACCTGGTCAGAGGAGGACAGGTTGTTTGGTAGTTTTATGTTTGAAATCTACTGCAATGGTCCAGCTGGTGGCCGAAAGTCGGCTTCGGCAATAAAGTCGACACAAAGAAATTATGATCCTCGCCGCGGAGAGCCACCTCATCTATCATCATCATGTCATGTTCCTGTGAACAAGAGAATATCAAATGCAAATATGTCTGGGTCTGGAAGGGTGTAACTTGCAATGCTGCATTTGGATTCTAAAAAAAATCTGTGTTGCAGGAATAGCAAAAGAGGTGCGTTTTTTGCTACGCGGAGGGAGTAATTCTCATGCAGTTGTATGGGCATCAGAAAGCCGTCACAATATCTGTGACGCTAGGGCATGCATCACAGACATCGCCGGTGATGCAAAATCTGCATGACAAACTTCCAGACCCAGACATATTTGCAATGCATAAAGAATCAATCGAATTTACATTCCAAACTCGATCTGCAAGTCGACCATCTGTTTTTCGTCCCAGGCACGTTTCATGCGATCCGCTTCTGATTCGTACTCGCCCTTCGCCAGCGCTGCCGGAGCCGAAGAGTTCGCACTCGGGGACCCGCCGCCGGGGGTCGTCGGCGGTATGGCGCCGGGTGTGCTGGCCCCCGGTGTCGTTGCTCCGCCGGGGGAGCTGCTGCCCGCGGGCGTGGCGGCACCACTTGGCTGACTTCCAAATATCCTGGGGAAAAACGTACTACCCAATTCATAATTTCAGTATATTGTTGTGTTTGTGACGCAGATCGTCATCCGGCTCGCCCGTATGTTCATGAGAGCCATTTTCTCAGTCATGTGATTTGGGAACTTCTTGTGACGCTCGAACTAGCACAAGCCAGACATGGCTTCGTGCTGCAGCTGCGCTGGTCACCATCAAGCACGTGATCGCAACTAAAAGAATTGTGGTCATACAGCGAGAGTGGCTCGCGCTCGCAATCGCAAAACTAAATGATTTCCCATCATGATTATCATGTACTCACGAGGACTGGGTATGTCTTTGCACAGGATATCTCCGTCTTCTGGCTTCGCACGCCGGAAGGGACTCAGGACGTTCATCAACTTCCTCGCGCCGCGAACCACCCCGGTAGCGGCTCCCTTGAGGGCACCCGACACCATTCCCAGATCCTCGTCTGCGTCTCGCTTTCGCTTCAGCAGGGTCACGGTCTGCTTAAACTCGGGCGAAAGAATCTCCTTCGGTGTAATGGAGCCCGAAGCATAATGCCTGACGCATGCAATTATTCATCTTCATTCAAGCACCATACATATTCATTGACATAATTGCGTTCTCAACAAAGTGCCAACAGAACCCGGTGATAGAGCACAGTAGGCACGCCTGGCTTCTACTTCTACAATTAATAGCACAACAAAAGACGAGCGAAAGTAGCATATCTTTGCAACGGGGGTAAGTAGGATTTTTCCTACGTCATACATTGCCACAGTAGTACAATCAACTTACTAGATTACCGACGTTTGTGGAACGACGGATGCATTACTAGTACTGCGCAACAGAAATAACAATAAGTTTAAGTTCTTATACTTTTTCCGCCCATTGACGTAGACTTTTATTTCGATCTTCAGATTCTGGGGCTGCGTGATGAGGAAGTGACAACCGAAATTGAAGACCGTGTCGTAGCTGGGTTTCCTCTTCAGAATGTCCTTGATAATCTCGGGCGGGTAGTGCGCAAAACCGGCAATGTCGTGGATGGGCATGCTTGCGAAATGCTCATTGCCAATGCTCAGGTTTTCGACCATGGCCTGCATCGCGTGTGGTACCGCGTCGTCCACGAGCGCCGGCACCACCTTCGCAGAACCGCCCCCAGATTTTTTCACGTCCTTCGGGTCCTCTGCCTCAAAAGTGACGTAGACTTTGTCCTTTTCAAACTTCTTCGGGATGCCTCGCACAGCGACTAGTCTGCACTGGAACAGCATCACGTTCTGGTAGTCCTCCAGTGGCAAGCGGACGGGGGTCTTCGAGGGGGACTCCTTCGCAACTTTGCTTCCCTTTTGCAACACAAACATCCCCCCGGTCGGGACTCTTCCAGTTGTTTGGCATGAAAAGTTGTCCTCTGACTCATGCACACATAAGAGCGGCTTTTCTTCCCTTGCGCATACAAGAGCATGTATGGCCAGAAGATGTCAGTGAAAAAAGAGACAGGCAAAAACTTGCGCAGCTTTAGACGGGTGAAGCCGCAAGTGCGTAGTGCATTTCTTGTGTCCGCATGGTGGAATCGCCTGCATGCTATAAAAATTTCTAGTCCTGCTCTTACACGGACCAAAATGTCATGAAACACACGGCCGTCCGGGGGCAGACATTGCATTGCGTAGGGATTCTTCAATTCCGGTCGTGGCAGCGCGTCAACGGTTGTGATCGGCTCGAGCTTCAGCGTTTCTAACGAGACATCCAGGTGCCCTCCCCCTTCTATCCTGAGTAAAAACATCCCCACACCAGAGTCAAGATGGGGATTTTGCAACACAAACCTAGAACTTTTGGGGGTCACGCATCACAAGTTGCAGTCCGTAGTGTAGTGCAGGTTCGCAAGGCCAGCTGCATCAGAAATCCATCTGCTCATCCTGTTTACAGCATTACAAATTCCAAAACACGACTAAAAATGCCTCTCCTGGCGAAGCGCATTACAAATGTTCCTGGCATTGCAAATCTGCATGACAACTCTGGTGTGGGGACGTTTTTACTCAGGATACCTTCCTCTTCGTCTTCCTGCCGTAGCGGAATCGTGACCGCGCCGTCCTGCGCCGCTATTTCGCCGACGGGAATGCGGAAGTGCCCGAGTTGGTATGCATTGCAAATATGTCTGCGTCTGGAAACATGTAACTTCTGATGCGCATTTTAGACCAGAGAGAGATCTGTCATGCATGGACCGCAAAAGTTGCTCATTTCTTGTCACCAAAAGAGGGAACTTGTCATGTGGATTAGGCATCCCGTAACCTTCTCGAAACCTGTGATGCTAGGGCTTCCTTGCTAGACCTTCTGCGTCATGCAAAAACAGCATGACACTTTCCAGACCCAGACATATTTGTATTTGATAGCTGGTCATCGGAGTCAATATCGGAGTCGAACAACTCCAACGAGATATCGCCAGGAAAAATGCCCCCCCCCGAACTTGGCAGCATTTGTATTGCAAACCTTTCCAAATGAAACATTCGCCCTCTTGCATCTATCAGCGTCACAGATTTCCGATCGTGAATAGCAAAAATTTGTATTGCAAAAGACCCCAGCAAGAGCGGCGCTTGTCATGCAAGCGATGCGATATACGCTTCGACTCTGCATCAGAAAGATTCATACTCCTTTCATGCATGACAAAAAGTTTTCATTTGGAAACTTCGCATCACAAATCATTGCAACTTTGGGGGTGGGGGCAGTTTTCCTTGTAATACGACAACAGCTGCCGCTTGTTGAACATGAAAAAGTCGTAGATCTGGTCTTGCCACACCGGATTCACCGTGTATTGCAACGAAAAATCCCCCCTCCCCATATTAAAAAGGTATCCTTCGGAAAATTTGTGATGCAGATTTGTGGTCACAAATCATTTTTGTTTTGCAAGAAGGCAAGCGCTGGGAGATGAGCCGCATTATGGGCGCGATTTGTCATGCTGGTTGGCCTACAGGGCAGGCGTTTCCCATGCTATACAGCTAGACCCGTGCGCTCCTAAACAGCTTAACTATCTGGCCACAATTCCTTACAGCAAGACAGACCTCATTTGTGTACGCAAATCCAGCATCAGAAGTTTCGCTTTGATATGGGGAGGGGGGATTTTTCCTTTTGATACCGTGTGCTTGATCACTTTGCTTCGAAACTGCCGCGCGCCAACGCGGACGATGGCGTAGGGGTCACTCGTCGCGGCGCCGAAGAAATTAAAGTCCTTCGCGAGCAGGTTCTTCCCTTTGTGCAGTTGAAACCGCAACACCGCTTCTGGCCGTGGGAAGGAAAGCCGCGTCATGTCGATCTAGTGCGTTTGCTTTCAACATTGCGGTGGTGAGAGAGTGCAGCTCACTTCATCACTTCTTGTTTTGCATGAAGAATATATAACGACAAACACGTCGCAGCTCGTTCTAATTTCGTACTACCTCAAATAAAAACTGCATAGGCCGAGAAGTTGAAGTGGATTCTCGGTGTGTATCATACTGCTTCACTTTGCACTTAGCACAAACTAGAGTGCCGCGTGCTAACCTAAAACCAACGCACTATACCTCCGTCGGATCCGCAACGGGGACGAAAATGCGATTTGGGAGGACCAGGGAATCCGTGATAGCGTTCCGGATGATGGACCGGATTGTGCCAGCCAGTACGGTATCGATTGCAAACATGTCTGGAGAGTAATAGATACACAATGGTGCTGCGTGATGCTCCCCCTACGTGACGCTGTGGAAAGAAAGTCTTCTTCTCGCATCATCATCGTAAGTAATTATCATCGTTAGTTGCCGCAACAAATACCCTCGCGGCGTATCACGACCTGGCAAGCGTTTTTACCCCTGGAACGAACAGGGCCTCTCTACTCAAAGAAACGGGACATTCGAATGTGCCTTTGAAAATAACTACTGATGTATAAATGTAATCCCGGCACAGTTCCAGTCCCAGACATATTTGCAGTTGATACACGGGCATGTCAATCAGGTTCGCAGCTCCGGTGAAGTCGACGTCCACTGTCGGTGGATTGATCATGAAGATCTGCAACCGATTATCAGCTGCAAATCTGTTTGTGTTCTTTCGGGAACCAGCAGCTAAGCACAGGGAAGTCGAATGTTGCTGCGTCTTCTTCTGCTCATGTAGTAGACTTCTGCAGCACAATCTTTCCTCTTTTGTCATGACAAAGCATGGGTAGTGTTTAGTATTTGAGCACCTATCCGACATAACTGTTGCATGCGCAGGATGGAACCACTTGTTTCCTGCGCGATGTCACGACAAATGAAGGCATCTTCACGCAGTCGTAGTATTCGCGGTCATGCACTGAAACCAAGACAGTTCTGGTTGTAGTCATCGATGTAAACAGGAAGAGTTTAGCTCCCAATGGGTCTGCTCTGACGCCGTCCCAACAGACACAAACAACCATGCACAGAGTAGCCACCAACCACCGGCATTGTCTCCATCAATGGACGCAAAACCAGAGAAACGTATCCCAAAGAAAGCTGCTAGCATGATTTGTTTGTGCTTCTACGTATACAAAACAAGTAAGTGCGCACAAGCATCAGAGGAAAAAGTCGTCCATTGTCGAGCGTTGGTTCAACGCATGCGAAAGCACAGACATTGTTACAGAAGTTGTCTCTATTTCTATATGTTGGCTTGACAGGACGAGCGCAAAGTCATCAAACCTGATGCGGTAGCTACTTTCCGGAGGATACGACGGTTCCTTCGATCACAAGCTTCTTCAGACCTGTGGCGGGAGTGGGTTCAGCGTTTTATTAGAAAGTATCGGCATGATGGCGGCGTCAATGTCTATCCACCTCCAAAATTGTATAAGCAAACATGAACGGATTTCGGAAACTCGAAACTCATGAAGGAGCTCAACGAGCTCTTCTAGCTTGAAAAGTGCATCTGCAGCAACCTTTTATTGATAGTCATATCTACAATTTCATCGCAAGACTCACGAATAATTCAATTTCGTGAATAATTCAAATTGAATAACTCAATTTCATGAATAATTCAAATTGAATAATTCAATTTCATATCAAGTCTCAATCTCAGTCTCAGTCTGAATCTTAAATCTTACCTCAGTCTCAAATCTTATTCGAATCTCCAATCTTATTATCAAATCTTATCTCAATCTCAAATCTTAAAAAATCTTAAATCTATCTCAGAATCATAGCCATCTATCAAATCTTATCTCAAAAATTTTTCATACAGATCGGGGCGCAGTATCATCATATCGAAAGGGCGGGGGGGGCGCGGGGGAGTGACGTAGGGGGTCAGTCGGATCCGCGCGATCGCGTGTCACTTTCTTACTGAAATCCCTAAGGAGAAAAAGCTTCAGCTGATCGCGCGCACGGAGACATCGCGGGCAGCCGACGGAGACGGAAGGCGGCAACCGCAGCCACGGACGCTGCACCTGGAAGGCGTGCAGCGATGGCGCAGATGGATGCATCCATCAATACCTTCCCAGCATTCTACTAGAAAACCCATGCCCCGGGTAGCCAGAATAGCAGTGCTAAACACAGCAACTCGGGAAAAAAAAACAAATTCCCAATACATTTCCACTATCCCAATGAACACCCTCCCGCGACCCTACTAGAAGATCCTTGCCCCGGGTAGCCTGAAGAGCCGTGCTAAGCACAACAACCCGAGAAGCGCTTCAGCTCTACCACCCCTTCCCGATAGCTTCCCAATACCTACCCACTATCCTTCTAGGCAAACCTTTCCCCGGGTAGCCCGAAGAGTTTTGCTAACGCGGGAAGAAACCCCGGAAAATCGAAGAGAAATCAGCTGCCTTGCGATTCTTGACAGCTGGAAATGCCCCGAGGCGTCTCCGCCCGCAAATCTATCCATCTGGCAACACCTTGGGGCGCCTTGCCCTGGAATCCCAGCTACCAATGCGCCGCGGATGCCTTTTCAAAGTGTTCCCCACAGCTGGATTCCAAGCTAGAAATCGAAAGCCGTCTTCTACTACAAATCGAGCTGCCAACACTTTGAAAAGGTCGGGCGGAAAAGCGCTGAAAAAGCCCTCTCGATGCCGTCCCATCTGGAAGGATTTCCCTCGAAAAGGCGTTTCCAGCAAGCTGGATTTCCATTGCCGCGGCGTCTCCAGCTGGATACTCTTCGAAGCGGCGCCCTCGAAGGGTTTCCAGCAGGAGGCGCGTTGCTTGCGGGTGCCTCTTTGTTTAAGTAATGCACTGCCTCCCTGCTGGATTTCCTCCCGGCTAGAAAAAAACGCGCCTCCATCTGGGTTTCCCGCTAGGAATGCTCTGAAAAGGCGTCCCCGGCTCCATTTCACGCTAGAAATACTCTGCAAAGACACGGCCGGCTGAATTTCTTCCAGCCGGGGGCGCTTTGGCGATGCCTCTCCCGCTGGATTTCGTTCTGGGAACGCGCTGGCGATGCCTTTCCGCCTGGATCTCTAGCCGGAAACACGCTGCCGCTGCCTTTCCGGCTGTGTTTCCTTTCAGCTAGAAAGGCGCTGAGACGGCATTGCTAGCTGGATTCCCTGCTGGACACACACCGGGGCGGCGTCGCTAGCTGGCTTTCTAGCTAGAAACGCCCTGAGACGGCGTCGCTACGTGGGTTTCCAGCTAGAAACGCACTGAGACGGCGTCGCTTGCTAGATTTCCAACCAGAAACGCACTGCGAAGGCGTCTCTAGCCGCGTTTCCGGCTCGACATGCTTTGAAAAGGCAACCACTAGGCCGCGGGGGGATGCGGCGCGAGGCGCAGCAGTGTTGTTCCCCGGTGATGCGCAAAGCGTGCGCGTCCCGCAGCGGGGGGTGAACTTTGTGAAAAATGCTCCTTCTAGCGCAAGTTTGCGATGTCACACCGAGCGGGCGAAGCTGTTCGAGTCTCGTTCTTGAACTACATTGATTTGCCTAGAGCTAGACAACATACGTTGGTGAAACTCAAAAAACAACATCATGGTGTAAAAAAGTATGCTCTCCATACCAAGCTTCATTTTCAACACTCTCATGGAAATATCGAGGTTCGGCTTCCACGATATGAAGATGTCGATTTCGAACCCCTTCAGGTCCTGCTTGTCCTTCTTGTACGCGTGCACCGGCCCAAGTTCTGGTGCCTCGTCTATCGTAAGGGAAAATCCCCCCTCCCCATATTGAAAAGGTATGTCTCCGAAAATTTGCGTTGCTGATTTGAGGTCACAAATCACATCTGTCTTGCAAGAAGGCATCTCCACAAGCTCCGCAGCATTGTGCAGGCGGTTTGTGATGCTGATGGGCCTACAGCACGGACGTTCCTCGTGCTAGACGCCTAGGCCAAAACCTCTCTACTTAGGCTTAGCATGGGCCTGCATTTCTCTCCAGCAAGACAGATCTGATTTGTGTACGCAAATCCTGCATCAGAAACTTCGTTTTGATATGGGGAGGGGGGATTTTTCCTTTTGATATCGTCCCCAAGATAAAAGCTGGTAATTTTGATTCCGTTCAGCGGCACCGGAAGCGAGGCCTGCTATCAACTGTAAAAATGTCTGGGTCTGGAAGATTGGGGGAGTTTGTCATGCAAATTTTACATGACCTGCGATGTCGGTGATGCATGCTTTAGCATTACAGGTTTTGTGCAGGATTTCTCATGCGTATACTGCATGAGAAATGCCTTCTCAGAATAGCAAAAATCTGAGTGCCGATTGCTGGTCATGCAATCAAGGCTTTTGTATCATCGAAAGTTAGCATCACAAATTCCATTCTTTCCAGACCCAGACACTTTTGTATTTGATACCTGCAGCGTGGGCTCGATCTCGTCCTTTAGCAACTTGAGCACCGCTTTGTTTATGTACGGCCAGAGCGCCTTCATTGTCAGATTCAACCATTGCAGTCCCTCGCCCGCGGCGACCACCTTGCCGCCACCTAGATGCGAAGCACGGCTTCCCGAGACGTGCATGTGCGAGTCTCGCATCTGCGGAGGAGTTCCCCCCTTGTCCGGGCTGTCGGTACTAGCGTTTATATCCTGAGTAAAAACGTAGCCACACCAGAGTCAGGATGGGGATTTTGCAACACAAACCTAGGAGTTTTGTGCGTCACGCATGACAAGTTGCACTATGCAGTGTAGTTCAGGTTAGCAAGTGCAGCCGCGTCACAGATTCATCTGCTCATCCTGTTCACAGCATCACAAATTCCAAAACACGACTGGAAATGGCACTCATGGGGATGCGCATTACAAGTCTTCCTGTCTTTGCAAATCCAAATCTGCATTACAACTCTGGCGTGGGTACGTTTTTACTCAGGATACTTTATGCGGTCGCGTTTTGCGTCCTTCGCTGGCGCACTACAACACGATGGCATTTTGATTGATGTGTTCTCCGACAGACAACAAACAAATACTTTATTTGTCACGACGGGGAGGTGGACGGACTAGATTGAGTCGACGCACCGGTACAAATTATATCGTCCGAAGGAATCCCAATCCGATCGGTCGCTTTCTATGCTGCAGGTCGTGACAAGAAGAACAAGGCTGTAGAGCCAGTTCCGTGGCAGTTTTGTTGAGCACGTGCCAGTCTTAGTGAAAACTTCAAAGCAGTAGAGCAGCTGTGGAGGAAAATAAAGAGTGCGCTCGACAGGAACGATTGCGCACTCACGAGCGACAGCGCAAGGTGTGAGTGTAGTTTTCTATTCAATTATCGTGGAGATGGAAAAACGCCGCTCCTCTCACGAGATTACTCACACTCACGATTCGCTCCCGTACTTCGATTGCCGCGAGGACCATTTTTCTGTCTTACTTCACGATAAACGAAAGAAAGAAGCGTGTAGAAGTACTAGATGAATAAAGTACACTAGAGCTCCGTTCTCCTGTGAAACACAAAGGAAAACGCTTACGCACGAGGCCAACACCATCATGGACCTCCACTTCCATATTATTTGTACCATTTTTGAATGGCACAAGGCTGGAGCGGTTCAGCAACCAAACGAAACAAAAAACATCTCTGTGCGTGATTAAGATTAGGTTCTAGATCAAGTTGCGATATAGATGAAGGAGAAACAAAGAAATGAGTGTGGTGAGTTCGAAACGCGTGACCTGTGCAAGATAATGAGCCGCCGACTCTCCAGGGCGTGACGAGCCAGCCATCCTTTACCTTTATCACTTTATATGACATTGATAAGTTAGTCCTGGAAAAGCAATCGACAAGTACTCTTCTCTCGGTCGCCCGGAACGAGACAGCGGAGGGCGAGCTTAGTTGTAGATTGATATCATATCATGTAACTAAAGTAGAGGTAAAGTGCCTTGCTTATGCCCTGAAGATGTGGCTCCAAAGGCTGCACAAGAAGTGGAAATCTTCTTTTTCCAATACAAACTCGTACAAGAAGAAAAAGAAAACGAAGCGTCGTCGCGATCTTCAGCAGCAGAGGCGAGCATCTGACAGGGGCGAGATCATGAACATGAGTACAAAGGTTCAGTTAAGTATTCCTAGGAACTTATTTTTCAACATTTCGTCCATACACTCACAGTTACAAACAATGACGAAAAGTTGATGGAGCCAGGCCGCCTCCTGGATTTTTCCTATTTATAATTTTATTCTCATCAATTATTGTCCTCTTCACATCCACGTGTCACTGATCCGCGAATCCACCACAAGCGGTGTATATTATTTGTAAAAACGTCCCCACCACAGAGTTAAGATGGGGATTTTGCAACACAAACCTTGAAGTTTTGGTAACCACGCATGACAAATTGCAGGCTGTAGTGTACTAGTGCAGTTTAGCAAGGGAAGCCGCATAACAAATCCATCCCTTTATTCTGTTTACAGCATTACAAGTTCCAAACCACGATGGATAATGCCTCTCATGGGGATGCGCATTACAAACGCTTTTGTGCTTGCAGATCTGCATGACAACTCTGGGGTGGGGACGTTTTTCCTCAGGATAGTGTACGCAACTTCATCATCATCCCGCTAGTAGATTCCGCAAGACGGATGATCTCGCGCTCGGCCGCCTCGGCGTTCTCCACAGGCCCTTCCAATATAAGCTCGTCGTGAATTTGCAGAATTTGGACAAACTTCAACTCCTTCAGCACCGGTGATCGGTGCAGCTCGATCATGGCGTTTGTAACGACGTCCGCCGCGCTGCCCTGCACCGGCGTGTTTGTTGCCACCCGCTCCAAATGTTTTCTGCGCGCGTGCGTCAGCACCTGTTTATTGCTTCTCGGGGGCGCACTTCTTTTGTTCGATGGATGATGATGATCTTCTCGGTCATCATGATGCTGCCCCGGAAGTTGTAGCTCCTCAGGTTCAAGGTGTGGACGATTCGCGACGTGCTCCGCACTTCTATCCACAAACACCTGCGCGGCCATTTGCTGCTGCTGCTGCTGCTGCGCCGTGTAGTAGCTGTGCAGGTCGGGGATCCAGCGCCGCCGGCCCAGCAGGGTCTCGACGTATCCGTCTTCGTAGGCTCGCTGGATCGTGCGTTGCTGCCACTGGAGCACCTCCGGAAAGCGGGCATACCATGTGTTGATGATCTGCTCCGCTTCTTCCGCTCCACCGTCCAGCTGTAGCGTTTTGGCGAGGCCGTACTTGTATGGATTGCAAATATGTCTGGGTCTGGAACCTTGTGATGCAAGGAAGGGAATAGCAAGCACACTGTAATGCGCTCCATAGCATGACAAATTTTTCCGTGGTTTAGAGTTGCGTCCTCCGCATGAGACACTGCGTTTTTGCATGACACGAGGGAGGACGTCCTCGCGGGAGCGCAACACAGAGCTCAGATTCATCTCAGACTAGCATGACAAATCTTGCAATCTCCCAGACCCAGAGGACATATTTGCAGTTGATAACTTGGTGACCCCATACACGACTGCGAAGTTGAGGGTCTTGGCTTTTTTGCGCTCCACTGGAAACTGGTCCTTGACATACGCAATGTCGTCTTGATGTTCCGCCAGCATCCTGGTGCCGTCCGTATTGTTTGAGGTTTCTGGCGCGTTATTGCCGCCGTTTGTTACATCGCCCCCGACCACTACTGCGTGTTGCTGGCTCACGGCTTGCGTACTATCGTGTTTACCAATGTGTGGGAACATGGCGAGTGCAGTACGCGAGTGGAAATCGCCACCCTTTTTGAATCCGTCCAACATCGCCTCGCAATTAGCTAAGTGTGCGAGCAGCCGCAGCTCCAGCTGTGAGTAATCGATAATGACAAAGGTTTTGCCCGGCGCGGCGGCAAAACAAGAGCGGAGATTGTACGTTCGCGAAGCGGTTGGCACGTTCTGCAGGTTGGGTTTACGGCAGGCCAAGCGCCCCGTAGCGGTGTAAAGGTTTAAGTTCATGTAGATGCGCGGCAGCGAAGCGGCCAACGTTTCGTTAGATTTTTGTTTGTTGTACTCGATTGCGTAATTCGCCAGGGGATACATGAAACTCTGTAACATGGCCGTCGAGTCGAGATACTCAAGTAACGAAGGGTCGAACGGCGGGGGAGGCGTCGTCTCGGCTTATGGATGTGTCAGGTTTGAAAACGTCAAAGTTGAAATAGTTTGTCATGCTAAACCGACCGAAACCACTACACAACCTGTAAGGGCACCTCACCGCAGATGGTCCGCAGAAATAGTTTGTCATGCATAAAACGGATACCGGTTAGACCTACAGTTTGTAGTCGGTGCATGACAAATTTTCCCGGTCCTGGAAGCGAGTCTGTCATGTGGTTTAGGGCAAAAGACCTGCCTTCTGTCATGCTAGTCAGCAATCCAACTTTTGACCCTTACCAGGACTATAATCTGCCTCCCGTACGTCCTCTGCATTAGAGTCACTCTCTGTATTGCATTTTATGCATGACAAACTATTTAAACTTTGACGATTTCAAATCTGACACTCCCATACGGCTGCTGCATGTTGTACAGGTGAATTAGGTGCGGCTTCGGGTTTGCTCTGCTGGTCAGCAGAATAAAGAACGTCGCTCTGACGGCGTTCATCGTCACGTCCGTCAGTATCTTTCTGCAGTCGGTTTTCTAGCGCTTCGTCGAGACGACTTACTTCGTGCTCAACGTCGTCGTGTAGTCCTTCCCGCCGGGTCGGAGTTCCACGTGCATCAGCACCATCAAGAGCCTGTTGTTCCACGCCTCCTTCATCTTTTTCCCTCGCCGCGACTACTTCAAGCCTGTGTCGCTTAAGAATTGCCGCGAGCGTGTCTTTGCTCACGGACGGCCAGCCTTTCTTGGTGTAGCTGTGCGGCTCCAGTCCCAAGCCTGGAATAGTGATGTGCTGGAGTGTTTTGTCGGCTTTGCAAATCTGTTCCGCTCGTCGCTGTTCCAAGTCCGCAAGTTCCGGGATGCGCAGCAGTTCCGCGATCAGCTTCCCTTTGGTACCAAGTTTTGACTTCTGGGTGACCTCCTCGCTCCAGGGCCGCAACAGGTCCACCCACAGCTTCAAATCCGCAAGCTTCAACTTTTTCAGCTTCTGCGACATTTCCGCACGGGTCATGCGGATTTCATCTTCGTCCACTTCCTGATCGAGATCGTCGCTCATTTCTTGCGCCGCTTCTAGGCCCTCACAAGAACCTCCTTCGCCTTCTTCGTTCGGCTCGTCTTCGACCCACTTCTTGAGGTAAGTCTCGAGATCGGACTGCACCTGGTACAGTTCTAAAACGTTCTGCTCGGCGTCCGCCCTGGCGCTCGCGACGGCTTCTTCATCAAAGTACTCTGCTTCGACGGAAAAGGAGTCGGCCTCGGGCAGAAACAACACGTCGTCCGATTTGCTGCTAGAGGAGTAGTAATTCGGCCTAGTACCTGTCGGTGATCTATTGGTCGTCAAAGTGCTGCCGTAGTCGTCGTCTTTTACGGTGCAATTATCCCATGGAGCGAACAACAATTGCATCAGCTGCTTCGTGCTCCCTATATGTAGCAAATGCGCATTCTGTTCGTCGAATGCAGTGGCTGCAGCTTTTTTTCGGATTTTGCTGCCTGTCGTGCCCCTTCCTGTTCCTGACAGATGCTCGGCCTGGAGCTGCTCTAGCTCCGCTTGTTTCTTCTTCTCGAATGTTTCCCGCTTGTTTGTCATCTGACCTTTGACCCACATACGAAACTTCTGCTCCGCAGCGCCTCGTTCTCTTTCCGCTTGGGCGGTAAGCTGCTGCAGCCTCTGGACGTTGAGCCCGACCCCTCGCGATTCGATCTCGGCCAAAACCTGTCCAAACTCGTGCCAATGCTGGTGGTATAGGTCGTGAAACGTCTCACCGCGAAACTCGATGCTCTGGAGAACGGTCTCGAGATGGTGATACGCTGTAATCGTGCAGTCCTCGAGGTTTGTGTTCGCCATTTGCGCTCTTTCCGGTGCTCCGTCTGACAACCGGCTCATGTGCATCACGTCCGCATGAAAACCGTGCTGGGTTTGTAAAGTAAAATACTTTTTATTTTGATATACAACTTGTTTATTTCTGTCTAGCAGATGAAACAGAAATTTTCAAATGTCCGGGTTGCAGTTCATGCGCACCGCGGAGAGAATCAATAGTTTATTCGGAGAAGCCGTTCTTCAGGGGGACAGTACTCTCTTCACGGGGAGGTACTAACTTAGGTACTGTTTTACACACGCAGCCACACGGACTCAAATTGTTTCTTCAGGCAATCGGCCAAAAGTTGTTCGTCATAAATCTTTCATCATATCGAGAACTACCTAAAAAGTACCAGATCCGTGATGCCCAAGCGCTGCTCAAACTGGAAGCGATGCCACGAGTAGTTGTAGTAAATTTTGGGGATGTGTGGATTTCGGAATAGCGGCGCGAATTCTTGCACTTCGTGCCACGGTACACAAAGCCGGTCTATTTCGACCACGCCGCCCGCTGCGAGTAAAGAGGAGCCCCCGACCACTGATCGAGAAGGCTCTTCTACTTGTGCAGCGCTTTGCTCCTCAAAGCAGCCACGATGCGGCGGGAGTCGCCCGATGGTCAGGATGATCCCCGCTCCTTCGCTTGAGGGGGACGTAGATGTCGCTTCGTCGGCCCCAACGACCGTCGTAACGCCGGTCGTAGCACTGGAAGCGGAAAATGCAGCGGAAGCCAGGTACGTTGTCGGTTGTAAGCGCGCAGTTCTACGAGTATAACTTGGCAGTCGTTCTTGTGGCTGGCTAGTGGAAGAACTGGAAGCCGAGGTTGACACTACAACCGACGAGGAGCCGGCTGGATACGTCTGCGTCGTGGTAGCCACCGAAAGAGCCGATCCGGGGGTTGTTGTACTGAAAGAACAATCACGTGCTGGACGAGCAGTCGTTGTGCTCTCGCCTGCGCAGTTTTTTTGTGTTGGCTCTACTTCGAGATCGAGACGGGCGGGCGGCCACCAGCCTTCTCGTTCTAGGCGTTTTCGGAAGCGGGCCTTTTCCTCGGAGGTACTCCACCGCAACGGCTTGGTGCCGGGCGGACGAGGTTTTTTGGAAGGTCTTGCAGAACTACCGTCAGAGGGAAGATGGTCTCGCCCTTGTTTGTCATCAGTTGCGGAACAGGATGCATCGTTTCTTGCTGAGAGCAAGGGGGCTGTAGAACAAGCAGAGCCACTCGCGGCTCTGGCACTACCCGTACTGCATCCTGGTGCCGTAGTTGCCCCGCAGAGCCGAGCTAGTCGCGGTGTGGGAGCCGCGGGAGCTGAAACAGTAGAACCCGCTGCGACGGCCACGGAACTTGCGATCGGTAGAGTGGGTGTAGGTGACGCCGTCGTTGGTGATGCAGCGGCCTGCTTCGTGGACCACCAGGCTTGCCACCGCGACGCCGCGGAGGTGGCCGCTTGCTTTTCGAGCGCCGGCGACAAAAAGCGAGCGGCCGGATAACTTGCCGAGTGGAGCAACCCGTCGACAAACCGCTCCCATGTGCCGCGAAAAACTTCACGCACCGGCCGCCACATCATGTGCTGTCACCCTTCCAACACGAGTTAAAATGATGCAACCATCAGAAGCAATAAATTTCGCGATTTATGGGTCATTTAGAAATCATCGTTAATTTTGTGCTCACGCTGGACCCCCTGTGTATTCTGAAAAAGTAGATCAGATCTAATACTTTCATTATTCGTCGAGTCTGAAATGTTCCGGCCTCGGATTGCGCTCTTCTTGTTGCGCACGCGCCATGTGCGACTAAAAGTAATTACTAAATAAAGTACTCCTGCTGCATCTCCTGTGGCAAGTAACGGGTTGTTTCAGACATTTTCATACGCTCGCAGCTGCAGGCACTCCTCGACAGGACACTGTTCTGACCTGTCGGCCGACGAACTCGCTCTTCAAGCTGCAAAAATAAAAGATCGGGGTGAGGCTGAGGAAATAGTTGAGGGGTAGTATAGTGGATTGAGCAGCTAGAAGACCCGGAAGTTGTAAATGGGCTGTAAAAAATGGGCTATGAAAATGGGACACCTTCGCGGAATTAAATACATACACTGAACTCACTGCTTTTGCTCTTGAGTTCTTGTTTTTTTCCAACATTCATAAGTCAGTTTTTCTTTTTTTCCGTGTTTCATCCAATTTCTTGTGTTGTTTCAATTTTTTCCGCCATTTCTCAGCGTTTTTTGGTTTGTTGTCTTGTCCGTACATAGTTGCAAGCATGTGCATTGCCTCCGGGATGTGGTTTGCTGCTGCCTTACGAGCGTATTTGTAGGCCAGGTGCCGGTCCTCTTCTGCGAAAAACAGGATGGCCGCGTTGTAGGCGGCCTTACCATGCGTGTCGTCCAACTCAAAAGCTTTTACAAAAAGGTTTGCGACCTTACCGGGCTGCAGCTCCTCGTTAGCCTGCATGGCAACCTCGGGGTCGACAACAGATACTCCTCGCGTTTTTCCCTCGTTTACATCATCTCGTCCCGTGCCACTGTAGCCCGCCAGGTCGGATCTTCGATCGAGTTCAGCGAGGTGGATGCGGGCCGCGGAGTATCAAGAGGAAAATGGACGACTCCACCACACCACATTCCTCTTTCCGAGCGAAGAGGGATTTCTCCTCGTTCGGTCACGGAAGACAACAAGCCTTGTTTGCGTACGAATCAACGCCGATATTGGAAGGAAGTTCTTTAGTAAATTGGGCTCATCTCCTGCTGGTGGTTCTATCTGTGCCTCTTCATTGATGGAAGAACGAGTTGTGGTGTTTGGATTGTAGTGCATTTTCATCTCGGTACGGAATAGCATGCCTTCGCTGCAGTCTGTATTGCGGTTGAGCGAATGCGTGGCCAGTTTGGGTGCTCGGGCGGTACGATGAACCGCGGATGTTCGTGGCTGGAGGCCGTCGTGCCGGGGACTTTGCGGTTTATTTCTGTGTTTGTCCTCATCAACGCCGCGTATTGCCGTAGCAGAGCATTGTATTCTGGATCCGTCTTGTTGGCAAAGAGCTCGCTAACCAAGAGCCGATCACCCGACGTCAGGCCTCTTGTGATAGAACTATCATTGCTCGTCGCCTCGACGTCGACGTCTTCAGTGTCGTCCCACCCAGCGTCAAAGTCGTGGTCGTCGACTTCAGGACCGGGAGCTACAACTGTGGGATGTCGTGTAGAAAAATAATCCCATCACAATGCCGACGATACTGAACAAAAATAAAGATGTGCTGTTGCGTCTGCGTGTATTTTTCTGTCAGTAGTTGTAAGAGTTCTGCCTCGAAGTAAAGCTTTTCGAGCCGATAGCGGCTTGTTTGGTTGGACAACGTTAGCACAGACCCAACCCACTCGCTTCATCTTTTTCTGTTGCCGATTATGGTAAGTATAGTAGCCTGAAGATGATATCTTTATCCCGCTCCGTTGCCCGTCAACACAATCGCAAACGCGCGCTGAGTGGGGTCAGAAGAGTAGCAAGGCCTTTTCTGACGTTTACGCATCTGCTTGGAGATTGATACAGCGGGGACCTTTTTGTGACGCAGACCAGATGCAGATCCACGTAATATGTTGTGTCCACATGCAAATAAGTAATATGATGTATGGGATAATTACCAGTACGTTAACTTTTCTGTGCGATACTCCTGGCATACTTGGATCATCTTGCTTGTGAGCTATATTTGCTCGCGCTGTTTCGCCGCGCCGACTGCCATCTATCATCGCATCTTCCTTCGTGCCGAAAAGTGAGTCCCACAACCAAGATGACTCAACATCTTCTGCGGTTGAGGTGCTGTTGTTGAGATGCGTAAAATTATTCCGTGTGTGATGTGTGTGATTTGCAGTGTCCTTCTCTAACACTGCTTCTACCGGGCGTGGGCGGGACGGAAACACACTGTTCAACAGCGTGCTGGGCTCGCGCTCGCCATCGTCTACTTTCCCGAGGTGCGAGGAGGACGTGAAGGCGCATCTATTTTTTTCGGTGGTCGATGTTGTGTCTCCAGTCCCACTGTTGACATCAAGTCCGCCAGGTCCGTCACCTCCTTTACACGATGGATCGTCGCGGTATGCCGCCCCGGAGCTGCAAGCTTCTTGGTAAAACTGCAACGCAAGCGAGAGTACGGGACCTGCCCAGGCGGTTCGATTCGTGGCATCGCTTTCAGACCACGGCAACAGCCTGCCTGTTCGTCTTTGATGTTCGTCCGGAGCAGGTGATGAACTTGCCGTCGAGGTGTGCTGGAGGAGGCTCTCGCGAACCACCGAGAAAACTTTGCCAGCATCATTTTTGCGTTTCTTGCCACTTTCAGGGGTCAGCGTTTTCATATCCGTGTGCCGGCCTTCTTGATGTTCCTCTTCCTCTTCTAGCAGACGCCCAAGATTGTACATAGCGCTGACGTGCCGCCCTTGTTTCGCACTTTCGGCAAACAAGAAGGCGGCCTTCGTGCTGTTCCGGAAGACCACACTTCCTTCCGAAAACAAAACTGCCAGCTCGTACAGCGCAATGTCGTTGCCCTTCGCAGCGGCCTTCTTGTAGAAGGCGATAGCCTTGTCGAATTTTTTCAGCCGAAAGAACCCTGAGGCCGCATCTACCATGCTGGGGACGTGCCGCCGCTGCGCTGCCGCCTCGTACCACCGCAACGCTTCTGGCGCACTGGTCCTACTCCGCGCCACGGCATGGCCTTCTCAAACGGTACACATGCATGATGGGTGTCGTTTTTTCAGGCGATCTGTTACTGCTCAGAGCCTCTATAATCACCTTCCGTATGCGAAAGAATGAGAAAGCTGGTTAGCATGACAAGTTTTCCGCGACGCGCTAATCTGCTATGCGGAAATCAAAATTGTAAGACGAGCTGCAAAAGCAAAATCCCGCCTGTTCCCGCCTCGTTACTTTTCCATTAATTTTTCTTGCTTCACACAATCAAGGAACAAACATGACACAGAAAATTGCAATCGCGAGTAATGTAAGTAACTGTAACATTTGAGAACGCCATACACGGCGACCAGGGCTTCTGGCTTCGTTGCCAGCACAGCTTCAGATCTCGACAGGGCAGCCACCGTTGTGGATGCAGGGCCGAATCGTGCTCCTGAGTGCAAGAGAAAGTAGAAAGCGCAGGCATAAAGCCGAATGGCGGTGAAGAAGTATGAAAGAGAAGGACCCATCCTTACCGCCTCCGAGTGGAACTGGGATAGGAAAAGGGAATTCCGGCGAAACCGGCGAATAACACAAATAAAATGTTGGCTCCTTCTACTAGTGCTACTTACGTCACAAGTGCGTTCATTTTTTTGCGGAGAGCAGCAAACCTCCGTGGATCTCCATCTTCAAATATTTTTCTTCTTCGTTCTTGTGAAACCAAAACCGGGGGAACCGCGTTGATCGGGCAACTGCAAGAGCTCAAAGGCATTGAGGTTCGAGAGCGAAATAACTCCCATTCATGCACTTATCTGCTTACGGCAGAAGATGTTCGTGGACTCAGGACCAAGGGCTTCCGTGTTCAACATTGCTGATACTTCTGAATCTTTGTCGTTCTGTCACCGTAGTACCTGTAGGGCAGTCAGGCAGGTTAGGCTCCTGCAAGATGCAGAAACGAAGAACAAGATACAGAGACTTCCCTTCCCTCCAGGGGCGGGAATATCAGCGAACCTCAACACCGCGTTTTAAACGCGTGAGGGTCTTGCTCTGCAAGAAATCCACTTCAGGACCCGGGGAGTATATCTTGCTGTAAGAAGTTGAAGTTCAAGAATCTGAATGCCGATAGGGGGAATCAGCTCTATGACGTACCTGAAGTTTGTATAGGGTGTACAAACATACATACACGTTCCACGCGGCTCTGCGAGAGGTTTGTGGTGCTCTAAATTTGATCCTGTCTCCCGGAAAGTGATCCACCCAACGTAGTACGGGCGAGCAAGGGCGTGAAGGAACCCTCTGCGTTCGTAATGTGGACGAACGTCGCAAGAGGTGAACAAGGATCCTGGAGGTGCCTGGGCCGCCCTTTGCTGGGGGGGGCGACTTAGAGCGCACCGGCGAGCTCTATATCCATGCTCCTGATGGCCGCATCAATGCGTCCTCGCTACGAGCGTCGTGTTGATTGATTTTGCCACGATCTTTCAATGTCGGCGGCGGGCTACGAGCCTTGTGCCGCGTTCATCGTGCATCCTGCATTCTAGCGGATGCTACTGCTCCATCTCTCCACAGACAGAGAGAGGAGGGGGGGAATCTACTACGAGCAGGCCCCCCGATGCCAGGGCAGCCTCTACGGCAGCAACCCGGAGGGCAGACGCGGTCGGACGCACGGGAAAGGCGCAGGGCCCAACCCTGCGAGGGCAGTGCATGCGTCCACGCGCGTAAGTAAGAGCAATGTGGGGCGCAGCCCAATCCTCCGGACGCGGGCCCATGGCTTTCTGGTGCTTGCTAGGTGGCAGGGAGGCGCATGGCAGTCGCGGGCCTTCGTGTCTTGCACATCTTTGCGCGCTCGCTGCGTGGCCCTGTATTGGCGTCCCGTTGTCGTATGCTCCGGGGCTGCACACGCAACCGATCGGATGCGACGGGCATGCCACAGGGGAGGCTACAGGGGCGTGGGCAATGTTTTTAGACGCTGAAGGCGGCGCGCGATGGTCTAGCTGCGAGCTAGACCTGCTGCGACGAGCGTTCCACGGACCGAACTAGGCCAGATGCTCCACAGGCCTCGCGTAGCTGAGGCGGATACATTGTCTCACTCTGAGCGCGTTGCCAGTCGGTCCTGGCATCTGCTGGGCCCTAAAGACAGACCAAGCACTTTTGTGCTCCGAGCACATGGGCTCCCTTCCCTACAAGGGCGTATAGGGTGTACAAACGTACATTGTCGCCAAAACTTTACATAAAGAGCCACACATAGTTGGATCTATTGCTTCAGGTTCTCGCGTACTTCTACAAATAGCGTCGCCTGCTCCATCCTGGTTTTCCGGTCGCCACCAGAAAAATCTCCACATAGAAGGTGGCCAAGAACCGTGACGTCGTCACTAGAACAAATTGGTCGCTCTAGAAACTTCCCCTCCACCTGTTGGTCTAGCGTGTAACTACATTGGATTCACATTACTGAAGCTGCTCTTTCAATCGTTTTCCATATCATAGTCGTACCTTTAAGTCATAGAAGTATTCATTAGATGTCTCGAGAAAAACTCTGATCGTTTCTACCAACAACACCAGTACCAGTGAGTCGGAAGGTACAGTGCCGGTCTGCGAGATGCAGAAACCTGCACGCAGACATCGTAAAGATACACCCAAATATCGACGGTTTTGATAGCGGAGTTGAACCTTCTCTGTCCTGTCGTTACGAGTACCAGGAAAATAGTGAAAACTGTGACCGAGATTCGCGCAGCAGTTTGGGTAGATCCTGCCGCGAAGGTCGATATTTTTTCGTACAGCGGAAAATTGTCACCGCTTAAGTTTTTCGTGCAATTGAAACTTGTCCAATTTCACTTCCTCGGAGCATATTACCTAATAAGTTGTTCGAAACGAGTCTTTCGCTCGAAGTAGCGTCGCTTGTCGAAAGAGTCCGCTTTCAGGTCGTTCGGTCGTACCGAGTCCAGATTCGGTTCGAGCAAATACGTCAGGGGATGCTTGCCCTCGGGATCCATGGCAGTCAACACCGAGATCCTCACCTGGATCCGCGCACCGCCGGACACGGCGGCCACGTCCCTCGCACGGCGGGAGTTCCTCGGGACGAGCACATTCTGGTTCGCGTAGTCCAGAGACACCCCGTCATGTTCGGTTCCCAAGTCCCACTGCTCCACGGACCCCTCGCCGAACAGGTTCATAGGATACTCGTGGACGGGCTTGCGGTAGTACAAGGTGCGTCCCGTGAGGCTGCAATAAAAGGGCACTCCCTGCCACGTCGCGGCCCCTGGGCGCATCGGGTTTAACAGAAACTCGCGCAAACCGTTGGTCTCCATCGGCACCTGCGGCTGCGTCTGGCACAACTCCTTGATCGACTGGCCAGACACCTTCCACTTGTCCAACGAGTACAGGTCCCACCACTTGTCCTGCGCCAGCAGGACCACATTCCGCTGTGTGGCGGACAAAATACACCCCATCTTGTGGGTGTGCTCGGTTGACGCCAGAATCTTTTTCAGAAATTCTGCTTGTGCTTCATCCACAGGAACAGACCACGACAAGCTCGGATCGATAGTGCTTCCCTTGCCCCCGCGGCCGATGCCATCGTTGCCCGGATCGTCGCGTCCCTCTCCCTTGCCTTTGCCCTGTCCGGGACCCCCTTTTCCAGCTGCATGTGCATCTGCTCCCGACGCCGCGCCCATGCCGTTTTCGACACCCTTTCCACCGGCTGCGCCGGACTTACCTCGTCCTTGTCCTCCCGCACGGGCGGAGGGAACGCACTCCTGCGTCGCGAGGCTAGTAACAATAACCTGCAATGCGCTAGTTTTTGTTAATGCCGCCACTTACAACAAGAGATAATTGATTTTCATTAGTTTATTACAGATTGCATTGTATATGTATTCGATCCGCTCTTGTTTCAAACAGACGCGGCGCTCGCTCTCTGACCAGGCTATACTTGCGAGGATCCGTCTGACAACACAGTTGTGGGAACAGGACGTGCGAAAACCCTGCAACGCGACACACGGCCTCAAGTCGTGAAAGCAGAAGGAGAGCAGCGTGCATGAAGAAAAGCCGTGGCTTTGTGCGGACCTGCTTCGAGCACTGGCTCCTTATAGGAGCACTATTCAAAGGGCGCGCGCCGGGTGGACGGACATCAACATTTTTTCGCTATAACTTTCAATCGTGCCTTTGCCTTATTAGAGATGATGTTTGCATCCAACACACAGGGACAATATCGTTCGTTGTTTGAAAAGAAGAGAAGATGCAATACTTAAAGGGAAAAGAACATGTCGCACAGGTTTGAGCATGTAAAGGAATCAGGTACTAGCTTAATGTACATAGCGAGATGTTGTCTCCCGCTCTTTGATGCAACAAGGGGAGTTTCTTTTCGGAGAAGTCGTTCTTCGATAAAAAAGGGACAAGCATGAGCATTTCAATGTACTACAAGGAAAATCGCGATTGCCACGAGCACTATCAATTTTTTCCGTTGCAAGGGCAAAGCTTATGTTCGCCGCCATCAGAAATAATCTACTTGTCTCAGAGGCGAGCGCATGCTTGCACCCTCTGTTGCCGATCGCTTGATCCAAATATTACGACGAGTTTTTCTACTCGGCTACACTAAATAAAGTATACAAATAGAATTAACGAGACCCGCGGCAAAAGGGCAACAGAAAATTGCTGCAATGCTAGACCTAGCGCCGGCGTTTCCGTCTGTCCCTTACCGACGGTCACTTGATGACTATTTCGAGCTGGGCTCGGCACTGCTCCCGCCTCCGACGCGCGGCAGCAATAGTTTGCCCTAGTATCCTAGCGGTAACGTCTTCGAATCAGGCCAGGGATTTCAGGCCTTCAAGCGTTTATGACTATGCGCACAGCAGCTCGACAAGGTAGTAAAAATTCAATGGGATTTTTTAAGGGCCGACAAGAAAGCAAAAAGTACTACAACCTTGTGCTTGGATCAATGGTGCGCCGTTACTGGGTTTTCAAAACTTCAAAACTTGCCTGCTTCCTTGTTAGTTGTATCTTTCTCCTAACTTACGTTCCAAATCAATACCGACGAAGAACTACTTGTGCACGATGTTGCTTCTTGTTCTTTGCCTTGCCCTCTTGGTAGTTTTTGCACAACATCCATATACACAAGATATCAACCTGTTGGAGATGAAAAAAGTGCCAGTGTGCAGTGGCCAAGTATGTTCGTGCGAATCCACAGTTTTCTTTTTCTTGGCACCCGTTTTTACTTTTTGTGGGCACGTCACCCAACGGCTACGTAGGTGATACCGTCCAGCAGGAAGGCGTCTGGCAACATTTGCCCCGTGCACGCATCGAAGACGACCACACGGTTTGTCAACGAGACGTAGAGAAGATTCCCGCAAGGACTGACCGCGCATCCCGCCATTCTGCTGTTTTTCGGAGCGTCGAAAAGAGCGACGCACTGGAGTCGCTTCATGCACCACTTCTTTACACGATGCGCCAGCACCAGATAGAGGTACCTGAAGAGCAGCGGAAAGATTGGAACATCTTATGGTCGCTTAAAAAATGCTGGTGTGCTGAGTGTGTCAGGCCTATGGTGGGTGAGGGTAGTCGTAGTGTACACATTACGATTGTTGATTACTGTTGGACTTTAACAGATGTGCAATCCGAAAAATGCGCATCCAGCAAGTGCAAGGGCTCGCGACACGCATTTTTCGCATGGCGCTGGTGAAATATCGGCATATATATAATCGGTGTACTCAGCAAGGGACGACAAGGCAGCACAATTCAACTCACCAACAGGCGCTATCCTGTCCCTGCGTGTGAGATGAGCCGACATAATTCACGAAAAACTGATCAACTATCGGCGTCTTGCGACGGGAGATGATCATGAAAGCAAGTAAATCACAGTTGTACTATCAAGATGATGAAATCACAAGAACTTGGAGTATAATAATTTCACTTACCGCCCACAATGCGAAAATGTGCAGGCGAATATGGTGCGGTAGTTATCTTGCGATTCCAGAGCCATGGATGTGTTGTTCGTGTTACCACCCCACCCAGTTGTCCCCGCGCAGGCTGCAATCGTAGGATCTTTTCCGCTCTGCGAATCTACTCCGGAAAGGTCCAATCTACTCTCTCCGGTAAGGTCGGTACAAATGGCGGTCATGTCGTCGCTCACGGTCGCCAGCTTACCGTAGGTGGTCGAGACGGCCACATCGATCACGTAGTCGTGGTGGCCTTGGTACTCGCCGATGAATTTGCGAGTGTGAGTTTCAAACTTTTTCACCGTGAACCCACTGGCTGCGTACAGCTCCCTCTCGTCCCCCGATAGTGCGAGGGCATACACTGGCTGCGGTGTGTAGTTCCCGCCGAACTTCGAGCATAGGAGTATGGCGTTCTCAAGCGTTACATTCTCAACTGTTACATGATTTGCGATGCAACATCCCAATCAGAATCGACACGACCAAGTTGCTTCGCATGACAAATTCCCGAAGGGACAAACAGGATCAGAATCTGCGCCAAATCTGTCACGCAAAAGGCGCAATCTTCCCCCTTTCATCAGTTTTGCCATTCTTGCATCACAAATTCATGTAACAGTTGAGAATGTAACGTTTGAGAACGCCATAAGGAGTCCCTCACTCTTCCGCTGAAACGTCGGACGCGCACGCTCTGTGGCGCTACTATGTTGCTGGTTCTTCCTAGAAGTCGCTTCCGTCGTGTGTGTCGTCTCCGTCTCTACGCGAGAAAAACCATAATTGCCAAAACCAGGTGGCGGCTGCGCGACGTGCGACTGGTGTTTCTCCTGCGCTGACAAGCCGTCGTCTTCGGCCTGAACGGCTGTTGAGCTCCAATGCGGCAAAAAATGGTTCTGAAACTCGATGTTGCTTGCGTAGCATGTGGTGTATTCTCGATACTTCTGGTGCGCCCAAAACGACGGCTTTGAAAAAGAGGTGGCATGTTGCCCGCCGGTCCTCGTGGGCATGATAGCTCCGTTTCCGTTTGTTTTACTTTTACCTGCAGTGGAAATGAATCCAGTTCCAGCATCTGCTGCACAAGAAGTCGATGCGCTAGCGCTAGTATCATGTACAGGGCAAGATGAGTGAAGGGCGACACCGTTGTAATGAGTAGCTTCAGGCGCCGTCACAGGCCGTGTCGTGGTGAACGATTGCACTGGTCCTGGTGCTTGTTCTCTTCCCACTGCAGTGAGTTGTACTTGCTGTTCTCTTTTCGTGCGAATGTCGTGATTCAGCTGGATAAAGTTCTTCTCCTGGTCTATCAAATGCAAAAGTGTCTGGGTCTGGAAGAATACAAGATTTGTCATGCATATTTCTCATGAAGCATGATGCCTGTAATGCTTGGCCTAGCATCGCAGACTTTTAGAGGGCTTCCTGATGGACCTCCCGCATGAGAAACAAGGTCCGAGCACGGGGACAGAGTCCCCGTGCGGCGACCTTCCGGCATTTGTCTGCGCGGTGACACTGGGCAGGCAGGTCGCCTGCAGCTAGTGCTAGGTATTTCGGTGCGCCTTGCATTCCCTGACCCGCGACGGGCCTGCGGACGCGGCTCCCCTGCTTGCGCGCACTAGATTCATTAGCCTGCCGCGCGCAAAGATAAAAGAAAAGAAGAAACTGGCGCCGGGCCTGGAGCCGGCCCCGCCCCAGGTCATGACGCGGCGACAGAGCCCCACACCGCCCTAGGGCTTTTCTATCTTCGTCCCGCCCTTCCTTGGCCGCGCGGTGTGGTGTCAGTCCGGGGAGTGTTCGTAGCTAGCCCCTAGGCCATGACGCGGGGACCGAGTCCCCGCGCTGGCCTAGGGCTTTCGCCCCTTGGCCGCGCGGTGTCCGGGAAGCGCCCCCAGCTGGCCCCTCGGCCATGACGCGGGGACCGAGTCCCCGCGCTGGCCTCGGGCTTTCGCCCCTTGGGCGCACGGTGTCCGGGGAGCGCTCAAGGCTGGCCCCTAGGCCATGACGCGGGGACCGAGTCCCCGCGCTGGCCTAGGGCTTTCGCTTCTACCTTGGCCACACGGTGTCCGGGAAACGCCCACACCTGGCCCCTAGGCCATGACACGGGGACCGAGTCCCCATGCTGGCCTAGGGCTTTCGTCCCTATCTTGGCCACACGGTGTCCGGGAAACGCCCACACCTGGCCCCTAGGCCATGACACGGGGACCGGGTCCCCATGCTGGCCTAGGGCTTTCGTCCCTTGGCCACGCGGCTTCCGGGAAGCGCCCCCAGCTGGCCCCTAGGCCATGACGCGGGGACCGAGTCCCCGCGCTGGCCTAGGGCTTTCGCCCCTTGGTCGCCGGCTGCCCCGGAGGCGCTCAAAGCTGGCCCCTAGGCCATGGCGCGGGGACAGAGTCCCGGCGCTGGCCTAGGGCTTTCGCCCCTTGGCCGCACGGTGTCCGGGAAGCGCTCACCGCTGGCCCCTAGGCCATGATTGACGCGGGGGCCGAGTCCCCGCGCTGGCCTAGGGCTTTCGCCCCTTGGCCGCACGCTGTCCGGGAAGCGCCCAGAACTGAACCCTAGGCCATGACCCGGGGACCGGGCCCCCGCGCTGGCCCAAGGCTTTCGCCCCTTGGCCGCACGGTGTCCGGGAAACGCTCCCAGCTGGCCCCTAGGCCATGACGCGGGGACCGAGTCCCCGCGCTGGCCTAGGGCTTTCGCCCCTTGGCCGCAAGGTGTCCGGGAAGCGCTCACGGCTGGCCCCTAGGCCATGACGCGGGGACTCCCTAGGCCATGACGCGGGGACCGAGTCCCCGCGCTGGCCTAGGGCTTTCGTCCCTTGGCCACACGGTGTCCGGGAAGCACTCACAGCTGGCCCCTAGGCCAACACGACGCGGGGACCGAGTCCCCGCGCTGGCCTAGGGCTTTCGCCCCTTGGCCGCACGGTGTCCGGGAAAGGAAACGCCCACAGTTGGCCCCTAGGCCATGACGCGGGGACCGAGTCCCCGCGCTGGCCTAGGGCTTTCGCCCCTTGGCCGCGCGGTGTCCGGAAAGCGCTCCCAGCTGGCCCCTAGGGCATGACGCGGGGACAGAGTCCCCGCGCTGCCCTAGGGCTTTCGCCCCTTGGCCGCACGGTCTCGCGTGACAGACTGGACCTCGGGTCAACCCTCACATGACAAAATCCGAAAGTTTGTCCGGGGTGTGTCAAAAATTCTGTCCGGGGTGTGTCCGAAAGTCTGCCCGGGGTATGTCCGGGGTGTGTCTGGGGTGTGTTCGGACTTTTTGCCTGGGGTATGTTCGGGGGTCTGTCTGGGGTGTGTCTGGGGTGTGTCTGGGGTATGTCTGGGGTATGTTTATACCCCACCTGTTGGTTTTTCGGCAAAAAATTGTAGTCCGCCCGTGATTGAGGAGCATTTGCATACCCCTGACACACCCCCGAACATACCCCCGAACATACCCCTCGCATGCATTTTTTACCAGCTGCTGCAGTTTAGATAGTAATGGCCCGTCGGTGTAGCAAAAACTGCGCCCCTCTTGCTGGTCATGCAAGACAAATTTTTTTAGGGTCCAAAAACAGCATGACAAGTTCCCATTCTTCCAGACCCAGACATTTTTGCAATCCATATGGTCAGTAAGAAAACAATCTGCGCCACGGGATTCTTGAGTGGCGTCTTCTCCCAGTCCTCGTCCTGGCGCATGTGGCCGCGGCAGGTCGTTGTGCAAATGCTGAAGCGCGGGCACGGCCGGCGCGCCGTACTGGCGTCCTTCGCTGCGACGAGCCGTAGTGGAAGATAAGTCGTCAGAGCAGGGGGGCATCATCAAAGTCATGCTTGTTTTTTGCCCACACTGAGAAGTGCTCGACTGGAAACAAGAAGTCTCCGGTTCAGTGGTCGCCTCCTCTAGAACAGGAGAAGCGAGCTCTTGCTCCAGCGCATCCACTTCCGTGCGCCCTTCGTTCAACCCGGGTCCTCCCACAGCAACCGGCTCCTGATGATCCAACAGCAACAAATTTTTCAAAAATGCGGTAGCTTGTGGATCTGCGTGCTGTTCCTTTCGCAACAGGCCGGAAGCTGAAAACGTCGTCGAGGAGGACAGAGTGGTACCAGCAGCATTTAGCTTCACCGTGTTTGCCTTAGGCGTTTCGTCCTGTTGTGAATTTTTCAGAGTACTAGTACTTACAATTTTTGCGCCGCCCCGTGGAGGTCCACCGGAATTCGCATTTTTAGCGAGATATTCTTGTTCATCCATTGCACAGGATAAACTTCCGTTGGAACGGACCGGGTTTGCTTCCGGAGCCACTACGGTAGCGGAAACTGGTCGTCTCGCAGCAGCAGCAAAAGCATCTGGCTGTGGTATTTTCATAATCTGCTGCTTGTATTCGTGTTCCTCCACGTCCTCCACCTTGCGCCTGCCGTTGACATTTTCCATCTTCAGCGATGGCACATCAATGCCAGGACGAGTCGTGATCGTACGATGTTGCAGGGGCTGCGCTTGAGCAGACAGTTTTGTAGTTTCTCTTTGTTGATGCTGCTCATCAGTGGCATCGGCGCCAGCAGATGCTGCAGCAGTGGAGACGACAAAGTTATAGTTGCGGTCCTCGTAGAGGTCGTTCTTGTTCGCGAAGACCTCTCTGTGGACGGCCACGTCAGCCGGGGTACTGCCGCGCCAACCGCCCGCACTGTCGAATTCGAAATCTCGGGCGCTTGCGTTAATTGTCACGCCGTAGTGGTTGTTCAACATATTATTTCCATTGCCTCCTTGTTTAGAAGACGACATCCTCGCTCCCGTCCCTACTGGTCCACCTGCTGTATTGGTTGCACTATCGCCATAAGCTGCAAATAGTGCGAGAAGGTCCTCAGGAATTCCGTCAACATCGTGGTGGTCGGCGGCGACCGAGGTCTTGCTACTACAGGTCGTCATCGTCGTAGTGCCATTACTTGACGAGGCACTGCAGCTATTCTTCATCAATGTCTCATCTGCATGTTGGTCGAAGGCATCGCTGGCAGTAGGAACAATATCTTCGTGCTGCTTCTGCAGTTGTTTCTTCCCCCCGTCCTCATGAAACGCTCTTCCGACGGCGGCAGCCGGTTCAGGTTCGCGGTCGTTTGATGACGTTGACCTAATCGGTGTATGTTTGCTGGTGAGCAGGCCTACGCTCGCTTTGCGGACATACTCGACGTGCACGCTCACGTTTTCAGCGACTGGAGAACATTGGCTTGACGCGTCGCGACTTACTACAAAGTCTGGGAACGAGGGCACGCGTTGCTGTGGCTCGTCATCCGTCGCGGTCAAAAGACTCTGCTCTGTCGTGACATTAATAATGTGGTTCGACGCAGGAGGAGGCTCAGTCGGCAGTAAATGGTCGTCAGTAAGAACTTCCTGGTGTAAGAATGGAGTCGGAAGAACAAATGAGGAGGTAGAGCAGGATGGGCGCCCGTCCATTGCACTTTTAAGGTCGACGGCCGTCGTGCTGTCGTGCTGCGCCGGGTCTTGTCCCTGGTGCACCCGGCCGTGCACTTGCGCCTGAGTCGCGGTGGTGCTGATCATGCCCGTGATCCCAGCAGGTACTACCGTGCCTCCTAGTATACCAGCTCCGGTGGTTTTTAAGCCGTGGCTCACCGCCTTGGGAGGTGCTGGCATTGTAGTCACAACTTCTACGGGAGTTGTCGAATTACTGTGCTGCTGGGCCGCTCCCTGCTGGTAGTAGCCAGCGTCATCAAAGTAGCCTTCTAGAAAAAATTCGACTGTTTCGGCGAGATTGTAGTTTTGCTCGTTGGTAACTGGGTTTTGCAGTACGGTTTCTAGGTTCTCCTGCGTCCTCGAGTGGATCTTTTGCTCTACTTCGAAGTCAGAGCCTCTATGCCGCGCCGGAGAAGGAGGGCAACGTTTGTAAAAATCGCACACACCACCCGGCGGTTTCGACACGGGCGTTAGCGTCAATGCTTCAGCTGATCCGCCTTGCCTGCCGTTATTCGGTCCTAGGTTCTGGTTGTGCGGTATGTGCTGGTCCACGACCGCGATACCTCCTTGTTCGCGTGTATCGCTGGAAATTTGATGTCTTGCTCTGGAAAGTTGTGAAGCTGCTGAGCCGCTCTGTCACGCGAAGCCACCGCCCCTGATGGCCATGACAGGCCATTACTTTCGAGCTGCATATAGCCGTGCATTCCGCATATCATCATCATGTAGTGGACACCCGCTCCCAGCGCCACAGGTCAAGGATCCCCTCCCCGGGGGGTGGGCGAGGAAGCACTTTCGGCGACCTCATCATACAAAAGCCGAGCGCTACCACGGCAAGTCGCCGCATATGTATGGCGTGGGCGAACTGACTTTTTGCATGACAGACAGGAGGATCTTTTTGCGCCTTTGCATTTTCCAAGACCACAGACAAGCATCGCATGACGAACCTTGCAATGTTCCAGACCCAGAGTACTAGACATCATGTTAGTTTGCAATGTATAGCGTGGCGATTGCAAGTACATCGGGGAAATTTCTAAAGAACCGCAGCGGCCAATCTCATCGATGAGGGAAGTGGGCGAAAACGCCATCTGTTGGTAGGAGTTGCAGGAGAACAGGACTTGTCCACCGGAAACCTGTTGGTACGAGCCGCTTGTTGTATTCAGGAGGCAGCTGTGATTGAAGTTGAACGGGGATGTATCCAGGAAAAAAGTGTTCTTCCATCCAGTTCCACATTTTCCTTTCGCAGATTTTTCAGCAAGAACATTTAATACAGGTCAAGTGGTCCTCTCCTGCAGGACCAGGACCACAAGAAAACTTTGCAACGCGGAATAAAACACGCGTGGAACGAGATAACTCCCAGGCATAATTGGGGGGCATGATAGAGGTTGTCCGTCTTGCTTCTCTATGGTTGTCAGTCCTGCGACATCACGCATTGTCTGTGCAAACTGTAAATGCAAAAACATTTTTCCTCGCTTAGGACAGCTGAAACTGCGGCGCGAGAGCTGCATGTGTGTCGCCAGTTATGGAGGTGGTCCACGACGTGCCGCACTGAGCGGCGCCTGATCCCCTGTGGGGCGGCTCTTGCTGATGTTCGTGTCGCGCACCATAAATGCACAGCGCACTATTTTCCACAGTAGCGCTGGATGTCGAAGCTTCTGCGGCAGTGCCTCGGCAAGACTGCGCGGTCATCTGGTGCCCCCGGGAAACCATTTTAATATTCGGGGGCCCTGGCTGTATGTCCCCAGTAGTTCTTGCAGCAGCAGTTGCGATGTCAGTACCTACATTCGCAGCGGGCACCATCTTCTGGTGGTGATGGTGTTGCGCGCTGCAAGAAATTCCGCCGACGGTCGCGGCCACGACAGCTGCGCCAGAAGTAGACGGGTAGTAGGGGTAAGTCGCACTATAAGTGGGTTGTGCTACCACAGGTGTAGTTCCGCCACCGTCAGCAAGAGATAGGCCATCATAGGCTTGGGTCTCATGCGGCCGCGCTCCTACCCCGCCCAGTGGCGCCGGAACCGGCGGCACAACCAGGGCGCCGGCTGCTGCAAAGTCTTGATTCGAGGGTTGCCGTTGCCCGCACGGCAATGGCAAGAGAGCCTCTCCATTTTCAGACAAATAGGCCTGGCACTGCGCGGTTGACGTCGGTGATGCTGTCATCAATGCAATATGATCCACGGGTCGCCGTGGCCGACCGCTTTCCTGATGGTGCTCCCGACTGCAGCTCGCAGGAAAAGAAGTGGCAATCCTTCTACTATCCGCTACCGCGCCCTCGACCGCGTCGAAAAATGCTACCGCAGGGGGCGAATTTGGGTAGTTTGATGCTCGGTTGTGATTTCTGCCCTGCAAACAAGCGGGGGTCAGTCCTGGCGGAGGGCCGTCAAAGGAGGTGGTGGACACGATCCAAGAGGACGACTGGCCGGGATCGTAGTGCAAGTGGTGTCGTTGCTGATCCCCCGCCAACTGTGTCCCCGTGTAGGAGGATCGCATGATATGAGAATAAAGAAAACGACCCTCCCTAACCCTTCCCTTCCATACCCAACGGGAGACTAAGATTTGCTTTCGCACTGACACTGCAGAAGCAAATCACTTTTGCTGTCCGGGGCGTCGTACATCAATTCGTGTGGAACAGAAACGCGCGCCAGCATCTTTCTCGACGCACAGCTGGGTTGGCACGAGTAGAAGCCAACTCAGCTTCACAACTGCTGGCGGAACAAAGCACGCATGTAAGATGCTGGAGTCATGCAATTCAGCATGCATCTACGATGGATAAAGATAGTCACTCATCGAACTCTCGAGCATAACTGGAATGACAATGATCGGGGATACGACAATGATCGGGGATTGGCCCTTTTCCTCATGATATGGATCGTTCGCCGAAAGACTATGAGAAATAGTGCCGACGTCGCGCGGTCCAACTGAGCCACGATAACTTCCATGCAACTCATTGGGAGGACGAGCGAAAGACGATGAAGAAGAACTTCTGCACGTCGACACAGCCAGGCGAGCAAGCATTCGCTCGGCGTTGATGGGACAGAATGAGCTCGCACTCCCCTCAGCGCAAGAATATGGTGAATGAGAATGACTAGACACAGGAACTACCCGGGAATTCGCTGATGGTGACGAGGAGGAGGAGCCAGCACCTAAGCCGGGGGTGCCGTAGTACCGCTGCGTCGTATGCGTTTCAATACAACCCATAGTACGATCAGCAATTTCATCTCTTGGTCGTTGCGGATGAACGGTTCTGCTAGAGGCATCAAAGTGATCGTCTTGGCGAGCTTGAGAAGGAACTTTCTGCTGGTTCATCCCTGGAGGTGCAGCTCCCTTCGCTCGCCGCGGGGGACTTTTAGGGTTTACGTCGTCGAAGTCTAACCCGGGAGGAAACTGGAGGGCGTTGTGTTCACCAGGAGGCTGGGAAAGTCCACTGCCACTCTGCAGAACAAAACGCTGTCCTGATGCTATTGTTGTTGGTGCTGGCTGCTCGTCGGCTGCACAACGGTCGAAGTAGTCTGGAGGTTCCTGATGGTTTTGGTTATCGATGAAAGCTGCATTTCGACCAACATGGTGTGCTGTGCAGGGTTCCCTTGTGTCTGCGGACATCATCAACGCGACTCCCTCAGCTGCTCCACTCGGATGGCCATAGGTGACAGCTGGCGAGAAGTACACTCCTGATGTAGATCCGGCGTCAGCGAGGCCACGGCTCGTTCTTTCCGTCGTCCTTTGTGCTCCTCCTGTGTTACTACTATGTCCACCGCCCAGAAACCGTTCTGGTGTTCGGTGTTGAGGTTGCGCCGGTCCGCTCGATGCCGATGCGGTGAGGTACCGAACCCCGTAAACCATCGCAGGCGTTCGCGTTTGTGGCAGTCGAGATGAATTGAGTTTCATTCCATTCACTCCTAACGGTTTTATGCCCGCGCCGGCATGGCGTGCGGCGGGAGCGACTCTGTTAGTCGTGTCGTGAAAGCTACTGCACATTGCGGTTGTACAGAAGTGGTTCCCGCAGGAGTTTGCACTTGCCTCGACCTTCACCCGCGTGCCGTCTGGTAGCTTCTCCTGCGCGGAGGAGTGCAGTTGCTGCAGATTCCACCGCAGAACGACGTTGTCGTACGACGCCGAATACAGGTACCGTCCGTCCTTCGACAAGATCAAGGAACTGATCTGGTCGCGGTGCGCTCGGAGTGTGAGCAATTTCGACGCACTTGCTGTGGTTGCAGAACCAGAAGAAGACACGGAGGGTGGACTGGCGCGCCTCGCCTTCTCATTCTGAGCGGAAAACTTCTCCGTCGCTCGGGCTCTCGGGTCAATATTATCCTCTTTGCTTGTCGTTGTCCCCGACCCCGCCTGAGGATCACATGAAGAGGAAGCACTTGGCGGCGACGGGACTCCAGCGGTGGCCCTGCTCGAATTAGTAGGTGCGTCTTCTTGCGAGGAACTTGTTCCCCGGTCATCCCACACGCAGATAGTGCCATCGCGGTCCCCTGTGAACAGAAACTGGCCACAACGGCTGGCTGCCACGCAGGTGGCGTTGGCGTGGGGAAAGAACTGTGCCGCCATTCTTGAAGTTGGTGCTGGAGGCACGACTTCTTGCTCTACCTCGGTTCTCTCCTCGTCGCCGCGTGCTTTTGTGGGCGCAATTGTACTTCGATCACTGCGGTCGTGGCTGGATAAACTTGCGGCTCCCTCGTGGTTCGGAGGCGGTTCTTGTAGATCCTTCGCGGAAGTCATGTTCTTGTTGTGGTCTCGCGTCCACGAGTAGACACCTTCCCGATTCGCGAGAAAAAGACGGTGGCAGCTCGAGAATCGCATATGCAGTGTGGGATTCTGTTCGTTCAGGGACAACCGGAAGGAACTTGCAGAGCAAATGGGACCACTGGAGCTGCTGGCCGCATCGTCCCTTTGCTCATTGTCGACGCAGCAATCGCCCGTCGTAGCTGTGGTTGCCTTGCTGCTACAGCTGTTGAGAAGACCTATCCCAAGGGTCGACTTGGTGGCCGAGCGAGAAGCGCTCGACTCGGCGTGTGAGGCTGCAGCAGCTGCATTTTGCGGTCGAGGAAGGGAGCTGTGAAAGAATTCGATGCGCCTCCAAGACAGGCGTGGAAAATCAACGGCCGTCAGCACTTTCTCGGCTGCTAGAAAGTTGGCCAGAAAAATCTGCAGATCTTCCTTGCCAATCTTCTTGGAAATGCGGACGCCCAGTTGCGTCCCTTCTGGAAGTACTACGGTCATGAAAACCGTCTCCTTGCGCTCTTCAATTTCTATGCCAGAGAAACGTGAGCACGAGCAGCAAGAACGATCTATGTTTCGTTCCAGCAACATCTTTGCACGACATTGTACTGTCAATGTTAGTGCCAGGCGTACTTTTGCGTACTGTTAAATTACTCCAAATCCAAAATCGAATGTCCACTGCTGATGAAAGGCATGATCAATCCAATGAATATATTCAATGAATATACAAGAAAAAGCGTAAGAATCGAGGCACATTTCTCCTTGGTAATTTTCGCGCTTTCGGCAATCAGAGAGGAGATAATTGCGGCGTCCGCTTTCTCCTGGTCCGTCGTACGGTTACCACTTGACGGGGCGGAGCATAGTGCGTTGCCTTGATGGTGGTAAAAATTCTTGCTTCCCGAACCTCCCGTTCCTGCTCGAAAGCCGCATTTCTTACTGCTACCTCCGATCATCGTCTTTGATGGTTGCGGTTGACTGGCCATATTAAAGGCGCTGCCAGCAAGTTGCGCGCTCGATGACAGATGTTTTTGATGCAATGTCGTGCTGCCGTTGCTTTGTGTTGTCGCATAACGTCCTTGCTGCTGGGGCGAAGTCAAATAGCCGCGTCCTCCAGCGCCACCGTGCCTGGATGAAAAGGTCGCTGTTGTGCTCTTTCCACTGTTCTCGTATGTCTTTTGTGATGAAGCACTTCCCGCACCACCGCGAGGGCTGCTCGGCGGGGGGAAACCAACAGCTGCAGTCGATGCTGCAGCTTCATCCCTGCCGATTTTTCGCATCTCAATCTCCCTTTGGTCCTTATACGTTGTGGCAGTTGTACCACTACCCACGAGGGGCTGGTCCCTTTCTTGTACTACAGGAAAGCTCATTTTCGCATCTACACCATGGCCCAGCGCCGGCTCTGCACATTGTCTGGTCACTTTGGTATAATGCCGACGTGCGGAACTGCCACCCGAAAACTTGTCGTTGGTAGAGCGGTAGTCCTCTTGTTTCCTTGTGTCCCTGGATGACTTCCTGGTGTAATGATTGAAGTAACTGTAATGGGACCTCTTGTTGTGCATGTGCTTCGGTTCCTCGTAGTGGCCAAGGTTTTTAGCAGAACATGAACCCGCGGCAGATCCTCTTGCAGAGGAAAGAGTTGCAGACGCAGCATTCTGCGCTGGTTCTGCACCAACCACTTTCCCTCCAGAACTTCCGAGGTGCTCCGGTTGCTGCTGCATGCTCGTCCTGTGCAAAAGTCTAAGTTGTGGTTGTCTCACACCCAGCACACAACTCGTACAAATTTCCGCGCACAAAAATGACGACTACTCCCTTTGAACAAGAATACTGCTGCATCATCTTTAAAACTTTATCGTACTCGAATGTTCTTGATCTTCGGCACTGTACACCATCCCGCAAGCAAGTAGTGCTGTAGTTGCTGGAGTGCGAGGGTACTTTTACTTTAGCCTTGCAACGCATACTGTGTTGGTGATGTCTATTCAAACCGCTTCCCCGCCCTCCATGCTGTCTACCTCTGCCGGTGCTGGAGCGAGACGTTTATCGTGAAAAACTGAAAAAATGTCCCCTTCCTGTTTCTGCTGCTGTAGGTGCGTCTGCGTCGTCAATGACAACTTGTATTAACTCCCGATTTATTACGATAATCTAATTGCGCAAAGGAACAAACGGGAGGCAGAGGCACGATGGCGATCTATATTTATGTATGTGAAACATTGTCACGAATTTCATCCGTGGCACGTGCGACACTATAGCCGAGGCTTCTGCCATGCTCGACAGCTAGAAGATGGCTACCCAGCCAAAAGGTTCAGGATGTTCCTGCAATTCCTCTTCCTCTTCGCACGAGGGAATAGAATACACACTCACACCAAGTAGTCCAGCGTGACAAATCCAAACTGAAGTCGCGGAAATTTTTTTTTCTCCATGGTAACGACCCAACGCTTTCTGGCGTGCCGTGGATAGCTGCTTTACTTTTCCAATTATCCAATGCAACTACACGAGCATCAACAATAGCACTACGCCGCGCTTGGTGTTGTCTTTCCTTGTCCGCTGCACAATCAACACATGCAAGAGGAAAGACGGAGTAAGTAAATCTTCCGGCACAAGAACACCGGTATAGTAGCGAGGTATAGCGGTAGCGGAAAACTACTAAGAACAGGAGTGCGGTTCGGAGTGATGTCGAAAAACGTGTGTCACGCGTCCGATAAACGGCTGCTAATCGTGCGCGATGCGGAGGGTAGAAGTGGCTTTCTTCCTGTGGTTGGTTTCGTATTTATCGATGATGATGTTGGCAGTGTGCCCTTTAGCGGACTGCTGCGTGCTACTCCCTCCTCCAGCCCGAGAGCAGCTGAGCGCCGATCTTCTATGACGAACAGTTGATCTACACCATAAGGGCGCGGCTGTTATGAGGCTAGGTTTTTTCGGACTTGGGTGTGGGCCACACACTCGCACACGTCGTTCGGGGGGGACCAAACCCGCACACACTGTAGCATTTCTGCATGGGTGTAGGGCGAATCTGATTATCTTCTAGCACCTATAAATACCAATGTTGATGATGAACACTGCTACGTGTTGCCGTATTTCCAGACCCTTGCGTAGTTCCCTTTGAGCAGCAAGAAACAAATTATACCTTTACCTACAACTCCACAAGGAAATAAATCAACAAGAAGTTTCTACATTGGCATGGTCCACATGGCCAGCAGGTCCTCCGTAGTTATACGCTGCTATCAAGGTGAAAAACAAACAAGCCCCAACCCCATGCCCATAGTTACATGCAAAGAAAGGGGTATAAGATTACTATTGGCCAGCCACGACAGATCAAGTCGTCAGTTTAGAAGCGACGAGATGCGAACCGTAGTGCTGTCTGGGCTGTAAAGGCGTTGCGAGTTCATCATGACACGAAAGAACTGCCCGGAATGGCATGACAAGAAATTGCCTGCGAACCAGTTTCATGTGGTCTCCTTGACTTCTGGCGGTGCAAGCGAATTGGAGTACACGAATCAGTAGCTATGCTAAAAAATCTCCCCTGAGAGTTGGGTGGACGGATTTTTCCTCAGGATAGCGGCACTGCAAGGCGCAGCACAGCTGGCCGTATCCGCTGCTCCCACTTTAGTAGCAGTTGGCTTAGGTGGAGCATGACTAGCGTACTGCTGTAGCTGAGAACTGCTTTTGTGCGCAAAAGTACTACTATGCTGTTCGTGCGCGCCGGGTCCGGTTCGTCATCAAAGGAAAGTAGCGCAGTCGTGTGTTAGTGGCAGTTCATCTTGCTTGTTAATATCCACGGCACTATCGACGCATATTCGTGAACGACGCCATTGAAAGGTGAAGTGATAATGATAACGATAACCATGCAAGGAAAAACTAAAACAGGGTAGTTACTTTGTTTTATATTATCATGTTCATGGCGACGTTTCATCGCCATCGGCAGCAATCGAAGTGGGCAAGACAGCAGGAAGTTCTTTTTTGTAGGCACTGATGCACGTACACGTACTCCTACTCGATCACCGGGATACACCTTCTCCGCCGCCGCCTACCACGGATGCACCTCCTATCCTGAGTAAAAACGTACCCACACCAGAGTTGTAATGCAGATTTGCAAAGACAGGAAGACTTGTAATGCGCATCCCCATGAGAGCCATTTCCAGTCGTGTTTTGGAATTTGTGATGCTGTGAACAGGATGAGCAGATGAATCTGTGATGCTGCTGCAAATGCTAACCTGCACTACACTGCAGAGTGCAACTTGTCATGCGTGACTCACAAAACTCCTAGGTTTGTGTTGCAAAATCCCCATCCTGACTCTGGTGTGGGTACGTTTTTACTCAGGATACCTCCTCGCCGCGAGGACGCCGTTGTTGAGGTGTTATCAACACGTTCACGTTCACGATTTCCAAGTGAATGACTAGATTGCCATCTGCTCCAAGAGTTCTTTGTCCTGCGCAAAGCTGTCATATGCGGTTACGCCCAAGAAACTTGTTCATTCGTAGTACTGATGACCTTTTTTTTTATCTATTTCTCGGTCAGAAGTAGAACTGCCAAGTGTTGGTTCTGCTCTTGAGAGTTGACGAAGACCAGTTTACAAAACCCGTTCATACAACAGTTGGACCGTACACGAATACGATAGCCAAGTGCTCAATGCATATCACTGTACCCATTGTGCCGATTTTGGAAATGCGAAGCTTCTTCGGGACACCGGCCAACGGTTGCGTCATACAACGACTGCCTTAGCTTGAGTCTTATGATATCGAAAAAGAGAAGTGGCCTCAGGAACTTGAAATTGAATACAAAGTGACAAAATAAATGCAAGAAAGAATATTGCAAGCTGGAGCTGCGTGTGGCAAGTGCAGGAATACTATATGTAGATATTTCGAGAACAAATACAAAATGCAAAATCGGACGACGCCAAAAGATCTTTTTACGATATCGCCGGCGTTCACGTTAGCCATTGCACCGACGCAAGTCCCCGTAGCCGTCGCGCTGCCGGCTGCTGCAGCCTCTGGATCCACCGAGCAGATCTGGTGGACTTCGTCCTCTCCCGTGTGGTCACTACCGCTCATTGTGCTAAGAACCGGTCCTATCGCTGCGTAACCGCTACAGGACTTCCAGGGTCGGGCGGAATAGCAGCAGCAAGGTCTTCCGAGGTTGACAGTGGCCCAAACTTGGATCTTGTAAAAAAATGCGATAGAAACAAGGATAACAATTACATTAAAAGTACATGCACTTCTGCACCGCCGCCTTACTGTATTTCTTTACGGGCGTGATCGATTGCGAAGCGAAAACACTGCCCAAGAGCAGTTTTACCACGCAACGCAAAGAACCATGGCCTAGAAATCAGATAAGACCCAAGCAGGACAAGACCTCCAACTCTCTACGCCCTTTGCAAGATCGTGGCATACGGACAAGTACGTCCAAGAACTCCGCTCGACTCTCAGAATGCAGATTTTATTCAGCAAGTACAGAAGAATCTGACATGCATAGTGAATTGGAAAATCGCTCACGTCCGTATCTGTAGAGCTGATGAAAAACAAAAAGCAATCGCTGTTCCTAGTGGCACTCAATCCTAGAAGAGCGTCTTCATACTTTTCTGCGCTCAGGGAATTCGAACATCAACTGTAGACGAGTAAAGATAATAGTAATACATATGGCTCTGTATCTGCGATCGTGGAGCTGCGTGGTATCTGTTATACATAGGTAAATTCCAACATGTTCGCGTAATCACCTTCACTTTGCAACTAAAAAATGGCGAGCGAGCACAGCTGCTGCCCCTGCTGAAGATGTCGATAATTGAAAAAATAATGCTGTATAAATCCAGTTACCAGTAGTAGCACTCTTCGTCTGGACGAGCCCGAGTCTCCTCCAAAGAAAAAAATCATCGAAGTAACATTTTTCTGCTGCAATTACTTCAGTCATGTATCCGCTAGACCGCAGCGTTTTTTAACAAACAACTCCAAGAACTCAGCATGAAAGAGATCAATGTTTCCCCCTTTATGTTCGGCTTTATTCCCTCTTTGCGGAACGCGGACGCCCGTGGCGCAGCCCCGAATACATAAGACGAAACACCTACTAGAGTGGTCGGCATAATTATATCCCTCTTTGCTTATGATCATACATAAGTAGTGGCTTGATGATTTCAGTATTTTTGCTGCTTCTAGGAGATCGCTTACTTTTTATTCCGTCCTGGAAGTAGAGCACCTTAATCCCTACCAGTCGGACCTTGAGTTGTTTGCTTTCGGGGCAATTTTTGTTTGCGCTTCAGTGGGAGTGTTGTGTTATTATGCTATAATTCGTGCGACTCGCCGCTGCCAATTAAATCGATGCCTTCACCTGCCACAACCCCATGACACCACCACCTCCAGCAAACAAAGTTTAAGTTACTGTTTAGTAAAATATTTTCAGCTTTGGTGTGTGGAAGAGGCCATAGAGCCGAGCCGGAGCCTTTCTTCTTCAAACGACGTCTACACGAGTCATCCAATTTCATGGACGAGCCTCTATTTATGGGGGATCCTGAAGATGCTTTACTCGTTGGCGGTTTTTCATCTACACATCTACATGATCATGGAAGAGTCAAACCGTGCATAAGCAAGGAAAAGTTCTTACACTATACATGAGACTGCACAGCCATTCTTCGTAACTTACTTCTACGCGAGGCGCCCCAAGAAAATACAATGGGTAGCACAAGAAATCATGAAAGTGTTTGCAGATCCCCGCACTAGTACTAAGTGCGCGCTACGAACGTCCGTGCTGTAGTTCGTTACTCCACTTTTTTTCCTGGAAGAGAGCGAAATTTTCGACGAGAGTCTAGCTCCGGGGCTGATGTTGCCCATGCCATTACGAAAGGGAAAGGCAAAAAGTAAGAAAAACGTAAGCAATAGGCCGCGAAAAGTAGGAGCTTCTTTCAGTAAAAAAAACAAATAAAAAGAATCTTTGCGGCAAGTTTTTTGGTTTTTGCCCTCTTTCTTCAAAGTCTGCTAGGTGGAGTGACATCGTCCTTCTTTCGAGTCCACCCAGATGAAGTTTTCCTATGTATGAAAATACTTACATACTTTAGTCTGCTTCTTGTCTTTGTTTTACTGAGTTACATGATTTGATTTTTCGCCCGATCGCGGAGTGCTGGAAAATGAGCAAATCGAGCGATATCGCAATCGTCGGACACAGCTGACCCAGATTCGGCACAATCGACGAGGCACCTGAAGAACGAAGTCAATACTGAGCCCAGCTTTAGTCCATCACGGTAAATTAATAGATTCGCGTCCGCCCGCGCGCGCTTTCAGATGGCTGACATGTGGAGGTAACTCCGCAAGAGGCGATCGGTGGGTGTGGTGGCCGAGTCGGACGTGATCTTCTTATCCGCCCGAAATTCTTTCATGGTGTTGGTGATACCCTTTGCTAGCACTTTTCCGAGCTCCACGCCGTACTGTAAAATATATTCAAGACAAGAAATTTATACAACGTAAAGAACGCTGTATTGGAGGCACTGCGCCGGCCATAAAAAAATATCTTCTTTTTCATGTATACTAGAACCAAATCAAGGCGTAACTTCATCAGGTGGTGTTCGTTTTTTGGCGGAAGGAAAACTAGAATGAAAGGCGGTCGTTGCCTTTTTTTGCAATGATATACTAATCACATATCAGGTATGAGTAAAAACAAATACCTGATCGAAGCTGTTGATCCCCCACAACCAGCCTTGCACCGCGGTCCGGTGTTCATACAAGGCCAGCAGAAGACCCACCGTGCGGGCGTCGCACTTGCCATCGAAGAGCAGCATGAGGGAGGGACGGTCCCCGGGGAAGGTCTTGTGCGCGACGAGCTCGGGCTTCAGTTGCGGGTCGCCCTTTTGCACTTCTTCGGCCGATCGCCCCAGCGCGAGCGCGTTCGGTTGCGCGAAAAAGTTGGCCATCAGCTCGTCGTGGTTGGACAGTGCCCGGTCTTGGTGGTGCACGGCGTTTTGCGACTCCGTGAAGCCGATGAATTCTGCGGGGATCACGCTGGTACCCTGGTGGAGCAGCTGGTAGAACGAGTGCTGGGCGTTGGTCCCCGGCTCGCCAAAGTAGGTAGCGCCCGTTTGCAAGTCCACGGGCTCGCTCTTCGGGACAACCGTTACCCTTTTACCGTTCGACTCCATGTCCAGCTGCTGAATGTGGGCGGTGCATTATCGACGCGTGTCAACACACGACCAACTCCTCGTACGGGCGGGTGACAGCTGCACCCGCAAAAACATGATTGCAGATTGCATCTCATTTGATCATTGAAAACTTTTCGTTCAAGTCCTGCACTTACTGCAGATGAAACTGCAGTTTTCAATATGCACAAAATGAAGATTTTGCCGTTTGTGAGCGCGAATGTAGACCACGATGTGGTTCTCGATATTACTAGAATTGACTCCCCCTGCTACGAACGTGGTCACCATGTACATTTAGTGTTCATCCGGACTTAAGTATTCGTATTTATTGAAGCAATAAATCATGGCACAGAAGAGACTTTCTGGATCGCTCGTACGGGAAAGGCAGTTGTGCGCGGCCGCGCGACACGGATGGCGTGTGATAAGAAGCGGTGCAGCGCCTGGCAGTACGGCAGAATTGCGCAGCTCTCAAGGTCCAAAAAACTCCGGTTCCAGAACTGGACTAGACCCATCAGTACCGGGAGGTTCTCCGGGAGTGGCGCGGAAAAAAAGTGCTCGTCCATTTCGTTCGCACCCGCCAGAAAGGCGTCCACAATGCTGGGGCCGAACTGCAAGGAGAGCGGGAGGAGCCCGACCGCGCTGCACACCGAGAACCGTCCCCCCACCCAGTCCCAGAAGTCGAAGGTCTTGGTGATCCCGAACTGCTTGGTCAGCACCTTGTATCGTACGAAAAAAGTGTTTCACTGTAACGATGTTGCAAGTTCTGCATCACAGAGAAAATTTGCCATGCGAGATTCCTAAGGGAAAACACAACTAAAAATCCATGGTCTTGTATGTGTAGCAAGACAAATACATGTGAGATACATTTTCTGCATGACAAGTTTACAGTGAAACAGTTTTTTCTTGCGATACCTTGTTCGTGGAGACCGCGACCACGTGGGTGGAGACGATGTCGTCGCGCGACACGTTGTATGGATTGCAAAAGTGTCTGGGTCTGGAAGGTTGGAACTTGTAATGCTAGCTTTCCATACATAGAAAATCTGTATTGCATAACCAACAAAAGGCGCAGCCTCCTTTGTACAGGCAAAAACGCAATTTCTCATGCGGATTGCCTATGAGAAAGCGTTCTGGAAAGTTGTCATGCTTGGTTGCATTCGAAACTGTTTCCATCATCCACATTTTAGCATCACAAGTTTCCAGACCCAGACATATAATTTGCATTTGATACGTTGCCGGGCACCTTCTGGCGCAGTTTTTCGAGCAACCACGCGTTCACGACGGACTCCGCGTTCAAGATGGTCTCCGCGGTCGTGAAGGTTTTGCTGCAGATCACCACCAGTGTGGTCTCCGGGTCGAGGCCCGCGGTGGCGCGCTTGATGTCGATGGGGTCCACGTTGGCGAGGAACTGCGTCCGGCGGTTGCGGCCGGCCGCGGCCGCGTCGGGCTCCGTTTTCAACGCTTCCAGGACAAATTCCACCCCCAGGTAGCTACCCCCAATCCCGATGGAAAGCACGTCGGTCAAGGGTTTGCCCGTGATCCCCACCCACCGCCCGCTGCGGACCTCCTCGCTGAACTCCCGCACCTCGTTGCGAACCCGCAGCACCTCGTCCCGGACCTCGGCGGCGTAGAAATGTGCGGACGACGACTGCGGGTTCAGCCGCAGGGCGGAGTGCAGCACTTTGCGGTTCTCGGTCGGGTTCATCACTTCGCCAGAGACCATGCCCAGGATCTTCGTCTGCAGCTGACACTGTTCTGTCGCGTACTGCAGTAGTTTCTGCAGGATGGGCACGTCCACCTTCTGGCGCGTGAAGTCCGCGACGAGGCCCAAATTGCGGGGCGCGCCGCTGGAAGTGGGTTGGGCTGAGGCCCCAGCAGCTCCTCGCGCTCCTGTGCTTCGCTTTTTGCTGCTCGGGCTACTGCTGCTGGGGCTGTTTTTAACACTGTCAACCTCAACTGCGCTCTCTGGTGCCTGCGGTCCCTTATTTTGCGGAGAACGCTGGGTTATTATTTCTTTGGCTCCCAAAAAGTAAAAGTTGCTGCGGAACAGCACCTCATTTCGGTCAGAGTCTTCGAGCAGAGTGCGGAGGTGCTTCTTCTTGATGTTCGCTGCCAAGGCCCGAAGCTCACCAAGAATCTCGCTCCGGGAAGTACTCATTTTGATGTCCACTGGTGTTCCCTTCGTGGAAGCCACCGTCATCACTACAGCGGGTCTACAAGGACCTTGACGTGTAGACCACACGAACTATGGATTCAGCCGCAGGGAGAGGAATGTAGGGGGGAATGACACGACTTCTAGGTATTGCAAGTGCAATAAACAACTTAGGGAAGTATCACGAAAAAAAGTTGCAGGAACCAATGTGGAGTGGAGGTAGTCGAACAGCAACGTAGTTATTTTGATTGAGATTTCCGTGCTCACGCTCAGAGGACAGGAAATCACAAACTAGAAAATTGGAATTGATTCACAGTCAGGACGAATAAATAGATTATTATACACAGGGTGGCACTCAACCTTGATTTTTCCACGTCGAGATGGATTAGCAATCGTCAAACGTACATCTACTAAACCGAAACAGTACTACTGATAAACTCGTACTCGTCCGTCGCTGTAACTTACTTCTTATCTATGCAGGTAGGGTAGTCCAGGAAGAACTAAATAGACAATATGCAGCTGGGCAAGAATACCGAAAACGTGCCTGTCCTCGAAGTAGCTTTTTCTTTTGTTCCTGTTGGTTATGGTTGCTTGTCTCGGTTGTTTCGGGAAGATAGTGGTGCCTTCACACTAGGACTACTCGATGAGTTCATTTATCGCTTTCGTCCAGTGCATTTTACGAAACCTCGGATCCCGACGGTACAACTTCACATCAATGCTATCGTATGCCACAAACCCCAACGAGATCTCCTTTTGGTATTGGATTTGGCTGCTATCTTCCTACAACCCTAGCCGAGCGGTAACGGGACTTCTAGACTGACATTGGAGCCATTAGCATGCACATTTTCTCACCCTCGGAGACGCGATGCACAGGTAGAAATCATCGCAAAAAGTTTCGATGAGAGTTTCTGCTTTTCATTTTTTGATCCAGTCGCATTCTTTGAATTTTCAGCGCGCGGGGGGGTCGACGAAGTTGTCATGACCATCACATCTACTTGATGCCATCGACATGGTAACGGATCGGTATTACCGAACAGATGCGCGAACCTCGAGCGGCCGCGACTCCACATGGATGTGCTTGGCTCAACAGAAACAGCGTCTGACCGAAACAAAAGAAAAGAGGTACTTACAACATCAAGAGCAGCTACAGCTGAGTGATGCACCATCATCACGTAGTTCAAATATTTCCTTCATCAGCGTCATGTGGAAACTAGCCGATACTGTTCAAAACGGCACGAGTCCATCATGTTCAAATAGCGAATAACGGTAAAATAAGTACATCACAGGTCAGGAGATACACTGGAATCATGACTTCTTTCATCGTTACTTCATTTGGTGGCGAATGTTCATGGCCACGGAATTGCGAAGCTCTTCCGCCAGTTCCAGCGGTTTGGTAATTCGGGTTGCCCAGTCCTTCAGACGCGCAGTTTCGGAGAAGAAGCGAGCCAGTTATAATTTCCTCAGGTGTTACAATCTCAAACGTTACAATAGAATATGGAAATCTCAATCTGTGATGCAGGAAGTGCATGATCTAGTACCGTAGTCCCATAGGTTTGCGCATGACAACAAGTTTCGGAACCCAAAATCCCATTGATATCCGGCGAAATTTGTATTGCGAAAGGCGCAACTCTACGTACGTTCCTCATGCTCTTCATGCAAGACAAAATCCAGACTCTATTGTAACGTTTGAGATTGTAACGTTTGCGCAGGACATACCAGTTCTTCCTCCGACTCCCCGATGTACCAGGAAAGCACCTCATCCTGTGCAAAAACGTCCCCACCCCAGAGTTGTCACGCAAATGCGCAATGACAGGAACATTTGTAATGCGCAGCTCCATGAGAGGCATTTCCAATCGTGTTAGTTTTGGAATTTGTAATGCGGTAAACAGGATGAGGAAATGGCTTTCTCATGCGGCTTCCTTTGCCAACCAGCACTACACTGCAGAGGGAAACTTGTCATGCACAGCTCCGAAACCTTGGAGATTTGTGTTGCTAGATTGCCAACTACTTGACTATAGGGTGGGAACGTTTTTGCAAAGGATACACCTCCACGTTCGGCTTCTCTATTTTGAAGCAGGCCAGGAAGCGCAGTAGGGCCTCGCATCGAAAAAGGTTGTCGAAGCAGCTGCACAAATCGCCGAGCGGCCCCGTGCACTTTTTCCGCAACCGAAAAAATCGCGGGAACTGCTTGAGCCGGAAACTATCCACCAGGAGGAGAATGCCGGGATCGTCGTCTGTTGGGTGCAGCAGGTCAGCCTTGATGTGGTCCAGCCCCATGAAAGCATTGTATACCGCCCGCAAAATACGAAACTCTTTTGCCAAGTGCGGCGGAAGGACTTTTTTCTTGCAGCTCGTCGTGTCTTTACCTTTACTTTCTAGCGTGGTATCAGCATCTTGCTCTGAAGTAGCTGTAGCGCTGGTCATGGCCTTTAGCTGCATGGCGCACTGATGAAACTGTATGAAATGCAAAAGTGTCTGGGTCTGGAAGGTTGAAACTTGTGATGCTGTCTTTGGAAGGTTAAAAAAATCTGTATTGCATGGCCAGCAAAAGGAGTTCAGTTTGTGCTACGTGGAGTGGGCGTTTCTCATGCGGAATACGCATCAGAAGGCCCTTTCAAAATCTGTGACGCTAGGTCATGCATTACAGGCTTCATGGGTTATGCAAAATATGCATGACAAACCTGGCAATTTTCCAGACCCAGACATTTTTGCATTTGATAAACTGGCCCAAATCCCGGTAGTGCAGCGCCCAAATCGCGTTTGCCGAGTATATCAAATGTAAAAGTGTCTGGGTCTGGAAGATTCTGAGACTTGTCATGCATGTTTTGCATTGGCCATGATGTCTGTGATGCATGCCCTAGCGTCACAGATTTTTTGAGGGCTTCGCGATGCCTATTCCGCATGACAAATGCCCTCTCCGCGTAGCAACATTTCTTGCATTGCCTTTGCTGCTCATGCAATACAAATTTTTTTTGGAATGCAAATTCAGCATCACAAGTTGCATTCTTCCAGACCCAGACATTTTTACATTTCATAGAGTACACAGTCGCCGCAAATTCTGTGTTGCCCAGGTTCTGCACGAGCAAGTGAATTATCCACAGGTGGTGCAAATAATATCTACCGTCTCCACTGGGTCCGAAGGGGTTTGCATACTTAAAAATTGATCTTGGTTGTCACTAAATGTTCTCACTCTGGCTTGGGCGAATTTTTATCTGAATACATCATGATACACCAACATGCCTCTCGTGTCTTCAAGGAGGAGCACACGATCACGAAGCTGCAGCCCGATGCGATAAATCAATAATGCTTTCATCTGGTTTCCTTGGCCCCAGTCGCCGAAGATACATAAGCATTTGCAGTTGATATCTTGCCGGATCGCACGCAGCTGATCGGAGACGTAATTCCAGGACTTTTCCTTCGCACCCGTTTCCAACCGCGCAAATGCCTCTTTCAAGACCGCGACTGGGCGCACATCGGTGGCCTTGGCTTCGCTTGTCAAACGCAAGTACGACTTCTCGAGGGCGAGCGATTTCCCAGTCACGGGCCCGACCGTCACCACCTCCTCGTCATCCGATTCGGGTTCCTCCGCGGAACTCGTAAGCTGCGCTTGCTGATTTCTATTCATCGGCGCACCCAGAAATGATGAAGATGTCGCTGCCGTTCCGCTTGAAGATGCAGCAGCAGTGGCTGCACTACTCATCAGCACTTGCGCATTTTTTGCATGCTTATCACCTCCGCCTTCAAAACGTCGCCTCCGGGCTTCCCGGGCGTCGTCTTTCTCCGTGAGCCCGGCCCAAGCTGTCTTCTGGTGTGACGCAAGCCGTTTTACCATTACCATCTCGTTCTTTTTTGGCTCCGCGGGAATTAGCGTCACCGGTGTTTTGGTACTACTATGATTGCTACTAGACGTCGCAGCACCTGCTCCAGTGCTCAACATAGTATTGTGGTACCCACCACCAGCTCCTCCACCGCGGCGATGCCTGTTGGACGAGGCCTCCGCTTTCGTCTTCAGCTGTATTTTCTTGGTCGCAAACCGCATCGTGAGTGGCCGCTGCCGGAGCAGCTCCTCCACCTGGAGACGAGTCAAAATTGAGGTGTCGATACCGTTCATGGTCAGCAGCCGGGCGTTGACGGCGATCCCGTACTCCTCGAGGTCCATCGGTTCGTAAATGGTGACGGGCTCGCGGTCCATGGTGGCGGGCTTTACGTCTCCCAACTCCCACTCGAACTCCAGCGTACTGTCGTGCGAGGGAAGCACGATGCTCTTGCGGCTAGTGTTGGCAATGTCAGCATAACCATCGAAAAATCGCCGCTTTTTCGTGATTTGGATGGGATTGCGGGAATTCGCCATGTTGTTCAAGGTGGTCGTTCGTTCAATCGTAGTTTTGATCTCAGGTGGTAAACTTCGACTAGGGATCGTACTTCTAGGACAAAGCACGACTTTACATCGACATGATAATGAGCAGGATCGATGCTGACCCCGATCGTGTACTACTTCCTAAGCAAACCAATTTCGAAATGAAAAAAATAGAAACATTTTGCGGGAGAATGTCGCTGGTGCGTTGTTCAGATCTAGCAAAAGCATACTTCAAAGTAAGTAAGTAGCATGCGCATAGTTCTTTGATGTAGAAAATTGTGCTTGCGCGCCTAGTCTGCGAGCTTGATCAGGCAATCGATCCAGAACTCCCACCTCCACACTTATTTTTGCTACGTATCCACGGGATCGAAAGGCAGCGTCTGTCGTGCCGGATGGCGATTATAAATAAGGGGATCCTGCTGCTGCTCACTGTGTTCATCATGTTTCGTCCTTCTGCTGAATGGCAAATGCTCGGAAAAAGTCACAGATTGAATCCCCAGCGAAAGCTTGGCTTTATTAGGAAGCTTGTTCTTTGAGGACTGGTTGTAAAAGCAGAAAAGTTTCTTCGCGTAGGTTTATAGATTTTGTATTCTCGAGCTGCGGTAGAGGTCGTATTCTATTCATCTCGAGTTGCGCTTCCTGTTCGTTAACGTAAGTGCATGATCCACCAATCCGCCTATTCGCATTCTGACTTGAAAACAAACTCTTACTTTATTTCTGCTTTTCGCCTAGTCATGATTGAGATTGACACAGTCATGGTTTTCGTTTTGTACTTTCGCAATCCCAGAAACGTAGCAGCGAAATAGGGGCGCTCATCATGAAAAAACCTCGCGTCCTCGGACGAGGCATGATTCGACAAAGCACCTGCGCTACTTCGACAATGCCACTGCCTACCGTCGGCGCTTAGAACTTATGCAGGTGGTCATCCAGAAATTCGTGATCCTAGCTGTTCTTCGATACTGCCATATGCTTAGTCCGTCGCCACCGCCACAACATCGGCTGAGCCACACAAGGATTCCAGCTCCCTACGCCAAAACTCGAGACGCTCCGCGTGCAGGTGCCGGAAGCAGTGCGGACCTGATGATTGCAGCGATTCCAGCAATAATACAGTCAGAGCTCCTCCACCCTTGCCGAAGACGCGTAGCCAGAAGTCATTTTTCGATTTCACGTTGCTGAAACGGGCGCGTGCCAACTGCGCGACCAAATCGGTCGCTGCGGGCTGCCGACTCGCCTGCAGGAAAAGGGTGCTGGCCAGGGAGTCGCTCTGCGTGCCCAGTCTGGGATCCTCCGGAAAGGCCACGTAAATCACTTTGCGGGCCTGCATCACGGCGTTCCGGTTTGCAGCCAGCACGGCATGCTGTCGAATGTCCGGGATGCGCCGCTCCCGCTGCGAGCGGACGACCGAAATTTTCTCCGTCAGTGCGCGCAGAAAGGGCGGTAGAGATTCCGGGGAAGCCAACATAATCTCGTCGTAGCGACGCTGCCACTGCATTCCCAACGGCATATTCAGATGCTGCTCGTGTCGAACGCTCGTCCCTACGAGAGCGGCAGAAGAGGTGGAGCGTGAGGTCCGTTTATTAAGGGACGTAATTTTTCCATCTGTAGGAGAAGTCGCAACCGCAAGACTTGTCGCGCTGCTTCGACTGGCGCATGAGGAGATTGCAGCAGTATCTTTAGTGTAGCCGGAGCAGCGCTGGTCCTGCTGTTCTCCATCTTGGGTCGTGCTTCCTTTTGCAGTTTGGGCGCTTGTTGTCCCGGCAACCGTCAATCTCCCGTCTGAAGATTTCGAAGCTAAGAAACAATGTGATGCAGCTTCTTGTTCTGCTCCCCTAAGACTAGGAGTCGCATGATCAAGATCTTCGGATTCCGTTGCCCCATGCATCATCAAACGGGAAAAATCATCGTCAGCGACAGCATCGTGAGCAGCAGCAGGACCGCCTAGTACAACTTCGTCCGACCGTAGGCTGCTGGAAAGGTACGGATGACGCGTGGTCTCTTTGCCTTCGTCTAAAAACACGTCGCTGTCCCCTACAGAAATCTTTCTGTTGTCGTCAGGTCTTTCACTTTCTTCTTCTTGAAGTCGGTCGGTTGCGCGTGCAGTATGTTGATCCCTATTCCATTCGTTTTCCCTGTCTATTGATACCACACTCGCCGCACACCTGTAGGTCATGGCCCACCTCTTTAAATCGTGCCAGTAGCGTGCGACGCACGTGCCTGGGCCGCGGACGCTCGCATGCTGGCCTCCACTGGTGGGCGCGCCAGACAGGAACGACAGGCGTGGCGAATGCAACTGTGGGGGCCTGCCCACCAGCGCTATGCCGTGTCTCTGCTGCAGCATTCTCGACGAGAGCTGGGTCGACGACAAGCCGGCATCTACTTCCGTACGGACACCACAAGCTGCTGGAAGGTTGGATGTCGCGCCGCTATCTTCTCGTCGATCTTCTGCTCCGCTGGAGGAACCTGCTTGTTCGAGTCTTTGCCAACCTGAGGTGGAGAACAAACATGATGACGGGAGCACGATAGGATGCCGCATTCGCGTCTGCAATGTTGCACAGGTTGAGGTTTGCCTTCGCTCCACTCCATCTGCGACAGCCTGTGCAGATGCTACTGGATTCAAAGTGTGCTGGCTCTGCCGTGCTGTCCCAGAGCTGCCTGTTCCTCGCGATGCACGCGAAAACTTGGGCGCGTTAAGCAGAAAACCCGCACGAAAAAATGTTGCTGCACTCGATACAAATGCCGCGTGTCGCGATGTGAAGCAGAGCATGCTCGTGCACGACGCCAGACTTCTTGCAGAAGTTGTTCAAGGAAGTGGCCGCGAATCCGGCAGACAACTCGTAAGTACGCGCAGACAGGGAAGGTAACAATCTGGCAGTGCAACTAGTACCGTCGCATTATATTCTACAACTTTTTACCCCATAGGAACGCTTGTAGCACGAGCTCCTCCACCTCCACCAGGCTCTTCAGTGCCGAATCAAACTGCCGACGCCGAGCACGCACCCCATGAAGGCACCGCCTGCGGTATTGAAGGGAAAAACCCCCCCTCCCCATATTGAAAAGGCATGTTTCCGAAAATCTGTCTTGCTGATTTGAGATCACAAATCGCATTTGTTTTGCAAGAAGGCAACTCTACAGTCTCCGCCGCATTATTCGGACGGTTTGTGATGCTGCTTGGGCTACAGCATAGACATTTGTGATGCTAAGCGTCCACGCCAGAAGCTCTGTACACAGGCGCGGCATATGCCTCCAATCCTCTACTGCAAGACAGCTTTGATTTGTGTACGGAAATCCGGCATCAGAAACTTCGTTTTGATATGGGGAGGGGGAATTTTTTCCTCACAATATGCGGCGGCCTCCTGCCGCAGTCCGTGCAAGTGCCCACCGGCAATAACTCGACGCGTCACAGCCATCGTGGCGCCCAGAATCGCGCCTACAAACATGCCTTGCGCCATCTGCGCTGCCTTTTGCCGCCAGAAGAACGAGGTCTTACCGGAGACCTCCATCATTGCGCATGCGAAAGAATTATCCTAAAGCGGAAGACTAAAGAAGTTCATCGAAAAAGGAAACATACACATAGGCCATTGTAATTTCGAATCAAAGCTAAACTGCGTCGAACACGCTCGAAGAAATGAGGAATGCTCTTGACAGCGACAGGCAAGAAGGAAAATGCTCCACGACCACGGCTAATATCAGAGCGTAGTCATAAAAGGAAGTATCAATATCTGGGAAAAGAACGCGCCGAATTTAAACATTTACAAACAAACGGCATCAATGCAAATCATAAAAATTTGCGAATGCGAACGCATGTGCAAAAACTGAAATCCAACGTGAAGCGAGAAAGCAAAAAGATCTTAACTTTACGCTCAGAAGTACTATTCTCATGATACCGCGCTTTGCAGCTCACCATCACGAATCTGTCAGATCATAAGTTTCTCATGATATCTACAAGTAATTGTTTATTCATTCGGAATGAGATCGCAGGGTGTACTGACCTTAAATTTCATATTAATTTATTTCGCAACACGTACTACTTGTATAGCTCAACAAGCGATCTTCATGAGAAAAACAGCGTGGATCTTCGTTCCTCTTGCTCAAGCTTCTGGACAACCAGTACCTCATGCCAAAACGGTCATGATCAGAAACACAACAGAGTTGCTACTTTCCCCGGATGTTGACCGAGCACATCCCGTTTTTGCTTTTTGGTGTTGAAGTTTAAATAACCGGCACTTTGTGTTTACGACTGTAACTGGAGGTACTTAGTGTTGATGGTGTTAGTTTTTGTGCACCATGCCAGCGAAGCGAGTGAAGACGGTCCCCTCGCTGGAAGAGGTGGTGCTCCAAGAAAACAATTTGCTACGTGAGTAGCCATTTGTCCTGTCTGTGCTAGCCATCCGCGCCCGTCTTTCCTGCTCGGCTTTCTTTGCGATTTGTTGCTTCTTCGTGGGCTCGGATGATTTTGTTCTGCTCGTGTGTGGGCATGGCGACACGCTTATGCCCGGGAAAATCGTTGTACCTACAGTTCTCCCATCGTGGAGACCCTGACCGTATGCATAGTTCGAGGATCTTCAGACTGAGGTGAATACAAGACGAGGGAGCACAAATTCATCCGATTCTCGCAAAAACTATGTTCCACCTACGTGCTGAGAATGGATAAATCATTGCGCCAAAACGCTAACAATAACGCTTTTTTTGGGCATTACCATAATATTGCTGAATCTATAGAAAGACCACAGTCTTTGTCTTTACTTTATGTCTTTTCACTGAACAAGCAGCTGATGAGCGCCAAGCTTGATGGCGGTGCGTTCGGTAGTACAACGGGTTTTTCCACTGCCGTAGTATTCACGGAAGTCCATGGAAAATTCCCCGACGCCTTGGGTGAGACTGCGCAGCTCCTTCGCATACCCAAACATCTGGCGCAGGGGCACGATGGCCTCGATCAAGATGGAGTCAGTGCCCACGGCGACTGTATTCTGTACGGATCCTTCACGGTTGTATCCAGGAAAAAAACACCATCACAATCATACGTAGGAGGTTTTGCATCAGAAATTTTTTCGCATGACTGTATTGCAAAAACACATCAAAGGGAGATCGCCTATAACTCTTGACATGACTGTGATGCATTTTCGCGCATGACAAAAATTTTTGTATTGCAAAAATGTGCAAAAGTGATTGCGATGGTGTTTTTTTCTTGAATAGGTTGCTCATCGACTGCACTACTGCTGCTTGCGTCTCTGTCGGCGCCGAAACCTTGTTTTTTAACGTTTAAATAGACAAACGGACGTCGTCGATATTTCAGGAAAGCTCCATCAGAGCTTGCTTTTAGCAGGTGCAGACAGGACCAAAAAGTCAGTACTTAAAAATGGCTGCAACTTCTACGCGCAGGCCTGCCGGTGATCAGCACTGCGGGACGTAGCGGTAACTTGATCTACAAGATCATGCAGATTCATTTCTGCCACGTAGTGATAGGTCCAGTTGGTAGGCCTCAGGATCGAAGAAATCAACGAAGATGCGCAAGCACAAGCAGCAGCTACTCCTACTTGAAGAAAAAAATAAAAAAGGCCGCTTGAAAGTATGTAAGTAAGAACCTCGACATTCATGAGCGGTTCGAGAATCTGGGGTGAGGCCTTTTCCAGGCCGGCTTCTACCGCACCCTTCGCCGCAAGCTGGAACGCAATGTCCGAGGAGTCGTTTTCGTGCGCCTTTCCGTCCGTTACGACAAACCGGAGGTTGATCAGAGGGTTCCCTGAGAGAAAACCCTGGGAAACAGCATCGCGAAATCCTTTTTCGATGCTCGAATGGTACTGCTTAGGCCTGTATGCACGCTGAGCGTTGTATCTTCTACTTTATCGTAAAATTCATGAAATTATCCGGCGGCTCTTCCTGATACATTTGCTTTTTGCAATCGTACATGCAAAAAATGGCACTATCTGTTCGTGGCTTCGATGTCTTTTAGGAGTACGACTAGGATTGCGATTTGCGAATTAATTCTTCCCATAGAAATGATTTGCAGGAGCAACATGTTGCGGGTCGCATGAAGATACTTGAAAGATTTTTGCGCAGCGTAGTACGTCGTTGCCGGAAAGTTGATTGACAAATTCCACATAGTTGACCGTGTTGCCATTCTCGTCTACAGTTTTCTCTGGGAGCTCGTTTTCTGGAATCGGCTCGACAAAGCCGGCGATCTTTCCGTATTGCCCGCGGCCCCCGGTCTGCCGTTTGTGCGTGAACTCGAAGTTGGCTTTCTGCCCGATATGGGTGTGTCAGGTTTGAAGTCGTCAAAGTTGAAATAGTTTGCCATGCATAAAACAGATACCAGTCGGAAGCCCACTTATCAAGCGGCGCATGACAAATTTCCCGAGCACCGGAATCCAATTTGTCATGCTATTTGGGCACAGAAGACTGCTTTTGTCGTGCTCTTTTGGCGGCTCTATTTCAAACCCTAAATAGGCTCACAATCTGCCTCACTTGCCACCCCGGCAAGACAGGCACTCCATGCCTTGCATTTTATGCATGGCAAATCATTTCAACTTTGACGATTTCAATCCTGACGCTTCCATACCCGATGCACTCCTTGTAGCTGACCATGGGCGACCCGGTTTCGACATCAAAAGTAAAAGTGTCTGGCGGGTCTGGAAGAGTGCATGTTTGTCATGCTTGTCTGGCATGACTCTCAAATCTGTCATGCACGTTACCCAAGAGCGCCATTTTTGTTTTTCTGTCATGCAGAAACGCAGTTTGTCATGCAGAATAGGCAACACCTAGAAGTTCAGAAACTTGTCATGCTGAGCCAGCACTTGTGGCCTGCTCATGATACGCCACCCAGCATCACAAGTTTCCAGACCCAGACACTTTTGCATTTGATATTCGATCTGCACGCACTTGAATTCTCGCTTCATGCGCTCCAGGTAAATCTCCAGATGCAGCTCGCCCATTCCGCGCATGATGTGCTCCTTGGTCTCCGGGTCCATGTCCAGGTGGAAGGTTATTACAGTTAAAAACGCCCCCACCCCAGAACTCGGGAGCATTTGTATTGCAAACCTTTCCAAATCCAATGGAAACACTCCGCGTCTTGCATGTATCAGCATCACAGATTTTCAATTGCGAATAGCGAAAATCTGTATTGCTAAAGATCCCAGCAACGGCGACGCTTGTCATGCAAGCGATGCTGTATACGACTAGACTCTGCATCAGAAAGATTCAAAATCCTTTCATGCAAGACAAAAGCTTTACATTTGGAAACTTCGCATCGCAAATTATTGCAACTTGAACTTTCGGGGTGGGGGCATTTTTCACTGTAATAAAAGTTGGGTCCTGTTCATGTTGAAAACCGCCCTCACGTACTACCCAGGGAGAAACCCAGATAATGATAAAGGAAAAATGATGTATCTAGCACGTATCAGCCGCCTTCCTGATTTAGATTCCTTCGGAACAAAGAAAACGAGTCTGCGTTCTCTTTTGCAATGCACAAAGAGTTAAGTCGATTTGTGAAATTTGAATTTCGCAATGCAATAGACACTTCTCCTGGGACCACGAGGGCTTTGGCACTTCTACACGACAGTGTGATAGTCTTCCCGCTTGAATCGCTGCACCGCCTTGAAGAATTTTGCGGTGTCATCGTGGTTCATGGACTTGACCCCCAGACTCATCACCGGTTCGGGGACATGCATTTTGGCACAGAGCAGCTGGGTTTTCGCGGTGTCCGTGAAGGTGGTCCCGGAGCTGCAGTCCAAACCGGGCACCGCCACGATGTCCCCCGGCAGGGCGGAGTCCACCTCCCGGTACTCCAAGGAGTGCATGCGAACCAGCTTCTTGACCTGCTTTGTCTTCTTCGCGTGGTGGTCGTACACGGACATCGCCTATGCATTGCAAATATGTCTGGGTCTGGGAGATTGCGAGATTTGTCATGCTAGTCTGGCATGACTCTAAATTGTGTATTGCGTGCCAACGAAGAGGCCCCCTTGTCTGTCATGCAAAAACGCAGTTTCTCATGCGGAGTACGCAACTCTGAACCACGGAAAAACTTGTCATGCTGGGGAGCGCATTACAGCGTGCTTAATGCCCCAGACATATTTGCAATGCATATCCCCTTCTTCAGCTTTCCCTGGTACACCCGCACGTAGGTCAAAACACCGGCGGTGGGGTGGTCCTGGATCTTGAACCCGTAGCACACCAGCGGGTGCTATCAAATGTAAAAGTGTCTGGGTGGTCTGGAAGGTTGGAACTTGTGATGCTAACTTTGGACTCTAAAAAAATCTGCAACGCATGATCAGCAAGAGGAGTCTAGTTTGTGCTACGCGGGGAGGGCGTTTGTCATGCGGAGTAGGCATCAGGAAGCCCTCTAAAAATCTGTGATGCTAGGTCGTGCATTACAGACATCCTGCTCCTGGGTCATGCAAAACATGCATAACAAGTCTCAGAATCTTCCAGACCCAGACATTTTTGCATTTGATAGGTGCTTCTCCGGCTCCGTGGTGTGCAACCGCACGGTCGGTGTCAAATTGGCCGCGGAGGAGGTGGCAGCTCCGGCGCTGCTGGAAGTAGAACTAGAAGACGAAGAAAAAGCGATGGGTATCCTGCGTGCAAATGGGGCCCGCACCCGCAATCATCCATTTTTCGAGCAAAGATGGGACAAGGAGCACCACTGCGCATTGACAATTCAACAACTTCAAGAGAAATTGACGCTGCAGTTTCGAAGCCATAAGTACTTGTTCGAAGTCAGCGGGGCAGCTGCATCACTAGGTGGTGGCCCCTTTGTATTTAACCTTCACCTTGTGGTCTCCTATGGGAAAGGAGCTGGTCAGATGAATCATGCACACTTACTAATTCTAGGCATGTTCGCAGGAGCACAAGTGTCAACATTCAACTCACGAACGGCAGGGCCCTTTTTTACTATTTTACAGGGGCTACTGGCTTTGTTCTCCCGATCCAAGGGACTTGGGAGGTAGAGTGCCACACCGTCGAGCAATTCCTGGACGCCGCGGTTCTTGTACGCGGAGCCCATAAACAACGGGCAGAACTGCCGGCTCAGGGTATACTCTCGGATTTTTTCCTGCAGTTCCCCTGCAGAGAAGGCGTCCGCGCCCTCCTCCAGGTACTTTAAGGCCACGTCGTCGTCGAGGTCTGCGAGCGTTTCCACTAATTCGGTCCGCACTTCTTGCGCCCTCTTCTTGAGTTCCGCGTCCGCACTTTGTATATGAGAGTGCACCGCTTTCTATTCTCTACTCCCGACCACGTCTAAGCTTAGTTAATACTAAACTTATGATATGATCATGCAAGTATGGTACACTTCATCCAGCTGCTGTATTTTTCTTGCACCAGTTTTCTGGACAAGTACCGGTTGCAGAGACAGAGAGAATCCAAAGTAGATCAACATAGCACTCTCGTCGGTGTCAGTTTGTCACACGCTCATCTTCTCCTCGTCCAAATGAACAAGGGGAGAGCGCAGAGGACGAGCTGTGCACGGTGATACAGTTCGAGGTCCTGGTAGACGACCTTCTGTCCCTGGTCTCCTTCGAAAAGCACGATGCGGTTTTCGATGACGTCCACCACCCCGGCAAACTTGTCCTCCTCCCCGTAGGGAAGCTGGACGGCGGCGGTGGTGAGCCCCAGCTTGGCGCGGATCTGCCGCTGCACGAAGAAGGGGTCTGCGCCGAACCGGTCCATCTTGTTGATGAAAATCAGCCGCGGCACCTCGTAACGCGCCATCTGCCGGTGGACGGTCAGCGTCTGCGCCTGCACGCCCCCCACCGCGCAGCAAATCATCACGGCCCCGTCCAGTACCCGCAGCGCCCGCTCCACCTCAATGGTGAAGTCGACGTGGCCGGGCGTGTCGATGATGTTAAACTCGTGGTCGTTTTTCCAGCTGCAAAACGTGGCGGCCGAGCAGATGGTGATCCCCTTCTCCCGCTCGAGCGCCATGTGGTCCATTTTCGCCCCAACGCCCGTCTTATCAAATGTAAAAATATCTGGGTCTGGAAGATTGCCAGATTTGTCATGCAGTTTTTTCATGATCCAGGAAGCCTGGAATGCAGGACCTAGCATGACAGATTCTGATTCTGTGCGATCTCTCTAATGCCTACTTATCCTGCATGAGAAACTGCCTCTCGATTAGGTCAAAAATGTACAACTTTTGGCAAGCATGCAACACAGTTTTTTGCCTGCTTCGGATTTAGCGTGACAAGTTGCATGCTTCCAGACCCAGACATTTTTGCATTTGATACGTCTTCCCGCGGACATCGTGGATCTCCTTGATCTTCCCCGTGTAGTAGAGAATGCGCTCCGTAAGCGTGGTCTTTCCGCTATCAATGTGTATCAAGTGTAAAAGTGTCTGGGTCTGGAAGAATGCAACTTGTCATGCTGATTTTGGATTCTAAAAAAATCTGTATTGCATGAGTACCAAAAGGAATGTAATTTTTGCTACGCGGAGAGGGCATTTGTCATGCGGAATAGGCATCAAGAAGCTCTGAAAAAATCTGTGATGCTAGGGCATGCATCACAGACATCAGGGCTCATGCAAAACGTGCATGACAAGTGTCAGAATGTTCCAGACCCAGACATTTTTACAGTTGATAATGTGAGCCGAAATACCAAAGTTACGCAACTTCCCAACGCGAAGGTCGTTGATGTTGATGTCCGGCTGCTGGGCCGCGAAGGTGTTTGATATTTTTACCACGTTGCCGCCGTCTGCGGACGATCCCAACGCTGAAGCCGGTTCCGCAGCAGCTGCACATGCGGAACTGGCAGAGGAAAACAAGGCCCTGCTATCGAACAAGATGGACCTTGATGAACTCACGGACACGGACGGCGTGCAACAGCTCCCGAACAAGGGCCTGGTAGGCCTGTAACTACACTGGCTATTGAGGCAAAGTGTGCTGGGTCCTCGTGCAGCTCCACGAGAGGACGAACAACCCCGTTCATCGGCGCTGTATCCTCGTCCGCGTGATGCGCTTGACAGGGTCGAAGACGAACGGAGAAATATTGAATCTTCGCTTGCACATGCCGACGGCGCCGAAGCCCCCGAGTGATTTCTGACATAAAATATTCGACCAGGAGGATGCGGCGGCCGCAGCGGACGATGTTCCCTTGTACTTGCGGAAAAAAGCGAACCACTGGTCCGTGCACGCGCGTGCTGATGAGATGATCGCATCTTCACAAAGAACCGATAAAAGACCTGCGAGCACCCAAGACGCCGAGCCCAAAACCGATTCGATCTTCTTCTTCACTGAGACGAGAAGCCCAAATAAACCGATCCGCTCATCACAAAGAACCGACTCGAGTACTGAGCCGCCGAGCGCAAAAAGTAGACCATGGCACACAGGACAGACTGACTATATCACAAACGAATGATTTGTGAACAATAGCAATAGGCGAAAACCACGCCGAGTCGAACAACCGTGCCCGGCACTCACACGAAAATGGGCAAGGATCTTGAGGAGGAACCAGTGCAACAACAAAAAAAAAGCGCCTTCAAAAGATTTATCATGTGATGTGCTCGCTTTTGATCGAGCGAGTTACTGTCCGCGCATTGTGTAATTTCTGTGGATAAAAAATCCGTCGGATGGAAAGACGAAGAAAAAAAACACACCAAAAGCAGGAAAAGCCACAGGTGCTGGTCGAGCTTCGCGGTGGATTCATGGTGTCCTTTATTCGTTGTTAAATCATTCAGGGAGGGCCAAAAGAAAGTTCCTACGCTCTGGAATTTGTTGCTTTGCATTTGACGATCACTTTCCTTCTGATGAGCTAACTTTGGTTCTTTTACTCGGGCTCGGGCATACATACGAACAACTCATAAAAAGTACAATTACAATGCTTACATACATCAATGCTCATATCTCGTACGGTGGATTTCGGTGTTTCGGACACAACGACTTCCTAAGCACATCAATGCTCATATGAAGAGTACTCGAGCGGCGGAGCGTCCTCGCATATCATATTTACTTCCACATTTTACGCACTATGCATGTATCGCAAAGCACAATCAATAAGAAAGCGAATAAAGTAGAAGTACAAATAAATTGAACGTTGTAGATACACAGCAGGAGCACTAGCTCTAGTTAATTTTGGTGCAAGAGAAAAACTACAACACTACATCGATTTCGATTGCGTCAAAGAACGGACAACTTCTTGAAACGCCTCGTTGCACAGAGTCTTAACTACTGCAGATGTAGCCGTGTCTTCCTAATATCGTATTTACAATCTTGTACGCAGTTACTTTATCCCGTTCCCGAGAAATCTTCTATCTTGATCTTTGGCTTTTCGTTTTCAACTGACTAGGGTAGGAGGTGTACAGAAGCAGTGGAGTGGACGAAGTGACTAGAGCTCTTCGCTCTACCACCTCCCTCTCTATGCCTATAGATAGATTTAGATATTTTCGCTTCAGTGCATGCGAATGTAAGGATACCCTACAGCCGCATCCAGCAGATTTCATCTTTGTCGCATAGCGATCGAGAATACCGATTTGTATGAATACCGATCGGAATCGGTATCAAGCAGCTTCTTTGGAGGCAAGACTCATACTGCTATGACGCAGCAGAAACATATATACTTAATTACAGTTCGGAAAGCGATGCAACAACCACAAAAAAGATAAGATATTAGGATGGCTCGGTCTATTAAACGCAGTAGAAATTTTTATCAATATTTTCAAATATGATGTACATGTTGTAAATCTTTAATTTACAACTTCAGCAATACAGTTAGACTTGCAGACTCATTATGCGCCAAAAGATTCATCATCATCGCCATCTAGCACGTTTGTCGTGCAGGTGCAGCTGCGCCTTGATTCCAACCGTGCGGAAAGAGCTACATTCGTAATTATACCTTCATCTTGACTCCTATCTTGTTTCCGAAAAGACGGGACAGAAGAGTCGCGCGCATTCATTTATTGGAAGATATATCGACCCTTTTCTTTCTGAAGACGTACAAATATGATAGATTGATAAGTACTTTATTTTTGCTCCTTTCGCATTGTGCTACGCTAGGAAAATAAAGAGCTAGTCAGAACTTCAGAGCGAGTCTGTTTTTTTTTCCAAGTTCACAGAGAAGAAAGCTAAAAACTTTCGAAGTATGAAGAGACCGGCAATTATGTCGAGCCGCGGTCAGCACGGGCGAGCTAGGTTCAAGTAATAGTAACTTCGGAACTTCTCCTTCTGGAGGTCGGGCATAAATACTAAACGGCAGAAACAAAAAGTTGCACGGGATTTCAAAATTTTCTATAAGTTTTGTTCGGTTAAAAAGTTAAAGTTGTGCCAGCCTGCCGCTTTCACAACTGATGTCCTTACAAACGGAGTGGATGGCCTGGTCCTCCCCCCTTGTGCTGGTCACCGACAACACCAGACTCCATTGTTCTTGTTCTTGTGTGAATGATCGTAGTCTTGGCCGGATTTAATTTGTTCGTGTTCCTTGAGTTCATCTACTTTTACTTCCCGTGACAGAGTCCTCAGCACTGTGAGGGACCCACGGATCATGCTGCCGGAGAGATCAAGTGGAGCTGCTAGACGCGCCAAAGCTACTACTAGTGGTCGTCGTGGTCGGCTCCGCTCGGCTTGGAAACTCTTCGAGTACGAGTGGCGGGCACTTCGCAGACTTAACGGGTACGAAGTATCTCGAATCCGCAAATTTCTGGACGTGGAGACCCACGTTCGTACGAAGTTTTTCGTAGCGTTGCAAGCAGGCCTGCTGCGCGTCCGCCGCCGAGGCGCGGAGGACCTTGTTACTCGTCGTGCCGGCAGTAGTAGACATCAAGACGGTGTCCTCGATCCGGTCCTGTAACTGGTAGAAGGCCAGCACATTTCGCGTCAACTCCCGGGGGGCGTAACTTGGATCCTCGAACAAACCGGCCACGCTCATATCTCCGCGCGCGAGTGGGTCGTCGGCGACGAGCTCCTCCTCGACGACAAAGATGTTTTCGGCCCGCACTGGACGCTGGTGCTGTAGTGCAATATCGCGCCGATCGTCCTCACCGTCTGGCGCTGGCGCAGCGGCACCTGCAGGAGTGCTGTCGTCCTCCTGCTCCAATATAGCAGCACAAATGGCGGAATCCTCTTTCCACGTCAGAAGTTTCTCGCCCCGGGCCGCGTTGCTTCCTCGCGTCAGAATGTGAGTCTGGATTACGAGATTTTCCGGTACTTGCGTTGACGCTCGAGTTGTAGGGGGTCCACCTCGCGCAGTTCCTCGCGCAGCTCCTGCACTTGGATAAAAATCTAGTTGTTCTTGAGGGACACGGCATGGGCTACAACAGATGTCCTCCTCGGCTGCGTCCTTACATTTCGAGGCAGCAGCGCAACGCGCCGCACTATCGACCATTAGGCCGAACCCGCACGGGGTCGATTGGTCCTTGATCCTGGCTGCGGAAGCGCCGTGCAGCAAAGCCGAGTTGATGTCCTGTTTCTCAAGGAAGTCATTTATGGAGGAGCAGGATGCAGTTCCCTCGTCCACACACGGGGTTTGCGCACCGCCGGCGGGAGTTGATGTCCCGGTAGAGGTGGTCGGGGCGTCGTGAGACGGGCGCCGCTTGATTGGTGGCATCGAACAAGAAGATGCAGCAGTAAGACTTGGTGTTGGTCCGGATCTGGAAAGAACTGCAGACGCTGCCTGGTGCTGCAGTTGTGCTTGGGTAGTTGTGCTACTACCGCCCGCCCACAGGGGCCGCTGCAGACTCAGAGAGCCAAAGCTCGGAAGAGAGCCGGAACTTTCTGCGTGCGCGGGCGCCCAGCAGCCGGAAGAGGAAGCAGCAGAACCCGTACTGCAGCCGCTCATCCGCCGCTCAGCCAAGTTTAGCACCGTACCGTCGTGCGCGGATATCGATTTGCTGGAACCCGTTCTCGACGGTCGCCTCGTGGGTGCGCGGCAATCGTGTGAGATCATTTCACCTACGCGAGCATCACACTTGTGCTCGGACGACCCTGCGCGGATCTTCATGTTCGTCTTGCCTGGTCCGGCTCGCAGGGTGCGGTCCTTTGAGGTCTTCCTGCTGACGGGACCTCCGGGGAGTCCTGCTCCAGCAGCACGCTTTTGCTCGTCGGCGAGCTGGCACCAGTTGCGGAGGCTCCGTGCTTTTGTTCCGCTGGTGGCACTATCATCGACCACCAGCGCCGCGAGGAGCCTGGCGCTTGACGTGTGCACAGTCTCCTCTTCGATCCTTCCCGACAGGGAGCTCCCGTAGTCACGACGGGTCACTCGAATCACTATCATCGCATCCTCATCCTCTGTGCGGGCAGCAGGGGTCGTGATACTAGTATTTCCAGACGCCGAGTTCCGAGAGGATGAGCCAGCACCTCGCCTCGGGCGCCCGCGCGATTTCGCCCGAGGCGCGACAGACGCAGTAGATGAGGCAGTAGTTGGGAGAGGCAGCAGCCGCGCACTGTAGGAGTATCGCTTACTTACTGCCGGCGCCCCTTTTCCTCGACGAGCGCCGCCGGGCTCCTCGCGCTCGCTGTCGTCCTCCAGGTCCATGTTCGCGAACGCAAACATGACATCGAGGTCAAGCTGGGACGCTGCCTTGTCCGAAACGGCCGAGTTCGTCATCCGACTGGATAAGGTGTCGTCGGAAGCCGCTGGACTGCCGTCCTGCTGTGCGTCCCACAGCCCCGCATCGTCCGCGGAAGTTTGTCTGCTGGCGAGCGTGCACCGATGGTGTGGCGACGTCTGGTTTTTCGAACTACCTGAGGAGGGGAAAGAAAACGCCATCAAATGTTGAGTCAGCCTCTACTTCCGCCCGACGAGTCGCACTACTCGATGCGGGGGCACCAGTGGAGATGGGCGTGCGCTGCAGCTGCTGCTCGCCTTGAATACTAGAAAGCCGCGTCGCGGTAAGTGCAGTGCACGGGAGAACGCGTGCGCGGTTGCCTCTACTGGTAGACTCGAGTCGCCGTTGTGGTGAGGAACGTCGGGGCTTGCTCGTTATAGCCGGAAGCCGCAGGGCATCAGGCACGGCATGAGAGACCGCGGCAACGCCAGCTGCAATCGCCCGGCTCACTAGAGATTTTTTCCTCTTTTTACTACCTGTGCGCCCCGTTGCCGTCGCGGCACCAGAGTGGTCCGCAATTGTTCTAGTTTGAAGGAAGGGGGCCGGGGCGCCAACGCCGGAGGAAGTTTCGCTGTCGAACTCAAAAATACCTCCTTGCCCGTGCGCTGCAGGAAGTTGTAGAGAATTCAGCTCGAGGAGGTCCTTCTGGGATTGCACGAATGCGTGGAAAGTATGCGGCGGCGTGTCGTCACCTACCACAGTATCGTCTCCCCGCAGCTTTGCCGTCTCGTCTTCTTCGTCCGTGGGCTGATCACTAGGCTGTTCTGGTTGATGATACGAAGTGTAATGCTGTGCGCCTTCCAGAATTGCATTTTGCGCTGCGCTCATGGTCCTTGCCGCACCAGGTAGGTTCATGGCCTGAGCTGCATGATCTCCCAGAGAAGCGATCCCTTCGCGTGAAGACGGCCGTACAATCTGATGATACCTCCAGACAAAGAGATTGCGCAGCTTATACCCGCCGAGGTCGGACCTCCACGTGTCGACGTCTGCTGCTACAGAACTCGACGACATTTCCTCGCTCATCGCTGGTAGTTCAAGGAACCCATCGATCGAGCAGTTCACCCGCGTTGCAACTCCCACAGCATTCAGATTGCCTTGGCACGACCCACTTTCCGAAGACCTAGAAATGGAATTGAAATGAGATAGTGCAGATGAAATTTGGTTGTCCTCTTCTTGGCACAACGAAACTCTTCTTGCGCAATCAGGATACAGAAGGATATTAGCAGAGGACGAACATTGTTTGAGTATTTAACGTATACGAAGACTATACAAGATCACAAGCGAGTAAGTAAAAATGAACAAAAAACAGATGTATACTGGCGTAAGCTCTCCTGCGACGAGGTTCTGCTTGTGCTTTGCGGTGTGGCTTCGCTACTTCCAGCCGAGGCTGTACTGCTTCTGCGCGCAGCCTGATGCTCTCGCTCGGCTTCTGTGGGCCTGTCGCCTCCGTATTTGTGGAAGCCGTAGTAGTGTGTATCCCAGCCATTTCCGGACAGATGCAGCCTAACTATATCCGGACTGGCTTCCGCGGCAGCATGGTCGACTGCTCTGGCTTCTCGATTGTTCGCTTGTAGAGACCTCCGAAGCGCCTGGCCTACGATGCGATCACTGTGCGGATAACCCACATGAAAGCCGTGAGGATGCCGGACCACAGGGACAGGCTTGAATGGTCTTCTGGAAGCAGTTGGAGTGGTGGTTATCTGGCCATACGGCCTGGGGGCTAGGAGTTGCGACCGCGGGATAGGCACCCCCCCGCCTTGTTGGACCAGTTGGCCATCACCAACGAAGCCGGCAAGCGACCCGTCCTGTAAAACTCGCAGTGTAGTCGGGAACCGCTTTTGCTCTTCGAGTTGAGCCTGGAGTCCTCTCACCAACTTGGACGGTCGGTAGGGCTTCATCCGTTGCTGGCCGTCCGCAATGGCAGCGTTGTTCCTTGCTGCGTCTTGGTGCGCCTGTTCTGTCACATGCGCGTCCAGCACGAATTCCACGCCTGTATTGCTTTGCGATAGCTTGGATCCATAGCGATAATCTTCCTTTAACCGGTAAAACTGCACGCTCGAACGCTCCTCCGGTGATTCCACCATATTATGGGGAAGATTTGCTTGTGGCGGGTGAAATATGCGGACGCTCGCTCTCCGCCGACTCAGTGACCATTCAATCTCGATCGGAACTACGCGCTCCAGAAACTGGCGCAGCGTAGAGGTAGCATCTTGTTGTCCTTCTGCAGCGCCCGCAGACGACCTGTCCACTACTGCACAAAAGAGCAGCAGCAGCAGTTTTTGTGCAAAACGAGCAGTCATTTTGTAAGCAATTTGCCTCAATACTTTGTAGTTTTCCCGGCACACTAAAATTATCCAGTGTTCGTGCGCTTTCGCTATTAGCAGTGTGCTTGTATTTCTGTGTCTTAATGGTTCAAACTCAGAGCTCTAGACTTGAATGCACCGGTATATATAAATCATGTTACAGTTAATTAGTGACGGACAGAGGATAGCTCTTAATTGCAATTGGTTTACTTATTCATCACATTACAATACGTATGTCAATCTTTTCTTTTTCTGGCCATCAAAACGACCTGGGAAAAAAGATTTAAGTGTTCCATTACAATTGGTAATCTCAACGTCGTGGTACAAAGAAATTGAAATAGATCCTCTGAAGATGAAGAATAAAAGCTTCCGCGGCCATAAGGACGTGGGCTGGATCTGTTTGTTCGATTTTTTTCACTGGATCTCTTGCTTTTTGGGCCTGCGCTTTTTCTGATCCGATTTGGTTTTGGAATTCCTTGTCATGTATTAAAGAGGTTCTAGACAAAGCTGAGAAGATGAGCCTTGATGATTTCGCGTCCCTGTGCTGTGATGAACAAACATTTCGTCTCGTTTTAACTCGCGTCACATAGGGCGGCGCGAGACTCTGCTACCGCTGTCGTTCTGGATTCGCTGCAGTTCGCCTGTGGGGTGGGTAGACTGTAGACTATAAATTTTGCCGCTTCGTTTCAGGAAGCCGATAGCAAAACCCAATCCTACTCGAAAAATTAATTTTGGATCATCATGTTCATATTTTACTCGACGGAGTGAACAAGTCGAAGTACACATTCAGGTGTGGCACAAGCAGCATGCGTTTTCGCCGTCTCTTGCTTGCCTCTTCGTGCTTCTTATGTCACGGGGCGATTTTTGGTGCGGTGCGAGGATTGTGCCGCAACTTATTCGACCACAAAACTTCCTCACTGTTGCTTGTCGCTTGAGTCGCTTTGAATATCATGCTAATAAATACAAATGTTTCGCTCTTCTACTGCCAATGAAATACACATACGAGGGTTACAAGTCTCAGCCTTGATCTGCTCGCACAATATCTTGAGAAAAGTAGGGCAGCAATGCGACGCGAAGAACATTCCTGTGTTCAATTGGAGTGAGGTCTTCCTTGGAATCGTTGCGCGGCCGCACAAACCCGATTTTCACACAATCTTTTTCCTTATCGCAGTGCAGCACATAAGCCGGCGTGCACTTGCTTGTCTTCTTCTTGTTTTTGTGCCTGCTTCGCGGTCCCAGTCTGTTCATGGCGTGTGCTGAAATCATCTGGGTTGATCTTTTCCGCTCGTTGGTCTCCCGGAAAGTCTCGGCGTCCCTAGTGAATTTTTTCCATTTCGAAGACAACAGACAGTCAAGTATTTGCGCGCAGGCATATCGCTCCTCTTCGTCAACAGGGAATGGCGACCCCGGCTCGTGGTCATTCGTGGCAGCCGGCAAACCTTCTGGCGCCAGAGCCAGAGGTGGGTGTGAGGTGGCATTCTCATGTTTTTTTGTGTCAACGCAAAGATCAGAAGTGGAGCCAGGAGAAGCAGAACACCGTGCGCGTTCTTCCGGGTGTGTCGTATCACCGGGGGGTCTCTGCAGTGTCGGGTTCCTCCACCTGTCGGACTCCCACTGCAAGCCCTTTCCACCAAGTAGTTTTTTTCGAATCAGACACTGAATTCTTTCTTTCCTCCTGTCCAACACGCCCATATTGCAGTTCTCGTTCGTAGTACTAGTGCCATCGTCTTGATGTTGTTCGCTGACAAGTTCCTCGAGCACCGCCGTCCGAACATGCACGAGATCTCCAATATGCAGGGTTCGCTCGAGTTCGGGTACAACAGGAGCCGGGAATGGCAGCCGCATTGTTCCACCTCTGCTCGCAACAGCACCAGCGGGGCTTTTGAACACCCGAGTGAAGCGAGCGCGGTGCGAGAAGTCGGATTTCTGCACTAGATCGCCCACCAAGCGTCGCCGCTTTTTGTTCCTTTTGTCAGTCACTTTCGGCCTTGCGGTGCCTTTACTTATTTTCAGCAGTTCTTTTTCCTCCTTTTCTTTCTGCTTCTTGAGCTTCAGCTGCTCTCGTCGCCGAATACGTTGCACCGCGCCGCTCTCGGGCTGACGCGTGTTCCATTTCACCGCCGGGACGACCATATTCATATTCACATCAGCTTGTTCCCAGCGTCTGCTCCTTGAGCCGGCCACAGATTTCAGTTCGTCGTGGTCATCTTCTGCCCCCGTCCAAGCTTTCAACGCATCTGCGGAACAATTGGAAAAAATGCGGGACGCCTGCGCGTGAGGCAGCAATAGCGCGGGCGGGCAGTCGTCCGCTGTTTTTTCCGGTTCATGTTGTTCCCGGGGGCGTGGGAAGCTCCGCAGATTTTGTTGAACTTTGCCTTCTTGAGAGTGGTTGCTGCACAACGCTGTGGAAGAGAGCATTTGGCTCTGTTCGTGATATGCATCAAGCGCCTTGGCTGCAGAGTCGTGATCTGGAAAGTACACGTAGGCAGTTCCGCGACAGAACCCGTCTGCATCCGTCAGAACCACACAACGCTCCACAACTTCATCTCGCCCGGGGAAAATGTAGCGCCGTACGCTCTTTTCTGTCGCAGATGAGGGCAGGTCGCGGACCACCAAAGACCTCAGACGCTTGTTTATTAGGCCGGTGCTGGCATCTTCCGGCGGGATGTTGCCGAAGCTTCTTGTTGAGCCCTTTCGTGGTCGCAAGAGCTCGCCGTTGGCTAACGCTGACCCACGTTTTACGCCGTCTACGGCAGAAAAATAACGGCTTGAGCACTTTTCTTCTTCCAGAACCAGCGGCGATCCTTGTCTCGCGGCCAGAGCGGGCAGGTCGGCCCGCGCTCCCTCTCCATCCCCGCCTCGACACTTTTTCATTATTTTCCCGCTTGCTCGTCCAGGTTGAGTATTTTTCGAGGTTTTGTCGTCCCTTTCGCGCGTCGGTAATGAAGAAGTTGCGCCGCCCTGGCTTTGCGGTGCACATGATCCCAGCTGCGTGCGGCTGCTTGTACAGCTAGTTGTAGTGTTTGAAACTACCTTGTTCTTCTGGCGGGTGCTTGAGCTTGTTTGATTCGATGAAGCGGCATTGTTGTGCGCGCCCGCGTTCGGAGGTCTCGGCTTCGCCACAACGTAGCTCGTTGAAATCCACGCGTCGAGATCGTCAAGATCGTCCGGCATCGTGCTTGCTGTCTGAAGAGTGGACTCGCTATTGCTAATAAAATCTAACAGGCTGAGTGCAGCCGCGTTAGGCTGAGTGCAGCCGCGGCAAAGAAAATGTCAAACTCATACGTAAAGTAATTTTTTGAGTTTTGACCGCCGGTATCCAAAAGTACTTGAGTCGCCCAGCACATCCGGATCGCCCTTTCGATTCTGACTCTGAGGGTAAACGAAAGCCGCGCCTGTGGCTTGTTATCATTGGAAATGGAATCTTGTTCTTCACGCCGCACATTTGATTTCATATTTTCTGCTACTATACTTTTCGATTTGTTCGAGTGCTACTATCACAAGTGGCGTCCTCGTCATCTCAGAACGAGTATCTTTATGATCATCTCATCTGCCACCTTCACGCCCGAAAAGATAGTGACATTTTTGCTTTTCGCCGTATAACAATCATATATCATTTCTCCGGAGTTACTTCTGATCATCAAGCCTCCGTTGTGATTTTGTGCTCTTATACACTGAGAAGAAGTATAGAAATTTTGATCATCGGTCATCAATTTATTTCACTACAACTTCTTGGCATCTGGATCTACTTCGCTTCAGGTTTATTTTTCTGTGGACAGCAAGATCTTCCTAGCACGGCACAACGATGGATTCTTTTTTTCTGATCGTAGGCCACCAGTTCAAAGAAGTTGTCTCGTTCTCGTGGTGTTCGATTTTGGACAAGAAAACTACTCATAGAAGGAGGTAATCAGCGTCATTCCGTGATCTCTTGCTGTTTCTTCGTTGTCGTGTTGGTTCATTCCGAAAACTCCTCGGCTCAACTTCACCTTCAGTCTCAGTGCAAAGAAACACGCGCCTCCACACAACCTAGGTCTTGGTGTCGTGCGGCGAAAGCCGTCTACGCTGCTCGCTGCAAGAAAAAAGTCGGGACCACAAGGTCTGGTGCTGCAATGAATCATGAAACAAACGCAACTCTTTAGAGAAACAGAAACTAACTGACACGCTTAATATAAGTATCAAGAACTGGTGTATAGTAGTAAATCGTGCACTGCTTATTTTTCGATGATTTTCTGCATCTTTACGTTCATTATCATTACTGAGCCATAAAAGGAACTGCGATCATGCAGCTATTCCACGGGTACTGCAAAAAGAAAGTTCACTTGGCGTCGATTGGTAGACTGTACTGTACTAGTTGCCCAGAAGTAGAAGAAGGAGGCACCTTCAGTAGAACTAGAGGAGGGACAAGAAGTAAGAGGTGGTGGACGTCGACGTTATAAATCTATAATAATCCGCATCCGCTCCTACACTTGTTCTTCCTGGTCTCTGCAGGCCGCCAGGTGTCTCAACCTGGCGTTTAGCTGCTGTGTTTGCGGATCAAACTCCCGCGCCGCGGAAAGCAGGTCCGCCTCTATTTGGGGGATGAGCTCGTCCGCAGGGTCTTCATCTTCGCGGAGTTTCATCGAGGCCTTGGGAGAACCCGACTGCGATGCCACGTAGTCACTCAATTTCTCTCGCACACTATCCAATAGCGTCTCTGTGTTCACGTTGCGCATGCGGCACGATTCTGTTGCAAACGTCGCAGCACCGCTGAGGGGCGGGAGAACTGGCGGATAGGAGGTGGAATGATCCGGAAGCTGATCGCTGCTGTGGTCCTGTTCGGCACTACCAGCTTGCAGGAGCGGGGTCCCTGATCAAAGTTCGATTTCTTTGCGGTGGGGACTGCTCAGCACAACGTGGTTAGCACCGAGACAAGCAATAATGTTACTGTTACATATAGTTATTACTACGATGGGAAGGAGATCCATAACCACGAACCCAATGTGATGGATGCCGTATATATAATCATGGTACGGCCACGGCGTTATCTGTTGAAGTGACATCCTTGAGAGCTCGTTGTACCACATCACGAACATCCATAGCAGAGTGCTGGTTCTTACCTTTGGCATTCGGTGTGGGTTCCTTTAGTTTTTTGTGTGCACCGCGAGGACGAGCAGCTGGGTGTGGAGGTGGTCCACCAGTTGTATTAATACCGTCGGATTGCGTATGCGACCTGAAATCGCGAATTTCCGCGTCTGACTGCACCGTCGTTGAGGATATCGAACCGTCCGCGTTGAAGTATAAAAGCGGCCGGTTCTTTTGCGGCTGCCGCTGCTCGCTGCGCTGCGAATTGTCTTGCTCGGAAGGAGCTCCCACGTATTGCTGTGAAGCTCCTCTAGCATTTTGCTTGTGGTTTTGACCCTGCTTGTTTTGATTCATCGTGGTCTTCGCGTAATGCACTGCATTGTCGTAAAGTTGCGAGGTGGGATTCAGGTGCTGCACCGGGACGAACTCTTGTGGCGGAGCCGGACTGGTGGCACTTCTGTTGGTCGAGATAGCTGGGCCAGCTGCGGCAGGCGATTGATTCGTTAATATCTTCCGCGACCGACTGCTGCTGCTATCCACTGCTAAAAACATGTCCGGTGGACCTGCAGGGATGCGACCTTGTGATGCGGATTTCACATCACACAAAAATTTGTCATGCGAGGAAACCAAAAGTTGCACAATTTTTGCCACCGATGAAAGAAGGGCTTTGTGATGCGAATCTTTGCGCTGCATTGCAAGAAAGAAACCTTCTCAAAGCCTGTAAAAATGCTAGGGCGTACATGCCAGATCCTGCTTGTTCTGGCTCAGGCAAAAGCTGCATCACAAACCTCTGCATCCTTCTAGACCCAGACATATTTCTTGCAGTGGATAGCTGCTGCTACTGGACGATTGCAGCTGTTGCTGCGTCGTCCAGAGACCGTGCGTATCAAGTGTAAAAATGTCTGGGTCTGGAAGATTCTGAGATTTGTCGTGCATGTTTTGCATGACCCAGGATGTCTGTAATGCGCGACCGCGCATCACAGGTTTTGAGCTGGCTTCCTGATGCCTACTCCGCATGAGAAACGCCATCCCCGCGTAGCACAAACTAGACTCCTCTTGCTGGTCATGCAATACAGATTTTTCTAGAGTCCAAAGTTAGCATCACAAGTTCCAATCTTCCAGACCCAGACACTTTTACATTTGATAGTGCGTCATTCGTGTTCTCTCTGCGCCGTCCTCGTCGCCGAGCCCTACTGCTCTCTTGGGACGACCACCTCCCGGAGAACTACCTCCAACTGGAACTGCAGCATCGGTGCCGGTGCTGGTTGATGACACAATTGTCTCATGCTGGTGGTGGTGACGATGATGGTGCTCATGTTCTTGACGATGTCCGCCCGAAACTGCCACGCTAGTAGCATCGTCACCGTGCCCGTGGTGGTGGTGGTGATGATGCCGTAGCTGTTCATCTTGACCAGAAATCGCAGTTCTACTCTCGACAACTGCACCTGCACCCCCCACGACCTGGGGGTTGTAAGATTGGTGGTGATGGTGATGATGTGTAGCGTGCATGTTCATCGCGCTTCCGTCCACCGAGGTAACATGCTGCATCGCGGTGTCTAGGGGATTTTTCATGCCAATCTGCGTCATCATAGTTGTACTGCTGCTCGTCGCCGACGCTGACGCTGTCGCACCCCCGGCGACAGAAGACGACGGCCGCTGCTTGGGGCTGTGCCGCACCATCATCGGAGAGCCGCCGCTCGCCGGGCTGTAACTGAGAGTAGACGAGGCCGCGGCCGGTCCGCCCGCAGGAGAAGCATGGTAAGAACTCGTTGGACCAAAAGGGCTGGGACCGCGAGGTTGGACGACAGCGCTTTGTTCTTGTTGCTGTAGGTGATGTTCCTGATGATATTCTAATTGCCCCCCTGGCCCTGCGACGCGTGCCATAATTGCAGTTCCACCTGGCGCGGCGGAGCCAGCGAACTGTTGAGTTGTGGCACTCGAAACCCCGCCGCGGCTAATGCTTGATGAAGTGCCACCGCCTACCACATGGTTACTCGGGTTCTTGGCAAGCAGGTTTAGGTACTGCTGCCCGAGGGTCAAGCCTGGCCCTTCTGGGCTGCGGGCTGTCGGCGTCGTGGGAGAAAGCTGAGGGCCTCCAGACGTGGAAATCAAACTTCCGGGTGACGCGGCAGCGGCCAGACCACCAGCCCCCGGCGGCGCGAATAGGGTTCCCGTGCCCGTCGTTCCGGCAGGGTAGTGGACTCCCTCCAGCCAGTAGTTGCCGCTCAGCCTACGGTTGTCGTCGAGCAAGGGCTGTGCGAGCAGCTGCTTCACTTTTGACGGAATCTTCTTGTATCGCGACGGCTGGGTGAACGCGCGATTCAGGTGGGAAATCGACGTTGAGCCCGGATTCCACCGGTGGCAATCGCTGCTGTTCACGACACCCAGTCCCCGGCTCCCAATGTTCATGTTCGGGAACTCGTTGGCAAATGCGCTGTTGCCCGGGCCACGCATGTGGATATTGAACTTGGACTGCCGGATCTGCTGTAGAGATGCGAGACTCAAGCTCAAATTCTTGTTCACATTCAACATCTGCTGCTCCATCTCGATTTTCGAAACGTTGGCACTCGTCAGCTGCTCGTCGTTGTTGTAATCGTGCAGGTAGCTGCGGCCCGCTGCAGTCGTGGGCGATGCGTGGTCACCTGCGCTTTTGCTCAAGTACTCCGAGGCGAAGTAGTGCCGGTCCATGCTGCGCCTGGTCACGTCGACCGTGCTGTAGGATTGCGCCCGCTGGTGCGGTTTGGGTGCACGTTGCAGCACGACCCCGCACGCAGTTCGGCTCATGCGCATCTCCGAAATCGATGCACCTGCGGTTGTGATATAGGGTCTTCGCGAATTATGCGAAGACTAACCACATGGATCATTTTCATACTCAGACTGAAGATCAGCAACAAGGTTTTTCACCATTATTTCTCATACTATTGGCATACCGGCGCTCGCCCCCGCCTCTGGGTCCACCGGGGCTTGCCGTTCCAAGTCGCGGACGGCGTACTCGAGATTTGCGGACACAATCTGCATGAGCTCGAAGAAGACCGCAAGAGGAAGCCCGTCGTGGTACCGTCGGCGCAACAGGATATCTTGCAGGAGCGGCGACTTGCTCAGGACCTGGTGAAACTGTTCCTCGGTGACTTTCTGGCATTGTAGCACAAAGCGACATCCTGCTTCCAAGGCGTCCGCCTGTTGCTCCTCCGACTCTAAAACACCATTTCGAGTCGGCACGTCGTAGGTTTCTAAAGTTCGCGTTTGTGAATGATGTTCAAATCTTCATTTGTTAATATACGCTCACGCTGCAAACCCAGACATTCATGTTAACAAAGGCAAAGCACGCAGCTACTAGCTTGTAGGTGGTTGTATCATTCATCCACGACCTCCCGCTCTATGTTTCACGAGAAGAAAAACTGAAATCGTCAGAGCCGCGATCATCCTTGTTCGGGCTGCAAAAAGTGTATCAATTTCAACGAAGTGGAAGTACCGAAAATCTGCATCAGCCGCTGGTAGTTGAATCTTTTTGCGGCCGTCGCTGTGGTGCGCGGTGACGCGGCGTATACTGATTCTCTTGCATTGCGGTGGAAGTCTGGAGAATTCTTCAAACTCTGCGCCGCCACAACGACAGGCGAGTAAGCGCCGGCGCTCCAATTATTTTGGGTCAGCATCATTTTCATCTACTCGGCAATATTATACTTTCACGCAAACCGCTGTAGACGAAGCGAGGAAGAAGAACTCTGTCGGGTATACAGAAGCTGCATCAGCACTGCGACTGCGTTGATGTTGATGATAGTGAACCACGAAGACTGCAGCGGAGCGAAGTATTTAGTGTTGTGCAGAAGAAACTGATATATAAAATCATGACCACTTGTTCGACTTGCAACAAAAAAAGGCTACTATGAGGGTGATTACGTTGCCAGAATCAGATCGATGAGCACCACGAGACACGGTAAATTGCGAAGCAAAGTGTGCCGGAAACGCGTACGCGACGAGAACAGGGATCGAACCGGCGTGCCTGCATGCTGCAGGGCACTGTATTTTACCTCTCTCAGCTACTTAGCTTCGTTCTTCAGGCTAGTAAGTACGATTGATCAAAAATTTGTAGCTCTAGTAGCATTGCGTTTGACATGGTGCATCATGCTGGTGATGTGAATCTGTATCCCGCTGTGAGAATGGTACCTCTCCGAACTCTCACAAGCTCGCGAACGCGATCTCGTTCACACTCAACATTGGTTTGACGTGTAAAAATTACGGTACCAAAGCAAAACCTAGACGAGCTAGAAATAAAGCAGACGGGCCCGCCATGCTAACCTTTTCATGCGACTCTCGAATCACCTCCACGTGCGAAACAAAGCGGTTGCGAACATATTTGAATTTCTGCAGTACTCGCTTCGCACTCAAAGTGGTGCTTACACGGGCTCGAAGACCCGGCTGCTGCGGCGCATGCCATGCTGGCAAAGTACAGCCCAGACGTGGTGTCGCTGGCTGAGTTGATGTTCAAGTTTTTTCTCTTCGCGTTCAACAAGATCAGAGAAGAATCTCGATGCATTGGTCGTGACAGTCATCCCGCAGACAGGTGACTGCTCCCACCACCTGGTACGCCGGGCGGCAGCATGGAGGACCCAGCAGGTGGCCCACCTTGGTGCCCGGCACCAGCGCCTGCAATGTTGCCGCCTGCGCCCCCACCGCCCGGCGCTCCGTAGGAGGATGCTCCTGCGCCGGCACCCGTGCTTCCGGCACCGCCCCAGCGTATGTACTCCTCGGTCTCCGCAGCCTTGTATTCTTCGCTGAGGGATAGGACCACCTCTTTGGATTCGTCGAATTCGTCCAGGGACTCGGAAAACATGGGCTCCTGGCGGTAATTTTCCAGGAACGCGTTGCGGGACCGGAGCTTGTCGTACTGCTTGATGCAACGATCGTATCGTACGAAAAAAGTGTTTCACTGTAAGGATTTTGCAATTTCTGCATCACAAGTTTGCTCTACATCACAGAGAAAATTTGCCATGCTAGATTCCTAAGGGAAAAGACAGCTAAAAATCCATTGTCTTGCATGTGTAGCAAGACAAACACTTCTCAGATACAGTTTCTGCATTACAAGTTCACAGTGAAGCAGTTTTTTCTTGCGATAGATCGAACAGGCCCGCGATCGCCGTGTGGTTGGCCAGCATCAAGCCCGAGACCTTGTTCTGGTGCTGTACGTAGGGCGACTGGCGGGAGAGCGCCACCTGGATGCTCGCAGGGCCCCACCGGATGAACTTCGCTAATTTGCGCTCCCGAATCCGCTGCAGCGACCGGTGTACCTGCGTGGGGTCTACTTCGCCCTGGATGATGTTCAAAATGCTGATGTACACACCGCGTCTCGTGCTGCATATGGAGGCGTCAGAATTGAAATTGACAAAGTTGAAAAATTTGTGATGCATAAAACCGATACCAGTTGGAAGCCCAATTTCCAAGCGGCGCATGACAAATCTCGACGTCATCGAAATCCAGTTTGTCATGCTGTTTAGTGAAAGAAGGCATCCTTTGTCATGCTACTTTAGCAGCTCTACCCCAAACCCGAAACAGGCTCACAATCGGCCTCACTTGCAATCCCTGCAGGACAGTCACTTCTAGCCTTGCATTTTATGCATCGCAGATTATTTCAAATTCAACTTTGTCGATTTCGATCCTGACACTCCCATACTGCAGCTGACCATGATATTCTTGGCGTGGAGCAAACGCCGCATCACGTCCAGAACCGTGGTCTTGCGGACCTGGTGTACGTTTTTCCGATATTTCTCTGTCAGTGTCGATGTCATCATAAAGATCATGATATCTATGCATGATCTTCCTGTTCGTCTACTTAACAAGTAGCGCATGACATGAGATTCAATAGAGCAGGTCGTGGTTGTGGATGACACCTGTCCTTCTTGCTAGACATAGTTATTTCCATGCTTGTTTGCGCAGGCGATAGGAAAAGCCAACACCTCCACCTCCGGCCCCACCCGGTCAGAATGAAATAAGTAGAGCTGGACTGATACTAACATGACTCACCAGAGGACTACGTCATTGTATGCCTGCCGCGAACAACACGAGCACTGCCTTGTCACTGCGTACCGATCGATGGTTGTGGTTCTTGTACAGTTCTGCTAGAAAGAGTGTGCATGCATGGAAATAAGCAACAAAATTGAATAAAATCAAAATCTTTGCTACCGCGGTTATTTGTCGGTCAATCATGAGTGGAGTATAGCCGGTCATGAGGAAATGGCACCGCGGGGTTGGGATCAAAGAAGCCACTATCCCGACGAGATCGTTATTCATGTACGATGGATATCGCAAGGTGGTCGTTGAGGCGGCCATAACTGAAAGAATGAAGTATATTATATTTGTATACCAGAAAACTCAAACTTCTTTGTATGTGCTTCTGCTTTCCCGTGTGATATGGCTCCATAGACGGTCGAATAACAAGAAAGGAACTTGTTTTTTTAGTTTTCATTCTCAGCTTCAGCTTTAATACTGCAATCAATGAATGAATTATGAACAATATCATCCACTGCAACAAGCATGAGCAGAGATTAGGACCTCCTGCTTCTACCTGTGGAAACTAGTGTGTTGGTTTGTGCGAAGGTTGGGTTCTGGAGCTTCAAGCGATCCACTGCAATCCGATTCAGTGCCGTGTTGTCCAGAACCACCACGCAATCGGAGTTCAATGCGAGGCGCTTCAGCGTCAGAACGCTGTTATACGGTTGCACCACAACGTCGGAGGTTTCGCTGGACAACAGCGGAAATACCGAGTACGTCATTATCAACTTCTTCGGATACCTGTGGTGTTGTTGAGGACGAAGGTAAACGGCGGGAACTAAGTGGAATGGCTTTCGGCGGGCGCGCGTCAGCATCGCATCTTTCGACAAAGAGAAAGACGAAGTTCGCCCGCACTCTTGCATGAAACAGCTGCATTTCAAAAAATGTAGGCTGCAGCTTGAGCTTCAACTTCGTGCTCCATAGAAGGACATGAATGAATCATGTCGCAGTCGCATAAGAATCGTAGTTAATATAAAAAGTTTTCGAACACGAACTACATGCTGATCCCCATCCGTTCCCGTTGCCCTTTGAAAGTAGCCACACTATATTACCAATAAGCTTCAGCTTTTCTTACCCGCAAGGACCGCAAGACTAAACAAGAATTTTAGAAGAAGCGAATAGCACGGGCACGGGGACAGACCAGAACTTCTACAAGAATAAAACAAAATTATTTATGCGACGTCTCTCGCTCGTGCTCCCACCTTACCTGTCGTTTATGTTTTCCAAAATGTGCGACCCCATGCCGGAACCGGTGCCACCTGCGATGCGGTGTCCAATGCAATTATGCCCGCGTATGGAGCGTTGCGAAGCAAGGTTTTTTTTGTGATGCAGGTGTGTGGATGAAATGGACGGCGCGGAAGTTCTCATACAGGGCCAAGCATGAGGAGAAAAAATTCTGACGCGGCGGCTGTGCGCTACCGTAGCACACATCAGCCACCGTGTGCGTAAGGCGTAACAGTTATGCTTATGCATGACGCACGAGAAACTACGACTATGTGACAATCAAGGGAGTCAGGCTCTACTTAACTTGCTCGCGCCCTTCATTGATATGCACGACAGACACAGAGCCATACGTCCTGCCAGACAAGCATGACACAAATCTTAGAAGACTGGCGGGACCACCTGCATCAGCGACTGACGATATCCAGCCAGCCAGTCAAATCTTGCAATCTTCCAGACTCAGACATATTTTGATTTCATACGGAGTGGATCAGGACGAAACCTTCGAGGCTGTCACTTCCGTCCGCCTCCCGGTCGATCATGTCGAAAATCTCTTCGCAATGTTTCTCGCCGGAGTGGAAGCCTTTTGCCTGATCATGGCGAATAAAAAAAGTAAAAGCAAGTACAACAAAATCGATTCTGCTCGTGCGCTACCGCCTCTTTCAAAGCCATCACGCTGATTGCGTCTACTTGCAGAGGAACAGATAGAAGAGATGAGACGAGATGTGACTATTTCATTCTCATGCTGTGCGAGAAATGCGCCATCATGTGCGTCAGGTGCGGCGCAACCTGATCTTAGGCCACCTGCATGTTTCGGTGAACAAGCACAGATTTATTAATAATCCAAAACAAGAACAACTTATTTTATTTAGATACCCAATTATTTCCTGCACCGCCACCCTCCTTACTGATGAAAATGTTCTCCGGGTTATACAGATCTGCATAGGACGAGTTTTGTATTGCATTGATGACGCGCGGCTCGAGGTCGATGAGCAGTGCCCGCGGAATGTATTGCTCGTCATCCGCTTGGTAGAAGAAAACGTCTTTCCGATCGTCGGCCAAGTGCGTCGCGTAATCCTCCAAAATCCCCTTTTGGTTGATGCCATGCTCCGCGCAGAGCGTCTTCCAAAACTCCATACCAATCTGGTTCCCACATTGTCCCACCTGGAGCGTAATGATTTCTCGTGGCATGGTGGGCTGCTACTTACTTCTCGCAAGACCTCCGGGTTGTAACAAAGCTGAAGGCCGCAACCGTGGAGCAGTGACTACCTCGGGCGGTTCCTTTCCGTGGTAGTGTGCGTGAGGAATCTGTTTGGATTCGTGAAAAGTTCTATGATGTCCTCCTTGTGGTCGTGGCTCACTGCACGCCACGCAATGGCATAATATCCGTCCTATTGACTCCTTCCGCGTACTACTAAATGCTGGTTGGGTTCTAGTCGTGCGCTTGTGGTCCGCGTACGTATTTCAAACTGGTTGGAAAGGCTCAACATGGCATGCCGAATTCGGGAGCGTCACACGTAGGAACGTGATACAGTGAAGCCCGGCTGTAGCGAAAACTCGCCTTCCATTGGTTCCTACATTTTCATCACGTGACCTGAGAGTATAGAAGTTTTACTTTTTGAGCTATAGCGCAAATAAAAATCTGAGGATGACACTGTGCCTGATTAACAAGCCACTACGTCAATATATTTCTTCACTTTTTCTGGTATAATGCCGTACACTAAAAAATGTGCGGAGCGAAGATGATCAGAGCCCGGTACGCAATTATTGCAGAGACATACGATGTCAAAGGTACGGCAAGGTATGAGATCCTCGGGTGAGAGTCATAGTAAAGAACGCCTCTGAAGATCGATACTTGAAAGAAAAAATCGCAAGCAGACAGATCTTCAAAAACGATGAGGCACGCATCGCGGGGACAACTTGACGGCAGAGTCGAGGAGATCTATTTTGACGAAGAACTTTATTTGTCCGTCACAGCACACAAATATTAACGCGAGCACACGACACGTCACAGGACAATCATAATCGTAATTCACAGCACATCCGACTCGTCCCGCAACAAATCTGCAGCATTGGTTTGCTGTGTAGCTTTCGCGATCAACTTGATTTCGTTCGGGTGCCACTTCATCTGCTTTCTGATGTTACGAGGAAGACCATGCACAACAAATTAATATACTTAAACGAAGGTCCTTCTCCATCGATCTCGTCTACATGTTCATGCGTTTTTCGCAACGCGGCAGCATCATAATAAGTGCAGCAGACGTAGAAGTATACTCCTGGACGAATTGTAAGCTTGATACACCATGCGCGTCTCGCCACATCGTAGTGTAAGGAACATGTCTGGCGAATTCAGTGGAGCATCGCAGTTTGCGCCCTGCTTCTCTGGCGTAGTTGCGCAGCCACGCTACTTCTTTTGTTCTTGCATGGCTTGTTCCTTCCTTCTTGGAACGAAAGTTGTGAGGTGGCGCGTCAACGAGTATGGCAGCTACAACTTACTACACACGGTAAAGGCATGTCGTCCCTGCGCCTGCGGCAGACACTGACAGGAGGCTTTTTTTCATTCTCCTGGTAAACCAAAATGTTTTCGCGTCACGGTCGCCGTTGTAGTCGGAAGTAGATCCACAGGGCACGGGAAGTATGTATGTGGATCACGACGGATCCGGACCCAAATGAAAAATGAGTATAGTAATTCAGTGTTTGTTCGCCCCTCAAAGAACCACGTCAGCAGGTGAAAAAGCCATAAGCGGCGTACAGTAGGCCGACAAAGCCGGTGTTTACGTAGTTCCAGCTGCTGGTATTCATGATGTACATGGCGAGGAGTACGCATATGAGGGCGTACATGCCTTTGATGCACGGGAAGCGTTGTACGAGGGTGATGGCCAGGGGGATAAACCCGAGCGAAAACTGGATCAGGAAATAGGCCTGCGGCATCGGTTCCGCGTACGAGCCCAGCGACAGGTAAGATAGGTGCGGGCTGCGCAGGGTCGCTTCCACCACACTCGCTATGGGAGCCGCGCTCGTGTCCGGGAGCCTTTGCGCGGTGATGGGAAGGTAGACGAGCGAAGCGGTCTGCAGGGCCAGCATCAGCAGAAACGTGCGCTCTTTCTGGAACAGCGTCCGCGTGAGGGGCCACGTCTGTGCAATTTTATATTTCTTTTTTGCCTACTTTACCAGAGTTGCTTCGAGTTGGAAAGTCGTGCGCAACAAGGATCAATATTTCAGAATTTTTGCATCGGAAGCACGATTGTTTTCGCTTTTCTGTATATTGAAAAGGAACGAAAAAGTTCAAAAAAATGATGATTTGCACATTCATTGGCTACGTCAGTCAGCTCTAAAAAAAAATAAATACGCTGGGATAGCGGATGACGTAGACAACTCCGAGAACTAGGCCAAGAGTGTACTTGCCCAGGGTTAATGGCCATTGTGCTGTGAAGAGAAGTATCAAATGTAAAAGTGTCTGGGTCTGGAAGAATGCAACTTGTCATGCTAAATCTGAAGCATGCAAAAATCTGTGTTGCATGATTGCCAAAAGTCGTCCAGTTTTGACCAAGTCGTGAGGGAGTTTCTCATGCAGGATAGGCATGAGAGAGATCGCACAGAATCTGTCGTGCTAGGTCCTGCATTCCAGGCCTCATGGGTCATGGAAAAGCTGCATGACAAATCGCGCATTCTTCCAGACCCAGACATATTTGCAATCCATAAGAAGCAGCATGAGGAGGAGCCAGCCGTGCCATCGGGGTTCGACAGTGAAGGTCTGCATTTGAAGAAACTCATCGCGAATCTGTGAGGGCGCGATTTTGGGATTCTGAAAGTGGTACAGGCACTGCAGGCATACTAGCGTCGGCTCGATGCCTCGCAAGATGGGAATTGGGCTGAGACTATCGACTGCAAGAAAGGGTGTCTTGGACAGCAAAATAATATACTCAATTTATTTCGGTGGAGTTGAAGATATCGATCATTATCGTGACCATGAACAAGGACGACCCCTGTTTTCTGCATCTTGAGATGACTGCTTGTTCAAAGTCCACTTACTTTCTGCAAGAAGATCACGTTCCGACATAATTTCTATGTCCAGTAAAAAATGAGGACTGTGAACAAATCTATCACTTTTGGCGTTCGGGAGCGAAGCCCTCAGCTGAAAATGCATTTGCACAAGCCTTCCTCCCTACATGAGCTGTAAATCTGCTGAACCAACTGACATCCTTGTGTTCGATACGCCCCGCCTTCAGGGGTAACGGAGAGCTCAAAATCCGTCAGCCTGAAGTAACTCTGGAAAGCAACCATGGCAGCGTGCAGAACGTATACAAGGGGAAAACGATTTTGCCACCGTAATCTACTTGCGACGTCATGCACCGAGTCCCGCAAGACCAAGAGCAAGACGCGCACGTTCTTCATAGCGTGCGCGTTCCCGCCAGTAAAAACCTATTCGATAGCCATACACTCATGATTTGCCTTAAGGGCGGCGCACTGCAGATTTTCTCTCTACTGACACAAGCTAGTCCTAGTTCGTTGCATTTCGTGGTCATGATGATGGTGTCATGGGTAGAATTTGGGTGTCGTGAGACAAGAATTACGGTGGTGCACGTGCAGTATCTGTGTGCGATAAACCCAGAAACCGCTTCAAAAAAGTACTGGTTCCGATAAGCGATTCATACGTGTACCTGTGGCAGTTGTGTACAAGTTTTTCTGTTCCTACAAATTTCCATGGATTTTGATTTTCTATTTTAATGGACTGTCTGTGATGGTTTCCCAGCGCACGTGCTGCTGCTGGTACAACTTTGCACCCCCATGCTGGTGTCGAGAATTGCGACAGTTGTTTTTCTATCGCGAGAGATGAAACCTGACTAAGTACAACTAGCTCAGCAATTGAGTTTAGTGTGCACGAAAGAAAACAATATTGTAGTCCAGCAAACAACAAACAAAAATGAAAATTGTTCTATCTTTATCTTTTTCATTAGCATTACCCGAATATAATGAGCATGCTCCCGATGAGGCACGTGCGCAAAAAGCCCGAGTACGGAACGAACCAGTGTAGTATTGCGCTTGTGATCAGTTGGTTGTTACTGCTGTAGGCGCCACTGGTCGGTGCTGCGGCGTTAGGTGTTGCGCTGGTATCGGCGCCGCCGCGTGTTGTGCTTGTTTCTGGTCCCCGCCCCGTTGGGGAGCTGACGGCGCGACTTAGGGAGTCCAGATTTAGAACCCATCCCCTGCTGGTGTCAACATAGCCATACCAGTCGAGCCACCAAACACCCCACATCATCAGGAAAAAGGAGAAGCAGAAGGGCGGCGCTTTTTTGGTTCGGCTGAACACATGCATCAGAGTAAACACGCTCTTACAGCAGTCTTTGCAGAACTGGGCCGGGCCCTTCTCTGCAGCCGGGTTCCGAACTGCCGACATAGGTTTTCTTTTCGCAGTTACGCTGGAATAAACAGGTTTGAATCTCGACAATCTGTAAACAAAGGGGCTGCGAATTCTGGTCGGAACAGAAATACAAGCTGCCTGAACAAAAGTAATACAACACGTCCTCGCATCTTTTACTTCTTACCTTGTTGGTGGTGGAGAGAAACTAACCCTCGCGTCCCACGGACCCATGAGGGCAAAACTGGGAGTCTGAAAATGTATTTGACTGCTTGCGAGGAAAACGAGAAATAGATCACCTTATCTATACACAGCAGCTGCAGATCAGCCATGCCCTTTAACTCTACTATCGATGTCGGCTTCGGCAGATTGACATTGAAAAAATAGCATTCGATTCGGGCCCACTTGCTTCGGACTTGAATCCTTTTTATTGTACTAGATCTTATTCATTTACTGTGCTCCAGTTTCTGCAGAGCGGGCCCGGGGGCGTGAGGCTTATTGCAAAATCTAATGTTTCTTCGATCTTGTTTCCCGGCCAAATACAAATTCGAACACGATGCGCGAAAGAGGCCAGTACAAAGTCGGTCTCTTTGAGGAGGTCGAGAGCCCACCGAATGTTGTAGCCCTTCGGAGGCGGGTGCTTCTTGTGGAGATGAAGAAATAACATCGTAAAACTCCATATCCAATCGATGACAACCACAACTTCTTTTACTTGCATAATTTCCTGCAGAAAGTGTATAACTGCAATGGCACAACTGCAACTAACAATACTACTACTTACCCGACAGGCGGGCAGTTTGTAGGCAGAAGCCTCTCTTTTAGGCAGGGTATGCTGCGCATACGAAAAACGTTTATGATTTGTCCGTAGCGTCATAACACACACGAATATACAAAATACTTGTGTCGCAGTCCTAAACGTGGTGCAGGATTAGGGAAAGCAAACTCTAGTAAGTGGACTTCGAGTTGCGAACAATGCGTGCATGAATTACATTCTACGGAAGACGAAGAACTATGCAGGGTGTGCAGAAAAAGAAAAGGAAAGCTTTATACTGGGAAAATTAACGAAAAGATGATGTATGTATGGTGAATGTGGCGCTGGTGCAACGAACTCGAACTGCTAGTGCAACTGCAAGTGAATCATGTGATTAAACTGGGTATGACATGGAAATGGTGACACAAAAAAATCCGAGTTAACAGTGTGTGAACGCGGGCTGCTCGCTTCGGCTTCTTACTTTTTTACCAGATAAGAATGAGGTACACCAGGAACCACTCGCCTTTCTCCAGGGTACTGATGTTCTATAACCCTCTCAGGTGTTACAATCTCAAACGTTACAATAGAATATGGAAATCTGTGATGCAACAAGACTGCACGATCTAGCCAACTTTCATAGGATTGCGCATGACAAGTTCTGGAGTCCCAATCCGCACTACAATCTGGCGACATTTGTATTGCAGAAAGTGAAATGCTGTCCGAGTCTGTCATGTTCATCATGCAAGACAAATCTCAGACTCTATTGCAACGCTTGAGATTGTAACACCTGAGCGGGTTATATGTTCACCTCGTTCTTCTTCTTCGGGAGCTTGTCCGTGAGGTATGCAATGGCGTCCTTTTGAAAGGCGATGGTGTCCTGATCCAACTCGGCTTATTACAATGAAAAGTGCCCCCATCCCCGAACTTGGAAGCGTTTGCATTGCAAACGTTTCCAAGTGAAACATTCGCCCTCTTGCATCTATCAGCATCACAGGTTTCCAATCGTGAATACGAAAAGCAAAAATTTGTATTGCAAAAGACCCCAGCAAGAGCGGCGGTTGTCATGCAAGCGATGCGATACTTACACGCCTAGACTCTGCATCGGAAAGATTCATACTCCTTTCATGCATGACAAAAAGTTTTCATTTGGAAACTCCGCATCACAAATTTTTGCAAATTCAGGGGTGGGGGGCACTTTTCACTGTAATACGGTTTGCCCCTTCTTCGGACTCGCTTCCCGCTCCTCGATTTTCTCCAGTGCCTTCAACAGCTTGCCCCGCACCCCGTCTTCCGTTTTATTACAGTGAAAAATGCCCCCACCCCCAAAGTTGCAAAAATTTGTGATGCGAAGATTCCAAATGAAAACTTTTTGTCATGCATGAAAGGAGTATGAATCTTTCTAATGCAGAGTCTAGGCGTGTATCGCATCGCTTGCATGAGAAGCGCCGCTCCTGCTGGGATATTTTGCAATACAAATTTTTGCTATTCGCGATCGGAAATCTCTGATGCTGATAGATGCAAGAGGGCGAATGTTTCATTTGGAAAAGTTTGCAATACAAATGCTCCCAAGTTTGGGGGTGGGGGCATTTTTCATTGTAATACGTTTCGCGTTGGATTTTCTGGGCCTCCTTGATGAAATTCCGGTACATCTTTCGTTCCGCCTCCTGGTCAATGTTCGTGACGCCGTACTTGCACCGAACCACGATTTTGTCATCCTCCTCGTCTATCCACTCGAAAATCTGCAGCAGCGCACCCCCAGTGTCAACGAGCACGAACCGCAAGGCGTGAGTAATGTAGTCGCAGCCGTCCCTCTATCAAATTGAAAAACTGTGCCCCCGCCCCAGTAGATTTTATTTCAGAGAGCGTTTGTACTTCCAAGCCCCCACGACCCTTGATGGTGGAAAAACAAACTCGCAGCCCTGTGCAAGTAGTACTATGTCAGCAACGCGACTTTTCCTCCCAGAATAATCAAATTTTGCGCTGCCCAGAATAATCAAATTTTGTATTGCGCAGCGGTTCAACATCGTTTTCGTTAGCGATGTCTGTAATAAGGTGAGAGCCGCGCAACAAGCCTGGTCGGATTCTGGACCGAATCGAAACGAATGAATTTAGTATAGATACATCACATTCATGAGAAAGAGATTCTTCATGTGGAAGCTCTGCAAGGCAAACACTTCTTCTTTCTGGGGATGCGGAACAACTTTTCAGTGTGATAGGACCGCCATCATGCGCTTCTTCGTCGCTTCATCGTCCATCCTCGAGGATTCGGATTCTTGCACCCAAAGCCGCGTGGATACAGTTTATGGCCTGGACAAAAGAGCGAGCAATTGTATCTGGCACGTGATGTTGCAACTTACTCGGCAGCAAGCACTACGACCACAAGCAACGGGAGAGCGCAGCCGGCTCCGTGGAGTGCCGGTCTTTCTTTCTAGCAACTCAGCTGGTACGCGAATAAAACACTACAATCTTATCAATTTACGCGCCTTGGGTAAAAGCTGTAAAAAATAGGGGAGCAACTTGGGATGGTGTGAACAAGGGCAACTGTAATTGGGTAATATTCAATTTCATTTACAATTGTTTGGAGGCTACAGTTTCGGAGTCGTACATAATTCGGGTCCCACTTGTAGTTGCACGTCGACCACGACCTTGTCAGAGCAGAACGAAATCGGGTGTAGTACGATAAAATAATGTTTCCGCACGAGCGAGACGATGACTTTAATTCGTAGTCAGACACGTGTTGGAAGAGCTCAAGAATTTACGTCTGTGCGAACAGTGTAGGCCTTCCTTTTGTTCCTTCTCCACGCCTGTCTTATCTACAGCTGTACCTTTCAGTTTCATCTTCTATCTGATTCCGTTTCCGTCTATGTTGATGTTCCTTTAGGATTACGACCGAACCGGAGAGGAGGAGAGATACTACTTGTACGTGGGGCTATATTCGAACGGCGTGTGACCGCACGATGAACACGTTCTTGCTGAGGAAAGCGATAGCGAGAACGAATTTTACCGCGATACGGACATAGACACTGAATCATGTGTCTTTGTCACGACGACCTTGGTGAACTCTGCTGTCAAGAGCGACAGCACAGTGGCCGCGGGTCGCGAATTACGATCACGATGACGAGGGTGATTTATGTACTGGAAAAGACCAAAATTAAAGCACAGAGAAGTTTTGAACTTTGTTGAAGTTAAAAGAGAGAGAATGACGTAGGTGGAGTACGTAAATATGAATAATGTGGCCACATATTAATCTAGACTACTGCGATGCGCGTATTGTGGGGGCTGGGGACTTCTGCCCTCAGGGTCCCGCAGGCTCTGGCCGGGTCGCTGTTCTGACCTAGAACATAGGCAACCCGGAGCCTGTGGGTGCTCGCGTAAGTAGAATCAAGGTCATGCGAATGGCACACCGAGGGTGCCGGCTCACTACCATTCGCTGAAACTACTACCGTCCGCAACCAACTACTTTCGCGCAATTAGAATGACTATAGTCTACTTATAGTGTGTATGTATTTCTATAGTGAGTATGTGAAAATGAAAATGATGTAAAACAAAAACCAGAATGCCACGCACTAGAGCGAAGCATTTGCGAAGGTGTACGGATCTATGTGTGTCATGCTTGATCATGTAATTTGTGATGCGTGGGATCGAAACTGGTGCATTTTCAAATTTAGTAGAACAGATCTTTTCTCGATCCCAATCTGTCCATTGCGAAGCTGAAATTAGATCTTTATGAGATAAAAGCTACAATTTGATCTAGAGTGTAATGCTGGAAATATGAATGTCAATTTTGTACCACTTGGTATTTTTTAAAAAATAAAATAAGAATATAAGTGGGGAGATTACTCCACCCAAGGTAAATACTAGTACACTTCTCACGCATATTTACAGTTGCCCAAAGAAAGGCGAAGACGACGAGACTGGGAACATGCATGCATATACAATGTCTGAGCCTAAACTTCGGGCTACAGCAGTACGGGCGTTTATTTCACTCAACTTGTTCCCTACACGCTGCGTAAGCGCAGCCCTGGTTGCAAGACAAAGCCATTTTTTGTATGAAATTTAATTAGAATTAGAGCACGATGACGCGGGTGAGGCACGGGAGCAGCAGCGGGTCCTGGCGCTGCAGCGGCTCGTGCTGTTGCAGCAGCTTCTCCTCTGTGGCGGCCCCCGCCCTGCTCGCCAAGTCGTTGGCGAAAGTTCACCGGGCGGAGTTTCATGAGTGCCGCGCCTATCGTCCCGCGGATAATGTTGCGGGCGTCGCGTGTCTTCAGCCCATGGTCCACGTACAGCTTATTTTGGACCTCCTTACTAGTGATCTGATTGTCCCGGCGGTACATCCCGGCTCGCTTGAGCGTACTGTTGCACGACAGAGTTGGACGAGGGTGTTTACAGTTTGCATGGACGGAGGACCGATTAGCGCTGCTGAGGCGCATTCTCCTAGCGCAGGAGATGTTTTTACAGCCGAGTCATATTCTCCTAGTGCAGGAGCTGTCTTTACGTCTCACAAGCGGATGCCAACCAACCGATTATCCCTGCTAGGGTGCCAGCTACACTCGCACCGATTCTTTCCGACTACTGTGCTTTGGTTAGTTCGCAGTCGAACAATTGACTACAAGCTGGTAGCCCCCCTTCCCTGCAAGGGCGGGGACGCGATAGACACACGACGAGTTCGGTGAGCACCATCCTAGGTGCGGGGTAGCTAACCGTCGCAGGTAGGACGAGCGTCAAGAGCGACAGAATTTTGCTGATCGGGCAAAATTGTATCTATCCGAACGGCTACGCCTACAAATTTCAATCGATCCCCATAAGCCGGAGCAAGGGGATAAGACTCAAGGAATTCGGCCACTGGGCCCCAGTCTCGGCCACTCTCCTTTACTTTCTTATCTTGCACGCTACTAGTACCTGGTCGATACCTCTCGCAAATTCTTAGCGAGGCAGGGAAGGTCGTCACAAAATTCAGTTTTCATCCCGAATGCTTACACTCCCAACACAGAAATATCCCGACGGCAGTAGTTGCGCGGGAAACAGCGGAAACCGATTGCGATGCTCCCAGCGCATTGAAGAGCGGGAACTTTATCTATCAGCAGAGGGGGCGGATGGTTTCACCATCATCATCTTCAAGCTGAAGATGTAGCCAGGCTCGACACCTTGGCGCAATCCAGGTCGCCTGAGCCGGGCTGAGCCGGGCTGAGCCTTTTCGTGCCTTCTTTCAAAGCCTAGCACCAGCAGAGGCAACATCTTGCACAGCGGTGCTGATGTCCTTCATGCTGGGCGTGTTTGGTTCAACTTTTACAACAGATTCGAGACCGACAAATCTGGTTCGAAAACAGAGCGAGCTACTTCTGACACTTTTCTTGCGTCAGAATTCTTCATCAATCTCAGAGCCTCAGCTGCGAGACCCGCCGATGTTGTCGGCAGCTTTTCCTGCAGTACTCCCCGCAGGTGGTCTCGCTTGACTTGTGGCTTGTTTCGTTCCACCAGCACACCCTGCTGGCATATTTGCGAGCTTGCTGTAGTTCACCGCTAGCTTGCACAACCTGAGTAAAGTTTGTAAAACACCCCAAGGAGCAGAGTCGAAACCTGTGTTGCATCTAGTGACTAGCTTGCACTTACAAGGAGCTTCCTATGGAAGGAGCTTTAGGGTGCGTGAACCCAGCATCTTATGAAGATCCCACGCTGCGGAGATCTTTCCGATCGCCACGCGGAACCTCGAATGGGGACCTTCGGTAATGATCTCAGACGAGAACCTAAAAAGACCTCGCGACCACAAAGTGATCTTCTGTTGGTTGAGAGAACCAATCCAAGACCCAGGATACAGAATTAGAGCACGATGACGCGGGTGAGACACGGGAGCAGCAGCTGAAGGCAGGCCCGCGGGCGGCCGCCGGCAGCCCCGGCGAGTAATAAACTGCTTGGTCTGTGCCCCTCTGTCCTTCCTCGGCGAAGCTGTCGCGCGCCGGCAGACCGGCATGAGAAAGCCGACCAAAGCCGTGAAGGACCCTCTTCTGCGGCTTTTTCGCATACGTATTTGTGCAGGGAGGGATCACCTGCCGCCCGTCTGTCTCTACCTCTGCCGAAGCTCTTTCTGGCCCGAACCCATATCGCCAACGGAAGTCTATAAGCCTATAAGCCTACTTCGTGTCGCCCGTTGCAAAGTGGTCTGCGAATTTTCAAAATTTTATTTTTTATTGGCTGCGAAGGTATGCAAGGCTCGACCGTCTCAACAATTCTACCCTGTTTTTGGCTGCAAAGGTCCGCGGAATTTCAAAGTTTTATTTTTATCGGCTGCGAAGATCCGCGAAACTTTAAAGTTTTATTTTTATCGACTGCGCGGGTCCGCGAAATTTCAAAATTTTATTTTTATCGACTGCGCTGGTCCGCGAAATTTTAAAGTTTTATTTTTATTGGCTTCAAAGGTCCGCGGGGTTTTGGCTTTCTATTTTCTTCGAAGGTCTGCAGAAGTCATCAGTCCTGCCTATTCGACACCTTCCGCTTTCTTCTTGGTGATGTGTCCACTTATGCCCCATCCTGCTCACGGTAGCCCTTTCCCTGCGTCGATTACCCGGGCCCGCGGGTCGGCGGCCTTTCGGGGGAGGCAGGGCCCAAGCCCCCTCGGCTTCCGCGGGAGCCGTAGCTTCGATCATATACTAGTAGTACTCTCTTGGTACTACTACGCCCATCAAAGCGGGGGCGATCATCAGCCAGACAATATTAACAAATTTAGGGCGTCGTCTTCTACTGCTAGGTGCAACTACAGATGGAGAAAATGAAGATGAGCGTAAAGATAGTATACAATAATAGCTTGCTTGGTGGCGGTCCACGGCAGAGTTGGCAGCCTCCTTTTGGGGCTGCGTCGTGCTGTCCACGAAGCATTTGGTGTTGCTTCTGCCCCCACCTTGTTGGGTTCGCTGTTTTTGCTATAATAATTCCTTTCTTCGCTCCCTGTTCCATCCTGCCATCAACATCATCAGCACCATCGCCATCGTCCTACCTTGTCTCCCGGTAATTGAAGCTCATAGACGTGGAGTCGAGACTACGGATTGTTCGCTCCGTCTGTCGTGCACAGCTTTTTCTTTCGGAGGCCCCCGTCGCCCAGAGGGCATGTCCTATCCCCGGAGAAAAGCTGCGTTCGCTCTCCTCTAAATGTACCTGCATGCATCGGCCCGGGCTTCTTGAGAAGCTCCGAGGCCGTTTGCTGCGTGCTGCGCTTGTCCTGATGGATAACGACAGCAGCGCCCCAGGGGCCGCCCGCGTGGAGGACGCGCATGCAGGAATTTTTGGCCCCCTAGATGCCACTTGTCCGTGGCATCCCCTATCGGCTAACGAACTATATTCGACCATCAAGAGCCCACAATTGTTGGCAAGTGACGGCAAGGGACCCCGATGACGCCGGAGCCCTCGGGGGGGGCCCAAGTGGGGGGGGTAAAATGGTCGGCCATTTTGCGAGCATACCATGCGGTTTAGAGTTCGTTTTAGGATGCTTTCTGGACCTCAGGTCCCGAAGTTCCTAGGGTCCCCTAAAGGTCCCTAACCCCTAACCTATAAAGTGCTGTATTACGATCACGATGACGCGGGTGAGACACGGGAGCAGCAGCAGAATGCATGCGTACATATTACGGAAAGCACATTGACAGGCAGTCGCGGACACAAATGAAATACATCATCGTCGGTAAATTCCTTTGTCCAGCAAAGACCGGGGTTTGTCTCATATCGACAGTATAATTCTTGTTCATCTATTTGCGGCTAGTAATGCTAATCGCCTTTTTTCACGTTTGCGTTTTCGAATAGCCAATGGTCATCCTCTAGTCGAATTGCCTCGCGACGAAAACCGTCCATAAAGAGCGCAATCCGCTGTCTCTGCTCCTCCTCGGTAAGCTGTGCCACTGGCTATCGAAGCAGTAAACCACACCACTGCGCTAACGTGCCTCGTCGTGAAAGGAAAAAACAGAGGCAGGAAAAGGTGGGAAAATAGGAAATGCGAGAGAGAGAGAGAGAGAGAGAGAAAGAGAGAGAGAGAGAGAGAGAGAGAGAGAGAGAGAGAGAGGCAAAGAGATCCTTCCTTTTATTTTCATTCTACCTGTAGTACCTAGCATCCAGAACCATGACAAAAACATATAGTACTGATAGGCCTTGCAGGACAAAGGCGCAGTGATGCCGTCGCTCCTTCGTTGGTTACCTGTTCCGGATCGAGTGACACTTGCGCCACTTCATCGGCCCGAGCATGTTTCCCCCGTCTGCCATAGGACGCACTTGACGGACCAGCCTTTTTTCTCTGATTTCCTACGGGTCCCGTGGAAGCGAATCCCGTCGAGGACGACACGACAGAGGTTGGCACGGCGTGGAACTGCGACTGGGATACTGGCTGCGAAACAGCAGCCGTGGCATTTGCCGAAGTCGTCGACTGGTCGCCCGCTCCTGGAGCTCCGCCTGCAAGCGCTGCGCTGAAAGCAGTGAAGATTGGCAAGGAAGCTGGGCCTTGGTACTCTGGAGCTGTTTCTGCAATCATATCTTGCTCATTCAAAGACGCAGAAGTGCCACTGCCACCAAACGCAGATGACCCGATGGAAGCCGATGAGCCACTTACTTGCTCGCCTGGTGGAGAATACATGTTGCTGCTTTGCCTTCACTCACCTCTGGGTGGTCCTTTGATAATCAATGCAAATGAAATAGATGAAGACAGTCGGAAAAACAAAACTCTATCTCTATTGCAAAAAACGTCAAAATGGGTCCTTCGGGCTGAAGATCTAGATCAACAACGTCCAGCGGCCTCTAGAATAAATACGTTCATCAAATCAAGAAAGTGCCATATCAAACAAACGAGAACGTGACTTGTGCGATCGCGTCACAGGTCATCTTCACAACTTAGGATTTTTTCATGATCCTAAACTTGGTCAGAAAGTTCAAAACAATCAAAACGCAGTACATTTAGTGAAGCCTGCGGATAACCACGTCTGTCAACAAGCATTGCCATTTTAATCGCCAGCCCCAGCGCCGCGGCGAGTGTTCTCAGACAAAGTATATTGTCGTCTCTTTCTGTACGTTCATCGGCCACGCTCAATGAATACGCCTCCGTAGTTTTTCTTTCTTGCTGGCGGACTGGAGGCGCAACCAGCCAGGAACATACATCGATACTATTTTTACGCACATTATCTAATCTATCAACATGGTTTTTCTCTTACTCTTCTCGTAGCATTCAAAGCAAACAAGCAAGTAACCCTTTACTCTTTCCTTATCCTTTCCTCATGGGAACAAGGTCCAAGAACTTCATGCTTGATATGAGGACCGTGCTGAGGCTCCGGAAGCGCTCCGTGGTCTCGTCGCAGAAGGTTCACAACGATGAACCGTTTGACCCACAACAGCGGCAGCACTCGCATCGCCGTCCACCACGGAACAAACGCATGCAGCTGCTTGAGTACTTTGTTCATCACCGAGCACCACGGAACTTCTTAGCTGGCACGAAAGTTCATAAGGTTGAATTTGGGCACCGATTCGAACATCTCCACCATCGAGCCGGCGTATCAAAGTGCACCACAACTAAACTTACATCTTCCGCGGTCATCATTACACGCAAAGTTGCAAAGAGCCAACAACTTCTGTCGCAGCAGTTTTTTTTTCTTTTCTGCGCGCCGGCACTGCATAAGTAATTGCATGACCAGCACCAGGGGATGAAATCGAAGTGCAAGTGATACAACAACTGTTACTAGGATTCAAGTCCTCCTACAAAATCGAGCGAAAGGAGAGAGGGTGTAAGAATTCTTGTTATGCACTCTGATATGGCGCGATCGTGCAGCTCGCTGGACCCTTTTGCGATGGCGGTCTGACCCATGTCCCACATGTCCCCCATGCGGCCTTCCATGAGGTCCACGTCATAGGAAAAGTGCAGATATGGATTGTAAAAATGTCTGGGTCTGGAAGATTGCAACTTGTCATGGTAAATCTGAAGCATGCAAAAATCTGTGTTGCATGAGTGCCAAAAGCTGTCCACTTTTGACCAAGTTGGAACGGAGTTTCTCATGCAGAATAGGAATGCCAGAGGCTTCGCAGAGTCTGTCATGCTAAGTCCCGCATTCCAGACCTCATGGGTCATGGAAAATCTGCATGACAAGTCTACACTCTTCCAGACCCAGACATTTTTACATTTGATAGCAGATACTGTTTGCCGACCCGAAAGGGCATGATGGACTTGCCCCCCCGCCGGGCCAGGATGGACTGGCACTCTTCCTTGCAGAAGTGCGACTTCTATCAACTGTAAAAATGTCTGGGTCTGGAAGAATCCAACTTGTCATCCTGATTTTGGATTCTAAAAAAATCTGTATTGCATGAGCAGCAAAGAGAGTCCAAGTGTTGCTACACGGAAAGAGCATTTGCCATGCGATGTAGGCATCAGGAAGCCCTCACAAAATCTGTGATGCTAGGGCATGCATCACAGACATCAGGAGTCATGCAAAACGTGCATGACAAACCTGGCAATCTTCCAGACCCAGACATTTTTACATTTGATAACTTCAGCGTGACCACGGGGTTCGTGTTCTCGAAGTTGAAGCCCAGTTTTCGCTCCACGTCCCTGCATATCAAATGCAAAAGTGTCTGGGTCTGGAAGGTTGAAACTTGTGATGCGCATTTCACAACACAGAAAAATCTCTCATGCATAGGCAGCAAAAGTTGCCCATTTTCTGTCACCAAAGTCAGAGACTTGTCATGCGGATTCTGCATTGCGAACGCTTCTCGAGACCTGTGATGCTAGAGCTTCCATGCCAGACCTTCTGTGTCATGCAAAAGCAGCAGGATTCTTCCAGACCCAGACATTTTTACATTTGATACTGAAATGCACCCCGTCTCCCTCGGCTTGCATCTCGTGGCTGACCTGCCGGGGGTATCAAATGTAAAAATGTCGGGGTCTGGAAACTTGTAATGCTGCGTTGGGAATAGTGAATGCTCTGTAATGCACAGGCACGCATGAGAAATATCTGCGCTGCTTTGTGTTGCGTTTTTCGCATGAGAAACTGCGTTTTTGCATGACAGGCAAAAGCGTCTCTTCTTGGACACACACCACAAACTTTTTTATCATGCCAGACAAGCATGACAAGTCTCGCAATCTTCCAGACCCAGACACTTTTACATTTGATAGGGGGCGCACCGCAAACCGCAGCAGGAACAGGTAAAGCCCAGCCGCTGTGAAGAAGTAGCCTAAAAACTTGTCCAGCGGGAACCTCGAGGCGGCGAGGATGTCCGCAATCTTATCCTCCTCCTCCGGGGTCAGATGCGTGTCGCAGAGAAAAGAGCTAGCACGGCACAATAAATTGATGCAAAAACAAACAGATACATGAAAAGATCTGCGCTGCATAGCATAAACACCCCCCTCGTCAGGGCATTTTACAATCAAATGATCCCCTACCAGCTTTTTTCTTTTTGATAGTGTGAGAGCTTGATTTGTAACTGGTTAAAAAACTTCTCGGTTCGGTACTGCCACCACGGTATGCTGCCAGCGAGGAACCCGATGATGACGGCGAACATCTCTAGTGACACCACGGAAAGCCTATGGAAGCGTCAGGATTGAAATCGTCAAAGTTGAAATAATTTTAATTTGTGATACATAAAATGCAACCCGCAAAGCGCCTGTCTTGCAGAGTAGGCAAGGGAGGCATATTGCAAGCCTGTTGAGGGGCAGAAATAGAGCTGCTAAAGTAGCATGACAAAAGGCGTCTTCCTTACCCAAACAGCATTACAAACTGGATTTAGGCACCACCAAACTTGTCATGCGCCACTTGAAAACTGGGCTCCAACTGGCATCCATTTTATGCATGACAAACTATTTCAACTCTGTCTCTGACGATTTCAAACCTGACACATCCATAAAGCCGCGCGCTCGTGTAGAAGGTCAATTTCGACGACATCAGGTGCAAATATTTCTGGCTGAAATACATCCACACGGCCCACAGGATCAGATTCCAAAACAGCAAATGTATGAATGTCGGGCAGGCCAGGTATGACCTGTCAAGATCGATTGTTAGCAAGGATCTTCTTATTTCTTAGGGCGGTTGATTTACTTACTTATTTGTTTCTTCAGTTCGATCATCTTCAACCAGCAGCCACTTTGGGGCCTTGAACCTTTGATGCCGCGCCCAGGCTGCACAGGGAAAAAGAAAAGATAAAGAAGATATTTCATGACGCAATTCCGTTTTTAAGCAGAAGGACGCCACCCGAGGGAGGTTTTGAAGGAGTTATATATGTTTATGAAGTGAGAGTGACAAATAAACTACACTTACATCAGCACACAGCAGAGCGGTAGTGTGAAGTTGACCGCGTAATCCCAGGCGAGGTAAACCATCGGCGGCTCGCAGTGCAGCTCTGCTTTCCTGACCTCTTGAATACGGGCTGACCATACGTCGTCCGTGAAGGGAATAAACGAGTTATACAGCCGCAACAGCCGTCGCAGGACGTAACCGGTGAGCGGCCAAAGCAAATACGGCATCAGAAAAGTGCCCGGTACCAGAAGCTGTAGTCGAGAAATTTATTGAGTAACGCATCTTCAAAGTCAACATGATATTGCGCACAATTATCTCCTTATCATGCCTGGATCTGGAAGTTCTTAGCCAGTTAGTTTTAGTTGTGAGCTGCTTCGTCAGCCAAATAATTCTCAAAATTATATTTTAGCTGAATTTTGTTATCGTCTTAGCAAAAACATGTTTTGAGGTCGAAGCAAAATAGGAGACAGAAGTAATGCTTTGCTTTACCTCATACAGTTGCTTGCCCAAATAGGTTTCCTCTCCTAAAGCGTCCTTGTCTCGCTGCTCGGCCTTTTCGCCGAAAAACACTTGGCCAAACACGATATAGACAGAAAAGCCGGTGTTCAGGACAAAAAGTGCGGAATAGCTGATCATGACCACAAGCCACTGCGACCTGCGGTAGCGGAAGGGGAGGGCGACAGCGATGTACCAAAACATGAGTCCAACCACACCGTTGCCACTGGAAAAAAGGATCTATCCTGCGCAAAAGCGCACTTGCTACCCAAACCAGTACCAGATCGTTTTCACCTAAATTTGCATGCCCAGGATGTGTCAAGTCGTGGGTGGCCCGCCCACGAGAAGCATTTTGGTGCTTGGAGGACGTTTGTCATGCATTGAGGAAGCAATCAGACTGCGCAACTTGTTGACGTAGCTTCACTAGTACCCATTCACGACCGCACTGCCAGTTTGCACGGGTCATGTTGCGCAACTACAGGCAAAACTTCTCGACTCGTGACGCGAAGTTTCCATCTTGACCATGCTGGTGTTGAGGGTACTACGTATTTACACGAGATAGGATCCCAAGAAAGGTCATGGCCCATCCCGAGGGCACGTTCGCAGACTCCTGCAAGGAGTTGAGAATAAAGACGATCGCCGGCGCATACATCAAGAGACCGTACAACACAATCTGGATCACGAACCGGATCGGGCCGCCTATCCAACTTTCGTAGAAGGACTTCGATGTGTCGAAGTTGCCCCACAAAATGTCGCCTGGTTCCACGTTGTGCTATCGTGTAGAAAAAAACTTTAATCACGTAAAAAGAATTAGAATTACATTTTATGCTACAACCACATGCAAAATATAGTTGGTTGTGTCTTGCAAGAAGTGCACGGTTTGATTCTCAGCATGGAACAAGGGACCCAACCATCATCCCCGCTGGCCGCGTATCCTCGTTCATGCTCTACCCAACGGGATCAACATGATGCTAGCACTTTTCCACGCGATATGTGCCGCTCGAAGATCATAATCGGAAATGCGTCCTCCAATGCTTTGCGTGTAGCCGCCGCACTGCTGAGAGCGGAAGGCGCGGAGGGCGGTGCTGCAGAGCGGGCACTGCGAAGGCGAATCTCCTCGAGCTCGGCGGGAGAAAAACGCTCAAATACCTTGCGCTGCTCCGCCTGCAGTCGCTGCACACACACATCCACATCCTTTTCGTAGTCACAAAAACAATACACCGCCCCCCCGCACTCTCCAGGGAAAAAACCGCGCTAGTAGTGTACCTCTAACTTCTTTTTGGGTGGCAACTGCAGCTGCAGCAACACCACCAGCATGCGCATGGTGCATGTTCTGCCTCACAAATAAAACCTGCCACACGGCAAAAAATCTTTTATGCGAATAAATATTTGTACGCTAGAAAAAATGCTGCGGTGTTGAAAAGCTACATTAGGGGTACTCAACTACACAGTTTTTTTGTGTGATAAGGACGGCATTTGCCGCAACTCCTCACGCAGCTCCTCGATCTGCTCCTCCGTAAAATCCGGCGCAACCAGGCCAACCTGCAGATCCCGAGCGGTTTCTTTGTAGAGGCCACCGCTTCGCGGTCTTTGATGATTCGCAAAATGATTTTTTGAAACTAACATAGACATACAACATTCATAATCATTTTCATTGGACAACTTTATTCCGCATAAGAATAAGTATGAGTATCTGCAATACACTGACATATTTCCGCATTTCTGGATCCCGTTCCTGCGCGGCCAATAGGTCAAGGCTCGGCGCGCCGGCGGGTTGGAGTAAAGCGGATCCCTGGGGGACCGCCGTTGTGAGTCCAGAGCTGTGGTCACTGAGCTCGGTGGTGACTTCTATCTCTTGCTTTTTGCTCTGTGCCACTGCGTCCCGCAGCTGTTTTCCGGTGGGCGTGAGAAAGCACAAGAAAAACTCCTGCAAATACAGCCAGCTCCAGGGAAACCGGTAGTCGGTAATCTGCAGCTCGCGTGCTGAGGCGGAGCCCGTGCTGTTCTGTCCCGACAGAAACTCTTCCCGTTCCGCATCGTACACAGGTATACTGTGCTCAGGCGATATTACAATCTCTGCGTTTACAATGAAATAACTGTGATAAGTTTGTCGCGTGCTCCTGTCGTGAGCATCGAAAGCAATGTCTGAGTCTGATAGACATTTTGACTTGTTTCCGTCACTCACATACAAACTTCGGGAGATGAGATCAGGGCGGCAATTTTGCGATTGCGCTTCCGAGAGTTCTTGCGTTTACGATGCACATCGGTATCAAGAGAGTACAACCGCGACTGAGACTGAGGGGTCAAGCAACCCGATCTGCATGAGTAGCAGCAGCCAAAGAAAAAAGGAATCTGTAACAGCAGAGCCTGTAACACCAACGCGAGCTGTAACAGTTTTGAGCACCTTCTTGTCCGCGCGGGCAGGCCTATCCAAGAACAAAGTGCCACCAATGGGAAACGGGAATGCTTTCACTTTCATGCTTCTCTGGAATGACGTCACGCGCGCGCCAAAATGAAAGTGCTTCGCTTCAATTTCATCAATACTTATACGAAAAAGCTGCACTTGCGCTGGTGTGCACTCCAAGACACAGAGAGAAACTGCTTTCTTGCTCATGGACGGAAGTGGGCCGCTTGTAGTTCCGCGCTCCAACCCCCAAATTTGAAATCAGACATAAAGTATTTGCTTTTCTGAAGACCCTGGTGGTGACCACGATCAGGACGGTTGCAAGGGATACAGCACCTTGTCGCAGATGTCATCCAGAGAGAGCCCGTTTTTGGGCAGAACCCGGTGCTCCTTGTAGTCGTGCGCAAGACTGGTGCCGATTAGGAGGTTGCGGCTCGGTGCTGAAAGGGTGGTGCCGCTGCTGTGCGGGGAGTTCCGCCGGCTGCTTGCTAGACTGGTGCCGCACTTCTCCTGGAAGAAAGACGTCACCTCGTCCAGGTTCAGGGGTACGTGGGTGGGTAACCCTTCCACGATGAAGCAGTAGTCGCTCATATCGGCGTTGTCCGCATCGAACATGCGCTCCTCCCGCTTCTGAAAACAAGCGAAAAGGAGAACGGCGAGAAAGGTAAACACGATGAGAATCCAACTCGCCTTTTCTGCCAGCTGCGCGAACTCGTACCGCTGTAGCTCCACAACCTTAAAGTTGCCGGTCTGTGCCCCGTGCGAAACACCCGCGTCGCGCGAGAAGGCCGCAAGCAACTGCTTGGTATCCAAGATAGACATCCCCCCGGCCTCGTTTGAGGGTGTAGTACTGGGAGCTGCTGCCACTTCCGACGAGGAGAGCTGCCTTTCTTGCCTGCCATCGAGGAGTTCGAATGGCTGTGGCAGCTGCAGTGGGTTTTTTTCGCGGCCGATAAACTCTGGTACTACATGTAGTCCCGAAGATACAGTATTTACTCTAGATGAAGCTGTTGCAGCTGCGGATGTAATAGCTTCTTCTGTTCGCAATGACCGCGTCCGCGTCCCCGCAACGGCCGCGACATTAGCCGGGCCAGCGAGCGTACCCACGGGTGGTTTGTACTTGTTGAGGCCGTGAAGGTTTTCCAGGTTTGGACACTCGTCCCGGAAGAGTGGCACATTAGACAGCGCGGATGTCACACACAAAAAAGTAGCTAGCACAACATACATTCGATTGGAATGAATGCAAAAATTAGAATTACATTATTACGTCTGTTTTTCTTTTTTTGAAATCATAAAGATAAAAAACAAAAAAAACCGTCATCATTGTCATTGGCGAGCCCATACTAGCATCGCTCTTATTTATCTCTTGGCTGCGTTTTGTGTTCATTCTTGCACGACCAATGTGATTATATTATGCTAGCTTTCTTCTCTACTAGGGTAGTGGACTGGTGCTGGACATAGCCACTAATTCCGTAGCCGACCACTGCCCAGAGACCGATGAAGATCAGCCAATTGTAGTACATCGGTACCCCAACGCCGCAAATGTAGTCGCGATGCATATTGGTCCGGCAGTAGCTGGGGACCTCCGAGCTCACCACTGCGCGCCCGTCGGGATTCTCAACGGTCCGCGTAACCGTGGGAAAGCACCGCTTTACGTGATCGGCGGCCGCCTTCACGATAGCGGGCCGGCCGGCCGGACGAAAAAGCTTGATCAGCGTGTGTGGCAGGCAGATCGCGATGGCCACGAACATAAAATACGAAAAATAGGCAAATCCGTTTGCGTCGAGCATGTAGGTGCAGCTTCCGTCGCTTGCAAGCTTGTACGCCGGCTCACTGCACTCCTTGCACACTTTCCTACTCATGTTGTCGCACCTGCAAAAAAAAAATTCAGGACTCTTCTACTATTTGTCGAGCATTGCGCTCGCCCCCGCACCCGGACCTCATAACAAGTTTCGTCCTATTTCTAGTGAAGTATTTTCACATTTAGATTTACGTTGCAAATAAAAAGAAATGATACAAGACGCAGCCGACGACCTCGCACACGTTGCAGGTTTGCGTGGTTGCGTCGGCAAATTCAACGCCCTTCAAACCGGAGCCGGCGACGCACTTTTCTTCGGCCACGCACTTCGCCACGCATGTATGCAATGCAGATGAGGCAGCGCACTGATACAAAAAAATGAAAATCGCATGACTACACACTACCTCGTGAGCAGAAATGAATGCAATTGGTCCCCTATTGATCGTCACGGCTGCGACAATCTAATTTATCGTGACGACTGCGACACTTTTGAAGAGGATAGCAGGGGAAGTACTGCGACTGGTCTACAAAGTATCCAAGGAAACAACTGTGTCAGTGCAAGTTGAAATTTCTTGCCGTGATAGCGTCCCATTTCTCTATTTGCAATCGTGCTCTACTACCTAGTGCATGACTATGACAGGAAAGACTGGGACTGCCACGCAACGCTAGAAATACGTGAGCACACATCATACAATGGCGGGCACGAAAAATGTAGCATAGAAAGAAAATTGTTTGCACTGTTGCGGATTTACACTACGTGACACACGTTTTTTGTTGCATAGGAAGGGGCAGCTGGCGGGGCAGGAACTGACGAGGTGCAACACGTCGCTGCAGCTGTTATATAGAGCGGAAGTGACCGTGAGTGATTTTCGTGTCTGTAGTTGCTACTAAATTAATAGCCCGGAGAAACTGAAACATCGCACTTGCTATGCAACTTCGCTACTTTGGAAAAAGCACACCAATTCGCAATCAACTCCACGGGTGCTCGAGTAACGTTTTGGATTTGGTTCTTATGGCTTTGCGCATGCTCTGCATGAGGACAAACCAAAGCGCGTCGCCTGGGTTTTTTCTTACTACTAGGACTTCTAGCAGCAATCAATCTGGAAGATCACTCACTTCCTGCCCTCCATATGTTTTGGTAGGGGATTGCGCACCGCACTGTGGATTTTCCGTCGGGAAGCAGGAATCCACAGGAGCTCCCCTGGTCGTGTTGCGCAGATGCACTACCGTCATCCTCCGCCGCGCCACCACTGCCCGCGTCAGCGTCGCTCAGTTGCCTCGTCCGCTCAACTACAGCACTAACTGCGGCCTTTCCTCTTTCATTTTCGTCTACAGAGACAGACGTTCCAGCGGATGGCCTCGTCCTGCTGGGCGTTTCTGGGGTGGAAGAACGACCGAGGACTCCTGTAGTCGACATTCGCTGAAGTAGCAATAGCCACGGGAGGAAACTCTTGCTCGCTTTTACCCAGCACCTGCAAGACGAGCCCATTGCTTTCCCGTTTTGGACACCTACCGATATCGTGGTCTGCATGTTGGCAGGTACTTTTTCAGTACAACCACATCAATGGAACGCTTGTCCAGAGATTCCGACAACTATTTAAGTACTTACTCTGTCACTTCTTTGCTGTGTACTCTGTACTGTTGCTCGGCTTGTACTCTTAGTGATTCCTCTGCGAGAAACACATTCCTGCTGCTGGTCGGTGCAAAACCGAAGATGCACCGACGATGAAGCCGACAATCACGGCAAGGGCAACTCGAATCATGCACACGCATCTGGGGTGCACCTGCACGCATCCCGCTTTAATGAATACGTAGTTATTTGAGACTTTCTAACGCCAGCGAGGACCGAGATTGCGTCTTTTATTTTGGTTTCCTTCACGTCTTGGAGTGGCCACGCAGGAAGATATTAGTGACACATCTATCTTCATCATCTCCCCCAGCTCCGTTACATCACTCAAGGTCAACCTCAACACAAGACTGACTCTGGCGACAATAAACGAGTCCACGAAATAAGTGCTCGCATCACATACAGGAGCTTCTTACAGCCGCCACACAGCACATGAGCTCACGACCGCTTCTACATCGATACTTTGCGACAGTCCAGCAAGGCGTAGAAAAAATTTGAAGCTCTAGATGAAAGGACCAAGCACCGTCCGGCAACCACGTCGAACATCAGAGGGCTGCTCTGATCAGTGCCGATACTCCCGCTTCGATCTTGTTATTTTAATGAGACCCACATCCAGAAACGCGCGGTTATAAATTGTAGTGCGCTGCATGTGCAATTTTCATAGAAGTTCCTCCTTCTCAAGACTACAGATTGAATTCTTTTGCGAAGTTTTCGAGTATCTCTTTGTCAGGTCCTTTGACGCCTTGGCTCCTCCCGCATGTATGTTGCGTCTCTCTGGCTGTCTGTGTGTGTGAAAAGGAATTTCAGTTGTGCGTGGTGCTCAAATCTTTAGGTTTAGTTGTAGTTCCCATGCGGCATAAGTCTCACTGCGCGCGCGCATGGTTCCTTGTGCTTCACTTCCACCGGTACTTAGTGCGAATAATGCAGACAACGCGAGGGCGAGCACTTTCTGTTTCTATTTGAGTACAAAAGGAGCGTTGTTGATCTCCTTGCCAGGCCCGGCCCTGTTGGTCGTGACACAACTCTGCCGCCTAGGGATCGACGGAAAGCAGGGGGATGGGGCTGCGGCAGGAGTCCACCTCGTCCGTTGCCGTTATGCCAGCTACAGAGCTGCTCGCTCAAGAAAACTTCGCAGCTCGGGCGGGCCTTGGCTAGGTTGTCGCTGCAACTCGCCCGGCTTGCTTATCCTCCGTTCGTATCAACTGTAAAAATGTCTGGGTCTGGAAGACTCATGCTGTTTTTGCATGACACAGAAAGTCTGGCATGGAAGCTCTAGCATCACAGGTTTCGAGAAGCGTTTGCAATGCCGAATCCGCATGACAAATGAATCCCCCATTTTGGTGACAGAAAGTGGAAACTTTTTGCTGCCTATGCATGAGAGATTTTTCTGTGATCTGAAATGCGCATCGCAAGTTTGTATTCTCCAGACCCAGACACTTTTACATTTGATAGTTCGACCGTGTGGTTTGCTGCGAAAGTAGAGCCCCCACGCAGATGCGCGGCAGAGGAACCCGCGGCCACGGTCGGCGTTCCAAGCGGCCCGATGGTGAGCAGTGGGGCGGGTGGTCTGTGCTGCTGCGCAACTACGACGGTGGAGCTCATGTTCTTGTTCATCAGGGAGCGGCCACTATTATAGGTGGTGCTGGTGGCACCACCCAACGCATTGGTGCCGGCCTTGCTTGTGGCCGGGAAAGAAGAGCAAGAGGTAGTACTAGCTGCACCAGCTGCACTTGTTGTATTGTGCGGGACCGCCAGAACAACCGCTCCTCCCGTGGCTAGTTCAAGTGCCCGACCGGAATTTTGGAATGGGGCAGGTGGAGCCGGCTTCACGCCTCGAATCGCAGCAGACGAAGAGGGCGCTGCGGAAGTACTGCGCAAGTGTCCAAACCCTATCACAGGTTCCCGCCACGGCATCATCAACATGAAAAACAGAAGAACAAACTACGCAGCCACTTTTTTGTAATGTTGTGCACATTGATTCATTCCCGGACAATGAAAATTGCAATTTCTTCAGAAAGAATGCCCTATCTAACTACTTATCTATCTCGTATCGCTGTATGATGCGACGTTGAAAAGAAACTAATACTAGAGCTAAACAAAAGTGCACTTCTCATCTCTAACGTACTTACTTCTAGTTCATCTGACATATCAGTTGCCCCATGCATGCTGGTGACAGTTCTTGTAGTTGTTCCTATATACACATTTGCCTATCATCTTGTTCGATTGAGCAGAGCCAGCGGTTACTTGCAGCAATAGGCCGCATAATTTATACAACGAACTGTGTCCTCCACGTGGCTGGCAAGACTGTAAGAAGAGCTGCATCAAGGTACGCACATTACGGTGGTAAGTAGCAGCAGGCAGAAAATTCTCCATTCACAAATCCATAACCGTGGACGATACTGCCACTGGCGCAATTTTGGGACTGTCTGGAGCAACGGCTGCACCAGGTAGACGTGCTTTCCTTTCCGCTTTCCCAGCGGGTGGCGACGGGTTTGCTGTTGAGCCCCCCGTGTGCACTTGATGGGATCCGAAAGAGCTTGCAGCACCCGATGTAGAAGTAGAGCCCCCCGCTGCTCCGCCCGCTGCCGAGGGCTTTGGTGCGGGGGCAAGAGGCGCGCCTGGAGGATTCTTGATAACGTGCAGCATCTGTGTCCAGTTCTGTGTGGTGAACTGGGTCATACTCTCATGTAGCGGGCCGTGCGCCAGGCTGTCGCCGGAGTCTGAGCTTGTGGCCGGGTGCTCCCACTGTAGGTCAACTGGCTCCTTCATAATGAGAAGGTGCTCTTTCGATGACCTTCTCATCGTAGTACTTTGATGTTCCGTACCAAAACCAAAAGATGGCGTCCCGCCCGCGGCCATACCACCTGGGGGAAGAGACAGCAACCTGTCCTCCTCAGCAGGTCCTCCCCTGGTCTGCACCACAGGTCGCTCAAGATGCAGTTCTACTCCGGCCTGCCCTTCGGCTACCACGCCGGGTCGTGGTAATGCCGCCCCCGCAGTCCCATGGATGTGCGACTCGAGAACAGCTCCGTTACTTGTTGTGCTGTTGTAGGTATTGCGGTTCATTGCGGTACCTCCTGAATCACCAGTGTGGTCCACGAGACTGTCTCCGCTGTGGACTGGGTATAAGAGGCCTCCCTGGTCCTGCACGACGTGGGTAGGCTGCCCCGAGGAGCCAAAACCATGCTCGTTCACAACTTGTTCGTCGTCGCCACGAGCAGCTTCCGGACGTGCGACCTGCTGGCAACATGAGGTGACATCGTAGCACCGGAGCGAGTTTCTGGTGCCGTCAAACATGTCGGCCAACGGGAGCTTCCCGAGACTGGCCGAACCTTCCAAAAGCCGATTTCGGATGCGGTTAGTGAAGTCTCGAAGTTTGTCCGCTGAAGACGAGGCAGAGCCGCCAGCTTCCTCCTCCTCCTCACTACCAATAGGCTGCTCGTCGACGCTTTTAGCAGTGATCAAAGCATCGTTCCGGTAATACCAATGCTTCACGAAGGGTTGTGGCCCCACTAAGGGAACCGGGGGCGACTTTTGTCCTTTTTTCTGGGATCCGACCATTGCGGGGCTCTCAACTCCTTGCTTGATGTAGTCATCCTCAGCAGGAGCGGTCATCTTCTTCAGGGTGGCGGCACCGAAGTGGTTTTCTGATTTTGCTCCTTGTAGTCTGGGAGACATGCCACCATGATGAGCCTGGTCCTGAAGTAACACGCCGCCACCTGCAGCTTCAGACTGCTCGGAGTTCCTTCCATCCGGCTGTTCTGCCGAGTGCTGGGAGGCGACTTGCGGCGTGTTGTTGCGCCGCTTTTCAAAGAGCCTCATCAGCCTCCCGCTGCCACTCAGAAATTTTCCTTTATCATACTCCCCAGCCTCGAACTCCCCGGCCATGACGCGGAAAAAGGGATGATAGTAAGCGTGAGCTACCACCGTGAGCACCACGTCTCGCTCGTGTCTCTGGTGTGCCCAATCTTGGTCGAATTTGTGCCGCAAATCGTTATATTTCTGGTACATCTTGTCGGGACCTTGCTGCGCCATCAACCCCTTCTGGGTCGTAGCGGTCCCGAGCGCAATCGCGGCCTGGCTGCGGAACAGCTTGCGGAATTCGTGAAGCGCCAGAAAAAACAGCAGCGCGAAGGTCGGCACTGCGCCAAACTTCAACAGAAAATGCGCGAAATAGTGCAGGTTGCGCATCGTGCTCTTCAGGTCGTCGTCGCTCCCCCCGCCGAATAGATCTTCGTCGTCCGCACGTGGGCCAGCAGCTGATGTGGGCCCCTCGTCTTGCATGATCCCTGCTTTGTCGGTGTTGCTGTCAACTACACTAACCTCCTCGAATACAGAATACAGGTACTGCTTTTCGAGTCGCGAACTGACCTGCGTGCTGTAGTAGAGGAATACGCTGCCGACGGATAAGGCCGCGACCATGAGCGCAAAGTAGTAAAATCGCAGCATCTGCGTTTCCAGTTCGGATCCCCGCGGGCCGACAGCTCGGCTTTTCATCTCGGTCACGTTGCTAAACAATGCGAACAGGAAGCAGTACTTGTCTACTCCGAACTTCGCCACGAACACCAAAAAGGCCAAGAAAAAAGTGAGCCCATATCGACTACTACCCCCAGCAGCTTGTTCTAGGGCACCGGATCCGGAGTGTAGAATTGTTCCCGTCCCACCAGAGGACGTCCCGAAGTCGCCGCTGGTGGCGCTCGTCGTACCAATAAAGCCTGTATTCGTGGCGCCAGAACCGGACGAGCTTGTTCCGCCGGCCGAGCCGGAAGACGGGCCGAAAAAGGGCACGTGGTCGAGAAGCCATCCGGTGACACCCGTTGCGTGCGCCTCGTGCCGGTTGTCGCGCGCTTCCGCGAGGACGAATACTTCCAGGGGATTGTCGAGCGCCAGTCGCTCCATCACCCCAAACAGCAGCGCCAGTGTGCAGACAATCGACGCATTGGAAACGAAACGCAGCGTCTCAATCGATTCGCTGGGTTCTTCAATTCACACTCAAAATCTTCAATTACAATTTTTGCTATTCCGATATCAATGAGGATATGATACGTCCTCCTACTCTTTGGCTTTTTGCCGCAAGCTGCTTTGCGCAAGAAACAACCCAGGCACCAGCAAACGGCTACAGGGAGCTTTCACATTTACATGATGAAAAATTCATCGCCCTGGGTAGAATCTGTGTGGTCAAGACCGTGCGGGTGCATATCATATGTGAGACTTTCTGCTGGCTAAAACATCGTGCATGTACGCATGGGAAATCCAAAGAAGAAGAACTACTTATTGCTTACTAGAAAGTACGAGTAGGTCGTCGTCGTCCTTGAGTTGACGGCGAACGGTAAAACTTAATGACCAAGAGGACAAATTGAAATTTCCAGGCGGACGGACGCGCTTGTTTCGTTCTGATACACGCAAACGCGTACCAGTAGCCAAAATCAAATGTGTTTCCTGTACAAAAACGTACCCGAACCATAGTCAAGATGTTGAGATGAATTCCGCTAATATACAAATGCTCTTTCTCATGCTGATGCACATGGCGCTACACTTAGCCGTGAGAGCCCTCCTCATCATCATCATCATCATCGAGCGGGCACCCATGCCCAGTGCCACAGGCTAAGGATCCCCTAGTCCTACCCCGCCGGGGGTGGCACAGCCAGCACTTTTTTAGGAACCTCGTGCCAAGTCGGACGCTACCTTGATCTACAACGAGGAAGATTTGGTAGCGGACCGGGTACAACATTTGTACTTGGGATAAGGTGAAGGGTTTGGTCATTTCGAACTTGTCTGCAAGCGTGACGGCGAACAAGGCGTTCAACTTTTGGTACAGAATTTGAGGCGCCTGCACGGACTGCAGCACCGTTGAAACCATCAAGGTGGAGATCAGGTACTTCAGCGCGAACATCCGCCAGCGCTCAGCCTGCTTATGAAAGTCGTTGAACAGACCCTGGACTTGCTCGAGCAGGTGGTCCGCGAAGGTGGTCAGCAGCGCCTCCACCGAATCCACGCCAACGACAGGAATCAAGTATGCCACAGCCGCTCAGGTGGTGCGCCTTCGAAATGGGGCAGGCTGCTCGGGGAGCAGACAATAAACACAATGACCACGGCTGAAAGAGTAGGGGGTCGACAAATACAAAAAAAAACTTGAAGCGCTGCATCATATTAAGATGCGCTTTACAGCAACAAGGTGACGACCGGTCCTGCCTCCTCTTCTTAGTCTTACGTTCATCTGCCCTTGGTAGCATATCGCTTTATCAGTGTATCTGTCTGCTCAAAAGGAAAAGGCATGAAAAAACATAGTTGCTTTATAGTATTTGTTTCTCCGGTCAAAATTTCATCATGGTGCTCCGACGTGCATACCAAGCATTTGAAGAGCGCCCACCTACGACTGGCATACCAAGATCAAGTTCATGAACAGAAAGCAGTAGTTCTGAATTTTGAAATTTTTGTTGTGAAGGCCTTTAGAAAGTGAATGAAAAAAGAACTACCATAAAGCGAGAGCACTCTTCTCCGCCTCTTCATACTTCGGCTGCATCTTCGCGCCTCACAATCCATGTGTTTGTTATCTTTGCAGCCATGTCGGTCTCTGCCTGCTTATGTAAGTACATAGCAACTTGCTTCTCGCAAAAATCTGACTCAACATATACAAAATAAAGTGCGCGGATAGAATAAGAGCAGATAGACTCACACAGTCCACTGGAGGACGTTGCCAATCATCACAAACAGCAGTGTAAGTACCAGGATCAGAGATGATTCAAACTCCCGCTGCTTGCGCCAAAACCGCTGGTAGTGAACTATATGGTACACAACGGTGGGAATCACGGCGCCGTTGATGAAAATGACGATCAGGGTGGGCAGATACTGCGCAGACAACGCACTGAGGTAGTAAAGAAAGCCCTGCTCCTGTTGCTGCTGGCCCACCAACATCTGCTCGTTGTTGTAGTTCATCCCGAACATGCTCGGGCTAATATTACTGGCCTCTAGTGCAGAACCCCCCAGCGGAGTTGCGGTTGTTCTGTCGCGCACTTCTGACGCTTCTGCGCCCCGAACTTCTACCATGTTGCCAGGAACAACAGCGACGCCGAGAAGCCCACGCGAAAGCGCTGTACTACTACCGTCTCCTGTAGTTGCCAAAGATGACAGAGTCCCCGTTATCTGCGATGCGACGGCTTCCGCCGCCTGCTTGTCGCTCGGAAAAAGAAACCAGGACGGGCTATCGTCTTGGAGGTCCGGGGCATCGTAGTCCTTCGATGCGGTCGAGGAAGGAAAAAGACTCCAAGAGGACCTCGTCTCGCTCCCCTGGCTGTCTGTGCGATCATCCGCAAGGTTCTCCGTCCTTCCGTTTACCGCGAAGAGAAATGGCAGAATTTGGGCCGCAATGCTCACTGGGGTGACCACGAGTGTAAAGAAAACGAACCCCACCAAAGCGTACACACCGCCTATGATTCGGGACTCCCTATCCGATGTGTCAAGGTTTGACCAATCCACGTCCACCACGTCGGGGGCAGGTTCCATCCGCAGTTCGTTTTTGATTTCGCGCTCCAGTCGGAGTAGCCGTGCGTGCTGGCGCCGAACCTCTTCTTCGCGGGGTTTCAACATCTTTTTCCGCACAAGGATCTTTTCTCGTTCTTTCCGGGTGAGGCTGACGTGTTGCAGGTAAGAACTGTGGTCGCGCGCGCGGAAAAACATGCAAGGTCCGGAAGTGAGACAGAACGACACCCGGCTGAATATGGCATTCTCAATTGTTACATTCTCAACTGTTACACGGATTTGTCATGCAAAATTGCTATCAGCCTCCACTTGATCAAGGTGGTTAGCATGGCAAATTTTCGAAGGGCTAAGCAGCATGATGATCTGTGGCAAATCTGTGACGCGAAAGCTGCAATATTGCCACTTTCACTAATTGCTGTTCTTGCATTACAAATCCATGCAACAGCTGAGAATGTAACGTTTGAGAACGCCATACTGAAGATTTCAGTGAACCAAGAAAAGAAGCGAGCGAAACGCTCCAAGCAGTCCTGGACTTGCTCCCAGCAACTCATTTCGTCCTCTTCTTCCCCGCTGGTTGCGACACCTCCTGGAAGTTGGACAGCGCTGTGGTCCACTCCGAGGTCGCCCGCCTGCAGCAGAGGGACTACTCCCTGATGATCTCCTAGGATCAGGGGAGTAGATTTTATGTTGTCCTTGTCGCCGTCATCCAACATCGCATTGCCGTCGAGGCGCCGGCTCGAGTGGTCCACCCTGCTTGGATCCGTCGCAGCCCCTGTCATCTCTCCTGCGACGCGAGGACCCCCGGCCGCGAGGGCGCGACCTGCCGGTGAGTGCGCCGCCCGACCAGCTGGCTCAGCTGCCCGCTCCCCGCGCGCGGATGTCAGTGGAGAGGGATGGTAGTGTGCGCCACGCGCAGACATGATGATCTGTGGCGCCGGGCTCTGTCTACCCGAACTGCGCGCGCTCGCGGACAAACGGTCGATGGCGGTACTGTCTCGGTACTCTGTTTCTCCTTCCCCGGCTCTGTTGTTCGCGGCCGACAAGGCGGCGAACTCTCTGCGGATACGGGCAAAGTAGTCCTCCGTGAAATACTCATCGCGCGGCGGGTCGCAGAGCAGGTTCTCCTCGCACGCCGCGGCCTGCCACCCGCGGCACATCTCCTGCACTTGTTTCCAATCCGAGTATTTCTTGCGTTTCAAGATGTTCCAACGCTGCAAGGCCTGTTCCTTGGCCTTGAGACTGTTGAACGTGACAAATGCCCGACCCGTTCCGTAAAACGGCTTCCTCTTCACCAGTTCCTTCAGACTGCGCCTCGCAGCCTTCGTCTGCCGCCAGTAGTAGCAGTTGCACAGAGCGTAGTACACTAAATTCAGCGGCAACAGGTAGTCGGAGAGCCAGGGTTCGGGCGCGGCGTGGGTCTTCACCTCTTGCAATAAACCGACCCGGTCATCGTCGCGGGGATCCGGCCCTACTATCTCGGGTGCAAAACCGGCTTCGCGCTCCTCTGCCAGTACTTCAGTGTCACGTCGTGATTGCGCCCCCTCTTGTTGTTCCGAAGCAGCGATGAGGACCAAATCATTGCCGCTGTCCGTTCTCATCTGGGCAAACGGCTCCCTGAAGATGTTTGACTTTTGTTCTGTAGTTGCAGAAACGGGCAGAAAAGGTTTGACGGGACTTTCCACACCTGCCAATGCCGTCTTCGTGGTCGGGTAAGGTGAACTACTCGCTTCGTGTGACGAGGCGCTCCTCTCCGCAGCGAGCGCAGGGCTCTGCAGCTGCTGGCCACCGCTTTTGCTTGCCGGGCTGGAGCTGGCAGCAGTATGCGGCTTCATCTCGCCCGGACTTTTCAAGGCGAAGTCTTGCTCCGAAGCACGCGGGTCCACGTCGGAGCCAGCCACGCCACCCTCCCCTGACGCTCCTCCGTTGATAGAATGCTCCACATAAGTCGCTTCTGCTGCTACGGACGGTAGATGCGACTCTTTGCTGCCTTGCTTTGAAACTGTGCTCTTTTTACTCGATGAAGACGCAGCTCCTCCGCCTCCCGCGTTCTTATTGGACCCCTTGAAAACAAGCGACTTGCCACCCGCCATTAGTCTACCAAACATGCTGGATTTCTTTTTCTCTGTGCTGCCCTTATTTGTCCTGGCGCTCAGAGGATGAAGATGTTGACTACTGCTTTTATTTGCCTGCTCACCTCCTGCGACGGCTGAGCCATCGTTCGACGAAGCTGCTATTTCTGCACCGCTGGTCGTCCCGCGTGTCGTCAAACCCGGGGACAGGCGGTCTGTTGCGTGGCCCACGACGTCAACCTCTTCCACAAGTGGCGGCGTGTTGGCTTCCGTCTGCCGAGCGGGAGTTTGATCCCCTGCGTGGCGCGCCAAGTTGTTCTGGTGGGTCGTTTGTTTGTTCCCGCGTCTCTTGTTGCGTAGAAGTTGTTCATCTTCTGGAGCACAGGAGTCCGCTAGCAGCTCTTCCTGCGAATCGTCTGCGGTGTCCACATTAATCCGAACGTCCAAGAACTCGTCACTCTGCGCCCGTTCTTCCGAGGTACCGAGTGGCTGATAGCCCCCCTCGCGCGTAGAAGTAGGCCGCCCCCCGCCACCAAACATCGAGTACTGAGCAGACCGTGTTGCTTTATTCCGGTCCGTCTCGTCATCAGACGAGAACTCGTCATCGGGGTCTTCCGCAGCACCGCACGCTAATATGCCTTACAAGAAAAATGGGTCTCCGTCTCATAGGATGCAAACTTGTGATGCGGATTGATTCTGGAGGAACCCGAACGGCCAGAAATCAGTGTGACGTAGCCAGCAAAAAATGCTGTGCGAGTATTTTTGAGCGCAGGAGAGGGCATCTCTCATGCGCAGGACCAGGCATGGAGAAGCTGGAGCGTCCTCCGAAACCGAATTTGTGTTTGTCCTCCTCTGTGCGCATTTTTAGAGACCTTCTTGTAGATCGATGCAGATGTTGCAAAATAAACTGCATTTACATAGTACCTGCTTTCTTCCAGCAGGAGACCCAAACATATTTGCAGTTGATACATGGGCAGCACCAGGCGCAACAATGTCCGAAACCCTCCACCAAGCGTTTGATGGTGGAGCTCTTCTTCTTGGCAGACTGGTACCAGGAGGCATACACGTTTATCGCAAGAAAAAAGTGTTACAGTTACACACTGTGTTGCAAGACCGGCAACACAGATAACCTCTCTCATGCGGGAAATGCTTGGGATCCTTCTTCCTGTTTTCCCTTGTGACCTTCGCATTACAAGTTTTCCCTGCCACACAGAGAAAATTTGTGATGCAGAAACTCCAACAAATGTGTAACGGTAACACTTTTATTTTTCTCGTGATAACGTTCCGGCGATCCTTGCTATCTTCGTAGTGCCGAAGGGCGTCGTGGGCGTCCGCGAGCGCGGGCACGATCTGCACGGAGAGGATGTTATGGGAGCGTCAGGATCGAAGTCGACAAAATCGAAAAATTTGTAATGCACAAAATCGATGTCACTGTCAGTTAGAGATAGAGCCTCAGTTTCCAAGTGGCGCATGACAAATTTCGGGAGCACCCAAATCCAGTCTGTCATGCTGTTTGGGGAAAGAAGACTGCTCCTGTCATGCTACTATGGCAGCGCATTGCCTTTCCCTAAACAGGCTTACAATCGGCCTTATTTGCCTGCTCCCCAATACAGGCCTCCAGTGCCCTACATTTTACGCATCACAAGTTTTTCGATTTTGTCGATTTCGATCCTGACACATCCATAGATGTTGCGGTAGCCGTAGTCCTGCCGCAGGATGCGACAGAAATCGGAGGCGGACAGCTTTTGCGCCTCCTGATCCTTTGGCAGGCCCGTGCACAGGAGCGTGTACATCTGCGCGAACTGGGTGATATCCTGCGTAACCCGTCGTCGCTTGTCGTGGTCTATCAAATGCAAAAATGTCTGGGTCTGGAAGAATGCAAGTTTGTCATGCTTGTCTGGCATGACTCGAGAATCTGTGTTGCACAGGCACGAAAAGGCCCTCTTACCTGTCATGCAAAAACGCAGTTTGCCATGCGGAATACGTAAGACATGGCAGCCAAAAAATTTGTCATGCGTAGCTGCGTATTGCAGTGCGTCTATCATTCACTTTTAGCATTACAAGTTTCCAGACCCAGACATATTTGCAATCCATATGGTCCTGCTTTATGCGGCGCCCAAAATAGAGAAATAGGAAGAACAGCAACGCGGACTCGAAAAAAAACAGGCAAAACCCGAACCCAAGCTGCTCCGTGGTGTTTATTCCGCCCACCTGCTGGGTCGTGGTGGCGCCAAGAAGGCGACTCGTCTGAAGTGATGTTCCGAGGACGACGTCCTGTGCGCTCGACGTGGAGGTCGTGCTGGTCAGTAAAGTTCTGCTGGGCTGCAGCCCGTGCGCAAGAAGGGCGGCAGTACTCGTATGCTGCAACTGGTCCTCACCGGCCAGGGACATATTCGAGACGACGCCGCGGGCCGCCGCCGCGTCCCGAGGCAGTTCTTGCACCGCTGCGCCAGCAGGTCCAGTTAGGTCGTAGGTGCTGGTGGCGCTTCCCGAGGTGCCGGTCGTGGCCCCGTCGGAGGAGGACGATCCCGCGAAGGCGCGGGCGGCAATTTGCGTCAGCCACAGGGTGAGCTCCCACACATACACACACAACTGCTGCAAAACCACCAGGAAGTACTTCTGCAAGAAGTAGACGAACTGCACAAGCAGATGGTTGGCGAGCGGATGACCGTGCAAAAAGGACAGCACCCAGTCCAAAACGAACGCGCACCCGAAGGCCTGCGCGAGCCGCCACAAAAAACTCAAGTACCCGAGCGGAATGAGGGCGACGGGATGGGAGCGGTCGATAGTGAAGAAAATCTGGAACAGAATCCACTGGTAGGGGCTCTTGAAGTGCTTGTTCAACAGCTCAAACCGGTTTCTTCGGTGGAAGAACACGGCGGAGAAGTTATTTTGTTCGCCCCCTCCCGTTATCGCGGCCTCCGCCACCTCACCGCCTCGCTCAATCTTTTCTCCTCGGATCCAGTCCCAGATCTCCTGTTCTGTCGCATCAATTATCCACTTTTTTGATGTTTCTTCTGTGGCCGGTTGATGTTCTCCTATCAAATGTAAAAATGTCTGGGTCTGGAAGATTGCAACTTGTCGTGCTAAATCTGCAGCATGCAAAAATCTGTGTTGCATGATTACCAAAAGTCGCTCAATTTTGACCAAGTCGGGAGGTAGTTTCTCATGCAGGATAGGCATTAGAAAGTTCTCGCAGAATCTGTCATGCTGGCTCCGGCATTCCAGACCTCATGGGTCATGAAAAAAGCAGCATGACAAATCGCGCATTCTTCCAGACCCAGACATTTTTACACTTGATATCTCCGCTCTGGGGCTTATTCACCAGTGTCTGCCGTTCGGCCGGCTCCTGCGTCAGCGCGGCGTCCGCAGAGTCAAGAATACCTTCCCCAGGAAGCCGTGGCGTGTTCGATTCGCTTGACGGCTTGGAGGATGCGGTCTGGTGCGTCCCTAAGACACCACCTCCTGGCGAAGTTCCAGCTCCCAGTACAGCGGCCGGGGCGCTCCCGCTGAGTCGCTCCTGTTGCAGGAGCGCACTCGTCGTGGTGCTGCCATTCAGAAGTATTGCCGGGCTCGCAGAGATGACGTGACGAGCAGGCGGACTGTGCAACGATGCGCTCGCGGTGTCCTGTTGGTGCTGGTAGTGCATCACCTCTTCCAGCTGCGCATCGATATCAAATGCAAAAATGTCTGGGTCTGGAAGGGTTGGAACTTGTCAAGCTAAATCTGCAGCATGCAAAAATCTGTGTTGCATGATTACCAAAAGTCGTCCAGTTTTGACCAAGTCGGGAGGGAGTTTCTCATGCAGGATAGGCATGAGAGAGATCGCATAGAATCTGTCATGCTAGGTCCTGCATTCCAGACCTCATGGGTCATGGAAAAGCAGCATGACAAATCGCGCACTCTTCCAGACCCAGACATTTTTGCATTTGATAATCGACCTGCGAAAACGATCCCTGGCGTGGTCTCGATGACCCGGCCGGTGAGGGGCTGGTCCTACTTGCAATCGCGCCCTTTGCGTGGCCGGACGGGGACGAAGTATTTGGCGGCTGCTGGGGTCCTCGTGGATGGCTCGTCGTACGGCCCGCTTGGGAGGAAGCAGGAGGCGAACAAGTGCCGCTCTGCGGTACGCCGCTCCCTCCTTTCTCGGCTTGTCTCGACGAGGACCCCTCTGGCGCTGCCCGGGGAGGCGTCACTCGATGCGCGCCCTCCGCGTAGTAGTACTGCCGAGGGCTTCTGGCGAACGCGTCGCTATTTGTGTTTTCGTCCGGAGGTTTTGCGAGGACGGGCGCAACTGCGAGATGACGAGTAGACTCAGGCACGAACAAATCATCCGCATTTTTTTCACGACTCCTTCCTCCTTCAGTAGCCCTTGCCGATACCGTGTCGGGTGAGCGAGGGGGCGACATAGAAGGAGACGTCGGCGCCACGGCGCCCGTGGCTGCGTGGCCCTGAAGATGTTGTGCTGGTACTAGTACCTGGGTCATTTCCACGACCGGGGCAACCCCCGACGAGCTGGCAACTACAGCATCTGCATCGCCCTCGTGGCGAGCGGGGCCTCGGCCTCGCAGCTGCTGCTCCTGGTTCATCGCGCGGCTGCTCAGAAGTAGTGGCTGTCGACTTGTTCCCGGAACTGAGTCGGTTCCCTCCCCAGGGGACCCACTTCGTCGCGCGCTGTGCATTTCTTGCAGAGGTATACCTCCTCGCGGCTGCTCAGACGATACCGGTGCCGTCTGCTGCAAGTCCGGGCTGCGGAGATGATCGCTTGGGCGCGCGGTGATCGCAAAGCTCCGGCTATCAAAAAACGCCTTGAACGGGTTCATGAACTTCTCCGCCGTGGTATCAAAACGACAATAAATCCCCCTTCCCCATACACAAAACCAAGTTTCTGTTGCTGGATTTGGATCGATTTCCGCGCACAAATAATTTAGGTCTGTACTGCCGTAAGGAATTGCAACCAGATAGTCAGCCTGGTGTTTCGGAGCATGTTAAAGGTCTAGCAGTGTGACATGACAACCGCCCGCGCAGCATCGTAAGCTAGCCCGACAGCATGGCAAAGCGCCTCCACGGTGCGGGGCGCACCTCTCCGCTTCCCATTATTTTGCAGGACAAAGCTGATTTCTTGTGACCACAAATCTGCGGAACAAGCTGAAGTTTTCCGTAATATGCGCATGGGAGGGACGAGAGATGCTTCCTCACGATACGTGGTTTCCGAAAACGAGAAGGACCCAAACGAGCCGGCGTGAAGCTGCCCGCCGGCGTCCTGCTCGTCCTGAGGAACCGCGGCGTCACCACTGTTGGTTGCCGCAGAAATAGACGCTCCAGGATTTGCCGGGCCGATCTCCCGACCCTCCGCCTTTGCTCGGGCGGCGTCTTGTCTCTGGTCCAGCACCATAAAAAAGTGGTTTTCCCACATTTCAATCATGGTCAAGATCAGCCGACGGCGCTCGCACTCCTGCGGTTTGGAGGGATTCAAATTGAAGATCTGTTCGTATAACCGCAAGATCATAAATCCAAGCGGGGTTGGCGTCCCTTCAAAAAATTCTTCTTCTGTTGCACTGCTTTTTTTTGCTCCTACTCCTTCTTGCGTTGCATTTTCCTTCTCATCCTTCTTTTCGGGTTGGGACGTGGAAAAATAGCCGCAGCACCAACCCTGATTTACGTCGCGGGTCGATAAGCCGTCGTTCGCATTTGTCGTGTTCGCGGTTGCACTTGTTGCAGAAGTGCTGTCTTGTTTCAGATGCTCCGCACCGACAACGTCGTCGTGCTCAGCGGATGGATTTTCTCCACCGCCAGCTCCGTGAGGACCCGTTGCCGCAGCGCCCGTGGCATCGCCCGTGATGGCGACTGCCGCCGAAGACGTGAAAACAGTGGCATGCTGACTCTGCCGGTAGAATTCATCTTTTGCGTAGAATTCATCCGAGGATGCATTGTAGAGTTTGTAGAGATTGTTCTTCCTCCGCTTCCACAGGTTACACACGTAGGTTACGATCACAATAATAGCACACACTATCAACTGTAAACGTGTCTGGGTCTGGAAGAATCCAACTTGTCATTCTGATTTTGGATTCTAAAAAAATCTGTATTGCATGAGCAGCAGAGGGAATGCAATCTTTGCTACGCGGAGAGGGATTTTGTCATGCGCAATAGGCATCGCGAAGCCCTCAAAAACTCTGTGATGCTAGGGCATGCATCACAGATATCATGGCCAATGCAAAACATGCGTGACAAGTCTCAGAATCTTCCAGACCCAGACATTTTTACAGTTGATACACACCACGGCGTTGCAAGTAAAAAAGAACAACAAGAACTCGTTGTTGTCATTCAAGTCGAGCATTCCGAGCATGTTCCTGCCGTCTCCTCGTGCCCGATGGTCCGGCGGCGGTGAGACGTCGCCCATTTCGATGTCGATGCTTTGCTCTTACGGTCGTGCGAGGATAAAAATCAGCTTTATGGTGCGCCGCAGGCCTTGTCCTGTCCGGTTGGACAGAACACAGGTGGAGCAATGCTCTTCACTCTTTTGCTTTGTGCTCCCACGAGACTGATGCATGGATACGCCGAGTTTTGCCGCCCTACTGTTCCTTCATCTTCTTTAGCATGACAGCGCTGGCTTTTCGTGTGGGCGGATCCATACCAAAACTACGCGGGGGATGCGATTCTGTAAGGTCGCGCCGTCGCGACCCATTTTTTGTAGATCGCCGGTAAGCTTCTTCTGCGTTTCTCATGACATGAGGAAAATTTCCGGCGCATATTTTTTTCGTCTCTATTAAGTTCAACAAAAGACAAAGAGGCGCCGATAAAGCACGGGCAGCATGCATTTGATATTTATTTCGCGTCGTGGTCATAAACACGTGCATGCATGTAGTTCATCATATGATGGTAACAGAAAAATGACGAGAGCAGGGAGAATCCAGGCCATCCGGGCAGGGTGGATCTCACACTGCTGCGCTCACTAGCCTCTCCGTGTTGCCTGCAGCTCTACCTTTGCAGATCAAACATACGAAGACACACGCCACGTCTTTGCTTCGCAACGGCAGGAGTCGACTCAACCAGTATACTCTGAGTCTGACCTTGTTTAACAAAACAGTAAAAGAAGGAGAAGATGCACGAGACAACCAAATGCACATCATTTTGAAGTACCCAGGGGACTGACAATGAAATCTCTATCTCGCCATGCATTTTCATGGAAAAAAAGAAACGCCCACGCGTTCACGATAGCGACATCCTGAGTCGCTGTCTCTCTCATCTCGTGAAGATAGATACTTGTGTTCTTTTTTTCGAAGCCTAGAGTTTCAGTAGATTATCGAGCAAGAACACTCGAATCTGAAAGAATATATCAATGATTGACTATATTAATTTATACATCCGTAGCGTTCTTAAATTAAGAACGGCGTTTTCAACTATGTTCCAAACCCGAAGAGTGATGTTTCAGCGTTCCCTTTGCTTATTTCTGCTGTCCGCTAAAAGTAAAACGAAACCATTCCTGGGGACAAATATGTATATGCCTGGCCATTTGGCGCGCTCACGTGGCGGGTAGTACTTTTTCATTCTGATGTATTTAATTCATTCTTTTTGTCTACTCCGTAAAACAGAAACGAAGTCGGCACTTTCTGACCAGATCGAGCGCAACTCAACCTCAAAGCGGCGCAAGTCACCCACCAACAAAGACATGGGATGCGAAAAATGATTGATGGAACGCATTAAGGCCGTTGTCTACTTCCTCCTCGCGCAAACATCGCCAGCAATATCCTGTGCAAATGTGCCTAGGGGGTAGGATATTTGCTTCGAAGCTCGAAGCTTTCAGCACAAAAGGCGAAAGTTTGCCACGCAAAAAACGCGAGCTTGCGTGAAGGACCGAGCAGATTGAAACTTTTCAAAAAGGTCGGCAATTGTCGACCTTTTTCAAAAATTGCAATCTGCTCGGTCCTTCACGCAAAGTCACATTTTTCTTTTAGAGCTAAATCATTTCTGCTACGCCAGAAGCTGGTGTAGAAGCAGGTGAAGAAGTTGGTGTAGAAGCTGGTGCAGAAGCTGGCGAGTATATTCGTCAGCTTTTCCTACCCCCTAGGCACATTTGCACAGGATAAGCAAAGTGCACATGCAACTTCCGAAAATCTTCCATGGATGAAATTTCAAACTCAAGAAGAAGAAGAAGTCTGTATCTACTTATGACAGGTGCGCGTGCGCACTTGATGACAGAAATATCGCAGAATACCATCCCCAGTATCGTCGTCGCATACCACGTTCCCTACGTGTCTTCTTCCTACAACCATGAGGGTGTGCTCCGTGCGTTGCGCTCGGCTGCCTCTCATTTCAGTTTCAGACTCAGGACGATGATGAACCATTGCTTCGTATTCCATGTCGAATCGGTGTAGGTGTTGATCTTCATGTCTTTTCCCCCAGCGCGTCAGGGTCGCCGGAGTCTGGCTCTAGTGGAATTTCCTCGATGATCCTTTCTAGCATGTTCAGAGTCTTCGCTCCGGAATTCTTGCTGTTTCGTGCAGAAAATGCCTAGCATATCTTCAAGCGTGACTTTCAGTTTACCCCCGCCACGCATTGCATGCTGCTCCTGCATAGTAAAATAGAATACTAATCTTCATTGCGCGCAAGGCAGAACTTCCATCGCATGTTTCACTTTATTCAGCCATTCATCGCCAACATTTCAACGGAAAAAATACTGATATCATAAAAAAATTCATCACTTACACATACACTGGCTGTTTCCTGCATGATACCGAGTCAAGAAGTGCCAGCCTGTCGGCTGTGAGGTCGCTCCCAGTCCCATCGCCACCCGTCACTCTACTAGAACTAGCTCTCAAGTTCTGGTGTTGAAGATCACCTTCCTGCTGCATTAGCCCAGATGTCGTGTCTACGCCGCGAGAAGAGCGAGCGAAGCTCAATCTCCCCATGGCCATTTGTGCGCCTACCGATTTGCCAGTGGTACCGCCGGAGAAGTGAGACTGTGTGCGCATTTTTCGACTTCGAGGCGAAAAGCACCACGACCAGAGGACGAGCTTGCTCGATTCGTGTTCCTCGAAAAATGCTGGAGGTTGCATGAATGAATACAATACAACCAAAGATATCAAAAGATATTGACGAGGCGGGGGGATCACGCGGCGTACACACGCTTACTCACAGTCACATAGAAACATGAGGCATTATCAACATCATTTTTGTGAGAACAGAAGAGGTGTGCGCTAGTTGTTCATCTTGATGCACAATTTTCTATTTCTTTACGGTCGTAACCGCAACCAAGATCTTGGTTTGAAATTTTTTCTTGTGGCACGTGGACACTTGTTCAGATTTGATATCGAAAACGGACCGTCGGGGGCGGCTTCAAACTGCGTTCCTGCTAATCTGCCCTCGTGAGTGGAGGATCGGGCTTGCGATCTGGGATCTGCGTATCCGGAGAAGCACTCGGCGTGGTACCTGGTCGATATGCGGGACCCGCGTCGCTCGGTGATGGGCTCCCCAACTTGCGTGAAAGGTTTTCGACACTCGCGGCACATGTGGCCCAGGTCACTTCTCTGCGCCAGCCGGTGTATCAACTGTAAAAGTGTCTGGGTCTGGAAGATTCTGACACTTGTCACGCACGTTTTGCATGAGCCATGATGTCTGTGATGCATACCCTAGCAATACAGATTTTTTGAGGGCTTCTTGATGCGTATTCCGCATGACAAATGCCTTCTCAGCGTAGCAAAAATTGCATTCCCTTTGCTACTCGTCATGCAATACAGATTTTTTTGGAATCCAGATGCAGCATCACAAGTTGCATTCTTCCAGACCCAGACATTTTTACATTTGATACGGTGCTGATAGTCCCAATACATCGTCTCGTCCCCAGCCCCAATGGTTGTTTCGCTGCACGCAAGGGAAAATGCCTTCCCCGACGCTGCAACGCTGGGATGCAGCGAGGGCGCTGCTGACCAGGTCGACCTTCGGGTCGTCGCCACGGATGCCGTGTCGTCTTGTTGTTCTATGCAAAGAAAAAAGTGTTACAGTTACACATTGTGTTGCAAAACACACAAGCGAGACGACTTCTGTCATGCGCAAAATGCTTGCGAGTCTCGTTTCGTGTGTGTTTAGTTTTGCCTTATGATCTCTGCATTACTCTGTCATGCGGGACAAAGTTTTTATTGTGATGCTGAATTCACTACAAATGTGTAACTGTAACACTTTTTTCCTTGGATATGTTGGGTCGCACCGCCAGTAGCTCCTCCGGGGCGATCATCTCCTGAGGCACCCTGCAGCTCTGCTCCGTCCGGCTCTTCGGGCTGAATGGCTTTGCGCGACGCCGAGGTTGCATTGCCGCGGCCTCGGCGAATAAGGGTCTCGTCCGCCCGAGATAAGAGCCCACCCCGGCGGGCAGCTCCGGCTCCATGATCAGCATCGGAATTTTTGGACGAGGCGGTGCTCGTCGCGGTCACGGCTTTCGATGGCTTGGAAAATCCTTTTTCTTCCAAGAGCTGCTGTTGACGCTCGACGAGCGAAAGCCTTGTTTTTTTCGGATTACTACTAGTCGTTCGGTGGTTTGAAGAAACTTCGTTCTCAGACATGTTGGCGTCACGTCTTGATTTGATCGAGATTCAACATGCTCTAGCAAGTAGGAGCTTGATGTGGTCACACACTACATCCAATTCATTTCGCAACATTATATCGGATATCATAATGAATATGTAGGCAAAGATTCAGATTGTATATTCTAATTGTATATTCTAATTGTCCGCAGGTGATCATAAAGCAAAACCACCAGAGGGTGCAACGTCTTCCAACAAATTACGGGGCCCAGAACAGCCAGCTGCCAGAACAGCTAGCTGCGTCGCAGAAGGCGATATCGATGGGTGTAGGTTATATGAGGTTCTAATCAACCACCCTGATAATGTCCCTGTTCGAAGAAGATGGAGAGTAACAAGGCATCTGTCACAAATACGAACAGAATTTCATGTCCTGTTCATTATCATCCTGCACTACAACCACCCAAGCCCTACGGTGCTCTCATCATTCGTGCAATTAGATGAAAGTAAAAACAAATACAAGCCACACAACCGAGTCGCTGGATATCAAACGAGCTAAGTTATTGATTTCACAGGCCACATATGTGTCACGCAGACGTCGACGCGGTGCTGCATCGGCATAGATGCAAAAAGCTGTCTCCTGCAGCAACAACAAGCGTCGTGGTGCAATTTTGATTTGTGTAGCACACAAAAAAATATTCGCCCAATATTCTTCTACGCAACCACGGCCCCCGTAGTAGGTGCGTGGAAGTGCAAATCGCATCGTAAGTGTTGGATGTGATTGCTTCGGCCGAAATTGTAAGGTGCGAACTACTCGTGTCCTCTCTGGTACTTCACAACTCTCAGTACAATTACAATGAACGTGAAGTGTTCCAAAACGTTGATGACGAAGAGTAGTTTGCATTTAGAGTAACACGAAACTGATATTCATACTTATCGTTAGATTGCGTGCCTGCTGCTACGACTACAAATAAATCGTCTGATTCGCGTGTTGTTCGAAATCCAATTTATTCTGGCTTTCTTCGTATATTATAAGAATTTTTTATCAGCTCCCTCTAGCGTTTATGAACGAAAAGGAAGAAAGTTGTACAGCTTAACTTGATTCTGACGGTTGCAACGCCAGACCAAGAGAGGTCCCGTGAAGTAGTTCGCTAGATGAAGGAGCTGGGGACGTCCTTTCTGCGTGCTTTTATTTTAGGCGCGGCGACTCTTCCACTGCAGCAAGGCCCCCAAATCGTTTTGCACGAGGTGCCTATGGATGCGTCAGGTTCGAAATCGACAAAGTTGAAAGGCTTTGCCACGCATAGAAAGATAGAGATACTGTCTAAGTGGCGCATGACAAATTTTGGCAGTTCCGAAGTCCAGTCTGCCGCGCTGTTTCTACTTCGGCAAAGAAAACCGCTTCTGTCGTGCTGCTTCAGCAGCCCTACCCTTACCCCTAAACAGGCTTGCAATCGGCCTCATTCGCCTGCTCTCTTATAGTATACAGAAACAGATCGTCGGCGGGATGCTTTTTATGGATATGCAAATTTTTCAACTTTGTGAATTTCGATCCTGAGGATTCCGTAGTGCATGTATTTCCCGTAGTTGGCCTGCCCGCGGGCCATGCCTAGAATCACTCTGGCAGCATCCACCCCCTCGCGGTCGTTTAACTTCTTGACGAGTTCGAAGTGCGTCTCCAGGAGCGCAATGCTCTTCTCCGGCTTTTCGACCGCCAGCAGAAGGCCGAGACTGAGACACGCCTTCGCCTTATCCCGTGTAAAAAAGCGTTTCAGCCCATCGGCAAGATGGTAACTTTGCTACGGGAAGCAGCAACCTTTGGCTGTTGCGCATGACCAGTTTGGCCTCGTAGTGCAGTCCGTTTTAGCTAGGTAGTGCATCCGCGTGATAAATCGACTACATTATCCTGGTTCCACATTAAGAGGCAATCCCCAAATAGCATTGGAACGTGCTCCTCATCATGGGGGTGCGCATGAGAAGATGAAACTTATTTTACTAGGCTTATCCTTATGCATACTGAAACTAATTTGCATGAAAACTCTGGGGTCGAGACGTTTTTACTCAGGATACGCCTGCGCTTCCAGTTCTCCGGCCTCCGCGGCCACCGTCAGCAGCAGCTCGAGCTGCAAGACCGCTTCCTCGATATTGCCCGTGGCCTCATACGCCTGCGCCAGTGCCGATCGCGCATTCGCTTCTCCCGCTCGATCCCCTTGTTTCCGACAGATATCCAGGTATTGCTGCTGCAACCTGATATGGGAGGGGCCATTGGGAAGTCAACGAGTAGGCGAAAAAAATGATTTGTAATTGTAATTGTAGTATGTCTATGTCATGCACTCGCACTGTCACCCACGATAATAAACATCTTCTGCCTTGCCAAGAAGTAGAATGTGCATGTGGGCGTTTTCTATATTTTTGCAGAAATTATTGAAAATATTTTGTTTGAGGGTCTGCAGGCCCTGCAGCTGTTCGAGAAACCAAGCAGAAATTTTTGCATCACCCAACACGTGTAAGTACGACGGTCGGTCAAAAGCATCATTCTCACAGAAGAATCTCATTGAAAATCACCATGGAGTGCTGAACATCTAAGTTGTATATGCTAAAAGTAGCAGGAGACGAATTTGAAGTGTCCGTAGGATCGAAACCAAAGTGAACGGCGGGTGCTGAAACGCATTATGGCAGGAGCACACCGCAAAATCGTACAGAACGCGAGACCCTGACACTAAATGATCTCTGGAAAGTTTGGTCTGTTGTGGAAGCAAGTGGACTCAACGGGACGGAGGTCGAGGTGTCGATGTTTATAAGTAAGAAGTAGATACTAATTTATGCATGGCAAATTTTTTTCTTCCCAAGTTGGCGAGTTCATCCAATCTAACATCTTCATACCTGATGGATTCTCCGTATTCTCCGGACAGAGTTTTCGCCTTGCCGAGTTGATGGCAATTCGTGCCCTCGAGCTTACTGTCTTTCGCGAGTTTCGCACAGGCCACGCATTTCTCAAACAGGTCGCATGCGGCACGGACATCGTCGTCGGTGGGACTATTACTCAGAAATCGATCCGCCTTTCCCAGAGAAAAAAGCACAGGTAGGCCATATTTGTATAATGCAAAAAGAAATACACAGCTAAATCCGTCATGGGCCGCGGCCCCATAGCATGCTGTTTAGGATATGCAAGATTTTTTGTGTATTAGTATTTATTTTTGCATTTACATAAACAAATTATATCCTGCCTGCTTTTTTCTGTGTGATACCGCCAACACCTTGTAGACATGGCAGAGCTGGAGGGCGCTCTTTATCTGCAGTGGCAGCGCGTTGCTCTGCGTGCTTAGTTCCAGCGCAGTCTCGTGGTAGGTCATGGCGTTCTCCCAGTTTCCTAACTTCTCCTCACACGTTCCCAGATTGAGGTTGGCGGTCGCGATGGACTCCACTACGCCAGCTTCCCCGGCAACCTCCAGACAGCGATGATGAAAGTAGCGGCTTGAGGAAATCGCGTCTTGCTTCTCAAAGAAGTGTATGGATGGCAAATGTGTCTGGGTCTGGAAGATTGCAACTTGTCATGCTAAATCTGAATCATGCCAAAAATCTGTGTTGCATTTGAGTGCCAAAAGCTGTTCACTTTCGACCAAGTTGGGAGGGAATTTCTCACGCAGGATAGGCATGACAGAGGGCTCACAGAGTCTGTCATGCGAGGTCCCGCATTCCGCCCCTCGTGGGTCATGGAAAACCTGCGTGAAAACTTTGCACTCCTCCAGACCCAGACATATTTGCAGTTGATAAACTCGGCCAGGCCACTGTACGCGTCGACCGCCAGATGATAGTTTTTTGCGCGTCGGGAAGTCTCAGCTCGCTCCAAAACGCCTTTTAGGAACCCCAGGTCCACTGGCTTTCTTTCGTGATCCAGTTTTTTGGTGGAAGTGCCATCGTCTTTGTCGGCTGCTATCCTGAGTAAAAGCGTAGCCACACCAGAGTCAGGATGAGGATTTTGCAACACAAGCCTAGGAGTTTTGTGAGTCACGCATGGCAAGTTGCTCTATGCAGTGTAGTGCAGGTTAGCAACTGCAGCCGCGTCACAGATTCATCTGCTCATCCTGTTCACAGCATCACAAATTCCAAAACACAATTGGAAATGGCTCTCATGGGGATGCGCATTACAAGAACAAGTCTTCCTGTCTTTGCAAATCTGCATTACAACTCTGGTGTGGGTACGTTTCTACTCAGGATAGCTGCAACAGATTCCTCATCGGCCTGCGCCATCTTCAGAAGATCCACAAAAGAATCCACGCAACCCTCTACAAGAAGGTCGATGCAGTGGCTTTTCCTATCCTTCCTCTGTTCTGCGGCGGCAGCGGAACTCTTCTCCGCGGTCTGGGCATCACCCGCGCCGCTGCCGCTCTGCACCGCAGTTGTTCTCCCCGTTGCATCCAGCTGAGAGGAAGGGAGCGCACCAGTAGCGCGAAATTTCACGCTCGTTTGGTACGCCGCTGGTATTTCCATCTTGTTTTTGAAATTTTAAATCGTTCAACTTGCGCTGAGTCCTTGAGGGTGCAAATCTATATCAAACTTGCGTCAGCACCCACGGCAGCGGTCTTTTCAGGTACTTGTCTCGCGGCTGTAGTGCGTGCAAGTCGCAGCCGCCCTTGCGCGGGACGGGAGCTCAAGTGTCGAATAGGGTCCAGCTGAGCGAAGCAACCAAGTATCGGCCGAGCAGACCTCCAGTGCAAACTGCTACTGCCCTCTCGTTCGCTCACTCACATGATGAGCGTACTATCGCACGACGACAAGAGGTCCTACGCTTGTTCCTTGCGTAGTACACCCACTCTCATCTCTGAGCTCCGAAACAGCCGATTTTCTTCTCCGGCACGACTCGATACGAACCAACACGAAACAGGGAAAATAAATATCACCTCAGCAAAAACAAAAAACGCCGTGTCGCAAGGCGTAGATGACACGTAGGCGATTGAACCCATCCACCAGACGGTGGAGCCCACAAACAAACGGCAACATCAAATCCGTGCGAGCATTTCTTTACAAGAGATGTAAAAGGCACCGTCGTCAAGATCCATGTCGTTCTTATCAATCTATCTGAAGTTTTCATTTGATTTACTTATTAGCAAAAGAACCGGGGTACGGTTTCTTGTCCCTTTCGTGAGAGGGGAGTCGTCCCGTGCTCTGTGTGGTCTGGTCATCTCTTCTTGTTTCTCTTCGACGTAGGCCGCGCGCCGTCTGCAGGCCATTTGTACCAGTGCAACATTCGCGGCATTCAGAATTGTATTGTTGCATCAACACGGCGACCCAAGCCCGATATGCATGACTATGCTCGTCGTTGTATATGTAAGATTGGCAATACATGCGGATCTTTAAAATGTATCAAGATGGCTATCATGGGTCTACGTACTGGTGCAGTCTTCCTCGAACAAGAAATACGAGACCTTTTTTGACTGCCACAGTATCGTGAAGCGCTCGAACTGAGCTCTGGAGCTCTCTGAGCTGCGGACATCTACCGGCACACTAGGCTAGGCAGTTGCTTCATCAAAAAACAAAGAAATCGAGGATTGATCATTGACGTATTCATGACAATTATGAGAATGACAGAAGCAGAACATCACAGCATGTAAGTAGGAGTATCATTTCTGCACCAATACCAGTCTGAAGCCCGCACCAGACACATCCCTACAGCTTGTTGCTGGCGCCATCCCCCACCAGCGTCTTGCCCTTCATTGCTGCAGCTGGCGGTCGCGGCCCTTTATAGGACTTTAAGAAGGCCTCGATATCGTCGGACCCATAGCCCTTGGCCCGCATGCGCGCGTTTCTGCCCTTCGGATCTTTCGTTTTCAAATCCAGGCATCCATCCTGAAACTGACAAATCGCTTCCACAACGGACAACCGGCCGCTCCCCGCCGCGAGCAGGAGAACAGAGAGGCCCTCGCGATTCTTCTCATTTATGTCAATCGGGTTCATATCCAAACAAAAAACTTGTACTTGATCACAATACAACATTTTTGCACATTCTTCTTGCGAATACAAAAAGTCCAATTCTACTGGTGGCATGCGTACTACTATAAATGCATCAACGTAAAGTATTTACGAAGAAAAAAAAAGAACTTTGTCACGCGAGAGAAATAAATTTCTGAAGATGCAAGACTTGCAAAAGTGTGAGTACTATGACTGTGTGGTTTTTTCTCGCATAATTCATCAGCTGGAGTTTCTGTTTTTTCCGCAGGATCCTGTGGGAGTGGTCCTTTTCTGACAGACTTGTGCTCGCCCCGCCGCTCCATCGCGTGGACCATTCCAAAACTTGCTGAATGATGTGTGCGTGACCAAACGCAGCGGCAATGTGGAGGCAGGTGTTGCCGCGCTTGTCCTGCGCCGAGAGGTCCAGAATGTCATCAGGGTCGTAGGCGGTTTGCTTTTCAACAGATACGTCGTCCCCCTCCCCCAGATGTTGTTCATCTTCAGTGGCTTCTGTGGTCGTTTCTGTTTCTCCACCCCTTCCAGCAAGAATTGTCGTGGAGGCAGCTGCAGTGTCTGGAGCAGCCGCGGATGCGTCAGAGCAAACGGTTCTTTCCCAACTGAAGAGAGCGCGCAGCGTTTCGCTCCACTTTCGCTTTTGTCCCTCGTCTGCTGACGAGGCATCCAGGAGATCGTCAGCCATCATCAGTTCCGCGCATTTGAAAATGGTAGCGACCAGTTCTGTTTCCCCGAGGGCGCAGGCGTGGATGAGCGGAGTGGTGCCCTTTTTGTTCGCCAGATTCAGCAGCTCCTCCTCGCGGATCTTCCTGCGCAAAACTACATTGTCGAGAAACAAGTCTTGCAATATTTTTCGGCTCCCGTTCCTAATCGCGTACAGCAAAACGGAATCTCCGTCACCCTCGTCAAGAAGGGAAGCTTCCTTCCCTAGGTTGAGCTGCAATGAAAGGTCCAACTGCGCCGCCAGGTCTGGCGACTTGCATATTCGGTCGTAAAATATATCGTTACGGTATCAAAATGAAAAACCGCCCCACCTCCACAGGTGATAGATAAAATAAGTATGTGCGCTGCGATTGCGAAGTAATTCTGATAACGCCGCAAAAAAAAAGTGGCCCCCTGTACATTGATGCAGCCTTCTTACCGTCAACTTTTCGCGATGGAACCTTTCTATCTGACGCACCAAATGCTGAGCAAAAGTTGTCTTTTCCTCTTGCGCTAGGCACCCAGAAGTGCCAGAGCGGCCTTTCCAAAAAAAAGTCCGTCCCACATGACATTGACAAAGAGATGGCCCCGCGCCCGCCCTGCAAATGCAATAGAAAAAAATACAACGAAAAATCTCGTCAATGATGATCGTTCGTCTACTAAACCGGGGAGTTGTACTTATCTAAACGTCCACATAACAAGGTGGTCGTCCATTTTCAGCGAAGAACATTCCACCTGCGTGGAGGTGGGGCCGCACTGTTGGCGTTTGATATGCCTCCGTGCACCGCAACCATCAGCGGAGATTCGCCGCGAAGCGTCGCCAAGTTCAGGTCGAGCAACATTGGCGGACTATTCTCCACGCTCCGCGTTTCATCGTCGTGAGACGACGCGGTCGTGAAACAGAAGGCTTCAGCGATTTTCACCTGCCTGAAGAACTCGTCGAGAATCTCTTTTGACGCGTTTTGATTGGCTAAAATGTGCAATGCGCCCTGCCCCATTTCGTTTTGCGCGTTCAGCACGGTTTTCAGCACGGCCGTACAACCAGAAGACCTTATTTCGCCAGCGCGGTCTTCTTCATCCTTCGCTTTCTCGAGAATCTTACCGAGCAGCAGTTCAAACACCGCCTTGCAATGCGCCACCGCTGCACTAGGCTCGTCGCACGACTGCTGACACAGCATGAGCAAGGCACTGTCGCCCCATCCATCCTTCAGGCCCAAGTCGATTTTTGGCGCGCTGGCGAGTTTTGAAACCACTTCTACGGGTAGCTGTCGCTTGATGGCGTAGTGGAGCGCAGTTTGCCGTCCCGGCCCCGCAGCGTTTACGCCCCCGATGGCTACCAAGGCGTCAGCGGCTTGGAGGAATAGCGACGCGTCCTCAGACGTCTCGGCGTCGGAAAAGACTTTCAATTGCTCCAGCTCCGCAGAGGCAATACTCCACTTGCCCTTTTTGTCCTCGAAATCCACCATATTTCTTCACTCCAACAGGTAGACCTACGCCGAATCTTGCACTTGGATATGAATGTTGAGAAAAAGAATGAAAAGTCTGTCACTAAAACTAATGCTAGAAATTATAGGGGGAGCAAAACAACAATTATTTCTCGTGGGGAAAATTCTGCATGTGCATGATGGATTGGCCTGGAGCTAGGTACGTAGAGATGCATGGACTAAATTGGAACCAATGCCCAAGCTCGAGCCAATTATCCAAACCAGGTTTGTATTTTTCATTTTTATGTTGCACATCTTTCGCTTTGCATTGTGTGTATCTGTATTTCTTGACGCGGAGAACCATACAAAGGCAGAAGCCATGGGGATCCTGTTTCGCACCAATTGAACCGGAGACCAGACCTGTTTATTTTTTGCTTCTACCATCATGATTCATCTTCGGGGACGAATAGCGAAGAAACTGGGACACCTCAGTCAGCTGATACTGACACTAGAAATTTCAATGACCAGCTGCACGACTTTATCAGATTTTTATCCGCTGATGTCGTTGTAGTAAGTACCTAGCTGTATCTATAGGGGACAGAAAAATAACCAGCCGACAACCAGGAGAACACAACAATGGCGGTTTCGATCCTCTGGCCGCGGCGCAACAAGTGTCTTCGTGCCCACGACGAGTGCGCCACGAACATCTTCACAAATTGAACAATGACACACAGAAATCCGTTCCGCGCCGACCGCAAGTTTGTTTATTGTTTGCAGCCTGACATGATACAGGTCGGCATGCATAAAAGTCAGACGAAACCACCACCAATAAAGGTACAATGAATTGCTGCAGCATCGATGAAGTACATTTCAAATTTAAGGTACATTCAGAAGATGATTCGCATCCTACAAAAAAAAAATTACCCGATCTGGTTCAAAACTACGGAAGACAATGCCGCCGAGTCCCAAACGTTGTAAGCGAGCGTCATTGGGACACAACGCTTACTGTTTCAATCGATTTGAGTGTTATTTTTTGTACTTTTGATTTTCAAAAAATGCAAGAAAGGATAACATGAACAAGTACAATTACTTTGTTTTCCAACATGCGTATGATTTTCATTTTACACTATATAATATACCACCACATTTCTTCCAACGCTTCGTGGTGGTAATGAAACAAAGATTTATTTTCAATATAGAACACGAGCGCGTGATGGCTCAGCGGGAGGTTTTGTACATTACACGTTCTTCCCCCACTGGATACTTATTTCACCAAGGCACACCCGCGAACTTTGCTAGAAGCAGAGCCATGGCACCGTAAGAAAAGAAGCTGAGATGGACGGGGTGCACGTACTTGAGGACGTATCGCCACTCGTTTTTCTTCGCCGTTTTCTGCAAGTTTTCGTAGTCCACACTTTTGACGAACTCGTGCACATGCAACGCGTTGCGCATCCGATAGTCGAAGGCACCGATTACGCCGCCCGCGAAAAACCAATGCCACGCGGAATGCCGCTGATGGAGTTGCTGGAACGGACATTGCAACGCAAAAAACAAGTAGACGCGTCCAAACGCCAGTGGAATGGGCCACGGTCTATGGCCGACGATCGGGACAGTGCGGTCAATCAGGATCTGGGCGCTGCCACCGATAAGAGAAGGAATTATCGGCCACGTGAGACACTTCGTGTAGAATTGTACTGTGTCACTGAACAACTCCCTCCGATAAAGCGTGCGACGTGTCAGAAACTCTTGCTTCTCATCTTCCAACACCTGATGCTGGTCCCCCGTTGACGTCGTCGCAGTAGTACCTCGGTCAATCGACGGCGCGGGTACTAAAGCTGCAGCTGCGTCTTTGGCTGGCGATGGCGTGTCCGTGTTCTGTCCTGCCGTGCGCTGCGTGTGGTCTCCTTTTATCGCCTTCTCGTGAAGTGCAGTACTCAGAAGCTCTTCCGGCTCGTCGGCGTACGGTCTTCTTGTACTTGTACCACGACTCCATTGATTTATTTCATCGTCAGAACCGCGACCGCTCGTGTCTTGATTCTCGTCAAGTGGTCGTCCGCGGAGTGTGCTGTGGTCGATATTATGGATCAACCCCCGCCACCCTAGAAGTCCGAGATTGCCATCGGGAGCGGTCTGCAGCTGGTCTGACGTGCGACCACTGATGTCTTGCGCGGGCGCAAAACTTTCCCCGAAAATGAAGCCGCGACTGCTTTCAGAGTTGTGCCTGTTGCGCCGCAAAAAACTATCACACAGAAAAATATACATATACTAATGCCAAAACGAAAATTAACAACGTATATCGATAACATTTACATTAAAGAAAAAGAGTATGTGTCGTACACCTGAAACAGCAATCAATGCGCACCCGCACACACCACGACAGATTTTCATAGGTTTTTGGATATCCCTGTATAGTCTTTTTTACTACATGACATGCTAGATTTTTTCTGCACGATATAGAGAAAAGTCTTCCGGGGCTTGCGGCCGCTCGTGCTATGACAGTGTCAGGATCGAAATCGACAGTGTTGAAAGAATTTGCGATGCATAAATAAAATGGACACCAGCTGGAACCCAGTTTCTGAGTGGCGCACGGAAAATTTTTGCAGCATCGCAATCCAGTTTGAAATGCTGTTCGGGGAAAGAAGGCATCTTTTACGCATACTAATTTTGCAGCTCTGTCTCCGGCCCTACATACGCTTACAATCGGCCCTATGTGCCATCTCGGCAAAGCACAGTGTATCTCATGCGTTGCATTTTACAAATATATGGATGGCGAATGTTAATTTCAGCTGTGTCGATTTCGATCCTGACGCTTCCTTACGTGCGTCTCCGGGTGTAACACCTCGCGATGTCGCTTTTATGCACTGCAAACATGTTCTTGGTCCGCGAGGCATACCACAAAATGATCTGCAATTCGCTTCAAAAAGGTGAAGTCATGCCTTCACGCCTCACAAGAGACGACCCGCCGTTTCATTGTCATGCGACCCTCAGTAACAGAAATCAGGTGCGCCTTTGTTCCATACCCAGACATATTTGCTGCAGTTGATAGGTGTAGATGTAGCCCCATAGATGAAGTTCCTGGCAGCACTCGTCTTCTCGCTACCCTACGTACGAAGATCCTGAAATTATTCTGTCTTGCTGCCACTGGTTTCGAACGGAAACTCCGTTACGGAACAAAGACGCTCGAGGATATTGGTTCTGGGAGACACAAAAGGTCTGCTTCAAGAGCAGTGCGCATGCAGCAGCGTGCCGGCCCTTATATATTCTTCACGAGCGACCCTGTCTCGCAATGATAAATATCATATCTTTCTGGTGCAGTCACGTACAGTGTGCTCATTTGAAGTATGTCCTGTGCAACAAAAAACCTCACTAACGGATGTAAAAAGTAGATTATTATGCTCGACACTACCCCCACCAAGCGCGGCCTACACTAGTGGAAGTACCGCATGTAGACCCCGTACTGCCAATCTCACGATTCCGAATAGAAGTATTGCAGCCGATGTGACGGATAAACATTCTACGAATCAATGAAAAAGGACAACACATCCAGGTCTATCATCCAAGATTGCAAAATGCATTCCGACAATTGGAACCGTCTCCGCCTCAGTTCGCTCTTATCATCAGTATTTACACTTCCGTCTACGTACGACAAATCGCTATGGTAGGTACAGCGATGCGACCCACACTCGGTATTGCTGTTGACGAGAACGAAGCTTGCTTCAGCTAGACAAACACAAAGGCCCTGACAACGACATGAAATAAAACACCCAAGATTTTTACTGCACAGGAGGGGCTTCTGCAAAGACAGGAACCTACAGTGTTGGGCAAGAGTGCTCGCTACTTCTTTTTTTCAATTATCTTCTTTTTCTTGTTTTATTTACTTTCGGACGACACAAAAAATACGCGTCTGTAGTGAGCCAACGGTTTCTCATTCATTCAACGCTGCTCCAACAGTGCGAATCTTTCCACCTAGCCAGCTGGCGAATCGATCCGCTCTCTGTCCCAGTTTTTCCCCAACCCTCTTCACATTCTCGTTCTCGGTTATGTTAGTGATTGTGCCCCCGATAGCACCGATGGTGTTAGAACCCAGATTCTCCACCGCGGTAACAGTATTTTGCGCCACATCCGCCAACGCTGTTCCCGCTGCGGACAGGAGCAATTTTCCAGCAGCCAGCCCGCGTAACCGAAGCTCGTGTTGGCGCATGAGTTTGACCGCCAATTGGACCGTTTCGACCACGTAAAAAGGTGGGTAGTTCTGCAGAATCTTCATGTTTTCGATGAAGTCGCCCGCAAGCAGCACCTCCCGAATGCGCATGATCATCGCAACGCAGACGTAGTGCAGAAAAGGCATCCTACAGAAAAGCGCATCCATAGTACCATTTTGAAGAACAGCAGCGATGCTGTTTTGAGTCGTGTCACAGAAAGGAAGACTCCAAGTCTCTTGCAAGTTGGTATTCAGTCTGACAAATTTATTTCAGGCCACCTCTAGTTGTACCATCGTCCTGGTCTTCTAGCATATTAACGGAGACTCGTGGTCATTGCCTCACTTGCGACTCAACCTGCCATAGCGAAGTTCGTTTCGTTGAAAGGAAACGCAAAGCAACAAGAAGCAGCTGCAGCGAGAGCGACTGCAGTGAAATCATAAATCATAAAATCTTTTCTTCTATCTGGCATCTATGGGTGTCGTGCTTTTCTCTACGATAAACGGTTGCTGCTGGACACGAGGCAGCAGATCGTCCACTTTCGGAAATTCATCACGATGGTGGTCCAACGGAACAAGTGATCTCGTCGTGAGACCGGATGTAGAACTGCTACCGGCAGTAGATGAAGATGAACTACCCGCCAGCAGCAGCTGCGAATGCGATGCAATCGTCACCGGGTTGCTCCTTTCTGAAGTAGTAGCTGCGCCGGTATTGGCGTCCGGCGCGAACGGGGTGCCGTGGGTCCCCGGCCGAGGCCGGGTGTCCTCTGGGGCAACGGACGGAAAAAAGGTGGACGGGACGAAGCCGGCCGTTTGCCGCCCGGAAATAGGCTGCACTTGGTCAAGAACGGTAGACTCAGAAGTACTGGTCGGGCTAGGGCGAATATCGTAATTTTTGGAGTCGAAGAGCTTGAAAGGATCTTCGTCCATGAGCGCCGTGGGATTGGCAAAGTGGTCCTGATCTTCGTCTTCGTCCTGCTGCGCCAGGTCGAAGTGCTGCACTTTGTTCACAGCGCTGGTAGACGAGGACGTAGAACCGCTTCCAGACACTGGTGCTGGCATATCACCAGGTCCTGACTTCTCGGATAACTCATATTTCGTCGCAACAGGAGCTAGAACGCTGCACGTCGTATACTGAGTAAAAACTTACCCACACCAGAGTCAGGATGAGGATTTTGCAACACAAGCCTAGGAGTTTTATGAGTCACGCATGACAAGTTGCACTCTGCAGTGTAGTGCAGGTTAGCAAGTGCAGCCGCGTCACAGATTCATTTGCTCATCCTGTTCACAGCATCACAAATTTCAAAGCACGATTGGGAATGGCTCTCATGGGGATGCGCATTACAAGTCTTCCTGATCCTGTCTTTGCAAATCTGCATTACAACTCTGGCGTGGGTACGTTTTTACTCAGGATACGTCGTCCCGGGTTCTTTTGCAGCGCTGGGTGGAGCCTGAAATTCCACCTCCTCATCTGCAGGCGTAGGACTCTATCCAGGAAAAAAAGCGTGTTCTTACAGCCTTCCATGACAGAGACAGCCTGCCATGTGCAGCTAGTACGCTAATAAAACGCATATCTATGAGAAGAGGACTTCGTTGCGGGCCAGGATGTTGACAAGTTTAACAATAACAGTAACTATGCTGCATGATTTTTTACATGACAGACTCTCATTTACACAGTTCTTTTCTTGCATAGACTCGGCGTGTGATGTCCTAGCTGGGTGCCGTTCCTCTTGTTCTTTGGCGTAGTTGCAAGAATGCCCTCCCGATATATAGTATTTTTTGGAGCTGCACTACTCTCCGGAACTGATACGACTTCGGTAGTCGTCCTGCTGGTGGGCGAAAACCCTAGCCCGCCAGCGGGCCGTGCCCCTGATGTAGTCCCCCCGTCTGTGGAAGAAGTCATGGGTGCCAATACCCGGACGGCAACTTCAGGACCGGCGAAGATGCCGGGCACATTGGTAGGTCGCGGGAGCATCGGATTGCTCACCTGCAACACTTCGTGCGGCGGTGTAGTTGTCTTACCGACTACTAGGAGAGATGAAGCCGCAGTGCTTTGGCCGTTCGTTGCGGACGACGCGTGCTGCGACTGGGAAGTAGATGTGGATGATCCACCATTGAGGCTGGCGTGCAGATCTGTGCGCATGTGGCTGACCAGCGCATTCGGGCTTGGGTCATGCAAGAGCGAGTCCCACAGCCGGACCGTGTTATCAAATGCAAATATGTCAGTCTGGGTATGGAAAACAAGTGCAAGAACTGTCGTGCAGGTTCTATATGTTATGGCTCACAACATCTAGTTCTGGAATGCAGGAGGTGGCATGGCAAATTCGTCTCTGAGATCTGGCTCTGGATCTCTCTCAGCATGCCTATCCTGCCTGATAAACTTCCTCTCAATTTGGTCAAAAGTCGACACATACTTTGGGCAATCATGCAAGACAGATACTTTGCATGATCCAAGAAACTTCTTAGCGCGACACGTTGGAACCTTTCCAGACCCAGACATATTTGCGATGGATACGTGTCCGCCAGAGACAGCTCCTGGCTGAGCAGCAGCATAATCCAGCGCAAAGAATAGAATGTGGGATCCACCGCGTTAGACTCCAACCGTCGCCAAACCTGGTAGTCGAGCGCGCGTATCCAACAGATAAAGAACACACGTACTACCGGAGAAAAATGGGTCTGCGGTGCTCCAGTTCTGTCGCTAAAAACTCTGTAAGAACGCAAAGACCGTCCAGTAAGAGACAAGACAATATACTGCCGTCAAGAGTGCAGTTTGTGCTGATGTTCGCTAGCAGCTAGCTAGCGACTAGGTCGTGAGAGGCACCAAAGAAGTTTGTCATGCTGAACTTGGTTGTGACAGTAATAACCGCAACACAAATTTGTCTGCATTCATTCTAACATGGGTGTAGTTTTCTGTTAGATAGCGCGAAGCAACTGGTTCAGAGATGCGATGCGCCCGTGCATCCCGGACTCGCTGTGGTCGAGGGACTTCAGAAAGCAGTCCCGTTGCTCGCCCATGAGAATCGAAAAGCAGAAGAAAGTGTCTGCCTCCGCCGCTAGAGCTTGAGTGCCCACATCGCCCATCGTCCTGCGCAAAAACGTCCCCCGCCCACGACCTATTGTTGGATGTAGATTACTTCGATAAGATTTTCGCGCAAAATAGATGACTTACAGATGAAATCCGTGCGCGGCGGGACTGCTTGCGATACCTGGGACGATTATTCCGTCCAATTTCCCAAGCCATTAGGTGGAAATGGCATCGCATGCACACACGCGACGCGCACAGACATGGAGAAAAAAGGGGCCGGGCCATCTTTCCTCACCAATTGGGGCAACTCCACAAAGTTCTCGTGGCGGACCAGAACAGGCGAAGGGACGAAAAAGTGAGCAAAGTCAAACACTTTTGAGCTAAAAGTGTTAGATTTTGGACACTTTTTGGTCTCTGGCCTGTTTTTTCTGGGTGGGGACCAGACAGGCAGAAGCTAAATACCATAGCAGACACAGAGCCAGAGGCCTGTCCGAAAGAGCGAGGCCCTTCCGGACAGGCACGAACAGCGCGCACTTCCGCAAAGAAATGAACCAATGCAAATCCGCATTACAGATTCCATTTCTGCATTGGAAATGGAATCTGTGATGCGGATTTTCCTCAAGAAGTTCTTGAGGCAAATCCGCATTACAGATTCCATTTCTGCAAGCATTGGAAATGGAATCTGTGATGCGGTGCCCACATCGCCCATCGTCCTGCGCAAAAACGTCCCGCCCACGACCCTTAAGGGTTGAAAAAATTAAGTTTCACATCAGGGTTTTGGTTCGTGGTTTCATAGATTTCGCAGCCCCCGCCTTTGTCCGTCTTCGCACCGCCCGGCAGTTGCCCAGGTGGTGCCTTGGTTCGTATTTCGTCTGGCTGGCAAAACCAAAGCCGCCGGGCCTTCAGAGCTGAAGGCCCTTCTACCTTGATGCCGATCCAGATTTTGTGCGAGGTGTCGCCACAATTCTGACGAGCGCACGCTGGCTGATTTGGGGGTCGGCATTTCCCTGGAGATCTAGGCTGGCATCTAGGCCAGGCAAGCCCACATCGCACATCGTCCTGCGCAAAAACGTCCCCCCGCCCACGACCTATTTACTTGGGTAAGGCCCGCAGCTTCTGCGAAACTTTTAATCGCGCAGCACATTCTTTGTTTTAAGCCTTCGAATGCTTAATCTAGGAAATCGCGTTCATAAGGTTTAAGCATTAGAATGCCTAAACTAAGAAGTCGCAATTTAAGCATATGAATGCTTAAACTCACGGAAGCGCAGATTGCAATTTGCTCTAGCAAATTTCAAATTTGCTCGCACAGCTTCAAAGATAACCAGTCAATTAGCGGCCACTCGAATGCTTAAAGTGATTGTTTATTTTCAAGCAGTTAAGCATTCGAATGGCTAAGCTGATTGCTTGTCTGTGCAGCTGCGTGAGCAAGTTTGAATTTGCCCAGAGCAAATTTCAAATTTGCTCACGCAGATTGCAATCTGCGTTTCCGTAAATTTAAGCACTCGAATGCCTAAACGCTATATCTACCGCGACCGAGCGCGAGCGTTGTTGGTGTTGCTCGAGAGGCAAAGAGCTTTCGCACCATGGGAAACAAAAGCGCCGCCGGTGCAAGAGCACAGAGCCAAAGCGTCCCGCGGCGCTTTTGTTAAGTGCCCACCCCGCGCAAAACCGCCGTGGGCGTCGTGATCCCTCCAGATCGCGACGCCTGGGGCAATTTGCCCCATTGGGCCCCCTGCGGGCTTCGGTGCACAAGGTTGCAGCGCGGCGCGGGCGCCTGGCGCGCGAGGGCGAGGAGGCGAATTCAAGAGCAAAGCGTGGCGCGCACGCTTCTCGCTGGGCCAACTGACGCGCGGGTGGGGTGGAGGGGCGTGGCCGCCGGAGCGGCGCCGCGCGGGCGGCACTTTTATCGGGAGCGACGAAGCAAAGGGCAACGAGAGCACGAGCCCGGCGTCGCGATCTGCTGAGATCACGACGCTAGCGACAGTTTTGCGCGGAGCTTGCAGGCACTTAACAAAAGCGCCCCGGAGCGTCTTGGCTCTGTCTGTGCTCTTTCCCTTTGCTTCGTCGCCCCCGGTAAAACATTCGAATGACTCAAAGCAGCTTCACAAAGTTGGCAAATAACGGCTCGCAGGGTTAAAATCGCAGAGTGCCCACATCGCACATCGTCCTGCGCAAAAACGTCCCGCCCACGACCTATTGCGCACACTTTCTTTGTTGCAGCTACAATGTCTTTTGCAGATGCGCGTCCCTAGTGCAAAGGAACAGGAAGTTTGTGTGTGCGTAATTTTCGCACCACACACACTACTTGTCCTGTTGCTCCTCCTGTTGCTGCTCCATGTACTCTTAGCGTGAAAAACGTTGCTGACCACAGCCTCACGATGCGGCTACTGTCGACTGACTCCACTGCATGCACACGCTTGTCATACCATAGCCGTAGTCTCTGCGTCTGCAGCAGGGCTTCTTCATACATTCTCATGACAGAACGCATTTTGACAACTGAGATCGCGGCGGCCGTGTTTTGTCCAGCTGATATCAGCTTGTTCACGAGTCGGGTTAATTCCGTGTAGGGGTGGCTCCACCTTTACCGCATCCATCCTCGCAGAATCTGCTCCGCTTTTCTGCTGCTCGCCCTCCGCTGAGGCAGCTGCCACGCGGTTGCCAGCAGGAGCCTCCTCGAGGTCGTTCATCCTGTTGTGGGGGGCCTCAGCTGCAGGAGGTGAAACCTCCTGAGCTATCGGATGCAAGCTGAGCGCGTCGGAGTGGAACAGGTAATAGACCACCGCACACAGCTCGTTCATGCCCTGCACGTACCGAATGCCGGGGTTGAGCTTCGCGTAGAGAAACAAAATCCGCCCCATCGCATCGAACCCTGTTTTCGGACTGCAAATGTCGCAAACGCCACCCAGGCCTGCTGCGCTCGCAAGTGCGCTCAGTGGGGCCGCGGGAGTAGGAGCCCGCCCGGAGGGAACAGTATTAAATCTTGGATTATCAGTCTGAATGGTCGCCGTCTCTGCGCTAGCGGCACGGGGATTTTTGCCGGGCGTTGGCATTGATGAATTTGCAGAAGCGTCTCCTTCTCGTCCAGTTCTTTCAGACTGGACTTCATTTACGGCATCTGACTTCTTCGTTGTTACGGCAGGCCCTCGCCCAAGAGATCCACCTTGTAAGTCGCTGCTCGTGTTATGGCCTGGGAGGGTCGTTACAGCGGAGGAAACAAGTGCTCCTGACTCATCGCGAGGAGCGGCCCTGACTGTGTCACCAAACAAACTTTTCGCGAAGAACTCGGTATGCTCTCGTCGCGTGCGGAACAGACCTATCATCTGCAAACGAACCCGTCAAGGCTCGCTCATCAAGGAAAGTCAACTACCATATTAGATAATATTTATCAATATTGAACAGAACGGCCAACTACCTGTTTGCAAAATCAGACTTTTCACTTTTTTGCATCATCAGACTTTTCTTTCATCTAGTGCGGCTTGACACCTCTTGACCACAGGTCGCTTCGTGCGCGCGGAAAGTGACAGAAAAAAACTTGCTGTGCGTTTCAAGAGAGTTTTTTGGACCTTTCAGCACCTTTTTTTCCCTGGCCTTGATGACTTTTTCGAGTACGTTGAAGTCACATCGATAACGTCCTTGTTAATCTGGTCATAAATTTCCAGATCCGCCTGCGAAACAACGACCTTCGCGCTTGGCGCGGATCGGGTCGCGGTCCCCCCATCTGGATCGACGCCATCGTCTTCCTGCTCAGGGTCAGCGTTTACAAGCGTCTTCTCCACCGCCGGTGGCTCAAGAGGTCCACCGTTCCCAACACTTTGTCCTCGTTGAAGAGGTGGCGCAGCACGCGTAGTTTCTGCAGAAATGATATCCCGTGCTGCAGAACTATTGCCTTCCTCCGTTTTTTCGCCCGCCGGTCTTGCGGCTGTGTTAGCAGCAACATCTTCACTGATCGTCGGGTCCCCGAGGATGGAGTGCACCAGTGCTCTTTGCAACTCCGGATCCGCGCATAGCTCCCGCACCAAAGCAACATACTCGGCTCGCTTTTTTGCCAGCACTTCGTCCCAGTTTTCTATTTCCAGCGGTAAGTAGCCCAATTCGTTGCAAAAACGTCCCCACCCCATGTTTGTCACGCCCATCTGCGTGTCCCGGAACCGGAAGTCTGTCATCATGCGCAGCCCCATCCCCATGAGAAGTCTTCTTCTTCTAGTCGTGTTTTGGCATTAGAATTAGTTGTGATCTAATCACGATATTAAGATGGCCAATTTATATTTCCTTTTAGTAACTACGCGGCTTATACAATAGCCAAGCAGGGTGCGCGTCCAAGTTTAATATATACCGCACCGGTACCCGTACCCATATTGTCACGCGGTGTGGGAGGTGCACATCACTTGCGATGAATTTCCTATTTTCACTGTGGCTTGGGGCCGTTTTTACAGAGGATAAACCCATCGTCAACTTCCAGTACACCGCACGGAGCTCCGGGCAGTCCACATCTAGCCCTTCGAACCCCAGAGCGCGCACCTTGTGCAAGTCGATTAGGAGACTCTCCTCGTCGCACGGCCGCTTCAACAGAAGGGCGATACCAAATGTAAAAATGTCTGGGTCTGGAAGCTTCAGCTTGTGATGCTGGGTGGCATATCATGAGGAAGCCACAAGTGCTGGCTCAGCATGAGAAGTTTCGGAGCTTCTAGGTGTTGCCTATTCTGCATGACAAACTGCGTTTCTGCATGACAGAAAAGTGGCGCTCTTGGGTAACGTGCATGACAGATTTGAGAGTCATGCCGGACACGCATGACAAACATGGACTCTTCCAGACCCAGACATTTTTACATTTGATAGGCGAGACACTTGGCTAATTTGTCCGCAGTCTCCACGTCCGACGATGCGGACTTCTCCGCTATCTTGGTAAATACCAACTTTTGCAACTCCGCCAAGAGTGGCATTTTATTTGTATATCGCTCTCAAATTGATGTTCCCAAAATCACTTAGCAGGGTAGAGCAACCTTCAGGTGATCCGTTGTACTCGAAACCGGCTTACTTTGGCTTTCGCTGGTAGAAGAGTGGTCCAGTGCATATTCAATTCTACTGCGATTTCTACATCTACACCGCCACCCCTCCAGCGGCCGAACTATTTATTGGAAAAATCATGTGGATGGCTGTGGGCCGAATCTTCGTGCGGCTGATGCCCTTGCGAAAAAATGTATGCTACAAACAAACTGTGCTGTTGAGGGTTGACCCTCGCAGAGCGAGATGAATACAGTCAGTGCAATGCCCGTCAGCCACAAGCTAGGCAGGAAGATACGCATTGACGTCTTTTTTTTGTACAAGATATCGATCAAGTAGAAAAAAACGGTGAACATCAGAATACTGCAGCATCACCAGCTTATGCGACTGCGCGGCCTAGTGAGTCTTCCGCAGCCCTGCTCCTCGTAGGGTCAGAAAGGGATAAATGATCGGAAGAGGTATTCCTCTACTCCCCTTGAGTGCGACGAGGCATTCCATAGGGAGCCGCGCAAGCTGTTTGTTTGTCTCTAGGGAGGACAACTGTATGCGGAGCCATATCAAGAAAGGTCTTGTATTTTTGGCACGAAAATCGCAGAAGCAGCTGTTAAGTACGAAGAGGCTGAAGCACGCAGCCGCAGCTGTAGAAGCCATACAATACGTGATCGGTACGGGCAACAGGAAGTTGATGCACAGCTTATCTTTTATATTATCGGTGGTACAGTCTTTATTTTGTATTTTTGCGTAGGGCCCATCAAGAATATACAATTTACAAGCTATCTCTACTGGGGATTCATGCGTGCTACTTCAAGAACCAGGTGTCAACTTATTTACACAGCCCGGGTCGGAGTCGACAGTCCGTGATGTTGAATGGGAAAAATACATGTGGGTAGTGCTGAAAGTAGACTTCTTCTTTCCTGACAACCTAGTTTCAGGCAGTCTCTGAACGCGGCCTTGCTGCGAGAGCAGTTGATCATGTGATACATAACGCGTATCTTTTAATTTAGGTTAAATAATGTAACTCTTTGCGCTTGGCCAGCGTCTATAAGTCGTTGAACCATTCTTCGTTCTTCTTTTTTTCGGACAAACTCTAACTAGTATGTATTTCTTCCGAGATCTCCTCAATGCCTCAGCGGTTGACGAGCGCACTCGTGGGTGCGACGGATTAACGGGTATGGTGAAGATATGAGTGACTTTGCCTACGCAGCGATTTCGGAAGTGCTGTCGAAAATTCCAAGTCACGATGGTCTTGCTAGTTGCCATGCATGAATGAGGACGCAAAAATTCTGTCGTGCTCTCGTACTAGACGAAGATGGTTATCGTTCTCATGTTTTCATCTGAAAAAAAAATGAGAGTATTTTCATTTTGTGACTGATGATTAATATCAGTCGGTCCTTATACATGAGTGGACAGACGAACATGAATGCAAAATAGCATCAAACTGTAGCTGGAATTTCTTGAGGACCAGACCACCTCTAAAACCAAAACCACTCTGCTGCAAAGTCAGTTACATCGCGTAAGAAGAGACACTCGGTCCAGGCGGGTGGTCCGGTGGCGCCCCCGGTACAATATCAACTGCAAAAATGTCTGGGTCTGGAAGAATGAAACTTGTGATGCTGAACTTGGATTCCAAAAAAATCTGTATTGCATGAGCAGCAAAGAGAACGCAATTTGCGCTACGCGGAAAGGGCATTTATCATGCAGAATAAGCATCAAGTGGCCCTCAAAAAATCTGTGATGCTAGGGCATGCATCACCGACATCACGGCTCATGCAAAACGTGCAGGACGGGTATCAGAATCTTCCAGACCCAGACATTTTTACAATCCATATACGAGTTCGAGGCGCAACTTCGTAGTTTGGAGAATGGTATCAAGTCATCAGAGTGATCATGTGGCAATATCAACGAAGTTGTAGCCACATGTCGGCGGCTATCTCGACGTATGTGCCCCGTCTTTCCTGGTGGACCCACAACCACACACATCAATATAATGCCATATTTACTATTCCTTCGGGAAGAAATCAGTAGTCATCATCTTCATGCTAAACCAAAAGAACCAGCCACAGGCGGGACCAGGAACGCACGTTGCTGACGAGAGACGACAACTGAATACCATTCTGCATTCTACAGTCGCTGCTGCAGGCTTAAACGACTACGGCGTCTGCCCCACTCTCGCTGGAATCGGAAAGCTCGGCTGCGTGGGATTTCTGCGAGAATTTGGCAAACTTGTGGTACATGTCCTCAGCCTTTGTCATTTCCGCCCGCAGGGTTCCGAGGTCCAGATCGGCGTTTTTACTCCGCATGGCCGCAAGCGCCTTGCGCCGGTTGATATCCGTCTCTAGTCCGTTGAACTCTACGAGGCGGTGCAGGTGTTGCAGCGTCCACTGAAGTTCCTTCACGCCTAGCTTCTGGCCCGTCACCTTCGACAGGTCTTGCTGCACCTTCAAATCTCGCCTCCGGGAACCCGGTACCTGTTTCCGCCGTTTCATCGACGCCCCTGTATCCAAGGGAAAAAAAAACTATTTCGATTTCATCAAGATCAACAGCAACTACACGTAAACGCTGAAGTTGTCGCATGAAATAAGTAATATGGGCAATCAGGGGAACATGCGACACAGCAGTGGCACTTCTTCATCTTCTGCTGGACTGAATGTGAATATCCGAATCTTTTTCTTTTCTTGTGACAGAAAATGCATCAAATTGGCAGCGTGCAAGAGAACAACCGTCCTCGCGGTGAATAGATTATAATTTTCCCATTGATAAAGGCCCTCCTTCGAGTAGTAGACTCGGTCTTGGTAACAAACTTCTTCCCCGAGTAAGCGTTCCTCGATCACGGTCACGAGGTGCTTCTTCTTCGAGTCCAGTGTCCATCGCTTGTAGTCGCGTCGCACACCACTTGCGAGCTGCCACGCGCGCACTTTTGGATTCTCCGTGTCCGCATCTTGCCGCGCAGCATTGTTCTGTGTGACGTTGTTCGGTGAAATCTTTTTTCATGATGTTGCGCAATTACCAGTGACGTTAGTTTCTTTGTGCTTTTGCAACATGGAACTGCGATGAATTATAATTCGCTTTATTTGATAGATACTTAAAACTTATCTCATCCAGCAGGAGCACACAACACATGAAAGAAACATGAGATGAAGATTCATTGATATTGACAAAGACGTAGCTGCACCTTGAAATCGAGAAAAGCATCGGCCATCCTGGGCGATGGTCCGAGGGCGCCGTGGTTCCCAGGGTCGGACTTCATGCGCTTGCTGCTCTTCGCCGACGAGCTCGTGCTTTTCTTCCTTTGCCACCCCCGCATAATGTGGTCCAGGTCTTCCTCGGGAACGCGCCGCCCCGGATACAACCCCTGGACCTTCACGTCCTTTGTCTGCGGAGGTGACGCTGGAGAAGTAGAACCAGCGCTGCTGCCCACGGAAACTACCCCAACCGTGGCTCTGGCCGCGGTCGTCCCGGTGAGCTTCTTCAGTTTATCCTCGGCCCGGTGGTAGATCTGTTCCCCGCTCAAGTTCAGCTCTGCTTGCGACACCTGTCCGCGGTTCTTGGCCGAGGAAAGACGCGGAATCGCCGGATCACCTCCGGACGAGTGCCTGCCGCTCATCCGCGGCGATGCCGACGCGGAACGGCTTCCAGCAGCGCCCGTCATCAGCGGGAGGAGCGCCAACTGCTTCTCTTCCGGACTGCCGCCGGGGCTCAAGGACTCGACCTCCGCTTTTATTTGGGCGTACTCCTCGGCGTCGATGGGATCCGCGGGTACCAAGTCGTGCCCATTCTCTTGGAAGAACCGGTCTCGCTGGGTCTGCAGCGACGTCAAAACGTCGTCCGGGAGCCGCAGGAACTCCGCCTCCACGCAGAGACAGCGCAGCACTTGGTACTTCACTTTCCCGAACTCGCGCCAGAACGAATGATTCAGAACGGTGTCCTGCTCGTATTCCCAAAACAGGTCCAGGAAGCGATTCGCTTCGTACACGGACTCAAACGCCTCATCGTGCCGGTTCTGGGGGCTTAAGATCGCGCACAAAAGGACCCGAGCCTTGCACTGCGCAACCAGGTGCACCGCTGGATCCTTTTCTGCTAACCTATCCGCAGACTCGACCTAGTACAAGTTTGTGGTTAGATTAGTTTTACAAGTACGATTTCTTCTTCTGGAATTAGACACACAAAGCAAAACCGACAACGCACAGACCCGAATAAGCAACTTTCGCTTGCATGTGCGGATTTGTTTTTCTTTGCAGAGTGAGACGCTGAGCAACTATGTTGCGCGAACGTTCTTACTCGGCATAAGAAGGAGGACGGACGTAGTTCCCTACATCTCTAAGTATCGGTCCTCAGTCCACTTCGCGAAGCTTTGTAGTGGAAATGACAAAGTAAAGTACTCTCCTTAACACTTGAACTTACACTTAAATGATACATACCGCATTTTCCACCGCTTTCAGAGCTTTCCCCGGTGCTTGTCCTTGCTTCAGGTACCAGCAAGCTAAGTTCATGAAATGCTCTGGGGCGGTGTAGACGGGAACTTCGGCATCTTATCCTCGACAAAATCTAAATCACCATCACCCCCGGTTTGTAATGAATGTAACGACGCGCACGTTTTGCATGCATATCCGCAATGACCAACAATTGAGGGTGATGGTGAAAATCTTGTTCAGGATACCTCCGGGCGCAGCTTCAGGTAGTTCAAAATAGGAATGCGCTCAAAGTTCACGTTGCTGCCGCCGCGATTGAAGATTTGCGCCATCTTCTGTCGCCCTCCAGCGGGAGCTCCTCTCCCCGAAGATTTATGCTTTTTGTACCGAGTTGCCGGCAGCTGCAAGTGCCACGCTTCTTCCGCGTCCAGCTAGCCGTCACGCGAGCGACCACCCGCTTGCATGGTGCTGACGCGACTGCATGAAGATTTTTGGCCAGTATCCTCTAACGACACTATCACTTGTCTGCTTCACGCTCTTCTCATCGGGTTCATTCCCAGACGCGAGTTTGCTCTGGGTTGTATTCGTTCGTGTACTATACGACAATTACTCCATTTGTTACATCATCATGCAATCAGCTGAACGTGGTGCCTGCTCGATTCTGGCCGTTGATCGACCAGTTTTCTCCAGAGTGTTGCGACCTGCGATGAATGCGACAAAAAAAGGTAATCATCTAAGGAAATAAAACAAAAACACCGACTTTTTTCCGAAAAGAGGAAGAGAATCTTAATCTAGTCCCCTTACTAGTAAAATCAATGATCACGAGGATGCTACTACTTGAGGCATCTTGATCTTTCTCTGTTATGGTGGTCAGATATGAGGTATCTAAGGGCCTGGAATCATCTTCCTCACGACTTTCGAGCTCGCATACGGATACGAGTTCGAGCAGATATAGAACGGAGAGCGCACGATTGAAAACCCCTGACGAACTTGTCGAATATGAATAAGTATCTTATTCGGGCACCCTCATGTACCGATATTGACGATGGTCTCTCAGTCACGACGAGAGCGACCAAAATGAATGAGTCCTGCACTTGCTTCCGGGACCTGACCCGAATTTTACAAATAAGAGCCTACTACTGTGGCGCCATAGAGAAATGGATCTAGCATGACTATCGGACCGAAACTGACTACGAAGGGCGTCGAAAATTTGTTGAACACGAGGCTCGATCTTTTCTTCGCCTACAGTGATTGAGACCGCTCCTCCTACGCCGAGGGAGGCTGTGCATATTACCTACAGCCCTCTCATACTTACTCACGGCAATCACATTTATTCTCAGTTTCAAATTTGCGCACGACAAACATGGAATTCTAGAATTCTTTTTCTTCTTCTAACAAATATCTTTGACTTCTGGAGACAAGTCAAACTGCTGTGTGCGAGGGGTGAGCGTGAGTGAATCGTCGCCAAGAATAAGGTGCGACGAGGTGAACACGAGGAACGCGATCATTGCATTTTTATGCCCTTATCTGACTCGTGTTTTCCCTTATTTTCTCGTTTGCGGAATGGAACCGACCACCATCGATCTACTCACGCTTCTCGTGTATTTCGCTGGCATGATCGGCCGTCGCTAGCCCTTTTTGTGCTTCCACGACCGATCGTCGAACGGACTGCACCGCTCCGGGGAAAGGACTAGTTCTGCTGTTTTTTATGCAACAAAAAACACCACCACAGCTACATTGTTACAAGTTTTGCTGCTGCAGCAGTTTGCCTAAAGATGGTAAAAATGCTCTTTGCGTTGCGGAAACACGGCCGTTGGGTAAATCAGGTGCAAAGTTCTTTTTACGCATGAACATAAATTTTTGCACAATAATAACAAAAATGTACAAAAAGTAGGATGGTAATGTTGTTTTCTTGTGGGATATTCTTCTGCGCGATCGCACAGAAATCTTTCAAGAGAAATAAATTGAATGCGATGTTCCCCAGTAAGACGGTGGGCCATCCGGCGCAGCGTGAGGAGCCCGCCGACATCGTTCCCGATGCCACTCCGTCCAGGAAAAAATCCGTGATCGGATAGATATAGACAAAAACGGTAATCACGAACGCAGCCACCGACATGGAGTTCTCAGACGTTACATTGTCAGACGTTGCACGATTTGCAGCCACGCAAAAATGCCATATTACACTTCATCCACACGATCAAGCGACTGCTCATGACAAGAAATTATCGCAGGGCTAAGCAGCATGGCAAGAATCTGTGCCGCATTTGTAATGCGAGAGGGGCAAGCTGCACTCCTCCCCCCTGACGCTTTTGCTTTTCCTTTTCTTGTTGCGTGACAAATAACTCATGCACCAGTTGATAACGTAACGCTTCAGAACCCCATAGATAACGGAACTGAGGAACTGGACAACCTGGAGTCGCGTCACCCAGCGCTTCCAGCTTGGCGTCTTCCCAGTGGTCTTCCGCTGAAGGTAGTAGAAGTACATTACCACGTGCACGCCGGTGTTGAAAAGTAGCCCGATAAACTGTAGGGACGTCCTATCCCGCGTAAAAAAGAGGCCCCCACCCCTGAGCCTGACCTGTCCTGCAAAGCTGCATGCTCAAAATGTTTGTTTCCCAGGCGGCTCACCTCTTTGGCAAAATAAATATCTGATGCTCTAATCAGAATAAGACGCTGGCTCTGTGAAGATGCAGCTGGGGTAGCTAGTAGGCACGACTATGCTACAAATCCAATTTTGTTACGCGTCGTGACTCCCACAACCTCTGGATTTGTGCTCGCAAAATCAATGCGAACCTCGACTTTGGGGTGGGGAAATGTTCACAAACGATACATCTTGTAACGCACCCAGGCCCAAGCCATCACCACCGCACAGGCGTGATGGTACACGTGGAGGCAATATCCACTGCAAATATGTCTGGGTCTGGAAAGTTGGAACTTGTATTGCTTGTCTTACATTTAACATTCCTGTGCAATCTCTGCCCCCTGACCAACAAAAATCGTGCCCTCTTTTGTACATAAGTACAAAAAGAAAACCAAAACGCAGCTTCTCATGCGAACTGAAATACTAAGACAGCGCTGCTCTGCAACTTTGTCACGCTTGGCTGGATTGGAGAGCGTTTTCAGCATCCACAGCTCAGCATCACAAATTTCCCGACACACACATTATAAACATATTCGCATCTGATAGAAAAAAGTTCGGAGGAGGTCGCCCCCGGGCGAGCAGCAGAAACGTGTCCAGGTGCTCGTAGTATTTGCTCACATAAAAAAGAAAACTCCAGAAGTAGGGGTCTCGCATTCTCGCGGCCCAGGAGAGGACCGGCGGACCCGTTGCTGCTGTGTGATCGCGTGCTGTCGTTTCTTCTTCTGCCGCATTCGAGGAGGTTGTAGCCCAAACACCGCTCGAAGAACTCCGATCAAAAATAACGGCGGTGCTCGGCGCCGGGGCGAAAAATTCACCCACCTTGGCGACATACTCCTCATCTGGCAGGTCCTGCTCGCAAAATAAAAACGAAGGCACGAAGCCGTTGCTCGCAACGATCCCATTGATAGTGTTGTTGTTCTTGTAAGCTACTTGCACGCTCAGCGAGTACAGACAGCCACAAAACATGGCAGCAGACGCCAGAACGAGAATCAGGTCGTGCACGATGCCGATCCGCTTTAGGTCGGAGTTGAAAAACCAGGGGCGCCAGCATGTTCCCCCCTTATGGGAGTGTCAGGATTGAAATCGACAAAGTTGAAATAACTTGTAATGCATAAAATTAAAATCGATACCAGTCGGAAGCCCAATTGCCGAGCGGCGCATGACAAATTTCGGCACCGTCTAAATCCAGTTTTTCATGCTGTTTAGGGACAGAAGGCGTCCTTTGTCATGCTACTTTAGTAGCTGCATCGCAGACCCCAAACAGGCTGACAGTCGGCCTCATTTGCCATCCCTGCAAGAGAGGCACTTCATGCCTTGCAATCTATGCATGAGAAATTATTTCAACTCTGACGATTTCAATCCTGACGCTTTCATACCCCTCCAACGGCCGGTATCTGCGACTCAGAAACGTACCAAGAAGAACAAATAGAAGATAGAAAACTGCCGCACCCACCGGTGCCTGCCACTGCAACAGCAGTCTGGTAAAGCCACCCATTTATTTTCGATTGCCCGGGCAGAAACGGCAACGGGGCGAAATATACAACCCGATGCGATGTCGATGAAAACAACTAACTTACTACCAGGGCGAAGCGAAAACAACCGCCGGCAAGCCAGGGCAGTAAAGGCAAAGAAAAAGGAGGCGAGACTGACATATCAAAAAACAGGTATCTGGTTTGAATTCGCTACTGGCCAGAAAGAAAATAAAGATAAGCGACCTCTGACATCGTCGTATTTCAGCAATAGCAGTAGTGGCTCATTTTTGACGAAGCGACGACCTCGAAATCACGAGAGCAGTACGTCTTTCTATGACGGAGGATCCTCTGCCTGTCCGGCACCGGCTATGATCGTACTAGAAGATCTCTTCCACATGCGCGATCTTCCGTTACCGTCATCTATATCTGTGGATTCTTGTATATCACCACCTAATTCCCATCCCATCCCATCAATTTCTCGTTGTCGAAATTGACCGAACCTCGTCCGGTCTACTTCTTCGATTGGCACACACATGTTTTTGTTTTCTTGTCCCTTCGTTTTGTTCTGACTTCGTTTTATTCCGCAACTTACATACATTTCTGTTTTCCGATACTTAAGAATGACAAGATGAATGTTACTCGCTAGGTTTGCTGCTTCTGCAGGCAGCGCCGGGCGCAGGTCTGATAAAAGCTTCTTCATCATACAGGGCTTGTATAGTTGGAAGCAAAAACTGCAGTCAGTGGTGAGTCTCAGAAGCTGGAAAGCTACTACATTCCTAAATACGCTACCACTAGGAGCTGCGAAGTGTGGCCTTCGTGTTGAGTATAGCGCACTCCTTTCTACGACATCACTTACTTATAATATATAAATATATCAGTAATTATTAAATCATCCTTCGATTCTTGAGTATGCGTCAAATTTGCGAAACAGAAGCAACATCGAGGACCGTTCAGTGACTAGTTTTACCTGGCCTAAAATTTCATCTTCTGTGTCGATTTACTTTATTTGTTCCTTCAGTCGAGGCAGCATGGTGAGATCCTGTCATGCGTGAAAGTAAAAAGGTAGCACAATCGGTCGACATCTCTACACTTGTATCAGTCTTACATCTGCGGCATATTTTACATACACGCTATATGTTTCCTCACTGTAGACTTGCACTTATATCTTTTTGTTTGTGATATGATTCCTTGGCTGTCTCTGTCAGTCCTAGCACTACGATTCTCTAAAAGCTTAAATGCTGTGATCATCATGAATTTCCAAATTAGTAATAGCTGGGCCGTACGACGGATAAAGTTTTAGACAGAACATCACTACTTTCATATTTCTATTTCTATTTGCATTTGCGTTATCTCTGTAGAGCTCGTGCCATCTCAGCCAGCTTCTCGTCTAGAGATCCCATCTGATTTTTCATCACGACAAGGTCCTGCAGTGACTTTTTGGCAAACTGGTTGGTGGTCTCTGCGCTTCCATTCGACGTAAGTGAGACGTTGTTGGGCTTCATGGGAGACTCGCCAAAGGCGGGACTGGCTCTGGCCTGCGTATGAACGTGGACAATTCCCCCCCCCCCTCATTTCTGTAATGCCCGGTCGAGGTCCGGGACTCGACATGTAACGTACACAGTTCGCAAAAATAAGCACCGTGGTGTTTTGGTATTTTGCATGCATTCGTAGATCTAGCGGCCGGGAGCTGCGGCACGACAGGACGAGCCTTCTACTGACTAATGATAAAGAAGGCGTACCGTGAGGTTGCGCTTGCTGTGTCACAGCACAGTAAATCTGGTTGGGTTGGGTTGGGTTGCGGTGTGGCGAGTAGTGTAGCACCTAAAACTTGTGCCAAGTACGACTACTTGTGCTCGACAGACGCGGGCACCGCAGAGCAGTTAACCCTCCACCATAGCACTACACTAATAAGACTATTGCGTGGAAGCGGTATGCGCCGTGCGTAACAGGGTCAATCACGTGACAATTGTCGTGTGGTAATTTTTCGCAAGGGAGCAGTTGTGCACTCTCATACTGTGGCTGATCGCTGTTGAGCAGCAGTGGAGCTGGTCCCGGTGGCGCGTGGGCGTGCAGCGCTGGCGCACCTGCACCGCTCATCTTTTCCAGCGCCGTCTGGGTTTTCCCGCCGTCAGACGAGGACGAAAAGCGCTTTCTTGTCGTCGCACTCCCAGCAACATTCTTGTTTGCTCCCACCAGCATCGCCAACGCACTCTTTTTGTTCGCGTTGGACCACCATCATCGACAAAACCACCGGCACATGACACTTTTCAACTACATACTTTATTTACACATACTACAACAAGAAAAGCCATAAGTAAGCAAAAAAGTCAACGTCTTCCACATCTGCTTGCTCTCGTCGTGTCAGGAGGCGATCTGCTCCACCAGAAGCGCTCTCTGGAGTGAGTAGAAGAAGAGCTACAGATTAATATGACACTGTATATCGTCATCGTCTGCTTATATGCCAGTAGATTTTTCCGTACGATATGGATCCGGCTGCTGCGCCGGCAGCTTTGTTCTTTAGCTTGCTTGCAGCCAGCAAAGCCCCGAGCCCCCCGCCTCTCTTCCTATACATACAAAATATGTCTGGGTCTGGAATGTTGTGATGCTAGTGCCTGGATGACAACTGGACCTGCAGTAGCTAGAAGACAGCCAGGTGTGCCAAATTGAAATTGTAAAGCGGTTCTGTAGTGCGTATTGCGTTTGCGCCAGACAGATCACGTTATCGCATGACAAAGTGAGCAGCAACGCTGTTCCGCAACATGCATATGACACGCGTCAGAAATTCTTATTTAAGTACTTATGCCCGCCAAGCCTGCATTGTCTTGCATCCTTTCAGAGCTGCCAGACAGATGTGCATTATTTCATTTGATACGTCCCCGGTGACGAGGATGTCACAGCAGCGAGACCAGCAGCTGCACTCAATAAATCTGACGTGCTCATAGTACTCGCAGCTTGATTCTGATCTCCGTTGCTGGAGGACGGCCGCTGCTGGGTGACACTGGATGATGTTCCGTGCTTTGTTCCGTGCTTGCTCGCGTCCGCCTTGCGCGTCACTATCCAAGAAAAAAACACCATCACAATCACACTTAGGAGGTTTTGCATCAGAAATTTGTCTCGCATGACAAATTTTTCTTGTATTGCAAAAACACAAAGGGAAATCGCCTACAAGTCTTGACTGTGATGCATTTTTGCGCATGACAAAAATTTTTGTGTTGCAAAAGTGTGCAAAAGTGATTGTGATGGTGTTTTTTTCTTGAATAGTCACTTCAGCGATACTACTACTGCCATCCACGACAGCGCTGGCACTTGCTGCTGTTGTTTGTTGGGGAGAATGAAGATAAAAAGAGTAAGCATCAAGTTAAGGATAAAAAGCCTTAACTTTTCGGATAAATCCGCAAACCCTTTCGGATAAATCCGAAAGAAGTGAAGTTGCGCCACACAAGAAAAGAAGCAGGGGGCGTCAAAAATCCACCGAAAAAACGCGCAAAACAGCAAGAAAAACCTTGCAAAAGCGGCGGCGAGGCCTTGGCGATGGCCTATCGTGCGTGCTGGGCAGCAATTGCACAGAGGGAAAAAGAGGTGTCGCGCAGCCGGAAAAGCAGACAGTGGGAACGCGGAGGCCTGGCAAGACTGCGAGGACACAATACACCCCCCAGGACGCACATTGTACGCGGGGCGGGCTCCGCTGCTGCTTGGCTATTTCGCCGGTGCCCAAGCGAAGCCCCCTGTGCCGGTGTTGGCCGGCCATGGAAACTGCTGCCCCTGCCATGCCCACTTTGGTGCGAGTGTGTTCGCCTGATTGCCCGCCGGGCCGGGAAACTCGCGCGGCGGGACGGGCGTTTTATCCAGGCGCCCCCGCCTTTGTTCTCAGGCGCCCAAACGCAGCCGCGCCGCCCGGCCAACACAGGCACCGCATGTACTCGCATGGCTGCAAGCAAGGCTCACATCAGACCACACATCTGACCGCCCTCGCCGTTCCTTGGCCTGGGTGGGCCGAGCGACACAACGACCAACGCCCGGGCCCGCCCCTGCGGCCTTGCGCTGCGGTTCACGGGCCTGCCTTTGGGCGGGCGCCCCCCCTTGAGGCGGCCAAACATGCCCCGCACATTGGTAAATGGCAGAGGCCACAGACCGGCACCACCGCCGGCCGGGCAGCCGAAGTGGCTGCGCGCCCAGCCACTGGCCCCATGCATGGGCCTGCTCCAATATCTTGCATGTCCCACCATGCCCCCCATCCATTACAAGAAAGAAGCGCGGCCGCGGCGTTCCATGTTTTTTCGCAACAAAACTACCACCACGGGGGGCGCGCAGCTCCCTCCCCCCGGCCGCGCGCCCGCCCCGCGGGGCAAGGGCCGCCTCCCACTTCCTCCGAAACCCCGCGCCCCCATTCGGGAGACGGCTGGTTCGTTGGCAAGACAGATTCCGGCGAAGCGGGAAAGTGGCACTGGGTGACACTGGATGATGTTCCGTGCTTGCTCGCGTCCGCCTTCCGCGTCACTTCAGCGATACTACTACTGCCATCCATGACAGCGCTGGCACTTGCTGCTGTTGTTTGTATCAAGAAACGACGAAGAATCAATTTCATCTGTTGCAGCCCGAGTGAGTACTTATGAAGCCTTTGCAACACTATTATGGATTTGAAAAAGTTTACGACCGAAACGCAACACAACCAAGTTCAGTTCCTCATGACGCTGAGCCCTGTCTTTGATGCCCGCAGAAGACTTATTTGATGGGACTCATTGAAGTGAAGTGAAGTGAAGTGAAGTGAAGTGAAGTGAAGTGAAGTGAAGTGAAGTGAAGTGAAGTGAAGTGAAGTGAAGTGAAGTGAAGTGAAGTGAGCAAGGCCCGGGTTTTGGAGGAGACCGCCACCCTGATGCGACTGCATTACGCTCCATCAAAGGAAGATCCATGGAAGAGTGACCAAGGGCGAGTCAAACTATTATGGGAACCATAGACGCGCGATGGGCTACGAACCGGATCCCAGGGACTGGTGCCAGAGCGTATCGTATGGGGCCGAAAGTCTCTTTTTCCTTTGGTAAGGAGGCACGAGGAAACAGAACGAGCTGCTGACTCCATCACTTTGGGAAATATGATCTCCGACAGGATGAGAGGTGTAATTCTCACCACAGGGTACACAAACCGAGGACTCGACGCCTCGTGAGGGAGAGGAATCAACTGGCTAAAGTGGACGGAATCACAATAGCCAGGCAGACCGAAGTGGGCATTATGAAGAAACCAGACGAAGACGAAACAAACAATGACCAAGGCCAACCACCACGAACAGAAGCAAGAAAAACCATTGTTAGAGCTTTCCGACCCTATAGTATATATTTTTTACTTTACTGTAGGGCGGAGTGAAGTGAAGCGAAGCGAAATGCTTTCTAAATGATATATCATGGTATATATTTTTACAAGGATGGATACAGAACGGTAATAAGACTAGGTTTGCCACCAGATTTGAACGAATGACCGAGGTAGGAAAATAGCAGCACAACAACAACCGATGGAGGAAGGAGGAGGGCAACAACAACCGATCCCCGAAGGGTTTAGGGAGGAAGAACTCCAACCGAGGGTACAGAATTACCGGAAAGAACAGAAAGGGGCCCCCTTTCAACAACTGATATAAAAGGACGACACCGATGAACTAGCACAAGATTTCCTAAGGTAAGGGGGGCGGGAACGAAACAAAAGCTTTGAAGTTTACCGAGGTATTGAATGAAAGAATTTTACATCAAGAATAATTGAATTCCACGACTACCGAGATCGAAGAATAGTGAATCCAGATTTTTTCATGTTTTTTCTTGTATACCGATCGAATTCATCTCAATATTTTCCAACTCGACAAGAAAAAAAATCGGAAATTTCGAGGCGAGTCAGACGGGGGCCCATGACAACAGAGAGAAGCTGAAAATGGCAGAGGGGCTGAAAAACCGAGACGCATTAGATTGTTGACATCTGCATAAACCGAAGAAGCAAAGGCAGTAAAGACCGCAGAGGAATCAGACTTTCCTTATCCAATATGATAGGAGAGATCAAAGGATGCGTGTGTGGAAGAAGCGCTGCCAGAATTCAGAGTCGTCAGGGCCCGGACGCAACAACAGGGACAGAACGAAGAGGTGAACCGAACATGCCACGTGTTTACCACAACAGGGGGTAACAACGAGGGTAGAGCAGACGCAGACGGACAGAACACAGTCCTGAGCCTGATTTCATCAAAAGATTCATCATCAGGAGTACCAGACGTCCATAAATAAAAAAAAATAAAAATACATCCCGCAAGAGAGTGCAATCATGCTGAGGGGGGAGAAGTGCATTACACACAAGTTTCAAAAATACAAATCATGTGATGATTATTGCCCTAGTTTTAAATAAAAATCAACTAGAACCAGACGAGGGAAGGGGTAAACAGGGAACAATAAACCGGAAAAAAGTGGGCAATAATCTAGTTTTACACGCATACAAAGGGGCATGGAGGCCCGTGTAAAACCGTCCTCCCTCCAGGGCCTGTGCGGTCAGGTAGAGGGAGCGCATTCCTTGGTTACCCGGCTATGCCCCCGGGGGTGATGGGACTCATTTTTATATTATAATTTATGCATCAAAAAATGCGGCCATCATGCCCTTGCCTTAAGTACCCTGCAACGCAATCAATAGTAGATCTGGTGTAAGGCGTTTAGCGGTCCGCACTTAGTGTGCCTGTATCTCCGACATGCAGCATGCCTTCGCAAACGCCATTCAACATCAATTTTCCCTTTACAGGATCTTTAAGCTGCTCAAACAGATTGTCGGTGCGACAACTTCATTGCTACGCTACAACCAACCAACAGAAGAAGATTTTTCCACGTACGTACTCTTTCTGTCCAGCTCGGCTAGAATATCGAGCGCCTGTTTCTTCAACTCGTCATAGCTCGCTCGTTCCTCGGTTTCGTCACTGGTCCCAAGTTTCATCTTATGCATTGCAAGTACGCCTGGGTCTGGAAACGTCCCAACTTGTGATGCTGAGTTTGGAGTAGACGAATATCCGTGCTGCATAGACAGCAGAAAGTGCGCGCTCCGTGTCTCCAAAACAGGGCATTTCTCATGCAGGCTGGCATCGAGTGGCCTCTGCGGATCTTGTCATGCTCTGCGTGCATTTCAGACCTGCCCCTTCGTTCTTGGATGTCCACAAGATGCATGACAAATGTCTGCAGTCTTCCACAGACCCAGAATAAATATTTGCACTTGATACACCTGTTGCTGGAGTAAGTGCAGCCGTCGCGCCTCGAAATTATCGACTTCGTTCTGTGGTAAAGTACACAGTAGATGATTTGCAGGAACTACAACCCAGCGGTCCACTCTGAACCTTCTTCTTTTTCGAAAACGCTAAGTACTTTTTTTCTTCGAGCCTCCAAAAATGGACCGGGTAAACGCGACAATGTAAAAAAAAGTAAAGTAAGTAGTAGTATTACCCAAAAAAACGGGGTAAAAGTAAAGTAAGTACATAAGTACCAGCTTTTTTGACTTGAGACCCTGCACCGTATCGAGGAGGGAATTTATCTTGTCAAACGCCTGCTCGCTACTAAGTTGTTCTGTTTGCTCACGCGCCTCAAACTTTGCCACGATCGATTCCACGACCGAATCCCAGGTATGCATTGCAAATCTGTCTAAGTTCTGAAGCGAAGCTCTGTACCTTAAGCGCAGCTACATCTGTACTTATGCCAAAGAACTTTTACTCACGTTTTTTGGAAGAATTCTTTTCGGATGAAAAATTATCTCCTGCCCCCCTATTGTGAGGCAAAATTGGCAGGCAATACATCTTTTTATCAGTTTTTTCTTTCCTCGTCCACATTGATTGAAGACTACGATATCAACAGACTTCCATGCTTCCAGGACAGTACCCACACCTATTTGCATTTCATATCGTGGCGCAGGCGGCGATAAGACTTGCATCACGTGAAAAAGAGCCCGGCCCCCAACAGCAGAGTGAAAACAAGAAATGCGCTCGGTGTAATTCTGAGAGACCGACGAGGATGGTACATGTACAAAGTAGGGTCACTATACAACTCCAACCACGAAAAGCCAAAGCGACGCGGGCTACAGCAACAAGCGCGCCCGGCTGCGGCCTCAATCGTTGTCGAATCTGAGGAAGCGCAAATAGGTATAAATAACAAAGTCAAGCAAGATGTGCACCTGGGCAACACCATTAGAAAAGAGACCCAGGCTTCATGTGACTACAATGGCTGTTGCAGTTGCATGTGCCCCCGATACAAATTTTCAATGAACCGTCACCGTCTACTGCCGCTAAAATGTTGTCTGTGTCTCTTGCAACTACATAAGTACAACAGCTTATCGTGGGTTTCCTAAGCTGCCTCTCATTCCGCTCGTCCGAGAAAGATAAATCTTCCTGTTCCTCGGTCTCGAGTTCCTCGAGCTGATTGCGGCTGTACTAGCCTTGCCTGCGTAGTAACTTTTTCATTATTTGTACTTTACGTGCTGGCTCTCAACAAGAAATGGCTTCTCGTCATGCTGGGGTCATGGGGACCGACCTTATTTGCGTGATGATACTAGGCACCAGTAGCGCTCCGTCGCTATGTGTCACGGCGGCAGGAGTACTTTCCACAACTGGCGCGATGTTTCCGGATTCACCTCGATCCGAGATTCGCGAGCTTGCATCTACTTCATCGTTTTGCAGCGATATGGACCCGACATCGACATCAGCGATGTTGCTGTTCTTCTTTTTCCCCTTGTTGGCTCCTGCCGGACCGTAGGCGTTCATTTTTCCCGAGCTGCCTTTCTTATTTTCCTTCGATGAAGGGAGATACTTGCCGCTAGTACCGGACGCCCCCTTCATCGGGGAGGACAATGAACTCTCGCTTTCCTTAGCGGGCGAGCCCTTTTTCCCAACCTTTGACGCCTTGTTTTTTCCACTTCCATTTGCAGTCCCGGGGGTTTGCACAGCGCCGACGTCCGGCAGCTCCCCAGAGGTCGCGGCTTGCGGTTGTCCGCCCTTGCCTTGTTCAGCTTTCTGGATAGAATTCTTCGTGGCTTTATTTCTCGGGGTTGCCGGCAACGATGCCTTGTTAAAAATACCCTGTACGTCGGTGAAATAGTCGAAGTGCAGCTCGGCCTCAGTTCCTTTCTTTTCGCGCGGCGAAACAGGGACCGACTTTATTGCTACCGGCTTCTTATTTCCCTTGGGCAGAAACTTCTTGCCGCCTTTCAAACCGTTCTTCGCAGTTGCCAGCGGCGGCGACCCCGGGGGCTGAACCGCGCCAGCCGAATAAGACGGTCCTTTCTTTTTTCCCGTTTTGGTAATTATACCGCTGTCGCCTTTCGCCTTGTTCATCAGAGACGAAGCTGCAGAAGCAGAAGGATCCCCGCCCTTGATGTTAGCCTTGCCAAGGTGAAACTTGGCGGTCTTTCCTTTCGGCGTAGCCTCCCCGCCTTGCGTGCGGACCGCAACTACCGGGCTCGACGGCGCTGACTTTTTCCCGCCTCCCGTGCCCTGCTTGTTCGACTTGCTCCAGCCAAAGAGTTTCCCTTTCCTCTCTGCAGCATCGGGCGAGTAGGTAGTTGCACTTTTGCTTTCTTTATTGTCTTTGGCTTTACCCGCTCCTCGTGGTCTCGCGCCTTGTTTATTGCGATCTCCGCCGTGCTGCTCCCCAGCGGCGAATATTACAGGAGAGCTGCTAAAGTTCACCGTGTATCATAAGCAAACATGAACATCCCCCGACCCGCGCCGGCGGATCTGTGGCGACAAATCAGCACTGTCCTGCGGCTGCGAGCAGGCAATTACATAGGATTCCGTGGCGTCGCGCAGGCGATTTGTGACGCTGCTCCTCATGCGCCTGAAGAGAACCAGGGGTCTGGCACGCTAAAGAGAACAACCTAAAAATCCATATCCAGGCAGCTTAGGATCTAAACTTAAACAGCCTTGTGTACAACATATACATCCAGCTGCATGACAAGTACCCGTGTCCTTTTATTCGAGTCGTATAGGGAGGGGGATGAAATTTTCATTTTCGAATTGTGTGCCGCTTGCCTTGACTTGTCTTTCCTATCGGGCTGCGAACACCACCCTTGTAGTTCTTACCTCCAGTTGCTACTTCGGCGAGGGACTTGGACCGAACAGGGCTGGATTGATAGCGCGTCGGGGAGTAACGTAGGGAGCTGCCGTGCAGAGCCCCTTCCACCTGCAGCGAAGAGAAACCGATCTCCAAGAGAGGATCCTTGTCGGACGTATCTTCCAGCACAGCCTCATCTGCAAAGTAGTTGTCATCGTGGTGAAGATTTAGCACACGGTCCGCAGGAGCCTCGTCTCGGCCAGTCATTCTTGGCGAATTAGAAAACAAGATATCGCTGGCAAACATAGCCCCCGTCGTCCGGGGCGTGCTGTAATCCTCCAGTTGCAAAAACAAGGAGGAATGATATGATCCTCCTGCTCCTTCTATAGTACCACCTTCGACTTCTTGCAGTGCATGCTTTCTGTCGTAGTCGTTCCGACCCGTGCTGTATCAAATGTAAAAATGTCTGGGTCTGGAAGAATTCATGTTTGTCATGCTTGTCTGGCATGACTCTTAAATCTGTCATGCACGTTACCCAAGAGCTCCGTTTTTCTGTGATGCAGAAGCGCAGTTTGTCATGCAGAAGAGGCAACACCTAGCAGCTCAGAAACTTGTCATGCTGCGCCAGCATTTGTAGCCTCATCATGAGACGCCACCCAGCATCACAAGTTTCCAGACCCAGACATTTTTACTTTTGATATGCTGATGCTGCTAGCGTAGTTGCCCAGCAGGTCGAGGCTTCGTAGGCTTTCTCCTTTCCCTGCAGCGTCCACCTCTTCCTCTCCGAGAAGCGCGCGGTCTTGTTATCAAAAGGAAAAATCCCCCCTCCCCATATTGACAAGGTATCTATGTTTTCGAAAATTTGCTGATTTGTGACCACAAGACAAGGCATGTTTTCGTCTCTGATGCTGATTTGTGACAAGGACAAGGTATGTTCTCGTCTCTGTGTTGCATGAAGGCAACTCCACAGGCAGCTCCGCCGCATTCTACAGGCGGTTTCTCATGCTTATGCTCCTACAGCGTAGAAGTCTGTCACGCTAAGCGCCTAGGCCAGGACCTGTCTTCTCAGGCTTGATATGGGCCTGCAGTCCTCGCCAGCAAGACAAATCTCATTTGTGTACGCAAATCCAGCATGAGCAGTTTCGTTTTGATATGGGGAAGGAAGATTTTTCATTCTGATACTTGTTCCTCCAGCTCTCGTATCCTTCGCAAATCGACTGCTGTCGGCGGTCACAAACAGAATTTCTGACCGCTGCATTTGCGAAAATGCTGAAATTGCGACTCATATGACTTCGGTGTCAACGTGAACGTCGTTTTTTTTCGCATGAGAACCGGGGTGCTGTGCACGTGCACTGATACTAGCACGGGGTCGCAACAAGCTTCACGGCGCCAGGCAATCCCGCAGGCAGAGCTGGAACGGCGCGATGATTTTCAGCTACAAAGCGCTGCATTTGTAACGCGCAGCTAGCAGTAGAACTCCTTCTCTTCGTCCCTAATGGAGGCAGAGGTTCCAGCGACACTTTCCTTTGGGTCCTATTTGGGCCAATCTTCCATAACGAATGCTGAGAAGCCACTATGGAGATGAAGAGCCTGTATTTATTAAAGACGTCTGTACGTCGTCGCTGTCTGCGTGGGTACGCACGTTCATTGCTTCGGCACCACTCCTGCAAAGGTCACCTTCGCAAATGCTTTCTGCCATATTTCCCTAAAGGCACACTGTAAATAATGCTTTCGCAGTTGATATCGTCAAGTAATCGCGAGATATTTTTCTTCCGCTTGTCCACACTGGCCAGCAAGGCTTCCACCGATTGAGATGCGTTCGGTTCTGTCTCCAGCAGCGTGGTCCCCGGATTATTGTCGAGCAATCGACTCTATCAAGCGTTGCAAATACGTCTGGGTCTCCTGGAAGAGTGCGACCGTTTTTCATGCAATGCAACTTATGGGCCACATATTGCAGAAAGCGGCACACTCTCCTCTGGAAACAGATCTTTGTTGGAATTTCGTTGACGAATCACGAGCGAACTCTGGAACCGTAGGAACGTGGAACAGTTTTCACCGGACGGAATTCGGAGTCATTGACTTTACGCGATCACGCGCGAAGTATTTACTTCGGGACTTATTTCGTGGCTGGCTTGTTAAAAAATTGCTACACAATTTGGGACCTTGAGCCCGCAGTGGAGCACACGAGTTGTTTGTGGAAATTCCATTCAAAATTGTTTTCAGAAGAAACAAAAAAGCATGAGACGATGTCTCGTATGATGAAGAAGAAAACGGCACGAATAAACAAAAATCCGACTTGCGATTTGCATTTCAAATAGACGACTTGTCCGAGCGTTTTCCTTTTCACTCTCGAGTCTCTCAATCACGTTTTCCACTCGACGCGAAGACTATGCTCAGAAGAACAAATCAACAGTGCCCGGGGGGTGGAGTTTGTGATTGAGAGCCCGAGCCACACGCATCTCGCAGACCCAAACCACCGCTCGTTTACTCGTCGGGGCCCCCTGGTACTCGCCTCCCCATGTAGGGTGGCTCTTCAACGATTGGTGATTTCAGCTCGTGCTCCACCGCGGTTCTTTTCCGGAAAAAGACTCGACAGAGACCCACTCGCGTCACCAGCTAACAAGGAGAATCCGTGCTCCTACTCTGAAGAGATTCTATCCGACCAGGAAATATTCGCCAACACTGCTGGACGAAGGGTTTTGTTGATACAGGTCCTGCTGGAGTCGACTCCACTCGAACCACTCCTGCGGGAATTCTGTTCTGGTGAAGGTTTCGTCTCTAACTCCTGTATCGGTCCGGTGAAGGTATTTCTAAACTTCTTTTGTTGTCGACTTGATTGTTAGAACCGGGCGGCGTCATCAAGAGATTGGTCACCCTGGTGCTGTTTCGTCAAAACTGGAGCAGAGGTAGAGAGTTTTCTGAAGATAGAACCAGCTGACGGCACCGCAAAACTTTCGACCCGATGATTCGTCGTTCCGGAGCAGAGGTAGAGACTGTTGTCGATCAACACAAAAACTCATCTTACACTGTTTGTGGTAGGCGGTTCATTTTTGAGAAGTGCTCGCACTAGAATCCGCCGTCGGTAGAAGAGAATTTTGAAAATCCGTCCGGTCGGAAGCAAAAGCTGTGGAAACAAAAACAAGTTCTCGGTCGAGTCGTTGATCGTACACCTTTTCGGAAAAAAGACAAAACTTGTAGTGCATTTTCTAGATCGCGGTCGTGGTCGGAGCTAACGGACGCTCCCACGTATAAGTGCGCTCGAAGACAAAAAGTTGCCCGAGTGGTGCGCTGAACTTTCCTTGTAGCACCTCGAGCAGCTCGCCCATCTTGAAACCCGAAGAAATTTTTGCGAAGGAATCTCCCGGATTCACCCTATCCGTACACGAGCCGACTCCCCACTCCGACTTCATGTAGAGGTCCTTCAATTTCGCTAAGGGCTTGCACACATCAGCATCCTGCACGGAGATCACGCTTTTGCTGACGATGCGCGCAGCCGCAGACTTCGAGTCGCTCAGTGCGACGCTTTTCACGGAGAGCCCCCATGCTTGGCACTTCAGCAGGCACATTTCGAGGATGGGCACGCTTTCCGCCAGAGCCTCGATTTCAGCAGCGTAGGAGGAATTCCGTGCGCTTGCGAAGAATACAGTGTCGCTACCGAGGTAGGAGCACCTGATGCAGAATTTTTCAAGTGCATCGCATTCTTTCGACGTCATTACTCGCTTTACGCTTTTCTGCTGTTGCAAGTAGATTTCGAAGTCGTCCTCCGACAGCGACAGCAGAATGTGTCCGATCACCGGCCTCAGCTGCTTAGCGAGTCTTTCGGTGTCGTCGACCACTCCACTGGGCACGGTGATGCTGCTGTAGCGCTTCTTCTTTCGCCGTTCAGTGTCGGACTTCTGGGACAAAGCAAGAGCTTCCTCGTAGGTGCTCCTTCCACAGAAAAGAACACCGGACTGCTCATCGAAGTGTTCTCGTCTAGCAGCGATCTCTTCATCATCCAAGACGAAGATTGGTCGGGCGTCGAATTCTTCGTGCACGGCGTGGACTTCTTCCGGAGTAGCAGGAGACTGGTAGCTTGCATCAGGAAAGAATGCGAAGATCTCCCGCTCGTAACTCAGGTCGATTTTTACGCCGACCGTGGAGGATTTGAGACGACGAATAATTCCGTTGTGCGCCTCCAGCCATCTTCCGTCTTTGGAGTCGTCGTTTCCGAGAGCAAGAGCTCGAACCGGAAATCTTATCTCGACGTGTCTCCTGGAGATGAAGAGAAGACTTCCGCTTGCTGCTTTTAACGCTGTAATTTGCTCTGGGAGAAGTGGCGCGGAGAGGTCCGACAGGATCACGCTTTCCTGAATTTCTTCGACCTTCTGCGCCATGTTCGTGTCAATCACCTCCTGTTCCCGAAAATATTGTATGTGAGTGCCCGTGTACACGAACCCAGATTCAGCCGAGGACCAATTTTCTAACCCAAAGCGATCCCGCATCTCCTTCGCAAATTTTCCGAATCCGTCCGAAGTTCCTGCAAACAGGACGTCGCCAACGTGCAGTCCAATTCGATCTTTACCACGGACGAAGATGCAGGGGCTGTTCGGAGAGACTCGGAATCCGATGGAGAGGAGGTGCTGCGAAGTGGTTCTATACCATAGCAACGCTGCCTCCTTCAACCCGTGCAAACTTATGTTCATAAGTAGCACGGTCCCGGGTCCTATGCCGAGTCTGCTTTTCAACTCCCGCAGGACGTCCGGCTGTGTCACGTTGCTGGGGAAATAGAACCTCGGACGGTTCTCCTCTTTAAGCCTGACACTTTTCAAGAATGCTCTTGGTACATCCCCCGAGCGAATGCGTCGGCTTTTGTTCCGGATGTGACGCAAGACATTCAAAATGAGGCTGAGGCCGTGTTCTCCCATCGTTGGCGACTCTGCCGCTGTGCTGATGCTACTGCGATGTCCACCTGGTACCACCCTAATGGCAACTTTGTAGTGCCATGGTGTGACAAGTTTCAAATCGCAGAGCGCACGCCCCGGAAGGATTCGCTCCGATGAGCACAGCTTTCCTTCAGTCCACACTTCCACCAAGTTTTCGTCAAACATCTGCCCCCACTCTTTGTTGTGGCCCTTGACCAAGAGTTTTGGAGCGGCGAGACCCGACGGACTTTCCACAAAACTGTGATCGACGTCCGGATACTTGAGTGGGCCCTGGATGCGACGGACAACTTCGGGGTGCCTGCTGCTGTTCCTGTCAAAGATTGAAAGCAATCCCAGGTCTTCGTAGCTGAGGTTCGGGACCAGGCTCCACATGATGATCCTCAAACACTTCCCACCGCCAGCAGCAGCGTGCTCCTCCTTGCTGTGCACAAAATCGATCTTGTGGTAGTTCCGCGCCGCAATAAATTCCTTCTGCAGCTCGGGCTTGTCAAGCGGCCTGCGTTCCTCTGGAGGAGCCCACCCGTCCATGACCTTGATGTCCTTCGCAGTGATTTGGATGCCGTCGATTTTGTTATACATCGTATGCGTGACCAGTTGGCTCAGCATGTCGTCCTCTTTCAAGATTCCAGCGTCTGCGTGCTGCAATACCTTGTGGACTGCTCGGCGATGTCCTCGCTTTGGGAATGTCATCACTTCTACCATCTCTGCGAACTCGCTTGGAATTTCATTGCTTTCATCATCGCCCTGATCTTGTTCTGCTTCTTTCAAGATATGCATGGTGGATGACCCCAGGTTCTCACGTGCAGCCGCTACTTCTTGAACCTGTTCCGTGACATTCACAAAACCAACACTCTCGAGAAGATCATCCTCGCCGCCTTCTTCCTCTCGTTCTAGGATAGCATCGTCTTCCCTGTTGATATTTGCGCCACCTTGATCGTCCTGGAGAAAGTCGACGTCGTCAAAATTGTTTTCTCCCATCGCTGGTTCCTCGTTTTCGTCATCTTCCAGCGCAAGAGGATCGGCATTTTTGCGCTTTCGCTTGCTACCCACTCCCCGGGGGTCGGAAAGAACAAAGAAAGGACCGCGCTCGTGCGTGGAAGCTTTCTCGCGATGGATTAACTCGTCTCCATACTCCTCTCGCTTTGCCAAATTGCGACGCTGGGCTTCAAAAATTTTACCTCCTCTTTTAAAATCCAGCTCACAGAGCGGCTGCAGGCTTGTTGGAACGTCGCAGAAGGTGCCAAGGTTGTGCTGCGGGCTAATACGGTTCTCCTTTGCCGTCTGTAGTCCGCGTTTGGTCTGGATCACGTAGTCAGTTCCAGATGCACCCTTGTTCGTGTTCTTTTGGAAGATGGGGCTGACGGTATCGACGCCATGCATGTGCGGGCTGTGAGCGTTCACATACTCCCCGACCTGCATGTCTTCGCGATTAGCTGATCGAAGCCGCGCGCGACAGTTCGCGATAATTTTGCTTACCGCATCCACGTAGGATTTTTCGCACTGCATGCTCATCAGCTCGCCGAAGATTCGGGCTCGCGCTTCGTTTAAGTGTTGGATCGTGTACTCGAGATCCCCTCCGGTGAAGGTGTGCACCGCCACCGCGGCGTCGTCGGGATGAGTTGCAAGCGTGTCTCGAGCGGTTTCAATTCCCCACCATTGTTCATTTGGCGACCGACCATGGAGCCCGGTGGAAGAAGCATTTCCCAGGCACTCGCTTGCCTCGTTGAACAGCACGCGCAGCGTCATCCTCGCGAACGATGGAACTCTTCTCAGTCTCTTCGTGATTGTTTTTAGTGCGAGAATTCTCCGCTCGATTGGGTACACTGGCGCTCCGGTGGGTAGAGTGTACACTTCCCGCCCGCTGTTCGAGAGGGGAGTCCAGTCTTCCAGTCCAATGCTCTCCATCCCCGCGCCCGCGTAGATCTTCCTCCTGATCAATTTCAAACTTAGGAAGAAGCACACGGCTCTGACGATGTCGGATTTCGTCGGGGACGCACCGCCGTTAAACAGACGTTCGCCAAATTCGGTGAAAAGGTTGATCATCACACCGCCACGAAGCTCATCTTTCTCCTCTTCGGTGAGTTTCGAGCGTGCAGTCAGCCCCTCGAGTTTGAACTTTGTCCCGCAGACAAAAGCTCCAGACCTCTTGTCCGGAAGCGAGAGACACACAATGACCACGCACACGATTCCGCTTTCGGTCACGAAACGCGTGTCGATCAGAGTAACGCCTCCCCGCATGCCTGCAACGCACGGGTCCCACCCGGTCAACGCCTTGTTGCGTTTGGACAGTCCAAATTTTAACCCTGCCATCGAGTCCCGTCTTACAATCGCCACAAGCTCGCCCAGTTCCTCCTGCCCGACCGTGTGCAGTCTCTTGCGACACAGGTCGTAGCACTGTTTCTCACTTCCGACTTTTCCAGTGAGATACAGAATCTCTTGGATTGCCCGAAGTTTGCTGCGGTGCTCTTTCTTCACGAACCTGAAGCAGGAAAGAACCGCACCAGCCCGGAGTTGCTCTTCCTCGCTATACCGGATAGCTGTTCCGTCATTGAGGAGGGTGTACTCATGGGCGAAGAGCTCCTTTGCGGTTGAGGAATGGAAAACGACGCTCGATCTTCCGGCTCGCTTGATTCTTTCACCGACCGCGACGCTTAGACCAACTCCAGTGCCATCGATCAGGATGAGCTTGCGTCTACTGTGCTCGCGCAGCATCGTGATCTTGTCGGAGATGTAGTTTTTGTCGATGCTGTCGATGAGTTCCTCGCTGAAGCCGGTACGAATCTTCTTCTCGGTCATATCCCGAGCAAGATCGGGGAACGAGTTTTTCACCTCTTGTAGCTCAGGATCTTCATCGACGTGGATTCTGAATCCAATCCCGCGCACTGGTTCGGGTAAGTCATCGATGGTTCTGCAGGTAAAAACTCTCACTCCTTCGAGAGCTCGCGGCTGTCGGAGACGGAGCGACCCGCTCTCTTCGTTTTCTGCCTTGACTTGCTTCACATTCCCGGTCTGCACACCTGGCCCTATTTCGCCATAGTCAATTGCTTCTTCGAATTGTACAGCAGCCTCGTGGCATTCGTCGGATATTTTTCCCCGAAGACGAACAGCTCGCTCCCGTGCTTTTCCTTGTAAAGCGCCGCCGTCGTCTGCCACGTGAAAGTAGTAATCAATACTGATGTACTTGAACTTTCCTCCGGGAACTGTGGGCTGGGACTGGATGAGGTCACTTCGAGAATAATCGTTTACTAAATCTCGAACTGCCCGCTCCTGACGCTGTATGTCGATTACTCGACGCAGCCTCACCCGCTCTCTCAGCCACTCGGGCGTAAGAGGAACTTTTGTCAGGCCGAAGTCGACGACTCGGTAGACGGCGTAACCCCCGCGGTCTCCGTTTCTTTTCAGTTGCGCGGTGCTGACACGGAAGATGTTTTCTCGACTGACTTTTAGGCTGTTTTCATTTTCCAGCTGAACTTGAGGTGGTGGATCCCTCCAGCTGCGGCTCCCGCCAACCTGGTTTGCGCCCACCTCCTCGCAGACGAGAAATTCAAGAAGGATATCTCCGTGGCACTTGTTTGGTTTGCAAAAGCACCCGAGTGCTTTTCCTGCTAGTTCCGTCTTTGCATCCTGATCAAATCCTCGCTCGATGCACCACTCGCGGCACTGCTCGCAAACCTCCTGCCGTGACTCACCATGCGCCCCAACTCGAAAAGGATTCCCCCACTTGCAGTTCTTCCCGCGCCCGATGTAGCCGTGATCTTCGCTCTCGTCGAGCCACTTCTGGATGCTCTTCCAGTTGTTCCAGCTGCACCCCAGTGAATGGAGATTCACCGCAGTTGTTTTCCTAGGTGCAGTTGCTTTGCTGTTTTCGCAGGCTACAGCGAGATCGACGCCACGGTCAAACATGCGGAGCGCCATCGCTTCCTCTTGTGCACGGAAGGGCTCGCGCGGATTTTCGACGACGTGGCTGACCTGTTCAGAAACAAGGCGTGACTTTTCCTGGTAGAGTTTTTCGCGCCGAGTCTTTTCTTTGTACTGTTTTACAGTATTTGGATCGCAGTCGTAGAGGGCCGTCTTTGAACCTTTCGGCTTTAGCTTCGACGCGAATATCGGCCTGCCCCAGCTCTCCTGCGGATGCTCTTGTTGCATTTTCTGAATCACAGCGCAATCTTCTGGCTCGAGGTCGAAGCTTCGGAGATACGCCTGATTCTCGCCGGAGAACTCTACAAGCTCGCTCCCGTCGTGACCCTCGAAGATCTCAGGTCTTCCGGGCTTCAGTACTACCGTGAAGTAGCACCTCTTGCGCATCGATCACCCAGGGCCGCGCCTTGCGGGGCTCTTGCTATATTTCGCCTAAAAAAAATCCAGGCTTGAACCTTTTTGGCGCCGGCCTGCACCCGGTGCAGCACCCCAAAGACGACGCCGACAAAAAGAGTCGGGACAAAAGCCAATCCCAGAAGCGCGTCCTGCTGCCGCTCCAATGAACTCCTTCTCAACCCGGAAGGAGAACAACAAAAAGCACCTCGACTTCGAACCACCGAAGCCACCCCCAAAGAAAAACACCCAAAAACAACAAACACTTCGCCCATGGAGGGAGGAATCCTCCCAGGCCTTATTCATGCAGACCCCACCCACACGTCGCTGGGATGCCCCATCCCGGAACCCAGATATTCCCCACCCCACCCAAGATCACAAAACAGGGAAGCCCCGCCGCTTATGTTTTGGCCTTATATTTTTCCCTTATGTTTTTGTCTTATTGTAAGCATGATCAAGAATTTGTTCTTGACAAGCATCCCGATCTGAATTGACTAAATTGAAATCACGATGTAAATCACGATGCTACGATGATGATTCAAAATGAGGTCTCATGAACATTGATTTGCATGAGACCTCATTTTGAATCATCATCGTAGCATCGTGATTTACATCGTGATTTCAATTTAGTCAATTCAGATCGGGATGCTTGTCAAGAACAAATTCTTGATCATGCTTACACTTATATTTTTCCCTTATATTTTTCTCTTATATTTTTCCCTTATATTTTTGTCTTATAATTCTGTCTTATATTTCTGTCTTATATTTTCCCCTTATAAATTCTCTTATAAGTCCCGCCTATCGACCCCGAATCACGACCGCTTTATTCCTTATAAAATTTCTTATAATTCTCTTATCCGGTGGCATGAAGGATTCCTTACTGAAATCAGTAAGGAATCCTCCATGCCTCGGAATTGGCGAATTATAAGGAACAATTATAAGGAATAAAGCGACGTCGTTAGTGGGTCGATAGACGGGACTCGAAGAGAGCCCAACGCTGACCGCCCCTGCGGAGCACGTTGCGTTGTTGTCATTTCACGCGGAGATGACAACAACATGCCGAGGACGCTTCATCCGATGTTTGACATGCAACGAGCTGGTCTTGACCACCAGCGCTCCCTTCATCCCATACCACAAATCCATCTGGATTTCCGATCGTATTGCCGCGGGAGACAATACGATGGGAAAAATGACTGCAAGACCCCCCAGAGACACACATATCCCACTCCCATGTGTAAGCGCCACCCGATCCCGGAGAGAAAAAGCGAGAGCATATGGCCAAGGCCTAGCCAGACGGGCGCGGCAACACCAAAATATCAGCGCCAAATGCGAACGGGGGCAGATGGGTCCACCATTTTGCCCTAAAGTCCAAAGAAAACAGGAGAACAAAAACGGGGCGCCACCACAAAGGGAAGAAAACAGCAAAAGGCTTCTGCCCTTGGCACCTGCAGCAGCGGCAGAGCACAAAAAACGAAAACCCAGAAATTTTATAGGCATTCGATAAGCCGCCCGGCGCAGCGGCCGGCCCTGGGTGACATCGACATTCCGAAAAGGTTCGGTCCTTCACGGGTGACGGTCGCCTTTTCCATCCCGAGTGCGTACGTCCGCCCTGCTGTATCGCAGATTTTGCACGGCACTGCTATCCTCTTCAGGATGCTTCGCTGCGCACCGCCGATTCCGCGTGCTACTTCAACAGACAGCTCATCTTCTGGTAAAGTAATCCCGTGTCTTTCTGCTCTTTCAATGCAGGAAGCACAGGTCAACTCGGTGAGGTAGAGACTCACGCTGTAGCCATCATCGAGCTGGATTGTAAACTTTTCGATCGTGAAGAGTACTTCGTCTTTGTCGTTTTTGGTCTCGGTTTTGCCTCCGGTTGCCAAAATGGTCGCGCCGTCAGCTTCTGACTCTTGGTTTGCCAAAGTGGTGTCACGTGGTACTATTTCTGCCAAAATGGCACGAGAGATGACGGGACTACTTTCTTCAATTTCTTTACTGATAAAGTCACTGCGCCGCTCCGCGAGAATTTGTTCGATAATCGTCTCGACGTTGTTGGAAATGCTGTAGGAATTTTCGTCGAGTCCGCGGTCGGTAGAGGAAAACAAAGCTCGACGTAGTGCAAAGTTGACAAATTCGCGAAGGTCAACTTTTTCGCTTGCAAGTTCGGCAACACCCTTGCTGTTTTCCGGTTCTTCTTCTCTCGTAACCGGAGAACTCAAAACTGAAACACTTTCGCTGTCCTGCGTTGAGTTTAGTGGCTTCCGCTGTGGCCCGCCTGGAAACCCTCCCGGACCGGAAACGCCAACTCCTGGCTCATCTCGTTGCGACCGAAAGTTTCCGCGTTGTAGTAAATCGACTCCCTCTCCTTCACCGGATCTTCCTTCATGCTCAGGGCAAAAGCACGCTCAGAATCGTCCTTCTTGATCACGGAGAAGAGCACGGTGTCGATATCTCCACTTCCCAGCGCCTCGACGAGGATGGAGAGCTACTTTTTCTTCAATGCTGGACTTGAGGAATTTTTCCGATTGCAGCAGCGACGTGACCGGCTCAATCACTTGCCCCGCTTGGATCTTTTTCTTGAAGAGGTGGCAATCCTTCTTTATGTGCTCGGGGGAGAAGCACAGACCACACACCTTCGCTTCGTATGGACAGTCGTCCGCTCCGTGCTCTGTCGAGAGACACTTACGGCAGGCGCAGCGCTGGTTGTTCTGATTGTTCTCCCACTTTCCGGCGTACTTCTGGTTGTTGGCTGGCCATTTTCCGCGCGGCTTTTTCGGATCAAGCGGGTAGCTGCTTCTCGGATTGGTTTTCGCGGCCAGAACCATTTCGCTTCCTGGTCCGAAAGTTCCAGCAACAGAAGTCGGGATGGCCGCCCCCGCCTCTTCACAAATCGGAAAAACTTCTTCTTTTGCCATGCCGATGTCGCGGACGGTCGACTCATCATTTCCTGGCTGCAGAACACCCACACTTTCCCGCATGTTCAAGTAGTTGATGAACTCTTCCAGGTACGGCACCTCTAGGGTTGCAAAACCGGGCGCCATCATGAAGCTCATTGTCAACTCGATGGGGAAGTTGTTTACCCGTGGGCTTTCCTTGTTCTGGCACTTGGTGATGAAATCTTCCCACACACGACGCCGCTCGCGATGGTCGTCCGGGAAGGGGTTCGCGCCAGCATCCTGGGCAACATCCACATACCGCATCAGACCCTGTTTCGGATCTTCGCCCTTTTTGAAGTAAAAGCTCTTGCACTTCTGCGCCTCGATGCGGTTCCGCACAAAACCAGCCGGGTACGCGAGGCACATCGCTTCGGACAGGTTGGCGAAGGTGTAGGCTTCGCGGAAGTTGCGCTTGAAGTAGAAGCGACGGGCCTTCTCCTTCATGGACTTCGGCGCGCAATGATAGAACTTGGAAACTTTCGCCCGATCCGCGTCGATCTCGAACAACATCTCTTCGATGATTCCGTGTTCGTTTCTCGACGGGACAAACAATCTGCCCTCGCTGCGCTTGTTATCGTCCCGGACCAATCCCATCAAGTACTCCTCGAGGGATTCCAGCCATCCGCACAAAGCACAGCTTTCTTTGACGGTCGGCGCGGGCAGATCCGGCATTCGGTCCTTGATCAGGAGCCGACATTCGGGCGGAACACCAACAGGATCACCACTCTGCTCCTTGTAGGCGGATTCGACAGTCAACTTCGTGAAGAAGAATTTTTCTGACCGCACTACTCCGTCGCGACGGGTCCCGACAGGCAGGAGAGATTCTGCAATTCCGGGCATCTTGGGTGCCTGGATTTGGTAACCCCCGGACTGCATCATTCCCTTTCCGCCGAAGTTTCCCCCGGCACTGCTAACGCGACGGTCGAATCCAAAGTTCCCACTGGCAACTCCGGCGACACTAGGTCCTTTTCATTTCCTCCAAATCCCCCGCCCATGTCGTACTGACCCTGGTACAGGAACGGGCTGCTTCCGTAGTTTGCAAAACCGGTTCTCGTTTTTCCTTTCCCGGCAAACTGGTCGCCTTTCCCGTGTCCGTGTCCAGCGTAGGGATTGGAGTTGAAGTTTCCCCCGTACTTGCCGTATCCGGCGGTCGACCCTTCAGCACTCCCGCCATTTGCCCACCACTGTTGCTGGTTGTTTGCAGTGGCTGCGGCGGCCTGCGCCTTGTAGTTCGAGAGGAACTGCCTCAAGCGCTCCTGACGTTCCGACTCCTCTCTGGTGTCCGGGTTGAACAGCTTCTTAGCGAAGTCAGGTGCTTTCTCTTCCTCTTTTTCTTCCGGGATGGTTTCATGGATGATGACGCTCTTTTTCTTGCTGTATTTCTCATCCAAGGGCGTCGCCATGCTGGAGAGCGAGGACTCAGCATCATCATCCTCTTCTTCATTCGGGATGATGTTTTTCCAGTCCACTGCGTCCTCACCAGAAGAAGAGGAAGCCTGGATCTGCTCCAATTCGTTCACCCGGTCGACGCTTTTCCTTTTCTTCGTCGCGCCGGATCCTTCCTTGAGGAGCTTGATTTCTCTCGCCATTTCCTGGAAGGCAGTGGCGAACTGTTCTTTTTCATTTTTCTGGAGAATGGTTTGACTTTCCAAATCCTGCGCAATTTGCGCCAGCGCAGCAATATCCTTTTGCTGCTTGATCATGTTCTGCCCATGCCCCTGCAGCGTCTGGCCAACACCACCAAAACGGTTCAAGATTTGCTGTCCGTCAGCTTGTAGCTGTTGCGCAGTCGTGTTTCCCAAAGAAATCATCTCCTGCTGCTGCTGGTGCAGGAATTGGCTCTGCTGTTGCAGTTGCGCCGCATTGTTGTTAATGTTCTGCTGCTGCTGGTTTAACTGCATTGCGGCGCTGCCAAGCTGTTGCTGCTGCTGATTTAACTGCGCAGCGGCTTGACCCAGCATCTGACTCTCCTGCCCGATTCTCATGGCTGCTTGATTCATCTGCATGACAGTCTGGTCCTGTTGATTCTGCAACTGGAACGCAGCTTGTCCGAGAATTTGGGTTCTTCCCTCCAGCGTCGTTCCGATCACATTGTCCCAGTAACTGGGCTGCCCGGCGTTCGCTGGGATGGCCGATCCATTTTGCCACTGCAGACCTTGCTGATTGTAGAACTGCATGAGACCGGGACTGTTCGAGATCTGCATCTGCAAGTTGTTTCCTGCAGACGAATTAACTCCATTATTTCCGCGGACGGGGATGTCGCTCGCTGGACTCGCGACGTTCGCGACCATCCTGTTCTGCTCGTTCAGAACAAAGGCCGCGCCGGCTCCGAGCGGGAGTCCGCCGCTCGTAGGTGCTGGCGTTGCTACTCGCCATTCCGTTTCCCCGAGTGTAGACGATTGGGCTCAGTTCGTAGGGGAGGATCTTCTCTCACAGTAACCGCAGTTGTCGTCGTCTGGACGGCGGACGTAGACGGTTGGAGATACAGCCTCTTTTTCCGCTACCACTGCAGAAAGCGGCACACTCTCCTCTGGAAACAGATCTTTGTTGGAATTTCGTTGACGAATCACGAGCGAATTCTGGAACCGTAGGAACGTGGAACAGTTTATTTTCACCGGACGGAATTCGGAGTCATTGACTTTACGCGATCACGCGTGAAGTATTTACTTCGGGACTTATTTCGTGGTTGGTTTGTTTACAAATTGTTACACAATTTGGGACCTTGAGCCCGCAGTGGAGCACACGCGTTGTCTGTGGAAATTCCATTCAGAATTGTTTTCAGAAGAAGCAAAAAAGCACGAGACGACGTTTCGCATGATGAAGAAGAAAACGGCACGAATAAACAGAAATCCGATTTGCGATTTGCATTTCAAATAAACGATTTGTCCGAGCGTTTTCCTTTTCACTCTCGAGTCTCTCAGTCACGTTTTCCACTCGACGCGAAGACTATGTTCAGAAGAACAAATCAACAATATTGAATGGTCCGTCTGATTCTGATATGCGGACCCAAGCATTCCAAGATTTGCGAGCGATTTCCAATGCCTATCCTGCACCACAAGAAGTTGGCTTTTTCCTTCGTCACAAATGTGCAGCTCTATTGGTGGTCATGCACGATAGATTTTTGCGTCCTCGAGAAGTACTAGCCTCACATCAAGTTTTCATGTTTATTCCAGACCCAGACATACTTGTTTGCAATGGATAGATTTCGACGCGGCGACGACAGATAGTTTGCAGTCGATCCACCGCTGACAGGCGGTGGCGGCGCCACCACCGCCCACGCGTGCTTGGGTTGCGTTTTCGTGGTCTTCGGCGAAACAAGTGCCGCGAAGGAGGTGCCTCTAGCATTTTGATCTCGGACACTGGGGTGCAGAAATTTTGTCCCGAGACCAGTAAGGTCGGGAATCGGCGAGAGACCAGCCGTGGTTTCCGCGAACAGACCTGTTCTTGGAGATGTCACCACTTCTAAATCCGATCTGTTGTTGTGCGTTCCTGTTGAAGTAGTGTCGAAGATAGACGACGCAAGAAAGTTTGGGTCGTTCAGTGGCCGAGGGTACGACGTCTTGCTCCCGATACCGGCGCCCACAGTTGTAGTCGAATCACCCTCGTCTAGCAACTGCGCAAGTTTTTCCCGCTGCTCGCTGATGGATTGGAATATGCTGTCGAACGTGAGGGTCGCGTTTATTGGGGCCAGTTCGGGGTTACGCCCGGAGTAGTACCGTTCGGTCGACCCGGGAACGGTTGTCATCAAACTTGTTTCGTACTCGGAGGCTGGTGCCGGTGGGCCGTGACTACTAGGACCCTGCTGGCCAGCCCCAACAGAGGCGGAGCTGCTGGTTGCCCTACCGGGCCCGGAAGTAGTAGTTCCTGCGGATACACGTTGTCCTACGTGGTGCTGGTGCGTCCTCTGCTGTTGTTCGACGCCTGTGGCAGATGCAGGTGGAGCTCCAGTTCTACCTGCGCTCGTACCGCTCCCGCTTGTTGAGCCAACTAGCGTCGAACTGGAGGTTGTTCCCTTGTTCATCATGCCACCTGCTTCCGTACTCGGACGGAATTCCAAAGGTTTCTCCTTCAGCGCCTCGGCAACTTCGTCCGTAAACTCGACCGAACCCGGGTCGTTGTCGATGGACTGCCTTCGCAGCAACACACTCTGCCGAAAACTGCGGGCATTCACCACTTTAGGCTGTTGCTCCGCGGACTCGCTCTCCTCCGCGCCGGAAGATAGCGCTGAGTCGGATGACGAAGAGGAAAGCCCCTTGGTTATGCCCTCTTCAGCGGTCCTCACCGTCCTCATCAACTGCTGTTAAATCCAAAGTGGCCGGAAACTAATCCTGTTTCGAAACAAATTCAACCCAATTTCAAATCTGCAAAAAATGACGACCCTGAAGCCCGTCATGTGGAACACATCCCAACCCCATCTGCAATATTTTCGGGCTTGTGAATTCTCGCAGGTAGTGCGTGGCCGGCTTTTCAAGTGACCTGCAACCATACCCCAACAAGTGTTGCGTGGCCCGAGGCAAGACATGGAAAGCGAGGCATCCCGATTACCTCAACCATCCATGAAAGCCATCTTGCTCGGCTACACGCTCCAGCTATGTTACAACGCCGCCACTAGAAAACCTACCACCCCCAGAGAAGCCGGCACAAAGGCGCCCAAGGATCAAATGCTCACAAGAAGAGAAACTTACCTCCATCCACGATCGAAATCGATCGGACAAAGAAGCCAACGCATCTGTGGAACCCTCAGTGCCTTTGACAGCCGCATGTCGAAGCCGACGACCCCGCCACATCTCGTGGGGCCTAATAACGACGGGGCCTGATGCGAGGCGCTAGGGGGCTCTACAAGATGGCTCGACGATACGGAATCGAAGGGCAATCGCTGGCAATTGTGGGCCAAAATTGAAACCCCGAAGAAATTTCAAATCGAAATCCACCAACCAATCCAATTTCAAATCGAAATTGGCCTCCCGGGCCCATTTCAAATCGAAATTGGCAACTCTGGTCAATTTCAAATCGAAATTGAGGTCCGAGACCAATTTCAAATCGAAATTGGTTTGAAGTTAGAAAAAAGTTAGAAAGAGGTAGAAAAAAGTTAGCCATATTACATTCCAGGTCCTAACTTTTTTCCAACTTATTTCCAACTCCTTTCAAATTTGATCTCCGTTTGAAAAACAGAAGTGGAGAGGCCAAACACATATCGACAGAAAGTCGCCGGTCTTCACAGCCGGAACGCGCCGCCTTTAGGATAATGCATGCGAGCGCAATAGCAGCAGAGGCGAAATGTTGCCACAGGTGTCAGTTGCCTCCCGTCGTCGTAAAAAGCTACCGCCCCCCCAGCCAATTCCTCCAGCAATGGCATGTCCCTGACAAAAAGGGAGTTCGGAAAATGGGGGGCGAGCGAGTGCCCGAAGCTCATTGCTTGGCACAGCGAAGAATAAATACGGCGGCCGCCAGCCTCTTCCTTGCCAGAACACGAGCCAAAAGAAATGGCTGCCCTGTTGGAGTGTGTCTCCAGAAGCGCTCGGTGGTTCTCACAGTCCTCATCAACTGCTGCTACAACATCGCGGAATGTGGCTCCGGCGTTAATATTTTTCTCGCGGTGTAGAAAGACTTCATCCATGAGCAGCCTTTCTGAAAACATTGCTCAGCTTTGAGGTGCAGATGTTTCGTTTCCCTGCCCGAGGACAAAACTACAAACGACAAACAGTGCTATCCCTATCACTTAAATGCATCAGCCGACAAGGAATGTAAAACCTGAGCAGACCTGCGTCATATCCTTCTTTTTACTAACCGGTCTGGCTGCGTTGCTTGGCGTCGGCTATCACGAGGAAAAATCCCCCGTCCCCATACTTACTGAAACGGCATGCCTCTGAAAGATTGGGACCCTGCTCGGTGTTTGCGCGTCGTGTTTTTCGTCGTGTAAGAAGGCACACCGGGAAAGTCCGCCCGCCGCACTATTCAGGCGGCTCGTGATGCTACTAGTAGACCTACAGGGCAGACGCCTGTCATGCTAGGCGCCTGCTACGTCGAAACATCCCCGCCCGGTTCTTGTATCTGCCCGCAGTCCTCTACTGCAAGACAAAGCTGATTTGTGTTCACAACAGTCCCGCGTCACAGATTTCCGTTTTGCTATGGGAGGGGGGGTTTTTCATTTTGATATCGGCGCCGAAATCGTTTTATTCACTCCCGACGCCGAGCTGCTTGAGTTTTTTGGCGGTGCGCCTCCAGCGGCAGTGGGAGTTGAGATGTTGGTAGTCGCAACTTGAACTTTCCCAAGTTGGTTCATGGGGGTGGCTCCTCCACCGAGACTGGGTCTCCGAGACAGTCCGGCGCCAAGTGCTGTGGACGACGTGACCAGACTCTCCAGAAAGCTTCCACGCCGCGCGCGCTCTGCTTGTTGCTGCAGGTTGTTCATCACACCGTTGCTCGCGTTTCCGGAGGACACGATATTACCTAGCGGCCCGCCGCTTTGTTCCATCGGTGCCTGGTAGCCGGAAGCTGTTCCTCCGGCGTGGTGGTCTTGCGTGATTGTACTGCTCAACACGCCAGGAGCACCAACACCACTAGCAGCAGTCGCGCCAAGAGACGTGGATTGCTTCAAAAAGTCGGCAAGTATACTGTTGCGACGGGTCAGGCTCGTGCGCTTTTGGTCCGCTTGCTTCTTCTGTTCCTGCTGTTGCTTCTTGCGCAGCAACTGACCCGCGTAACTCGTGTCGTGGTCCGCGAGAGAAGGCGGGTGGTGACCTGTAGAGCTGCTGCCACTATGGTCTGCTACAGAGACCCCCCCGGGCGGCTTTTGATTGTGCCGCTCTCAGAAATGATTACACTGAACGCTGTTGCATGATTTGCCAACATGCAGTAGAGCCCCAAACTTCACACTCCACACGATCAAGCTGTTTTGCAGAGCACGATCGCGACGCGCTCATCAGCGTTGAAATCTGTGCAAATAAATTTGTGACGCAACACCAGACACGCGCACGCTCTACCCTTTTGCTTTTGAACAAGATTTTTTTGCATCACAAAATCATGCGACAGTCATGAGCGTAACGCTTGCACAGACCATATTGATGCTGTTGCACTTGAGGCGCACCCACGCTCGCACTGTTTTGATTCTCGCCAACGGACGGCGACCGCGACTCCGTTTGCGGTAGCTCCTCAACTTCCTCCGGAGCCTCGTCGTGCTCCTGTAGTAGTTGCGCCAGCAGAGGAGGATTCTGCAGCAACATCTGCGTCATCACTGGATTCGCCACGGCAAGCTCTTGCATCTTTTTTTTTTTATTTCCTCGTCGTCGTGAGTCATCTTTACATTTACTTACGTTTAAACAAACTCTCGTCGTCCATCATGATGACTATTAAGCAACTATCATATTGAATCATAGGAAACCGGCGCCGATCAGATCAGACGGACGCCAAGAACGCCATCGACTTTCTGTCTGCTACAACAGCAACCACGCACCTTGAGAAATTTTTCACTTTTTCAGTCTGTTTACTGCGCAGTACCACGACTTGTTTTCTACTATTAAATACTTAGCGGGCGGCTTATTATACTATCTTGTATACCACTGGGTGCTGCATCATCGTGGTCACGTTGGCAGTCTGCATCATCATCAGCGGGTTTGCTGCTGCTTGTGGCATCAGGGGATTCCCTCCGAGGCCTCCGGCACCGGAGAGCAGCCCGGCCTGGATCAAAGGGTTCGCGGCCTGCTGCTGCATCACCAGCATCGGATTCAGCCCCATCATATCTGGTTTTCCACACACATGTTTTCAGCAACAATCAATGTGATGTCTAGGTGCCCGTCTTTTGATTTTCGTTGAAGTCGATTGGTCACTTTTTTGTTGTTTAATAAACTCAGAAATGTCATCCTCTTCATCGTCGTACGTGCGCACAATTCACGGCCTATTCATCGCACAAACCAAAACCCTGTTTTTTGCAGTAGTAGTGCCGAAGTCCATCATGATATTGCGTACTAATTCTTCTAGACATGTATATCTTTATCCTACGTGAAAACGTTCCCACCCCAGAGTCAAGATCAAGATGGGCACCATTCGGCTACATAAACCAACAAGCCTTCTGCCTTGCGCGTGAATAAAGCTCTGGGTCTCCGTCTCTCTCTCTCTCTAGTGTAGTAAGTAGTGGTGTTTATTGGCTAGTGTATTGGAGTCCTCACATGACAAATCTTAATCTTGCTCCTTATTCTGATGAGAGCATGACAAAGCCCCAGATTCCATGAAAAAATGTCCCTCATGGGGCCGCTGCGCACGAGCCACAGTCTCCGCATGCGAATTCGCGGGGTGGGGACATTATTACTCAGGATATCTTACTTGCCATGATCATTTGCTGCTGGTCGAGCGGAGAAGCGGACGCTGGAGCACCTGCCACAGCCGTACCTATACTGCCGAGGGGTGGTAGCTGCCCCATGAAGTGCGAAGGAGGTTGATGCGGATGCGGCTGATAGCTGCTTCCTAGCGCGTTGCGTGCATTGCAAATACTATGTCCTCTAGGTGGTTTGGAACTACGTGGCAACTTGTGATGCTGAGTCTGCAGTGCACAAGGATCTGCTTTGCGAAGGCAGCAAAAGCTGTGCGGTTTTTGTTCCCCCAAGACGAGGGTATGTCTCATATTACAGAGTAGGCATGGAAAAGCCTCCGCATATCTTCATCTTGTCGTGCTTCATCGTCATCTCATCCAGGTCCAAAAAATGCATGACAGATGATTCCATTCTTCCCGAAATACTTGTAGACATATTTGCATTTGATACGTTGGTATAGCCGTGCGGAAGCGGATCCCCCCAATGGGACGAAAAAGTCCCATCACAATCGTGAAGTAGGTGAAGGCATTCAGCGAAACTGAAACTTACCGAACTAGGTCGCTCATCATCCGAAGAGAGCATGAGTAGTTGTACAAACACATGAAGTATCAAATGCAAAAATGTCTGGGTCTGGAAGATTGCAAGGTTTGTCATGCACATTTTACATGACCCGTGATGTCTGTGATGTATGCACCAGCATCACAAGTTTTTTGCGCGCATCTTGATGCCTATCCCGCATGAGAAATCCCCTCTCCGCGGTTCAAAAACTGGACGCCTCTTGTTGCTCATGCAATACAGATTTTTTTGGATTCCAGAAATAGCATTACAGATTGCATTTCTCCAGACCCAGACATTTTTACATTTGATATGAAGCGGGTGGCACTCACGACATTTGAGTGCTACAACTTTTTTTCGGGTTTGCATTTCTCGCACAAAATGCACAATTGCAATGGTCAACTTTCTTGTTTCGATACTGCTCCTGCGGATTGTTATTATGGTTGTTCTCTTGCACTTGCATGTCTTCGTGGAGCCGGTTCATCTGCAATTGCATGTCTTCATTCTGCCGGCGCAATATGAAAGCAGGCTTGCATGAAAATAATTCTTCAAGATGGAACCAACAGCTAAAGCTTTTTCAAACCTCAGTGCGATATCATCTCGATATAGTACTTATTGGTCCGAGCATGTGCCAGAGGCACTGTCTGCTCCCTTATTCAATCGGCGCATGGAAAACTTCCTCTTCTTGCTTCTTGTTCTTTCACAGCTCCCCGATACATTACATAGGCATAGCACCTGGACATTATTAAATAATACACCTTTGCGTCGATTTTTGTGCACTTTTATAATTCACTAACATGAAGAGCAAATTTTTTTGACGCAAAATTGCCGCAAAACTTGCTTCCACCACATTGAGAAATTTTCACGAGCTCAAGTTACGATCATACGCATCTGCTCAAGCTGTTCGATGAGCGCTGCATTTTCACTCGACATGGAAGCTTTCTTATGCATTGCAACGAAGAGCTACTTCGCGTCTGGAAAAATCATGGAAGATTCGTGTCCGTCGTTCACAAAATGATCGTGATCTTGTATGTTAACTCGGAAAGCACCACCGAAATTTCTGCGATGCCATAGCGGTGCAATATAATGTGCGCTACGAACGAAAGCGCATTCCAACATATCTCAAGCACAGGGCATCTGGTGACAAAAGTCTGTTTATCTGTCATCCAGACCAAACAGTTTCAAATTCTTTCCAGAGGCAGAGCCAAACCAATCTGAAGTGCATACTTTTCGGCAGCAAACAACTCCGCGGCCTCCTGCCTCGCGTTCTCAGCCGCTGATTTTTAGGGTGAGAAAGTAGCACACAGTAAGCCCTAGTTGATCTAAACTAATTTCCAACAAAAAGGTGGCCATGCTATGGTACAAAGAATACCTCTGATTTTCGGCTAAGAGGAGAGCGTCGATCAAGGGACTACTGCAATAAAGATCGCTTACCTAGCTGATTGCTTTTGGCGGTCGAAGCGGAGTCAGGAAGGCGGTTGGCGACGGGGCGATTCTCTATGTTGAGCGCCCGTGTGGCGTATTGCAGCGTCTGGTTGCTTTCGTCGGCGCTACAGGGATTAATGCAGGTGATCATCATGCAGTACGCATTGCCGCCGAAACTGTCTGACAGCAGCTCCGTAATCTTAGCGTTTCGGTAGGGCACGTGGGCGTTCGACTTTCCCTGTGTGAGCGCCATGATGACCTGCGCTAACGTAAACAAGGACTTTATTGTGAGGAAAAATTCCCCCTCCCAATATCGAAAACGCAAACCTCTGAAAATTTGCAATGCTGATATGTGGCCTCAGATCATCTCTGTCTTGCAAGAAGGCAAGCCTGCAGGCTCCTCCGCATTATGCCGGCGGTTTGTGATGCTCTTGGTCCTACAGCGTAGACTTCTGTCATGCTGGGCGACTATGTCAAAACCTCTCTGGCTCTGCTCAGGCTTCGCATATGCCTACAATCCTGTTCTGCAAGACTGCTTTGCATTTGTGTATGCAAATCCCGCATCAAAAGTTTCGTTTTGGTATGGGGAGGGGGGATTTTTCCTTTTGATGGACTTGTTGATGGTCTGAGCTTCCTTCAACGTTACTATCCCAAGAAAAAAGTGTTACATACAGTTACACATTTGCTGCAACTTTAGCAACACAAACTTGCAGCTCTGCACTGCAGGGATGAAATTAACTTGCAATGCATAGATCCGAAGAGAAAACACGTATGAAACGAGGGTCGCATGCGTTCGCAGCATGAGAGAGGTCCTCTGTCTTGCACGTTCTGCAACACGGTGTGGAACTGTAACAGTTTTTTCTCATGATACTTACCCCTTCAGCACCAGTACTCTTCACGCGCTCGCTCCCCGCCAGATCCACAAATTGAAACTTCGCGAACCTTACAACCAGGGCAGTGCTTTTTTATCCTTTATGCTTAATGCAAGCAACCACAAAAGAACGCACGTCTCATGCGTCGGCGTCCACTAAGTAGCTACCATAAATACGCTACCTATTTTTATGTATCAACTTCAAACAAAAGAATGCAGGACAAATTTGAGTTTTAATAATTTTGGTAATCTCTGTCTCGCGACGCAGTGTCCCTTGTCACGGGCGATAAAAATGCCATTGCACTGAAATGTCGTCTCTTTGTTCACAAGTGACAAGTCGTTCCGGTTCTACATCTACTTTCTCTGGAATTCATCTTTTTATAGGGCAACGGCAAATTATTACATCTTACAGTCGATGTCATGGGAATAAAGAACGCGGATGCATTCACGTCACATCAACTACCGGCACTGTGTATCAAGTGCAAAAATGTCTGGGTCTGGAAAATTGAAACTTGTAATGCGTGTCATGCATTCCTGGAAAATCTGTGTTGCATGAGCAGCAAAACAGAGGCTTCCTTTGTCATGCGAAAACGCAATTTGTAATGCGTGCTAGGCATCAGCAGCCCTCTCAAAAACTTGTCATGCTTGGCTGCCATTGGAAGCGCTTCAATCATGCGCAATTCAGCATCACAAGTTTCCAGACCCAGACATTTTTACATTTGATACTGTGCTAGCTAAAAATCTGTACCTTTGCAGATCGGGGAGGTCCACGTAAAGCGTAAAAAGACTGTGGGATCGCGAACTCCGGGCGTTCATCTTGGTGCTAGACGTGCGGCGGAACTTTGCTCCCTCCTGCAGCACCATGATTGCATCGTCTGCGGTGTCGCACTCGACCATTGTGAGGTCTGCGATGTAGGGCTCCCGCTTCTCATTTTGCCGGATGGCCAAGTTGGTTTTTTTCGGGTCGAGCGTATCATATTGAAAAATCGCCCCTACTGACTCTGGAAAAGGCGGGGGAGTGTTTGCATTGCAAAAGTTCCGAATGGAAACATTCTCGAGCAAACGCAACGCAAAAAATTTCTAATGCAGATGAGATTCGTAAAAGAACAATCACGCGTTACAAAAAGGCCCAGAGACCGCAAGGCCTACCATGTAAGAGATGCTCTGCAGTCCTACTATAATCTGAATCAGGAATACTCGCCGTCCTTCTCCTTTCGTGCAAGACAAGTCCCCATGTCCATTACCATTTGCATTTGGAACGAAACTCTGCATGAGAAAAATCTCGCACTTCGGGAAGCGGGGCACTTTTCAAAATGGTAGAGCAGATCCGTGATACATTCGTTCACCAGACCCGTCGCTGTAGACAGCAAAAAGTTTGTTGCGATAGTCACTGAGTTTCAGGTATTACGTGGCGCTTTTTCTTGGCTTCGACCACGAAAGATTTCTTGTTGTATTGCAGAAAAACTAGGGAAATCCTGTATGACGTCTCATTTGGATGCATTTCTAGGCAGGACCACAGGGACATCGCCTTACAAAGCTGCGTGATCTTCAAAACGAACTTTTTTTTTTTGATAGGCGCGTTTCCGATTTCAATAAAGCTTGCTTTTATCTTCACCGTCTTCGAGGTTCGGTCGTTCTTTCGGGCAAAAATGCGTTCGATTGCCTGGGGCACGATTCCGTCCAGCGCCTGCGTGCTACCAATCACGGTATGCGTCTTGCCGCTACTTGTCTGTATCCAAGAAAAAAAGTCGAAGTATTCATGACAGTTAGTGCAACTTTTTTATGGCAGCATTACAAATCTTTCTAGTGTGGACCAGCACGACAACCTCAGCCGCAACCCTGTTGCATGTATATTTTTTGCACCACAGACTTACATCATCACTATACACATCAATTTTTTTCTTGCATAGTCTGCCCGTACGCCATAATAGTCGCGTGAAAACCGCTCAAGATTGCATCCACAAAGCCATCCACGTTCATCCTGAAACAAAAGAAAAGATGTTTTAGGGAATCTTCCGGCATGGCCATTTTGATCACTTTTTTCTCCTTGAAGTTCAAGCGGACGAAAAAGACACAAATTGGTCCAGTTTTTTGGTATGACCAAATTCCTTCTTCTTTTCGCATTATAAGTACGACTCGGCAGCAGGAGGTTTATGACGTCAAGAAAAACTGCGATACTATATGGCAACTAAGTGCGTTGATTTCGGTACCTCCGAAAAGCATCTTCTTGCGAAATTCCGGGCGGGACGACAAGCGGTAATCTTACAGGTTAAACATGGTTAGAATTGGCGAAGGTATTGAAAAGCTGAATCGCCACACACACATACACACCAACGCGGATCCAAGATACGAATCCTAAGTAATGCTTTACCGCCTCGGACAACAAGTAGAAGCGCCCCATTCATATTGATTCACTTGCAGAAGGATAGCGACGAGAGCATGGCTACTTCCAACGAGAGCATGGCTACTTGTTACCTTGTTCTTTGGACAGACGCGACAAGATACTACTTGTCATTCTGAGAGAAGTTCTTGCAAAAACTGATGGCGTATTCTCGTCACGCAGTGAAGATGATGTAGCCGGACCAATGCAAGTGAATCCATGAGTGACAATTTTTTCAGTATTTTTCCTTTCTCAATACAATTCCCAATGCCCCACTTTTTGTAGTCTTAAGAAGCCCACATATTCTCGTGACGTCGGCTGGCCTTGCACGATAATTTTGTCGGCGGCCTCGTCCTATGCGTTGCAAACAAGTACGTCTGGGTCTGGGTCTAATGCAACCAAAGGGTCAACACGCAAAAAGAAAAACTTGTGTTGCTTGAGCGCCTGCGTCAAAAGCTTTCCACTTCTTACTAAACAGCGACAGCCAGCGCATGATCCCCTCATGCGGAACAGGCACCAAGAGGCCTCGGCAAAGCAGCTTGCACTTATTATATGCTTCCGCTGCTGTGTGCTTTCCAGCCCATCTATCGTATCCTATGTGGTCGAGCAGATGCATGACAAACGTCGGTGTCCGGCTATTCCGGATCTGGCTTCCAGCACGATCGTGGAGGGCGGAACCTGCACGACTGGCGACAGACGCTATCCAGCCAGCCAACCAACCAACCAACCAACCAACCAACCACACCAGCAAACGCGCCCGGTCTTCCCGACCCACCCAGAGCCAGACTACCTAATTCGCATTTTATACGTCCCACGTGACGGAAGGCGCTTCTTTGTCCGATGGCAGCGGTGGACGAATCCGGACTATGCATTGAAAGCCGGGAAGCAGGCTGGCTCCAGTGCCTCCCTCCGCAGCTCCCCCGCTGGACGCCATGGCGGTCGCCGGCAAAGACCAACCGGTGCAACTCCTGCACGGAGAAAAAGCAAAAAGTGGGTCCTCTCCCGCAGGAGCCCTAGGACATCGGTCTGCAGTGCATTTTTCGGGTTTCGGTTTCGCCACCTTGAACTGCAGCTCAGGCTCCAAAGTCACCGCCTCTCCGATTTCCCAGCTACATTGCCATGCACGGAGTTCTTAGGCATAGTTGTAGAGAGCAGGTCAAAAATATGTATATGATCCTTCGTACTAGTCGCAGACGAAGGACAAGCCCTCGTGGCGTCGGGCCGGCCATGCGCTGTCTCGTAGCATGTGTGCCGCGATCCGGTACTCTTTCCTTTACACTCTGGCGCTCCGTCAGCGAGTAGACTCGCTCCGGTGTTGAGAAAAAAACACAAACAAGCCAGAGTGAGAACAGCCTTGAGGTAGGAAAAAATATCCTCGAGGAGGAATCTCCTTGGGCCTTCGCCAGAATCTCCTTGAGAGTTTTTTTTTTCAAAAAAAGCGAAACACGTGCAGCAATGACGGAAAAAAAACAATTTACAATTTGGAATTGTGATAGCAAATGGAAAAGACTGAATTAAGTACGACTACGAACTTCTCAACAACAATGGCTATAATGCACACACTCTTGGGCGGCCCCGCCTGCGGAGCCCGAGCCCTTGAGGCGGGCCCGACATTATTTCGGTCCGGTTCATCAAGTCTGCAACGTCTCCTGTAACCACGCCAAAGTTGCCGCGTGCGCCAACTGTTGACCCAAACGGTTGGCGCGTGCGCAATTCATGACGGTCGCGCCCGGAGGCCTATATTCTATTCGTAGGTAAATGCGCGCGCACAAGCCTCACGCGCGCGAAGCCGAAGGGTCGCCACGCACCTTGACTGCACTTTCTGGTTAGAGCATGAACGCACGACCATCGCGGGCATCATCCTTGAACAAGGCCCGCGGCGAAATCCTGCAGACCGCTCAAGGCCGCGCTCTCACGCTCTAACGAGCAAGCGAGGGCGCAAATCGATCTTCCATTTTGGAGAACACTTAGCACTACACGCAGGCTGGTGCCGAAGACTAAAGCAGGAAAGCCCTCTCAGCGTATTTCTTCACGCCACGCTTTCTTCTGTGCAAGGAGGAACCGTGTTAGTTCAATATCATCATTTTTTTATTAGTTCATTTTATAACCTCATTTTTTTCAGTCCGCCGGAACGGGACCCTTGCGAGCGAATCCGCTTATACCCCGCAAGGGAGGATGCGGCTCGCTGGTACCGCAGAAACAGGTAACCTGCTATCAGCGCGCGCTCTCGTGTAACTTGTAGAAAATGAAAAACAAAATAGTTGCGTGAAGGCTGCACTTTGCCTGTAGTAGATATGTGCGAGCTCCTTCTCTCTATTTGTATTTCTTTTTCTTTTTGTACATTAGTCCACATTTACCTGCAACTCGCACCGACACGAGCACAATTCGATAGCAACTTCTTATATGTACCAGCAATGGCCATGGTCTGCTCTTTATATTTTCCGATGCAGGACCGAAAAATAACCCAAAGGCCAAACAAAACGCAAAGGTGGTCGCGTAAATACGTACTACACAGAACCAAGGGACACAGACAAAATTTCAAAATTTTGTAAATATTTCGCAGCCATTGTTTTATGCTGCAGCTGTGGCGTCGGTTTCTCGACGAGAATGAGTATGCAGATATTGCGCGGAGCAATTACTTCGGGGCCGGGCGACAGCTACAGGTAAGTGAGGACGCACAACACTGCCAGCGGTCGGCTATTTTCCTGGGCTTTTCTGATTCTGCAGTCGAAATAGCTAGGCCAAAAATGTTGTAAGTGCAGGCGCTTTGGATGAGCATAGCAGAAAAAATCGCCGCTGACGACATCACCAATCTGCCGCGCCACGAAGAAGTGGCGCGGGAGGGTGACGGAGAAGGGCTGAGTGTGAAAGAAGGGCTGCAGAGAAGCGCTTTCTAATCTTTCTGCTTTCTAATCCTTCTATTCTAACTTTTGAACTCGGACGTCGGAGGTCAAGTCGTCGCTTCCGTGTCACTCGGAAAATTATGTCACGCACCCACGCGACGTGGGTGCGTCGCCGTCCTGTGTCCCTTAGAACTTTATTGGACTCAGGTCGTGGCTCTAAGGGACACAGGAAAACTGAGTACTCTGTTGAGTACTCGCCAAAATCCACTCGACAGAGCACTTGACCGAAAAACTTCAATACTTTGAAGCACGCACGCAGAAACTATAAAATTTAAAAAGTTTAATTTTAGCCCGCATGGTATGGCCAACTACTTGCGAAGCAAGCTGCTTCGTCCTGAAGAAGATTGGGGGCTATTTCAAAAAGTGTTTACCATACCATGGTGAAGAAATTTGAAGCTTTTTGATTTTCTGGCACCTGAGACAAAGGCTGGAGACAAAATGAAAATGAATAGGAGCGGGCTCGTCGTCCAGGTATCTCCGGCTCCGGAGCCGTGTGATTGGGCGGCACCGTCCACGTGTCTCCGGTTCGGAGGAGTCCCGCTTTTCGGCGTCCGAACTGTCGGCTCTTCCATCCCCGGCCCAATCTCCGGTGGCCACCAGTTTCCTAAATCCTAAATCTAAATCTGCAATGCAGAACTGGCCCACCAATGCGCCCAAAATTTTAAAATTTTGTCTGTGTCCCTTGCTTCTGTGTAGTAATACGACTTATCTTATCATACTCAATGCAGCATAGTCGGTCCCGAATAGGTGGGCCTGAGGATAATCAATAAGCCCGCTGCGCTGAAAAGATTTATGGTACGATTATAATTCTTGGTCCCCACAGTTCTGTTTGAATTATCTTTATCAAATGCAAATATGTCTGGGTCTGGAAGAGTCGGGGCTTGTGGTCAAGCACATTTTGCATGACCCGTGAGGTCTGTGATGCTGGTGCTAGCAACACAGATTTTTTGAGAGCCTCTTGATGCCAATTCTCGCATGAGAAACGCCCTCTCTGCGTGCCAAGAACTGAGTCCTTTTGCTGCTCATGCAACACAGATATTTTCAGAATCCGCAGATAGCATTACAAGTTCCACTCTTCCAGACCAAGACATATTTGCAATCCAATCCATACTCTTCAATCACGAGCAAATCTGCTGGTGTCCACCATGAACTGGGTGCGCTCGGCGCGCGTGGCAGGCAGGTACTTTCGCACGAGAACGCTGATGCCGAGGACCACGGATGAAGCGTAAAGAAACGCGAAGAGGCAGGTGACGAAGTTGTTCTCGAAGACGAAAAGCGACGAAAAGAGCGCCACGCAGACCTGGCTCCACGAAAACGCTGACACGCACCGCAGCACGTCGTGTACCAGTATGGCGAACGTTCCTGCTGCAGTCAGTGGCGCACCACTTCCATCGCGATTAGCTGCCGAGTCGGAGGACGCACCACGTTGGTGCTGCTGAGGCCGATCCGTTCTTTCCAGGCCCGCCCCAGCAGAAGACCTACAACTAGTACTTGCTGTAGAAGCTGCGCCGCTCAGGCCAAGGCCAAGGTGGACACCCGCATGATCCGAAGAAGATGCCGCGCTGGCAGTTGGCGGCAGAGCGAGTTGGTGCAGGTTCGGCCGATCGTACTGAGAAAAGTAGGCTGCGCCGGCTGCTGCGTTCCCGACCACCGGCAGAGGGGGTTCTACTGAAGGGGCTAGGGGGCCATTGCCGCGGTCACCCTGTCCTGACGGTTGTGAAGCGCTGCTTTCGGCCTGCGTTGCCCATCCAGTGGAAAATCCTCATCAGCTTGGAATTCTGCTGCTCGTCATGCAAACCATTTCACGTATAGTCACCACCATCGAGTCCTACTAGTTTGAAGATCAGGACTTTGTTCATCACGTGGTCGTCACGGGCACAAGTAAGTAAGTAAGTACGTATGCGATGGATCAGAAAAAGCCGGGCGCTGGTAAACAAAATTTCTCAGAACGAACCTTTTTTCGAGAATGATAAGGACCGAACAGACCTTTTAAAAAGGTCCGTTCGGTCCTTTATTTTTTCGAGGATGCGCGGACGCTGATAAGAAAAACTTTGCAGAGGATATAATCCCCTCGTGTGTCCGTGTTCCGGTGTTCGTCCAAGACTCATGGTCCCGAATAAGACGATCCGCGAGATCGTCCTGGCCCCGCGGAGCTACCCCCGAGAAGGGCCCCCGGCCTTGAAAAAAGGACGCAGGCGCCGCTCCGCGCACGAGGGCACTGACAAAGCCCGCAACCGACTGCGTTGCGGCCGTCCACGACACGTTCCGTCTGGTAGCCTGGTTCCTGGTACTGGCACGAGACGCCCGGCTCGGCCCCCCTCCGCGACTGTTCATTCGCGAGTATTTACTGCTGGCATCGAAATCGATGTGCGGCAGGCAGACCTTCAAAAGGAAGGAATCGCATCACAGTGAAAAATCAAACCCCCTTGCCCCTGCCCTTTGCCTTTTCTCGTCATACGATCCAAAAATAACTTCCTAGGCCTGGTGCTCTGCCTCGCGGTCTCGTACGTCAGTGATTCATCAGCTCTAGTACTCGGCCTTGTACAAAATGACAGAAGGAGAAGCGGCCCCTTGCCCTTGTCCTGGATGTACTACATGACTCTGGAAGAACATACCAAAGCCGCAACTCAGCTTCTTCGCTTAGGGCCGGAGCTGGTGCACAACACATGCCTACCAAAACAGCAATCTAAAAAAGTTTGTGCGTCGCTAACGCTATTAAATAATCCTATGGCATTTACGAAGCGGGTAGCGGGGTTCGGCGGGTTGCCTAATTTCTCACCCTGATAAGACGAAGGCAGAACAGAGCGTATAAAGCGCGGTAATCGCCACAAACACAAAGAAGGGGTAGCCTCTCATCTTCGGAAAAGAATACGCAAAGGGCTCCGTGCCTGCTCCAGCGACTGCGCGGTTCTGGTCTTGTTCCTCTTCCCCCGGCTGCAAGGGTGTGCCACTTCTGTCGTCCTCCACCACCTCCGCACGATGGTACGTCTTTAGAGCAGGTTCTGCTTCCTCGCCACCATTCCTCGGGTCCTCATCCTCGTCCATCTTCTTGTGCGAAGTCGGGGAAGGCGTCACGGCGGAGACGGCAGCAGGGCTGGAAGTGGCAAAATGATCTGCGACGTGGTTGCGGAACAACGCCGAAGAGAAAGGATCTCCGACTGTAGGACTTCGTGTCGCATCGCGAGGACTCTTTGATGCAGAAGAAACGTTTGATATTGCCGCGTCCTGCACGTTGGTGTTTTTTAAATTCTGCATCTTCTTCACGCCCGCGTGACCACTCGTGTCCTTCTCATCTTCGAGATGCTGTGTTGCAACGGCCAGCGTTTCATTTTTGGACGAAAGTGCGGAAGCCCCAGACGTCGCGGAACTTGTCACGATATCACTGGAAAAGTTTTTTCGGCGGACCTCTGCAACTGCTGGTCTATCTCCAGAAGCCCCTCCTGCGACTCCACTTCTCGCGTCTCCTGATCGGACAGCTCCGGCTTGTGCAGACTCCGTCGACTGCGGTTGAGAAGCAGAAGCAATCAAAATGAAGAGTCCCCCATCACCAGGAGAGTAACTCTAACTGCAAACGTTCCGCATCGCATGAACTTTTTCTATCGTGTGAAGTCTTGCAGAGCTCAGCCAACAAGCATAAGCTTAGGCATTTTACGACCAATGCCTTAGGGCATACATGGTCTCGGGAAGAGTGGGTCAAGCTGCAGCTTGAGATCGGACCCGAACTTAGGACGCACCGGAGTGCAGCATGTACTGGTGAATATTGCATGCAGGGAATGCAACGAATTTTGATTCGGATGTTGAGCCTGTTACGCAACTTCCACATGAACGACATCGCCTATACTGCGGCGCCGCGCATCATAGACCGGGGTGGGGGTACTTTTCGTTCCATGTGATAGAAGCCGGGGAAATCGTAGGTCCTTCACGCCCATCCTGGCCTGGTTCTTCTTCTTCCAACGCCCTGGCGTCGGCGGTTTCGACTGCTGTAAGGTATGCGTGCCCGTTTGTGTTCCCTCTTTTTCGGTCGTGCGTTGACGTTGCGACCGCCGTTTTTTCGACCGGCACAAGCGGCGCAGCGTCCTGCGAACCTGTTAGTGACGCGTGCCCTTCATCATTTTTGTACCCTTTTACTTGCCCCACAACCACACCACGGCCCGTGTCCGACGACTGAGGCATATGCTTCTCGGGGTCTGCTTCTGCGGTGCCCGTGCCAGGCACCAAAGTTGTTCTTTCCGACTCTTCTTTACCCGCCTCAGGAGCTGCGGACGCCGTGGGCCAGACTTTCTGATCCGCACTGTTCGGCGCCCCCGATTGGGGCTGGCGTCCATCTTGCGGCACGATGCCGATGGCAGGAGGAGTTTCTGGTTCGTCCCCCTGTCGTGGGGAAGATCCCTGTTGCACCGCTGCCGCCACGTTTCCGCCCTCACCGATTCCGCTCCTCGGTCCGGACGGCAATGTATTCGTGCCAGACAGTCTACCGCGTCCGTTGCCGTCGCCCGCAGAGAGCGACAGGTCATAGTGGCTCTCCGCGAGCCGCTTGGTGAAGAGGTGCAGGAGGCCGTAGGACGGATCTGAGAATGTCTATCAGCGGCGAATATGTCTGGGTCTGAAACAATGCAAGATCATCTGCCATGCATATACCTGCGGACCACACACACACACAGAGTCGGGAATGCACACAAAGACAAAAGCATCGCAAATTTTGCGCGAGCTTCCACATGCCTACTGCGCATGAGACGTCCGGCGCCTGTTGCCTAGCAAGAATTGCGCAACTCGAAGCGTTCATGCACCACAAACTTTTATATTTTTTTGTGATCGAGACTTAGCGTGACAAGTTGCAGTCTTGTTCTTCCAGACCCATACATATTTGCAATGCATAATGCCATGACCAGCACAATGATGGAGGTGTAGACCGAGAAACTGAGGTAGGACCTCCACAGTATCCTGCGTAAAGACGTCCGCACCCAAGAGTCAAGATGGGGATGTCGAAACACAAATCCAGAAGTTTTGGGAGTGACAAGTTCCGCTCTGCATTGTAGCGCAGTTTAGCAAAGCCAACCGCATGACAAAGCCTCTCATGAAGATGCGCATTACAAATGTTCCTGCAATTGGTATTGGAATTGCAAATCTGCATTGACAACTCTGGGGTGGAGATGCTTTTGCTCAGGATACAGAGGCGCACATACTTATTGCGAGAGCCCCTGCGGGTCGCGTTCCATCCGGTCACCAGGGACCGGGAATCCTCGTGGTGCTGTGCTCCGAAAGGAGGATCCACACCGTCGAGGTCGTTGTAGGCCGGCAAATCCGGTGGGGAGGACGACGCTGCGTGAGCAGACGATGCTGCGGCTTCATACCAAAACTCCTCCTGTAGGTCCGCGCGGCCCTGCTCCTCCACCTCCTTAATCCTGCGTAAAAACGTACCCACCCTGTGGAAAGCAAAGACGAGAAATCGGGTAGACAAATGATCCCAAAGCTTTTTAAGGACTCGCTAATGATAGAGAGGACTCGCTGTCGCTAATCATGAATTAGGCCTGCAATATATCAAGTTAAGCCATGGCCAGGGAAAAAATCAGCCGAATGGAGCAACGCAAAACCGGAAAATGCTCGTCGTGCTATTAACCGTCACACAAGATCTCCAAAAATCTCTATTTTTATTGCTGTCATCAGAGTAAGAAGCATTCCGAAACGCCAGTGGACGATCGAGATCCGCCTCACGGTGCTGCGCATGATAAGGAACATCCGGGAGGGCGCGGGGCATGCAAGTCAGCATGACAAAAAATTATGTCCCGGGGTGTTTACGTTTTCACGCAGGATACCCTGAAGCTCGTCTGATTCTCTTTCCATCATGTCCGCCGCAGCAAGGTCGTGTCCGACGAAATCATCATGTCGGACCCCAATCATACCTCGTGACTCGGGGGAAATGTCCGAGGAAAAAGTTGTAGCGGGCTTGGCGCTTACCCTGCTACCATGCGTCCCAGTGTCTAGTTCCCAAGGAGAAGTAGTGGTTGAGGCCGTGATCTCTGTATTGTGAGGGAAAATACCCCCTCCCCATATCGAAAACGAAGTTTGTGACGCTGTATAATTTGAGTACAACATCACAAAGCGACTTGTAATATTCCTAGAAGGCCAAGAGACGCAGTTGTGCCCTCGTTTGCAGGCAATTTGTCATCCTATTTCCCGGTTCCAGTTGCTTTTCCTGTCATGCTGAAGACGGAAGGCCTTTCCACGCCAGCCAGCACTAGTGTCGGCGTCCGCATCTTTTCCCTTCTAGCATGACAACGTGATTAATTTGTGGTGACAAATCATGCTACACGACAAATCTCCCTTTGAGTACTTATGGGAACAAGGGGGGACTTTTCATTTCGATACTCTGGACGAGAAGACGAAAAAGTTGCGGCTCCTGGTGGCATATTGCGACGAAAAATCCCCCCTCCCCATTTCAAAACGAAATATTATGATACTGATTCGTGGCCGCAAATCAGATTTGTCTATGCAGAAAGTGTGCTTGGCGGTATTTCTACTTTCTGGTATGCAAAAGGCTAGCAATTAGGCATGGAAAACAGGTTTGCAGTAGTCGAAAGCGCATGATAACCGACTGGCTGTAGAATGCGCCACAGGGCTGCTATTACAACCCTATAGGCATCGACAAAGGTGATTTGCGACCACCACAAATTAGCATCACGACAAGGTTCCATTTTGATATGGGGGGGGATTTTTCACTTTGATATGGCAGGTGGTGTTGTCTGAGAAGGCTTTCGTGCGGTACGACTGGCTCAGGTCCAAACCGGATGTAAAACAAGATGCAGCCGAACAAGATGCCGACCACGTACCAAAACCGATGCTCCTCGACGACAACCAACGCCAGCACGTATGGAAGTTAAGCGCACGCTCCCGCCGGGCAGAGAAAGGGTGTCTGCCTTTTCCTTTATGTCATATTGCATTTATGTACTTATCGCAGGTTTATGTCATATACGTATTTAATTTTAAGTACACTTATCCTCGCACGACTCATATATAAATAACTACATTTGTGATGTCATGTCAGGAGTCCAAAGTAGAAGCTACAACATCGGCATGGTGTTATGGTTTGCCACTTCGGTATGATAGCGTTGCTAGCCTCTTCGGGCGAGCGTGACAAAAAGCCTGCACAGAAGGCCTCAACGGAGGGCTCCCGGTCTCGTCTGGGCTTCCAGCAAAACAACATACTGATCAAAAGAAACACTAGATGAATTTTTACAGCGACCACACATGACCCATACGACTACGATCATCTTCACGTACATATGGATAAACTTAAACCTTGGGGCGGGGGCATACTTATTCTCAGCATAGCACGTTCGTGGAAAACAGGCTCCAGCAAAGGAACCCGACACCCCATCCAAATCCGTAGATTTATACGACGAAGACCGGACACATACAAAATCAATGTCTCACAAGTTTAAGCAGGTGTCTTTCAGAAAGGTGACAGTTGTCACGCTTCAATGGAAGCAGATGTGTGTCTTTTCATGCAGTCTCGAAGCTTGTGGCTGTGTTTTGATGTGTGCAGTGCATGATTTATCGTGGATAAGATAAAGAGAAATTGTACAAACGGAAGCCAGTGACTCCACCCGCCCAGCAGCGAATTTGTTGGGTGCCCTACACTGCCTCCGGCGGAGCTGAAGCTGACACTGAACAGGTTCATGCGACTATCCCGTGCAAAAATGGCGCCGTGTTTCGCAGCACAAGTCCATGAGAATGGGGTGAGCGTGAGTGTAAAACGCTTGTCCCTGGTGCATGCCGAGCTTGTTCCTTACGGTTACGGCTTGAATCGTGTCAGGAAATAAAAAATCGAAGCACAACAACAAAAGCAACAACCACAAACCTGCAAAAGTACAACTTCCACAGCATTTTGTATTCTACCTCGTGCGTACTATTTGGACATTGAAATGGAAATAGCAGACGCATTTCATTCTTCCTGCTCCAAGTAGATACATAAAAAATTTGAGTGTCGACTTTGACAGACGCTTTCACACAGGGTAATAGCTACTGCTGGAACTAGCTCCCAGGTACCGCTGCTGCCGCCTGAGCATGCGAAAGTTTGTCCATGCATATCGAAAGAAAACTACCGCCCCACCAGCCCTGACCTGAGTGGCTTTGCAGAACAGATGCTCTGCACATGATCAAAAATCAAAAAAAAAATACTATTTCAATTTTATTTTACTTAGTGTCAGTCGTGATGAGGCTGCAATTGCAAATGAAAGAGGTCCCTTGCAGTCACATTTCTGCCTGATTTTACCACTACTGCTGCGGGTCCCCTTCAGGGCAGTGTCATCGTCTTGTGGTGGGTCATTTTCCTGAGGTGTCTCGTTTTCGTGGCAAGGGCCACGACCCTAGTACACATCTAGATGGAAGGCGGGTTCTTTTCTTTTCTTACTGCACAAGCAGTGGTCAGTAACGCGATGAAGAACAGGCCGGAGACAAGTTTTCCAAAGCTCCCACAGCACAGCAGGCCCAGCTTCTCCAACAGAAGTTGCCAGACCTCGAGGAACAAGCTTTATTGTGAGGAAAGCTCCCCCTCCCGATATTGATGAACGCGCATCCTTCTGAAAATTTGCCATGCAGATTTGTGGCCACAGAGTGTTTCTGTCTTGCAAGAAGGCAAATGCCGAGGAATGCGCCACATTATGGAGGCGCTTTGTCATGCTGACTGGCCTGCAGGGCAGGGGTTTCCCATGCTAAACAGCCATACCCTTACGCTCCCTAAGAACAGGCCAAGAACCTGCCTACAGTCCCCCACTGCAAGACTCATTTGTGTACGCAAATCCAGCATCAGAAACTGCGTCTTGATATGCTGGGGAGGGAGAGTCTTTGCTTCTGATAAGCTCGCCTTGCTGACCACCAGCCCGATCGGCAGCCACTCCAGCGCCCCGATCAGAATTGGCCACGACAGCATGCGAAACAGTCGGCCAGGCAGAGTCGAAAAAAACTCCGGAACGCACCGCCGGTGACGGTCGCGCCAGTGTCATCCTGAGCATAAAAACCTACACCACATCCCATCGTCAAGAAGATGCCGGCTTTGATGCTACACGACAAGTCATGATCACAAACTTTATTTATCAGGCACCTAGTTCTGTAGAACGAGTCGTGGTTAGCTAGTGCAGCCGCATCTTGTTCTGAGCTACTTTGGTTCTTATCCTGATTCGATAGTGAGAGCATACCGAATTTCCACACAGCATGATTAGACATTGAACGCTTCTCAAGGGGTTCTTGCGCATGGTACGACACGACATCCGATTCTGTTTCATTTCTGGCAGCTCTGGGCATGCAGATTTACATCACAAAGATGGAGTGGGTATGTTGTTTTTACACAAAATAATAAGTGCCTCTCCTCGGTGGACGCCGGCAAAGCGGTCGTGTAGTCGACCTCCTCCTCCTGGTAGGCCTATGCATTGTAATTTCTATGTCTGGATGTGCAAGATGGCAAGCAAACCTGGGAATGGGCTGCTGATTGTTGAGTGAAAAAATCGGTCCTGCATACAAAACAACTCAGCAAAACTGCATGCGCGCTCTTTGTCTCTGGAAGAGGGCGCTTCTCGGTCTCGCGCAGGCCAGGAATGAAAAAACAAAAAGCCTCCGCAGAATTTGCTAAGTTTAATAAAGTAGTTCCTGCGCACTGCGTTGATTCTCGCGGGTCCAACAATTGCACAAGAACGCATACCTGCTTTCTTCCAGATCCTGCTCACCAGACCACATATTTGCAATGGATAAGGCGGCAGTATTGTAGACCACAAAGACTAGAGAGTCGTGGTAGTACCAGACAAACAATCCTGCGGCCGTGATGGCAAACACCAACTCCGCAACTCCGGCAATCGCGCACTGCTCGATCCGGTCTTTTTTCGAGCTATCAAATGTAAAAATGTCTGGGTCTGGAAGATCGCGAGATTTGTCATGCATATTTCGGATCACGCGAATGGCGTCTGATGCAGGCAAAAGCATCACAGGTTTTGAACGCGCCTCATGATGCCTGTCCCGCATGAGAAACTTCCTACTTGCGTGCCAAGAAATGGACAGCTTTTGGCGCTCATGCAACACAAATTTTTGTGTGTTCCAGAGTTTGCATCACAAGTTGCAACCCTTCCAGACCCAGACACTTTTACATTTGATACGAGCAGTGCCCGAACCAAACGCCGACGGCGTGCGGGCTCTGCGAACTGAAGACGATAAACAAAATATCCAAGAACAGCCGAAAGGAAGTTGCCACGATCACCGTGCTACTCATGCGTAGATAGCTGCGCAAGGTCAGCAGATATCCGCGCGGCACAAGTTTCAGAAGTTGCTGCATCGCTGACGCTGCAGCTTCTTCAGATTATACCAGTACTAGTACACGTACTTAGTGTGATCCTACTACGTAAACCGACCGGGGTTCGTCTTGTTCGAGGTCGAGCTGCCTCGGCCTTTTCGAATAAGAACTTCTGCCGAATTTTCGCACCTCAGCGACAGCGTCGTGAAGATGTACCATTTTATTCTTCTCCTGAAATAAACAGGAACGTGCCAACGCCCGACCCCGGGTGGGTCAGATTCAGACTTGCAGCAACTATGCTTGAAGATGCTGATCGCCAAATGAAACTACATCATGACGTGTCTAAAATAGCTTCCGCATATCGGCAGGATCATGGCTGCAGTCGTGGTTAAACTTCATACTTGTTTCTGTTTGTGTTTTGTTGCGCCAGCAAAAACCAAAGCATAAGCAACACAACCGTGCTGGCACGAATAGTACTGCAAGCAACCCCTCCGTAATCTTTTCCGAACCACACCAGATAAGTTCAGCTGGCGTACTACTAGCTACTATTAATTTGTGGCGCAGAGCCAAATGTACATCGACATGAAGGTTGGACATAATCCACATCATCGGGACACTGCTTTTTTTTGGTCCGGATCGTGGTATTAAGGTCGCGCCCGGAGGGCGATATTGGTAACCAAATGCGTGCGCGAAAATCGAACCAGCGCGAAGGCCCACCAACCTTTTTCTAACATCGCCGCGGCCCGCGCCGCGAAAGCGCGGCCCTGCGGGCCGCGCTTTCGCCGCGCGGCCGCCGCTACAAACGAGAAAAAGCACCATTTGTTTTTAGTTTCTAGATTCCCACTTCTTCTTCTTGGGTCGCGGGCCGCAGTTGTGCTCGCGGCCCTTTAGGGCCGCGACCGCAAACTGCGTACCGCTTCTTGGGTCGCGGGCTCCACCACTTCCCCGCGGCCCTAAAGGGCCGCGGACAACTACTGTCGCCCGCGGCGGCCCGCAGGCTCCTGCGATAAGCATTGAAGGCGAAATCCGGTCTGCTATTTCGCAGCGGGGCATCCTTTCTAGCCCCCTGCATGACAAACTGGCCTCCTGGCCAGGAAGCTATGTGGCCGGGGGGGGCAAGCCCCCCCCGGACCCCCCCACCCACCTTCGCAGCGGGGCATCCTTTCTAGCCCCCTGAATGACAAACTGGCCTCCTGGCCAGGAAGGTATGTGGGCCGCGCTCTCATCCTCTAACCAGGAAGCAAGGGCGCGCAAAAGAATGCGTTTTTTGGCGAGCAGAACACCATCGCGAGTAACATTATGCACGAGGGCACGCTGGCCAGGAAAAATGCGCAAATTTCAAAAAATTAATCAAGTCGCGCCATTTCCGGCAGCCCTTTTGGGCCACCCAGATCGAGCATTTCCAAGCGGGAGGAGGCTCACAATTTTGGACCTCATACAGGTCGAAAACCGTGAGCGGTGGACACACCTCCACAGGCTTGATAATTGTGTTCTTGTCGTCCAATCCCGGTGGTACGGGCCTGCGGAAAATTCTGCGAACCCCTTTTGAGCGGCAATTTCCAAGCGGCTTTTACTTTTTCAGCAAAAGTTGTCATTTTCAATTTTCCAGCGGTTTTCGGGGACTGCACAAAATCGGTAAATTTTGTCGCCCGCTTCCACCCTGCGAAAAAACGCACTTTTTAAGCATTTTTTTTCAATTTCCAAGCGGCTGGAGCTGCCTGGACGTGGCGAGTTTTTCGCTACAAAACCCATCACACCATCGGCCCTTGCCGAAGATACCACTATCTTTTTTCAGATTCAGACCGGGCGGAGCTGCAAAAATGCTCTTTTTTACGCTTTTCCCACTTAGTAATTGCTGTTTTGGCTGCTTTCGATGAAATTCCCACAACTCTTCCCCGATCCGCTTTCTGAAGGCAGAACACACTTGATAATGCCCGATTTTGCCAGTGGTTGCATACCCCCGAGTTCCTCCCATATGGTAACGGCAAAGCCTTCGCGCTGCGTTTGCGATGGATGAGCATCTCGCAAAGAGCGCTTTGCGCGCGGGGGCGAGCGATAGCGAGCCCCTGCGCGCAAAGCATCTCGCGAGCGCTTGCGCACGCTTTGGTTACCAGATTAAAGAACGAATAATGTTGACCTAAACACCGACCATCGACTCGTTACTGGGGACAGCTCAGAAAAGGATTTCTTGTGCAGTGCGCTTATTCCCAGCGCCAGCTCACTGCGAGGATACAAAACATAAGCACGGTTTTTAACATTTGATTTTACAAATTGACATTTCTGAATACAACCAATCTTCCAAGAAGCGAATTGGAACTGTTTTTTTTTTTAAGTATTTCCCCGCGATGTCCATACAAAGTCATAGATGAAGCTGAAGGAGCATATACTTGCATCCATTGTGATGGCGACCAACTACGTCGTGAACACGGAAGCAACTTATTGAATTCCATATAGTTGTTTGGTTACCAGCCTATGACCAGCACTCGTTCCGTATCAAGCACTGGGACTGGCTCCGGTTTGCGGGCATGCAGAGCACGGCTAACCATAGACAAGCACAACTACATGCGTGCTGTTGTACACTAACGGAGTACTACTTACTTAAGGCACAGAGACCGTACTTTTGCGCGGCACTTTCCAGGCTGAATCCAAATTGTTGCTTCGTTCTTGTCGTGCCTCGCGTCTTTTGCGGACTGTCGTTCTTCCGCACTCTCTCCAGTGTCTTGGTTTTCTTCGAAATAAAACACATCAAACTTCTAACAGCTGCTGCTTTAGCCTCAGAGAAGAAGCTCGCTCCCGTAGCTTCATTTCGTTGGGAGGCGCTTGGTGGTACTAGTGGTGGAGCCACAGAAATTGTGCTGGTTGCGGTCGCGGTTGTGATTTCCTTTCGGGATAAGGAGGGCAGGACGGGCTACAGCGAAGATTTCGGGCATGGGTACAACTCTGGTGTGGAGGCGGTTCCGGCTGCGGGGCGATGTGTAGTGCGTAGAACGGCCAGAAGCATAGAGAAGAAGATGAAGAACTGGTGTCGTGTCAATGAATACAACTACAGCCAGCCCTTCGACTCCCTGCCTATCATGACAAAGAAGCCCATGCTGCCAATCATGATGTATTTGAGCCAGGGGTAATCGTTCAGCTATCAAATGCAAAAATGTCCGGGTCTGGAAGATTGCGAGATTTGTCATGCTGATCTGGCATGGCCCTTAAATCTGTATTGCGTGGCCACAAACAGCCTCTCTCGCCTGTCATCATCATCATCATCATTGAGACGAACCCCCTGTGGTCGTCCTCACGGTGTCGTCTTGGCCCTAGGCTGTTTCGGACAGATGTTGGTTGTGTCCGGCAAGAGGACGGCCCTGCCCGGACAAATGTTGGTAATGTCCAGCGAGAGCGCTGCCGTGGCCCGTTTTCTGCCGGTTTTTGGCTTTCGCCAGGAATACCCGCAACACCACCCGTGGATAGTGAAACCCATGGCAGGCTTTCGCCAGGCGGTTCCGAGGAGGCCTTCCTCTTGGCACAATGTCGGTTAGATACCAAATTGCACCCCCCGGAAGCGAATGGTGAGCCGATCCAAAGTTGGTGCAAAGCACAGGTGGGATCATGGGCTCGGGAGAGTAGTTGGGTCATGCGAAATATGCAAAAACGCAGTTTCTCATGCGGAATATGCAGCACAGAAGCACGAAGCAACTTGTCATGCTTGGCGGCGCATTTTTACAGTGCATTTGTATATTGACTGACTTGCGTCACGAGTTTCCAGACCCAGACATTTTTGCAATCCATATCAGCAGTATTGTGATCATTCCCACGTACGGCAGAAACCCGAAAGCGCGGCCCATTACCTCCTTCCGGGAGATGAAATTCTGCTTGCTCATGTAGAGACCATATGGATTGCAAAAGTGTCTGGGTCTGGTGGAAGATTTCTAGATTTGTCATGCAGTTTTTCTATTTACTCATAAGCTCTAGAATGCAGCACCTAGCATGACAAATTCTGTGATCCCTCTATCATGCCCGTCCCGCATGAGAAATTGAATTCCCTCTCAACTTGGTAAAAAAGCACGGCTGTTGGTAATCACGCAACACATCATCATCATCATGTAGTGGACACCCGCACCCAGCGCCACAGGTCAAGGATCCCCTCCCCGGGGGGTGGGCGAGGAAGCACTTTCGGCGACCTCATCATACAAAAGCCGAGCGCTACCACGGCAAGTCGCCCCAAGAAAAGTACCGACCAGTCGGGAGCTACCCACCACACCTGATCAGCACAGCCCGGCCAGCTAGCCGAGCGCGACAGCCCAACATACATAACGATCCAGGACCCGACCCATTTTACGCCATACGTTTTTGTTTCCACGGAAGAGACGACGTACCCCTTTGGGTTAAGGGGCGAGACTCTCCCCTAAGCCGCAACCCCGCCCGGACAGGGGAGGCTGGACCGTTTGCGCCTTACCTGCGGCACGGGCGAACAGGGCAAACGCATGACAAGATTTTCTGCATGATGCAGATTTAGCATGACAAGTTGTGACCTTCCAGACCCAGACATTTTTACATTTGATAGACCCCGATCGTCTACCTGGTTGTTGTCGCCTTTGGTCAAAATTATCCTATGCAAAAACGTCCCCACCCCAGAGTTGTCATGTAGATCTGCAAGCACAAGAGCGTTAGTAATGCGCATCCCCATGAGAGGCATTTCCCATCGTGTTTTGGAACTTGTAATCCTGTAAACAGGATGAGCAGATGGATTTGTTATGCGGCTTCCCTTGCAACACTGCACAACTACACTACAGCCTGCAATTTGTCATGCGTGGTTGCCAAAGCTTCAAGATTTGTGTTGCAAAATTCCCAACTTGACTCTGGGCTGGGGACGTTTTTACAAATGATAAAAATCGCGTACTCCTCTGTCTTCCAGCATCGCACGAAAAAACTCTAGTTTCACCGGGAACAGGGCATTGGCATTGCTCACTTTGCCCGAAATACAAATAAATATGCTTCTTTTTGGCACCGCAGAAACAGATTCGGTATCAGCTCGCAAGACAAAAGTCATTTAGCGCATTGTTCCTATGCTGCGGAACCGCAACGAGACAAATGTATCGGCTTCAGCCCCATGCTTTTGCACGCTCTAGAAAACAGATTAACAACCTTTTCCTTTTTTAGCATTAGCGTGGTCCTTCTGCTGCATCAAAATTTGTTTTTGTGCGGGTAAAATTTCACAGTAAAAGAGTTTTTTCCTGGGATATCCGGTTCTTGTGGGCGTTCACTATCCCTGTTTGATGTTTTTTGTTTGTTGTTTACCATCATCCCTCATAGAGCGCTGCACTTCTTCGTCGCAAAGCATAGGAAAGACAGCTGCTCAACACATAGCCGACACTGGGTTACGTCGTGGCCCGGGGCACGACCTGCTGGTCCTCGTACTACCGAGTGGGGAAAGCGCGAAAAATTAGTTTCAACAGTCCGTCTCGGGTTGGAGCTCGTTGCACTTTATCTTTATCTTTAATAATGCTGTGCTAATTACAAATACTTATCAGGGTTTGATTTTTGCTAGCGAAAAATCAAAAATGCGGAGAAAAATTTATTAATAAGAGGTACTGTGAACAATGGGTATTCCGCGTCCCTCAACTTGAAAAACGATGACGTCGCCGGGTACAAACCGCTCTTCTCTCCACATATTCAGGATCAAGATGTCCCCTCGGTAGAATCCCGGCTCCATGCTCCCGGAAAGCACCACGACCACCGGCGACTCGCTACCAGTCATCAAGCTCAACCCGCGCCAGAGCATCAGCGCCGTAAAGATGATACCTATTTTTTTTCGGAAAAGAAAAGGGCTGCGCGTTCGATCATCGATCCTGTAGTCCTATCCTCGTCCTCGCCTGCAACTCGAAGAACGAGCAAGTCAGGTCCTCGATTTCTCAGTAGGTGCAGCCTCCATCCGAGGCCAGCATTGATGAAGAATACTGAACGAGGGCAAGAGTTGGTTCTTCGCACCACCTAAAAGTTTTTCTTCTTCGTGCTACGTATCCACATGATTGGCATCACAAATTAATATCAACAAAAAACATCAACATCAAACAATATGAATTACATGCGAGGTTGAGCAGCTGCACGAAGAGGGCTATCCTTCAGGAAAAAGCTAGCATAGCATTGTTGATTTTTGTGTAGTAGTTCTTTGAAAAGCTACAACTGCGCAAAAATCCGCCTTGCGTGACATGGGGAGCACAGCTTCTCTCGGCCACACTTTTCACGTATCATTTCTCGTGTCTTTTTTTTCCAGTCTATGCATTCGTTGGAGCTTGGTCGTTGCGTTGCTGCAACCATCTATGCTAGTCATTTCCTGTAGGATAGAGGCTCTGGGTCTCTTGAGGAGTATGGCGAACTCACTCATATACCCGCCAACTGCTTCGGTCAAATAGGCCAACATGGCGCTTCTAGTTGCTGCCTATGCATTGCAAATATGTCTTGTCTGCCTGGATGTCTTGTGCATTATTGAAGTATGTGAAGATCTATCGAGGCAGTAGCTCTCGTCCGAGACAATAAGCCTATCGGTATGAGTCTACCTTTCACAAAAAGCAAGAAAAGAATAGCGGCCCGGACCCACTTTCTATCTTGTCAACCGATACCGCAATAAAGGCCAGCACGTCTTTCTCATGCAAGATGGGCAACAACAACATGAAATCGTAAATGACATCAGCCTGTAATGCGTACTTCACATGCCTTTCAGACGGCTGTCGCCGGTGGTCCAGAACCAGACTCTCGTCTGAGTCGCTTTTTTATAGTAAATCTAAGCTGCCCGGACGAAGTAGACATAGTCGCTGTTGATACTGCCGCACCAATGCCGCTTGAAGATGTGTGTCTTTTTAGTGCCCGCTTGTTCTTTCCCAAGCACTGCCGCAGTTGCTCTTCGACAAGTTGAAAGAACTTCTTTATAGAATTAATCGTGTAGAATATGTTGTAACGTGTCAAATCTGTACTTACTATACGTAGTCGCTGAAAGTGTCGAATGCGTTGTGATGCTGGAGTTCTCGCTATGTATCTATACTGACAGGTTAGGCAGCACTTCTACTTTTTACGCGTATTTGTGAGTGCAGCATGTCTCCACGATAGAGCTTTACTTCGGAATGTCTCGAGTCCTTCCCTTGCGTAATATGGAGTCAGCTTTTCTACTAGTAAAAAGATATCAATATCTTCGGCTAGACACCTGCGAAAATCGATGATCGATAGATGGTTTCTTTGGTGCGTGTGTTGCTCCACGGAGTGGGGGCCAGGGCCAGACTACTGGCACAGTACAAACACTTCCTCGATACAACCCGGTGACGTGTCGACTGCGTGCATGACTCAGCTTTATTTGAGTGCTCGACTCCGTGCTCGAAATAAACTTGCACCTTTACTATTTTTCCTGCGATACACGACATACAAGTCCCAAGAATCCAGCTTCCAAGCTTAGCATATACAAGGTGTAATCCGTACCCATTTTCCAACTCCCACAGCTTGTCGTTGGTAGTTCCCAACCCCTGGCCCAGATATACGGATGAAAATCAACAACCACCGTTGGCATTTTCCAGCGCCAACTTTGCAACTTTTGGCGCACGGCCTTCCTTGATGAAGATCCACGGCGTGCTTCATCCTGTTACGACCCACGCCGGCGCCCTTGTCTTTTTTTTCAAAAAGGAAAGTCCAACAGAGGAACCTGACTTGAAAAGGCTTGCATGGGTTGGAAAACCTGAAAAGGCTGACTGGAATTCGAAGTCTGGATAGAATTCGAAGGTGCGCACAGCCCGCGACGGTCCGAGAAACGAAAAAAAATCGGGAGTCTCGGGTGTATTAAAGGACGAGCAACCTCCTTTAACCAGGTGGCTCGTGTTTCACGGCGCCATCTTTTCAAGTTTGGGCATGTTTGAAACTTGAAACGAGGCGGATGAATAAAGCATCGTTTCCAATCTCAAAACCAACAGGAGATAAAGCTGCTGTGCTTTTCTGTAGCTCTTGAGATTTGAAAAGATTCTCCTGCTTCGGCATCTTTTGAAATCTTGCAACCTAAAGATCCTGCCGCGCTTCAGACTTGAAAAGTTGCCAAATGGACACCTTCGCAAATCTTAGAAGCGATGAAAGAAGAGTAAAATAAGCGCCCCCGAGCCGACAAAGATCGGCCATACCCAAGAACCAAATGAGGCGACAAAGCTCGCGGGCAAGACTCCCCGGGCCAGTTCTATTCAGAGAAAACGCTGGCAAAAAGCTGAGGCTGTCGCATTTTCAACGCGAGGGCGTTTTGACTTCGCTTCCTTGTGGGGCGATGCGCCGTGCGTTTGCAATGCATCTTTTCACATTTGTTGAATTGGCCATGGACCTGGTTCACATCTTTTGACGCGGAAAACAAAAGGATAGGTAGCAAAACAGAGAAGCCCGTGGGAATGAGCTGTCTAGGCAGTTTTGGAAGCATCTTCACACAGGAAGCAGTAGTCCGAGGGGCGAAGGGGTCCGGCACGCTTCCAACACTTTTTTTTCGAATTTCAACGCGTTGCAAATTTGAAGGGATGGGCGGGGGCGTCTTCTGCAAGTGCATACGTTCAGACTTTAACGCATCACAATATCTTTGGCTTGCGCGGCACCTCTTCTTTGTCGCTGCCGAGCACTCGCGCGTCGTGTCTTCCGAGGAAAGGACAACGCGCTACCATTTCACTGACGGCTCCAACACTCAGCCAGGATTGATGGCCAAACGCGGAACAGAGGTATACTAAGAAGGCGCAAAGGTCGTCGAAAGACCGAGTCCGTTCTATCCGGAGGGAGTCGCCTTCTTACTTTCAGATGCCGCAAGGAAAGGACGGAGCTTTTGTTTCTTGCTGCTACTGTACCATACAAAATGCGCTTCAAGAGATGCGGCACCTGAAGCAGCTTGCACTGATTATGCGAAACTTGCCGCGTTCATCGAAAAAATGATCTTTATGAAAGTAAGTTAGCGAGCTTCGCGATCAGATGAAGTTAACGTTTTATCGACAACACTCGGCCGACAAACATGAGTGGCCGCTTTGTTCGCTGCACACAGAACAATTGTGGGAAATAAAAAGAAAATCAGATCGATGGCATTGGCAACTGCGAAAAAACGCGGAAAAATAAAAATTCGAAAAATGCTGAATATCATTTTGATTTTTATTTTGCTTTTGAGCACCGGCATCGCTCCTACCGTAATACGTTTTTGCTTGCTCGCCTCCTCCTTTCCGACATGCTAGTGGAGATGGACGCTATGTATTGTTAAAGATCTGTGCATTCCTTGGAGGTGGAGGTGGTCTTTGTTCTGCATTGTAACATCAAGACAAGCTGCTCTACTCCTTGACTTCAGTTTTCAACTTCGATCAAATTCAAATCTTGTTTCACTGACTGGCTGGCAGTGGGTGGTGGTCAACGGTGGCCTCTAACTCTATCTCTACTATGATTTATCGATTATAATTATGGAACAGCCATCTGGATCCAGGAGGATATGTGTGTGCCTCCATATCTATCCAGGAGTATTCGATCATGTGTCTTGTCTGGCGCAGGGAACATTCATAAGTAACGAAAGGAGCAGCGCGCGACATGTGTAAATAGCAAACGCGGCGAAGTGAATACGCAATGTTCATCAGGCTTCTCCTGCGATAGAATTGCCGTGCCATGAAGTAGAAAGTCGCGGCCGCGCCACGGGGCCTCGGTGTTCTGGCTTTGCGAGCGTTTTCTTCTGGCGCCCCTTTGGGCGCCCGAAATCGCCGGAACGCGATGCGGCGGGCGCCTCCCACGGGCGGCCTTTTTGCTGGGTCGCCATCGTCGTTTTTTAGATCGGTGACCGATTGAGCGCCGCCGACGTGTTTCGTTCGTCGCAGAGCAGAACGGGATGGACTACGAGACTTTTGCTCAAGAAAAAAATTGCTAAGCGTGAGAAATTGCTGGCCGCTTTTGGCGCGACATGCCAAGGAAGAAAGCTGCGAGGCCCGGTAAAGCGCGCCGACGCTAGAAAGCCCCTAGACTTTTTGGCGCGTGGAATGAATTCCGACGCAGCTTCAGACCACAAAACAAGGCACCATATCTGACCCTAACCGAGAGGGGCCTGCGCATCGGTAAAAGGAAGCAAACAAAACAAAAAACGCAAGGGGCGGAGTGAAAGCTCTGCAGATGGCGGGGTGGGCTCGGGTTCTTTTTTCCCGTTTTCTTCCGCGGAAAAAGGCCGGAAAAATCGTGATAAATATCGGGCTGCATGTTGCCCAAAATGAATCGCGCGGCTGCGTATTTTCTTCCGCGGCCCCGGGCCCGTCGGTAAGGAAAATCCAGCGCGATTTCCTTGCGGCAATTTTTACGCCCTGCTCTTTTTAACGTATTATACTAGTAAAAAATACTCAGCGGCGCGCGTATCTTTTGCATTTTATGCACTATCCGCAGATGGGTCATCCTGTGGGATGAGTAATTCCTTCTGCGGAGGAGTGAAGGCGCCCGAAGCGCCCGAATCATGGAGCACCAACCCCTCTCCTTACAGAAGAAAGCAGAAGGGTCTCTGTCCGTTTATAGGCACGAGACCGCATGAACCATCCGCAGACCAGTGCAAAACGATTCATCCCCCGAGGGGGTGAACCAGGGCGGGAGGGTGGGCAAAACTAACAACAGACCCGAGGGCCGTCCTCACACACATACATCTTTCTCAGGTTCTGGCTACCGTCAACATGTCGTGCTAGGGCGGGGCCGATACATAAAATACCGCCCGCCCAGCCTCAGCCTTGGCTCACAGGCTCGCAAGACTGCTGCTGCCCGGGCATACATTTTATGCACTATCCGCAGATGGGTCATCCTGTGGGATGAATAATTCCTTCTGCGGAGGAGTGAAGGCGCCCGAATCATGGAGCACCAACCCCATCGCCGAAGGAGCGCAGCGCCGAAGCAGCCCAAAGAACCCTGCGTCGCAGGCGACCAGCAGATGAATTTGGGCACCAGAATATGCCCCATAGATGAGGACGCAACACTCCAAAGGCGACGAGGTAAAGACGAAATAGCAACCCCCGAAAACGGACTCGAAGTAGCAGAAAAGCCCAGCCAGAAATGTGACCGCCGGCACTTCCCGTTGCGCATCAGGACGCGCGCCACTTTCACTGCCCAAACAAGCCGCAACCAATCCAATGAGAGGAGGGCTCCCGGTAGACTACACCAAAGCACCCCCGTCGGGTCCTGGAGCTACTCGCCCCATGCTTGCGAGTCGGCAAAAACCAGAAACCATACCAACCCCGGCAGCCGCAAGGCTGCCGGCGGCCTCGACCTTTCCCCCCCTTGCCTTGCCGGTGTTAGGTTTAACGGATTCAAACCGCCAGTGCCACACGTGCCGACTCAGCATGAGACGAAAAGCGCCAGGACCCAGCTAGACGCCGCAGCGTCGCTGCAACAACGCCCTCATTGAAAGGGAAACAAGTCAAAGCTCTCCCAGCCAGCGCTATGATAGGAGGCCAGCAAGGAGATACGCACTCGCCGAAGCGAGGATCCAGACATCGACATGTGTCAAACTCCGCTACGGAGAGACCATCCAGGACAGACCCACTCGCCGAAGCGAGGAGCCAGACATGAGTCATCCTCCACTGCGGAGAGACCAGACAGGAAATCCTCACTCGCCGAAGCGAGGAACCAGACATGATCATCCTCCACTGCGGAGAGACCAGACCGGACAAACTCACTCGCCGAAGCGAGGAACCAGACATGAGTCATCCTCCACTGCGGAGAGACCAGACAGGACAAACTCACTCGCCGAAGCGAGGAGCCATACAGGGGCGATCCTCCACCACGGAGAGACCACACAGGACACTCACTCGCCGAAGCGAGGAACAGACAGGCGTCATCCTCCACTGCGGAGAGACCAGACAGGGATCATCCTCACCGAAGTGAGGGCAGCCCACAATCATCCTCACCGAAGTGAGGGCAGACAGGGATCATCCTCACCGAAGTGAGGGCAGCCCACGATCATCCTCACCGAAGTGAGGGCAGACAAGTATCATCCTCACCAAAGTGAGGGCATATGACATACTACCACGGCAGGGGCGTAACTCCCTGGAACCTGAGAAACTATCAAAAGCTAACAACAGACCCGGGGGCCGTCCTCACACACATACATCTTTCTCAGGTTCTGGCTACCGTCAACATGTCGTGCTAGGGCGGGGCCGATACATAAAATACCGCCCGCCCAGCCTCAGCCTTGGCTCACAGGCTCGCAAGACTGCTGCTGCCCGGGCATACATTTACTCTACCCCGCTTAATTCACCCGCGATCGAGACCCTTTTCGACCCCCCTTCCGGGGCAAAGTGAGGCCGCCCAGCCCCGGCAGCGCTCTTCGAATAAAGGGGGCACCGAGGGGGTCCGAAAGCCGGCGCCTCGTTGCGACGAGGAATAAATTGCAGAAGATGCACCTTTCTCATAAGCGCTATACATTCATAAAGGTCTCGGAGGCCGGACAGCGATCAAGAGTTTTTTATCGGAGCTTTCCCATAGGCCAGGCCCGGCAGGCCCTTTTTCGGTAGGCAGGTTGGTAGTTGGGCAGGGCGGTGCTGTGAACTAGATGAGATTGATGCTAACTGAGGCGCTTCCGCTCTCAAATTCTGCGTCTTTCTCCCAGTGCTTCTGGCTTCCTACCTACCTACCTATCTACCTACCTACCTACCAGCGCCCTTGCTTGCTTCCAATTAACCACGGCGCAGCGACTGGCGCTCGGCTGTCTACCAAACCTATCTCCTAGGACGTCTGTCGTGGTGGCGCGCAGGCCACGGCCGGACGCTCTACTCGACCTACAACCTACCACCGTGGAGGAGGGCAGGTCGTGGCCCGCTGGTTTGCCCGGCCTTCCTACCTACTATCGTGGCGGCGAGCGCAGGTCACGGCCGGAACATCTGCCCGACATACCTACCGCCGTGGTGGCGCGCAGGCCGTGGCCCACTGATCTACCCGGGCGACCTACTACTGTGGGGCGCAGCGCGCGGGCCATTGGTGAGGACCTACCCGGCCTGCCTACTAATCAGGTGGCGCGCAGGTCCGGGCCGGGCGATCTGCTCGGCCTACCTCCAACCAACCCCCACCATGGTGGCGCGCAACCCATTACCCGCCGGCTTGCTCGGCCTGCCTACTACCGCGGTGCGTTGCGCGCAGGCCATGGCCGGGCGGTCTGCCCGGCGTGCCTACCTACCTACCTACCACCGTGGCTGGCGACGCGCAGGTCGCGGCCCGTTGATCTACCCGGCCTACCTACTACTGTGGTGGCACGCTTGTCATGGCCGAAAAATCTGCCCGACCCATCTTCGAATTTTGCCAACCGCATTACCGCAGAAAGCCGCCATGCAGTGTCATGCTGAGCTAGGTGACCCCACTGCCTACGACCCCAGCCAATTCTCGAGCATTATTTCCGGCTGAACATCTTCGCGCCACCCGCTCACTTTCCACAAGAAAAACACCCGCGAACACCGATCCACACAGACCACCGGCGAGGCACGACTCGACGCCAAGCACGCGGATAATGTGGCAAAATTTTATCCATGACAGGCAGCGCGAAAAAGGCCTTAGTATGAACACAGCACGCGCCAAAACCTTGCCCATCTGTCCTGAAAAGACAGGGAGCGGGTTCCAAGTTGGCAACGTTCCCAATTGATGATTTTTCAGTTTTTTAATTTTTTTGTATGGGGTTTTTTGCTTCTCTTGGAGTAGCAGATGTTTTGTTTTTTTTTTTTGTGCTGGGAGATTTTTTGTTTTTTTTTGTATTTGTGGGCTTTTTAAATAGTTTTGCGCTTTTTTTTGTGCTGGGAAAATTTTGCACATAATGCGACGAATCAGCGCACAGGTCAAGAAAAGCGAGTAGCGTTGATGTGAAACTATACCGCCGCTACAGCAACTGTGTGCTGACGGAAGCGCCTTGATATTGATACAGATACGTCCGACGCGGATATAAAAACTGACGCTACTGCTGTGCCGCAACAATACGGAACGTGACAAAGTCACGCCAGCTTGCCCAGGCATTTCAAGCTGGCGCCCAAAGCGAGCCCAACCCGCCGGTCCGCCATAACTAAGGGAGGTAGAAAGGCGGGCCGGCCTGCTGGCCAGCCACGCACGGGCGCGCTGCGGGGCGAGACGGGCAACACAGACTCGGGCCCGCCAGCGGATACGGCATTCCCCTGAAGCGGCCGGCCGCCCGGGAAGGGCCGGCGGGCGCCCAAAATTTGCGGTGGGCCACCCATCCAACCTCCTACCCGCCAAGAAACAAAAGTCGCGGCCGGGCGGGGGTCAGCCCGCCGGCGGGGGACCCTACATGCCGCTCGGCGCAGCACCAACGATGGGGCGGGATGGAAGGTAAAAAAGCAAAGCAAAAGGCGGTGGCGGGCCCCGTCGCTGTCTCCCATGGGGCAGCTTGCTACGCCCGGGCGCCGACGGCGAGCGGGCGTCCCCACCAGGGCAGCAACCGCAATCCGCCCAGACCGACAAAATAATTTGGGCGACCGCTGGCGGGCGCCGCCCCCCCTTCCAACAAGCGGAGCGCGGGCACAGCAAAAAGAAACTGCGACCACAAAAACAGGCGCCCAAGGGGCAAGGGGGATGCAGGCGCGCCACCTTCATCAGCGGCAGCGGGCGCGCCGCGCGCGCGGGCACAAAGCAAGGAAAGGCCCGGCTGGCCCATTCATTGCGGGGGAGGCCGGCGAGTCCCCTCGGCGCCGCGCCCGCTTTCTTGCATGCCGGGCATTACGTTTTCCTGCCGGGCGGCCAGCCGCCTTCCGCCTTGGAACAAGGCCAGCGGGCTGCACCGGGCCAACGCCCAAAGCAAAATCGGTGCCCCAGGAAGCAGGAACACACAATGCGCGCATGCTCTTCCCGCGGACTCTCCTAACCAAGAGTGGGAGCGCGCAGTCCAGCCGTCCCGATCGATGCCCAGGCCGGCGGCCCAAGAAATCCGGCGCCACTTTCGCACGCCCCCCTCCCCCCAAGAGGGCGCCCCCCGCCCTCCACCGCCTCTCTCCAACGCCACAAGAAACACAAGAGAGCCTCGGGTGGGTTGCCAGAAATCGAGCAACAGGCGGTGGCTTCTGCTATCACACCTACAGACATGGTCCCTCCACAAGACCTCCAGGCGCGCCCGCGAGTAACTTCACTATGTTAAAGAGCTCTGGCTCAATTTCATCGAGTTCAATGCTTCAAAGGCCGAAATCGATCAAATTTAGCCAGCACTTTTGTGGCTAAAGCCAGCGCGCGCGCTCGCTAAAGCCATCAGCCGGGGGGGTTAATTTTTGGCACTATGTACCTCCTTAGGCGCTGCCAATCCGCGGATAATACAGATCACAAACGCGAAGGCTTTGAAGCCTTAAGTTAAGGCTTCAAAGCCTTAAGCTAAGCTTTTGAAACCTTAACTTCTCGGATTTAATCCGAAAGACGCCAGTTTGCGAACTTCCCGGGCCCAGCCACCACAAAGAGATGGCGCGAGGCGTCTCATCGAGCCGGGGCAGGCTGCAATCGCCGCCCGGAAGCCGGTGCCGAACGATCCGGGGGGCCGCGGTCCCAGGGTTGGTCTCCGCTGGCCCGCGGCGATTGCGCGGGACATTTCGCCGAGCGGCCAAGGCTTGCCGCGGGGCGCGAGGAAGCCCCGGCACCCCCCAGGGCGCATCGGGGTGTGAAAAGACGTCGGGACACAAGCGTCGCCCGCCCGGCCTACCGGCGTGTGTGACGCGAACGAGGCACGCCCCCCCGGACCGCCAGCGCCGCTCCATACGCACGCCCGGACGGGGCCCACCCCTGTCCGACTCCACCGCGGCCAGGCAGAGGACAAGGGGGCGGCGAGGTAAAATAAACGAAGAACGGGCGCGCGCCCAAGCAATTGCGCCAACCTGCGATCGATGGCACCCCTTCCGGTCAGGGACCTCGCCAAGCGAGCCGCGCCCCCCCCAGAAACCGCAAGGGCGCGCACGCAATCATATAATGCATTGGGCCCCGGCGGGCTTGCCCCGCCCGTTGTCCCGTGGCGGCCTCGCGCCCCGGGGCCGATCGCTCGCCCGCATTGCGCGCAACAAGATACGCAAGTAATAGCTACCGCCAGCTTGCGCCCTGGTAGGTGCCCCGCCAGCTTGCGCCCATAATCGCGTCCCGCCATGCTATTGCCACCCACCGCTCGGGGGCCGAGTGGGCGGGGGCGCCTCGATGCGGCGGGCGGACACGCGGAGCCCCCCCGGCCCTTGCCTGCCAGGCTGGCCCGCCGCGGATTAATATTGTTGTGCGGCATCACCACGGCCGCGCAAAGGGCTGGGCAGGACCAGCCAAAATATGTATCTTCGGAGCCCCGGGGGCGCCGCCTGGCACCCAATCCGCCAGCGCAGGGAGTGATGGTAGCGGCGCTCCCCTCCGGCTACAGCATGAAGCTTGCCGCCCCGCCATTCCTCCGCCACATCTTGCCGCGCACGCCCCCTAGGGAAGATTCGCCCGGCCCCTGTCTGTGCCCAAGGTGCCAGACCGTGCCGGACACCAATCCGTTGGGGCCGTGCCGAAATGTTTGGGCCGGGTGGGCGCACCGGGGCCGGCAAGGTCTCCCAAGTAGCGCCACCCGGAGGAGTAGGGAACGCGCCACACCGCGGAAACACATGCCAGCCTGCCTCGCCGGCCCTTTCACATTGCTGCCGCCTACCTCTCACTGACGCACAACGCTAGGCGCGTCGTGTGAAAACAAATCCTTTTGGGCACATGTCTTCACGCTTTTCGCATCTCGGAGAGGGCCGGCAGACTTCAACCAACAATCCAAAACACTAGCGCGACGCTCCAGCAACGCCGCCCCATAACATGGAAAAACCCAACAAATAGCTTCCGAACTCTAGATTAATCCGAGACATGTATCAGATTTATCCGGAAAAATGCCGGATTTATCCGGCGAAAAGTTAATGTTTTTTATCCTTAACTTGATGTTTACTTTTTTATCTTCATTCTCCCTAAGCTTTTTGGGCGCTGCCACTCCGCGGACAATACAGATCACAAACACAACACTGCGCAACATCATAAAGGGGACATGTACAGCTGTGAGTTGAGCGTGTGTGCGTGCGTGGTGTTTTGTGTGTTTTGCGCGCGCGCACGCACACACACGTGCGCGCGCGCGCGCGTGCGTGCGCGGAGCTGCGTTTTTACGCGCACGCACACACGCGAGCTTTTTGCGTAGCTGCGAATTGCTTTTCACGAAGAGACGCTTACGATAGCTACACAACTACTCGACCTCTGCATGTGTGTCTGTCCACAAATTGAAATTCAACCTGTTTGCATCGTGCACGAAATAAACGTGCGAAAGCTTCATTGCCGACGTTGCATCCATAGGCCCTGTCGCTGAATTATTTCTGCGCCGTAGTACTCCAGCACCCTATTGGAATCGCATCGGATGAACTTATCGCAAATCTCAATCAAAAGTTCATGGCACTGCGTATTGCGTAAAGCCTAACTTAAAAGCTCTGAACTTCTTGTGCAGTGGGTCCCGGGGGATCTGCACTTGCAGTAACTTCTTGTCGGTAGAAAAACAAACATCAAAAAACTGTGACCACAAGATTTCAATTATCCGATACAATTTCGAGTCTGAAAATCAACTTCGAGTTTGAGAATCAGCTTCGAGCTTGAGAATCACGCTCGAGCTTGGGCATCAGCCTCGCGCTTGAGTTTCGGAATCAGCTTCGCGCTTGAGTTTCGGAATCAGGTTCGCGCTTGGCTTTCGGACTCGAGTTGGAACATGAGTTTCAGGGCTTTTAGCTTTAGATAGGTGGCGATTGGCGTTGCCTCTTACCCCAACCCTCGATAGACGGACGCGGGTTTACATCTTTTCGCGAACTGGCACACGACTAGGAGGGGGCAGTGTGGACGCCTCTCTGGCGTTTTGATCGCCGGGGCCGAGTTTGATCGCCGGGGCCGGGATCATCGCCGGGACGGGGATCATCGCCGGGAAGGGGATCATCGCCGGGACCGGGGTCGCCGGCCCTCCAGCGCTTGCGCTACGGCAATCGATCAAAACTGGCGGCCCGACGGACTGGGCCCGGGGCGACTGGCATGGGCGCGCGAGCGCAGGGGCGGCCAGATTGGGCGCCCGCGGCGGGGCCGGGGCGGCCAGATTGGGCGCGCCGGAGCTGGGGCGACCAGACTGGGCGCGCCGAAGCCGGGACGGCCAGACTGGAAACGCCGGGGCCGGGGCGACCAATCTGGGCGCGCCGGAACCGGGACGGCCACATCGGACGCGTCGGAGCCGGGGCGAGCAGATTGGGCGCGCCGGAAATGGAGCGACCAATCTGGGCGCGCCAGAGCCCAGACGACCACGCTGGGCGTGCCGGCACCGCGACGATCGGATTGGGAGCGCCGGCGCTTTTGGGGCCGGCGCTTTTTTCTTTTTGCTTTGTTATCTAGAACTTGCATACTGGCGTTTGAATTTCCACCTCTAGTGCCTACTTACAGGCGAAGCTGGCGTTGCTAGTTACTTACGCTTCAAAACTTTTGAAAAATCACAGAACAAAACAAAAAACATCTGCCGAAGCCGATCCAAGAGAGACCGCGTTAACTGAAATCGTCCGGCTCGGAAGCGGGTGGGGAGAACTCATCTCCGCCGATGGCATGCTTGCTTTGGTCTTCGCCATCGCTAAATTCGGCCAGCGCGTCCAATTCGAGGCTCTCGGTGTCGACAGCTCCCAGCGCGGTGGGGACTCCCGCGCTTTCCATCTTGTCATCCTCGCGACCACTGACTCCGGGTGCTCCCGCAGCTGTTGAAATCTCGGGCAGGCGGCTGGGATCGGACACAACGACGAAGCTACTCAGCTCCGTTATTGTGTGCATTCGTGCGAATTTCTCCAGCATCGCGGCCATCTCCTTGAGCTTTTTCGGGAATTCTTTCTTCAGAATCTTTTTCACTTCGTCTTTGATTGTCTCTTCGTCACTTGTCACCGCACGTGCGAACCTCTTCAGAATTTTCTCCACCTCGACAACGGCCTCCGAATACAGACCTTTTGTTTTCGCTGATGATGATGATGATGATGATGATGATCGTGAGAATGGTAATCGAGAACTCAACGGCTCGGGCAACCAGTTTGTCTTTCTGCTTCTCATTTTTCCTTGTTTTGCTGTCTGCTGGGCCTCCGCCTCGGCCGCGTTGACCACCGCCTTTTCTACCGCGTTGACCGCCTCTTCTACCGCTTTTACTGCCGCGTCGGGTGTTTCGACGGCTTCTTTGAGACAATCACGAACGGCCTTCTTGACGGCGTTCACGGCAGCGGGGAGCTGTGCAATCGCATGCGGATGCAGACCAAATAAATCACGAATCGTCTTCATAATACCAGTCGCCTTCTTGGGTGTGCTATACTCCTGGAACTGTTGGGCAATACCGTCAGCAAGAGGCCCCACAACGAGCTCCACCAGGGCCTCCTTGAGGGTAGAAAAAAAATCCATCACCGCACTACCGACGAAGTGCTCAAAAATAGCCTTTCCGTGTTCCTCGAACTTCTTAGCCACGTCCTTGAGAAAGTCGTCTAAAGAGAAACTGCTGTGCTGTAAGACATGCGTCTTCAGAATATTTGCGAAGACCTCGACCTTATCGCTGTCGAACAGGGTATCCCCATGGTGTCCGCCGCCCTTCTCGCCTTTCTTCTGGTATTCTAAAAGTGCAGAACCGTCCGCCGTGTTGTTAACGGTGTCTGTCGTAACTAGAAAAGCTGAGCTGGTCGCGGGTTTCGCCACTGCCGATCCGGAGCCCGTGAACGCGTTTTTGAGCCTCTTTTCGGTAGCGCACTTCTTGAATACAGAGAAAACGTTTTCTTCCGTGAATAGCGTGTCCTCCGCAACTCGTTTGAGAAATTCATTTACCCCCGGAATTTCCAGGATAGCATTTTTAGCATGCTCTTTAGCATTTTTTTCCGTCAAGGATTGCGCCTCAACTGCGACATGTTCTATCAACAAGGCCGCTTTCCCTTTCGTTTCTGAGCCGCCTTCCTTCTCATTCATCTCTCCGAAAATTCCAGCAGTAAGCAGCTTTTTCGCCACCTCGCCGATAACATGATGGAAGACGGGTCCCATAGCTTCGAAAAGCACTCCAAGCACAGGCACGTGCTTCATTTCAAACGTAACTAGTTTGAAAAGCCCATACAGGCCGTCTCTGACTTCTCTGGTCAGCATGAGAGCAAAAGAATGGCCGGCGTCGATCACATGTCCGGGAACCTTATCTACAACGTGTTTTCTTAGGGATTCGGCTGTACTTCTTGCTTGTTCTTCTTCTCCCGTCATCGACGCTTTCCTCCACGCTTCTAGTGCAGCCAGCGCCTCGGCGCCTTTGTTTTCTTTTCGTGCTTTTTTTTCTTTCCCATCCTTGATCTTTCGAGCCAAAGTCGGCAGTATTTCCTGGTGGTGGTCTGCGTCAAATTTCTGTAGTTTCTTCGTCAGCTCTCGTGCTATATTGATTTCCACCTGTTGCACTTTCTTACTGGTCTCGAGATACGTCTCCAACTCCTTCTCCAGCAATTTGGGCACATCTTCGAGACCTCGCGCGATCGGGCTCGCAACAATAGAGTGACAGACCCGCTGCACCAGCGGAAACGGTATCTCGACGACAAGTAATCCAGCCTCGATCACTCCCACAAGTGTGGTGCACATGTCGTCGAAAAACATCTCGGTGTCCGCCAGTACCGACGCCCACATAGTCTCCAGGAAGATACTCCGCATCCTCGACAGAAGGAACTTCACAACCTGGGGCGCAACGTTTTCTACCAGAAAGTCATTCACAGTCTGCACGTCCTTATTGGAGTCGGGAAAGCTGAAACGCTTCACAGATTGCTGCAGCCGTTGCAACTCATTTCCCACCTTCTGGGACAGCGACTCGTGTGCGTCTTTCTCGAACAAGGCGTAGTAAATTTTCTTCCAAGACATGACTGCGATGCCATGAAAAAATTCCTTCGCAAGCGGCTTCACATCCTCCTCGATCACCTTTCCAAAATTGTTGTAAAATTTTTCCGTTAGTAGACTCAGCTCTTGCCCTTCGATCGGAGGCAGCAGCTGCGAGAACATATGCTCGACGACAGAACCGACTTCATTCTGCAGTGTCTTCTTGGCTATCTTTGCAAACATATCCACGTAGCCGCCGCCTGAAGCTAGGTGCCATATACTGTGCATGAGATGGTCGGTCTTTTCGATGAAATTCCGAACCTTGGGGTGCGCGATCAGCAGTTCCTCCATTTTACTGAGCAAAGGCTGCTTTATTTTATCTGTAAAGTCCCGAAGCTTCTCCGTCAAGTCGTGAAACATCTCGAACGTTTCTTCGGCGGCCGACTCTCCTTTTGCTTTGACCGTTTCGGCGACCTCCGAAAGTCGGTCTTCAAATTTTTTAAAGGTTTTCTCTAAGTCGTGTTTTTTTTCTTCGCCATACTTGTGAAATTCTTGCATGTGTGTTCTTGTTTCTTGTGTCCCGGCTTCCAGAAGCTTCTGCTCGAATTTGAAAAGCTTTTTAAACTGGTCCTCCAAATGGTGGTCCCACTCCATTGAACCATGAAGGTAATCTTTTTTGTGTTGTTTCCAAGCTGTCATAACTTCTCGAAAATGGCCATGCTGCGCTGCATGGGCCGCACGTTTCAACCACTGACGAGCCCGGTATCCTTTATGTGTAAACATGTGGGAAAACGAGCGCACGCTGAGACGAGTCTGTAGTGCAGACACACCCACATCCACAGCGACGAGGGGGGGGGGGGACCTGCGTGACGTCATCTGGCGTATGTCATACACCAGTGGCAAACTCGCGTTCGGCATCATCGCCCCAGGGGTACTCGACGAAGGTGGTCCAGCTCCTCCTCTCTCCTCTCCAGCAGAATAACGGCCAGCTCCGGGGCGCATTTTCTCAACATCCACGTTCTGCAACGCCGATACGCGGCCCACACTGGAACCCGCACGGCTGCCGCTGTCATCACTTCCCAATAGGAAAGGTAGTGACGACAGCACATCTCCGAAAGTTGCGCTGATGACGAACAGTCGCTTACACGCGGCGCTGAAGGCTGCGGCTTCCTCCCTTCTTGGCCTCTGCCACCGTGGTGGCCCACCGGAGGAATACATCTTTGGCGCGCGAGCGAGACGGCCGGCGGCACAGAATGCAGCTGATACTCTACGGGACTGACATGAGTGCTTGCAGATGCTCGATCGTAAGCGGCGGTAGAAGTGATCACTTCGCTATCTAGTGGCCAAATCAGCTAGCTCGCTGATAGCAAATTCCGCACAGAGGCTCACACTAGGTGCCAAACATCAAAGCCGCCGGGGCGGAGGTAGTGGGATCGCTGCGGCCTTCTTGCCTCTGCCGTGGCCGCGGGCCCGCCCCCATTTTGCTTTTTGCAGGCTTGCCGAGGCCCCACCCCTTCGTGCAGTTCAGCCACACGGGGCGGCGGCCAATGGAAGCCCGCCACGGAGTTTGGCGAATCTCGAAAATGCCCTGCCGGAAACCAGCCCCAATGGTATCACGCCACGCCGGGCGCATCCGGGCGCGCCCCAAACGAAAGGCATCACCGGGCCCGAAGCATGCGGGCTGGCTTCATGGTTCTGGTGCGCTTTTTCTTATATTTTGCGTCACCCTTTTTTGCAGCGGGCCACCTTTGCAAGGCTTGCCACGATGTATCAGAATCCGGCGCAAAGGCGGCCGCCTTCGCAACCCCCGAAGTGGTCCGAAATCCATCGCGGCCCCCGCGCCATGCAATTCCGATGACCTACTCCTGTGCGCGTTTTTCGTCTGGACGTCCTTTTGGGCGCCCCAATCAGTTCGCCACATTGCAAGGCGGCACGCGCTTCAGAGGGGGGCCACTTTTGCCGGCTCGCCATCGTACGTTGAAACTGCCAGTGGCTTTCGATGGCGCATTATCGTAAGAAAAAAACCCCCCTCCCCATATTGACAGTGGGAGTTTTCGAAAATTTGCGTCGCTGATTTGCGGCCACAAATGAAATCAAGTGTGTCTTGCAAGAAGGAAACCCCACAGGCTCCGCCGCATTACGCAGGCGGTTTGCCATGCTGTTGGGCCTACAGCGCGGACGTTTTTCATGATAGGCGCCTAGGCCAAAACCTCGCTGCTCACGCAAACTATGGGCCTGCAGTCCTCTCCAACAATCTGTGTACACAGATCCAGCATCAGAAACTTCGTTTCGATATGGGGGGGGAGAGTTTTCCTCTTGATACACATCCGCGCGATTCAACGGCAGCAAATCCAGCGGAGCGCTAAACTTGGCGGTCGCTTCCTTATGGCGCCTTACTGTAAGAAAGCTGCAAGGGTACGGCCGTTCGGTCATTGCCTATCATCTACAACACAGGAAGGTCGCGCCCGGAGGGCGATATTAGTAGCCGAAAGCGTGCGAGCCACGCACCCCAGTCAGCGCAAAGGCTACCGCGCATCCACTGACCTCCTGGCTAGAGGACGAGAGCGCGGCCCCCGTGGGCACCAAGCGTGGAGGGCCGCGGTCCAACACTGCATCCCACTTCGGGCCGCGCTCTCATCCCCTGACCAGGAAGCAAGGGCGCGCAAAGGGGCACCCTTTTCAGGACGCCGGCTGCCGCCGTGCGTGGTGTCCTGTTACTCGCGTGACGGGAGCACGCTTTGCGCAGCGGGCGGGTGCCGTTCTCACAGTAAGTGACGCAATTCCGGAAAAAAAAGAAACGAGGGCAGGCGGCCAGGCAAAAATGGAAAAGCTCCCTCACGTTGCTGTATTTTGGTGATTTCCGGGAGGCCTTTTGTGCCGCCCAAGTCGGGCATTTCCGAGCGGACGAAGAGCTCCAATTTGTGAACCTCAGAGAGGTGGGAAATAACCGTGCGGGTTGATACACATCCGCAGACCTCGCACTTGTAGTTTTTCTTTTTGCAATCCCGACGGGATGGGCCCTGTGATAATTTAAAACGCCGCCTCTGAGTGGCAATCTCCAGGCGGCGTTTGCTTTTTCAAAAAATAATTCCGCCACTTTCAGTTTCTAAGCGGCTTCAAAGCCCCGGACAAAATCCGTGTTTTTCTTGCGCCGCTTCCATGCTGCGCAAAATTGTCTTTCTTGTGCACTTTTTTTCAGTTTCTAAGCGGTCGGGCCGGCCGACGGCTGGCAGGATTTCCGATATAAGCCGCCACATACCGTCGGTCATAGCCGACAACAAAGCCAATCTTTTTCAGAATCAGACCGCGCGGAGCCGCCAAACTGCTCTTTTTGTCCTTTCCACGCTTGGCAATTGCCGCTTTTGCTGCTTTCGCAAAAAATCCGGGACCTTTTCCGGAGTCCGCTTCCTAAAGGCCGTCCACGCCTACAACTGGCCGACTTTGCGACGCCTTGCTTATCCCCGAGGCCCTCCCATGTGGCAACGGCAAAGCCTTCGCGCTGCGCTTGCGATGGATGAGGTGAGCATCTCGCAAAGAGCGCTTTGTGCGCGGAGCGCTTGCGAACGCTTTGGTTACCAGACAAACAAAGGTCCGGGCCAGAGGGACTTGACAACATAAAAACGGCGAAAAATATCAACAGCACGCAACGAGCGCGCGGGGGCGGGCCGGGCGGGCCGCTGCACTTTCCTCGGCGCACGGAGTCGCGGGCGGGCTGCGTGCGAGTTCTCATGTGGTCGTCCTTCGAGTTTTACTTTTTTTCGGCTCTCTCACTTGCAGGATTCGCACGGCCCCTCTTCGCACTCCTATGTAGCGAATACTAGATGAACAAGCTTGACCTGTACATGAGGAGCTTCGGAAGGCTAGTATAGAGATTGTTCGAATAGTGTTATCTAGCACGGGCGGTCGCTCCGCGACCGCCGGAGAGGTATGGAGTAGACAAGAAAACGATGGGCCCGATTTCCTACTAGGAAGGTTGCAGTCCTCGCGGGGAAAGGGAGGGGATTCTCCTGGGGGCGAAAACTCTACAGGCGCAGGGCTTTTAAGTGCGCCTGAGCCCCCTGGAGAAAGACAAAGGCGTGACAGCGGCCCGCCCCAGGCCCCAGGAGCAGGAGAAGCTCCGGGAAACAGAAACAACACCCGGGGCGAGCCCAACCTGGGAGGGGAAGAGCCTTCAGGGATGTTCCCAATTTGCGAGCACCCCCCCAAGTTGCGAGCCTTACGGGCGGCTGCTCGTCATTCTAGTTACCACGCCCCAAAGGCAGTCGGGCTGCTTTTGACGGGGCCCACAGGGCCGCAGCTGCGGAAACTGCGCGACAAAGAACCGGGCCGGCCAGGCAGGTGCAGCCAACACAGTGGGACTGGGCGCGCTTTGTGTGATAACCATTTAGGGCACCGAGAAAAGGCGCTTTTTTCTTTGTGCACGGCGGCGGGAGCATCCACACCAAGAGGAGGCCGCCCCCGCGCGGCAAAACGTGCCGACCCAAACAAAGCGCAAACCCCCTACCGGCACCGTGGCGGGGCCGGAGCTAGTTCGCCCGCATCTGCGGGCGCAGCAGCGCGTGCCGTGCCGCCCTCGGTCAGATAAATAAGCACTCGCCCTCCTACGGCTGCGCCTCCTTTTCCCGGGAACGAGCGCCACGCCCCGAGCTACCACAGAGGCGCGGGTTGCTCGGCGCTAGGTCCTCCACAGGGGGCAAGGGAAGCCAGCAGCGCGGGCGACCTCTGTAGCGGAAGCTCGGGGCGAACCGGCCCTCGAGGCAGTTTTCTACTAGTAAGCTTTCTCCTAGTAAGCCTCTACTAGTACGCTTACTAGTAGTTTTTTTGCTTGCTTGTTGTCCCGATAAGATTACTAGCAGCGCAGCTTACTAGTAAAATTTCCGAGTTTTCCTTACTAGTAAGATTTTACTAGTAGAAGTCGGGCCATGCGTCAATCGATTTTCTTGCCGTATAGTATATAGGAGATTGTTCGAATAAGTAATGTTAGTGGGTATGACAGTGCATGACCGTTGTCCGGAGGCCCAGGATTTTCCGCTCCTGCAGGATAAGTGCGCCACCTTTGCCAAAGTTTTCTGTTCCTTCATCCTGAGGCCAAAAGCGCAGGACATCGTCAACCAAAGGAAAAAGCAAAGCCCGAATTTGCGCTATCAAATTGGCGTAAGTGTTGTCGGGACACAGGAGACACGCGGGGGCGCCGCGCGCTTCCTTACTTTGTTCGAGTGGAGGCCGGGCCCCTGCTTCCGCGGAAGCCTCAGATGCGCGCTTCTGCACATCACCCCGCGTACTGCTGCGGAGTGCGGTTCCTGCCCGCGTGGTCTATGTGTGGGCCCGCGAAGCGGCCCCGACCCGGCTGACACAGCGCGCCCCTGCTCCACGGCCGCAAGGGCTGCCACGTGTTCGGCGTTTTGGCAGGCACTGCCCTACGGCGGGCGGACGTGGGCGAGCGCCATGGCCGGTGGCGCTTGTGCGTGCCCCCGGAGGATTGCGGGCGCCCCCCCGGGGCCGCGGGGCGGAGTGCATACAGGAGGACTCCCCTCGGCCTTTCCGCGATCCCCCTGCTAGGGGGCCGGCCAGGGTGTGGGAACGGCTAGCAAGTTCTGCGCGGCTGCGCTGGGTGCGCGCCAATCTCACTCGGCGCATGCGCGCCGCGGGGCCCTTTTCACTTAGCGAGAGGCCCGCAGCTTCGCTCGCAAGGAGTTAGCCGGCGCGGCCCGGCCAAGGTACGGCCGCGGGGTGCGTCGGTCTGCCGACGGGCCTGGCCACTACTGCCCTGTGTTCGGTCCACCGATCTGGTCCGCGGCCCGCCCGGGCGTCGGCCTGGGGCGAACACTTGCAAGGCAGGCGCGGCCAGATGGGCAGCAACTGCGACGCTGGGCCCACAGGGCCCAGAAGGATCCCGCCGAACCGGGAGACCCACCGCTGCCGCGGGAAGGTGTCGCGGGCCATGATCGGACTCGGTGGGTCGCGCGGGCGGGCTGCTCGCACCGGCGAAGCCAACGGAGAGCCCGGTCAGATCACGAGCGGGCGCATCTCAGGCAATGGGGCGCGCCTAGCTTGGCGCAGACGGACTTGGGGCGGCTCTGTCGCTATCGAGGTAGGTGCGCGGCTTGCGCCCTCGGCGATTTTTCCCGCTGGGGCCTCGCCGACTCACGTCAGGGCTTTGGCGGCGCTGTCGCCTTTGGGGCGCGTATCCACCGCTGGCGCGTGGTACATCTTCCGACTTTTTCACACCAAGGGAGACAGGCTGCGTCGTTTACTGCGTCCGTGTCTGTTTATGCCACCGGTTGATTATATTGATCTTTCCCCGCTGCGCTTCCGGTGACCAGCCGGAAATCAAATAAAAGCCTTTTACTTCGATTCATGTTGCTACAATATCTGTAAAAATGACGCCCCAATTCGTATTCCGAAGTCCTACTCCTACTGTAACAGAATTATTATCCAGCCGACCCTATATTTGGAACGCGTTAGAACAGGGCTCCCGCACTCTGGCTTTTTGCGTGTAAGTACTTTCACCTCTCGGTCGATTGGCGCTGGTGGAAAAGGAAAAATAGGCGCGCTATTGTGCGCCCGACAGGTTCTGCACAGGCTCCGACTTCTCTGAGTACGCGTGCAGCTGCGCCTTGTGAATTTCTTTGTGCGTTGTTTTTGTACTTGATAGCATCGCGCTAGAATTGCAGCGGCTTCCAGTTTTCTTCTCGATGTAAATGAAATGAAACACTTTTCATACATCAGAAGAGAACAATCACAGTGTGAGAACGATTCCGCTCCTTTGGCCGGGCGAGAGCGACGCAGCTGTCGTATTCATCCATTTTCTTCCATGCGGTCTTCTACGAACAGGACTTTTCGAGTTATGCCCGGAGCTGTCCGCCCTTGCGACGTGCGAGGTGATGAGTTTTCGAATTATTATCCCCGGAGCTGTCCGCCCTTGCGACGTGCGAGGTGATCCAGGCGCTTGGTGAGAAGAGCGATAAAGGTCGAAGTGACGCCGAGGCCGCAAAGGATGAAAACAACCGTAAAGCACTTACTGGCAACTGTGGTCGGCTATCAAATGTAAAAATGTCTGGGTCTGGAGAATACAAACTTGTGATGCGCATTTCAGAGCACAGAAAAATCTCTCATGCATAGGCAGCAAAAGTGCCCACTTTGTGTCACCAAAATGGGGGATTTGTCATGCGGATTCGGCATTGCAAACGCTTCTCGAAACCTGTGATGCTAGAGCTTCCATGCCAGACCTTCTGCGTCATGCAAAAACAGCATGACTCTTCCAGGCCCAGACATTTTTACATTTGATATCGGCGCAAAGTCACCGAAACCGACTGTCAGCAGCGTACAGGCGGCGAAGTAGAGCCCCTCAATCCAAGTCCAATTCTTCTGGAAGTGGAAACTGTAGGCGGAAGCCGCCATCACTGCACGCAAAATCATGCAGAAAAGTCCCGATAAATATGCCACTTCAGCATCACGACCATGAGAGAGGACATAGAAGAAGTTGCGCCTTGCGAACATTGCAGACCGAGTGTTGCGTGCAGAGGACCTCGGTCCGGACACTAGATTAAGTAAAAGTATACTTGGGCTTGGCGTCGCGTGAGGGCGAGCGCGAACTAATAAACCGGGCGGCAAATTATAACACTCGATATCGGTTCTCGTGGAGCACGAGCATTTTCTTTACCCGGTGTTCTCGACAAATGTGCAATCATTATCATGCCAGACGAGATTTTGTGCATGATACAGAGCACGAACAGGAAGCACGAAAACGCGAGCCTCTGCGCCTCTCGAGTGTCCTGTGGCATCGGAGCAAGAGCACTGGGATGTTGGAGCGTAGAAGCGCCATCGTAAGTCATCGACTGCCCTTCCGAGGAGTAAAACTCAAAAAACCGAAAAAACCGATCGCGGTCACTCCTTGATGCGAGCGCGGGTGCCGCAGAGAGTCCCCGCTGCTCCTGCCCGGGTAACCCCGGCGGTGCACCGGCAGGACTGTGGGCCCCGCTACGAGAACTCTGCTCGTGTGATCCCGCTTCTTGTTTCGCGAAAAATAGCATCAGCGACCAACGACTCAATAAGATGAGCAGGTACCCCATCAGCGGGATGGACACGACGCCAAAAAGCATGGTAAAAACTTTTCCCGCGTCAGTCACGGGGTGCACATTCCCGTAGCCCACACTGGTGGCGAAGGTAATCACGAAGAACAGACTCCCAAACCACGTCCACTTCCGCTGGTCTTCCAATTCGTTTCCATTCTGCTGGAAGAAAGCCTGCAGTATATCGAAAGGAAAAATCCCCCCTCCCCATATCAAAACGGAAATCTGCATGCAGATTTGTTGTCACAAATCAGCTTTGTCATGCAGCTACACGGGAAAAGATGCGGACTGTAGTGCTCGGTGGCGTGGGGAAGCCTTGCATCTTCAGCATGATAGGAGGCAGCTGAGAGTGGGAAACAGCATGACAAATTTTTTTTTTTTATACTAGAACGACTATAAACCGTAATAAAAGAGTAGTAGATCAGCTCCTGTTTATTGGAATTTGAGAAAGTCAAGACGCTGTTCCGCTTCTCCTCCACTGCAGTTTAACGATTCCAGCATGCGCTTCCAGACTTGCACCACAGCACCGGGAGCCCTATCCAGTGTAGTTTTAGCAAGCCGAGGCTCCTCTTCCTCGTAGTCCGCTTTCACGTCCTCCTTCCACGCTCGGGACGACATAGCCAGAGTGCCCCCCTTCCTGCTGCGCAAGGAAAGCGAACACTCAAGAGGCGAATGAAGTACCTTGGTGGAATCCCCACTGCCTCTGCATGTCGTTGCGGCTATGCCTCTGTACCTTTTTCTCTCCTGTGCTCTGAGGTCCAAGCTGACTAGCCGAAAAGGGAAAGACAAGGCAGGCATCATCATCAGCGAGGAGCAACAGTAGCTGAAAAACGAAGTGAGAGCTGTCATGACAAGTAAAGAGCACTCGTCGTCGCAGTCTGTCATCTGAAAGCTTTCCATAGATCCAAAATCTTGATAGAGGAGACGGATATTAGACCCAGAAAATGCATGCAAACAGATAAACATATGACAGCTCTCACTTGTTTTTCGTCCGTGTAGCCATTTTTCGTTGGGGAAAAAGATAAATTTTGGCGCTTTACTCTTATATAATTGCGCAATCTAATCTTACCCTTACTTCACTTTACTTTCCTTACTTTTGCATGCAAACTTCTCTTTCTATTTTTTGTTTTTTGGAAAGGATTGAGGTCATCAGGGGCATCCGGGGTGGTGTGTCATCAATGCGCCAAGAAGCAGCAACACCACTTCCCTTCATTTGCCCCCGTTGTTGACGTATCTGCTTCAGATAGTTTTTGTTTTTAGTCAATCGAACCAGAGGCGCTAACGCAGGTAACCACGATACGCAAACAGGTGTCCATTCAAATTCTTCATCCTCTTTCACTATCTCATACGATCTCGAATACATGCATGACAAATTGCCTGCAAACGAGGCCACGAGTGCGGCTCTTCCTCTTGACCTTCTAGCATGACAAGTCGACTTGCGACCTCAAATACAGCATCACAAATTTCGTTTTCGATATGGGGAGGGGGGATTTTTCCTTTCGATACAGTACCAAATCAAACTTGCGCTGATTTTTGCACAGGTCCATCTCCTTGAAAAAAGGCTCCTTGTCGCACCTATATCCAAGAAGAAATCTTCTTACTCACAGAGAAAACGAACCGACGCACAACTTTCCATTTGTTGGTAGTGAATTCGCAAGTGCTTACGCAAGTGGTTTAATATGAGCCGTGGCAGGGCTTGCTACTCCCTTCGTAATCCCATTTTACAAAGTTGAAAGGCCTCTCTATCATGCACAAGCCGAGGACATGGTGAAAAAAAAAAAGTTTCTTGAAGAAAAGTTTTTGCGTCCGCCATAGGTATCACAGAGAAAACGAACAGACGGACAACTTTCCATTTGAACTTTTGCATGTTGCATAGAGAAAACCAGTAACACTCAGACTGTTGTAGGTGGTGCACCGCCACAATTAATACAGTTGCGTCGTGCCTGTCTAGCATGGCACCGGAATCCGCGTACTTGCAGTCCATTTTACGTTCCGAAGAGTTGCGCAACTGACGCAGTTTTCTTCTTGGATAACCCATCGAAGCCGTACATGGTCTCCATTTGCTTAAACAAAAATCGGCTCTTATCCCGTGCAAAGACGTTGCCACCCCAGAGTTGTCATGCTAAAAGCTGCGCAGCAAAACTTTGCCTCTCCCTTTGCTCTATGCCGCAGATGGCTCAAACAATACGCAGGGGAGATGGATCAGGCGGACACAGAAGTGCCACCACCATCATCTCCCGGCACCTTTAGCTCAGGGTTCTTGTCATGCGGAACGGCACGCCTAAACGACTTCTCAGTCATGCGCAACCTCATGAGAGGCATTTTCTAATGCTCTCTGACGGGTCTTTGTCCTGCTCTAATGAGGATCAAGTGATGAACTTGCGACGTGGCTGCACTAGCGAAAGAAACACGATGGTTACACTGGGAACCCAGAGTTGTCACGCGCAACAGCCGAACCTTGTTACTTTATGTGGCAAAGTAGGTAGAAGTCGCTATCTACTTGACTCTGGGTTGGGGACCTTTATTCCAGAGGGTAGTTCTTTTGATACTGATATTGTGAGAAAAAGTCTTCCCTCCCAGCCTCACTGAATAAAAGGCATGCCCCTAAAAATTTGCGCTGCTGATTTGTGCCCACAAATCCTGTCACTCTTGCAAGAGGGCAAATCCAAAGAATCCGCCGACTTATGCAGGCGATTCGCAATGCTCTTGCGGCTACATGGCAGGATTCTGCTATGCTGAGCACCTACACCAAAACACCCCTAGACAGGCTTAGGCTTTGCCTGCAATGCCTGACTGCAAGACATTTGTGTACACAAATCCAGCGACAGAAGTTTCCGTTTCAATATGTTGGGGAGGGGGAATTTTTGCACTTTGATAACTGGTCCAATTCTGCCGGTCGCTCGAGGTGCGCAAAGACAGCTGCACCCGCCAGGAACCACACCCCCGCAAAGCCACAGGTGCCCAGCACGTGCCGGCTCGTCGAACATGGTGCTCCGGGCATCTTCAGTTGATCAGCGCCCCACAAGGAGAGGAAAGGATGGTAAGTACAGCTCCTCTCGCTGGTGATTCATTTATTTAAGTTCAACTTGAAACGGCGATGACTACCCCCGGGCCAACCCCTATCAAATGCAAAAATGTCTGGGTCTGGGAGATTCCGAGATTTGTCATGCAGTTTTTCCAAGCTCCCCCACGTCTGGAATGCAGGGCCTAGCATCACAGCTTCTGCAGCTCCTTGGTGATGCGTATTCTGCATGAGAAATGCCCTCTCAGCATGGCCAGAAGTGGGCACCTCTTGCGCGTTGTGCATCACAGATCTTTGTGGGATCCGAAACACGCATCACAAGTTCGGATCCTTCCAGACCCAGACATATTTGCATTTCATAACCCCGTCGCTCGAACGAAGACAAAAAGAGCCAACTCCTGTCCTCTCGCTCCTGTTTGGACTGGGGCGGCAAGGTTTTTCTCCACCTCGCAAAGATCGGAATCGCAACCGCCTCCCGCCGATCACCTTCGCTACCGCCTCGCTCTTGCCGTGTCGCTTTCGCGGGCCCACACGTGGCCCATATCGCCGCGAAAGCTGCAAAAGCGTCGCGCACAAACCTCTCTGTCGTCGCGCACAAACCTCTCTGTGGTCAGTCTTGTCTTCACTTGCTTAATCTTCTGATCGGAAACGCGATCGGGGAAGCAAGTAATATAGAGGTGGATTTAATATTTGAGTCCTTATTGGAATTTTCTCGAAAGACGTAGAGGGAATAAACCATCCGACTAAGCTGTATGATACAAATCGTTACTAGGCGTTGTTCAGCCCGCCCACACAGATATTTGTGATTCTCGGGCCCTCCGCCTTCATATTCTCGCTCCTGTTCAGCCTTTGCAATTACCTCAACCTCCGTGTCTTAATATTTATATTGCTCGTTCTAATTATATAGATCACTCTCGTTGCCCGTCCTCTTCCGCGGGTGCAGAGCACCAACAGCTACAACCTCCATGCGGCTCTGTCATGGAGTACTACAACTAAGTGCTTCGGTCTGGAAAAACGGAAAACGTCCTCCAGGTTGAAAGCCAGACAGCGAACTTCATGGTCGTTTGGTATCTATTGGTCCTCGGCCACCTTCCGCTAAAAAAACAATGTGGAGCAAGCTTCTTCGGCACTACATAAGGTGCGAAAAAGACAAACGAAGCGCTGCTTCTGTGCGCAAACACAAGAGCGCCGCCGTCGCTTCGGGCTGCTCTAGTACTGTGCACAGGCCTAGTCCAGAAACTTCAGTCATCGTCTGCAAGATTAAACTCATCTGCCTCTTAGGAGTAGAGTCAGTTCAGGTTTCGCAGTCGTATCTACTATACACTCAAAGACATATTTGCACTAAGCAGAACAATGCCCATGTGAGGACGACCAGGCATGCTTTTCTTTGGTAGCTTTTCCGTACATGATGTCTATCGCAGCGGATGAGGGTTTTTATGGGACTTGGAAGGCTCTTTTTGGGATTTGCTCGACGGGCCGTCCCTTTTTGGGAACAAATCATTAAATATTTCATTTGAACAATGGAAACAGCGACCAATCATGGCCGAAGTGTATTGCTACTGTTTCCCCGGACTTTCCCGACCGCAAAATCAATATACTTATCACAGAAATATCCAAGAACCGTTTACAAACATTGGCAATTTCCGTCGTGGTAGGCCAAGAATATCAATTTTTCATCCCAAGCGAGAGCATGACCTGGCGAGCGATGAAAGGAGTAGCTTCTACTAGGTAGGCCGCTCGACGTATGTTGCTGGCCAGGGCGTCGGCTTCTCTCCGCGCAAAATGCTTACTTTTAGGATTTTGATTTTCATACAGCTCATAATAAATTCATTACGTCTACGTGGAGTTTCTTCTATATGTAATACATCACGACGATGCCGAACAGGAGGAACAAAAGTTCCCCGCCTGAAGAAGTTTTTTTATTGCAAAATGCTATATGAAGCAAAAACGCGTGGTCCTCTTTCTGAAGGGCGGATGCTTTTCACCCTGATGCGAAGACAAGAGAGCGATATCCGCCGTGCCGGCGCCCGCATCTACTTGTAAAAATTCGCTGTCCACCTCCTTCTCATCTCATTACAGCTCTACATCGGTCTCCGCGTCGCTCGGAACGTCCTCGCTGCTGGTACTGCTCTGCTCCTGTTTTTGCTTGCGCCGCACAGTCTGCTTCGCTTTCCGCATTGGTTTTTTTTTGTCGACGGGCCGAATCTCGGTGTTGTAATACTCGAGATCGTCCGTGGATACGCCCTTGAAATAGTTGAACAGTGGCAGCTGTCCCGTGGTTGGTGCAACGCCGCCTTCCTCCTGCCTTTGTCCCTGCTGCAGGTTGTCGAAATAGAGCCGCAGATATTGCTCCATCCGCTCGTGTTCTTTCGGCGACCGAACGTAGTAGGTTTCGTGTATCGAATGTAAAAATGTCTGGGTCTGCAAGGTTGGAATTTGTGATGCTAACTTTGAATTGAAGTAGCGACGCCACCCTGACGTGCCTCGGTAGCCGATCGCTCTACCAACCGGAGGTGCTAATTACATGCTTACTTCTTCCTTCGTCGAGCACCTTCTTCGTCATACAAACCGGCTGGTGAGCAATTACCCGGACTGCCGGCCCAATTTGTGCCGGTTTTGGTGTTTTAGGGAAATACCCGCAACGCCCCCGCGGAGTTGGCGAAACCCTGATAGCGAGACGCAACCCTTGGCGGACCTGAACGACCTGAGACCATCCCCACCTTTGGATGTGTTGTCTCCCGCTTGTGCTGCACGTTCTGCTTCGAGCCGCCCAGACCCTGTGCCCCGCGGGATCTCGGTTCGCACAATGTTGGTTAGTACGCATGGGATCCTGATCGCGGACGGCGAGTTTGTAGTTGGGGGGGCTACTTCTTTTCTTGAGGGGTCGAGGTAGTGGCATACTCGGCGCACTGCGTATGTCTAAGATAAAACAGGGGTGAGCTGTTGCAGTCCCGGGGTCCTGCTGCGCTCTGCTGCTCCCAATGATCATTGCCATTTGGGGTCAAGCTACCTGTTTTGTAACCATCCACGCAGGTCGGCTCCTATTGGGTTCGTTTTCAAAAAAAAATTAGTTTTGCTCCAACTTTCCGCTACAGTGCCTACCTCTGGGGTCCTCTGTCCTACTCGTTCTGGTCCAGGGTTGAGCAAGGCCCTGGTGAAGGAAGTGATTCGTCGGAAAAAACGAATGGGATGAGCATCGCGCGCGGCCCGAGCTTGATCATTTTCTCTGTTGTAGTTTGTATCGCACCACCGCATTACACACAGCCCGCACAAATTAGAACTACCCTGCGATCGCCCCTAGCAGGGGGAACTGGCGTCGTACTAATGCCACGCCTTTCCATGGCATCACAGTCAAATAGTTTACTTATCTTGATCAGCTCGCTAGCAGGCGTCTTTCGTGCCATTTGTTTTCTGACTTCCCGCACCCCCCCCCACAGGAAATCCCCTTTCGGGAAGCAAGGACAAAAATGCAGAAGGGAACGAACAAAAGGCCATGTATTTCTGAAATGTCGCTCTTTTTCTCTGCAGCCCTCCGCGTCCTTGCTCTCGTGCTACCTCTTCGTCGCCGCGCTCGAACAGGAACATGGACGCGCTAAACTTTGGACTCTAAAAATCTGTATTGCATGATCAACAAAAGGAGTCTAGTTTGTGCGACGCGGGGAGGGCATTTGTCATGCGGAATAGGCATCAGGAGGGCCTCTACAATTCTGTTATGCTAGGTCATGCATTACAGACATCCTGGGTCATGCAAAATGTGCATGGCAAACCCGGTAGCATTCCAGACCCAGACATTTTTGCATTTGATATCGTGACCTTTATTGCAATCTAATCCGTCGTCGATGTCCACCGCATACCGGAGCCACAGATTCAGGGGCGCCCTGCGCCAATCCAGGTCTAACTCCGATATGCTGTGCAAAAACGTCGACGTCCCCACCCCAGAATTGTCTTGGTGTGAAAAAAAACGCAGCTGCACGCTTTGCCCCCCCATTGCACCGTGCCCACAGATGGCTTGACGCGCCGGGCGGGTGGGTCAGGCGGACACCGAAGTGGTCACCCGAGAGTTGTCATGCAAAGCTGCATGCTTATTTCGTTTCGCATGAGAAGCGTTTTGGTTTTGTTCTAGTGGTGGTTTAGAACGTATTGCAATGCTCGCTCCGCGCTAGATTCTAGAGCTGTGACGCTGATGAACTAGCCAAGCTACAGGGTGACGCTCCGAGGTCAAACTTTTCATGCGTACTAGCAGCCAGATGCGGTAGTTGATTTGTCTAGCAGATTTCCCATCTTGACTCTGGGGTGGGGAGTGCTTGACTTAGAATACTCAACAGCGGGACTTCAGGCTTCTTGCCTTTTCTTTTCTTTTTCGCTTTCTTGGCCTCCGGGCGATCTTGTCCCTCCGGTACTTGCGTTACGGTGATGTACGGGGCAAATTCTTTGCTGTACAGCTTCAGGAGGCGGCCGTCGTCCCGGCGGAAGGCGCGCGCTCCCTGCCTCTGCGCGTGGTGTCGCACAATCTCGAACGCCGCGATCTCGGCCAACTCTAGCGGTTCCACGCGTTGGCTCGAACTTCGATGGCGTTGTTTCAGTCGGTTCCGTTCTCGACCTGAGTCAAAACGTCCCCACCTCCCCACACTTGCCACGCCAAAGAAATTGCATACCAACGCACTTCTTTGCCTGTGCACCATGGCCGCACGCAGTAGTAGAAGATGGCTTGACGCTATTAACATGTCATTGTCAAGAACAACATGCAAATTTGCATAGTGAGGAGCAAGCTGCTTCTCATAGTGCAGCCCTCCATTTGTAGGGGCATTTTCTAAAGCGATTGAGAACCTATCATGCCCATGCGCTATCAAAAATCCGACACATAGCAAGTATAGTGGATTTGATTGTGACGCATCTGGACCAGTTACGCAGGGCTTTCAGGGCTTCACTTAAAACCCAAACGTGCCATGCGTGAAGCCCAATGAAAAGTTCTGGACTTGTCTCGCAAATATGAAATTCCTATCTTGATTGTGGGGCGGGAGCGTTTCTTTTTACCCCGGATATGCGAATTTTGTGGTTTACCTCCTCGTCCAGAAGCGTCACCTCTAGTTCGCGCCCGATTTCTGCCGGGTCTGGATATCCCTGGGGAATTACGCCCGCTCCTGTGTAGTGCCACAGCGTGTCATAAACGGCGGCGGGAAAGGACATGACATCGCCCTGCACCGGGTGGTGGTCCTGCTGCGTTGTACTATTCTTTGCCGCTTGACGGGTTTGCGGTCCTCTCGCTCGCAGAAAGGGCAGTACTTCCTTCTCGCAAACGTCTTTGTCGTACACTTCCAGCTGAGAGAACAGAAAACTCGCCGAAATCTGATAACTCGCGTGGGTGTAAAAATCGGCAGCATACTTCCGCCCGTTGGATGCCCCGCCCTCGTCCTCGAAGCTAAAGTCCTGCAGCACAGGTTGTGCAGCTTCGTTCCCGGCCTCCGAACGGAGCTGTGCCTGTCCCCCTGCTCCAGCCTCGGAAGTAGTAGGAGCGCTGGTGTTCACAAATGACGCGTGCGTGTCGTTGAAGCGCAGGGGCTCCAAGTTGCTCCGCACGTAGTGCAGGTAGGAGAAGGGTTGGAACAAGCAGTCCCCGGGCCGCAGGTGCGCGTGCTCCAGGGTCACGTTCTGCAGCTCGTATCGTGAAGAAAAATCCCCTACCCGACGCAGCTTTGTGGCCAAGAATCTTCATGTCTGTCCTGCACGAGGGCAAGTGCCGAAGAATTGTGCGCCGCATTTTTATGGTGGGGGCTCGTCATGCTGTTGGGCCTCCAGGGCAGTTGCTTCCCATGCTAAGCAAGAACTACATCCTTTTTACGCTGCTCCTACACAGGCTGAGACCACTCTGGCTGCAGTTTCTTACAGCAACACAGATCTACTGTGTACGAAAATTTAAGTCACATGAGAGCCATTGCGTTTGATACGGGGAGGATGAACCAGGGTTTTTCATTTTGATAGCTCCGGATACACGTTCAGATCCACCGAGTCGACGTCCACTGCCACCCAATCGGTCCCCCGATTGAGAAGATCCTCTTCCGTGTTGTAGTTTCCGCCACGGACCCACTGCATGGCCTTTCCGTATTTCCGTGTGTCAATCAAAAAAAAATCCTTCCATCCCCGGTAGACGCAGAAGAAAATATTCTCCTTATCGTAGTGCAGTTGAGACTTCGTCGGCCTTCCCGCAACCCACAGATTCGGCTCGAGGCTGTGGGTGAACGCGTTGTGGCCCTCCAGTGCGGACGGAAACGGATGCGGCCAAAGCTCCTTCTTGCGCGACACAGCGGAATTCACGTTTCCGATGCTTGTCCACGACTCTTCGAGAAGTTGTAGGGGGTCCTCTGCGGTCCCAGCATCTGCTCCTTGGCCGGCCGTCTTTTTTCCTCCTTGCCCCGCCTTGCGCGCGGCGTGCTTGGCCGCGGCACGGTCTTTTCGACGTTGGTTGTAGTTCCGCGAGACTTTGTGGGGGTCAATCTGCTTTTTTCTGGATCCGCACAAGAACGCCTTCGGAAGCACCGTCTCCCACATCATGCTCTGCGGCAGAATGGTCACCGCGTACATCATGTCTCGCAACTTGCCCGACGGATCGAGCAGTTCGGCAATGGTGCCGCGAAAGGCCACCACTTCCTCGTGGCTACCGCGGTTCTCTTTCTTCGGCTCCAACTTCAAGGCCACGTTCCCGAACTTCTCGACGACCATGTCCTGAGGAAATAGGATGTAGTGCCCGAACCACAGTCAAGATGAGAAGCCAGCCGGAGGACAAACACAAATCCAGCTCCAGAACTTCTACTGGAGCTCAACATGCATGACGTGGTTGTAAAAAGCAAGTTTATTCACTATGATCCAGTGTGCTGCTGGTCTTGCCCAGCTAGTCCGGCTGCGTCGCGAATCCGCTACCTTGGCCTGATTAGCCGCGCGTGACACACGCGGGGAGAGCGGGGCATCAAATAGGATTGGCATTGGATCATGGGCCGCGTGCATCAAATACGCATAACAAGTCGGCCGTGTAATTTTAGTTTAAGTTTTTGTTCTGGAAATGAAGAGCATGAGCAGGATATTAAAACGAGAAGCCTGCGGAGGTGGGTACTACGTTTCCACACAGGATAGACGTAGGCCTCATCCCAGTACGTCGCCGCCGGCGACTCCACGTCCCGCAAGAGCACAGGGACGTGCTTCTCCACGTACTCCGTCCAAAACTCGTCCGGGTTCAAGTCCTCAGCACGCACACTTCGGATGCGCTTCACGGGCTGCCCTTGAACCCCCAGCGGCTCCCGGTGTCCCTGCCGTAGAGCGGGCCGGACGTCAGTGGGAAGAGAAAGCTTCTCGCTCTCGCCTCCTGTACGCCGCACTCCGCCGTCCTCGGCATCGGCGCGACCCTGCGCTTGGCCCTGCTGCAGGAGAACGTACTTCACGAAGGCCCGCCGCTCCCGAAACAGGGCGAACCACTCCTTGGTATTCAAAAACTTGGAGTTGTCCCGATCGTAGTACTGAAACCAGCCCGGGCCGACATCCCACAGCTGCAGTTCCTGCGCGTCCGCCACGCCATCCCTGTTGCGGTCTACGAACTCACGCAAAACCCCACTGGGGTCATCCCCCGCGCCCACCTCATCCCACTTTGTCCAGCGCGGAGGTAGCTGCGCTCCACCACCGGGCGACCAGCTTCCTTGCTGCGAATTGCTCCGTCCCTCGACGTGCTCACAAGCACGTAGCGCAAGCAGGAGCACGACAATAAGCAGAGACGACGAGGAGAACAAAAGTGAGCGTGGTCCTTCACCACACCGGGAGGCGTTGCTTGCGGCACACACTAGCGCCAGCCAGCTAGCTGACATCCTGCCTCCAGGCCCGTTTTGAATTTCAATCTAGTAAGTTGTAGAAGTGATTCCTACTTTTGTCAAAGGATCACTCTGTCCTGACCGGACGAGCATTTGCGCTACCTTACAGCTTTTACTTTTGAGGTGTTCTCTTCTGTGCGGGTGCAGTCGTGCCCATACCAAAAATACACGACCTGCAAAAGATCATCAGCACACGTACCGATTTCTGAGAAGGGCCGACAACAACTGTGACCGGTTGCTAGCGTTACACCAATTGCAAAGCGCGCGGACCCGCCAGCAACAACAAGGCCATACGTAAATGTGATTTATATCATCGAGACCTCCATCAATGTGTCGCCGCGACACGTTCTGATTGACGGAGAGAAGATCCCAGTCCACTCAGCATTTGTCTCCGTACATAGCTGTGCACTAAGGCTGAAGCCATTTTTTTTTTCTGTTTATCTCCTCCCTTCCAAAATAAGGCTCAAAACGAAAACCAAACATAGCGTATCAGCCAGCACTCGGATTGCAAATGGAGCCACTTCGAGGATGGCACTCCGTCATTTGTGCGTAATTCTTGCGGTTCTTCTTCTGGCATCAGGGCCGCGAGAGTGCTTGCTACTAGAAGCATCGAGTTGAAGCATGGCCATCCGTACTAGAAGATGAGAAAACATAATGACCACATCAAGCGATCTTAGTACTTGGTACGGCTGTATGCGACCGTGCAGATATAGATACTGGGGTTTCATCGGCAGCGTGCCTTCACAGAAGACATCAGCCAACGCGAGAGTGCTGCGGACTGTCCCGCTCAGTTTTCCGTGGCAATACGGCTCATGCCTTTTCTGTCGCAGACCCCCTGACAAACAAACTGCAGCTCCGTTTTTCTAGTGTCGCACCGCTACGCCTTTTTGTACGGAAAGTCTTTGTGCCAGTAGATAGCATCACCAGTAACAAAGTCTTCATCCCGTGACCTAGAACCGCCCATCCCGGCGCCAGGATCTGGTAGGGAATAGCTCTTATCCTCCGTGAAAATGTCCACAAAACGCATCACCAAGAGGATTTGCCTGGGGTGCCGGTGCAATCGCTGCATAAGCTTTGCCTCCGAACGTCCACGTTCAACGCGACTAGTGGAAGCCTGATGTAGCTGCGAGGAGCGCCGCATAAAAAAAAAGCGTGTACTTAGACGCCAACCACGAGGCGACTCAGATTAAGGGCGCATGACAAAATTAATACAACTCTTGCTCTTCGTGTTCATCGTCCCAAGCATAGACCGTTGCGGAGAACAACAGTCTAGGTAAAAAAATCTACTTAACGATACTGTCTTTTCCGTTGTACATCAGACTGTTATCATTCACATGCCTGCACCAAAAACTCCCCCAGTTCTCATCTAGCGTTTTTTCTGGAGATTCTCTAGTAGAGAACATTTTCTCGTGGATAGCGCCAGCGCAAAAAGTGGTGGTCAACCTTTTGGACACACTCGAGCTCCACTTCTTGGCCTAGCACGAACACGGCGCATCTGGAAGGCCTGCCAATGGGCTCGTGCAGGTTCAGGAAGTGGCTGCCATTTTTGGACACGATTCCTCGAGTACTACGGAAAATTTTGCCACTGGTGACCAGATCCCGCCGGATCGCTTCGTGCACGTCTTCCGCTGCAATGCTTCGCAAGACTTCCCGCCCGGCACAGAAAAGCCGTTCCAACCGCCGCAACACAAACAGGAACTGGTCCAGCGTCAATCTCTGCAGGCCGTCGTCTGCGTGGTCGTGCTTTTGCTGTTTGCCCCTCGTCGTAGTTGTACCGCTAGTTGTAGGACCGGAGAAGAGCCTGCTGTCCTGCTCCCGTTGCGACGTTGCGTCCATTTTCTTCGCCAGACGCTTCGCACCATCCAAAGTTGCGCAGCTCCAACTACAGTCTCCCTTGCTGTTTCGTGCTTCCTCTTGGTCTCGCTCTCCGTAGTTCTCCGCAGAGGGCGGGCCCTGTTTGCTACTCTGTCTCCTCGACTCGTCCTTCAAAAGAGAAGGCCAGACTTGGACTTCTCGCCGAGGGGAGTGGCCGGCGTCCGCGACCTCCAAAAGAGCAGCAGCCTGAACACCAGCGTCGCTCTCGACATCATCCTCTTCTGATGTCAGCATATCGCTGCTCCTAGAAGATGAACAGCAGCTCGAAGCGTCTTCGGCGTCCGGGGTAGAGGAACCAACCACTTCTTTCCCCTTCTCCTTTTCGCGCAGCAGCCTGTTGCGCTCGAAATCGTAGAACCCGTCGAACACATGTCTTATCCGCGCCTTGACGCGTTGCATTTGTTGGACTGTCAGCGAACCATCAGCAAGATTTACAGGCTCCAACTCCATCAGCATGGAGTTTTCATCGCTAGTTCCGCTTCCATCCCCTCCAGCCCCGGATGCTAGGCCCTGTTCTGCTTCTGGCTGACCACGTACTGCTGGGCGGTGGGATTCGGTCGCTGTGCTCGCAAGACTTGCGTGCAGCCCGCGTACGAAGAAAAAGCAGGCCTGCGCGACCTTATCCAGGAAAAAAAGTGTGTAAGTGTAACTTTCTTTGAGAAACAGCATCACAAATTTGCTCTACATGACAGAGAAAACCTGTCATGCGTGACTTGTAAGGGAAAACACACATGAAAAAAGGACTTCATGGCTATCTGGCATGACAGGTGTAACCCTTTTGCATGTTCTGCAACACAAATTTACACTTACACAGTTTTTTTCTTGCATAGACCTCCAATTCGGTGTATTCCGAGTAAAAACATCCCCACCCCAGACTTGTCACGCAAATCTGCATGCCAAAAATATTTCTCATGCGGAGCCCCATGCGAAGCATTTCTCCGTCGTGTTTTGGAGTTTGTGTTGCAGCTCAAATCAGCACGATATGCTAGATCTGTGATGCTGCTGGAGCTAGCTAAACAGGATTACACTACGGGGCCAAATTTGTCATGCGAAACAACAGAAGCTGGTTGATTTGTCTAGCAGATTTCCCATCTTGACCCTGGTGTGGGGATGTTTTTACATAGGATACGGTGACCTCATTGCTCTGTTCCTTCAAGCGACACCGGAGCCGTTCGGCAAAGTTTCGGATGTAGTCGCTCAGGCCTTCCATGGTTCGCCAAGCTGGTGCTGGTGGCACAGGCACTGGCACACTTCTTACAAACTCCTGGAAAGATTTATTATACGTGAATCAGCAGCCGCGGTCCCTTGCCCTTCGACGGAAGTAAGTTGTCCATATACTTATGTTCCATAGTAATGTTAATGTTCGAAGGAGGAGGTGGTCGTGGTATATAATAGCATCGAGCTCACAGCCAGTACGTGGCGAGTCATGCTGTCTTCTTCATCCACCGACCTGCTGAGCGTGGCCGCTTATCCATTCCTATCGCGAACTAGACCAACATCCCTTACTTTTCACATGGGTATTTAGGGTCGCATTGAATCTTGTTCCTGCGAAGTCGGTAAATCAACGGCTCTTTATTTAGGATTTACCTGCCGGCACAACACGAACACGGCACTTATGAAAAAATATTCATCGCATCACTTTCCTCTCCACAGCGTTTCGTACTCGTTTGTTTCGATTCGGAACGCCTTTCGTTTCGATTGCCATGCCAACAGGAGCCAGGTTTTCCTTTTTTATTTTTGCCATTGCCAGCGATCGTCAAAATAAAGTTTTGTCGCCAACTATCTCCAACAGTAGAATTAGAATTGTGATCCCGGTACTTGATCTTGTCAAGATCAGGGTAGTGCAGTCGCGATCAGGCAGAATTTTACTTTTGGTCTCGGTGTCGCAGCTACCGCTACGAATCAATCCCGTAGAAATAGCATCTTCAACTAATCGTTGTAATAAATGCTCTTGACTCGTCTTTTTCGCGCACTTTGACCTAAAAGCATGGAATCGAGCCAGTGTGTCGTATTGCAACGTGTTGAGGGTGGTACTTATCAGTGTGTGCACTGTGACGAATGGCACGTCGCCCTTCATGATCATGATAGATTATGACGTTGACGACCATGTTTCGCTGCATGATAATGAAACATCCTCGTGGTTGTACCACCAGGCCTGTGATCATCTACCAGCGCCCATACATGTTCGGCCGGGAACGCCCAAAGGCCGGCCTCGTTCGGTGTTTTAGGTCTGCACGGATCGCCTTTTTGCACTGCTCCCGACCGATCCGCGGGAAGTAGCCATGCTGTGTGGGCACCAGCTCTGGCGCCTTCAGGTGGCAATTCATAAGAGGAGTTTTGCCATCACTCGCAAGTTTGATTCGCGGTTGTACTAGACGATCTTGATCGACGTCCCCAGCAGGTCGTCCTCCGCAACTACCAGTCTGGCTTGTCATGCTACGCGCAAAGAGCTCGCTGTTGTCCCATCGATTGTGGACGCCGCCTCGCTGGTCCCAGTCCAGCTTGTTGGGCAGTACCCACTGCTTCCACCGGACGTTCCGTCGCATTTCCTTTCGGTAAAAGGCCTGATCCGACTCCCCAAAGTGTTCGGTGATCCCGGCCTCCGCGTCTATTTTTCCGCGGCTTTTTCCAGCAGCCCAGAGCGCCCCGCCGATTTTTTCCGGCGAGTTCGTGCGCGGCGTTTCGTCCTGCTTAGACGTTGAGGTTGGGGGCGAGAAGACGTCAAAAGCCGCATCCTCGCGGGCCGATTCGGTCCCCGAATGCGCTCCCGTAGACCCAACGCTCGATGCGCCCGACGAAGCAGAAGAAGATGCACATGCAGTTGCACTATATAGCTCCCTCAGCTGCTACATTCTCAACAGTCGCAAACTGCTATTGCAACAGTGGGCAACTGTTACGAATAAACCCCGCAGACTTTATTTTACGATGCAAAAAGTATAGAAAGTGCATTATGTTGGTGACCACCGGTGCATTATGTACAGGTAGGGAGTTTTCTTTTTTTCAGAACAGACCGCCCCACTGCCCTCCCGATCTCGGATCTTTGGAAATGAACTCTTGCCGACTAAGCGAGAAGATGGTAAGCGAGGTCCCAGCGTCCCCCCTTTCCCTGGAGGGCAGAAACGAGGGTGGCCCTGTAAAACTAAAAAGTGAGCTGGCCTCCTATATACAAATAACGCGCATGTTGACCGGTTCAGGAAACCCTGAGTCTCACTAGACAAACCTCCAAGCAAAATTTGTACATTCATTTGCTGAACATGCTAATTAATGCAAGACGAAATCCAAGCTCGTCTTCTGTCACAGCAACAGTTGAGATTGTAACACCTGCGCAGATGATAAACAAGGCAAAGCAGTAAGTAAATTGTACAGGACGAAGACGTCGCATACGCGAGGGCACCCCGTGCGCATTGCGTAGTCTGCTGCCGTTCTGTTTTCCGCGTCCCGCGCACGGCCGTTCGCTCCCTTTTGCAAGAGGAGGCGGCAGGTGCCGTAGGACTTCTGCTGCGCCGCCAACATGAGCGGCGTTCTCCCCGAACGTGTATGGGATTGTTCCCAAGCGTTGCATTCTCAGTTGTTGCATGATTTGTCGTCCAAAATTCTCTACTTACATCATCAAGCTGCTTCGCGTGCAAAGTTCTCGACGCGGACACGCACACGCTAGATAGCATGCATTAGAATCTGCGCCAAAGAACCTGTAACGCAAAAAGCGCAATCCTCCCCCTTTGCCTTTCACTTTTGCCATTCTTGCAGTACATGTAACAGTTGAGAAAGTAACGTTTGAGAACCCCATAACGTGAATCTTTCCTGTCGAGTATCTGTTTCAGCACCTTTTTGTTGCCGAGCGTCCGTAGCAACTCATCTACTGCGGGATAATCCGCACTGGCGCACGCGTCACGAAGAGATTTTGCAAAATGTTCTATTGCAGCAAACTGGACCTTCTCGTTGTGTTGTCGACCACCCGCAACGACTTCACCACCGGGCGGAAGAGTAGATCCTGCAGCATGCCGTTCCTGCAGCGAAAGGTTTGTGTCCGCCTTCTGCGGTCGTAGACTTCGGGACGGAGCTCGTCCTCCCGTTCTTTCCTCCAAAACGGTAGTGCCCCAAGTGCGAGTATGCGTGCAGTCATGGCGGAGCGTGCTGGAGCTTCCTTGCGACGAAAAAAGATCGACCAAGAGCTCCTCCCTTACTGCCGCGCTCCGCGGCCCCCCAGAAGGCTTACAGCGCTCCGCCGACATTTCCTCCAAAACACGGGGACTCCCTGTGTTCGGAACACCAGTTAGGGGCTGCCGGCATGCGAGGCTCTTGCTTCGAAGTGACGCCTATCCACTGCAAGCATGTCTGGGTCTGGAAAGACGGAGTTGCTTTGTGCTGCTGAGCTTCGCATGCCAAAGTGGACTCGCTCCTGTAGTTGTACACCATGAAGAGAGCATTGTCTTTCACTTTCAAATATTGGACGACCAAGCCATACCTAGACATATTTGCGATGCATAATGCCGTTGTGGTCGCAGTCTGCGCCAAATCTTGTACGAATTGCTGCATCAAGGTTTGTTGCGTGGTGCGACTCACGCCCCACACCGGCCAGCTGGCGAATATGAGAGCGCAGCACACCTCTTCCTGTAATGCAAAATTGCAATTCATCCAGTGCTCCTGCCCCTGTATAAGCACTAGCAGAAGCAGCACCAGCTTGCATCAGAAATAACTTGAGCACCACGACAGTGCTGCAGTCTGCACCTGGACTTGATACACAGATCCCAAAGCGCCACAAGAAGGCAACGAGGCTACACCTCTGCCGTGATCTCTGTTGGTGTTGCCGAGTATGCCCACTGCAAATGAGAGAGAGGAGGACTTGTGCATCAGCGTAGCGAAGTGGCGTCGCCCGGAACGGGCGACCAACCCGCGGCTCAACCGGTTACTCTTCATACTTACAGTTAGCTGCCGCCGGTCGCCAGTTATAAAACAATGCGGCGCAACCGAACCTGCTGAAGAAGAGTCCTCTGGAATTGTTGTTCTGTTTTTGTGCTCTTCACATGATCATACGTGCGAAGCAAAAATGGTTGTGCGTGGGGTCTTCCTTCAGCGACAGACCTGGTGCCCCATGTAAAGCTACACTCTGCAACACGACACGCGAGGACGTTGTTGCCACTGGTTCATCCCTTGGCCCGATGGGCATGTCACTTGCCAGTCAGGTTCCCCTGGCCCGATGGGCAACATGTAAGCCACTTGCCAGTCTCAAAACACCGCCAGACAAAAAGTTGAGCAGATTCAAGTTCCTACCTTTCCGCATGAGGTTGACCGCTAATAATAACAAACAAGCGTACGAGCACTGAAAATAATCATCGGTTCCGTTTCATGTCGCCTGAACAAGAGGCCCATGCCTCTCTACCTCCGCCTTCTGCACGCAGCAATCTCCGTCACCAGGCAACTGCGACCAACAATCTTCATTGGAGGTAAACAAGGCTAATTTTGATTTGGATCTGATTTCCCACATACCAGAAGAAGAAATATGCGCAGGCAGAAAATCTGAAGATCTGTGCAACAAATTCATCAGCTGTAGAACACAGACTAGAGTGAGCGCGATTGCTGCAAATCAGGATGTGGCGCACTTCGTGACTGCCGTAATTTTGCCTAACGGCCTCAATTCCATTAGCGCGTTACTACACTCGTCCATCCTAGGAACCTAGCACATTCCGACCGACCAATCGTTCCTGTGTATGACCAGTATGTGAAAATAAAGTAGGGTTGATTATATGACTGTCATTTCTAGCTCTGTTTTAGTTTCTCGAGTCGAAGCGAAGTGTTTTGCTGGAGGCAGGCCTCTCCGCATATGGCTCGATCGACAAGGGCAGAGCTCCGCCTAATTTCCCAAGTCCCTACTGCTGAATAAAAATTATTTTCGTTGATATTACCTTTGGGATGTGTAGTGCTCGATCTTCAATTTCATGATACAATGAATATAAATTGATCATATTAACGCGACGCATTAGATTACTTTCTGTGCGACATCGAGATGATGCGGCAGCGTCAACAAGAATACATGGCTCATCATACAGATAAACAGTAACAGGTAGAGTTGTCCCAACAGCACAATGAATTATACAGCAGCAGCAGCAGCAGCGCGTCACGCGGAGGTGACCATTGGCGGCACAAGCCTTCCCTTTTTTTCCCGGGGGTTAGAAAGCTAAATCCGGCTGTTGCAAGAACAGTTCTAAATATCATCAGGCTGTTGCGACCGAAACAACTAGGTACAGGGCTTGTCGTTGTCGTTGTGGGCACCAAACTCTACAACTTTCTTATTCTTGGTCCCGTATTCTATTAATCTCCCCGCTACCAAAACCGCGACCGCGGCCACTTCAACAAGTCTTCAGAGAAAATAAGGGGAGTGCGCCATGTATGCATTGCAAAAGCATCGCACTAGTATAAATGACATGACAAATTTCCTTAACATGAGAAACGAGATTTGTAATGCGGATTTGCCTTGATAACAAGATTTGTAATGCATGAATGCGATTAGTACGAGTACGATACTTTTGCACAGGATACCATGGAGGCGATGGACAGATGCCGTCCGCCTACAGAGCTCGAAGGCGGATCAAATGCAAAAATGTCTGGGTCTGGAAGGATGCAACTTGTGATGCTGAATTCGGATTCTACAAAAATCTGTATTGCGTGAACAGCAAAAGAGGTCCAGTTTTTGCCACGGCGAGAGGGCATTTCTAATGCGGTGTAGGCATCAGGAAGCCCCCACAAAATGTGTGATGCTAGCGCGTGCGTCACAGAATTCAGGAGTCATGCAAAGTGTGCATGACAAACCTCGCTAGCATCCTTCCAGACCCAGACATTCTTGCATTTGATAAGGCGGATCGTGGAACGACGAGTAGAACGGGTTTGGCGAGCTGCCCAGGTAAAACAAATCCTGCTCCTGTCGCATCGCTGCGGCCCACTCGTCCGCGCGCGCCAACTGCAGCCACCCGAGGTGGTGGCTTTCGTCGTTGAAAGACGAAGGCTTGCAGTGTTCAACGTGCGCTGCCCGGTCCGCCCACGCTTTCTCCAGTCGGGGTAACGCAAACTGGCTCTTGAGCTGCTCCATCACAAACAGCGGCGCCGGGACAGTTTGCGCGGCTCCAGCGGTACTCGTGTAGTTACAGTGGATCATGCCAATAGTTGTAACACTATTACTCCCGGCCGCAGGGGCGCTTTGCTGCGACAAGGCCGTGCTTTGCTGAGAGGAGCTGCCCCCGGCGACCGGCGCACAAACAAGGGGTCCGGCGGAGGCGGCGGCTTGCACCGGTGCTGCCGACTCTGGGACGGACGAAAGCAGTGAAGCTAGAGTGTTGGTGCTGGCCGTGCCCGTTCCGGCCCCCACCGTGGTCCCCGCCCGTGTTTGGTGGTCTCCGGCGGCAGTACCGATCGAAGGAGTAGGAGTCCCGGCGACGGGGTTCCCGCACTGTGTCGCGGCTGCACAAGTTGTGAGCGGGGCCCTGCTCGTAAAACTTGAAGACTGCTGCGGTCCTGCGGAAGTGTTGACTACCACTCTCTGCGACGACGTGTGCGAAGGCTCCGCACGATGAAAGAGGTATCTTAGAAAAAAGCACACCCATTCCCATATCGGAAAAAAAGAACAACTCAAAGTGCATTTACAAATTGCTTTCTACACTTGCTTTCTTATGGTCTCCGCGTTACAACTGAGCTGCTTTCTTCACTGGCGATTATCTATATCTTCATCTCCTGGCATCACAAACATAAATTCCTGTGGTGCTAGTAGGGGCGTTGTACAGCTTCTCTGTAGGATAACTGGGGAGCCGGGAACTTTCGAAACTGACCGTACCAAACTCGTGGATCTCGGGATTTCTGTATCAACTCGCGGGCCTCCTCCATACGTCGCTGTAAGGCCAGGGCAGCTTGGGTGGTATTCGCTGATGCGGGGGGTCCACCTCCTGCCGCGGAAACGGCCCTGCTCGTCGTGCAGCTGTTGAGTGGTCCACCAGACGCGGCTGCACGGCTCGGCAAAAAGCTACAACCTGCAGGGCCTCCACCTCCCGTCGCTGCGTCACTTGCTCCTGGTGCCTGCGACGTTGCCGCGGCCGTTGATGTCAGCATGGGAACAACGACAGTGCCGTGTTTATAATTCCTGGGCTTCTTACCCTTTTTCTTCTTTTTTGCCGATGAAAACTCTTGGGGCACACCAGTGGTGCGCGGATTGGACGCCGTGATCCGAACCTGCATGGCCGAAACGTCCGACGAGGGGCGGCGGAAGTAGGGACGGTCCCCTTCTTGCTCATGCTCCAACACGTCACTGTCCAAGGCCCAATTGCAGGGCGCAAGCCGCTTCCGCTGACGCGGCCCGATGCTGCTCTCGTTCATCGCGACCACACCCGTCGTAGAGGCTGCATCCATCTCGTGGTTGAAAAGAGGAACCACACCGTTGTTCTCATCTACTACAACTTTCGTCGCGGAAGTAGTTGTACCACTGCGAGAAGGGGGCGAGGAGCCTCCTCGCTCCGTAGCTGCACAGGATATGGGGTCGTCAACGTTGTATTTGCCTCAAGCTGTAAAAAATTTTCCGCGCGCCTTTTTTTGTATTTGATATCCATCATGTTGCACGCATATAGCCTCTCGCTACATTGCATACCGAATGAACTAGCTAGCTTCTTCGCAGCACTTCTCGGTGGCTAAAGTCGGAGCTATCCGGCGCTGCTGCTCCACGGACTTGCCTCGGAGCGCCCCTGCAGCCTGGAGGTGCTGCAGCAGGTCCTCCTGCAGTCCAGCCGCTAGACAATGGGCCTCAATCTGTGCAGGTCGGTCGGGGCCAAGGGCGCAAACGCAACCGGCCGCGGCTGCGTTTCCGCTTGTTTCTAATGTCGCGCAGCCGTGCGCGCTTTTTCCGGCAGGCGCGCGCGCCTTTTGCCTTTGCGGCTCGTTCTTGAAAATGCGAAAAGCCCGAGAGCCTTTCGGAAAGGCTTCCCGGAGGGGTTCCGGGACCCCTTTTGGGGAGGGGTAGCACCATCGTGATTCGAAGAAAAAGCGATAGCCTTTTTTTTAGGGTTCCGGGCACCCCTCCGGCCCTCCCTCTTTGGGGGGCCTCCGGAAAGGCCTTCGCGGCCAACATATGCGTGTGGTGCCCGCTAGAGACGACGACGCCAAGGCCTGTGTAGACATCTCGTGGGGCGTCTGCAGCCTCACACCCTAACCCAGGCCATAGCGGCAAATGGCTGCACGGAGAAAGCAATCCGGAAAATGGAGCAAAATATTGCGCGCGCCCGGCGCTTTCTAAGTGAAAACGCCAGCCACAAAAGAACCCTCTGTGCCCCGCCCTCCTCCGCGTCAATACTCACTTACCTACTAGAGCACTGCTGCTGACAAGCTAGCTAAAACAAACCGCGCTCGAGTCAGCCCCTCACTTGCGGGCACAGGTTTACTAGCTTCCCGCCGCGAAAAAATGCGCGCAGAAATTTTTTTACGGTCTGAGGCAAATACAAGTTTGACGCCCCCATACAGGAGCCTCCTCGCTCCGTAGCTGCACTATCCTGCCCTGTGGCCGCAAAACTCGTAGCAGCGGCATAATTCTCGGATGGGAGGAGCAGGCCTCGGGAAAGGTCAAGCGCAGCTGCGTCCTCCGCCAGTTCCGGCACTGGATGTCTATCTTCTCGACGATTCCCTACCTTCTCGACGTGCACCTGCGCGGGAGTGCAGAAGTCAACGAGGTTACGTTCTTCCGGCTCCACCGAGGTGGATCCAAGAACTCCAATCCGCACCGCGCCAGCTTCCTCACTAGAAGGCCGCGCCGAACACTGCTTGCTGCTGGACTTACTACTCGGCACACTGCTCATTTCCGAGGACCAACCATAATTGGTAGAGGAGCCCCCCAGAGGACGTAAGCTGTTTTTAAGTTTTATTTGCTGTTGGAGTATTATTTGGTGTTATTTGTTTTTTATCGCTCACCATTTGTCGCATGATCATGATATCACTGCAGGACCTGTAATGAAATTGCTGTAAAGGCTCGGTGATGTGTAATGGCGAGGATTTCTCGGTGATGTCATATCTCGTCTCAACATGGCGAGGATCATGGTCCATCAACTTCGATTTTAGGCGGGTTCCAGGCTGGCGGGGCCGGCGGGTGAAATGTATGCTACGAAATTGGGCGGCGGGCAAGGAAACGCCGCAGAGTCGCGGCCGCGGCCATCAATGCAACGCGCAACCGGGGGGGGGGCGCATCACCAGCGCGCCGGCCCACGTGCTCTTTCGCTCCGCCCGGCGCTGCGGCCGCAGAAAAAGAGCGCGGGGCAGGGGCGGGGCGGGGCGCCCACCATCCGGGCCCGCAGCGACAGGACGCTGCGGTGCCAGAGCTGCTGCTGGGGTGTGTGGCTCTTGGCGTTTTACTTTATTGCAGCCCACAGGGACGTTGGCACAGGATTATCGCGCCCGTATTGGCGCACTGGATCCGCCAAGCCGGGCGCCTTGCGGCCTGTGTTTCTCGGAAAAGGAACCGCGCGAGCCGGCGCCGCCCTCCCGATGGCAGGGAAATAGGGGCGGGCGGGCGGTGGCCCTGCGGTGTGGCTCGCGTCGCTGCGCGATCAAGGCCCGCCGCCTGCGTCGCTTAAAGTGGCCTGCCACTTGTCCGCGTCGGGTGGCTTGTCGGGCCTTGTGGCGGATGGCCCCTGCTCGTAAATCAGGTGGCCCCCGCTGGTCTTTCACTCGGCGAAGGCCTGAAACCTACCTAGAATCGGGCCTGCCTCGCGGTCTCGGGCATCTACAAGAGGACTCGAAATCTTGGGTGGTGGTGCCGTTTTTTCAGCTGCGGGTGGCCAGCGTTTGGGCGCGCCATTTCTTGCGGTTCTCGACGCGGCCGAAAACGCATTTTTCGAGGCGCGTTTTTAAAATGCTTTTTTCGTTTTTGAGTACGTTTTTTCGAAAAACGAAAATGCGCGTTTTGTATTTTGTTAGGGCATACCATGGCGAGGATCATGGTCCATCAACTTCGATTTGCAATTTCCATGCATCCTCAAAGCTAGCCACTATTCCAAAAACGCTCGCACTCACGAGGTACTATTTTCCCCCGCGTGCCCAGCACGTCCACGCAATGTTGCAACCACAGACCTTTTCGGAAAAGAAACTCTCCGAGCTTCTATGGGTATGTTGGCCCTGTGGCTGTGGATTCTGTTTGATCGCACATGCTGATACTAATAAATATACCCCCTTTTCTGGCACACACAGCTGGTAGGAAGTGTGGAAAGAGCGCATGCCTCAGCAGGATCGCCGTCTCTATGAGTTAGAGAAAATTCTATATCTTTCAGTGATTGTCATACCTTTCCGTAATTTTTAAAAGCCTTACCCAATGTCCTCGGATGCGCACGAAGTCGGGACAGTGGCTGCCGTGTGCGGTGGTATCTCTGCCGCAAGATTGATCGTTGTCCGTTGCGCCTGCGGTCGATCCACGAAATGCATACGGCTGCGGCCATGTCCTCAGGAAAAACATCCCCTCCACCCCCGAGTCGAAATGGGAACCCTGCAGCACAAATTTACGGGATTTGAGAGTAACGCGCGACAACTTTGCCCTTGTATTCTAGTGCAGGTTAGCTTTAGCAAGGAGAAGGACAGCCGCATGATCACACACAATATTCTTAGATATTCTTATTCTGTTTACAGCACTACAAATGGAAACGCCAAGCCACGATTGCAAACGCCTCTCCTGGGGATGCGCATTCCTGTAGTTGCAAAGAAACCTGCGTGACAACTTCGGGGTGTAGTTTATGTGCTGGAATAGACCAAAATAAAGCACAGAGAAACTTAAACTTTCAGGAAAGGGAGGTGGGGCCGTGTTTGCTCAGGGTAGGCCAAACGGGCGAGTCCTGTTCTTGAAGACCATCGCGTGTGTGGGTTGTGTGTCGTCGCGTACATTTTCTCGTAGTGGTGCAGTTTGCTGGGCACGAGACCCGGTATTTCCGGGCGCCGCGGTGGCGCCGAAGAATGTCACGCTGCTAGGTTGTTCTTCCTGGTGCTGCAGCTGCTGCAGTTGCACCGGAAGAAAAAGCTTGTTTTCGCAGTGGGGATCCCGTCCTCGTTCCGGCGTCTTCGAAAAGAACATCCGTTCCACCGCGGTAGAGACGATAGTGGTCGTTGTCGCGACAGGAGCACCTCCGCCCGGCGGCGCAGGAGGGGCCCCTGCTGAAATAAGAACCGGAGGATGAAGATCCCCCGGTAGACAAGCTACACTTGGATCCGGGGTGGACTCTGCTTGCTCTGGTCCATTCCCAGTCGCCAGACCCCGAACATTACCTTCGGTTGTACTTAAATTCGCTGCGGACATTGCATTAGTACCTCCGGCGGGCGGAACCGGAAGCGGACCGCAGCCAACTGCATTACCTCCGGTGCCACTGGATGCAGTGCCGGCACCTTTGTTCAGCAGCAAGGCACCTGCGGCTGTCCGAAAAGTGGTCTGTGCGTGTCCGCCTCCGCCTGCGAGCTTTAGGGCCGATCGCATACTGCAGTGAAGAGTGCCCCCAACCCGGAACTTGCAAAAGTTAAAGTTTGTTATTGTGCCGCAAGGTTTCCAAATAAAAAAATCCAAAACTGTTTGTCTTGCTAATCCGACCGCTGCCATAAAATTTTTGTCGTCTACTTGCGTGACAGGATGAAATCGATTGATTACCGATGAGTTGTTTTTTTGATGCAGAGTCTAGGCGAGTGCTGAGGCACTTTTTACATAACAGAAGGGCAGACTGTTATATATTGGGCCCTTTTGCAACGATCTTTCGCTGTGTGCGATCGTCATACACGCAGCATGGCGCGCCCAGTAGGAAGTTTTGCAATGCAAATCAATGCCGCCAGCAAGTTTTTGATGGGTGGGGGCACTTTTCAATGTGATATCGATGCCCGAACAGCGAGCGTGGCGACCCGGGGCGCGCGGCCAGCGCGCGGGTGCGCTGCAGCCGTATGCATTGCGAATACGTCTGGGCCAACAAGCATGACAAGTTTTTACATAATAATTTAGAGCGCTTCCTTTCCACGCACAAATCGCGCTTCACAGATTGCGTTTTTACATGTCTATGGCACATCAACAAGCTGCACTTTTGTCGATACAGACTGTCCACGAGTGCCCGACAACCGTGACAAGCTCCACTTCTTCAAGTTCAATCAGACGCAGACATATTAATTTGCACTGCATAAGCCGTGGGTCCGTACTATTTTCCGTTAACTTGCGCGTCGCATCTGGCACCGGGGGACCGCGGCGATGCGCAGAAAACAGCTGCTGCATCAGCACACCGCTGCCGACCTTGATGCCAGTTTTGGAAGCATTGCTCGTCGTCGCATTCGGATGGTTATCACCGTTAGCCGCAACTAAACCGGCTCCCGATCCAGACGAGGATGAAGCCGAAAAGGACGCCCCGCGCTTGCGCGCCACGCTTGCCAAGCGCTGCTGGTCCCATACCCCCCCGAATCCATCAAACCGCCTGCTTTCGTCCATTATGTGTGTAGTATCCATAAGGTGGACGACGTGTAGCGCTAGCACATTGAATTTCCATGGACCTCAAGACACTGCTCTGTTCCGCTTCGGCTTCAGAAGGCATATGCACGACAAGCACTACACCTCGTTAAGTAGACATGTTGATGTCGTGACTATCGCGACCACAATTTTCAAACGCAAGGAAATGCGACCACACTCTTTGCTGCTTCTGACATTCTTGCGCTAGCTCTAGAACTAGCCCGTCACTACTCAATCATACATCTTTACAAAAAAAAAAGCCTTCTGCACAGAAAGGCAGCTTGCTTACGTTGTGGATCGGCGGGAACTTCTTCTTCGCCCAATGAAGAACAGGCCGCACACTTCTCACGGGAACACAACAGCAATCGAAGCCAGGAAGTGCGCAAGCCTCGTGCGCCGAACCCTGCTCAAGAAGGAGTTGGTCCACCAGCGAAAATGAATCTGTACGTACAAGTCGTCTTAAAAATGTAGTGAGCAATACATGATCAACTATTCTGATGTCGTCAAAAAACATCACATGTTCAACCTTGGAAGGTTCCAACTAAAAACATGATCTGACACTGCAACGCTTGATAAAAGACTTCTGCATCCCGCAGCTATGTTGATATTCAAGAGAGTGCGGAGAAATAGAAAATTAGAGTGGAATGGGTAAAAGACAAACAAGTGACATTGCTGATGCGTTTGAAGAACTCCGTGTAGTTGCTCTCAACAACTCGTGGTTGTAGCGGCCCTACAACATGAGTAGTACTAGATAGTGTGTATCTACTTATTGCATTTATTTCTGGTGCTGTAGAAAAGGATTCCAAAATCGGTGATTGGACTGGCTTCCCTTGCAAATTCTCTGAGGCCGTACGCTACGTCTACCGGCCTGGTCGCTGATGTTAAGTACTACATCTGAAAAAGCCATTTCCCCATACATGGCGTTGGCTCCTCACGGTGAATTCTCCCCCGGAGCACCGGAGGCAACGTTCGCCCGAATTGCGGCTTTCCGCTGTGCCTTGCGAGATTGCAGAAGCTTCTCCACCTCCATTCCTTGGAAGTCCCTGAACGCCTTCGGATATCCAAGAGAGAGAGATAGTGCGCTAGTGTTGTCAAAAAAATCTGTAGTCGTGCTAATATCTTCGCCGACGATGTTAAAAAAGCCTTCCGCTTTCTTGCACCCGGCCCCGGCGTCACGCCGAACTCCATGCTTTCTGTGTTCCTCTTACCTAGAAGGTGCTTATTTCATAGTTAGATACATGCGTGCCATACGTCTACGTGCACGAGCTTTGACGTCGTAGCCCGCATGAGAAAGAATAAGAACCTTTTTGACTGCATGATGCGGATACTACCGCACTAAGACACTCTACTTCTACTTCTTCTTGGATATCGAAGTCAGGTCAGATACCGGCACGGAAGATCCGGAACTGCCCATCCCCGGGGACAGACTAGTCATAGCGTAGGACTCGAGCAGACTCATCCCCTGCAGCCCGCGCCCCCGGGCGTCCGCAACAAACGCAGCGAAGGACTCTGGAGAAAGTGATGTGGTGAAACACTCCGGGTGGTGGCTCAGGAGCGCCTGTGTCAGGTCCCCGACGGTCACACAGGGTACCTCAGCCAGCGTGGTCGACCCATCTACGGCCGCCTCGTATCGTACGGAAAAATGTTCCTCATCCCTGCTTGGTACGTACCTAGAGAAATCATAGCACAGCTTTCTAGATGAAGACTGGGGTCAGTGAGAAGAGCCTCTCGCTCTTCGTGTCTCTTGTAGAAGTGCTACTGCATCATGAATATATATAGACGCGGAATCGACGGAAATTGCCCGAAAGCACTGAAATCGTGAAGCACTTTATCACTCCCCGCGTACCCTTACCCGAAACCACTCCAGCGATACCCTTACCCGAAACCACTCCAGCGATACCCTTACCCGAAACCACTCCAGCGATACCCTTACCCGAAACCACTCCCGCGATACCCTTACCCGAAACCACTCCCGCGATACCCTTACCCGAAACCACTCCAGCGATACCCTTACCCGAAACCACTCCACCGGTTTCCCGGTTTCCCGGCTTCCCGGTTTCCCGGTCTGTCTCCCGGTCTGTCTCCCGGTCTGTCTCCCGGTCTGTCTCCCGGCTGCCCGGTTTCTCGGGCTTTCAGTCTTCCAGCTTCCCAGCTTCCCAGCCTCCTAGGCTCCCAGTCTCTCAGCTTTTCTGTCTCCCACCCTCCCAGTCTTCAAGCGTCTCACCGCGTCGCGTGGCTTTCAAACTGTTCGCAGATAGAGAAAGAGGCCCCACAACAGACACGCGAAAACACGGAAGAAAATGGGCGCCCCTACTCGTGTGAGCCCCCGGCCTCTCCCCGTTCCCCACCCAATCTTTTTAGCTATTCAGCTGCAGGCGTCGCCACAGCCATCCCCGGCGCCCGGGTTCTTTCCTCATTTTCCCTGTTGTCCGATTTTTTTGCCCTGGTCTTCCCCGGCTGCCCAGTCTTTTTAGCTATCCGACTGCATTCGTCACCACATCCCTTCCCGCCCCCCCCGTCCCGCTGGCACTCTTCCAGCCCCGCAGGTGCCAGCTTCCCGGTCTCCCGGCCTCCCAGTTTCCCAGTCTCCGACCCCCTAGCCCCCCAGTCTGCCAGTTTCCCAGACTCCCAGCGCCCCAGACTCCCAATCCCCGAGCCGCCCACTCTCCCACTCTCCTCGTCTCGCCGTCTCCTCGTCTCTTCCCGTTTCTCCCAGTGTCGAACTGTTCGCACATAGAGAAAGAGGTCCCGCAACAGACACAAGAAAACACGGAAGCAAATGGATGCCGGAATCTGTTCGCACATAGAGAGGGAGGCGGCGCGAACGCCCTCCCGTTCTTTCTAGGCAAAAGCTTCAACAAAGCTCCCCAGAAAGTTCCGCCGCGGAAAATATGACGCGCGCCATCATGATCATCAAACGGACAAAGTTCTCCAAATAAACGCACGAGCCAAGACCCACAAAACGGCCCACACCTTTAGAGAAATAAGATCGACAAACAACGACCCGCCAAGCTCAACAGCGTTCCAGATCAGGTCCAAAATTACCCGCCAGAGCTCCCTCCAAGAATATATCTGGCCAAGAACAGAGCGGCCGCGCCTCGAATGTCATCAACACACCCAGGACCCCACTGGCTAGCTAAAACAGGCACCAGGTCGCAGACTGACCCCCCCGCGTCGCTTCGTTTGCAAGTCGCATGGTTTTAGGATATAGCGCGCGCGCGTTTTATATAATACCCCACTCCTCTCACCCTGCAAACAGTTTGCCGCCCTCTTTGCAACGTAGTAAACATGCCTGCCTCTTTGCAACGTAGTAAACACCCGCTTGCCCCCCCTGTACCCTTTTCCCCCGTCCTCCCCTTCTAGTTCTGCTTTTTTCCCCCCGGTGCTCTCGATTTCACCTCAGGGTGCAGATTCCTTCCCCCTGGCTAGTATCTATTTACTTTCCACACATTATGCGCCAATAGGTGTGGACGAGTATCTCCTGTTGTTCACGCGCTTTACATACTCACGCGCTTGCTGTTCACGAGCTTTACTTTACTACTTCCACCAACAGCTCAGCACAAACACAACATACTTTAATGTCAGTTTCTTTACGAACACACCGGTACATAACATACACATTTATTCGTGATCATCCTAGAAGGTACTTACATTAACTAAGTGGTAGCACGGGATCGAGGTTTCGACGCGGTTTTGTTCCATGCCATACTTTTTCCTGCGGCGTGAGCGCCCGGTCTTGAATCGGAACCGGACCGCCTGTGTTACTGGCTAGATCCGCTGGATTCGCGGTGATCTGCTTTGCCAGCTGGGTCGCCATTCCTGGCCGGAAGCCAGCAGCGAGGAGTGCGTGTTCCGTCTCCCTCTGCTTCACCGCCGCGGCTGGCGCAGCCGACATAACTTCATATTCACTAACGGCTTCCTCGTCCGCTTGAGGACGTGTCGGCTCTTCCAGTTGTGTGCGCGACGGTGGACCGCTGCGCTCCCCCTCGCCCAATGGGGCCGCTTTCATGTCAGTGTCCTTCTTCTTTCCCTCTGCGGCTCGTGCCAGCGAGGGGGCCGTCGGTGGTGGACCACGACTAGCATCGTTGACGACTTTCCTCTCTACAACCGGGTCAGAACGAGGACTCGGCGTCCACATGCCCAGCGTGGCGACGCGGCCGAGCGCGGTGAGAAATCGCTGCGTCGCAGCTCCTCCCGTCGGCCCCGCGGCGCCGCCTTCCGCGACGGCGCGCGTGAGCAGTAGGGGGGACCGCTTCTGGTGGGCGGGCGGCCCTTCGCCCTGGTTGGTAGTCGCCGCCAGTAAGCTCTGCTTCTCCGGCCGCGAAAGACTCTTCTTGTCGCGGAAGGCCTTCGCGAATACCCTCACCGTCGCCGCGGTTTCGGGAGTGCCGAACAGTGGGGCTGCTGTGAGAACTCCATGATTCCACCGAACGTTCTTCCGCTATCAAACGGAAAAGCAACAGTGCCCCAACCAGTCGAACCCAATACATGTGCTGAAAAAGTTCGCTCGCCTCCTGCTCTATTAGTCTACTTCTTAAGACTTCTAGCTACAACAACATCTCCTTCTTCCTAAGGACTTCTTGCAAGGAGGGAAAATGGTTCTTATCTTGAACAAACTTCTAGGTGCGCAGCAGTGCAGCTTTCACAAGAAGATCCTGCGGGATGATCCGCAACAAGATCGACATACGTATCCTTGCGATGAAAAGAGGCATCTTCTTCTTCATGCAAGCCGATATTAAATAGATATTTTTAAGTACGACAATTTTTGAGAAGCTTCGTCTCTTCTCGGGGCGCTGCGCTTTTCGTTTTGGTATCCGCTTCTTCGCTTTCAGAAGCGTTTTCTGGAAGGCGTATACCGGTTGGGCTCGCTCGGCTGCGCCCAGTGCCTCTTCGCCCAACGGGACGGCGCCCGCCTGCAGATCTACGAACAGCGTGTTGCAGAGAAACTGGTCCCGGGCCGTATGCAGGTGCAGGCTCTCCACCTCCCCGCGCTCGGCACTGAAGGTCTTCTGCAGGAAGCCGGAGGTGAGCAGCGCCTTCTCGATCCCCTCATCCTGATTCTGCGGACTGGGGCCCCGCAGCCGCCGCGTCTCCGCTTGCAGCCGCCGATGCACGGCCGGAGCGAGCGTCGTCGCCCCCTTCGGTGTGAAACCGGACTCGCAGAGGGCGTCCTCCACGTCCTCGACCGTGAACTGCAGCAGCGGCCCGGCCTCCAGCTTGGTCCTGGCCGTGTCCGCGCGACGGCGCGCCTTCACTTGGCGCAAAAACCCACGTAAAGCGGCCACCGTGGCCGAGGCGTCGGCAGTGGAACTCGTCGAGCCGTCACTATTTACAAAAAACCCTAAGCTCTTCAGCGCCACCAAGTCCTCCTCGTGCCCGTCCTTCCTGTGGCTTCGGAAGCTGCATTCGCGGGGGTGCAGCAGCAGCTCCTCGCCCGCGACACCGGGGTCCACCACCTGTGCGGCCAGGTCCCGTGCGTAATTCTTGGAGAGGTGAAACTCGTCGTGAAGCACCCGCTCGGTACTAGTCCGCACGCGGTCGAGCAGCTGTGCCCGCAGGGTGCCCACCCTCCCGTCCGGGGTCAGCCCCGCTTTCAGCAGCAGGGCCCTCTCGTCCTGCTGCTCTCGTCCGTCGGATCCAGCTCCCTGGCTATAATCGGGGCCGGCTGCGGGCTGCACCAGAGCCGCACTGTCCGTCTCATACGGATTCGTGGCCTGCCGCGCCATCGCCTTGGCGTACGCGGCGGAGAAGCCGTTGCTCCGCAGCGCCTCCTCGACTTCGTCTGCCCGAAGCAGGCGGGCCACCGCTTCGCCCAGGAGGACGTCGGCGGAGTCCTCCTGTTCCCCTGACCGAGGGGTTGGCGGCGCGAACAGAGGCGGACTGGCGGGCTCCATGATGCACGAGGCGGCGACGCAGCAGAGTACACCCGCGGCGAGCAAAGTGACCAGCACGATCCAGACCACGGCACCGCAGCACCCCGCGGCGCCATCGTTCCCCGTAATAGGGGGCTCGGGAGTCGAAGATCCGGGGGTCGGTGGGCTCTGAATAAGTCCGAACGTCGTTTTGTTCTCCTTCTCCAGTCGCTCTATATACTTTCGCCTGTCGAACGCTGACCGCAAAACCGGGCGTTCCCGGACGAGATTCCCGCCGCCACCCAGGGGAGGCACCGTGGAAGTCGACATAGGTGTTGATGTTGACGAGGCGGCTGTTATTGCATGTAATTCTCTTTCTCCCCCCACGCGCAAACAGACTTGTATACTTTTACTTTGTGGTACGCGCAGACGGCCGTGAGTAAAGCTCAGTAGACTCCGGTTGGAATCAATCCTTTTAGTTTTTTTTTCTAATCAAATTAATTGCTTGACCTTCAGCAATGAATTGTCGCATCTTCACTCTGAAGCAATTGCTGTATAATGAGCTTGCCTAGTGCGACTCCACTACTTTCACGATGTGACGACTTCACTACTTTCATTCTCGTCGTCCATGCATATATTCCAACTTGATCGCTTGTTGCCTTTGGCTGTTCCGTGATTCATGCAAAAATCGTCGTCGGAGCGCGTCTACCCACTTTACTACTGTCTGCAGCGACGAACCCAGAGAAAATTGAAATGAGGAGCGCATTCCGTGTGCCCGTGGGGAAAGAATTAAAACCACTAAATTTTCGTTGGATATGAGACGTGGACGACGTTCCTGCTTCCGTAGCGGCCACAGTGCTGGTCGCGATCGTGCTCCTGGAAGTTGTACTTATGGCCGACGTTGTCACTGCTTCCACTTCCACAAGCTTCTGGGGTGCCCGCGTCGGCAGCACTGTGGTCGGAAGGACTGTGGTGGAAGTCATAGCTCTTGTCGTGTTCGGACGCAACATGGCCGTTGCAGTACTGGTCATGGAGGTGGACGTCGACGACGTCGCTGCAGAAGTTGTCCCATCTCTGACCGTAGTCAACCTCGTACTACTTTGCGCGCTCGTTGTCGTGCTGCGACGAGTGGTAGACCTAGTAGTTGTGGTGCTGGTTCTAGAAGCAGTGGTAGAAGTTATTGTGGACGTAGTTGTCGGGGTGGAACTTGTGGAAGTCGTGGGGGTTGTCGTGGTAGAACTTGTTACCAAGGTAGCCGCCGTAAAAGAGGTTGTGGGGGAGGGTGTGGGAGGGGTCAGAGGGGTTGTCGACGTAGTGGCTCCTGTTGTAGAAGTTGTAATTATCCGATTTCTCGTCCTGGGCGTTGTCGCGAGCGTCGTGGTCGTGGTGGTCGATCGGGTGGTCCGCGATGCGGTCGTGGTCCCACGGGGGGTGGTTGTTCCCGTTGTTGTGCTAGTCGTGCGCGAGGTAGTCGTGGTTGTGGTGCTCGTGGTTGCTCTGGTTGTGCTCGAAGTTGTGCTGGTGGACGTCCTCATACTTTCTACCGGGGGCAGCGTTGTTGTGGTCGTCATCGTGACCTCGCAAAATTCGTCGTCATCCAGCACGTCTCCAAAAGTCCTGTTCTGCGCAGTTGCCGAATCCCCCGCGAAGAGAAAGTGCCTGGGCTCCGGCACGCCATCGCTCAACCAGTAGTCCGGCTGGCCGCGGTAGCGAAAAATGTCTTGACCCAGCGGGGTCTTCTCCAAGGGCCGACGGTAGACGCCGTGGTCGTCCTGGGGCATACCGTCCAGGTCCACGTGAAGCCGAAATTGGTCGAACGACCGCTCCAAATTGGCATACAGGTTGTCTCGAAATCGCCCCGGGTCACACCGCTCCTGCCGGGTGCCGTACGCCGGACAACGGCTCTTTTTATACTGCTCGGCGGTACTACTTGTACTAGTGTGCTCCGACGTTCTTGCTCGTTCTGAAGATGCTGCGCTTGGCTGCGTGTTGAGCCGACGGTGTACGAGCTGCGCACGAAAATCCGGCAAACAGCGAATCTGTGCGAAGCTGCTACCCGTAGCCGCACTAGCGTCCGCGCACAGGACGCCTGCGGGGCCGCCGCCGTTGCCCACCTCGACCCGGACGCAGGCCGTGAGCCGCTCCTGGCGCGTGAAGGGATCCCGAAACCGCGTCCACACGACAACCGGCGGCGCGGCGGACGTGCTGCCCTGCGTCGTCCCGTCGGGCGCTGGGGAAGTAGCCGTGCGGGTGCGCAGTAGAACTCCACCGCCCGCGGGTGCAGATCCAGATTCTGGCGGCAGGAAGTTCGTAGCTCCATCCGGGCGCGGCAAACTCCGCCAGTACTGCGAGATGGCTTCCGTGATAGCGTCCTCGTCCTCGGCGCCGAGCCGCGTGACGTGTCCCCCGTGCATGCGCGCGACGCGCTCGAAGAACGGCTGGTGCTGCGCCCAAAGCTGCTGGTCCCGCTTGCTGGCGGACGGGAGAATCACGTACACGGACAGCGACACGCCAAACCGGGGCGCGAACAGCCGCTGGAAGAGCTGGAGCCGGCTCTCCTCGCGGTCGGGGTCGTCGGTGGCGTAGGTGTCCGCGGCGTCCGTGATCAGCAGCACCTGGGCGCTGCAGAACTCGGGCACGGCGAGGCACTCGGTTGGCGGCGGCGGCTGCGCAGGGCGGAGCGGCACCGCGGAGGCGACCACCTGCTGCAAGCGGTGCGGCTTGTCATACTCCGCCCGCAACGGCGCCGGCAGCACCCCCACGGTGGCCACCAGCATCGCCAGCCCGACCGCCCACTCCGGCTCCGTGTGCCCGTCGGGCTCGATCGCTTCCAAAAACCGCTTGGCCCGGGCAATCTTGAACCGGGTGGCCACGGTCAACTCGAACGAGGAGAAAAGCACGGCGTTGTTCCAGACCACCAGACAGAACCGGTCCACGTGCACGTGCAAGCCGTCCAGCACGTTGTACACCGCCCGCTTGGCCGCCCGCCAGCGGTGGTCCTCAACCATCGAGTACGAGATGTCTAATCCAGTGCAAATATCCCTGGATGTCTGGAAGAATCCATGCCAGATTTGTCTCATGCATCTCGCGGACGCGCACATTGACATTGACATTGTCATTGTCTGAAATTAATAATAAACACAGACGGAATGATCAGAAGCACCATTGATTTCTTTGCGAGACCTTCTTGAACCGTATCCCGCTTGAAAAGTTTCCGTCTCTTGCATAAACAAGAAGTGGGCAAGAATTTCTTGGGCTTCGTTTTTTTGTGTTTGTGATTGTGATTGAGACTTTGCATGACAAGCTGTATGTGTATCCTTCCAGAGGGCCCAGCCAACATATTAATTTACAAAGCATATGTCCAGGGCGATCACCACATTCTTCGGCTGGTTCTGCATCTGCGTGTTCACGTACCACGCAGCGTTGCGAAAGTCCAGCGCAGCGGACTGAAGGGCCCCCACCGCGTCCACCGCGTCCCCGTCGGACGCGACGCGCGAAAGTGCACGCGCTGAAGTGGCTTCGGCTTTTCCCTTCGAGTCGTAGATTTTTAAGGCGGAAGTCCGAGCACTTCTCCTTGTACTGGAGGCAGATAAAAATGAACCCACGGGCGGGCTCCCTCGTGCAGCACTGCTCCGACGAGTCGTACCACCAGCAGAAGTCCTTGCCGTCCTACTAGATGTTGATGAAAAGCTTGTATTAACATTTGGCGTTGTAGTGAAAATAGTTCTACTGTCATCGCCTCGTTGGTCATCTCCAACGTAGTCATGATTCCGCCGGTCCTGTGTGCCTACGGACAACCCTTGCGTTTCGATCAAGGACGAAAAGTCAGCTTGGTCGTCCCCGCTATCATCTTGGACCTCGGGCGCTTTTGCTGCAGCCACCGTGGGAAATTGGACGTGTGTGCCAGTCCGCTCCAAGGTAAAGCTCACAAAGGCAACGTACTCCTTTCCCAGCGTGCCCAAATTTCTCCACCAGTAGTCGTGCTCTTCCACAAAAAGCTTTTGGACTTCGCGCACTACGCACGCCTCGCTTTGGCTCTCCCGCCGGGCCACATCCTTCGGAAGCGAGGACGCGGCTTGCACGAGAGCACCCGTGGGCGGCGACGTGTGGGAACCCCTGAAAACGGCAGACTTGGTGAAGCTCACCTGGGTGTCGCTCCACTCGCGGACCCCGGGGCGGCAGCGCGCACCACCGCGACAGGCGCCGTCAACGGTGTCAAACTCCACGGGGGAGGAACCACAATCTGCGTTTAATTCATCGAGAGGGAACGCTTCCACTTTCTCCCGTAAGGCACGCACGTAGTCTTCGGTCGCGTCGAACACCGCGGCTGCGGTCTCATAGATGGAAACCCGCTCTACTTCCGTCCGAGACAACTTTTTGTGATGTTCCTCGGTGCTCTGTGCGGTCGTTGATAGGAGAAAACTCACATCTTCCCCGGCTCGTCCTGGAGTAGATCTCTTCTGCTCGGAAACCGCTGCTTCGGTGGCACTCAACTCGTCCAAGATGACCGGGTGCCCCGAGCTCGGTGCGGGAGTGCCAACGACAGTGTCGATGTTGCTCCGGGCGCTTGTTTTCCGCCGCAAAGACAGCAACGGCGCTTGGAGCCGAGGCCTATCGAAGTGAGATGATGTAACCGGCGAAATGCTTGCTGCACTTGAGGCGCGGCCACTGGTTCCAACAAAATCGCCTGCCTCAGGCGTACCAGTGGACTCGACGGGCGCAGCGCGTTCCCCTATTGGCACCCCCGTCGCATGCTCGGAGCCGACCTCTCTGGTGGCTTCATTTGAGGGGAAAAATTGCGGGCCGTCTACGGTCCGCACCCGTTTCCGCCGGCCGCGGAGACCCGTGCCGGTCTTCAGCAGCGCCTGCGTCGCAACCGCGTTGGTGTTCGGCGACCCGCTGCAGAGAATGAGCACCTGTAGACTGGCAAAGCGTTGGAGTAGGCAGAGCAACATCTGTAACGTTGTGTACAGACGCGCACGATACTTTTTATTCAGGATTATTGCGGTCGTCGTGGCAAAGATGGTGCTGGTGTACTCAGAATGCTCCGAAAGCTACTTTGCCCGTTCTTTGAGCAGAAGTAGTGCAGTAGCTAGTAAGAACCTTTAGGAGGCAGGAGCAGCGCACCAAAACAATAGTTGGCGAAGTTTCTTCCTCCCGATTGCAGCACCTTGTTCGTTTATTTTCTACGTCCTTCCGAGAAATCCTGGCTACAAAGTTGGTACTCGTTTGCCAAACTCATTTTCCAAACCGAAATAAAGTCCGTGATTTACAGTAGTACGCAAAATGTGCTGCAAACTCCTACTTGTAACTACAAGAATGTATCCGTACCCCAACAAAAAGTGGGAGACATGCAACAATACGCATAGAAAAGCAAGGGTCCGTAGGGTAACGTGAAAGAAAAGTAAGGGGCCGCTGACCTTGAAACTCCGAAGCTAATTATCTATGGGCATTTGTTTGTAGTGTACTTTTTCTGATTTTTGTGCACAAGGAAGACCCGTCAATGGCCATCTTGTTTCTTGCTCATGAAAGAAACTCAAAAACCAAATAGAACGAGGGGCGGCAGATGACGTAACTATGCCAAAGTTGAAGACGCATTAGTGCTCGCAGGCGCAAGGTGGACGCAACTACAATCCTAGCAGGGCCATTGTTTGGGTCAACTACAACAGGAACCGTCGTGTACCACAGGAGAACGAGAAGGAACGAATTGAAATTGCTGCAGCAGAACCACGAGGACGACGAGAGACTTGGTCAATGAAGTGGGATTCATTGCAGCAGCAGAACGACAGGAGTTTGTTCGACCTAGCACGACAGATTGATGCCTCAAACCGCTATTGATGCCTGATGGCGATGGGTACGAAAACGAACGTGCGTGACTGTGTAAGCAGTAGTGATGGACAAAAACTGAAATACATATCAATTTTTGTTTTTCAGCACGAAGTGGACGAGGGAGAGGATATTAACGCCGCGAAAACACTTTTTCCATCTTAGTTACAAAGCCGGTGTGAAGGTAAGAATTCGACAATCTTTTACAGTGGGAACGCAGGCAAACCTGCGCACGTGTTCCCAGAGAAAAGGAGCAACGGAATCAGATCTACTCTTGAAATAACATTTCTTCACTTTTCTGGGCCGTGATCCGGCTCCTCAAGGTCAAGACTCCAAATGCAAATCATTCATGGCGACAAATAAAGAAAACCCGCCGAATAACAAAGTACCAGTCGGAAGATATGAATATGATGTCACATAATATTTATTCCTGGGTAGACCACTCGTGCCAAGCCTTAGCTGAGCGTTCCAATTTCTGAGCAGAATTGCGTAAATTTGCAGAAAGAGCTGATACCGGTAGTACCGCCGTCTCCGCTTCAACTATTCACAAGAAGTAGCAGGCAGCCCCTTCAACCTTTCTTCCCTCTTCACCGCCCTCTTCACCGCAGCGCCGAAAATTCGCCCAGGCATTCTCGTGTGGCAAGCGATACGTAGCCGTACAGGGTTGATCATCATCTTGAAAAGTATCTCCCCTTCAGACAAACATACGCTTGCGCTGTATACATTTCGCAAAAATGCAGCTCTCTATACATCACTGTTCTCGCATTGCGAGCATCATTTTTGGTGAGGAATTGGAATTTCTACGCCAATACAGTCTTCCATGTCAGTCACGCGAGGAACAATACATATGTATCATACGCACCATTGCATGTCGTGCACCGTGTGTGTCTGTTGCCTCGCGGTTCATTCTGCCATACAAAAACGAACATTGAAAAAATGACAAGCGCTGTAAGTACTCTTCGGGAGTTAACACATTCCTCTTTTGCACTGGATATTGAAATCTGAGCGAGTTTCATCGAGGACATGAAGACAAAATGCGCAGCGCCCAAAAGGTTTTTATGCAAGCGAAAACTCATCTCCTGCTCTGCTGCACGATCAGCATCAGCCTCGTCATGATGATACAAACATATCAGAAACCTCAAAAGAACCGATCTTTTGTGTCATGCACAGCACCCTGATTCATCTGAGCACATATGACATTTCCTATCCCGCATGACCACGTTTCATTTCTCGTACGTACACATTCGAAAAATACATGAAATTTCTCGCGCTCCTGGATGCTCTTCTTGGTGCAGACGGCTGGATCAACAAAATATTCAACGCTTGCGTAGTTTCGGGTAGCCAGCAGGAAACTTGTGGGCTCGACGATCAGGAGCATGACGGCTAGAACCAACAATTGCAAGGTCCTCGCGAATGTCCTTTCTTCCTCTTCCACAGGTCGGAGCACTACAATAACCCTACTTACACCTCTTCTCAGATAGGATTTTAAAGAAACACGGATGTAGAAGAACCTGCACCTTCTGCACGAACTCGCTTGCGACATGAAACACAGTCTTGCAGCACAGGACCACTTGATATTCGGTAAAAACCAGAAAATCACGATAGCAATCACTTTTTTACACGATGTTGACCAGAAAAACGATCAGAATTATGCATCATCTACGAAGCTTTAAAAACTCCGCCAGACACAAACAGCTGCTTCTCCTGGTCGGAGTACTCAGAATAAGTTACAGTCAAACAATTGTGCGATGTGTGTACAACTCTACTTCAGCAGCGTTCGAGCAACCATAGCGATTTTTTCCAGGAGAATTAAATCCAGTAAATGCTTTTTGCTGGAGCGAAAAATTTTCACTAGAATCGGGGTTGGGACAAACAACAACTACCGAAAACAACTCCCTGTCGCCGAATTTTGAGAATCTGAATCAGGACGATATTTCATTCATGATCAATAAAAACGACAGACGACTATCATGTGATCGAGTATGGCAGTTTGTTTGTTTGTTCTTCTCCAGGGAAAAAAGAAAACTGCAGAGCCAGATCCGACCGAAAGCAAAACTTTCTGCTGCATGTTGGGCGTCCTAGTAGCCCTTGACTTTCTCTGCTCCCATAGCAAGGCGAATATCTCGAATCTCAATTATTCCGAAGCCGAACACATAAAGCCAAAAAACAAGAAGTCAATAAGTATGTTGCCCTCTTCGTACTGATCCGAACCTTCTGATGCAGATTGTGGAAGCAGGCAATCGATCTACAATGCACTGCCTTCTGCTTCTAAACACGAGCGAAAACTTGCACCTTCTGTCATGCAAAGCCAATCAATCAATGCAGTGCTGCTCCTCTGATGAAGCTCCAATATCGCAGGGCGCAATATCCTATCGCTATTATCGTCGAACTATATCATTGTCGTCATAAAACTTAGTTGTGTCTTCATCACTGAGGAACAAATCTTTTCAGTCTTCCGAGACGGGACCTCGTGGGGCAACGATGCCTAGACTCGCCAGCGTGAGAAGAAGATGTTTTCGGGTCCCCCAGGAAAGCAAGAGGAGCAACACATCCTACACAGGAGCTCGCGGACAAGCCATTTGATGCCGCAAGTGTGCCACAGAGCAGTACTCCCCCTCCATCTCCAATATAGTACCTTTCCAAGTCAACGCTTTCACGTGCTTACCTTCCGCCTCTTTGTGGATTTGGCGACATCGGTGCCCATAGGACAAGAAGATTCGGAAGTCTTCACAACGTCGAGTTGTGGCAAAGGCGCAGTCATTTCTCGAAGCCTTTCCCGCGAAAAAGATCCGGATGCCTGCGTCGCGGCGGAAACTGTGCGCCCGTCGACGGTGGTGTGTGAGGGCTTTTGTGCGAAAAACGGCGCGAGCTTCGCATAAACTTCTTCGTGGTAGTCATTGATGTACTGCACCTCCTCGTGTGTCAACAAGGAGACATCAATCAGCCTGCGGTCTAGCGGAATGAACGTGAGATTCTCTAGGCAGCAAAATCGCTCGCCGCCCGCAGCAGGAGCCGGAGGGGCTCTTTGCCGGGCCGGTTTTGTTCCCTCTACTTCCGCGGATGGTGGTCCTGCAGCTGCCACTGAACGCACGTAAACCAAATTTTCGATGCGAATCCCGTACTTCCCGGGAAGGTAGTACCCAGGCTCGTTGGACAGGACCATGTTTGGCTGCAGGCCGGTCTCCAAATACTGGGGCGCAGTCTTGACTATAGTAGTTCGGAGCATGGGGATCCCGTGCGGACCCTCGTGCACGTTCAAAAAAGACCCGACGCCGTGGCCCGTGCCGTGTTGGTAGTTCAGCCCATGCTTCCACAGCGGCAGTCGCGCCAGAATGTCCAGCGCGGCTCCCGGAGTGTTCTCCGGGAACGCCGCGGTGGCGATGCTGATGTGTCCCTTGAGCACCAGCGTGTAATGCAGTCGCAGTTCGCCGAGAGACTGCCCCCTCTCTCCCCCGTCGCCCGCAGCAATTATATCGCCATCTGCTCGCCGCTGGACCAGCACAGTGCGCGTCACGTCCGTCGTGCCATCGGAGTACTGCGCTCCCGAATCCACAAGGTAGAGTGTATCTGATTGCAGAGGCACGCTTCCCTTTGGGTTGTAGTGCACGATGGCGCCGTTCGGCCCGCTTCCGGAAATGGTGGGAAAACTGAGCCCCCGAAACGCCCCCGGGCTCTCCTGCTTCCGGAACTCCTCTAGCGTCGCCGCCGCCGAAACTTCCGTCACAGGAAATAACCCCCCCTCTTGCGGGCAGCTCGTCTTGGCGGCCTCTGCCGGCTGCCCGCTCGGACCAGTGGTCGGAGTTGGCGAGACGAACTGATCCTCAAGCCACATCAGAAACTTCGTCTTCGCAACACCATCGCGGATATGGCAGGCTTGCATTCCGGCTAGCCCCTATCCAAGCAAAAAAGTACTGTAGGGTTCCCACTCTATTAAATTCTGCGGCTGCTTCTCGTACCTAACCGCTTGCTTTTTATGTTTTGCTGTTCTTGCTTTTCCTACTCAATCTGCCTTGTAGAACTGGGAAGCAGCTGCTCAGCTTCCATCAGTACATATCAACCTCTTTATTTCGCAGATGACAGTTACGCCGTCGAGCAGGCGCGGTGGAATAGTTATACAACGAACTTAAACGAGCTCTGCGGTGCGCATGCGGCATGGCACATTATAACAGTACCTTGACGGCGCACCGTTGTACGCAACACCCAAAAAATCCACTACTCCATACAAACACTTCGAAGTCCTGCAAACGAGAAATCGGTGACCATCTTCTCGAGAACCACCCAAGCACAGTGCATTTCACCGCGATAGCTCTTATCAAAAGTAAAAATCCCCCCTCCCCATATCACAACGAAGTTTCTGATGCTGGATTTGCGTATACAAATCAGATTTGTCTTGCTGGAGAGGACGGCAGGCCTATACTAGGCCCGAACTGGGAAGCTTTGAGCTAGGCGCTGAGCATGGCAGACGTGTAGTCTGTAGGGCCAACAGCATCACAAACCGCCAACAGAGTGCGGCAGAGCCTGTGCGGTTGCGTTCTTGCAAGACAGAGACGATTTGAGGTGACAAATCAGCATGACAAATTTTCTGGGACGTGCCTTTTCGATATGGGGAGGGGGGATTTTTCCTTACGATAGCTCTACGTCATTCTTCTTCGCCTTCCAGAGTGGAATTGGTGACACTGCGTCCGCACTGTAAAAAACGTAGTCCCGAAGGGCGGCGGGACAGGTCCCCTCGTCCGCAACGATTCGCCACCTCGGGCCCGCCGTATCAACTGTAAAAGTGTCTGGGTCTGGAAGATTCTGACACTTGTCATGCACGCTTTGCATGAGCCATGATGTCTGTGATGCATCCCCTAGCAATACAGATTTTTTGAGGGGGGCTTCTTGATGCGTATTCCGCATGACACATGCCTTCTCAGCGTAGCAAAAATTGCCTTTCCTTTGGTACTCATGCAATACAAATTTTTTTGGAATCCAAATGCAGCATCACACGTTGCATTCTTCCAGACGAGCCAGACATTTTTATATTTGATACGCCGCGATCGCACGCAAGTCCGCTGCCAAGTTCTCGTATGGTTTCAGCTGAATTGCGTCCAGGGACCTCTGCTCAAGGTCCCGCTCGCGTCGGTCTTCTTCCCCGGCGACACCTGCCAGCTCCGGGGCCTCGTGCGGATGGGTCGTCTTCAGCAGCTCCAAGTGCTTCCGATCGCAGTACAGAATGGGTTTGCGGTTCAGTTCCTCGCGGAGGACGAGCAGAAATGCGAAAAACACCGGGTTGTAAGGAATGTCGGTGCCCCGTAGATTCAGGAGCCAGGCAATCTCATCCAAGGCACACACGAGAATGCCATCCGCCTGCGCATCTCTGAAGAGCGCACTGCCGCGCAACTTCAGCAACTTGTCTTCCCGTGCCTCCCCGGCAAAGCGTACCGAATGGTCCAGAATCGGCTGGGCCGGCCGTGGCGGCACGCCGCCGTCGTCGGCAGCCAGCATCATGCGGACCTTGTCTACAAGATTCCCGGCGATCCCGTCTTCGTCCCCTAGCGCTGGTGAGCTTGAAGGTTCATCTGGGATCCTTGCCCCATGCTCCACTGTGGCTGCGTCTCCGCCGCGCAGCGCGGCGCTTGTGTCCGCGAGAAGCTGTCTCACGAAGCTGCGCGGACTCCGCAGAGATGGGGACGCAGGAGCTGCGCACTATCCTACAGAAAACGAAAAATAGTGCCCATACACAAAACAAACTTGCGCTGCGGGTTTTAGTATCAACAGCATGACATTAAACTTTCTCGCCAGTTCCCTCTCTAATCGTAATCGTTAAAAAAACCGCATGGCGATGACAAACTGCATCCTGCATCACAAAAAACTGCCTCTATAATGGTCTCCGCATTGTTAAGATCGCGGAGTTTTATATGATCATTTAAGTAAGTATCAGTATGCCAATTTAGCAACATCAAATTAGAAGCACATCTTTTTTTCTGGTATAATGGCTGTACCTTTCTGTAGGGTAAGCACGACTGCTTGCCACCGAAAGAGCGGGATGCGGGACCCTCTTTCCGGTGCTCGAGTCCTCCTGTAGCCTCGACGATGCTGAGCGCTCCCCGCCCCAAGTCCGCTTCCCACTTCCCCGCGTTTCTCACGCTGACCAGCCAGGGATCCATGCCCAGGCGCAAACCGCCCGCGCAGCTCTTCTGCTGCAACAGCCACTCCTTGGTCGTCAACACGGAGCTGTCCTATCCTGTGTAAAAACGTACCCACACCATAGTTGTCATGCAAATCTGCATGCTTAAAATGTTTCTCATGCAGAGCCCCATGAGAAGCATTTTCTAATGGTGTTTTGAAATTTGTCATGCTCCAATCAGCATGAGAGATTAGATCTGTAATGCTGCTGAACTAGCTCAAACAGCACTACAATACGCGTCCAAATTTGTCATGCGAAACAGCCAAAGCTTGTGGATTCGTCTAGCCGATTCCCCATCTTGACTATGGGGTGGGTACGTTTTTACATAGGATATGTCCCCCTGTCGCATCAGCGTCCACCCCGGGCCGAGTTGCGTCGACGCCTGCTGCCAGTAACGCCCGTCCGTCCAGAGCAAGGCTTCTTTCGCCGTTATCACCGCACACCCCGCGGAACCATCGAACCCACTGATGTAAGCCAGCCGCTCGTCACGGGCGCAGAGGTACTCGGAAAAGTGCGCGTCGTTGTGCGGAATGAGGTAGGCCGTCAGCTGCCGACGGTGCAGCAGCTCTCGGAATTTTTGGAGTCGTGTCTGCAACATTTGGTGCTTCCGGTTTGTCTGCTCTACTTTTCGGTCTTCGTCTCCCGTGATGTTGTTGTCCTGATCCTTCAGTGTACTATTTCCGCCACACATGGTCAGGTACTGCCTGAAGCCACTGAAGAGCCCCTGCGCGCTTCGTTGCTCTCAAGACCCAACCAGCACCACACGAAAGTCGGTTCTTTCAAATCAAAATTATCGGACAGTGACATAGGATTCTTTTCACCTCCTTGGGTTTGCAAATGCCTAGGTGTAGGCCGTTTATTATATCGACACTTACAACATTAAGTAGTCCCACCGGAGGTGTAGACGTAGAGTGAGTGTGAAAACACCGAAATTAACATTACCACAGAAGTAAGCTAAGGATCGGATTGGGAATCGATCCAAGTCTCTGGAAAAAGGAAAAGTGAGCACCTCCGTCCTGTGAAAAATCCATGCGGGAAAAGAGCAACACATATACTTATACAAACACTTCTGAAAAGAAAAATTGAGGGGCTGGATACATCTGAAAATACTGCCATTGTTTGTGTTTTTTGTTAATGGAAGGGCGGGTTTCGGGTTGTTGAAACTCTTACTTTCTACTTGTCGCGACATTGTGTCCATTTTTTTTATCTTACTGTGACGGGGAATCTTGGTGCTCACGAACACATCAAACAGCCCCTGACAACAACTTCGCCACTCTTCCGTCGATGGCAGCATTAGGCTCAGTCCATCACAGTGGACGGAGACATGGCGGTGGAGATCCAGTGTTTACTATTTTTATATGCATCTTTTTCTTTTTTTGTCCGATTAGAGACGGCACTCGCAGCAACCTTCAACTTTCCGTTCTAGAGGAGAATGCAAGGCGAGGATTTTTGACGGTCCTTCTACTACGTGTAAGAACCAGAAGGGCTTCTACACTAGATTATACGCACCCTGTGTCTCAGATCGTTTTCCACCCCAAGCCGCAGCTCTTTCTCATGAAAACGTCGCAGGTTCGCGGCAAGACGCTGCGAAATAGTGACGCAGCGAATGCGATGACTCGCATGGCCAGCGCTGTTGTACAGTTGCTCATACAGTTGGTCTTCGATTTCCACGGCTACGGCCGAGGTGCAGTCATCCAGCACAACGGTGGTCACCACGCTCGCCTTGTTGGCGGGCTCTTGCGGGTAGATCTGCCGCATGGCAACCTCGCGCAGGCGCGCCTTTTCTAGCTGGTAAAAAACGCGCGCGAAACACAGCCGCTGCTGCTCCCCGAGCGACAGGACATGCTCCCAAACCACGGGAGGGGCGCTGGAGTCAGCCCGCAGGTTCCCGCGGCCGGAAACGCTGCCCGTTGCGGTCCGCTTGGGAAACCGGTCCGCCAGGTAAAGAAGATCAACCTTTTTCAGTGCCGTTTCCGTATGCAGATGCGGTGAGCACGCGAGAAATCATTTTTACAATCGGGCACTGCATATTCATCAACCCGAAATGTGCACCATCCGGGGGAGGTCTTCTATTGCAGATGATGAGCAACGCTTCGTGGTGCAGCATGACAAGCGAAGTGAAAACAACCTCCAAATACCCTCGACGAAGACCCACAGCGGCCCTTCTTCTGAGGGCTGTGATGTTGACTGTTGTACTTGGACGCCAGGACCGCGTTAGAACCATTTCTCATGTACCTAACTTCGTCTTGCGTAACGTTTACGCTGAGTGCAACCCTACCGCTGAGCGTGATCAACGGTGGGCTACTTCCTGGTTTCGCGACTAACAGCTAAGCTCTTTATGTCTGACGATTTCCCGCATTGTGTGCCCATATTCCACGCAGAACTCGTACATGCGGTGCCGGGCGGTTGCGGACGAGACGGGCTCCATCTATGACATTGAAACCAACTTCCGCGCCAAAGAAAGAGCCAGAAATTGATGCATAGTAGAGGTATTGTACATGCATTTTTCATTTTCGATGTACAGAAATACAGTTCCGCGCCATGCCAGCCCTCTCAAGAAGTTTGTAAATGTTAAACTGATTTCGTGACATACAAATTCATCGAGTCTCCTCGAAAGCCGTGCAGTTTGCATGGCGCCTTCTGAGTATTTTTGCTACGTCGGAATTACGACACACGGACAATCAATGAGTCTTGACGCAACTTTATTGCAAAAGGCAGCCTACAGGGCACTCCTCTTCCAAGGCTCTCTTTTTGTCGGGTGGCGAGAACAACGCCGCGTTTATTTCACTTCGCTACCTTCTCGGGGTAACTGACCTGTTCGGAGAGCGAGCCGGGAAAGACCATGTAGGTCATCTGCGGCACAAGGAGCATGTCCCCCGGGGGCTCAAACGCAAAGGCCGGCCAGAGTCCCGCCAGCACACGGAAGAGCGCTGTCTTGCCAGACCCGTTTGGCCCGGTGACCATGAGCCCCCCGTGGCACGCAAGCGTGATTCCCGACGCGAGCACGGTCTGCTGGTCCGGGGTGTCAAATGTAAAAATGTCTGGGTCTGGAAGAATCCGAACTTGTGATGCTGCACTTGGATTCCACAAAAGTCTGTATTGCGTGAGCAGCAAAGGGAACGTAATTTTTGCTAAGCGGGGAGGGCATTTGTCATGCATACCCGACTGCGCCACATCAAAAACCTTTGCACCGTCGCCGCAAGCAGCTGCGGACGCAGGAGGGCACTTGTCATGCGGAATAGGCATCAAGAAGCCCTCAAAAATCTGTGACGCTAGGGCATGCATCACAGACATCATGGCTCACGCAAAACGTGCATGACAAGTCTCAAAACCTTCCAGACCCAGACACTTTTGCATTTGATACGGGGTGCACAGGGCCAAGTTTCGGAACTCCAGCACATCTTCACTCGCACTGTGGTTCTCGGGGTGGTTCTTGGTGGCCGTCTTTGCTGACGGCGACGAGGCCGCAGAAGTACTCAGCAGCCCAGGCCGCGCCTGATCTCTCGACGAGGACGTCCTCTTCGCAATGAATTCTGTGCCACGACGACACGGGTCGTGCAGCAGGTCCACCTCGGGCACCACCTGGTCGCCGTGTGCCACACGGTGAGAAAGCAGCGGCGGGGAGTAGACGCATGCAGTTGATGGCAGCTCTCCGCCCACCCCCAGGCCATCGAGGTGGTCAAACAAAGCGCACACGCGGCCGCCGGTGGTGGCGATCCGCACCACCGTTTCCTGCAGGTTCGAGAGACTAGAAATGGAATCCATAATTTTCCGCAGGCAAACGTCGCTGTACGAATTCTCCGCGGCGGTCAGATTGCGCTGCAGCACGAACTGCAGCAGGTCGCAGGCCGAGAGCAGTCCGTGCGAGAACTCCTTGCTGTCCCGGGCCAGAAAGTGAAACCACATCTTCTGTTCCGCGTCCGCGAGATTCATTTTCGCTGTCACGTCGAGCAGGCACCGGAGCGAAGCGTTCGCAATATCTCTCTCCCGGGCATCGCCCTTGAAAAACGCGACAGACTCCGCGCACTGCTCGACTTTGTAGTGCACTGCGCGGAAGTATCCGCGTGCAAACTTCCCCATACACGACTGTGTCGATGATCTCGATTCGCATTTGCAAAGAATAAAAAAGAAGTGCAGGCGTAGCACTTTTCTATAATATCAAAGTGCATACAACATATAGTATACTTGGCACACAGGAGGACAGGAAGCCGTAATCTGCGCTGAAGTTCGAAAGACGACATGCAGAAATAATTAATACGTAGACGTACACTGATAGCTGTGGCCGTGCCGGTTGTTCCAGGTGCAGCTCTTCGACTTCGACGGAGGTAAAAGGAAAATTGTGCACGCGGATAGAAAGTCGGCGAAGTATTTCTTCTCTAGGTCGACGAAGCCCTGCACGTGTCTCAAGAACGACCGGATCACGTGGGAGGCCAGCGCATTGTAGAGGAAAAGAACCCAGAACTGCACCGCCTGCCGCGCAGATGACCCAGCCGCGGACGCGACCACGACTCCGGCGGTGGTTCGCGACGCAGTTATTTCCACATCTCGTCGTGCTGTGCGCGTCGCTATCAAAAATCGTGAAGAGAACCATGCCAAATTTACCAGCGGTGTGACCAGTGTGGAAAACAAGTTGGCGCAAACCTGACAGAATTCCTGTAGCTCCTCGCTGCCGCGCAAGTCCGCGTCCTCACGCACGGCGGCAGCATCGCCGGTGGGGGAAAAATAGGTCGCGCTCGTACTGCTGGAAGGGCCTTTGTTCTTTCGAAACTGCGTGGTCCAAGACCCGAAGTTGTGTTCCAACAGATAGAACCGGTTTTGCGTCAAGTACTTGTGCAGGAAGATATTCGACAGTTTTTTGTGCATACTCCGTGCGAAGTTGCGCTGCACCCAGTCTGCTACCTCTTCCACCACTGCCATCGCGGTACCGTGCACGAGACCGGCCAGCGTCAGGCGCAAAATCTTTCCCGGCAGATGAGCGGCCTGAATGTTAGTCTCGGAACGCCAAAGAAAGCGGGTGATGCTGGGAGAGGAGTCTTGTGAAAGAGAGGACAGGAAACGGCCAGCAGCTCCCGGGGCTGCACTTCCTGTCGTCGTCGTCCTTCTCGCGACCTTGAGCAACAGGGTGGTGGTTTGGCGCTGCAAGCGCGCCCACAACTCCCAGCCGAACGTCTTCGCGAGAATCAACACTGCGAGTTGAAGCATGTACTTTTCATTTCCGGCAACCCCGAGTCGCCAAAGCCGAAACGCGTCCCAGAACGGAGGCAAGGAAGCGCGCTCCGCACGAACGTTTGTTTCCCTGCTTGCCTCGTTTTCGCGCAGACGTTCATCATCTCCACTCAACTTCACGAAAGAACTCTCCACCGCCGGATCTGCTGCTGTTTGTTTCCGTTCCGATCCAGCCCGGACTACACTTGGCGCCGCGAGGACGGATGATCCCTGACCACTTCTTTCCCGAAAACCTGCGGTGGTTGTCGGACCCACTGTCTTCGCCGGACTACGGCTCGAGGACCCAAAGGCGCCTAACACGCCCACCCTGGCAGCTCCGTCATTGGTGGTCGTAACTTCGGCTCCCTGGTGGGCCCCGGTGACGTGGTCGTCGTCCGGTAGTTTGCCGGTACAACTACCGGTGCCAGATATCGACAGCAGGTCGCGGGAGCACGAGAGCCCGTCGGTGCTGCGCGCATCCTCCCAGTTGGTAGAGCTGTTCAAGTCCACGTCGAGCTGGACCCCCTGGTCGCTACCTAACAGGGAACTACCCGCCGCAAGACCCACGCCGCTTTCCTCCGTGCTGCCGCGCTTACTGCTTGCCGCAGACGATGCGGTCGCGAACGAGTGTCGTTGCACGATAGCGTCGTTCGCTGCGGGATCCTCAGCAGGTGATTCCGCAAGAGTGGAAGAGAGCCATTCCCGCCCCGGCCGGGGACCACCCTCCGGCGCGCCAGGTTGTTGTACTAGCTGTCGAGGCGGTGCCGCACCTTCGTCCCCCACGACGTCCTCCCGCTGCTCCCGTTTGGAACGCGGCTCTGCTTTTTCGTGCGTGGAGAGTTCCCGCAAGACGTAGCCGCAGCCCCCAGTCAAGTGCAGGGACAGATCGTGAAACCGTTTCAGTGCGGGCCGATGACAAATAGTCACATACACAATCGACAACCGCTGACACTCCTCATACAGCAACTCTTCGAGTTCCACGGATACCGCGCTTGTGCATTCATCCAGGATCGCTATTTTTGGACGATGATACCACAGGCGCGCAATGGCGAGGCGCTGCGTCTTATGCATTCATGAAAAACAGCAAACCAGTCCATATTATCGTTCGTACGCAGAAAAGCCAACAACGAACTTTGGCAACATTCCATTTTGACAAATATCAATGTCCTCTCTGTAATCTGTTCTGTCGTGCCCCCCGTATGGTCACCTGGAAGAGGAGGACACCCGATGATCTAGTTTAGAAGTCGCTGTGGCAAGCGACATAGTAGAGGTACTAGACCACCCAGTACTAATAGGACAACTAACATAGTGCACAAATACCTTGACTAGTCGCGCATGATTTATTGCACAGCATACTTTTGGCCCAGCGACAGCTCCGCATCCCAATCCCGCACGGGCCGTGATCTGCCGCGGTTCCCAGCCGAGTCGGGAGGCTGGAGGAGATCGGTGAGCCCCACCTTCGTGAGACAATCCGACAACCTCTCGGCGTCAAAGGCAACCACCGCCGACCGGCTGGGGTAGCAGATCTGCTCGAAGAGCGTGCCCCGCACACAGTAGGGCTTCTGCGGGAGGTACATCATCTGCTCCTCGTGAACCAACTGCACCGAGCCCCGCTGCAGCTGCCACAGGCCCGCCATGGCACGAAAGATGCTGCTTTTCCCCGCGCCGTTGTGCCCCGTCAGCAGCACGGTTTTCTTCTCGATCTTCAAATTCAAGTCTTTGACAAGCAGAAACCCGCGCATGCTGCTCGGTCCGCCAGCAGGCGTTGCGATGTCCGCATTGCGGAAAGTGATACTCGCTGGTGCTGGCTGTGAAGGTACAAATTCGGTGCTGGCCCCCGTTTCACTACAGTCGTCGTCCAGTGTCGTGCGCGGTTTATTTTCCTCAATCGGCATTCCACCGGCACGGCTGGGGGTGGTGTCCAGCGAAACAGCCGCGGCGCGCTGCTTGTCCCGGGTGGCGCTGTTGTGATTGCGCAACGACTCGAGAAGGCCCGCCAGCCGCCCCGCAAGCGACTGAATGTGCCTGTGCATGGCATGGATGTTCAGCAGATTTCCCGTGGCAATCAGCCCTTCGCTGAGCAACAGCAACGTCTGGCGGTACTCTCCAAAAGTTCTCGCGTCCTGTCCGATGGAAGTCGCGACCGTGTTGGCCGTCTTGCTTGCAGCGCTCGACGTCGTGAAGAAGTAGTGGAGCAGAAAGGCCGCCAGAAGCGGGCGCAGTGAGTAGGTGTAGCAGAGCTTGAATATGAAGTGGAATTTTCGCAGCGAGTAGCTCAAAGCCTCGTCTTTCTGCAAGCAGTTCCCGAGCCGGTCTTCCAAAATTTCCTTTTCCCGCAGCGCGGCGGTTTGCCCCGGGAACACGGCGATGGCCTCCGCATGGTTCTTAACGCGCGTGGTAGCGGCTTTGTACGCGGCCTGCGCAACCGCGTGTTCCCGCGTCAGCTGCCCTACGTCCTTGGGAAAAAGCCGCTGCGCAACCTCGTACGCCGCCAGGAGGTACAGTTGGGGCCACAAGGCCAGACCCACCTCGCCGCTCCGCCAGGGGCTCGCGCGGCGGAGACGGAACACCAGCGCAAAGCTGAACACCGCCAGCTGCGGCAAGGAAACCAACAGCACCGAGACAAAGTTCGCGAGCCGGCCCGTCACCGAATTCAGCTCCTTTGTGAACATCTCAGGGATGTTGATTCTTCCCCGATGCGGGAAAAACTGTGCGTGGTAGTACGCTTGGTGCGCAAAATACAGATCGTGGAACCGCGTGGCCAACTTGTGCCGGAAGCCGATGCGTATCAACTGCAATAAATATGTCCGGGTCTGGAAGGACGCAGAGGCTTGTGATGTAGCTTTCGCATGACCCAGCAGGCCAGGCACTCGAGCCCCCGCGTCACAGGTTCCGAGAAGTAGGCCTCTCACTTCCTAATCCGCATGAAGAAAAAGCCCTTCTTTCGGTGGGCTGTGCATGTATGACAGCTCTTCGTGTGGTGTGAAATGCGCGTTGGCAACATCGTACTTCCAGACCCAGATATTATATTTGCCATGCATAGTGTGCAGCTGCGTACCGAAGTACTGCTGCAATGCCGTCTGCAAAGCAGAAAGAAACGCCATCACGAGTCCCTGGCCGAACTATGCGGGTGAACAACTCCCCGTAATGCAAAATATTAATAAATACCCAATTGACGCTCTGACTCTATCTCTAAGTTCTGTCATCTCTATGGCAAATTTTGGAACCTGATCCTCAAGAAAGAGCACAACAATCCGTGTCCAGATTTATCACGCGGAAATCCAATTTCCTCCGTTGCTTGTTTTGCTCCTTATGCCACCTTTCAGATGAGGGGAACGAGGGGGTGGAGTTGTGCACTCGGGTACGAACAGCCGCGCCGCGGGCGCCCACGAAGGCGGCGTTGCGAGAACACCTCCAAGTCCTCCGCCGGACTGCTCTGTGATGAGCGCGAGCAGTTGCGATACGATTTTTGTGGACCGGTACACGCAAACGGCCCGCAGACAACCCAGCACGAACAGGCTGCGCATCGCCTTCTTTGCGTCCCCGGCTCCGTCCCCGTTCCACTGGTCGTCCGCGAGATGAGGAGGAGCGCCGTGCCGTCCTCCCCGTGCAGCCGCAACACTACCAAAGGTCTCGCCACCCTCCTCCGCCACACCCCGCCGCGCAACATCCTCCCTGGTGCGATCGCTCGGCCAGACCTCCGCCAGAAGCTGGAACACATGATCATCCTTGCCTCGCAGCGTGCGCAATAGCTCGGGCTGCGCCACAGCACGAACCAAGTGATACACGTACTTGACGACGTCCCAAGATTTCAGCTCTACGACCATAATGACAGCGCGAGAAATAATCGGGTGCGGTCGACGGACTTTCCTCCTCTGCGTCGCTGCACCACCATTGACCACATGGTCGAAGCTGGCGTCACGTCACCAGTAGCCACTGCATCTCTTACGTCGTCCACGTTTTTCCGCATAGGAGGATGGCACAAAACTAACAGCTGGCTTACACCAGCATTACTGCAGAAGTGTCCACCTACTAACCTCCCTCTGGCGGCACTTGTTCGGGAGCACTCGCTCTAGTACTTACTTCCATCTTCCGAGAACAAAGAGCACGAAAAAAACCGAGCGCTACGATAATTACCAGAAAAACTCAACAAGTCACTTTTTTTGGGTCATTGTACAGCACCGAACCAGGGCCACGGGCTATGAAATTGCAAAACACGGACTTCTAGTGACCGCGGGGTGCTTGTTGTAATTGTATCTTGTTTTCTATGCATCACCCTTATATTCATCTTTCAGTTTCAAGAACAGCCGCACGTGATTCCTTGAGAAAACCAAGGGCGTGAGGAGACGAAGAGATGAAACGAAAATTCCTCTATTGTTGCGATTGAGTGCGCGCACATATAATTAATTCACGTGTACTTTTTCTTTTGCGTATCCGTCCAATATCTATGGAACTCAATCAGATCGGTAGCGTTATTTGCTACCTCATGCAGTACAGGAGAAGGCATAGTCGCGAGCCAGAACCGCAATTTTTCTGCGACCGGAGCCTCCTCATTCTTGCCCTCTACCTCCTCCGTTCCGTCACCGCTCCCGCTTCCTCCCATTGAAGATGACGCGATATTCAGCGCCACGAGTTCCGCCGGGAGCCAATGACTCGCCATATCAAATGCAAAAGTGTCTGGGTCTGGAAGAGTCCAAGATTTGTGATGCAGGTTTTCCATGACCCATGAGGTCTGGAATGCGAGACCCAGCATGACAGATTATTTGCGGTCTCTATCATGCCTTTCCTGCATGAAGAACTCCCTCTCAACTTGGTCAAAAGCGGACAGCTTTTGGTACTCACGCAACACAGATTTTTGCATCATTCAGATTTCGCATCACAGGTTCTAATCTTCCAGACCCAGACATTTTTACATTTGATACGCCACTGTGTGGCGCCACTGGTACTGTAGCTGCAGAAGATAGGTGTTATGGTGTCGTCAGTGTTGTATTTGCCTCAGACCGTAAAAAAAATTCTGCGCGCATTTTTTCGCGGCGCAAGGCTAGTAAACCTGTGCACGCTAGTGAGGGGCTGACTTGAACGCGGTTTGTTTTACCTAGCTTGTCAGCAGCAGTGCTCTAGTAGGTAAGTGAGTATTGACGCGAAGGGGGGCGGGGCGCTGGGGGTTCTTCTGTGGCTGATGTTTTCACCTAGAAAACGCCGGGCGCGCGCAGTATTTTTCTCCGTTTCCCGGATTGCTCTCTCCGTGCAGCTATTTGCCGCTATGGCCTGGGTCAGCGTGTGAGGCTGGAAACGTCCCGCGAGATGCCTACACAGGCCCTGCCCTCCTCGTCTCTAGCGGGCACCACGCACATATGTTGGCCGCGAAGGCTTTTCCGAATCCCTTCCAAAAAGGGGGGGCCGGAGGGGTGCCCGGAACCCTAAAAAAAAGCCTATTGCTTTTTCTCCGAATCACGATGGTGCTACCCCTCCCCAAAAGGGGTCCCGGAACCCCTCTGGGAACCCTTCCCGGAAGGCTCTCGGGTTTCTCGCATTTTGATGAAAAAGCCGCAAAGGCAAAAAGCGCGCGCGCCTGCCGGTACACGCGCGCACAGCTGCGCGACATTAGAACCAAGGGGAGGCGCAGCCGCGGTAGGTTCCGTTTGCGCCCTCGCCTCCGACCGACTTGCACAGAATGGGGCCCATTGCCTAGCGGCTGGATTGCAAGAGGACCTGCTGCAGCACCTCCAGGCTGCAGGGGCGCTCCGAGGCAAGTCCGAGGAGCAGCAGCGCCGGATAGCTCCGTCTTTAGCCACTGAGATGCGCTGCGAATAAGCTAGCTAGTTCATTAGGTGCGCAACAGAGTGGGGGGCTATACGTGTGCAACATGATGGATATCAAATACAAAAAAAGGCGCGCGGAAAATTTTTTACAGCTTGAGGCAAATACAAGTGACTCGCCACTGTGTGGCGCCACTGGTACTGTAGCTGCAGAAGATAGTTGTATCCAGCCAAAAACTTCTAGTCAAGCGATAAAGTGGAGGGAAGATGCTCCGCTTTTTGTTGCACTTCTTTTCAAATAAGTAAGCAAAAACAGCGCATCTCGAAGGTGTGACGCCGATCCTGTTCCTTCTCGCAGAAGCACCCGAACCATACCAGCAAGATCCCTTCAGGTCGATCGGTTGTGCACACTCACAGCGAGAAAAGGAAAAACAAGGCGAGTAGTACAAGCTTCTTTGATAGCTTTAAGACTATTAAACTACAAACGTGACTTCACAACTGATTCTGATTCTACTACTTCAACTACAGCCGAACTTACAATACTTTTTCGGCATAAACAGGCCCAGGAGCTTTTCAAGTCGTGCAACTAGTATCTTCTTTGCGGATTCATCGTCTCACACACGAGCGCTGACTGAATTTTTTTGGCTCATAAACTTATTATCGAGGTGGTTGTCGTGAGAGACGGCGTGAACAGTTCGGTCGACTTTGACGGGTAGATCACGGTGGCCACAGACACTTTCCCCGCCTCAGCATTGAGAGTTATTTTCGGGCCCCGCGAAATCGTCGTGCTTCGACTCCCTGCTGAGGCGCGCCGGCTGGCGAGCGCTCCACCGCTACTGACATTTCCGTTCAACAAAGCACTGATGCCGGTCAAGGGAAGCACGCCTGTAAAAATTTATGCGCCAGATTGAGGCTTATGAAGCAACTTCTCTTGACGTGTTCGTCGTCTTTCGTGCGGAGCCCTGCCTAGAAATGTATGCCACTTACTTACTTTCCAACGGAAGACCGCAATACCATCTTACTCTTCGACCAACATGAAAAAGACTTACAAGTGCCGTTGGTCCGTGCACCCTCTGCGAAAAGGACGGTCGGCCGAGAGAGATCCGTAGCCGCAGACAGATACGCGTCTTCTGGAAGGCGCTCGCCGTAAATCTCTATTCTACTGAACAGCACACCCATACCAGAAAATAAAAACAAACCGCAACACAACTCAAGTTTAGCAAGGGCGTCCCTTTAGTTAGCAAGGCAAATTAATGTTTTTCCTGGTATAATGCGTGTACTTTTCTCTTAGATAATCTCCGCGGCGCGAAGAAAAGCGGGGATGATTCCGCGCGAGAGCTCCACGCGAGCGGTGCTAGAATGCGTAAAACAGAAACTGTTGTAGCCAAACAATCCGAAATAGAGCACGTCGCAAGGCCCTTGTGCATTGCATACTAACAACCTGCCATGCTGCGCTTGATCTTCAACGTTGGTGTTGCCCTTTCTTCCTGTCTTATCACCGCTGCTTGCGGCCGTGCGGAGACGTAAGCGTCTCGGGTCCGTAGTTCTGCCGTAGTCGATCTGTTGTAAGAAACTCTTGCGAATTCGCTATTATTCAGTTTATAGCAACTGCGCTTTAGGAGAAATAACAACGTATTCTTTTCTGGCTGCATAATATGCTTGTTGGAGATGCCACCGACGTCACTGCGATACTCATCATGGAAAATACATGCATACACGGGTCATCATCCTGGAAAATGTCAACATCAGATCCTTACACTCGCTCGGGAATACACAAGCTGAAGATGACTTCTCAGGTTGCACTTTCAGGCTCCCGTGCATAGAAGGCACAAAATAAACAGTTTATGGGACTAAGGCTATCCAAATGAGAGGTACCCAGTGGAATCCGAGCGAGAAGAGACAGAGGCGGCAAAGGTATCAATCGAAACAAAGCCTGTGGTGCCCAAGCCACATGTGCGAGATAGAGATTTGATGCCGACTCATATCGCGAAGACAGAAGAACTTTGACTTTCTTGCCATGCGCAATCTTGAAGATACTACGAGACCTACAACCAGCATGTTGCTGATGGCTACGGAAGATCTAAGAACAAGCTTGCGGTGGTGCAGAGCCTGCTTCAAATACTAAATCCATCGTTCAGGAGTCTTGTGCCGATCTTTACAGTGAAGAAATATTGGTAGCATATGATCGCTCGCGTCGTGATGGAAAGTACACCTGCAGGTTTTGTTTCCTTGATACAACTGGAGGCAGCAGGAGGCAGGCGAGAAGGTCGTGAAGATACCCTGACAGGATGTGAACCGCGCCAAGTAGAACCCAAGCGAGCACAAGGGCCAGAAAACCCAATACAAACCCGACAATCCGCACGGGCAGCACGAGCGGAAAAATCAGCAGGAACTTGGTTACTTTATGCCACCATGGTATTCTTCGGTTGGCCCACACCGGAACGAAAGGATTCACTCCTTTTGTCTGGTCGGCAAATTGCCGGTATTTTTCCATGCTCGTCTTCTGTTTCTCTTTGGTTCTAAGTACTTACTTTCAGGAAATGATAGAAGGTCGTGTCTCGATTCTATGATCGAAAAAAGTGAACTAATTCTAATCCGCACAGCACGAACAATTCACTGGCTTCATGTTCATTGTCCTCGAGTCGTATCATCTATAGGTTTCGCGGAAATAAAAAACCGTCACAAAACCACCCTTTACGCTTTTCTCTTTCTGGCAGCCAACAAGCGAAAATTACCAAGCCTGCGAATTATGTGCGAGGTTTTTCATTGTTTTGATTTTCAGTCTAACACATTCATGGGCTCGACAACATGAGATCGCTAAAATAGGGCAAGGCAGATCTTCAAACCATGCTTTTTACCGTGCGAGAAGAACGGCAAGCCCCGCGATCTTGGGTACTGATCAAGGATAGATCTTTTCAGAAAATTCATGGAAAAGCAATAAAGCTTGCTCCAAACAACGATCTGTCCCGTGTGCGTCTTTCGGGCCTTCGAAAGACTTCAGGCGTAATAGGTCCAGTCACCTCCAACCCACGCCTGAAGCAGATCATGCTTATCGCATCGAACAGAAAAAGTGTGTTCCTGACAAGGTCCCGTAAAAGTTGCGAAGATGGCACAACATGCATTTTTTGTCATCATATCTTATCGTGTGGGGAAACATGATACCACCAATTTTTGTTTGCCTCCCGTACCTGATTCAATGCAAGATGAAGCAATTGTTCAAAACTGGTAGGTGCTGCGCAAAATTATCGCTCCGGGCAAGAAACAACAGTAGTAGACGGTTAGATCGTTATGTTTTGTGATACAACTTCTCGGATTATAATCTTCTATTAGAAGTCGTGGCTGGGTGGCTCCTCCTTGAACATAGCATCCTTGAGCGCTTCCAGGGAATCTCCGTTGGAAAAATGTCAGGGGAGCAGATGCTGCAGCGCATTCGCATCCTCGTTCCTCTACGTAACAAAGACTGCACATCAAAGACCACTGCGCCTGCCACATACTTAAAATGTTCAACCTCTCGCGACGCCTCGCACAGCACAAATGGCACGACGCTGACGCGTTCGTACTGCCAAGCAACATGCCAAATGCAGAACAGCACGGCGCCAAAGAAATGCCTGCAGCTTCTCTGACCCTGACCCATCCGCACAAGATAGCGATCGCCTGATGTCGATCGGTATATCAACCGCACCCGCGACCGGCGGACCAGCACCTTCGCCGTGATACATCGACTGTGCGTTCTTTCGTCGCGTCCGGTTCTGCTGCCGTACCTCCACGGGGGTTCGCGGTGTTTCCAAAATTTCCTCCTCGCGATAGCGCGCAAAGTAATCCAAATTCTGACTTCCGTCGTGATCCGCCTGCTGCGTGACAAAGGTGCTGCTTTCCTTAGCCGCCTGCGAAAGCATTGACTGCGAGTCCGAGGAAAGCGCGAAGGGAATCGCCTGCAAAAAGCTAGTAGGCCCGCCACCCTGCTGCTGTTCCTGCTGTAGCCGCTGCTCTACGAGCTGATCGATCTGCTTGCGCCATCCACAGGAAAAAACACTAGACAGTCTCCGATTACTGTGACTCAGACATCAGATTGCAATCACTCTAAGAGGCGCAGCATGACGCCGATTGTGCCACTGAACTCTGATAACTTTCCCACGTTCTACTTGTTGCGCTGTCGTGTGATCAAATGAACATGTAAATGATGACCTCATTTTCGACTTTTATTCATCTTATTAATGTAGAAAAACTCAGAAACGTCATCATCATACTTGCTAGTTGCTGTGTCACCATGCAACAAGAGCGACGGGGAGTCAGTTTTTTCCCCTGCTTAGGCGTCGTCGCGCGAAGATCTCGTCCATGGTGTCGTCATCCAGGTACTTTCCGATCAAGTATCAAACGAAAAAAGTTTGTCACGATCACCCATGCGCATTCTTGCAATACTGTTATGCGTACAAACTGCACCACAGCCAAACTCCATAAGGGATTGCTCTAGTGTTTCTGCAATACAAGGAAGCGCTGTGATGCTAAAAAAATTGTAATGCAAAACCTGCAAGGTAGTGACTGTGGCAAACTTTTTTCTCTCCATATCAAGTCCACTGGTTGCACTATCAGTTTCTTCTTTGCCCCTGGAGGGCTGGAGGATTCCTGTTTTACCATTCGGAAGCTGCAGAGTGTCGAATATTGCTACCGTGAACGCTTATTCAAAAACGAGTCGCCCTTCGGCGAGTGTAAGTACGTAGTGCCGCGGACGTTGCAGCAGCTGCTAGTGTGCAGCTGCATTCATTGCACTAGCTGTACCTATCGACATGGAACTCGATATCAACAATGCCGCACCTGCACAAATCGACTTCATAAGCGAACTGCCAGTTTCTTTTTTGTTCTGTTACGATGATGATGATTTCGCAATCGGCTCGGCGTCGCCGCTACTGGTAAGTCTCTCAAGAAAAATAAGAAAAAAACGCAGGTACACAGGGCAAGTATTAATGACTCAAGCAACGTCATCTACCGCGGCCATTCGTTCTGTTCGCTCGTTAACTCTTGTCAGTGTGTCCGTATACAGTGCCTTCTGTATCAAAAGGAAAAATCCCCCCTCCCCATATCGAAATGGAAATCTGTGATGCAGGATTTGGGTACACAAATCGGATTTGTCTTGCAGTAAGGCATCGCAGCCAGATCCTCGGCATAGGTCGGGGCGTATGGGTCTAGTTGCTTAGCATTGCAAACGGGTGTCCCCTAGGCCCAACAGCATGACAAATCGCCTCCATAATGGGGCGGAAGCCTCTGCCCTTGTCGTCTTGCAAAACAAATGCGATTTGTGACCTCAAATCAGCAACACAAATTTTCGGAAACATGCCTTTTCAATATGGGGAGGGGGGATTTTTCCTCTCAGTATTCTGCAGATCTTCCTCCGAAGATCCCAATCGCTGTGTCCTGTATCAAATGTAAAAATGTCTGGGTCTGGAAGAATCCAACTTGTGATGCGCATTTTCGAACACAGAAAAATCTCTCATGCATAGGTAGCAAAAGCTGCTCAATTCTGTCACCAAAATGGGGGATTTCTCATGCGGGTTCGGCATTGCGGAGGCTTCTCGAAACCTGTGATGCTAGAGCTTCCATGCCAGACCTTCTGTGTCATGCAAAGACAGCATGAATCTTCCATACCCAGACATTTTTACATTTGATATCCTGGTTTGTTATATCATTTGACGGCAGTTCCACCGCACCTTCCTCGCAAAAAAAAAACCAGTTCATTGTAAGTACTCCTACAACTCAGATAAGGGAACGAGCACGTTGGTTCCATCGATTGAATAAAGTTCCATCTTCTAAGTTGCCTCTCAAAGCAGGTGCTCCTGAGAGCGCTCCTGTTGTAGCAAACGCAATTGAAAATTGAGATCACGTAGGAGCTTCATCTCACCCTTCCGCGTTTCTTGTCGCGAGCGCGGTACTGGGACTGCTTTGCCGAAGCCGCGCAGGCCGTACTTGTCGAAACGCTCGCCTTGTTTTCGTGACCTGTTGCTTTTTGTCCCGCGCTGCATGCGATCCGTTTCCCGTCATGTAGAACTTTTTCACGTGCTCAGTCTCGACCGTGATGCGGCCGCGAAACAGCTTCTTCGGGAACCCGGGCTGACTGACGCGCACGGCGCGCAGGGCGGGGAAGTGCTGCAGGAGCGAAAACTCAGCTTCGATCCGGCGTGCGTGCGTCGCAGATCCAAACGTGCCCCCGCCCTCTCCCGACGTGGTAGAAGTGGAACCGACGACGAGACCTGGCCCACCCGTGCCGTCGTCGTGAGTCGTAGTCAATACCGCTTCAACGGTGTTTTGAAAATCGTTGTGCTGCAGCTCTAGCACCTCCAGCTTCACGAAAAGCTGCTCCTCCTCGTCCTCGCGTAGTATCAAATGTAAAAATGTCAGTGTGGGTCTGGAAGGTTGCCAGGTTTGTCATGCATATCTTGCATGACTCAGGATGTCTGTAATGCATGATCTAGCATCACATATTTCAAGAGGCCTTCCTGATCCTGATGCCTATCCCGCATGACAAATGCCCTTCTCGCCTAGCACAAACTGGGCGCCTCTTGCTGGTCATGCAATACAGATTTTTTTAGAGTCCAAAGTTAGCATCACAAGTTGCATTCTTCCAGACCCAGACATTTTTACATTTGATACGTAGCCGCCGAATGCGATTCTGTTTCAAGGACAAGTGCTTCAGGTTGCGCAAGCAGTCCAGCGATCGCCACTGATCGAACTGCACCAAGTCGTTGCTGTCGAGCACAAGCGAAGTATCAAAAGGAAAGAGAGATCCCCCCTCCCCCATATCAAAACGAAGTTTCTGACGCTGGATTTGTGGATACCATGGCTGCTGGCACGTAGAATGAAGCGGACAGTCCTCAACCAATACACATTGGAGGAGGTAGGGATGAACCCAACACCCTGGAGGTGAGAATCGAGGATGGCATTGACCTACAGAATATCATTAACGAGCAAAATACCGCACACGCTGGATTTGTGTACACAAATCAGATTTGTCTTGCAGTAGAGGACTGCAGGCACATACTAAGCATGAGTAGAGGAGTGTTGGCGTAGGCGTCTGGCATGGCAAATGTCTATGCTTTAGGCCCAGAAGCATCACCAACCGCCTGCATCCATCACAAACCGCCTGCATCATGCGGCGGATCTTGTGGAGTTGCCTTCTTGCAATGTGGCCACAAATCAGCATCGCAAATTTTCTGAGGCGTGCTTACCTTTTCGATATGGAGAGGGGGGATTTTCCCTTACAATAGGAAGAAAGTTTCGGAAAACCATCCAAGCTCTCTTCCGGAGGAATGCCTTTCGTAAATCGATATAATAAATCACCAGTCAGCTGTGCGACAGTAACCCTAACCGACTTCAAAGCCAGTTTTTCTCTTCCTGAGCGACAGGTGGCACTCTTCTTTCGTTCCTACAAATGCTGTGGTAGCAGTTCTTGTAGCAAGCGAAAGCCACATCGAGCCGAACACGGACCCAGACAAAGCCCGCCTGTTGACGTTGAGTGCACTACATCTACAACGGGAAAGAAAATAAAGATGGCCCTGGCCCTGGCCGCAATGTTGGAGTTGGAGAGCATTAAATTGAATTGGAAACAATTGAGCTTCGGAGTACTTCTACACAAGCTGAATTGCTGAATAAAAATGCTAAGAGGGCGAGGTGTAGGGCTTACTAGAAATGCAGTTGGCCGTGAGGTTGAGCTTCTCCAGCTGTGGCAGACAGGCCAGCGCAATCAACACGTCACCGTGCAGCTCGTTGTAGCTCAAATCCAGCGAGGCCAGCGTGTCGAAAGACGAAATATGGCTGGAGAGCGGGTTCCGGCGGCTGCAAATACAGTTTCGTTTTGCGATACTCGTCTTCTTTTTTACTCAATTGCAAACGAAGACAAAAAATTTGATACAGTAGTCACTTCCTCAAAGTTTCCAATACAAGCACAAACTTTAGTATTTCCCTGTAACGAGGAATTAAATCGTACCAGTTCAGTCTGCTGATATGGTTGCAGGAGAGGTTCAGCGTCGTGAGCCGGGGCGTAACAAACAAATGTTCCAGCACCTTCCGTATCGTATTGAAAAACACCCCAACCGCGCTAGAATTTTGACATCCTTTCTTATACATGCTAAACAGACTGCTCCGCTACCGAGTCAGGATTAGCGAGGGTCCACGCAGCTAGGGAGCACCTGAAAACATCATTTGTAGTGCAAACTTTCCCCCTGGTGTAAAAACCCCCCTCTTCATCTCTCTTGCAGATTGTAGCAGCGCAAATTTTTGTTTGATACTACAGAGTGGCAATAATTTACTATGTATTTGTGGAAGGGCCCGGAAACGGCAGGGCTCGTCATGTGCAAGATTGATGCTTTGCACGTCTTGAATCCGGATCAGCAATTCGTAATCCTTTTTCTTATGCAAAAACTTCCCTCCTGGAAACTTGGCAACGCGGCCATTTGAAACCTCGGGATGCGGGGCCTTTTCCATTTTGATATCCCGTATTACAATGAAAAACGCACCCACCCCCGAACTTGGGAGCATTTGTGTTGCAAACCTTTCCAAATGAAACATTCGCCTTCTTGCATCTATCAGCCTCACAGGTTTTCAATCATGAATAGCAAAAATTTGTATTGCAAAAGACCCCAGCAAGAGCGGCGCTTGTCATGCAAGCGATGCGATACACGCCTACATTCTGCATCAGAAAGATTCGCACTCCTTTCATGCATGACAAAAAGTTTTCATTTGCAAACTTCGCATCACAAATTTTTGCAATTTAGGGGAGCGGGGCCTTTTCCATTTTGATATCCCGGTAATTGAGTTTGTTGTCCGACAGGTCCATACTGTCCAGGTTGGGAAAAAAACGCATGTCGTCCGAAACCTCCACAATGTCTAGCGAGTATCGCAAGAAAAAACTGCTTCACTGTGAATTTGTGATGCAGAAAATGGAACACAGAACTATTTGTCTTGCTACACCTGCAACGCCTTGGATTTTCAAGCGTGTTTTCCCTTGGGAAGCGCGCATGACAGACTTTCAGTGTCATGTGTAACAAACTTGTGATGCAGATCTAGCAAAATCATACATAACAGTGAAACACTTTTTTCGTACGATAGCGAGGACAGGTTCGCCACTACTGCGTCGTCCGGAAGGCCGAAGCCACCACTCGCTAACACCAGAAACCCGTCCAGCAGCCGGCCAGTCTCGGCCGCGCCGCCGGTGGTGGCGCCGCCATCCACGACGCTCGTTGAGGCCGCGGACGACATACGCAAGCTGCTTTCGACGTCGGGAGGGAAGCAGGAGACGTCAACTCAGCAACAAAATAAACGCCACTTAACAACAAAAACGAAGAAGTGCACGGGCTGCCTGTCGCGAGAATTGTTCCGCAGAAGAAATACGCATGCTGTTGGCCCGGCGACTTCAAGTTCTTGAACGCAACCAACAAGAAGAACTGTGTCTAAGAAGTATCAAATTCGTCCATGTCTTCGGAAAACGGTGCCGCTTGCTTGGTATACGTTAAAATCAGCGAGGCGTTTAGATTGCTCGGACCGTCAGTAACGTGTCGTGTGTTACGCCCAATGCAGTTATTCTTGCTCCAAACCGCTGGACGTACTTCGCGGGCGCATCGCAGCTCCGTGTGGTAGTGCCCGAACAGAAATATGAAGGTTTGCCGACGAAATTTCCCAGGCCGTTTGTGTTCTTTTTTTCTAGCGCTTTTTGTAAAGATGCTAGGAAAACAAGAACGTCTCCGCACTCAGCCGCTCCGCTGCGACCCGTATGAATTTTCGCTCATGGCTTCGCACAGACTTACAGAAGAAAAAAACATCAATCGTACAAGAAATATCGCAACAGATGCTGCCTGATTTATTTGTCTCCGGCCGTACCTCGATCTTCGTACTTCGCCATTTTTCTTCTGAAACATCAAGCCGCTTTGCTTCCTCTCAGCCGGTTTTACAATGCCCCTCAGATTTACATATCAGTTGGTCCCCGCAAGTCATCACTTTGCAGTGTCGCTCCCGCTCATCCGGCCTATCTCAAAGAGAAACTGAAAATAACTCGGGGAAGCCGAAGCTCTGTGGCACAAATGTGTTGCAAAGGAATATTTGAGGCCGGCAGCTCTAAACTGATCCTCGGAGTCGTTCTCTCGTTCTATCCCAACGCAGACGCTGCCCGCATCCCGGGCGGACGGTATAAGTACATCGGGTGTTTCATGGAATGCAAACACACTAGTGCAACTAGGATCTCCATCTTCTAGGCACCATATGGTTCTTTCCCACTCCAACGAGTTGCTACAGCCGTCTTTATATCTTCTCACTCTTGCCACCTTAACAAGGCGTATGCATGGTGGTGAGCAAGCTTGTACGTCGATGAACTCAATGAAAATGATACCATGCACAAAGCACGAATAGGGGACCGTGTAGAAAACCGGACTGATCTTGTAAAGTTTGCTCGCGAGAAGTGGTCAAATGTAGCGCCCTTGACTTACGCCGAGAATCTCGTGCTGGCTTTGTTCACTAAAAATTTAACCCTGCGCAAATGAATCTCTGTGACCTCCCACCAAAAATCATTGCGTCTTCGCTAAATAAATTGCTCAGGAAAACGGCTTGAGCAGTGATAGAATTTCGTCACTCTTGCTGTAGCTTCTTGACCTCAACTTTGGCATCGGAGACTGCATACTGCGAGTGCGCAACTTTTGTGAACTCTGCGATGTCCAACTTCAGCTGCAGGAAGATTTTCGCCTGGTCATCCTCGGATGCATTCAGGCTCTTGACGCGCTGCAAGGAGCGATAACTCGCTTCTACCTGCTCAACCACTGTCGTTGCCTGCGTTTCAAACACGAAGGCCGTCTCGTGCACGAGCTTTTGCACCCACGGCGCACTGTCCCAATCCACTCCAAGAACCGTCTTCGCATGCGACACCCTGTGCATCAAAGAAGTAGTTATTAGGCGAATTAACATATAGCTTTTTCTTTTTCTTCTTTCTCCTACGTGTTCATTCAGATACATGGGATCATGTTGTTGATTATTTGTCATTAATTGTGCAAGCTCGGAGGATCCAGAGCTGCATAATTCGAAATTTCTATACGTCTCCTCGAGAGGGGTGAACAGCGTTCGAACGTAGGGCAGGGGACTCGTTGGTGTGGGGCGGTTCATCATGCGGTACAAGCTTGGTATTCTCTTCACGTTTTCGTACAGAATCTCATTGATCTTGCCCTGAACCTGCTTCAGCAGGCTGTCGTTGACCTTGTCAGAAACCTGCGTCAGCTCGGCCCGCGTGTCCTCGAAAACCTGGTCCACCAAGGTCAGCAACGCATCGCCTTGGTCCGCCTGCGCCTGCGTCAAATCGGACGCCGCACCGCCCAGGTCGAAAAAGTCTGACTCTGCCGACTCGTGCTCATTCACGTGGTCTCAAAGTGGAAAAAACCCTCCCGTCCAATCTAAAAAGAACTTGCTGCGTCCTCGAGATGCTGGGCGCACTACACAATGTTATGCCAATTCAAGGGAATTGCATTCCTGCTCTTCAGTGCAGAGATAAAGTTCAAACGTTACTAAAAATCTTGGGAGATCACTGTAGCCGAAGCGAACTGCGTTTTTCGTGTTCCACGACCTGCTGTCTTTTTGAGTTGAAAGTGAGACCGCGAAGCGAAAACTCGAACCTGGACGTGGAGGGGCCACGTTTTGGTATTTTGCTGTGATACGCTACTTGCAGTAGTCGACCCCGCCACGACCATGATCTCTTGCAAAAGGATGTCGCTGAGACCGCTCCGTGGACGTACCAAAACGAAAACTGCTTCCAAAAAAGTGCATGCATGGTGCGCATGTTAAAGAAGATCATGAATTGATGTTCTAACTCTAAGCCAAGATACCCGACGGGACAAAAAATGAAACATGCGCGCAGTGAGTGGGTTATCACGGAAACATATCAACTGTAAAAATGTCTGGGTCTGGAAGAATGCGAACCTGTGATGCGTGTTGCGGATGATACAAAAATCTGTGTTGCATGACTTGCAAAAGGTCCCCATTTCTCGCCATGCTCAGAGGGCATTTCTCATGCATAATGGGCATCACTAAGGGGCTGCAGAACCTGTGATGCTAGGCCCTGCATTCCAGACTTGGTGGAGCTTGGAAAAACTGCATGACAAATCTCGGAATCTTCCAGACCCAGACATTTTTACATTTGATAAAACACTTCTCTTTCTGATACTGCTGCACGTTTTTGAGCCGGAGGCGTTGCTCGGAGAGGAGGATGAACCGCCGGCGCCCACTTGCTGTTCGCACATTTGGGTGAAATATGGGATCAGATTATTACCATCTGGTATTAAAATCTGGTAATGGATAAAACCAGTATTTTATTCTACATGTTCCAATGAAATGAAAACGATACTAGTTGTTGAATCTACTTCTGAGCACCAGCTCTGGATGCTTACCCTGCGACGGACGGCGTCTCCGAAGTCCAGTTGCTTCTTCAACAGGGCAAGGTCCGCAAGAAAGAGGGGCCCGTGCCTCTCCAGATCGGCGGCTACCCACTCCTTGCTACCACTCTGCAGCGTGTTGGCCTGGATGCTGGCGCAGGTTTGCAGGAACGAATGTGGGACCTCGCGAATCCAGGAGTGAAAGAGTTTCACAGTCAAGGTCAGAAATTTAACATCCTCGAGAAAAGTACTTACACTCATGCCAGCCAAAAGCATCAAACATGACTATACGTACCAAAACGCCGCTACTGCAGTGCAGACACGACTGTGGAGATGACATTTTTTGTCATGCAATAATTATGCGCTACGCCCATGTTGATAGATAAGAATGCCCAAAAAATCAAGGGTCAAAGTGGACAGACAACAAGCACGTTTTGGTGATGCCAAGAAATCAGTTCTTCTTCTTGCGTGACATCAAATGACTTCCCAACAACATAGTAGGGGTGTAAGTACTACTTTTTTGTGGGATACTATCCAAGAAAAAAACTGTGTTAGTGTAACTATCTTTGGCTGACAGCATCACAAATTTCATGCGTGGTTTGTAAGGGAAAACACACATGAAAAGAGGAATGCGTGGCTGTCTGGCATGACAGGCGTAACTCTATTGCGTGTTCTGCATCACAGATTTACACTTACACAGTTTTTTTCTTGCATAGATACTTGGCGAATAGACCGTCCAAGAAAATCGCCCTGTCCCGCGTCCACATCCGACGAATATCAACTGTAAAAATGTCTGGGTCTGGAACAAAGCAACTTGTCATGCTAAATCTGAACCATGTAAACATCTGTGTTGCATGATTGCCAAAAGCTGTCCACTTTTGACCTAATCGAGAGGCAGTTTCTCATGCAGGATAGGCATGATAGAGCTTTCACAGAATCTGTCATGCTCTGTCCTACATACCAGACCTCATGGGTCATGGAAAACCTGCATGACAAGTCTGGCACTCTTCCAGACCCAGATATTTTTGCATTTGATAACGAAGCTGCGTCAGCAACGCTTCCGTCGCAGGCAACCGACAGTCGGCACCTTGCTGGTGGGCGGTGCGCTGCACTTCCTCTCCCTGTCCGAAGAAGCGCTTTGACGAGGCGGCGGCCTCCCCAAACTGATAGGTCAGCTCCTTTTCTCGAATGGAGAAGTACACCTGAAGGAGATTGTTCCGGATCGATAAAAGCTCCGTACAAACGAGACCATTGAAGATGGTGGGCCGATGAAAAATCAAATTAGAAAACTTTCGTCGTCCAACGCTGCGACGCCACTGGTCGAAGCAGAAAAGAAACCACTTCAGGCAAGACGAAACCAAGGCTTTATCATGTATGACCACGGAAAAAAACACCGGTGATGTTCCGAAGTTGCCACCACCAACTCTTTCTATTGCCACGTCACTACGGTGCGAATTGAAGTCAAGCCACTCATGGGTCGTGCGGAAATGATCACACCATGAAAAAATGCATGTACGTTGATTTGCCACTTTCGGTGGAGAGCCTCTTGGTCCGCGCGCCACACGACTTTCTCTTCTGCGGCCATTTCATGCTCCAGGGCCCGTATAAACCGTTGGTAGGCAAGGTAATTTTCTGCGAATACATCCAAAATGCCGGTTGGGATAAACACCGTCGGACAGTTCTGCAACAGGTACTCTAGCACTGGCTTCCCAACGCCTTGCGAGAGCAGATTCACACCCGGCTCGCACGCACGCACGAACACCTGCGCCATGGGTGGAGGCGTTGGTGCCGACCTGCCGTCGGGGCGCTGGCTGGGGTCCATCTGATTGGATGCCGTCCTCCTTGCCGGGGTCAGCAGCCGCTCCTCTATCACGCTGAAATACTTCTTCACGGACACTCCCTGAATCTTCTGCTGAGCCTCGGAAAGCACTTTTTGCACGAAAAGCTCCGCGAAGATCCCCACAAACTCGTGCTCCACCCCGAGTAGCAGGAAGGAACGGGAAAGCTGAACATAAAAAATTATTGTGCATCCTTGTAATCACATCAACTTTAATTATGTTTCGCCGCCATCATAATTACCCCGTCCGCGCGGTCTGGTAGATGAGCTCGCTGCACCATACAACATCACAATTATCAGGAGGGAGGGCCGACACCAATACCAGACTCGGCGGTCTTTATTCACTAAAATGTGCCGTCCTCTTGGCCTTGGGGTAGGTACCGTATTTACGTCAGAGCAAAAGCAAAATACATGTCATGACTTTTTGATTTCATAGGTGTACATGTCCGGTGGCAATCACCAGCGCGCCGCGGCGGTCGGGTTCCGCAAGGCCCCCCTCCATCTGCAGCACACTTCGCAAATATCCTGAGGAAAAACGTCTTCGCCCCAGATTTGTACTATTTTATGCTAAATTATAAGCAGAAGTGCGGCGCACTCTCACTTTGCCACCCCGGTGCAAACTTCCGAAGATGGCTGTCACGCAGGGATAAATCTTGTTATGCAAAACTGTAAGCCCAAAAAATGTTTCTCATGTGCACCCCCATGAAGACAGAGCACTCTCTGACTCAATCCGAGACTTTGTCATCCTCGAGTCAGACTTAGGCGATCGATTCGTGATGCTGCTGCACCAGCTTGCTACCTAACCACGCTTACACGGCCAGCCCAAACTTCTACTCCTGCGCAATACTTGTTCATTTGTGTACCTACCGCAATACTCTCATCTCGACTCCGGGGAGATGGAGACGTTTTAAAAGAGGATAGCAAACGCCCCCGCAGGACGTCGAGAGCTTTTTGGGAAAAGTCGGCCACTTCAGCGTCCAACTCGGATACGGCCACCCGCAGTTCCTTGTCGTGCGCAACCACACGCTCAGGAATACTGTTCACGAAGAACCGCACCTTGCGGATCTTCGACGCCACAAATTCCAGCGTCCCGTATGTCTTGAGAAAGTCGTCAAGGTACAACCCACTGTCCGCAGCTGCGCTCGTCAGACCCGCCAGCGTTTGCCGAGTCTTGGCCACGGATTTTAAATTCTCCTGCAGAGAAACAATGATGCGCTTCTTCTCCGCAATGCTTCGGCGCTGCTGAATGCCAGCCCGAGCTTTCACGCAGAGCTGCGATGAAATATTAAATGGTGGAATTGCAATTCTATTTATGCCAACGTTCAATCACTCTTCCGATGCACGTGCTACGGCTCTTGGGAACAGCACTATCTTGTTCTTCCGTGGCCGCTACCACACAAGACGAGGGTAAGTTCGGGACTCGGCCGAAGTATCGTTATCATCACGTGCTGCATCTGGCAACATGCAACAGTCACATGCAAAAATCCACCTTTCACGATCACTTTTTAGATTTTGCAGCCACGCCGATCACCGAACAATCTCATGGCAACGATCATGAACTTGATTCCAACAAAAAAGATGAGTAGAGTCGCACAGTTTATTACCTCATCCAGCTTAGCTGCGAAATCATCACAGGTGGCACGGTTCTCTTGCAGCGGTTCGATGATCGGATGGGTTAGCTGCTCCAGCTGCTTCATATGCATTGCAAATATGTCTGGGTCTGGAAGGATGCAACTTCTGATGCTGGATTTGGATTCTGCAATACATGTGTATTGCATGAACAGCAAAAGAGCTCCAGTTTTGGCCACGGCGAGAAGGCATTTCTCATGCGGTATAGGCATCAGGAAGCCCTCGCAAAGTCTGTGATGCTAGGACATGCATCACAGGAGACATCAGGAGTCATGCAAAACGTGCATGACAAACCTTGCATCTTTCCAGACCCAGACATTTTTGCATTTGATACTTCATTTTCGAGGACAAAGCCACAAAGTCACTGTATTTCGCGTTGATGATATATCAGACAGAAAAAAGCTGGCAGGTCACATTTGTAATGCAAAAATAAATACACAAAAAAATCTGTATTGCGTATCCTAAACAGCATGCTATGAGGCCGCCCATAGATTTTTCTGTGTATTTATTTTTGCATTACAAATATACCCTGCCGGCTTTTTTCTCTGGGATATGATATCCCGGGTAAAAACGCTCCCGCGCCCCCAGTCAAGACGAAAACTTGGCAAGAAAAACAAAAATGAATCACGAAACTCCCGGAGGTTGCTTGCATGACATTGACAAGTTGAAGGGATCCAAAGCGGAGTCGTGTTTAGCCTGTATCACGACCGCATCAACGATTCCTGATTCGGGCTGCATAGCAAATTCGTAGACACCAGTTCCTACTACGCAACGCCTCTCAGCGAGCTGCGGACAAGACACATGCGGATTTGCTTGGCACGCCCTGGGGCGGGTACTACGTTTTGAATACGCAGGATAAATGAGTTCAACCAACTCAGTCTTCACCGATTCGGACTTTGCGGTGAGAACCTTCTGCAGTTGCGGCAACGGGATGGAGCGTCGGTACTGCGAAATCCAATCCTTCGCGTCGAAGCTCCGCTGCACCTGCTGCTCCTCTGGCAGTCCGCCTCCGCTTGCGCCCGCCTCGAAGGCGGAAAAATCAATCGCGGCCGCCACCATTGATTCTCACGCTTCAGCTTGCAGCACCTGCTGGAAATGGCCACGACGGTTGGTGCCCCTCAGTCACCAGAGTACTAATGCGCCCGGTCGCTGCTCCGGTTGCGCGCGGGGGCATGCAGCGACACTCATTCTTGCTGGTATCAACAAGCAGCCAAGCCGTGATTGAGATTGATCATGGAAGAAGAAACAAAAAAGTAGTAAAATAATGTGAATTTATTGAAATTGCGTCGAGAGTTGTCGAAGTCAACGTATTTAGATACAACAAATCTTTAGTTTTTGAAAAATTTCCGAAAGGGAGAAACGACCTTACGATGATTTTTCAGTAGACGAGTCGCGTTCTTTGGACCGAGTTAGTCCTTCTTGCATCGTCCGCAAATTCATACACTTTCTACGGCCGCTGACACAAATGAAGTAGCACGTCCGCATAGAAGATCGAGATGATCTAAGTAAGCACTTTGATCTAAGTAAGCACAAGCACTTTCCGTACTTTTTCCGTACTTTGCTTCAATAGGTCTACAGGATCATTTTCATCATAAAACCGAGGACAAATTATACCTAGACCCAGGATCTAAGTTATTCGAACAGTCGACTACCTGGTGTTTCCCGAAGCGCCCAAACTTGTCGGGAAAGCAAAACTCACGCTCGCTGGTCCTCGAGGTGGTGCGATTACTTCTTGCGGGCAGGGCGGCCCCTGGGGCTTTTTTGGAAAATGGAAAGGTCGCGTTCGCGTTTCCATGTTGAGGAAAGCGAAGATTTTGATTTGATCTTGTCGCTGATACAAATTATTTTTCCGCCCACAACCTACTTTCAGAACGGCAGAGAGAACTCGGTGTGGTGGTAAGTACTGCGGTCCGCCACTGCTCAGAATCTACGCCTCGAAGCGAGGCTGCTCCTTCTTCCGCCGAACTTCCGCTGGAAGAGAGCAGGCGCGCGGAATAAATCGGTGCCGCCACCGCCACTATTGGGTAAGTAACTCCGCTCCCCCCCTGCCTTTTTGCGCTTCGTCCAATCCGAGACGGCTCCACTTTGCGCTTCTCTTCACGTGTGATATCATCTTGAGCGGCTCTCAGTGGCACACACAGATCCATGCGAGCGCATTCTGTCGGCGCCAGCGTAGCAAAGAACAGCCCAGGACGAGAGCCCGAAATTCCTACCTCACGTTGATGTCCGCTTTTTGGCCCCCACCTCCTTTGGCACCCGAAAAACTAGGAAGCATAAACCAGATCAGGAAAACCTGAAAGGTAGTCATGTAATACTTTTCGAAAGTCTTCAATTCTGATAGATACTAGGCTAGGAAGTGCAAGACATGAACGGAACTCACGACAGACTGGGCTGGATGGCATTTATTTGATTTCTACGAATGACACATAATTCCAAAAGTATTCAAACCTCAAAAAACAGTACCTGTAGCACGGATAGGACAAGGATGACTTGCTTGTGCAACACACCAGTGTTGCTCGCGATGCCCATTTGCCGTGCGTGATCGGAAGCGAAAGGTTGGTAGTGCGATAAAAACCTCCACTCTGCAAACACTGCTGCAGCGGCGAAGTATGCGAAAAAGAGCATGAAGAGGACGTAGGGCAGGAACATCGCTGATGTGGTTGACAAATAAAATTGCGAAAAAAAAAATGCCAGTGCTTTCTCAGGAACAAATTTCTTTGTGATTTTCCGGCGAAAGTGAGAACAAAAGAGCCAGCTTGGTAGCAACTAGCTCGCTCTCGTTTCGTCTTTCACATTTTCAAATTCCAAGTCTGAAAGAGGACCACAACAGCGGAAATACAAACACAAGTACAGGAGCTGAAAAACCAAAAAAAGTAAAATTATTCAAACACCAATACCTAGGAGACTGAGCACGGACAGGGTGACGTACTTGTAGCCATTAAAGGCAACGAGGTCGATGAGAGACACGCTACTGTTGATCGTGAGAAAGACCAGCCGCCCGATGCCATTCTCGAGCGTGGCCACCACCACGCACCATTTTATTGTGGTGGTAAAAACGTTATCAAGTGCAAATATGTCTGGGTCTGGAAGGATGCGAACTTGTGATGCTAAAACAACCGCACCGACATGCGAACTTGTGATGCGCATTTCACATGACTCAAAAATCAGTCATGCATGGAAGCCAAAAGCTGCACATTTCTGGCCACCGAAAGAAGGGCCTTGTCATGCGGATTACGCATTAAGAAACCTTCTAAAAACCTGTGATGCTGGGGCGTGCATGGTAGCCCTTCTGGGTCATGCCAAAGCTGCATCACAAACCTCTGCATCCTTCTAGACCCAGACATTTTTACACTTGGTAAACGTCCGGATGGAACTGGTCCGTCAGGGCCATGTGCTATTGCAAGGAAAGACCCCCCCTCCCCATATCAAAACGAAACTTCTGATGCTGGATTTGTCTACACAAGTCAGCTTTGTATTGCAGGAAGGCATTGCGGCCAGATCCCCAGGCTAGGTAGGGGCGTATGGGTCTTTCTAGTTGTTCGGCATGGCAAGCGGCTCCTCTTTAAGCCCAACAGCATGACAAATCGCCCCCATAAAGGGGCGGAAGCTTCTGCCCTTGTCTTCTTGCAAGACGCATGTGATTTGTGACCTCAAATCAGCAACACAAATTTTCGGAAACATAGCTTTTGAATATGGGGAGGGGGGATTTTTCATTTTGATATGTGCAGCGTGATAAGCACCAAGTACGTAAGCGCACCCATCGATGGAACGTACCTACGGTGGAAAATGGTGTTGCATTTAATATAGCCGTGTTTAGTTACTTACTTTTCAGTGGCAGCGGTACCGCCGAGGAGCACACCGGCCCGCATGTTGAACATCATAGTCGTGACAACTGCCTCCCACAAATGAGAATAAAACTAGTTATACAGAAGTCATCAAAACAGCAGTACAATTCGGGGTCGTCTACGTTGCTCTTCAAAACGACGATCTGTTGTCCCTCGCCGTCCGGCTTATCATGGTTTGGCCTCAACCCCAAGTGGCTGTCGTCTGGCTGCGTATCCACCTTTCCCTTCTTGAAGGGAAATACCAAAATCCCCAACTTGCGTAACACGTATTCTGTGTAAAAACGTCCCCACCCCAGAGCTGTCATGCAAATGTGCAATGACAGGAGCATTTGTAATGCGCAGCTCCATAAGAGGGATTTCCAATCTTCCTTTTTTGGAATTTGTAATGCTGTAGACAGGATGAGAGAACGGCTTTCTCATGCGGCTTCTCTTGCTGACCAGTAGAACACTGCAGAGGGAAACTTGTCATGCGCAACGGCCAAAGCCTGGTGATTTGTCTAGCAGATTTCCCATCTTGACTCTGGTGTGGGGACGTTTCTGCTCACCATAACACGTACATGTGATTTACCGCAAAGTAGCTCCGAAAGTAATCGAAGGAGGGGAGATACCTGATGCAAAGCTTTTTCAACAACTGAAGCCACGACTTGGTGAAAAAGAAACACTTTATACAGGCCACTTTTCGGGCCAGAGACTGAGATGAAAAACTACACAGGTTTGGTGGCAAAAAATTTCCTCGGAAAGGACAGACTGACCTCTTCACATGCGATTGCCATTCTTTTCCTTGGACATCAACGAAGTATGGAATGCAAAAATGTCTGGTGTTTTGTCTGGAAGCAAGACCATGGTACAGCACAGGGAAGAGAACGACTTTAACATTTTGAAGAAAGAAAAGAGAAGAGAACTACGTGGATATAATACCCCTCAACCACTGTACCCCCTTTACGACCACTGCCTCTGCATGACCAGCAGGAGGAGTGGTCGTAGTCTGCCTCTGCATGACCACTGTAGTCTGTATTGCATGACCAGCAAGAGGAGTCCGGTTTGTGCTACGCGGGCAGGCCATTTGTCATGCGGAATAGGCATCGAGACGTCGTCAGAAAATCTGTGATGCTAGGGAATACATCACAGACGTCACGGGTCATGTAAAATCTGCATGACAACTTCCACTCTTTCCAGACCCAGACATTTTTGCATTTGATACGAAGTAAACGCGTACAAGTACCTCGTGAGCACGGTAGCGTTTTTCGCTACCTGGTCGACGCCCGCCGACATGGCCATGGAGGCCATTGGATTGTTGATGCCCATGGCTTGCATTGCCTCCGCGCTGACATTCTTCATCTCTTGACTGGTGTCCGCGCTGAAGTACGCCGCATTATTGCTAGTACCCTGCTGCGCCGCTGGGTTGCCTACCGAAGCGGAGGACGACGCTTGCGAGAGTGGTGCGCCGCGCTGCCGCTGCTGGGACGCGGCTATCTGCGAGTCGAACTGGCCTGCTGCTCCTTGCGGGGGCGCCATGTTCGCGGGTCCTCCGGTGGCTTGCGCCACTTTCCCCGCCGGGGACGCCGTCGTTGCTGTACTTGGCGAGTTAAACCCGAAGGTTGGATTACTCGTGTTTGCGGTGGGTGTGGTGCCCGAGGGCGGGGTCGCAGGGGTCATAGACTGTGGGTTGCTGGTGGAAGAAAATGCGCCGCCGCTCTGGAAATTCGCCGCGCTTGGCCCGCCCGTGGCGGGCATCACCGGCGGCTGGCCGCCCATCGCGGGGGCGCTGCCCATCCCGAACCAGGACCCTGTCTGGCCACGGGAGGACGGGTCCGGCACAGCCTGCGGGGCAGGTTCGAACATGTCGCTCATTACGGTCTGATTCTGCAGTATCAAATGTAAAAATGTCTGGGTCTGGAAGAATGCGCGATTTGTCATGCAGCTTTTCCATGACCCATGAGGTCTGGAATGCAGGACCTAGCATGACAGATTCTGCGCGATCTCTCTCATGCCTATCCTGCATGAGAAACTCCTTCCCGACTTGGTCAAAACTGGACGACGTTTGGTAATCATGCAACACAGATTTTCGCATGCTTCAGATTTAGCATGACAAGTTGCATTCTTCCAGACCCAGACATTTTTACATTTGGTATGCAGCTGTGCCGGAGATGGGATGATACTCGGCCCGCTATTCCCCGCTGGCGGGTATTGCAAGGAAAAATCCCCCCTCCCCATATCAAAACGGAACTTCTGATGCTGGATTGGTGTACACAAGTCAGCTTTGTATTGCAGAGAGGCACTGCGGCCAGATCCCCAGGCTACGTAGGGGCGTATGGGTCTAGTTGTTCAGCATGGCAAACGGCTCCCCTTTAGGCCCAGCAGCGTGACAAATCGCTTCCATAATGGGGCGGAAGCCTCTGCCTTTGTCTTCTTGCAAGACAAATGTGATTTCTGACCTCAAATCAGCAACACAAATTTTCGGAAGCATACCTGTTAAATATGGGGAGGGGGGATTTTTCCTCGCAATAGCGGGGGGCCCATCATCCCGGGCGGCCCCAACTGCGGCTGCCCCCAGGCTGGCGGTGCGGAGGTAGGTGGAAACCCACGGCCGGGACCTGTTCGTGTGGCATTGCTCTTTTTTTATGCAAATTATAATATCAGTTCAAGTTCAGAGCACATGTGGAGTCGAGCTTCATCTGCTGCGCGTCCTTTTTTTCATACATTACAGCGCACTGCAGTGAATCAATACACACAACAGGCCGCAAAAATCTCACGTCGGAGAAAAAGTTCGCAGCTACTGCATACTCATACTCGATCCACCGCACGCGCACAAATACAAGCATGAATGTGAGAAGTTGGAGTGACAGTGTACTGCACTTCTACCACCTCCAGTTATTTCAGAACTTCTTCTCTCGTCCGTCGTACGAAAGACAAAAAAACCGCACCTGGCCCGCCAGCTCCCCCTGCATTCATTTGGCCTGTCGGCGGGGGCTTCTGGTCCGCGGCTGGGTTGCTCATCAGTTCCTGTTCAAACGCATCAAACGAGCTCCCGAAATTATCCGCTCCACCGAACGGGTTTGCCATCCCGCGGTTCGACATCATTTACCCCGCAGATATCAAATGTAAAAATGTCTGGGTCTGGAAGGTTAGAACTTCTCATGCTAAATCTGAACGATGCAAAAATCTGTGTTGCGTGAGTGCCAAAAGCTGTCCGCTTTTGACCAATTTGAGAGGGAGTTTCTCATGCAGGAAAGGCATGATAGAGACCTTAAAAAATCTGTCATGCTGGGTCTCGCATTCTAGACCTCATGGGTCATGGAAAACCTGCATCACAAATCTTGCATTCTTCCAGACCCAGACATTTTTACATTTGATAGCAGAGTTGTACTTCCAGTCGTGCACCGCAAGATACTGTCTCGCCCCGCCACAATCCTGCAAGTAGCGAATATACAAGCACAAATTGTAAAAACAGAGCGCCACTTATTTCTTGTTTACAAGATATTATACTTCGGAATTCCTTCAAACTGCAGCCCAAGAACGTATGTGCTGTTCTGGTAGTACAAGGCCAGGAGTAGAACTTCACGTTCACATATTCCGTGTGCTTTCTTGATCTTCACGGCCGCGGACAAATCATAGATTAGTCACGAAGGACAGCTACGAAGCTAAGAATGTTCCTACAGAAGGTGCATGCAGACCGAAAGTCTTAACGTACAAACGATAAACATATTCAGTGTGGGCTAGAAATACATAAATGCTAGTCTACCACGACCTTGCGAAAAACTTAATACATGGAGATGGACAGATAAAATGTGGTTGATAATTATTTTGCTTTCCTCTGCTACGCGGAATGTAGGCACTGTGCGGAAAAATCAATCAGTGCCGTGCGAACAAAAGTGACAGAACAAACCCTAGAAGTTGCTCTTGCTTTGCAACACTGAGTTGTTGATTTGCAATGAATTGCGTCATGATTCGTTTTTGTATTTCAGTCCGTATGACTCCAGCGATCCCTTGCATGATAAGGATGATCAGTCACTAGGTGTGGTAGGTCAGTATTAACTTGTTTGCCCTTGCTTGTCTTTGTATAATTACGGGAACGGTCATGGCCAGATAATTTCGTGGAAACAGCCATCCACCACTGCCTGCTGCGAACGGAGATTTGGATCTGTTGTTGCCCTCTCGTTGCGCGTGGTCGCTCGAACGAATACGTCGCATACAGGCTGTCTACCAAACTGGGCTACATGGCCAGCACAGTGGCGAGGAGTTGTACCAGGGTCTGCGGAAGTACGTAGGTCTCCTCCTCGCTCGCTACCGTCCACCTATACAAGCCGTTTTACGCTGCCGAAGTTCAGGTAGATTACGATCGCCACGTAGTACAGCAGCGCGCAGCTGATGAACACACCTTCCCACCCCAAGCTTTCCTTGAAATAGGCCGCCCCTCAATCGAATGCAAAACGGTCTCCATCACTGCAAGAACTCGAGGGTGCACGACAACACTTCTGCGTCCCTGTGAGCCATGTGCACTGGCACGTCAACATGAGTTTGTATGCCAGGCAAGAATTACGTTCAAGTTGAACTTTAAAAGAAGTGTCCACGACGAGCTCCATGATGTATCAAATCAATATCAACGACGTAGTTCTGGTGGGCGCGACAGCATCTCGCTGACCCGTGGCCGTGGCACCATGCAAAACAGTAGGTACCGATAAAAACAGTCTGCAATGAATTCTACTGCCTAAGGCTCGTTCTAATCATCTTGCTCTGCAGTTGGAGTGGCGGGAAACATTTTTTGCAGCATACGCTCGTACCCCGACTATTCCCGGAATAGCCCCGACCATATTTGTCGTGGCAAGCAGAGTGCCAACATGCGATTCCCCAGCAAGATCGAGTGGCCCAGCTAGGACCGACGAATGGATAGCGGCACCTGTTGGGCATGTAGTCGTCAGACGAGTTTTGTTTTTTTGTGCCTATAACCGGCTCCTTCTTCTGCTTCAATTGCGTCCCTTCTAGTACCGCTTCGAATTCATTCGTATTATTTCGCTCTAATTGCACTTGCGCTGCACTTTTAATGTGCTACTAAAAAATCACCTTCACAAAAAAGTTGCTCCGAACAATGCCAGTCAAGTGCTCCCTCGGCCGTGGAACTGGAAGCACGCAAGCGCCGCTGAGAACATATTGCAAGAAGAAGAACTTCTACCGAAAAAAGCACTTTTTATACCGCAAACGAGTATGAGCGAGAACATGGCGGACTGCGTTCGATGATCGTGCACGAAAGGCATGAAGGTGAACAGGATGGCCGGGAAAAGAAGGGCGACGATGGCCAGCTCGCGCCGCACATGCCACAAGTCACGGCGCTTGGCGAGCTCCCGCTCGCAGTAGTAGGGGAAGATAGGTGCTGCGATGGCGCAGAGCAGGTAGGGAAAGGCCGACATCACCACGTTTTTCTTGCCGAAGAAAGTCGGGAGCCATGCCAACAGGATAAAGTTACACCAGTTATGGCAGAAGTGGCAGGCCATAATCGCGCAGAACGGCTTGCTCGATACTAGGAAGAACAGGACCTGTGCGGGTGTCGCATTTCGCGCATCAAACGTTCTAGCGTTCATTCCTCTGATACTATCGTCCGTATTTTTCACGAGAACTGGCAACTCACGCTCGTCGTCCACCCCGGCGTCGTCTATTATTTCTTCCGCATCGAGTTGTCCATCGGCAACGTGGACCTTGCTGCTTGTGGTTGCGTACGTCGTGGCAGTATTTTATCGAACGAAAACTGTTCCTCGCACCCCGCCCCAGAGGGCATTTTTTGTATGTGCGCGGCTAGAGCTGCCCACTCGCGCACGAAGACGATTGCTCATCTGATGCTGGTGCTGCTCTGCTCTCGTCTTTTACAAATCAGTAAATGCAAGAAAGCTGCAATCAATCTCCGTGTTGATGACACAGAATTTGGATCGAAAACGCAGCGAAGGCAAGTAAAAACGAACGGGGTCTGATGTATATTAAACATAAAGGCTGTAGTACTTCTTCTGCCGTGCACATATTACATCTGCACAGAAAAGTCGAAATGATCCTGGCACGCGGGGGCAGGCTTCGATGGGCCAAATTTCAATCCCTACCGCGGAACTCTTGCTCATGGAGGATGTGCTTGTTGGCGCAGCCCCGCCAGCGCTCGGCGGACCCACGAGGGCAGCCCCGCCATCGCTCCGTTTGGCACCGGCAACGACGCCCGCCTTAGTAGCGGTGTACAGGGACATGCCCGCAGTGGTCTCCTTGCTTTGCTTATGGAATGCAAATATGTCTGGGTCTGGAAGCTTGCAAAACTTGTCATGCAGGTTCCGGAATGACCCATGAGGTCTGGAATGCAGGTCCTAGCATGACAGATTCTCTAAGATCTCTATCATGCCTATCCTGCATGAGAAACTGAACTCCATCTCAACTTGGTCAAAAGTCGACGGCTTTTGGTAACTGCGCAACACAGATTTTTGCATGATTCAGATTTAGCATGGCAAGTTACCACGTTCCAGACCCAGACATATTTGCAATGCATATTGCTTGGGCGAGGTGGTCACGGCAGGAACAACGTAGTCTACGGTATTGTGCGTAAACATCCAACCTCCTCATACTCAAAACGAAAATCTGTGATGCTGATTTGTAGCCTTTCTCTTCTTGCAGGCTGTTTTTTTATTTTTCCACATCAGCCCATTTGCTTTTTCTTGCGTACGTGGCAAATGTTGAAAACCATCCGGCCTGTTCGTCTTCGTCCGCTAGTCTGTAATGCGCTTTTGCCTATGTCTGCCATGCGGATGAATTATCTCTACCCTTCTACGTACCAAAGAGAAAGAAACAAGTTCAAAAAAGCAATTTCTGCAATACATTTCTTTGTGTACTACGCAAATCTAGCAGCAAGAGGAATGATCTCGCTTTTGAATAAAGGGGTCGTCGTGAGGGCTTTTTTCACTTTGGATACCCAGCAAATTGAATCCAATCGGCCTGTATCAACTGCAAAAATGTCTGGGTCTGGAAGGATCCGAACTTGTGATGCGTGTTGCGGATCATACAGCAATCTGTGCTGCATGACTTGCAAGAGGTCCCCATTTCTGGCCATTCTGAGAGGGCGTCTCTCATGCAGAATAGGCATCACCAAGGGGCTGCAGAACCTGTGATGCTAGGCCAGCCATTCCAGACGTGGGGGAGCTTCGAAAAACTGCATGACAAATCTCGGAATCTTCCAGACCCAGACACTTGCATTTGATAGCCTGCTGGTCAATGCGGTGGTAGGCGTACCATGTCTCGGAGAGCCACCTTCCCGCGTCCTGCCACATATGGATTGCAAATATGTCTGGGTCTGGAAGAGTGGAACTTGCAATGCTGTCTGAGAATTCTAAAAATATCTGTGTTGCATGAGCAGTAAGAGGACTCAGTTCTTGGCACGCGGAAAGGGCATTTCTCATGCGTAATTAGCATCAAGAAGCTCTCAAAAAATCTGTGATGCTAGCACCAGCCTCACAGACCTCACGGGTCATGCAAAATGTGCATGACAAGCCGCGACTCTTCCAGACCCAGACATTTTTGCAGTTCATACCACATAGCGCGCAGCGATCCGAAATTCTGTGGGTTCAGCGACCCCGCGAGCGAAGCGTTCGGTGGCATCCCGCGGTGGGGGCCCTGCGATGATCCTCTCTGCCCGGCTTCGCGCCCTACACCGCGCGGGCTCGCAAAGGGGTCACTCGACCCGTCGAGGGAAAGCTGCGGCCGCCCGATGATAGAACTTGTTGCGGTTACCGTTGCTGTCGTCATGATACTTGCCGTGGTCGCGTCGAAAGTCGAACCCGTTGCCGCGTCCATTTCACTGCTATCAAATGCAAATATGTCTGGATCTGGAAGAGTGCATGTTTGTCATGCTTGTCTGGCATGACTCTTAAATCTGTCATGCACGTTACCCAAGCGCCCCACATTGCTGTCCTGCAGAAACGCAGTTTGTCATGCAGAACGGGCAACACCTAGAAGCTCAAAAGCTTGTCATGCTGAGCCAGCACCTGTGGCCTCTTCATGATACGCCACCCAGCATCACAAGTTTCCACACCCAGACACTTTTACAATCCATAACTGCTAGCGTTGTGCTATGCTGTACAAAGGAGTCGGCCTTTTGATCCTTCCGATGTTGACATTCAAACTCAGGTCCGTGAAGATAACCACGACCTTTGCACGACAACGGACATCCTTTCCACCTGCTCGTCGTGCGCGAGCAACTACATTTTCCGTTTACGCAAAGTTCGCAGCGAGCTACCTCTCCACTGGTCCTTCTCAGGCTAAAGAGGGAGGTAAGTCAAAAAAAATTGATGCAAGTTTATGATAAGATACTTTTCAACGTTCAACTTTCTCAAGAACATCAGCACCTTTGCAATGCATACGCTCGGGGAGACGGTGGATGGTTCCAGCGGGTCCAGGTTATTTCCGTGGTCCATTACAGCCCGCGTCGCGGTGCCGGCGAAGTCGTCCAAGGCGATGTCATCGTTGGCGTTTCGCACCACCTCGTAATTGCCACTGGAAACAAAGTACCTGTTTTCCGCGCGACTGAAGATCATGCACAGCACCAGCGGCACGGCAGACAATGCCGACATGGCCGTGGCGTGGTGCCACTCGGGAATTTCGGCGGACACAAAGTAGGTCAACGCCACCGCCCCGGGCGTCGCGGCCCCCATCCGCCCGAGCGCGGTGGTCTTGCGCCCAGGCGACTCCACGACCTGGGCGAGCAACACGTAGCAGCTGGGGAAGAAGAAGCCCTGCCCGATACCTGTGATGAGACGCGCGTACTCCAGTTCCGCCTTCGTCTTTGCGAGCACTGCGATGTACAGGGTGCACACGGCGGACGACACCAGGGAACATTTCAAAATGAAGTTCGGCAGGTAATACGGCATCGGGTTGCGCTGCAGCACCCGGCTCGCGGTGAACCCACCTAGGATGTAGCCCACAAAAAAGGCAGACAACACCTCGCCCTGCTCGTAGGTGCTCAGCTCGAAATCCTGCGCCAACCCCTTCACCATGATGATGGACAAAATCGCCCGCTGCCAGTAGATGATCCCGCTCGTATGGATGTGGCGGGATCGAAATCGACAAAATCGAAAAACTTGTGATGCATAAAATGTAGGGCACTGAAGGCCTGTATTGGGGAGCAGGCAAATGAGACCGATTGTCAGCCTGTTTAGGGGCATGCAAAGCAATGCGCTGCCAGAGTAGCATGACAGGAGCAGTCTTCTTTGCCCAAGCAGCATGACAGACTGGACCTGGGTGCTCCCAAAATTTGTCACGCGCCACTTGAAAACTGAAGCTCCAACTGAAATCGATTTTGTGCATCACAAATTTTTCGACTTTGTCAATTTCGACTCTGACACTTCCATAGCTCGCCACGCAGGTGTAGAACACCGGATACGCGAACGCGCCTCCGAACCGGAACGGTGGCGCGGACACGGCCGACGTGTTGTAGCTAGTACCATGACTACTTGACGAGTTGCTTCCGTGCACCGCGGACAGTGCCACATTGCTCGCCTCGCAACAGAGGTCGCTAACGGTTTGCGCCAGAGTCTGCAGCAGCAGCCGTATGCGCACAAACAGCCCCGCTCCAAGAAACCGCAGGAACTCGTGCTCCTTTTCCTCGCGGTAGCTATCCCCCTTCAAATCTTCTGCCTCCTCGTGGTTATGAAAGAACCCCAGTCGCTGGATAACTCTCAACCGCGGCCATTTCTAGTCTATAGTCATGCAGATCATCTTGTGCATAGAAGGCCTTGCTCATCTTGCGCAGCACAGCATCATACTTACACCTACGAAAGAACGCCAAATCGCCTTGGATGAGTCAAGCCCCGGTCTGACGCACCTCATCATTCAAACGCTGCGGCGAGGACGAGCGGCCTCTGAAAAATGTGCCTCTGGTGCAAGACAGATTTGTGCTGCACATTGTCCCGGTTGAGACCACTTACCCATCTGAGCAAGCCATAGTGGTCCGGCGAACCAAAAGGCAATCCAGTACGTGTCGCCATTACGATAGTCATGACGCGAGCTACTTTCTGGGAGCACGAGACTCGTGTGGGATTTGCGGTGGTCCTGGCGCATTGGCGTCGCGATTCGACATTCTGCAGTGCGCCGATAAATAGAAGTACTCGTGTTGGGGACGTCTAAAACTGGTTTCTGCGGCGCATCTATTTTTCACTAACGAGGAATACAGATACGGATCACATTGACCAAATTTGAAAGGTCGCTTCGAAAGAGTTGCACCATGTAAGGTTTGCTAAAAGCTGAACTTTGTATCTAGATGGGATGTCGCACATCAACAAGCGACGTCGACGTCTTCCTCATCGTAAAGAAGCCGCGACAAACGCACTGCATTTTATTCTTTCTGGGACTTAATTTGCCACCACCATATTCGCAGGAGGTGGGGTGAAAGACCCTCGCACAGAAACCGCGAACACAATTGCAACGAACTGAGAAGTTGTACTTGACGTTATTACCAAGCAGTTGGGCGTCCGATTCCTGTACAGACAGTGACAGATAGAAGGGCACACGGCTATACTTTCTTGTTCGGAAAAAAAAATTATTTGCTTCCAGTAATTATATCAGAGCACGGTATCATTAGTATTCCGATACGTCATTCATAGCCGTTTCCAAAAGCGCTACACGTTGTCGCTCCTCGGCCAGTCCTTGACGCACCTGCGCGACGGTCGAGGATTCGGTGCTGCCAACTGCAGGTGAAATGATCGATCCCCCACGGTAAACAGATCTTGCTGCATTCGCCCCGCTATCCCTCGCTGCTTTCACCCCGCCACTGCTCGCGCTGCCGTTGTGGATCTGTTGATCTTGCAGTAACGCATAGGTACTGGGAGAAACGCCAAACTTGTCCGGAGAAGCGTTGGAGGTCTGCTCTTTCGTAGCGAAGAGCTCCTCGTCGAAGGGAGAATAATCGTTGAACTGTTTCTGTACAATTTCTGCAAGCGAGGGCTCTCCGTTTTCCCCCTTAGTCCCGAAAGACGCGCCGGCATGAGCGTCGCTCTCCAACTTTGCAACGCGGCTGCCCAATCTTTCTAAAGATTTCTCAATGTCCTGTAGCAGCGTTGTAGCCTCGGGACTCCTTGCGTCTTTTCCAGCCGGGCTGCTTCGATCGTGCTTTTCGCTTCCAATTGGGGTTGTTCGCTCCTTCTTGCTCCGTACCTGGATTGTTGAAATATCTCCTGTCGACGCGAGGGACGGGTTAGTACTTACATACAACTTAATGCACACGGCGACAGAGCACCTGCCTCTCAGGTGATGTACAGAAAAAGACACACTTTAGCAAAGAACATCACGAAACCGGTTCACTAAACCGCGGCTCCAAACTGGCAGATGCGAACTCATGGACTCTAACCTTAACTTTCAGAAGCAGATCTGATTGTTTACGCTAAAGTTGTGAAAATGACACTTTTGGTGCATTCGTGACGTCCAACAGTGAACACTACGTAATTTCCCTACAGTGCACTGCGACTTTTCCGCGTTGCAGAGGCTCGTCCAGCGAATATCTGATTCTCGAAGTGTCTCAGTCTCTTAATCATAATCAAGAAAATCAATCTGTCAGCACGTGTTCTATAGCCGCGTCCGCCGGACCCAGACATAGAACATCATAATTCCTCGGTTACTTGTTCCATGGAACAGAAATAAAGCAGTGTGACAGTTCTGTCATCTTCGGATTCTCGGAATTTATCTTTTCATCACGTGGCTCCTTCACCGAAAGCCCGGGACTCATGGGAACAAGTCCAGTTTGATTCGGCGGCGGAGAGGGTAATGCTCCGAACACGAGCACCACGTCCACGTAGTAAGTTCGTTATAATTCGGTTGTTCCTGCACGACGTGCCCAATTACTTACTTCTTCTTGGCCTCGAAGACCTTCGCCTCCACGGAAACCACCTTTCCCAACATGACCACACCGTTGCCATCCATAAACGCGACGCGGGACAGACCCTCGCAGTTCTTGAAGGAGTCGGCAACCAGCGGCTGCTGCGGCTCGAAGGTGACCTGTGCCATTTCGTTGGACTTCAGGGAGTGCGGCTCCTCCATCTTCTTACCACCGGTCTCCTTGCCCATCTTCCACTTCAAAGCGGAGATACGGCAGGCGGCGCGACCGCAGCGGACGAAACCGATAGGGGAGTAGCCGACCTTGATCTCATTCGGGATGTCCAACACCTGTTATTCAAATTTGTTTATACTCGTCTGTAATCTCATTGACGTGGATGCTTTTAATCAAAATATATCATCATCAAGACAGGGTTCCCCATATGTACAAATGAAGCATATGAGACAAACGTTTCCAGCAGCACCTGGATCTGAGCGTCGAAGGCCTTGACGGCGGAGAGAGTGGTGTCCTTCTTGTAGATCATGACATCACCACCACGCGGCATGTTCTGCTTGTCCAAGTTCTTCACGTTCATACCAACGTTGTCACCCGGCTTGGCCTCCGGCACAGCCTTGTGGTGCATCTCGATCTGGAACACCTTTCCGGCGCACGCGTTGGCGGCGGTGTGGGTCGGCAAGAAGATGACTTCCTCGTTCGGCTTGACGATACCCTGCTCCACGCGTCCCGCGAGCACATCACCGACACCCTTAATCTTGTAGATACCGGAGATCGGAAGGCGCATCGGAGCATCGATCGGACGTTCCGGGACGCGGCACATGTTGTTCAAGCAGTCGTACAAGGTGTCGACGTGAATGGTTTCAGATCCGACCTTGACGTCGGCACCCTTCCACCAGGCCATGTTGGTGGTCTTCTTCACCAAGTTGTCACCACACCAACCGGAGATCGGCATGAACGGAACGCCGCTCTCGACGAAGTCCTTCTTCCAACCGACCTTGCCCAACATGTTACGCATTTCGTTGGCAATTTCGTCATAGCGGGCCTGCTTGTAACCAGCGGTGTCGCAGTCCATCTTGTTGATACCAATGATGATCTGCTTGACGCCCAACAAGTTGATCAAACGGGAGTGCTGACGGGTCTGGCCCTGAATCTCACCAGCCTTGTGGTTACCACGCTGGATAGCGGTGGTGAAGTTACCTGTTGAACCATGTGCGTTGACGATGAATTTGTTCCCATGCGAAACTCAAGGAGATATTTGTTTTCTTCTGCCTGAGAAATGTGCGCGAAACATCAAACATACATACCATCAGCCGGAACCATGATCATAGCGACATCGGCCTGGGAGGCGCCGGTAATCATGTTCTTGATGAAATCGCGGTGACCCGGGGCGTCGATGATGGTGTAGTGCCACTTTTCCGTGAAGAATTCCTTGGTGGTGACGGAGATGGTGACACCACGCTCGCGCTCTTCCTTCTGGCGGTCCATGTAGAAAGCGAAAGCAAAGGAAGACTTTCCCAAACGGTCAGCCTCGGCTTTCAGCTTCTCCAATTCACGCTCCGGAATACCACCCAACTCGAAGAGCAAGTGACCAGTGGTGGTCGACTTACCGGAATCGACGTGACCGCAGATCACGATGGACAAATGCTCCTTTCCGTCGGTCATTTTGCTGGTCGTGGGTTAAAACCAAACTCGAGGAAAAATGTCGAAGATGCTTGTGCTAGACAAATGATGTTTTTGAGACGAGAATCTTATAGCTCCCTGAAAGAACAATAGGAAAGAAATGTAGTGGATAGAATTCACAATATCTTCGAGCGCAGTGTCAGAGAAAGCTTTCATATTTCTGCTGAAAGCACACCAGATCTCGCCGAGGATCTTTGGACCTTTTCAAAGTACAGCACATTTTGCAAGACAGAAACTTTCCTGGCGCCATCCAGTTTCACGGATCTTTTTTCAGCTCTGGATCGTGGAAATACCTCCACGACGTGTTGATCTCAAGTACTCAATTTTGTGCCGCATTCAAGGCTGGCATGCATTTCCTGATCTCATTATGAACCAGTCGCGCTTCTGTCGGCGGAAGGGCGGAGTGTAAGCGTTGCCGATCTACTAGCGAAGTATGTGCGACAGGAAAAGTTTTCTCTTCAAACGCCTTCGTGCCTAAAAGCGCCCCAATAGTAAAACTTACCGGCACATCAATTCTCGCCGCCGGCGCCTGGCCACGCGTAGTACCTTCTTCGGCAGGTGGGGCAAGACAAGCCTGGCACGGCCCAACCCTACTGGTCCACGTTTCCAGGTGTTGAAAGGTCCCGCGCCCGAAAGAGTGAAACCTAGTCTTGGCCTTTAAAGAAGCTGCCGCTTCTTTAGCAAGGCCGCCGTGCTTGCCGCCAGCAATGCTGCTGTGGTCCTTGGGGAGCTGATGTTCTTGCACACAGACAAACCCAAACTCCACCGCACGTAGATCAGCTGCCGCCGCACATCTCGTCTCGATGCCGCATGTACCAGTCCCATCGTCCCGCGTAATCGAGACGCAATTGCCAGGCCCGAATGCGGAGGCACTGCTTCGGAGACGTTGCTGTCCGGCCTCGGCGGGGGCAGGAGCAGTTCCAGTGTTCTTGGAGGATGCTGCTCTACTCCGACCGAGGGGTTCGCTACTATTGTGCTTCGACGACAACAGTGCTTTCCGGAGGCTGACAGCTAAAACACCGCCCGGACCATGACAGTGAGAAAACAGTAAATCAGGACCAAGAAGCTGACCAAGAGAGGTCAGGTGGAAAAGCCGCAGCTTTTCCCGACGCGGCGGTGTCATTCTCGCATTCAGACAGTTTTTGGTTGCGCTTCTATAATTTGTCTGTGCGCACCAGCAAGCAGTGAGAGTGACCGAGGAAAACTGAAGAAATTGAAGCCGTCGAGACACCTCTAGTGGCGGACACACTAGAAAAACGTGTCACGCCTTACAATCTTCAATTAGCACAGAGACCCAGCGTCACGCTGATTTTCACCAGCTCCATCATGAATTTATGTTCACGAACATCATGTAGTACAAAATGCCGATCAACGCAGAGGGGCGAACCAGGGACCGAAGCACTTTCTGTCTTTGGTTTACGCTTATCCTGCTCCTCGTTTTTCCCTTTGGTTCAGCTTTAATACGGTTGTTCTTGCACAAATACACACGAAGACGTGCCCGGCAAACAAAACCGCGTCGATTGCAAAGCTCTATTGCTACTGCAGTTGTGAGATTCTTGTTCGTGTGTGGAGCGACGAATCATAATAATTGGCCATCAAGCTGCAGTTCTGTGGACCTCATCGTCAGAATTTCTTCCCGTGGTTTTCGCTTTTGCAGTAGAAGAGAAAAGCGAAGCAGGACAAGAGTCCCTCTTCGCGGGCCGGCTATCCAAAACTCAACTCGTACAGGCCCTAGGTGAAGTACTTCCTCCCCATCCACGTAAGCTCTTTGGTGTCCAGTTCTACTAGACCACTAGCTACAGGGGTGATATCTACGAGTAAGTACTTACGCTTGTCATCATTCATGTTTATGTTTTCGCGGTATTTACTACTTTTTCCACGGCAAAATTCGCTTTCAGTTCATCTGAACGCCCACTCTAAATGGGTCTTCAACTAAGGTAAAACCTTTCTTCACACGTCGAGCTGCAACATCCTGACACAAGAAACCGCCACGCTTGTGCAGCACATAGCAACGCACGCGAGTTGTTGGTATACTATTTTGATTTTCGCATTCGACCTCAAACATAAAAATGCTTTCACCTGCAATGATTACGTCTCCGCTGCAGCAAAAGTACCTCTGCTGCAAAAGCTTCCACCTAGGCTTCATTTTCTAAAATCCCCAGGAACTTCTCAATGTGGTCCGCGATATCATTTCCCAGCATTGGCCGCAAAGCTTGATGCAGTGCCTTCTGAACCCACAGATCCACCCTTCGGCTGGGCTGGTCCTCGAAAGGATTGACCAAGCGCGGATCCGGATCCGCCGTCAATAGGTCGACCCGCAACTGGTCACACGAGAAGCATCGACCCACCGTGATGTGCTGCACCACCATCACCGATTCCGCGCCGAAGTTCACGTCGTCCCAGGCGTGTTTTTATGAATTGAAAAAGCACCAGGACCGCAAACACAGACGCACAACATCTCCATCCACGACAAAGATAGCGACAGTCTGCTATTAACTGCACATAACTTATTTCGATAATACTGTTCCGGCACTCGATGATTATGAATACGGTACCAGTGCCAGCCGCTGAGTGGTCTTGTCATGTAAAATCACAATAGGACGAGCCCTAAACTATTCATCTAAACCCTATTCTAAACCGGTCTTGTCATGTAAAATCAACGAGGAAAAAATCGCGGCTTCATTATTTCAACTTTGCTCGTATGCAAGTACTACTATTCAACGTGCAATCGGTGCGAGGAGCAAACTTCTACTTCTTTACCCCTTTCATAGCTGCGTGGCAAAGAACATGCGGTTCAACACCGCCCCTCCCAGCGGGCCCCCGGGGACCTGGTGGTGGTCCAGAAACACGCCAATCCAGTCTTTCGGAAAGCTGCCGTCGATCTGGTCAGAGCCCAAAGTCATCTGGTCAGAGCCCGTCGATCTTCTGGTCAGAGCTCGTTGGAAAGCTGTCCGACCATTAGTGCACACTGCTTCGACGTCATCAACCAAGTCCTGCTCTACTTGCTGGTCATTGTCAGGACCTCCTTCGGATGAGGGGTCCTCCTCCGCCCGCTGCGAAGAGCTCCGCGTAGCTGGTACGCCTTCCGAAGTCGCGTAAATGAATTCCCCTTGTTCATCATCCGGAACAGGCACCGGAGTGCTGACGGGAATCAGTCGGGGGTGCCGAAAGTAGTCCACGGGGTTGAGAATATTCGAGATGATCGCATTCCCGAGCCAGGTACCACCCCCGGTTCCCCGCCTCGGACGCCCCGGACCGGCAGCTTCATCCCGCTCAGCCTCGTCGCGATCTGCGATCTCGCCCTTGATTTTTTTCGTAAAGTCGGTAAGGGGCCGCACGATTTCGCGCACAATCAGCTGCTTGCAGCTCTCGCCCTCCTCCGGGCCATTCCCCGGCAGAAACTGCCGCACCCGGAGCCCCTCGGCGCGAAGCTTTCCTGTGCCGTGATTCATCTTTTCGTCTACTTGTTTCACCACGAAACAGATGCGGTTGGTTTGAGGAAAGCGCTGCGGACTGCGCTACAAGAAGACCGACAAAAAATATAGCACGAAGAATATGAATCCATCACATGAAAAAGTGCAGTAATTCTCCACTTACCTTCTGCGAACTCATCGAAGCCGTCTTCGTCGCGCCCATGCAACAGAACATGGTGGTCGAGTCCCGCAACAATGCCACGATCTGTCCAGTAGCTGTATCCATTGCAAAGGGTTCTGTCTCGCAGGTCGCACGTAAACAATACACGAGCCTGCACACCCACACCACCTTGCCACGTAGTAATTACTTGCGCTGTGGTCTGCAAAAAGGCTGGATCGGCGGCGGGGCACCGAATGAGGAGCAGCCCACTGTCTGTCCACTTCCACATGTTCGTCTATTTTGATTAGATAACAATAGATAGTGTTACAACTGCAATATTATCAACAGTGTTGCACATCAACTTGCGATCATCGAAGACGTGTTTTGCATAGGATAATCTTCGTCTACGAGCAGCAAGCGCTGCCGACCGGGTGGGAAATACAGGCTTGCCTCTGCCTCGTTGGCGGCCGTGGACTTGGAGGACGCGGACACGCCCCGCTGAAACAAGTTGCGTTCGTGTCTCTGACCACCAGGAGTTTCCCCCGCCGCCCCTCGCTGGTCTGCTGCCGGCGCAACTTGATCTTCCGGACCGCCCAAGTTGTTCCCTTGTTGTTCCCCTCGTGGTTCGGCGATGGCTGCTGCGGGCTGGTCGTGGTCCACATTGCGCGGCCCGAGAAATCCCGCTTGCGCCTCGGCTGGTGAAGTTGCTGGCTCGTGGTCGTCCTGTGCATCCCCGACGAAAGGTAAATTCTGGTACGCCAACAGCATCGGCTGCTGGAGGTGTCCCGGCGGTGCAATGTCAAACCCAGGCAGGGGCGTAGCCCAAGCGTTACTTTGAGCAGCGCCGGGGCCAGATCGGCCAAAAACCTCGGTGGAAACATGCGCGAGCGACTGTAATGCCACAAGAACGAGAACCCCGGATCGGAGGGCCCGGGCGTGTTGAGTGCAGCAGCAGCTCCGCATATAGCATACACTCCTGGAGCTTTTGTCCGTTCTTGTTGTCCCGTGGAAGATCATTTTCGACCCAGTCGAAGAAAGGAGAAGAGACCTCGGTGGTGTAGTCGATTATAGATACGGCCCGGAAAAAAGTCTTGGCCGGTCAGTGGCTTGATCAATCAAGCGGGTCGTGCTCGTAATTGTCGTTTGTAAGTAAAATTAACTCGAAAAATAAATGCTCGGCTTCGCATGCAAATGCAATACGGCGTACTAGAGTTTCTCCTGTTTCACCGGGAAAAACACCTTCGTTCAATTTCACGGCTCAGCAGCAATGCCGTCCAAACAATAGGAGCAGGAGCGTTAATAACTTTCCGCCTCCGGTGAATGTATGTTGGATGAAATAACTTTCGAAAACGCTATCGTTCCGAACAGAGGACTTCACAAAGAAAAGAGGTGAAGCAACCTACCTACGCTACTCACTTGGAAAAGCGCATACCCCGTAAAAGGAACAGACGTGTATAGTACTCATGGATCAGCAGAAAGCCTGCAGATGGCGAAAAAAACACATCTGCAAATCGTGATCTTGCTAGCTGGCCGTACCTACGATAATCTCCTAGCGTCGGGAAGCTCCTGAGAGTGGCATCATAAACAAGCGCCTAAGCAACTTCTTCCCCTATAGTTGTACTTGAGACGAAGATCTCAGGCAGTGCTGGAAAGTTTTGTTCTAACTCGTTTTCACAATTATGAACTCAATCGCTGCAACCGCTGCTGCTTACGCTGGTGCGATAGAAATCGTTACTTGAAGTTCAAGCTGGTGAGTTGTTCAGCACGAGAACAAGAAACTCCGTTTGGTCTGTTTTCTGATTTCAGTTGTTTGTGATTTCAGTCGTTTCTCATTTCAGTTGTACATTGATCTCAGTTCACGTTCAGAGCAGGCGGCTACTTGCGCGCCTTCTGTTCCACCTTGGCCATGATGTTTTTTTGCTTGTCAGAATGATACGACTTTTGCAGGTTGTCGGTGTAGAAATTGTACTCCCAGTCGTTTATTTTCTTGGCTTGATACGCCGCCTGCACTTCCTCCTGGGTCAACATCCCGCCGCCACCACCACCGGGCGCAGCGGCTCTTTGCTGCTGCCCCTGCCGGTTCGCAAAATACTGCTGACCAAAGCCGCCGGCTGCAGGACCCCCGTTACCTGGTAGAACAAGTACAGAAGATGAGCATCAGAAATCAAACAGAATCCAGTACTGAATTCGTGGACTATTAACGACTTCAGTATCTGACGCCCGTCCTTCTAGAAAAGGCCGCCGCGTCTTCACACGATCTACATGCATTTCCGAGTGTCACCTGGATGCGAACTACCTTCTTCCTTACTTGAACCACCTAAGGAGGGCGTCGAAGAAGATCTACGAAAAAATATATCGAAATCGACGTGTGCAGCTACTAGACTGACATGATAGTTAGTGATACAAGCACGAACAAGAGCGATGGATCATCTTCTATTGGTACTTGATCTGCCGCCCTGACCGCCGCCCTGCAGCTTTCCTTGTATTCGGTCCACAATTGTCTGCTGCTTTTCAGAAAAGCTGTTCCGATCAAAATTGCTTTTCATGAAGTTGAATTCCCAGTCATTGATTCGGCCACCGTCACGGGCTTGCACCATCTGCTCCTCCGTCATACCCCAAGCTGGTGACACACCGCCACCCCCCATGGCAGCTGCTGTTATTTTTGTGGTTTATATACAACCTTTTCAACATCACGCGCCAACCGTGACTCGAGGAAACATCATCCGATGGAAGAGGTATCACGGAGAAACAACTCATGTCAACACATGGTGCTGACCTTGATTCATCATGCTGACTTTGTTCCCTTATCCTGTCTGGGAGAACTCATCTATTCTGATGTACTAAAATCATTCCAATTGGCATACCTCCCGGTCCCGCGTCCCCTGGGGCGGGGGCCTCTATGGATGTGTCAGAGTTGAAATCGACAAAGTTGAAATAATTTGTCATGCATAAAGAACTGGATGCCAGTTAGAAACCAGTTTCTAAGTGGCGCAAGACAAATTTCGGTGGTCCCTAAATCCAGTTTGTCATGCTTTTTAGGCAAAGAAGAGCGATTTTCTCATGCTACTTTAGCAGCTCGAGCTGTAACCCCAAACAGGCTTACAATCGGCCTCACCTGCCTGCTCTGCAACACATGTGCCTCGGGTCATGCATTTTATGCATTACAAATTCTTTCAACTTTGACAATTTCAAACCTCACGCTTCCATAGCCTCGCCATTGAGCTTGTTCTTGATTTTCTCCACGACGGGGGCTTGCTTCTCCGTGACGTCCGTTGGGGCGCGCGCAAAGTTATTCAAAATGAAGTTGTAGTCCCACTCTACAATCTTCTGCTCCTTCAACGCGTCATCAATCTCGCTCTTATGGTGAGGAAAGGTCCCAACCATTGTCCCCATACTCAAACGAGAAGTCTGCGATGCTGACTTGTGGCCGCAAGTCGCCTCCGCCTTGCATGGCAGCAATTGTCCCCGAGGCATCCGGCGAGGCGAGCGCTGGTGACGCCAGTCAGTCTACAAGACAGCTGTCTGCCGTACCAAGACAGCTGTCTGCCATACCAAACAGGGAGCCGCAGCGGATTCTCGCTGCAGCAGCCGCTCACTGCAAGACAGAATTGACTTGCGTGCCCAAAGAACCCAGCATCAGACAGACTTCGTTTTGAACATGAGGAGGCGGGTTTTGTTTTTGATAGGTTTTGTGGAGTCCCCACAGCTCCGAATACTCGTCATCTGCAGATGGAGGATCAAACACATCGCAAAAAAAACAAGCTGAAGAGAGCTAGAACTTCGACCATTTACCACGGTAAACCCGTGCTGGCGAACCGGGGCGGGTTCGTTACATTTACGGAACGCAATTACTTTGAAACAGTGCAGAAGCAGAAGTACATGGAATAGGAATATTTGAATTAAGGGCATACCGCCAATCTCCGTCGTTTTCCCGCCTCGCACTTTTTCCTCGATCTCGGTTCGTCGCGCGACCTGCTTGTCCGTAAAGTGGGCATCCGGATCCGCGGCCAGTTTTTCCAGTTGATCCGAATAGAACTTGACTTCCCAATCACTGATCTTGTTTTCCTGCTTTGCCTGCGTGATCTGCTCCATGTTCAAGAACCCCGCGGGCACCGCCCCCGGCTGCGCCACACCGACTCCGCCGCCCATGTAGTTGAACCCACCTCCGTGCTGGGGCGGCGCAAAGTTAGTTGCTCCGAAACCGCCCGGCTGCTGCATCCCGAAATTATGCGGTTGTTGCTGTGGCTGCCCGAACGACCCCGGTTGTCCAAATTGACCAAACGTCTGTGCTTGCCCGATTTGCCCAAACTGCCCGAACCCCTGCTGTTGCATGGCGGGGGCAGCACTGAAACCGCTCATGGGTGGCGCAGCAAACGCGGAAGCCGCCCCAGAGGAGGAAGAGGCCATTCCAGATCCACCGAGCTTCGCGTCAATCTTGGCTTTCTGAGCCTGCTGCTTCTCGCTGAGCTTCTCCGGGTCCCGGGCCAAATTACTCACAGAGAAATCGTACTCCCATTGCGTTATAATTCCGCTGGTCTGATGTGATAGTGGAAAGGAGCGCCTAAGTCAAGCTTTGCAACGGCAAAAAAACCGCTATCAACAGTGGACACAGTGCCTACTTAGCATGATTGCGGTATTTGATTTCAGAAGTGGTCAAGGGAGCGGACACAGGACTTGCTTTCGATGTCCTGGCCGTTACATTTTCAATAAAAAAGAAAAAGGCACAACTTCAGGTCTACTTCCGAAAGCAAAACAAACCAAGAAGCCAAAAAACCTTTGCCTCATCCAGCCGGCCCTTGTTAGCGAAACACTCCGCAACCTTTTTCTCGATCTGGTCCTTGATGCTTGTCTGTTTCTCCGAGAGGGACTCTTTGGTCATGTTCTCGGTATAGAAGTTTTTTTCCCAGTCATTGATCCACTTGTTTTGGTGCGCAAAGTCGACGTCCTGGGGACCTAGTGTAGAGGCGGACGCTGTCATTTTCCGCCGCTTGCTTCCCGGCGATTCGTCGCCATCGCCCACATAGAAGCCTCCGTTGTCCGCCATGACGTGAGTGTGTGATTGGTTCAAAACTGTGCCAGGATCAACGCGAGCACGACCTCTAATTTCAAAAGTAGTTAAACTTACGACTGTTTTTGCGTAGGGCCTACAACTTTCTCGTCAAACCATAGAGAATCCGCGTGCCTGGGAGGTTCTTATAGTGGAAACGCTAGCAGGAAAATCGGAATTATATCACAACGATGGGACCTCTAGACAACCTTCTCACTTGTTGGACGCGGGATGAAAACTAACGGGATCTTCGAACGTCAAAAGGTACAGCAGCGAAGCCTGCGCTTGAAGGAGAAGCCACTATAGATCAATAAGAAGCTCCTCTGCAGCTTCAAGTGGATCTCCGCATCAGACACTTTGTTTGCACCTTTTTGATTTGCTATGTTGAAAAACCTAAAAAAAGCCAATCAGCAAGTGCTGTGCATCGAAGTCTCTATTCATTGTTTGACGTGCCGCGCTCGAAGAACTTACTTTCTCGGCACACCACTGTGCCTCGTACGCTGCAAAACAGCCGTTTGTGCACTTTGTCCAGAAACATCAAGTCTCCGTCCCGAGAAACAACGACCCACTCAGCGTCAAGGTTTCCAGAAACCCTCCAGGACTACGCGCCGAGTCTCTGAACCGACAGTACCACTAGCACGCTTTTCTGTCTCCGCATCGCGCGTTTCTTGGCTGCCCGCGAATTCACCGAACAATGCGTCTGGCGCTTCCGGGTGAAAAGCAGGTGGCGGCGGCAGGCCAGCTGCTTGCGTTCTGGATGTTCGCTCTGCAGCATCTTCCCAGGTGGTGGAACCTGCCGCCTTTCCTTCATGACTTATTTCCTGTGGTCGCGACAATGGCAAGTCGTGCTCCTCCGCGAACTGCACTACAAACCGAAAAAAACGCTCCGTAGGAAGAACGTTGTGTTGGCAGATATAGTGCTCCGCATACCCCTGCGGCCAGACCATGACGAGTATAGAAGGAGGGTGGCAGCCTTGAAAAAACGCATGCATCGACACAATTCTTCACATGCTGTTGTTCATCTCCCATAAAAATCTATTACATACATGCCTATCGGTACTATCAATCTGTGCCTTATTTGTTCAGCACCCTACTATTCACGATAAAATGCGTGGAGGATTCACGTCCCAGATCATCCAGAACCTCCTTCACAACTACCAGCACCAGTGACTTGATCAATCCGGGCCGCTGCATTCGGAGATCATAGGCAACGATGTCGCCCTAGCCGGTTACATACACATCCAACCAAAGAAATTCGGTCGATGACACCCTCTCTACTCCTTTAAGGTACACAGCATTGGATAGTTCTCCGCTCGTGTTCAACAGTATCGAAATATTCCGCTTGGTATTCGCCACTACCAACGATTTCCCCCGGTGCAACCCTCGAGAACGCCAGGCCGCGATACTGCCGAAACTGCAAATAAACCTTCGAGGAGTGGTGCTGCCGTCGTCCGTCCTCCAGGTCGTGCCCGCTCGCCGCACGGATTAGAGTCTCTGCCTTTTCCACCAGGAAGCAAAACTTCCTTTTGGATTCGCCACCCCAGGCAAGAAACGCCTGCGGATTCGGAATGGGGCGATAATGTTCGATCCCTTTGGTGGAGGCAAAATATGCGAAAAGGTCGTTGCCTTCCTCAATTATTCCGTGGATGATGTCCACAATCTCCCAAATGTGGTGCCAAAACGATGAACCCGAGCGTGCTAGCGTAGTCTGCTGACAATAAAACCTACATTAGTAACTTACACATCATGCAGACAGAAGAGGCCCCGTGACTCACTGCATAGCCTGTGTTCTTGTCATCCGAGTTTTATTTTTGCGGTAAATAATAAAATTGTGCATTGTCTTTAGGCGGAGGCGATGGATGCAAGATCACTACAATTCAACGTGGTAGCGGTTCGAGTTCGCCTACAAATATGGATGTGTCAGAATCGAAATTGACAAAATCGAAAAATTTGCGATGCACAAGATCGATGCCAGTTGGAGACTCAGTTTCCAAGTGGCGCATGACAAATTTCGCGAGCACCCAAATCCAGTCTGTCATGCTGTTTGGGCAAAGAAGACTGCTCCTGTCATGCTACTCCGGCAGCACATTGCACACCCGTGAACAGGCTTACAATCGGTCTCATTTGCCTGCTCCCCAATACAGGCTTTCAGTGCCCTGCGTTTTATGCATTACAAGTTTTTCGATTTTGTCGATTTCGATCCTGACACATCCATAACAAAGTAAGATAAAGTAGTTCCCGGAGATAAACGAGGTGCATCACGGCGACTGAAACGAGTAGGCAGACGCATGCAGCGAGCGATCGAAAAAACCATGGCATGTCCAGAAAGATGAAATGCCAACGTTGCGTCCGAGACTCCGTCTTGCATCTATGACGATCGAGTCAGCTACGTGTTTGATGATCCAGCACTTGGAGAAGGTTTATGATTTGCTCGACGACGTTTTTCATGAAGAAAGCACTCCTGTTTAGTGGTTATTCATTCCTATCAGTATACGATGAGATGCGAACGATCGAAACTGAACAGGCACAAGAACTTCCGCTTGAAGATAAGGGAACGAATAATTTTTCGTCCGTCGTTGTGTACAAATTGTGTGTAGTCCCACTGCTCCTCGAGGGCGTGGCCCTGCTTACACATATTATCTCGGCCACGACAGCACAAGCATAGAAGATGTACAAGAATGTGGATGTGCTATTCCACCACTGGAATATAGAAATTTCGTTGTCGTCGATGTCGTCATCGTGATGATGTCCTCGGTCCCTTATAACCAAATTATGCTCTGTTCTGCTGCCGACCGGAAAAACGGAACAGCTTCCATACAACTACTCCCGAAATTCCATGGCTCTGATACACTTACCAGTATGTACAATTCAACAACCTTACACTTTTTTCCCTTCAATTTCGCTTTACAGGCGTACGCAAAGAGCGAGTTCGAGCAAAATGAGCTACTTGGTTTGGTTGAATGCTAAGAGTAGAATCCGGCTCTGTAGTGCACTATGTCAACAACAACATCTGCCTCGCACTTGCAAAACATTTCCTTTTGCTGGTTCCTCTATTCTTAGGTGCTTCGAAACATTCTGTGACATTGCCAGTTCTAGCTGCGATCGATTCACTGTATTTTGAATCTGGTGCAGGAAGCTCGAGCGCGACAAAAGCTGCAGCCGAAAAGGTTAAAGTTGTGATAGTAAATCTAAATGTGGTCACATCGCATTAGGTCGTCTTTCCCTTCTCAACTGCCTGTTTCGTCGTCGTGTGAGAAAGTTTCCAACCCGACTTGTGACTGGCGCGACGAATTACTGATCCCAAGAAGTAGATCTTGAATTCGCGAGACCATCTTCTACATCAGCTGAAAGCAGCAACAGCTACCATAGTATGTAAAAAAATATCAGAAGTATCTTTTTTGCATGTCGCTTGCTAGGAGAAAAGCACCAGCAGCAGCACAGACAGCCAGTGACGGTGCGCCGCCCAGGGACGAGATGATGACTCGACATGTTTTTTTTTCTTCATATGGTCGTGCATAAAAATACCATCAAACGAGCTCCGGGGGGTGTAGTTCGTCGGCTGTACTATCGCACTGCTGCAGACCCGCCATGTAGAGCGCTGAATTGGCGTAGGCTTTCCCCTCCGCCATTCCCTTTGCCTGCGCGTGCTCCTCGTCCTCGCAGAGCAGGATGCCTTGGATGATGGGCTTGTCCTGCTGGAGCGCCAGTGACATCAGCCCTTGCACCAGCGCCGCTCTGTCGGTCTCCAGCGTGGAAAGGTTGGTTCGCTTCTCGTTCGGCACGAGCATGCCTAGGACGATGACTGCGTCGACTACCCGGTGCTTCCGCGAGAGCAGTGCTTTGGTGCCCGTCACCAGGTCGAGGTGTCCCGCCGTGGGGTGGCACTCCACCCGGGCGCCGCAGGCTGCGAGGTACTCCCGCGCGGCGTCGACGATGGGGGCGAGCAGTTTTTCGTTCCACTTCGTCGACACGATGAGCACCGTCAGTGGCTCGGGCGGCACGGGCGAACGCACGACGTGCTGTTCTTGTGGCGGGGGGGCGCCGGTTCCAGCTCCCGCAGGAAGAACCTCCCGGGGGCCGGAAGTAAACGGCGCACCATTTCTACTAGTACTTGACACTCTCGCGGCGACGTCCTCGTCCGGGGCGCCGTCGCTCCTCGGCGTAGGACCGCCGGGAAGTAGATCTTTGCTCTTCCCGCGCGAGGACTCCTCTGCCCTGGCGCTGGTCTGCGCTCGCGCGAGCTTCCCGCTGCGCTCCAGCGTGTCGCCTACTGCGCCCGAGTTTAGCTCCCGCTCCAGGTCCAGGTTGAAGGTCTGCATGATGGTCCGGTGCTGCAACTGGTTCTTTTTGGTCTCCAGGTAGCGAAAGTTGTCCCGGTTGGGGCTCGTGGGCAGGGACCGGACCTGCACGTCGGGAATGGTTTCCGCCAGGACGCTATCAAATGTAAAAATGTCTGGGTCTGGAAACTTGTAATGCTAAAATGTGCATGATGGACACACTTCCCAATGCAGACCAGCATGACAACTTTCCGGAGCACTTTCTCATAGGCAGCCCGCATGAGAAACTGCGTTTTTGCATGACAAACATGGCTGCGGCTTTTGTCGGTTATGCAATACAGATTTTCCAGAAATGTACCGCTAGCATTACAAGTTCCAACTTTCCAGACCCAGACACATTTGCAATCCATAGACACTCTCCTTCTCGGGATTATTGGTGTACAGCAAAATCTTCCGCAGATTCAGCTCCCGCAGCGCGTTCTATCAAATGCAAAAGTGTCTGGGTCTGGAAACTTGTGATGCTGAGTGGCGTAGCATGAAGAGGCCACAAGTGCTGGCTCAGCATGACAAACTTCTGAGCTTGTATGTCTTGCCTATTCTGCATGACTAATTGCGTCTCCGCATGACAGAAAAATGCGGCTCTTGGGCAACGTGCATGACAGATTTAATAGTCATGCCAGACAAGCATGACAAACATGCATTCTTCCAGACCCAGACATTTTTACATTTGATACGTTCACGGCGGCGTCGAAATTCCGGTAGTCGTTGTGGAACCCCAGACGGTGATTGGCCTGCACTGTGTCCACCTCCTCGCAGATCTGCAGGTCGTAAGCACGGATCTTGTTGTAGAGCCCAATGCCGCGACCCTCATGACCCTTGATGTAAACCAGCACCCCAAGCTTCTCCTCCTCCATCACCTTGATGTTGTGGTAATTTTGTAACCAAATCAGTCGCAGCTTCTCATCGGGAACGACACAACAACTACAGCAGATGACTGAAGACGAAAGATGGAGATGAGGAACAATACTGAATAAGCTTGGGCAAGCATTGCAAAGAGAGCCATGGACTTCAGGACAAGAACCACAACACCAGCTGGATGTATCTATGTATTTACCTTCATAAACATCTTCAACTGCGCCCCACAATCGCACAACCTGGACCCAAGCGTATCGCCTGTGAAGCACTCGGAGTGAATGCGGACAGGTACGCGTTTCACGCCGCTACTTAGCGCGTTTGCGTCGCCGGCGATCAGCAAAACAAGCTCGGATCCTCTCCTCCCCGGCTTCACCACCATCCTAGTCGGCAAACGCAAGTCATGGAATCGCAGCGTTGCAGAAGCGTCGCCCTGGAAAAAAATTTGGTCCACAATGAAATCTGCAGCTTTCTTGTGTTTTCTGATTTTCATTTTTTCAACGTGCGACGTTAAGTATTAAAACGGAGACCTAGAAAGATGATGCCAAAAATCGCAAAAACACATAGTATACCTGGTCTTTTTTCACGTCTGCGGGCACCGCCGTGAGCTGGTCGTCTTCCTCCTGTTCTAAGGGTGTGTGCTGCTCAAACAGGCGGGCCCAGCGCTTCATGGCGTCCGTGTGCCTCCGGTAGTGCACGATGTCACTCACATACACCATGGGAATCCCGTGTTCGGTGGCGAAGGCGCGGGATTCACCCTCCCGGAACATCTCGCCATTGTCCGCCATCAGCTCCGCCAGGGCTCCGACGTATCACGTCGAAAACAAGTGCCCCCACGACCCCAGAACTTGACACGATTTGTATAATTGCAAAGCTTCCTAAGCAGGGAAACACTCCCCACGTTCGTGCATGTATCAATCAGCATCACAAATGTTAAACGGCAACATCACGATTCTTGCGAAAGACCCCAGCAACAGCTGTGCCTGTCATTTCTTAAAAGATGCCTTGCCCGGCTGGGTTCTGTGTCAGGGAGACTCAGAGCAGTCCTCCTTTCATGCATACGATGAAAAGCTCTTCATTTCAAAACCTCACGCATCAGACCGTTTTCTTGCAGCTTCCGGGGTCGTCCCTGATGTGGGAGCACTTTATTTCACGGGAATACGACGGGGTGCTTCACGTTGGGTGCCAGCCGACAGAAGTCAAAGGTCGCTTCCGTGTGTCCCTGCCTTACGTATTATGAACAGGAAAAATCCCCCGCCCCTTATCAAAAAGGAAATCTGTGATGCTGGATTTGCGTGAGGCGTGAGGCTGTGATGCTGGATTTGCGCACACAAATCAGATTTGTATGGCAGGAAGGCATTGCGACCAGATCCCCAGGCTAGGTAGGGGCGTACGGGTCTAGTTGTTCAGCATTGCAAACGGTTGACCTTTAGGCCCAACAGCATGACAAATCGCTTCCAGAATGGGGCGGAAGCTTCTGCCCTTGTCTTCTTGCAAGACAAATGCGATTTGTGACCTCAAATCAGCAACACAAATTTTCGGAAAGATACCTTTTCGATATGGGGAGGGTGGATTTTTCCTCTCAATACGTAGACGCCGTCGTCCTTGGCGTATCAAATGTAAAAATGTCTGGGTCTGGAAGATTCTGAGATTTGTCATGCATGTTTTGCATGACCCAGGATGTCTGTAATGCACGACCGCGCATCACAGATCTTGAGAGGGCTCCCTGATGCCAACTCCGCATGACAAACGCCCTCCCCGCGTAGCACAAATTAGACTCCTCTTGCTGGTCATGCAATACAGATTTTTCTAAAGTCCAGAGTTAGCATCACAAGTTCTAATCTTCCAGACCCAGACATTTTTACAGTTGATATGGCGCACAGGGGAAACATGTGCCCCGGCTTGCCGAAGGCCTCCGGCCGGTTGCGGATGTCGCAGAAGCCCCGCAGCGTGGCCACGCGGTCGGCGGCGCTGACCCCGGTCGTGGTGCCCACGAGGTAGTCCGTGGACACGTAAAAGTTGGTCCCGTTCGGGTCCGTGTTTTTGGTGGTGGCGGGGTGCAGGCCGAAGGCCTCGAGGCGTTCCTTCCCGGTGGTCACGCACACGATGCCGGTGGACTTGCGGATCATGAACGCCATCTGGGCGGGGGTGCAGTATGCATTGCAAATATCGATCTGGGTCTCAAAGCTTGTGATGCTGAATTGCGAAAGATTAAAGTGTTTGCAATGGCAGCCAAGCATGACAAGTCTGCGAGACGCCTCCTGATGCCCAACATGCATTACAAATTGCGTTTGTGCATGGCAAAGGAAGCGGCTTTTTAGCTGCTCAACACGCAACACAGATTCTCCAGGAATGGAAGACACGCATTACAACTTCCATTTTTCCAGACCCAGACATTTTTGCATTCGATATGCAGTGCTCCGCGGCGATGATCAGATCGCATTCGTTCTCCCGCTCCGGTGCGTCCATGACTAGGACAAATATCAAATGCAAAAATGTCTGGGTCTGGAAGGTTACCAGGTTTGTCATGCATATTTTACATGACTCAGGATGTCTGTAATGCATGATCTGGCATCACATATTTTTAGAGGCCTTCCTGATGCCTATCCCGCATGACAAATGCCCTCCCCGCGTAGCGCAAACTGGGCTCTTATTGCTGGTCATGCAATACAGATTTTTTTAGAGTCCAAAGTTAGCGTCACAAGTTCCAACCTTCCAGACCCAGACACTTTTACATTTGATAACAAACTCGCCCTGCCCAAACGCCTCCAGCGCGGGCTCCATGCGCGCGATGGCTTCCCGGGCCTCCTTGGTGGGAACCGGCCGTGGCTCCTCGCGGGCCGCCGGCTCGGAAATCGACCTGGCCACTACGGCGCTGGTGGGAGGCGGCAGCGCGCTGAAACCGCTTTTCATCTTGTTGCCTCGGGGTTGTTTTTCCTCGGCACCTGTCGAGCCCCGGGGGTTGGGCCCCGGTGGAACCAGCTTCACTTTGGTCGCCATAAGTATAGGTCGTGGGTGAGATTCGCTAGAAACTTCAATGCTGCTGCATGTTGTTGACTAAAACTCAAAGAAACACTATATTTATAGTTGTGCAAAAAAAGCTGTACACGCAAAATATCTGCGACGGACTCAAGTACTCAGCGGGAATAAATACTCAAGATTGGGTGAAAAAAAAACGGCTTTCTGGGCCACTATCAATGCTGGACTCCAAAAATCTACTACTTCTTCAACCGAATACTATATCAGTTGGTCTCGGTGCGTGGAAAAAAACTCGTTGCCGCGACAAAAATAAAGCGGGCAACAAAGAATATTAGGATGCCGATTACTGCTCTAGCGTAGAGGCTCGGACCGAGCTCCAGAAGGGTCTGCGACTGCAAAACTGCACAAGTAGCAAAGCACGGGCTTCCAGAAAGGATGAAGGAAGATGACTTGCTATTTCGGACGGGGTCTTTGCAGAGGGGGCGAGAATGTTCTTGTTGGTGTTTGGCCGTGAGAGGCGCATAAAGGTACTACAACCTATCGACTCTTTGGGGGTAGCAACTACTACTAGAATTACAGTCTGGAAAAATACTAGTGGTTTGGTAGACAATAGTGCAGGTGGGGGCGGATCCTTCAACGGGGGTGAAAAGGGTACTGTCTCGGTCAATTGTCAAAAAGAAACGTCGGTCATGTGTGTCAGGTCACAAAGACGAGCAGTACCATGTCAGATGTGCCTGCAAGTGCAACTAGAACTAACAACTTTTTCTTCTGATAATGTGGTTCATGTGGAACAGCGTTTTTTACAATCCATGTTTATTCATTCTGAACCGAGCTCTTGTTCACAGTGGCCGTTTTCCGAAATTTTTTAGCATCAAGTGCCACGCTCGGTAACCGACGCCTGCATAAAAAATCGAAATGCGCAACATTCTCAAGGTTTTGCGCAACCGACGTCGTCTTTTTGGTGCTTTTCGACCATTGTAGATGTACCGAAGATAAGTTCAGCGCACCGAAAAAAAGCTCGTGAAGAAGACATTATGTTGAAACACGACATTTCTGCATAGACCAGGCTTGTCGCCGCGATTGCTCTTATTTGCGCTTCCCGGTAATCACATTAATCGCGATTCTGTTTTTCTGTCTGCTGCTGACAAAGAGCAAGCAGAAACGATAAGAGCAGTCTGTCTCCTATGGGAGAGTTGTTTTGTTTCGTCTGACAATAATTTACTCGACTCACGTCTTGGCTGGTTGTTTCGCAACTTTTGCAGCCGCGCCCTCAAAGGCACGGTCCGCGATACGGTCAATATTGACTTGCGTTTCGCGTCTCACCTTTGGTATCTGTGGCAGGAGCATGCTTCCCCGCGGAACAGGAGCGGCCGGTCGCTTATTTGATGTCGCTTCTCCGACCGTGGGCCCTAGTACCGCGTCACTTCGATGCGTGGTGTGGTCCTGGGTAGGCTCCCGCGGTCGCTTCAGACTGCCCGTCGTCGCACCACTCGTACCCGTCGCCAAAACCCCTGCATTAGACGCTTTTGACACGGCAGCTCCCGGGGCGACTATCGTTTTTGCTATGCTGCTGCTCCCGCTACTTCCACCTTTCGTTTGAAACTGGGAGACGTTCAGTTTCCCGAGCGAAAGTTTCGGTTTCGCGACCGGCGGTTTTGGCGAAGCTGGGCTCTTGCCGGCGCCCGCATCACCCTCATCGGAGGAAGAGGAGTAATCCATTTTGTAACTTACTAATCATTCACTTTCGGTGCTGCAGCTACAATTTTCACGTCTCAGCATAGCGAAAAAAGAAAAGCAAAATACGTTTAATCCTACCCCTACGAACTTCAACTTGCGAACATAACCACCGGCAAAAATAACCACCGGCCTTCCCCTTGTAGTTGGACGCGAAAGAAGTCTTCAAATGTGTCGCTGTAATTCGGGATGATGAGATGACCCAGCGGAAAAATATATCTGATCGACCTGCTTTTTTGAACAAAATCTGATCGGTTTTCGAACGAACCGCATTCCACGACTCAGCCCTGCAATCCTATGAAGACAAGCTGGCGTTCGGTAACACAAAGATAGATCACGCGCGAGAATGAACGCGGGCAGTAGTCTACTTTGCACTTATCGATTTGATCCTCGAACAATATCTCGAACATACTACCCAGATATTGCAACTGGATGCTCGGCTGATCGGAAAGAACAAGAAATGCTGTTTTATATATTTCTTGTTCTCGTCTGCGTCGCTGAAAATAACATCATGAGAATCCCATCACTCCCATACGCGTAATTCTTTCAGCCAATCCTTCGGGGGTGGTGGGTAAATGAACTACAACACGCATTGAATACATAGACCAGACACTAATGTGCTGGGCGGGTCGAGTCGTCCTATACGCGTAGCATCTACAACCACGAAAACGAAAACACTAGTCGCTGTAGTCGATCTTTTTTTTCTCGATCTGGGAAAACTCTTTGCAGAGGAGCTTCACCAGCTCTTCTTTGCCGGGCTCGCCCTGAATCTCCACGGAATCTGGCTGGCCTGGGTTGCCCTTGACCGCAGCACTGCCGCAGGCGAATTTCTTCTTGAAGATTTTTGCTGCGGCCTCCAATTTCACGTCGTACGTGTCCAGGCCGATCACGGTCGTCGTCTTTTTACGCCCTTGCCTGCTCGCCACTTTGATGCTTATCTGTTAATTCGTGTAGCAATGCTAGTAACGTTGCGTGACTGGTGACACAAAGACCGTCACCTTTCTTGAGGAAAAGGAACAAATGTGACATCGTGTCTGTAAGTAGCAGCACCAATTTGATTGTAGGGAGTGAACGTCAGCGCTCTGCTGGAGCATAAAACAAAAGTGAAAAGCTACCTTTGGACTTGCACTTCGTGTCTTCTTTCCCCCGGGTAGCTCTTTCGTTTTTGCTTTCTCTTCGGCCTCTGCCTTTTTCTGGTTCGCGGTCTCTTTCGCGTCAGCTAAAGACTCACCTGTTTTTCACAAATAGTTTGATTTCATGCAGTAGTCCTTCCTACTCGCGTGGTTCCTTGTGCTGCTTGGTACATCAACCTCCCTTCACGACTTCTACTACTGACTTGCTTGAAATAGGTGCGGTAATGCCAAATTATTCCCAAAGTAGAAATCCTTACCGGCCAATTCAGGGTAGAGCTGCGGGAAGTTAGCCAACACCCACGGCTTCGCCAGGTCCCATTTCCCGCCGTATTGGCAGTATTCTGGAGGCATTCCGTCCTCGGGGCAATAGCTGTGGTGTCAGAACATTGTATGGTAGTTGAAAAGTTTTTGGAAATACAAATTTCCGCCTCAATCAGACATTTTCACGAAAATCATTTTCGAGGCGGTCAGCAAAGGCCTCCATAAAGACCTAGGAAGTGGACTGCACCGAGGAATGAACGAACCTGCTGCAAGAAGAACAAACTACGAGTAGTAAAAAATTCAGCTTACACGACTTTGACTGGCCCCGTCATTTCTGGCATTTCCGTGTGCGGGACGAAGGGTTTTATCACGGGCTGTGGGGCTGGTGCTGAGCTCGAGGCAGCTGCAGCGCCGGCGCTCGGCGTGTCTGCGCCCTTGTCGGCCGATGATGTTGTTGGCGTGGCTGAGGCGTCTTCATCCTGTGTCGTCTTGGCTTCCGTGGCTGGGCTAGCTTTATCTGCTGCCGTGGGACTGGCTTCACTGGCACTACCGCGCGGAGCGGGCGAAAATTCCCGGGTGACGGGTTCCTTTTCGTCCGACATGTCTTTTCTTTTATCTTTCTTACCGTCGGTTCTAAATAAACTTCCCCTTGCGTCGAGTGATGAGGGGCTAGAAGTACTACGCGGAGGTTTAAGATCTCATGTGGGTGGTAGTTGCTACAAAAGAGAAAGTAGTGGAGGGAGATACTAAATAACCTGGAAAGAAAGGAATGGATGGGATTGGGAATCAGAAACAAAAGATAGCAGAAAGACCACACCCGTTATCGGGATGATGAACAACGCATGAATTTGAAAATGAGTATGCTTACCACGATCTTCTGCTAGTATTCTCATTTACTGATCCATAACTGGGGCGGTGCCACAACTGGAGGAACTCCGGAAAGCCGCATTGTCTGCTTTTTATTGCGCGCGGTTTGGATCTGATTTATTTCTCGACACTTTAGTGTAGAAGGATAAAAACTGTGCCTGGATCCAAAGGTACTAGTACCTATTCCTCACTGCTGTCGCTTTGCCGACCTTCTTCGTATGAGCGTCGATTACAGTACTTTAATAGACAAGCGTAGCTTAGTGCAGCCACACAAGAGGAAGAGCGGCCGAGCCAAGAACTGAGTCATAGAAATTCCACGGAGAAAGGCTCCACTTTTCCACCTCCTTCCCGAAGCGCCACGCCGGTCACTAAGCGGCTACCGCGACGGCCTTGCGGCCTCTTCACATCCATGCTAGTTTTTCCCGCGCTTCTGGTGGGTACTGACGTGTAGAGTTCTCGAATACGTAGGTCAGATAGTTTGAGAACTTTTTCGTCAGCGTGGCCGTCGAGTTTTCGTCCAGCGTGCGGAGAGCGTATGGAAAGAACTACAAAAAAACTACTTACCTGCCATTCATCTGTCACGTGCTACTCGTCTACACATCTTTCCACAAAGCAAGCAGAATTCTCACGATGCCGCCAACAAAAGAAAACAGTACGTACAAAAGTCCTTCGACAACATGGCGATGCATACAGAAAGCAGTTTTTTTTTTTTTCTAATTTCGTACGAAAGTTGGCAAACTGGTATCGTCTTCATGCACCGGAAGGAGAAAGTCTTTCCCAAACAGGAGGGGCCACACAGGCCCAAGACCTTGCGGAGCGCACAATTCGGATCCCAACTTCATATCCTGAACGTGCGCGAGCGGTTCTTTCTTCACCACGAACAACTCCCCGCGGTACGTGGAGAGCAAGGGCTGCAAGAAAATTTCAAGTTTTCATCCTTCGCAATTTTCCATGACGACCGGACATCGCGACGCGAATGTCGTTCCCATTCATATCATCTATTGTTCTTCACCAGGTTGCTCAAATAAACCAGAATGTGGTTTAATAATATTCTGCTCAAGGTACTATAATCATACCGTTTTTCCCTGCTGACCCCGCATTTGCATGAGCTGTTGGACAATGCCCTGCTGACATTCTGTCAAGTCGTCGGCCACCGTGCGGAAGTTGCCCAAGTGCAAGAAGTCTGATAGCAGGAAAGTGTTGATCTCCATCGCACGAAAAACCAAGTCCAGGTACCTGTGTTACAACTTTTCTCTCCATCATCATCTCCCGTCGGAGGTGTTCCTCTCTTGCGAGTGGTCCGGAGCGATTGTTCAGCAGGTACATCAATCATAGAAATTTAGAATATCAATATCACGCGAAAGATGAACGACGCGCTACCTACGAGAAGAACCTCAAGGTCAACATCACAAGCACCAGAAAAAGACACTGTACCTGCTATTCGCGTTCTGTGTGAGCTCGTGCTCTGGACGCCCCAGGAATATGGTGTATTCAGCAATGCGAAGATCGTCGGGAAGCACGGGGTATCAAATGTAAAAATGTCTCGGTCTGGCAGCGTCATGCTATTTCTACATGACACAGAAGGGCTGGCATGGAAGCTCTAGCATCACAGGTTTCGAGAAGCTTCCGCAATGCCGAATCCGCATGACAAACCCCCCACCTTGGTGACAGAAAGTGGGCAGCTTTTGCTACCTATGCATGAGAGATTTTTCTGTGTTCTGAAATGCGCATCACAAGTTTGTATTCTCCCAGACCCAGACACTTTTGCAGTTCATACGGGGGTACACGACCGGGAGGCAAGCGTCGTCAGTGTCATGTTCGCGAAGCTAGTCGGGTAGTACCTTGTTTTTCAATAGGGGAAAAAGATATTTACTATATCTTTGCGGTACTATCTTTCCCACATGTTCTTGCCATCGTCCTGGCGACCGCGTACTTCATCAGATGAAACTCTAATTTTCAAAGTGGACGCAGTTGTAGCACCATATCATCAAATCTGAGACCGCGACCGTAAAATCTGATTCTGAAGATAGGAAAAAAATGGAAAGTCAAAGTACTCGGTCGCCAACTTCAAGGCGGCGTCAAAATAGGGGGCCATATTGTTCTTTCCGGTTTCGGGAGACACGTCGCCGTCGGGGAATTTTCCACCATTTGCGTCGAACACCTGCGCCGCCAGCTCCATCGCGGTCTCGTCGAGACAGAGCTCCTGAACGTAGAGATGCGTCGCCTTCCGGTCGATCAGCTTCAATCGGTCCTCCAGGATCTTCAAGCTCTCCGTCCCGCAGCATCAACTGCAAATATGTCGGCGGGGAGGAGGTCTGAGAAAATGCACAGGTTCATCCCGCAGGTTTTGCAGTGCTCAGAAGCTTTGCAATGCGGGGCCTAGCAGCAAGAATGCTGATTATACTCTGCATGTTGACACGTAGGCCACTGCTTCTACTTTTATATCAAAGTGGCCTAAAATGTACAGCTTCTGCCATGCATTGTATCTATGGCAGATGATTTTTCCGTGACTGACCGAGAGTATGTTGATCACAAGTTTGCGGCACCTTCCCAGACCACGACGACCCGGATCGATTGTACCTGCAATGCGTACACAGCGGCACACCACAACACTCAGCTCCAAATCGCGGTCTACCTGATCCAACACCGCGGTGTGCATGCGCTGAAACGCTGCGAAAGCGGGGTTGATCGCCCACGAGTTCATCACCGTATATCCTGATTAAAAACGTCCCCACACCAGAGTCCAGACGGGAAACCTGCTAGACAAATCAGCCAGCCTTGGTTCTTGTCTGGCATGACAAGTTTGTCCTTGTGGTGTAATCCTGTTTAGCTAGTTCAGAAGCATCACAGATCTAGCATGGCATGCTGATCCTAGCGTCACAAATTCCAAAACACGAATAGAAAATGCTTCTCATAGGGCTCCGCATCATCATCATCATGTAGTGGACACCCGCTCCCAGCGCCACAGGTCAAGGATCCCCTCCCCGGGGGGTGGGCGAGGAAGCACTTTCGGCGACCTCATCATACAAAAGCCGAGCGCTACCACGGCGAGTCGCCCCAAGAAAAGTGCCGACCAGTCGGGAACTACCCACCACACCTGATCAGCACAGCCCGGCCAGCTAGCCGAGCGCGACAGCCCAACATACAGAACGATCCAGGACCCGATCCATTTTACGCCATACGTTTTTGCTCTCACGGAAGAGACGACGCACCCCTTTGGGTTAAGGGGCGAGACTCTCCCTTAAGCCGCAACCCCACCCGGACAGGGGAGGCTGGACCATTTGTGCCTTACCTGCGGCACGGGCGAACAAGGCGAGTGCACGGACCACAGTTGTCAAACCATAGACCAGTTGTCTGGCGCTGCTGACTGGCAACCCACCTGGGGCACAGCGACAACTTAAAGGCTTAGTTTGTGCGTGGCAGTCTTAGTGCAGCCCTGTTCTGCAATAGAAGCAAAGGGCGGGAGGGGGGACGGGGGTCTTACGCCAGAGTCGCGACGGAACTTACCTGGACGTAGGGTGCCCGCACGAGAAACTTTTTTGGCATGCAGAATTGCATGACAACTCTGGGGTGGGGACGTTTTTACTCAGGATACCGTATCCTGGTACTTCATCGTGCGTGAAATCACCGCAGCGTCTCGGACGAACCCAACGGACAGATCGTTCCTACGAGTGTAGTTGCATTCTACTTTATTTTTTGCATTTCTGTTCTTGCCAAACGCGGCAAACTCGCAAGGCACATCAATCTACTGTCAAAGCGGTCATCTCTGCACGCCTTTGAAGTAAGGGTAAACACAAACACGGCATGTTGATAAAAAATTTCCCATCAATTTAAATTTTGGCACAACTAGGAGTACACAAATAAGTACAGAAGATACTTGGGTCCGTGGAGGAACAGAGCCGCTTCTGCGATGACCACGTAGCTGAGAATCATGATCGCCGGGCATTCTTCCATGGTGCGCGATTGGAAATTTTCCGGCATACCGATCAACCAGAAAGCCGCCTCAATCGGCGGCACCCCGTCAGCCAGCACGTACTTGTCGGAAGACATTCGGCATCGTGAGGAAAGATCCCCCCTCCACATATTGATGAACAGGCATCCGTCTAAAAATTTGTGGCGCAGTTTGAGGAGGTCGCAGATCATTTCTGTCTTGCAAGAAGGCAAGCGCCGAGGTATGCGCCGCTTTGTGGAGGCGGATATTTCTCATGCTTTTCTTGGGCCTTCAGGGCAGGCGTTTCCCATTCCAAACAGCTAGATTTCTATTACGCTCCAAAACAGGCCGAGCATCTGGCTGCAGTTCCTTACAGCAAGGTATTTGTGTGCGCAAATCTAGCATCAGCAGTTTTGTTTTTGCTATGGGGAGGTGGGATTTTCCACTTTGATATTTGGAAGTCCGCGCCCATGATCTTGTAGTCGGAGTGGCACTCGCCCTTTTTTATCGCCTCCGCAGCCTGCTCCTGACTTAGGGTCTGATCGCAGATGATGAAGTTCATACGGTAGGTGAAGTAGCACGTGTTTGCGAGCTCGTTTTCGCTGGGCAGCCTGACCCGGGTAATCTTCCCCGCTACCGGCAGTGGTATTTGCGACAGAGAATCTTCGAAGGCCGTTTGGAAAAGAACAAACACAAGGACGCCCAGGAACGCTGCCGTCAACGCGACCGCTGCGCGCCATAAGCGCGCCGTCCCAACATCATCCGGGCCTGCTTTCGCTTTTCTCGTTCTACTTTGGATGAAAAAGTCACAAAAATGTGTACGCAGTCGCCGCTGGAATGGACGCCGCAGGGCATGAATCTTCTCCGGTCGGGACGCACCGCTACATCCTCGGGGGAGAGTATTCCTATACAACCTAGCCAACTTCTCCGAGACTTCTCCAAGTAGCATCTGTCGCAGCATCTGTCCCGTTCTTACTCCCCTTTCGAAGTCCCGACTCGCTGCGGCAGAACGCTGTTGCAAGGGCTGCGAGGGATCGTCCTCCCGCGGCTGTCGGTGTCGATGAAATACTCCTTTGGCTTGGACAACTGCATTTGAATACGCATATTGCGGCGAGGGAGCAACCGGGTTTCCATTGGGGCTGCTCCAGTAGTCACACAAGAAGCTCCGGCTCGTGTCAACCGGGCTGCGCCTCCAGTTCCTACGCTCCGGGAGGGCTGCACAGAATCCCCCTGCCATCGAGGGCGAATTATTCCCGCGACCACGAGAACGCTCCCGAGCCGCCGACGTGGAACTCGAACTGCCTGAGGAATTTTCCGATATTGTAAACCACATATTGACTCGTGTTTTTTGGAGCTGAAGAAACACCGCACCAGTCTTGGAGATCGAAGATGTGAAAAGCTGCGTGTAGTGGCAGCTAAATCGAGCCAGCAGTTCACGTTCACAAACCGACGACTGGACCGAACAGAAAAATGTTATGGGAGCACAAATTTTGTGGAAAACATGCCACCAAAAATGTGCAACGAAATCCTTGTCTTCCCGAAGGTGGTGCGAGCCCTTTACAAGCTGCAACGACTGCGAACATTACTTATGACAAGACGAATGCAGTCGTATCATCCGCGTCACATCGCAGGAGATGCAGTTCACTTTCGCGACGACAATATTTCGCACGAGAGCCGAAAATCGAAATATACCCTGTTATGCATTTGACCACCTTGGAGAAACAAAAAAGCTCAACAGACGCAGATCCAACTAGTTCTACTGAAGCTGCAAGGTGATCATCTCTTCTAAATTTCGTTATGTGTGCGGTGCAAAGTACAACCCGGTGCGTCGGCTATGACCCAGCAGCGCGCGTCTTCGCACTTCCGACGGTATTGAACAGCCCCGACTTGGTGCGGACGAGGCGTCTACTTCCCCTGATCAGCACACTGGCCCGAGTCAACCCGTGTGTTTCAGCAGCTGTCCGCTGCTAGAGCCTTCGGGGGTGCATTTTTCCGCACTTCTGCCCCACTGCCGTGTGTCGCTACTTTCGCATCTCCGTGTCGTTTCAAGGCGGCCATCGTGCTCCCCTCCTCCTCCTCGTCGCACCGCTGCGTCTATCCGCTCGACCGTTGCATCGATATTCGTGGCCTGGGGGTCTGGCTTCTTCGTGATGCGACCCGTCCGCGCGATTTCGGCGTAGGCATCCCGGTAGAAGAACCAGTTGCTGGTGCGAAACAGCCGGAAGTTCCGGATCGGCGGCGCGATCACGTGGAGCGCCAGCTGCTGGTACTCAGAGGGGTAGGAAAAACCGCAAATGAAGTTGCGTTCCACGTTGTACACCTCCCTCAAGTGCTTCACGCCCGTCTCAAACAGCTTTCGCAACAGCGGGAGGTCCTTTCGCTGGCACTGCAGCAGGTCTTCCAACCGCGTTTTCGGAAACACCAGCAAATGAGCCCGGGCACACGGGTACCTGTGCTCCACCGCGAAAACGTCCCACTGCCGGGCCTATCAAATGCCAATTCGTCTGGGAGGTCTGGAAAGATGCAGACCGATTCGTCATGCAGGTGTTGCTTGCCCCGCGGTGTCTGGAATCATGCAGGGTCTAGCTGCATCGCAGCTTCAGAAAGGTCTATGCGATACCAATTTTTACACAAGAGGAAATACTTATTCATTATGTCATCTCAACCTGTCTCACACTGGATATCTTTCCTAATCGTGCAAGATAGATTTTTGTGTGACGCCGGGCACAAGGTAGTTGCATCTTTCCAGACCCAAACGCACTATTGCAAGGCATAGGTCCAACACGGGGCGGCCGTGATAGCGGTGCGTCAGTACGGCCTCCACCAGGTCGCAGGGCTATCAAATGTAAAAATGTCTGGGTCTGGAAGATTAGAACTTGTCATGCTAAATCTAAATGATGCAAAAATCTGTGTTGCGTGAGTGCCAAATGCTGTCCGCTTTTGACCAAGTTGAGAGGGAGTTTCTCATGCAGGAGCGGCATGATAGAGACCTCAAAGAATCTGTCATGCTGGGTCTCGCATTCCAGACCCCATGGGTCATGGAAAACCTGCATCGCAAATCTTGGATTCTTCCAGACCCAGACATTTTTACATTTGATAAGGGCTTCGCGTCGGCAATAGAAACGTCGTCGGGCATTTCCGTGTTGCAGAAGTTACACCGCTCGAGCTGCAACAGGTTCGGCTTTCCGCACCTCGGACAGTGCTTCTGGTGCTTCCGCTGCGTGAAAAAGGTCTCGCGCGCGACGGACACATAGCTTCGCTTGCGGAAGGAGACTTGCCCTTGTTGCAATGAGACTGACGAGGGAAACGAAGAGGGAACGGAGGTTTGCCCTTGTTGCAATCGGATATTACGGACGAAATTTGGAGGTCTAGTACCCTGGCACCAGCGGCAAGCCAACGCCTTCTTCGCGTAGAGCATCTCATTGCAGTGCGTGCTGCTGCATCTACTTTTTCAGTTGCCACAAAGTCGTGGTAGGCTCTTAGATGTTGAAACTTCTATAGAAACAAACAGGACCATCCCTCGTGGTCGAACGGAATGTCCAAGCTGTTTCAAAAAGAACACCTGAAAGCAAAAATGTCGTGCGCAAAGATCCTTCCCGCAACGACGTGGTGATGTTGCACGAGGAGAAAGAACCACTGGAGCTACACGAGAGAAACGATGAAAATCATGATCTCCAGACGCGGACCTACAGCTGAAATAGATCTTCCGCGGTTGCGATGGATTCGGTAATAAAACCGATCGGCGAAAGAAAGAAAGAAAGTCCGTGCTGCATCCCACAAAAAGTGTTTCGCCAAACGGTCGTCACAGCAAAATCTGACAGATCAATTTATTCTTCACAAGCAACGTCGACAGGCGCGCGACACAAATGAAAAATGAACACAAGCGTAGTAGTCCCAACAAATCTCCGCGTTTCTCCTCGTACAAATACGCGCTCCAATTTCATAAAGCAGGACACGATCTGTGGTCCTGTTTGTTCAGTAGTAAAGAATTAGTTGTTGTGCCGCTATTGCTTATTCCACGTGTTTTGGTGCAGCTGATTGGTCAAGTTAAGCATGGAAGGGTCGAACTGTGTGCCCTTGAAGGGGCTGCCGTCTGCATCCCAGGCGTCTTTCATGAGCTCCGCAGTTTTGATTTGGTCCGAGGTCGGCTTACCCTGGTGCTTCTGGTTCTGATCGAACACAATCTTACCTGAGAGATGAACGTGCGTTATTTATACCGAGATTAAAAAGATCGCTTTTTCATCGGTACATCATGGGTACAGTACCGAAATAATCCAGCTGCACCAACGTCGCAAACATTCTGCCCGTAGGCATGTTAAATTTGGATACTTAGCAACTACTTTCCAGAAATAAACCAAGAGCATTTACGAATGGCCCCCTGCGTCTCTCCGTCGTAGTCGTCGATTCGCTTTGTCGATTCGATTTTGGTCGTGTCGATCTCCGGCCCGTCCTGAAAAACAGCTTTCCACCACGTCTTGCGAATCTTTGATTTTATTTGAGATGCGAAATTTTCGGTCGGAATAAATGATCCAAACAGAGGGCAACAACATCGCTTCCAAGTTAGAATGCTGACGACGAACAGACCAAGCCCGTAGTTGTAGTACTTATACCTTGTCCAGGGTGAGGACCACCTTCTTGCTGTCCTCGAGGTTCCAGATGCAGTCCATAGGTTCCACCCGTATAGATGTGTCAGGATTGAAATCGACAAAGTTGTAATGCATAAAATGGATGAAAGTTGTGGCCCAGTTTCCAAGTCAAATTTGGGCAGAACCGCAATCCAGTTTGTCATGCTGTTTTGGTAAGGAAGACGCCTTTTGTCATGCTACTTTAGCAGCTCAGTTTCTACCCCTCAACAGGCTTACAATCTGCCTCGCTTGCCTACTCTGCAAGACAGGCACTCCGCGGGCTGTATTTTATGCATGACAAACCATTTCAACTTTGACGATTTCAATCCTGACGCTTCCATAACCCGCTCCAACAGTTTATCTTCGAAAACGACCTTCTTCTGGTACGAAATCTTGACCGACTCGGATTTGATTTCCACAGAAACATCCTTGCTCTTCACCCCGCCATTCGGCTCCAGCAGGAATTCCACTGTCAGCTCCTCCAAGGTTTGGGACCATCGATACCTGAATGTTTTTTGACATAGATGCGGAAAGCAGAACAACAAAGTGCTAAAGACCACGGAGGAAAGGACAAAGCGAATTCAAGACTTCCAACCAAAAGAATTCTTCGTCCAGGAGGAAAGTACTTATCGGTCACGGCTCCGTTCCACGTGGAATGCGACGTAAACTTGGCATCCACGTTCACTGGCTTGTTCCTGCCGCCAGTTACGTCAGAAGTAGCGCTATCCGTGGGTGAGGACGCCGTTGTCGTGCTCCCTGCTTCATCCGTCCGACTCTGCAGATCCTGCTGCGCCGCGGCGACGACGGCGGCGGGCGGTGCCGTACTCGACGAGGACCCGCCCGAAGTGCAGTTGGCGCCGGCGCTCGGCGGCGCTGCCGGTCTACTCGAGGACGCACCGGCCGGTGCCGCCGTCGACGTTGTAGTACTAGCCACTCCGGTGGGCACGGATTGCATGGGGCGTCGCACCGCTTTGTCCAGGCCTTCGGGAATTCGGTTGCCCGTGCGTTTCTGATAAAAATCCTGGTACTTAGCGAACTGCGCATCTACCTGGAGGTTTTTTTTACACAGGTGCGGCACCACATTTTTCTTCCTACAAAGTCGGATATTACATACTACTAGCCCGCAGTAGAAAATACATTGTTCTTCACTGGGCAGCAGTACCATACCAGACATAGTCAAATCTGTGGCTGGGAAGAACCTCTCGAAACAACACACCAAGCAGGCGAAGGGTCTCCGCGAATTATACACCCGCGACGATTCGCGCCAAATGAGAGACTCAAAAACTTTATGTCGACTTTTGTAGAAAAAAAAAACCATTTTCTTTGCGATTCCTGGTGGAAAGCCCACTCGATCATCCTTGCTCTGCATCACGTGGAAAAGGTCCGTGCGCCGCTCGAAGAAACCGAAAATACTCGCCAAAAAATCTTCCAGTCCCTGATGCTTGGCGGCGAGCCGCCCGAGCATCTCGTCCGTATGAGGGTCGTACGCCATTCTTAGTTTTCTACTGTACAGATAACGTAGTTAACGAGTTTTAGAAAGTTTCAGCGGTGCGCATGAGCGACATGAGGAACGACATATAGGCGACTTGGTAAGTAACACGCGGAGCCGTTTATTTCGCAAGTGCGAAGGAACATACTGTTAATACAGGGATAATTCGGTAAAAGTGTATTTCTTGGGAGTCCTGCTGTCGGAAGATAAGTGAAAGATCTTTTTTCGCCACAATTGATCGCAAAGAAACCTTCCACGAGCACGCACGCACAAAAGCGTGACACTTTAGGAGCTGCCAAAAACGAAAACAATAGAGCACATACGTAGTTGTCCGCTGTTGATATATGGGTCAATCATCTGTCAACAGCTGTGTCCTATGGGTCAATTATCCGCGCCGCATAGGTTCTCTGATGCAGTTTCTTGCGTGCATTGCCTTCGCGTTGAATCTCTGAGCAGCAGGAGCAGCAGGGCTCCTCGTGTGTCGTGCAACAAATTATTTTCTCCCATTGCAAAAGCATTCCATCTGGTTGAGCTCCTTCTGCTGGGAAAGATGACGTAGAGTCGTTCTATGAGTCAGTGCGCGGTGCAACGGTAGAACGCACTACGACAACGCTGCAGCATCTAAAATCGACCACACATCAACATTCCTGATGCCTCGTGACTGAAAAACACGTTACCTTAATCCACACTCTAAGCCGAAGCATGCGACAAGCTCCAGGACTCTTGAATTCGGTGTGGACCCTCGATGAACCGCGCATGGGCTTCGCTTATGTTTTGCCTCGCTCCACCTCCGCCAGCAAGATTTGTCCTGAAACACTCTGCGAGTCGCGGGTGCTCCCAAAATTCGTTTTTGATGGAGCAAAACTCCTTGAGTCCAAAGCGCATGCACTCCAGGTCGGGCTTCCAGCGTTGTGGCCGGCGATACCCCCACCGTCGCAAAGTGGCTCGCATCTGCCTCTCTTGCTCTAGTCTCGTGGGCGACACCGAGCGAAGATCCGAGAACTCTATCACAAACAGACAAACGGACAGCGTCGCTTGCGCTTTTTCGGCAGTAATATTATCGCCAGGCTGCGCTAATGTCGTCTGCCGTCGCTTATTTCTCCTCGTACTAAAAAATGGCCCCCATCGCCGCGAAAAAGTAGAAAGCAAAGTACCGTGGTACGCTGACGTAGAATAATTGCTAGACCTCGTCCCACTCTTCTGAACAGTACCGGTCTGCTGCGCCTGCTGTGTTACGATCAACTCCATCTTTGGCTCCTGTTGTAAGTCATCAGAAAGTGCTCGACGCCCCGGTGCTTCTCCAGAGCTCAACGCTGCGCTCCTTTCTGGTGCCTTCTTGGAAGCCGGAGAAGGCGCGCCTATCGTCCTGGGCGTTGAAGATGCAATGGACAGCAAGGGGTCGTGCTTTTTCAGAAAAGGCTCCAGGGATTGCAAGACATCGAGCTCCCCTCCCTCCACGTCCAGAAAAAAAACGGGCAGGGCGCCACCGAAGCGCGCTAGATGCTCGCCCAGAATCCAGCTGATCGGGCGGCAGGGTACCTGGACCTCGCCCTTAATCCACTGCTTTTTGTGCTCTTCCGACATAGCGGACACGAGACCGCCCGTGCCGCTCACGCCAGGGAGAGCCGCGTCACCACCTGAAGGTACCTCCGCCCCGGATGCGAAAGACACCGTGCCGTTCCTTCGAAAATATTCCGCCTCGGAACAGAGCGCCTTGCACTCAAAGCTTATACTGCGAAAACAAATCGCGCACACCTCTCGCATATAACATTTCGCCAGACGACATGCAGTAGATGAGGACACATTATCTTATGTATTTACAATTAGTTTGTGTCTTTTGCGGAGCCGCATCAATTTGAAGGACTTGGACAGCATCAAGAGCGGGTGTTCTTGATTTTCCTGCAGCATACTGCCGTTGCGTTCGCTCACTGGTGTGTCCGGGGGGAATGACCCTCGATTGGTCCTCAGTTGCTTGCAGTTTGCTGGAAATGCTTCAATCAGCAGACCACGCCAATTTAACGCTTTCTCGAAAAAGTAGGAATTCGAAAACTCGATACCCGTAAAACCGCCCACCTCAAGGAACGCGTTGCTCCAAGGCACTTGCTCCTGAGTCGCCGCAGAGACTATGCCGGGCGTAGGTGGTGGCTGTGGCTCTTCTGCCAACTTTCGAGGTGGCGCCTTGCTTTCGTCATGAGGGTGAGCACCACTTGCTGCATTCGCCGGAAGATTTCTCCTTTCCAGGTCGCGCAACGCGGGAGCCGCTGGTGGGATCATTCGCTGGCAGAAATAGTGGAGGTACACGATAATGTCTTCTAGGAATTGGGAGTGAAAGACATGCTTTGCGGCGGGGAGCCCGCAAACGGTCGACAAAAGGAACCGACGTTCCGCTTGTGCATATTGCGTTTGCAGATTGTACCGGTCGAGATTTCTCGTACTTTTGCTTTCCTCGTCAGAATTTCCAGCGACAACCCGCCGCGCTAGGCCCTGGATTCTCGCCACCAACGCTTTCACTCGTGGGTCATTCGAACAGGCGGCGCTTCCTCGGCGCTGAAACCAGAGACCACCGATGATCCCCAGACTGGCTGCGACCTTCTCCGCAATGGCTTTGACATTATCGGCCTTCGAAAGTTTTTCCACCTTCGAATACTTTCCCTGTTGTGCGAGGAGTCTCCCGAGGTTCGCGTCAAGCGTCACCCACGCCGGAAGAGACAAGAGGCAAGGCTTTGCTACAGCGCGCTCTTGTCCGCGACTGCTCCCAAAAAAGTTTTGCAGCAGACGGAATTCCGCACCCTGCGTGTCCAGAGCGAGCACCAACGGTTGTCGTACGTTTATTTCCCCGCCCGCTTTCGCCGAAGCTGCGAGAGCCGCAGTTGTCCCTGCGTTTTGCCCTTGAGCCGGCACAGCACTAGATGCATCGCGTAGCAACTCGGGTATCGCTCGGCAGGGAAGCAGTGGATGCCGGTGCACATACGACCAGGCGCCCTCAGCGCCCAGCTGTTCCGGGTTTTTCCGCGGATCCCAGCTCGCCGTTACGTTCGTGTTGTAGAGCGTTGCTTCCACCTTGGGATCCGTGAGGTTTCCCGTTCGTGCCGGGTAGCACGCACCAATGGCTGGCACGGGGGTAGTCGCCTCCAGCGTGACCGCGGCGGGAGGAGCTTCCTTGGCCCCAGGAGATGCCGATGTCTTGGTGGAAATTTGTATCGTGTGGCGGAACGCCGCAAAGTTGCCATCCACTCCGCTGATTTCCAGCAGGGTCGCTTGGCCGGCTCCCTATCCATCTTTCGCCGCATTTTTTCCAGAAGGGCCAGCGGTAGGAACGGCGGGCGTGGTGGGTTGTGGGGGACGAGCTGTCGGCGTTTTGGATGCTTCAGCGCTCTCTTTTCCCGCGTTCTCATCGCCGCTCGGCAGCGCTGGCGTTTTTGGCTCACCTCGACTCACCACTGCTGGCGCGGAAGCGACCACGTGCACCCGTGTGGGATTGTTCTCGTAGCTTCTTCTGGAAGTTGTAGTAGTGAATACAACCAGATGCTCGGGAAGCAGGTGAACCCAAAAGCGAATCGTCAAACTTGCAGTGAGCGCAACTGACAGAATTACCTTGGACGCTAACATTTTGGGTTGCGTCCATGAACGCGCCAGGCACGACAAGGATGGAGTGTACGTGTGACAAGGTAGATCAGATGTTGGAGGATATTTTTACGAGTGTTTTTTATCGTTTACAAATTTGGCGCAGACAGACTTCGTCGGAAACTGCATGCATCCCCGGGCACAATTCCGATCATTTCAAGAACAGACAGTTCAGCCAAATAGGCTATATTGCGTTTTTTTACTTTCATCGAACATAGGCGATTTTTACCAATGCATTGCACGGCAGGAGCATGCGCCAAACATGACATGTCGGTTTGAGAAAAACTCAAAAACGGTTATTTTTGCATGTTGTTGCTGTAGGAAACCGTGAGTACTAGTGTCCAAAAAGTGTGCATTCTCGGGGAAAACAGGGTAATGGTGCGGGGGTACCGCAAACAATGGACGACCCCTTCAATAGTGTGGGAAACAAATCTAATGTATTTTGATGAGGTCGAAGGACTAGTTTCGTGCATTTGTGAACTCGATCGGAGCGTGCGTTTACTTGATGATGATGTTCAAAATTTATGTATTAATTATACAAAGCTTCAAAATAAACCGACCAAAACGGAGCGTCGTCAGTGGTATGCTCTATGCATAATCTTATGAATGTGAAGCAGATACTTACTACGTCTCTAAAAATACTGACGAAGCAGGCAAGTGCGAAAGGAATATCTCGCTCCAAGCCTTTATTTCTTCTTCTTGCCTCCCTTCTTCCCCTTTTTGCCGCCCTTCTTTCCCTTTGTCGCCTCCTCGATGACGGCTTTTCGATCCTGATTGCACTTTCGATCGAGCCCGCTCAAATTGGAAAGCGGCCCGCTGCCACCGCCGCCGCCGGACTCTTCCTCTTCATCCTCCTCGTCGTCGTCTCCGCCGCCGCCCTCGGCCACCTGTTGATAGTGTGTGCAAGAAAGTGACGGCATCCCTCACCGTTTTCTCCGTTTTTTCATCGTGATACTATAACGTGCATGTAACAGAGAAACCTACAGCAGTGTCAACAGCAAAAATAAATTCGGTGCTCTTGTTGAAAAAATTCTATAAAAATCCTTATGCAAGTTCCAAAAGATAAAAAGAAGTACCTCAGTGACGCCCTCGGTGCCGAGTTTGTTTCGGATGCGCGCGATGAGCGAGGTTTGGTCCTTCACGTACTCCAGTGGGTTCAGGAGCTTGAAGAGGTGGTGCATCTTGTAGGACCGGGCCACGTCGAAGGGGATCTGGTCCCGCTTGTTCAGCAAAGTGATCAGGTCGGTGGACTTCATCTTGATCAAGAGTTGGCAGATGACCAGTGACCCCTTCTATCAGAGTGAAAAAAGGCCCCACCCCATAGAAAAAAGGAAATTTCTGTTGCTGGATTTCTGTACACAAATCACCGCTGTATTGCAGAAAGCGCTTGGCAGCACTTCCTGCGCCTGATTGGGTATGCAACAGGCTAGGAGTTAGGCATGGCAGACACCTTTGCAGTATGCATCACCGCATCACAGATTGGCTGTGGAATGCGCCAAGCGGCTCCCATTTGCGGTATTTGCAAGCCAGAACGGATTTTTGGTAAACAAATCAGCATCACAAATTTCCTTCCCGATATGGGGAGAGAGGATTTTTCCTCGCAATACCTTCTCCGCGGCCTTGTGGAGCGGCGTGTCGCCGTCCTCGTCCTTCTGCGTGATCAGCAGCCCGATGTTATCCCACAGAAAAAAGCGGGCAGGTCACATTTGTAATGCAAAAATAAATACACAGAAAAATCCGCACTGCGTATCCTAAACAGCATGCTACGAGGCCGCCCATGACGGATTTTTCTGTGTATTTATTTTTGCATTACAAATATGCCCTGCCAGCTTTTTTCTGTGGGATAGATGTCCTTCGGGTCCAGGGTGCGCAGGAGAAACACCAGCACGTCGGTGCCGTTCTGGCGCGCGCAGTGGTGGAACACGTTCCGCTTGCTGCCGTCCACGACCTTCGGGTCCGCGCCGAGGCCGAGCAGGTACTTGGCCAGGTCCTTGTCGTTCTGGTAGCAGGTGAACAAAAACAGCGTCATGTGGTTGCAGGTAGGGTTCTTCCAGTCCAAGACCGCCCCGTCCTTCAGGGCGGTGGAAATGCCCGGGACGTCGGTGCCCCCCTCCTTGAAGTACACGTCACCCGTGCTGGCCTGCCGCCACAAGGTTCGTGTCGCGAGAATCTGCTTGTCCGTCAGCTGCGCCGGGACTTTGCTGTTCTGCGCCAACTGCCCGCCGCGCTGTTGTGTTTTTTTTAACATCGATTTATTTATTCCTAGTGCAGTTGTGTGCTCGGTAATTCGTGCAGTGTGCGTGCTGGCGCGAATAAAATCACAAGAAACGAAAAAAGATCATTCGGCAAGGTAAGCATGCAGTAGAAGTAGGGATCCATTTCTCGTGACAATGAATGAGGCGGGTAGTACGGATGAAAAATAAAGGCTGCGAAAAGCCTACATGCAACGAACGCCGTCTTCTATATTAAGTGCGATGCAGTGTTTTGCTAATATTTAACCCGCGAAGAACAACAATTCTTTCACTGAAGCAACTACATATACCTTCGTCTGCTTCTCGGGGGCCGTGAGGATTTCCTTTTCGCAGAAGTAGCCCGTGAACGGCGTTTTTCGCTCCACCACGCTGATGGTTTTCTTCACCATTGCGGCGGGCGGCGGCAGGTGCGGCAACCGGACCGCCTGGCGGGAAGACTTTACCGGCACTTTCTTCCCGGAAACGGGGTCGTTTTCCTGCAGTGCGTGCCAGTCGACGGTGTAGCTGGTGGGCATCGGGTGCGGGTCGGTGTTTCGGTAGGAAAACTTGATGCAGCCACCGCGGTCCCACAGAAACTCCTCCTCGTACAGACCGTCGACCACGGGCATGTGCTTGCCGTTGCCCAGCACGGCCCGGTACCGTGGCACCGTAAAGTCACCCTCCCAGCGGAGCGGGTGCTTGTACTTCTTCTCGCCGTCCTCCCCTCCGGCCGCGAGCATGGTGCTCTGTGTGGCGAACGACCCAAAATGCTGCGACATGATCTGGTGGTGCGTGATGTAGTCGGCGGGAAGAGGAAACTGCTTTCAAGCTACAAAGAGCGGGGATCAACCGTTTTAGTCGATCAGTCGTTGCAACGTAAAAAAAAAACCGAAAAATCCCGCAAAGGAGGCAAATGGGTAAATAATTCAACGACCACGGGGGCAAAAAGTGTTGTAAAAGTGAAGATCCAAAATGGTGTTTATTCTCAACGGGATGCGTTTCTGAACACGATGTTGGTATTTTCCTGTAATGGTGTGAAAGAATGTTTTTTCATCTGTTCTTTCAACACGATGATGTAAAGAGAGTCCGATGTTGACTGCTGCCCCAAGTGCATAATTCCGTTTCGTGAACGAGACAAGAAATCTCCAAAGTAAGTGTACAGGTTGTGGACGATTGAAACGCAAATGTGAACGAAACCGCGTGGTATCATGAGGAAGAACGAACCGAACAAGAAACCAAAAACGAAAACGACATGATCTGTGATGTGTTGCTTCAGTTATTTACCGGTGGTGCGTCACTAATTTCAATACTTACGGTGAACGTCAACGGGTGAGGTGTTGACGTGCAAAATATAACTCGAGGTGTACGACATACTTCCCTTTAAAACCGAGTAAAAGCTGTATTGCGCTGAATTATGAATTAGTTTCATCATCATACACAAAACGACTAAATAGTGACCGAAATCATGAAAGAGGTATTACGTATTGAAATTGGAATCTCACGTACTCTTACTGCATGCCGACTAACGATGACACGACGAAATAAATTGTACAGTTTCTATGCCCTGAAACTTCGATACTGAAACCATCGATGATACACGACCTTACTCTCGTCTACTTCTTTTTCTTCTTTTTCCCGCCCTTCTTGCCGCCCTTCTTTTTGGCCGCTTTCAGCTCGGCCGCGCGGGTCTGGTTGCACTGCCGGTCGAGGGACAGAAGGTTCTTAAATTTGGTTTTCAGGGCGCCCCCGCCACCGCCTTCTTCGTCCTCGTCGTCGTCGTCGCCGCCGGCCGCGCCAGCGTCCTCTATCCTGTGTAAAAACGTCCCCACATCACCGAGTCAACATGGGAAATCTGCTAGACAAATCACACAACTGTGGTTGTTTGGCATGACAAATTTGGACGCGTAGTGTAGTGCTGTTGTCGTTGTGTTTGAGCTAGTTCAGCAGCATTACAGATCTAGTAGCTCGTGCTCATTGGAGCATGACAAATTTCAAACCCGCATTAGAAAATGCTTCTCGTGGGGCTGCGCATGAGAAACATTTTAAGCATGCAGAGTTGCATGACAACTATGGTGATGTGGGGACGTTGTTACACGGGATATCCTCCTCCTCCTCTTCGTCCTCCTCGTTGTCTCCGTCCTCCTCGTTGTTGCCGCTGTCCTGCTATCCAAATGAAAAGCCCATCCTTCACCCAGATCTGCTTGAGAGCGTCGGCATTGATTGTAGCAGAGTGGATAAGTAGTACATTTGCCACGCTCTATGTAGCAACGTCAAAGATTTGTTTCGCTGCATGTAGCAGCATCAGAGTTTCGAATAAATGTGTGCTGCACACTAGCGCAGTTGCGGCAATGTGTGTCACGCTAGAGCTGCTGCACACCAACTCGACTGTCGCACTTCTCGTCCCTTTATGCAAGACAAGAAACAAATTTTAATTTTCCCCGGGAAACATCAAACTTTGCACGGCAAATACTTGGCATATCTGGAGGCGGGGCGCTTTTCACTTGCGTACCTTCTCGAGCCGCATGCGCATGCGGTTTGCGAGGGAATTCGGATCCTGCACGTAGGTGTTGGGGTCCACCAGCTGCCGCAGATGGTAGGCGTTATGGCGCGTCGCGGTGTCTTTGGGGTACTCTCCGCGCGCGTTCCGCAAAAAAAGCAACTCCTTGAAGCTGTGCGCCTTGAGGTACAGCTCCGCGACCACCTTGCTCCCCGAGGCGGCCGCTAGGTGCAGTGGCGTGTTGCCGTCTTCGTCGGGTGAGAGCAGCAAAAAGGGTAACACGGACTTGCTGCCCGGCTGCTCCAGCTTGCGCAGCAGGAAGGTGGCGGTTTCGTATGCGTTCGCCTCCGCGCAGTGGTGGAACAGGTTGCGGTCTTTGCGGTCAACAGTGAGAAGGTCCGGACCGTACCGGAGGTAGAGGTACTCCACCATCTTGCGTTCGTTCATCCAGCACTTCATCGCAAACAGGCTCTTGCCATCCGCGTCGGGATTCTTCCAATTTATCGATGCCCCCTCGCGCACCGAGGACGCCATACCTGAGTCGTTGTCAAGTTCATGTTGTGAGCTGCAAGAACTACAACACCACAGAAGCTCAATGTCAATTTTCGTGTGGTCCTCGAACAATAGGCATGCAAAGGCGGATCTTTTTTAGCAGCTAGTATAGTTTTAATATCTAATCTTTCAATCGAAAAGATGTGGAAAATTGTACCTGGAACTTCGTCGTTAAAGGGATCCCACTTCTTTTTGTCTTTGTCTTTTTTCCCCGCCGGGGCCCAGTACATGTCCCCCGTGCTAGACTCGCGCCACAACCGCTGCGTCGCCTTGACCTGCTTCTCGCCCTCGAGTTGGGCCGGCGCGACGAAGCCTTTTTGGCTGACGGCCCGGCCCACTTTTGGGTTCATACTCACCGGGGCGACAAACGTGCTCTGCGTGGAAAACCGCCCGTGGAAGGTCGTGTGCGGAAACATCGCCACACAGGATGCCGATTTTTGCAGCGTTTTCGGCACCACGTTGTGCAGAGTGGGAAGGCGGAGCGGCTTCTTATCTTCCCCGGCTTCCTCCGCCCCGAGCTCAAGCAACGTTGGAGGATCTGTTCATTGGAAAGAGTACTAAATTCGGTGCACTACACTGCATCATCTTGGGCGAAAAGGGATCCGCAACACATTCGGCGAAGATCACTATCTTCATGTTGACGATGATCTAGTGGCAATCTATTACATCAAACAGACCGCGCATCGAAAACGGCGTTTCTGTGCTGCAAACAAATTTGGAATTTTACTGTAGTAGATGCCCGCAAGACAGCACGACCGAACACAGCAGCTGCAACTGGGGCACTTCTCGTACGTACGACTTAATTATAAACTCAAATCTATTATCATAGAAAAGCGAAAAATAAAAATTTCGTCGCAGTTCTTGCGTGCAATACAGGCATTGACGGACGTCCGGGGCGGCGGAATGTCGGACCTGCGGACGTGGTAGGGGCCCACCTTGCCCCCCCGGTCCCAGTCGAACCCGTCAAAGTACTGGTCGTGCCCCCCGAACGTTTTGTCCATGCCTGCGCTGCTGGTCGATTTCAGAAGATGGGAGGACATCAAGCTCGAGGTCGTGCGGAACCGGTTTTTGTTTTCTAGCACGTGCCGGTAGCGATCCAGAGAAAAGTCGCCGTGCAGCTTGGACCAGGGAACGTAGGTCATCGCCGCGCTGTATCCTGAGTAAAAACGTACCCACACCAGAGTCAGGATAGGGATTTTGCAACACAAACCTAGGAGCTTTGTGAGTCACGCATGACAAGTTGCGCTATGCAGTGTAGTGCAGGTTAGCAAGTGCAACCGCATCACAGATTCATTTGCTCATCCTGTTCACAGCATCACAAATTCCAAAACACGATTGAGCATGGCTCTCATGGGGATGCGCATTACAAGTCTTCCTGTCTTTGCAAATCTGCATTACAACTCTGGTGTGGGTACGTTTTTACTCAGGATACGCTGGCCCGCTCCTCCGTGGCCAACGGCATGGCGTGGAGCGGCGAGTTGCCGCCCCCGCGGTCTTTAGACAGACCGCGATCGAGCATTTACTAGTTCTTTGGTGCTTGCTACTTTGGTTATATTCTGAATACGACCGTGAGGGACTAGTAGTGGGCGTTAGAAATAAAATCGAGGCAGTGTTTCTGTAGCTTCAGAAAAAGTGGATGTGCATCAGCAACATTCAATCATCTGCGACAGAGAGCGCCGCTGATTGGGTCTGAAAAAAAAACAAATCATCGCCATTGAAGCACTGAAACGGCCAGACCAATGGAAAGGGATGCGACTCTCAAACGACAAAAAACATGCGAACATGAAAAAAAAACTCCGGCAAGAAACTGGAAAAAAAGACACCGAATCGAGTTCGAAAGGCAAACAGCGCCCTCAAAAAAGTGACTAGGCTTCTTTAGTAGAGAAGGTGCTGATGATTGTTTTCCAGCATTACAACACTCAGTGCTGTAGATTTATTTCCAGCATTGCTCAGTAGTCAGTACCTTGTGTAAAAACTTCCTTCGCATTGGATCCGGGTTTGATCATCAGTGTGTGCTCGTACTGAGCCACATAGGCACCGAACTTTTCGACCAGTGGCGGATATGCGTCCACCAGTCCCGCTTCGCAGAGTAGTTCCAGGTGCGCCGCTAGTCCCTTCGCCGTGAAAACGGGCAGCTTCCAACCCGCGCAGCTTCCGGGACTACTCTTCTGCGATGCGCTCGCCACACTCTTCCTGGATCGCAGTGCCGTATTATTTTCCTCCGTCAACCTCAGCTTTTGCAGTGCACATGGCTGCAAACTGCCTCCTGCTACTTCGTCCAACGCGGCTTCGTCCATTGCATTTCCCCTGTAGACGGCGTCCGCGGCCATGGAGCCCCTTCTCGGTCTCGCCAAAATCCAGCGTGGACAGAAGGCCAGGGTTGAAAAGTCCGCGTAGAGCTGTTGGTACAGTACCGCGGCACTTTCAAACGCATCCCGCGCTCGCGGTTGCGCCGAAAGCGGCAGCGCGCGCCGAAGTTGCTGCTCTATCAGCATCGTGCGTGTAGTTGTGCGGGCTGCACCTTTTTGGCTCATCGGTGGCGCAGCGACGCGGAGGAAAGGCCCGTCTTTGGTTGCCGACGACCCTGTACTGCCCGTCTCCTTGCTCCTCGAGCAGTCCGAAGGTACCCGCCACACCTTGTCGAAGAACGTGCCGCGCCGGAGCATGTAGTGCGTGCAGGGGTGCAACTGGTGGCTCATTAAGGCGGGGTCCATGTTGAAAACCCATCCCCATCCCTTGTACGAAGCGAACGTTTCGATGGCCCACTGTTCACCCGCGCGCATGCGCTGCCGCGACCCGACCAAAATCGGGGCCAGCATTTTACCGGCGTGGATTTTTCCCTGCTCCAGCGCATGCCCGTTCAGGTTGCGGATCGGCTGCACGGGATACACCCGACCCTCCGTGGTTATTACCTCGCCCGCCTCCATTATCGCAAAAAAAAGTGTTTCACGGTAAGGATTTTGCAAGTTTTGCATCACAAGTTTTTTCTACATCACAGAGAAAATTTGCCATGCGAGATTTCTAAGAGAAAACACAGCTAAAAATCTAGTGTCTTGCATGTGCTGTAGCAAGATAAACACTTCTCAGATACAGTTTCTGCATTACAAGTTCACAGTAAAACAGTTTTTTCTTGTGATATCCATCACCTCCTGGATCGCACTAGACACCGTGGACAATTTCACGTCCATCCCCGCCGCGCGGATGCCGGTGTACGTTGCCTCTTGCACGACTTCCAGAAGCTGTTCTTGCGGGGAAAGGGCGAAGGCCGCCTGTCCCCCTGAATTAAACCCCCTAAGAGCGGACAGTGCGTCAACATCCGCTCCGCTCCAGGTGAAGGAGAACGCCGAGTCGACTATCCATCCGTCGTAGTGAATCCCAAAGTCCACCGAAACAACGTGTTATGGAGGGAAAGCGAGGCGCAACAATCATGCCACGGGTTGTGATTCATTGTTTATTTTCAGCATATGCATGCACAGCCGAACCAGACGAGACACCAAATGTTGAAGGCCGAGAATTTGCTTTCGAAGGTTGTCTGCTCTGCACAGTTTGCTAAGACCTTGCCGGGAGCGAGAGAATATCCTGTGTTCCGGGCGAGACAAGAAGAGCGAATGCAATGCAACGGGCGTTTGCAGTTCCACGACTTGTTCCCAATTTGGTAGATCCCCCTGTTGCAGGTATTGTGGGGCCGACGCCCCGGGCGTTCGGGAGTCGTGCGCCGCAACTTCGTTCACATTGACGCCGGTGGGAAAAGCGTGGCCGGCGCGAGCGCTCAGGTTCGGGTCTTTTTCCAGCTCGGAATAAAACGCTCGCTCGATCGCGCCCACCAGCTCCTCGCTCGTGGTTCCTACCGCTTGCCGGCTGCTCCGAGCATTATGTCGTTTGCTTCCTGCAGCCGCGTGGCGTCCGCACTCGGCGGCAAGGCGGTTGCGAAAGCTCGCCGCCAGGTGTTCGTACGCTTTCGCACGTACTGCGCGATGCAGCGCTCCGCCGCCGCGCAGGCCCTCCGCTTGTTCCTCGTTGACGGTGCCGTCGTCTTGCAGCCCGGCGCCGAGTCGCCCGTCGAGCTTCCGCGTCCCATAGCCAGCGCCGAAAATCCGGTGATGCACCTCCTCGGCGATCTCGGGGAGAATCGCGTCCAAGCACTGCGCGCGGGCCCGGAGTCTGCGGCAGATGCGGCGCACGAGGTTCGGGCGGTGCACCGAGGGCGTTTCGCGGCCTGCCGACGCGGATGGCGTCTCCAAGGAGTTGCTTGCGCACACGACTACGTCCGCGGGATCGGCGCTCGCGGTTGCCGGGCCCTCCGCAAACAACCGCACGCCGTGAAGACGGAGCGCTTTTCCCTCGGCTCCGTCGCGGCAGGACTGGGACACGGTCGCGTCTGCACTTTGGAAGCTCGTCTCGTCTGCGTACTGGTTCAGCCGAAGTCGGTTCGGGTCAAGCGAGTACCGCAGCTCCGCGAATATCATTCGCAGCAGGAAAAGCGCCGATGCGTCAATCAAAACGCTGCAAATCGCCAACCCGAGGTACAGCCAGAAGAGGCCCGGAATTTCGCCGAGGAAGGACCACATCGCTTTATCCCTTCGGCGCGCGTATATTCGTTGAAGGAAGGAGCGAGGATCGCGATCGCAGGGAGTCGCAAATGACGGAGTATGCTAGAAAAAAGTGCGAGGCTAGAGGCCCACCTGGGAGACGCAGTGCTTGCTGGAAGCACCGCGATGCCAACGCATCTACAAGGACAAGCACGAGTGCCCAGGAACACACAAGGCAACCGGTCGGGGGTTCCTACTGCAGGGGAGACGACGAGCGGGCCCCGGACGGGGCACCGGACCACGACCGGGCCCGCACAGACCAGGACCAGGGCCGCACGGACGGCGAAGCGGCCTGCAAGGACGACTTGGGGCAAATCAGGGCCGCCAGATGTGGAATGCCTGGAACGAGAAAGGCCCTGCAAGTGAAGGAGCGGCTGCAGCCTCGGACTTTTATTATGTCCGACGCGGCCGGTAGAATGGCACGCCGTCTGGTCCCGAAAAGAAGCAGCGCCCGGAGAGCGGGGCGAAGCGCAGTCGACCCTCGACTGAAGCGCGAGAACCCGAATAGCGGCACCAAAAGCCGCACGAGGGGGGGTTGGCAACAAAAACACCAGAAGACTAACGCAC